CCCTAAACCCTAAACCCTAAACCCTAAACCCTAAACCCTAAACCCTAAACCCTAAACCCTAAACCCTAAACCCTAAACCCTAAACCCTAAACCCTAAACCCTAAACCCTAAACCCTAAACCCTAAAAGTCATCCAAACCCTAGTTTACCCCGCCCTCACTAACGTAGCCCTCAACCCTAAACCAGTATCACACATTTCCAAAAAAACCCAAACCGCGGCCTACACCCGCGTCGACGTAAAGGGCCGGGTCGCCGCCGGCACCCAGAGTTCCGCACACGCGCGCTCGTACACAGATGTAAATGCGTGTTTCCGACACATCCGCAAAATTCCAGCGTCGTCGACCGCCAGTGTAGTGGTTTTGGTGACCCCTTTACTCGCGCAACTTTCAGGGCGCCAAAAGCGCGCAACTGCTAACCCTAGTTTCTTACCCTAGTTTTAGGGAGGCGCGTTCGAGGGGCGACGCGTGCTGGAAGACGACGCGGGGCGACGACGGCGCGGGTTCGTCGTGATATCACGAGATAATTTCGACTCTCTCTTCGATTCGTATTTTTTTTAGATTTTTCCGACTCATCTAATTCTCGCACATCCTCGGTGTACTCGCGGGACGACGACGGCGACGATGGCGGATTCGGCCGAACGCACGAGTACTGGACGCCTACTTTCTGATTGCTCTAAGTTCGTCATGCATTTCACCCAGTCGTTCGGCCTCAGCCGTCAGCTGCTTCACGTCGCCGATCGACAGCGCATCCGCTTCAATTTTAGGAAGCATGACGACGCGTCGCGCCTTGTGAAGCGCCTCGATGGCGTGCTTGAACTCGCCTTCGGGCTTCGGAGGAATCCAGGCGCCACCGGTACGGGTACGTACGGCGAGCGACGCAACATCCTCGGCGAGCGACGCGACGGCACGCCGGACGTCGGATACAAGCGTCTGGTCGGGTGTGTTCAACGCTGTAGGCATCGGCGGGCATCGCGTACGGCATCGCCGCGGGCGGCTGGTTGTACATCCACCATTGCGGCGGCGGCGGGCGTTCCGACGAACTGCGCGGCGTTCGGAGTCCTCGGTGGTTCCGGTGGTTGTGGTGGTTCCGGCGCTTGCTGCGTCAGTGGCCTCGGCACTCGAATGCGCGACTCGCGCCGTTCGTTCGTTCATCGCGGTTGCGTCCGTGAGGTGTTCGTCAACGCTCTTCGCACCTGAAACAGCTGCCTCTTTTCCATCTTTAGCCGAAGGCTTCTTCATTCGCAAAACCGTGACGTCGTAGAGCACAAAGTCTGTTTCAGTCTCGGGCGCGAGGATCAGTCGTCGACAGTCCTTTCGACAACCGATGATACCGCGTGCGAGCGCTTCGGGTAAGCCCGAATCGTCGTCGCCGATTCGTTTCACTTTCAAACCCGCGACGCGCTTCGACGTTTCGTCGAACAACTGCAACGCCAAAAAGTCATACGGCTCGCTCGCCGGCGGTAAACCACCTCGGACGGCTTCATAGTTCAGCTGCACGCTATCACCCTTTTCCAAAGTCGCACCACCGCTTGAAGAAGATTTCTCTGTGCTAATATCTAAGACGATTGCCTCGAGGCTCTCGCGACGCGCGACAAACTGCGCGATGGTGATTTGCGCCGCCACCGCCAGCCAATCGCTCTCGTCACGCGTTAAAGCGCTGAATAAAATCGCGTCGTCGTGATGAATCGTCACGTAATTATCTCTCTGCAGCTCGCACGTCAGACGCGCGTCGATGACTCGTCGTACGAGCGGTCGTTTTTCGACGTCGTAAACGAGCAAACTTCGCTTGCTCGCCGACGCGCAGTCTAAAATAGCCAATCCGGCCGCGCCCACGGCGACGTACTCGCCATCTTTGAATCGGTAGACCTGCGACAACGACGTTCCGAATCGCAAGCGCTCGGCTTCGGTTCCGCTCGCCGACGCCGAGACGGACGAACACTCTCGCGCCGAGTCTGAACGGGCGTCGTCATCCAAGACGACCGCGGAGGACGATGAAGCCTCGCGAACGTCGTCATCCGTATCAATCGCGTCGTGCATGACGTTCGCTTCACCCTCTGCGACAGCATCATCGACGACTCCGCCGATTTCGTCATCATCGAGAACACCATCATCGTGTGCAGCTTCGCCGGCCGTCGTCTCCTCGTGCGCAGCGTCGCTAGCCGTCGTCACCTCGATCGGGACGGCATCGACGTCGACATCCTCGTCGCCGAATAATCGCGATCGACGCTTCGAACGCTCTCGCCCACCAGGGTCGTTCGCGGGCATCTTCGTCCTCGGACGCGCCTCGGACGCGCCCGTCTGTGACGTGAGCGGCCGCAAAACTTGACGCGGGTTCGCCCGTCGACGGCGGCGGGCGACGGTGATCGCGTACACCGGCACCACGGCACCGCGGCACACTCGGCGCCAACGTCGCCGCGCGCGACGCGTTCGCGTCGGCTCGTCAATTACGGCAGTCGAACGATTGGAGTAGTGTCGTCGATTCAAAAGCTTCGTCCAGCGGCATGGCTGGCGATGACGTGGTGGGGACGAGTGACAACGTCGACGTCGAAGCGTTCCAGTCGCGCGATCGCGTGAATTGGGCCGACGACGGTGACGCGGCGAGCTCGTCGGACTCGGACTGGCTCGAACACGACAAAGCCGACGAAAGCTCCCTTGGAATCGATGTGATTCGTCGATTGATGACGGCGAACGAACATGACGAAAACGTGGAATGGGCGCGCGTGAATCAGTCGGCTTCACGGCTCGGCACAATGCGACAACAAGAGATCCTTGCATTGGAACGTGCGACCGCGAAGAAACTGCGTAAACACAGGCGGAGGACGAAAGTCACAAGCAAAAGCAAAGCACGAATCTTATCCTCCGAAACGTCAAGAATGGAGCTTCCTGAATCCACGGTTTTGACGTTGACGTCGGCCAAAGAGTCAGCGAAGAGGATCGTATCAATCAGGGACGATATCGAGGTGGTGATTCACGACGTCCAGACCAGCGGCGGCGTGTACAAATCATCGCATAAAAAAACGTTCGTGCAAATAGCGTGGAAGGAAAAACGAAATGCAACTCGCAAGGTCAAGACACGGAGAATAGAGGGTACAGAGAATCCATCTTGGGACGCGCAAGGGAAGTTCATCTTTCAGAATTGTCGGGCGAATGCGGCTGGCAGCAAATTCGTCATCAAACTAAAGGAAGTGCGCTGGTTTAAAAGAGAAACAGTCGTTGGTTACGCAAAGATTCCGAGTACTTTGGTTCCATTGGATGGGACGAAGTTGAAGCTTCGCATCGCGCTCGTGACGAAAAGGCACAGAGCCAAGGCTGTGCTGAGCATGACAATCGGAAAAGCGACGTTTGAGGAGCCAGCGCTGGGGGAGGGTGGACACTTTCCCGTCGTCACCGGCGCCGAACAAGAACTCGTCTCATTCGAAGGAAACTTTCCCTCCAGGCGCGAAAAATTAGACTTGATGGTTGTTAACGTGATGAGCGCTCGCGGCGTATTCGACGCCGATGGGTTCGGTACGAGCGACGTGTTCATCAGACTCGGTTTCGACACTACGCCCATCGAAGAACGCTACCAAACTACGATTAAGTACCGCACTCGCAATCCTGAGTGGAACGAGCGTTTCTTGTTGCGTGTACCAAGCGTCGATGCAGCTAGGGGCGAACCCAAAGCAATCGTGTTCACGGTGTGGGACAAGGACAGATTCTCGCCGAGCGACTTCCTTGGGGCCGCCGCTATTCCACTCGACCGTGTTTCGACTACTGGCAGCGTCGCGGATTTGGACATGGATTTGAAGGCTAGAATTGCGCCGGACCTCGCGGGTGAGGTGTGCTTCATCCATCCACGCGCACCCGCAGATTTGGGTAAACTTCGAGTCAAGGTTTCGGCGCTCATCAGTGACGCCGCCGAAACAATCGCAAAGACAGTCAATTTAGGAAGGATAGATCCCACTGAAGGCACAAGTCTGGCTACGAGCGTACACGTCGCCGTCATCGCGGCGAGAAAGTTGTTACATGTTGACACCAAAGGGTCCTGCGATGCTTTCGCGTACGTGCGAATGGACAATGCGCCCAAGAATGAATTCTGCAGGACAGATACAATCGCAAACACGCTCCATCCCGTGTGGAACAACGGCATGGGAAAGACCTGTTCTCTCATCGCTCGTCCGGGCTCTGGAGATGTCTTGTTTCAATTGTACGATCGCAACCTGCTTAGCAAAACGCTCATGGGAACTGCGTCGGTGTCGTTGGCGTCTCTGCCTCCAGATGGTTCATGGACACAAATCGCAACTCCAGTTTATGGCCAGGACAAGAATCGAAACACTCTCGTCGGCGGTTCGGACAGTTCCATGGCATGGAACGCTCCAGAGAGAGTGAAGGGTGAAACTCATCGTTCGCCTTAGCGCAACAAGAGAACCTTTCGCGAATGCTCCCAAACCGCCGCCCATATCCGAAATTGATAGATACGTCGTACATCACGAAACCAACAAATACTTGTACGTTCAGGGCATGACATACGAAGGGTTACCGATTCGTCACGGCGCCAAGAGCACAAATATGCAGATCCGCATGTCGCTCAACACGCATAAGGATATAGTCTACGGAAGCGTGCAAAGGGGTGTGATGTCTAACTTTCACTTTGATCCCGAAGTCGCGGTGTTGCCGAAGACGACTCTAAGTCGGACATTGACGATTCAGGTTGTCTCAGAACTGAAGAGTGTGTACGGCTCGCACACGTTTAGAAAGGCCTCGCGGAAAGTATTGAACTTGATGGGACTTGAGAAAAAGAAAGAGGATGATTTGTTCACATTAAACGAGACGAATGGAGACGTAAACGTCAATCAAAGCGATGACGATGAAGACGCAGACATTCAGTACGCGCAGAGTGATGAGATTTTTGTGAAAGGGAGTGCCATCGGTTACGTGCAGATTCCCGTCGAAGACTTGCTCGTCGGAGACTTGGTGCGAAAAAAGTTGAAACTCAAGCCGATGATGATGACAAAGTCCTGGCTCAAGATGAAGGAAGACCAATTGGGCGAAATAGAAGTCATGATTGGCTGCGGTTACTCGAAATTGGCACCGAAGGACTTGGAATTGATCAGCCAAGTCGCAAGACCGACGATCGGGAAGTTCTCATTCAACATCGCCTCCGTCGTTGGCGATCGAACGCCGTATCAACATGTCGCACCGATCATCGACAGCGTGCTCTCCATGACTGATGAAAACGAGAAGTTTGGACGACATGTATACGCGACGGTGATGTGGGATGGTCGCGAAGAGAACATTAAATCTTCGCAAGAACGTTTCAACTTTTCCATAACGGAAATTTCTGGCGAAATCAGGGTACTTTTCAAGTGCCCGGATGCGATCAGTGGTGGCGAGCAGATTCTAGGCGCGATTTCGATTCCAATCTCCAGCGTTCTCAAAGCGCAGGGTAGCTCCATCGATGCTTGGTTTAACATCACGCCTCCAAATCCAGCATTTCTGACGGAAAATGAAATGGCTGACCCGAGTCACGCCATGTGCGTGTACGCGCGTTCGAGTAATAATCCAAACGACTGGCAAGGTTTCGCTCGCATCAGGCTTTCTTTCGTACCAAAGGGTGGTAGCGCGCCGTGGGAGTGGTATCTCAAACAATCACCGATGGGGGTGAAGACGGCGCACATACCGGATACCATCGATGGTGTGCTCTTGAGTCTGCGGCATTTCGTCGAGTCTGTGCTCCTTCCCGCCAAGACGTTTGCAAGGGCGGCGATTTTCTACTCAAAGCCAGAGAGTCGATTGCTCAAGCTTTTATGGTTTGCGTATCATACCACGTGTTGCGCAGTGTTTCAATGTAAAATGGTGAGTACATTCATACTTTTATGGATAGTTCCTGGCTTGTTTTACACTGGTTTCTGCTCAAGCATCGTCGTCAGCGAGATTTGGTCAAACGTGTCTGCGTTTAAAGATGATGACGATGAGCTTGAAGCGTTGCGCGTTGAAGTCAATAAGATGGCTAAGATGCGAAACAAAAAGATTCGCGAATTTAGAGATAAAACTTTGGAAAAGTGGAGATTGAAGAAGTTGCTTAGCCAAGGTCGCGACGTGACCATCTCGAGCGACGCCGTGAACGAAGGTGTAAGACGTCGCAAAGCAAAGCGCGCTCGCTTGGGTGTCGACGACGAACTTCCAGCGGTGGCGACCGTGTTTTTGCCGCGAAATATGATGAACTACGTCATTGCTGTGGTCACGTCGTCGAATCCCGCAGAAATCGTGTTGAGGGCTATCAAAAAAATTGTTTGGAAATTACTCAATGTGATAAAAGGCGCAAGCGTCAAGTTGGTGCGAATTGACAAGGTACTCGCGTCTGGTGGCCCTCGAGTCATGCCAGGTCTGTGTCGGCGCGTGGGTGTAGAGTTGGAAACACTCGCAGATAAGTTTGGCCGACCCACACAGTTGGTTTCGTGGGGAAATACCACTTTGACCATGTATTTCTCGCTACTCACGTGCGCGCTGACGTTAGCGTTCTGTTGCGCTCTCTTTGCGTTGCAGCAATTCTTTGCATTTATCGACCATTACTCTCCTCTGCGCATCTGGCACGTCATCTGGTTCATCGGAATCGCGCCTACTTTACCGTTTTTGAGTGAACAAATGTTGCAAGCAGCGGTAGCGCTCGACACGGGCATGCAGCTCTTCGTCGGTCTGTACGTGCCTGTGCGGCCAATTTCTCTCGTCACCATAAAAGCGATCAAACAGTCGCTCGACATCCAACTCACAGATAACTGTAAAGTTTTGTACGAAACGGTGAAAAAGGAAGTGAATGCGGAAATCACGAACCGAGAGCTTTTGAGACGAAAGCAAGAGGCGGAAAAACTGGGCGCTTCGCAGAGAAATTTCTGCAAGAACAGATCGAATCCGATCGCCTGGCTAGCTTCGGCAATTCAACGCGCGCCGACGGAACGGGACATGATGCACGAAGCACGTATGCGCGCGCTCATGGTTCCTGGGCACGCACACCCACCCGATGTATCGATTTTCCGAGAAAATGTCGACGTGAGACGCGCCTCCGCCTACGCGCTCGGAAAGCTGCTCGCGTTCGCCATCGCCATTCCCATCAGAGCGCTCAACGCGCCCATGGGCGTGATGAAAATGTCTAGCGAGAAACGGTTGGATGCATATGATGCGTGCACGCAACTGTGCGCTCTCAATTGGCTGCGTTACGAGTCCCGAGGCAATCTCCCCTTCGGACACCGCAAAACCGTCGTCACACCGATGGCCGCCGACGGCATTGAACGCTCGCCCGCGGGCGCTCGCATCGTCGACGTCGTCGACGAAGACATGACGAAATCAAGCATCGAATCGACATAATATACTTCTACGATTACAATTCTTGATACATTTCTAGTAATGCGGCAAATAGTACAAACTTGTAACACCACGCACGCACGCACGCACACGCGCGCCGCGAACCACTCATTGCACCTCGTGGTTCCAAGAATACGAGTCGTCTTCGGACGGTGGAAACGGTTCCTCCCACGCGCGCACTGTCGGCTTCATGACGCTCCGTCTTCGTCGTCCCTGCGTGCGCAAGCCCGCAATTTGAGCTTCGATTTGCGCCCGCATCTCCGGCGTTCCCACCGCGTTGTTTTCCTCATAATCGTTCGCGCGCGACGCCCGTGCCTGTTCCCGCTCTCTTCGCAACGCTCGCAACTGTTCGCGCCACTTTGATTTCCACGCCTCAGTCTTGACGTCGTTCAAATTCCCGATAGTGCTCGACGTCAGCATTTCGTACGCCTTTTTCGCCCGCAAAAACGTCATGATTCGTTCATCCTTCTCCTCCTCGCTCGCGTCCACGCACGCGTTGACGACGTCTGGGTGATTCAACTTGGCGCAGCGCTTGTACGCCCGCTTACACGCGTCGCGCGACGCTCCGCGCGCGACGCCCAGTGCGTCGTACGGGGACGACGACGAAATCGACGCGAAGAACGCGTCGGCATCGAACGACGCCCGCGCGTGCGCGGAAACTTGGCGTCGACGACGACGCAGACACGCTCGACGACGCGCGCCCGTCGTCGTCGTCGTCGCCGTCGTCGTCGTCGTCGAGCGCGCGTTGGACATCGCGATCGCGCGAACGACGCGCGCGTCCGTTTCCACGCCGCTCGGGACGCGCGCGTCGGCGCGCACCGACGCGCGATGTGCGGACGCTCGCGCGAGCGTGACGAGCGGACGCTCGCCGCGCCATTCGCCGTCGCATGCGCGTGCGAGCGACTGACGTTGCGCGCACGCGACGGATCGCCGCGCTGAATTTATCGGCGACATTGCGAGCGCGAGCACCGACGCGCGCGCGCATGGGCGCCCACGCGTCGTCGGCATCGGCGTCGGCATCATCGGCGCTCGTCAGCGCGGACTGGCTGGACGCGCACCGCGATGACGTGCAGATCGTCGATGCGTCGTGGCACATGCCGGATTTGAAGCGAAACGGTGCGCGTGAACACGCGCGCACGCGGTTGACGCCGCAGACGGTGTTCTTCGACGTGGACAAGGTGAGCGACGGGCGAAACCCAGCGCCGCACATGCTGCCGAGCGCGAAGGCGTTCGAGGCGGCGTGCGAGACGTTGAAGCTGACGAAAACGAAGCCGATCGTGGTGTACGACACGAATGGAATGTTCTCAGCCGCGCGTGCGTGGTGGATGTTTCGCGCGCACGGATGGGAAAACGTGAAAGTTTTGGACGGAGGGAAACCTGCGTGGGACGCGCGCGCGTACGCGAGCGACGACGCCGAGCGCGCGGAGGAAGACATCGCGGCGCACGTCGATGCGTGCGCGCGCGCGATGCGCGCGCTCGGTGACGATGTGCCGGGTGATTTCAAAGGTACGCGCGCGGAGTTGGTGAAAACGAAAAGAGAAGTCGTCGAAAACATCCAAACTAAATCGTTTCAAGTCGTCGACGCGAGAGGCGCGGCGCGCTTTCGCGGCGAGACGAAGGAGCCGCGCGAGGGCGTGCGTTCGGGGCACATTCCTGGAAGTAAAAATGTGTTCTTCGGCGAACTTTTGAACGAAGACAAAACGTTCAAGCCCGTTGAAGCGCTTCGCCAGGTGTTCGAGACGAGCGGGTTAGATTTGAGCGCCTCGGCGAAACCCATCGTGGCTTCGTGCGGCACCGGCGTCACGGCGGCCATCGTAGCTCTCGGATTACATGAATGCGGCGTCGAGGCCGCGGTGTACGATGGATCTTGGACTGAGTACGGTGCGGACGCGCAGTGTCCACTCGCCACGGGACCGGCGGCGTGAGAACGCGCTCGTTCTCACGTTCTGTGACTCGTTTGCACGTTCGACTCGCTCGGCTTCCAGTCCGCCTTGCGCGGCGGAAAGTTCTTTACGCTGGGTTTATACCTCGACTCCTTCCCACTCGATCGCGCCGCCGGGTGTATGCACCCTACAGTGGTGTGATCGATGTCCCCCTCGCGATCGGTCGACACCGACTGAGCGAAGAAATCGTACCACGCGTGTTCTTGGCCCTGCTTTTTCGCCTCGTCGGGTCCAAACTCGCACTCGTACAAGGAACCGCGTCGTTCGGGTTCGCTCTCGCGCGCGCCGCCGGCGTGAATGCTGTATCCCATCGTTCGATCGATGTATTCGAATCTCTCGCGCCGTGTTGTGTTGTAACGCCTCCAGAAACGCCCGCCTCGATTTCCGCGCCGGCGTTAGTCTCGCCGCCGACGCGACATGTGGATCAGATTTCGAGACGCCGCCGCCACCCACGCGGCACTTTACGACACGACATGGCGACCGAACGCACGTACATCATGATCAAGTGCGTGTGCGAAACGCGACGCGCGCGAGGCGCGATCGTGAACGATCGACGCGCGCGAGACGTCGTGCTTCTCGCGCGGCGACGCGACGCGACGCGACGCGACGCGACGGCGCGATCGAACGACGACGGATGATTGGACGGATGGTTGGATCCATCGGACCGCGCGAAACCCATTCGGCATCGAATCGATGACGAAAGTGCTTCACACGACTGAACCGCGCGCGCGCACGCGGTACAAAGACTGACGGATCACGCGCGTGCGCTCGCGGTGCAGGCCGGATGGCGTCCAACGCGGGTTGGTCGCGGAAATCATCGCGCGCTTCGCTCGCAAAGGGTTCACCTTGCGGGCGTTGAAGATGCAAAACGTGAGCAAGGAACACGCGGAGAAGCACTACGCGGATTTGAGCTCTAAACCGTTCTTCGGTGGGTTGGTTTCTTACATGTGCTCCGGTCCGGTCGTCGCCATGGTGTGGGAAGGCAAGGACGTCGTGAAGACGGGCCGAAAGATTATCGGCGCCACCAACCCGGCGGCGAGCGAACCGGGTACGATTCGCGGCGATTTCTGCATCGAAGTCGGTCGTAACGTCATCCACGGCTCCGATGCCGTTGAAAGCGCGAACCACGAAATCGCTCTTTGGTTCCCGGAGGGCGTGTGCGAGTACGAATCTTGCGCCAAGGCGTGGATCTACGAATAAATGTAGACGCTCGACTCGCGCGTCGTCGAGGCGAACGTCGGGTCCGACCGCCGCGTGAAGACGACGCCATGCGATTAATACTAAATCATCCAAATAACAAATCGTGGTCGTACCGTCGTCCTCGTCCTCGTCACAACTTTGTTTGTGTCTCGCTCGTCACGCTCGTCTCTGCGCGCTCCGCGCGCGTCCGCACTTCGCGCCGCCGCGGGCGCGTCGTCCGTCGATGGACGCCCCTAAACCGATCGCCGCGACGACGCACACCGTCGACGATGAGACCGTCACGCTCGCGCAGCGTCGCCAGGCGCAGAGTTCGTTCCTCGCGCGCGTCGCCGGCGGTGTGTTAGTCCTCACCGTGTTGGTTGGGTGGCGGTTGATGATTGGCCTCAACACGCTCGCCATCGATCCTCGGACGATGAAGATGCGGCAGGACTTTGCGGGGTTGGTGAACGCGCGAGACCTCGCGCGCGAGCGCGCGTCATCGTCGTCTACGCAGGCGATGCGCGCGACGAAACGTCTCGCCGAGAACGCGAGCGCGAGCGCGGCGACCGCGCCGACGAAGAACGCACCGACGAAGAACGCCGCCGAGCCCGGCGACTTCTCGTCGTCGTTGCGTCGACTGCAAGGCATGGAGGAGGACTTGGACTTCATCGGGCGCGCCGGCGTGCCAGACGCAGGACGAAAAAATCCGTGTTGGACGACTGGCGACTCGACGCCGCCGATGTGTTTGCCGTACTTTTACATCCTCGGCGCGTGGCAGAGCGGGACTGAGGAATTAGGCTCAAGACTTCTCGCGGGCGCGCCCACGGTCGGCGTCGTGCGCGCGCCGCATTTTTGGAACGAACACACGAAGACGCTCGAAAATTACGCAAATACTTTCGCGAGCGTCGCGACGATGGAGAGAAACGTCGTCGCGGGCGACGCCTCGCCCGGATACCTCGCGACGTCGTGGAGCGAATCCATACGGTTTCATCGAGCGTACTTGGATCACATGCGAGATTGTTGGGCGGAGTGTCAAACTAAGAGCTCAAAGTTTGAAGACGACGAGAGCGCGAAGGACACGGCGGATGAAGACGCGGCGCGACGAGGGACGTCGCGCGCGTCGCCGCGTAGAAGATGCATCGACGGCGTGGAAGGGGATCCCAAAGCGCCGGGATGCGTAGGAGAGGCGAACGCAAAGGATCCTTACGACGAGAGCGGCGGGCACGGGCTATCGCTTCCGCATCTGATGTCAACGGTGTACGGTTCGTCACCGCCGCGTTTCGTCGTTATCGTACGCGAACCGGGCGCGCGCCTGCATTCGGCGTTTTGGCATTACGAACATTACAAGAAACAATATGGTGCCAACGAAGACGGTTTCGCGGCGTACGCGGAACAGATGATGACGATGTTTCAAAAGTGTCTCGACCGAGGCAATCCGTTGAGAGGATGCGCGAATCGTTTTGAGACGTATTCACCCGAGTTCGAAGCCGTGTTTTACCACGCCGACGCGCTGATCAAATCCATGTACGACGTCTTCCTCGAAACGTGGCTCGATGTTTTCCCGCGCGAGTCCTTCCTCGTCGTCAAGGGCGAAGATTTATGGAGCGACGACGTCAACACGTCAACAGCGGCGATGCGTCGCGTGCTGAAGCACTTGGACCTCGACGCGAGCGACGAAACCGCGCGACGTCTCGCGACGATGAACGCGACGTCGAACGACTGGCGATTCGCGCGAGACGATCCCGAACGCGTCATGCGCGACGACATTCGCACGAAACTGGACGCGTTTTTCGCCCCACGGCTCCAGCGATTGGCGACTCTCGTCGGCGAAGACCTCTATTGAGAACATTGATTTGTATTGTACAACACCCGCGCGCGCTTCGCTCGCCTCGCCTCGCCTCACCGCGTCGGCGTCACCACACCGATCGCTCGCTCCACCCGTCGTCCTCTCGCCGTCGTCGTTCGCTCGCTCCAAAACGCGCCGTCGCGCTCCGGCGCCCCCACGTTCGCCGCGCTCGTCTCGCCGTCGCTCATCGCCCACGCGCTCGCGCTCGCCCCGATCACCAGCGCGCACACCGCCAAAACGCTCGCGCACCGCGCGAACCTTTCCATCGCGCGTCTTCCCGCGCGTTCGCGCGTCTTCTCGATCCCCATCGCGTCGTCGTCGTCGCCGACGTCCCACGCCGCGTCGCACGTCCATCGCGTCGTCGTCGTCGTCGTCGTCGTCGTCGTCGTCGCGCGCTCGCGGTCGCGCGTCGTCGCGGGCTTCGATCGCGTCAGCATCGTCGCGCGCCGCGCGATGCCGCGTCTCGGACGACGACCGACGACGCGTCGTTCGCCCGCTCGACGCGCGCGCGACGACCCGACGACGGACGACGGCGAAAAAGACGAACGGCGGCACGGCGGAACGGCGGAACGGACGGATGGAAACACGGACCCCTGGGGTTTAGTGAGGGTGGTGATTCGACGACGTCGCCCCCGCCGGCGCGTCACTCCGCGCGTGCGATCGACGACGACGATGCGGCGATGGCGCGAGGCGACGACGACGCTCGAACGCGTCGCGTCCGCGTCGGCGCGATGCGCGGCGACGGCGTCGACCTCGCGGGCGACGATCGCGGCGACGACGCGGGCGGCGAGCGCGGCGACGACGCGGGCGACGGCGACGCGGGCGGCGAGGAGCGTCGAGACGACGACGGTGGCGACGCGAGCGATTGCGGGACGCGCGACGAGGGACGCTGCGCGCGGCGGCGGCGACGCGCGGACGACGAGGTCGAAGGCGCTGGGCGGCGGCGGCGGCGGCGGCGCTGGGCGGCGCGGCGTTATTCCACGGGCTGGGCGCGGTGTTTAGAACGAATGCGCGCGAACGACGGCGTCGTCGCGGACGCGGACGCGGCGAACGAACTCGCCGTCGTGGACGCGGCGAGCGAACGCAAGTCGTGGGCGCACGCGGCGAAGACGTGGGCGCGCGCGGCGCAGTTGTGCGTCGTCTTCTCGCCGCTCGCGCTCTTGGCGCCGATTTTACTTCGCGACGGATGGACGTGGGGGAATGAGCTCTGGTACGGGCTCTTGCGTCGAATTCTCGAAGCGTCGGGACCGGCTTTCATCAAGTGGGGTCAGTGGGCGAGCACGAGATACGACGTCTTCCCGGCGGCTTTGTGCCGCGAGCTCGAGCGCTTGCAGGCGGGCGCGCCCGAGCATAGCTGGAAAGAGACGAAGGCAATTTTAGAACGCTCGTACGGCGTCGGAGCCGACGGTAAGCTGAACAAGTTTGAGGAGATCTTCGAGTGGTTCGATGAGAAAGTGCTCGCGAGCGGGTCGGTGGCGCAAATTCACCGCGCTCGGCTCAAGCCGGGCGTCGCAGAGGAGCATCTCACCGCCACCGAATTCGCGTTGCGACTGACGCGTTCGGTCGGAGCCGGGATTGAACTCGTGATGAGTGGACAGATTTCTCGAGCAGCGATGGGTATGCTCGAGGAATGGCGAGACGGCGCCGCGGGCATGGGTCGAGAAGTCGAGCGGCTCGTCAACGGGCGCATTCGTCGCGGCGGGCAAAAACGCGAAGTCGCCGTCAAGGTTCGACACCCGGGCGTGGTTGACGCGCTGACGCGTGATTTCGAAATACTGGTGTGGATGGCCGGTCTTTCAAAAAGCATCAAATGGCTCGAGCCTTTGCAACTCGAAAATACGATTCAACAGTTCGGCGTGCACATGCTTCAGCAAGTCGATTTCAGGCACGAGGCGGACAACTTGGACAAGTTTCGAAAGAGCTTTTTACTCATGCCGGCGATTAGTTTCCCTACGCCGATCCCAGGGTTAGCGACGGAGGAGATTTTGGTGGAGACGTACGAGGAGGGCGTGAGCATTGCCTCTTATTTGCTCTCCCCCGAAGCAGACAAGGAGATGCTCGGAAGCGAGCAAAACAAAACGCTCGCAGGTTTGGGAGTGAAAACGTTGTTCAAGATGCTCATCGATGACAACTTTTTGCACGCAGACTTACACCCGGGTAATATTCTCGTTCGGTTACCTAACGGCGTCGCGCACACGCTTTCGAGCATCGTGCGCGGAAACGCGTCGACGTCCTTGAAGGATCTCGCCGACGTCGACGGCGAGTCGACGTCGACGCTCTCCGACGCGTCGCCAGAAATCATCATTTTAGACACTGGTTTGGCGACGCGGCTGACGCCGTTTCATCAAGCATCGCTCGCGAAGATGTTTCACGCCATCGTTACGTGGGATGGGTCCACGGTCGCCGACTCCATCTTGTCTTTTGCCGACAACGTCAAGGCGAATGTCGATTACACGGATTTCCGAGCCGACATCGCGAAAGCGGTGGACCAATTTTCGTCTACCACGCCGCGTGCTGGCGAGTGTATGGGGGCGATATTTGAAACCGTGCAAAAGTACCATTTGTGTTTAGATCCCAACGTGATGATCGCGGTCGTGACCGTGATGGTGCTGGAGGGCTGGCAGTGGCGGTTGGACCCGACGGTGAACATTCTCGACTACCTCGACGACGTGCTGAAGGCGAGCGCGCGCAAGTACGCGAGACTGGCAATCGCGGATTATGCGCTCAGAGATATGTGGTCACCTTTTAGCGAACCGAACGCGTTCTCCGCGACGGCAGCGGACCCGATGGCGGCTTTAAAAGCTCAAGGCGACGACTACGTCGGCGCCGCGGTGTACGGAATGTAGTTTTGTAGCATCAATTTCTATTCTTCGAATCTAGGACTATAGTCACCGGCCCATCGTTAACGATGTGCACGTCCATCATCGCCCCGAACTCGCCGTCTTCAATCTTGCCAACCTTGTCTTTGTACTCTGAACGCGCTCGAGTCAAAAATCTTTCATACAGCTCCCGCGCCGCCGTTGGCGCCATAGCGCGGTGATAACTAGGCTTGTTCCCTTTCAACTCCGCGTGTAAGGTGAACTGCGATATGAACAAAACATCTCCCTCGATCGCCACGATAGAGCGCGCCCAGGACTTGTCGCCGTCGACATCATCAAAAAGTTTTGTGTTGAAGACTTTTCGCACGATGAACTCCACGTCGTCATCGTCGTCATCGGCCGCGATTCCCACCAGCACGACGGCCCCGCGCGCTATGTCTCGTGTAACTCCGCTCGCGCGCACTCTCACCGATCCGCTCGCGCAGCGTTGGATCACCGCACGCATACTCGTCGCGAAGTAGTGCACTGTGAAGTGTTCTTATGCGCGCTGGAGCGTGCGAAACGTGCGACGATACGGCGAGCGTGCGGAACGCGACGATACGGCGAGCGTGTGGCGTGATCACCATCACCGCGCGCCGTCGCCGAGTGCGCGGCGATGCGCGTCGTCCCGGAGACGCCCGACGCGGACACTTGAGACTAGGCGCACACACGGATCATTTCGCAATCTTGGTCCGTGTGTCGTAGGACTCGCCGCGCGTCTCGACCCTCTCCAGACGCGACCGCACCGTCTTTTCCCGACGCAAAGGTACGCGAGCGACGACGACGACGACGCGCGCGCGCGACGACGACGTCCAAGACTTTGCTGGCGATCGGTATAGACGTCGTCAGAGCGCTCGACGGGCGCGCATCGCGCGCTCGAGGGCGCGCGATCGCGCGAGATCGCGCACAAACCCTCCAGCGCGACCGCGCGCGCGCGTCGATGGAGTCTCGCGAACGCGACACTGACCTCGAGCGGGTTCGTTTGACGCGCGCAGGGTTAGAACACCTTAATTAGACATGGCGAAGCGCACTAAGAAAGTTGGTGCGTCCTCGCGCGAGACGTGACGCGGCGAACGCGGATGCCGCGTGTTTAGGGCTTGCGACGATGACGCTCGCGCGAGCGTCGCCCGCGCGCGACTCGATCGCGATCGTCGTTCGCGGTGCGCGTGTGACGCAAATCACTGACAGAAATGTTTTCTTTCGTCAATCGCAGGCATCGTGGGCAAGTACGGCACGCGTTACGGCGCCTCCCTCCGTAAGGTCGTGAAGAAGCAAGAGGTTTCTCAACACTCGAAGTTCTTCTGCGACTTCTGCGGTAAGTACGGCATGAAGCGTAAGGCTGTCGGCATCTGGAGCTGCAAGGGGTGCAACAAGACCAAGGCGGGTGGTGCTTACAGCCTCAACACCGGCGGTTCGGTGACTGTGCGCTCCACCATTCGTCGTTTGAGAGAGGCGACTGAAAAGTAATGGGCGTTTGGGGCGTCGCGCGCGGCGACGCGGGGGCGTGTGAACACGCGCCTCGCGCGTCTCGCGCGCACGTTTCGCGCTCTCGAAACGCGCGCGTTTGACTACGCGGGTTTCTCATAGCTAGTTCGGTTTGTAATGCGAGCGGCGGTTCGTTTTCAACGCGGCGTTCCTCGCGCGCGGCGCGTCCTCCCCGCGCCTACCGCGGGCTGGGATTGAACGGACGTTGACCCGGTCGAATAGGGGTTCCTAAGCTTCACTATTACTAAGCGCTATGCATTCTAGTAGGTTCTGCGCATCTCACCGTCGCTCGCGCGGTGTGGACACGTGCGCGAGCGAGATTTTCGCAAACGCCGCGCTCGTAGCGACGTCTTCCATCTCGACCCGGCGCGCCTCGGCGAGCTTATACGCGCCCTGCAGGATTCTTTTGATACCCAGACGCCACGTGATGGCGAGCTTCAAGTTTTCGCTTCCGTCTTTCCACCCAAGGAGTGTTTCCTCGTCACTTTTTGCCGTCGTCGGAAAGCTCAACAGCCGCGCGGCGGCGGCGTCTCGAATCGCGGCGAACGCTTCGCGCTCGGCATCGCGACCGAGCGCACCACCTCTGCGCGCGACGTCTCGCATTTCTTTTTCGTTCATTCTCACGGACGAACGCTTTTTCGCGAACGCGATGCGCGCGTCGGCTAAATCGTCCCAATCGAAGCCGCCGACGAAGACTTTCAGGGACGTCGTGGTCTCGGCGCCGTCCACGGGGACGTCCAGGGCGTAGTAATCTTGAGGGTTCTCGTTCGGTCCGAGCGTGAATCCGTAAAACTCGAGAAGTTCCAGGTTGGTGTACTCGCCGTAGCACACGAAAATTTCCTCATCCGCGGCTATCGACCGACGGCCGTCGGGCTGGCGCGCGGCGCGAAACGCAAACGTTTTCGATTCTTCGTCCCACGCCCCGTCTCCCGGTATCGGGTCCGTCGCGACCTCTCTTGACGACGCCGACGTCGTGTTTCCTTCGTTCACGCCGAACGCCGGCGCGCCGAGGACGTCGATCAAGATGGGCGGATCGTGCGGCGCGTAGTTGAACATGTCGCCCATCGGACACAACGCGCCCGCCTCGTGAAACGGCACGGAGACCGCGCGCGAACTCACGGTCGCGCGCGCCCACTCGTATAACGCGAACGCCTCTCGCTCGTCTTCGCCGACGATGTCCACGACCTCTTTCTTCACGTCCTCGAACGCCTTCCGCAACGCCTCGCTCGCGCGCTTCGCCGTCGTCTCGGCGCGCGCGTCCTGCAGCGCCGCTCGCTCCTCCTCCGACCACGTTTGCAGCAGATTATACCGCGCGGGCATCGACGCGACGTACGGCGCGAACGCATCGCTCGCTCCCGCGCATCGGTGTCGCAGCAATTTCAACGCCAGCTCGTCCGTCGGCTTCATCTTTACCCTCGCGTCCTCGCTCGCGTCTCGCGCGTCGCACGCGATCATCGCGTCGCGCGGCGCGACGATCAAGTTTTTCGTCTCCCGCGTCGCGCCGTCGATCGTTTCGCGCGCGAACACGCCTCTCCGCGTCGTCGTCCCCGTCGTCGCGCGCGCCGTCGTCTCGCGCACGCGCAGCGCGTCGTCGTTCCACGACACCCCTCGCGCGCGCGCCCATCGCGCGAGCGCCGCCGTCGCGTCGTCCGTCGTCGTCGTCGTCGTCGGTCGCGCCGTCGCGTCGGTCGCGTCGCCGAGTCGGCCGGTCGCTCGGTCGTCGGCGTCGACGTCTGGTTCGCCGACGGCGCGCGCGATTCGAACTTTTTCGCGACGCGCCAATCCATCCGACGCGGCGCCGTCCAGGGTGCGATTGGATTTGAAATCGTCGCTCGCGACGCGACGCACGTCGACGCGAGTCCGCGGTGACGCGCGCGCGCGCGGTGATCGCGCGCGCGCGATTCGGTGCGCGCGCGCGTCCCGGACCGCCATGGCGCGCGCGTCCGTCGCGCCGGCGCGAGGCGACGTCGCCGCGCGTCGCCGAAGCGCGCGACGCGCGGCTCGAGGACGCGTCGGTGCGTCGCGTCGCGTCGCGCGCGACGCGACGCGCGATGCGACGTACGCGAGCGGGCTGGCGACGCTGGAATCGTGCGTCGAGGCGGAGCAGTTCGATCGAGCGATGATGGAGGAGCTCTTCGACGTGGCGGACGCGATGGAGCGCGTGCGACCGGGCGCGCCGGAGTCGACGATGCTGCAGGGATACCTGATGAGCACGCTGTTTTATGAACCGTCCACGCGCACGCGATTGTCGTTCGAGGCGGCGATGGGACGACTGGGCGGCGGCATCGTCAGCACGGAGAGCGCGGGGGAGTACTCGAGCGCGGCGAAGGGGGAGACGCTCGAGGACACGATGCGAACGGTGGAGGGATACGCGGACATCGTCGTTCTGAGACATTTCACCGCGGGGTCGGCGCGCCGAGCGGCGAACGCGATCGGGAAACCACTCATCAACGCAGGCGACGGACCGGGTCAGCACCCGACGCAAGCTTTGCTCGACGTGTACACGATTCGCAAAGAAATCGGCAGGTTGGACGACTTTAAAATCGCCCTCGTCGGCGATTTGGCCAACGGGCGCACGGTGCGCTCGCTCGCCAGCGCGTTGACGCAATTCAACAACGTCAAGTTTTACTTCGTGGCCCCGGATGTGGTGAAGATGAAGGACGACATAAAGGACTTGTTGACGAGCAAAGGTATCGAGTGGGAGGAGGCGACCGACTTGGCCGCCGTGGCGGCGGATGTGGACGTTTTGTACCAAACGCGAATTCAAAAAGAACGATTCGCGAACCCGGAAGATTACGCCAAAGCGAGCGGAAAATACATCGTCGACCGCACCATCATGGACGCTTTGCCGAAATCGTCCGTCGTCATGCACCCCTTACCTCGCGTCGACGAAATCGTCGTCGACGTCGACGACGATCCGCGCGCCGGATATTTCCGTCAAGCTCAGAACGGTCTCTTCATTCGCATGGCGCTCTTGAAAGTGTTGCTGCGCGTGTAATACTCGCGTTATCGCAACTACGTTTCCTACTATTGTCCTGACATCTTCTAACGTTTTCTACTTCGCTGTTCTCGGAGTTCGTTCTCGCATCGCTCGCATCGACACACAAAGCCGTAATCGCACAGCTCGTCGTTTCGCTCGTCGCGCGACTTCGAGGCCTCGTCTGATACGTACGAGATCGTCAACTCTTCCCCGGCTGCGATATCGCGCCGCGCGATGATGACGCACGCGCCGTCGATGTCTTCCTCTCCCTTCATCGGCTCACAGTTCGGGTCGCAGTCGTGATTGAATCCGGATTGTACGGAGAACAACGCGCTGCCGAGGAGCGGAATGTCGTACTCCGTATCCAAGGCGTCGAGCAGTGGCTGCGTGACGCGCATCGCCGCTCGCTTCTCTTCACCATCTGGCGCCGCGTCGATCGCGAGAAAGTAATTCTCAACCGGGCTCTCCACGACGAGCTCGAGGTTGTTCAGTTCAAACGCTCCGATGAGTCTGCCGTACGTCTCGAGCGTGAAGAATCGCGGCCAAGCGTTCGCCGTTTCGCCCCAAGCCGATCGAAGCAAGTCCAAAGAGTCTTGCGCGAGCGTTCGCAACGTCGTGCGGAATTCCATTTCCGCGCGCTCGTCTTCGCAGTCGTGCGGCGTCGCCACGCTTTCCCACCAAGGCGCGTTGGCGACGACGGCGAACGGCAGGCGCGCAAAGTCTTCCGCCGCCGAAGCGTCCCGCTCGATCTCCTTTCCGCTCGACCCGTCGTCTCGATCTCTCGCGCTCGCCCGCGACGCTCGCGCGCACATCGTCGCCACCGCCTTGGCCGCTAAAATAAATATATCGTTCGTCTCCCTCGCGTGCGCGTAAAATTCATCCAACGCCCGCTTATTCGTCGCCGTCCCCTTCTCTCCCGGACACATGAGCGACTCTCTCTCGCGCCACGCCTCGGACGCGCACGCCTCGGAGCAGTACACGTTTCGCGCGCACGCGCCCAAACATCCAACTTCACGCGGTCCATCGAACGCATCCGCGCCCGGAAGCGTCGCCTCACCGCTCGCCAGCTTCACCAAATCCTCGCGCGTCGTCGGTTTCGGCGGCGCCGCGTTCGCGTACTTTTCCAGCAGCCTTCGTCCGACCGCGCTCGACACCGTCCCGACGTATCGATGGCAATTTTCGCACGCGCGCGCGTGTTTCACGTTTTCCTCGTGCTGCGCTCCCACGAGCGCGCGCTCGATCATCACGCACTCGCCTCGCTCGAACGCGCGCGTCGCGAAGACGCCTCGACCTCCGCCTCGACGTTCGCGCGCGCGCGCGACGGCGACGTCGCACGCCGTCATCGCGCCGTTCGACGCGCGCGCGCGACACCGCGCGATCGCGCATCGCCAGTGTTCGTCCACCGCCGCGCGCGCGTCCGCGCCCACCGGCTCCATGCGTCGACCCGAGTCGCGGAGTGCGACGCGAGACACACTGCGCGACGCGACGCGAAGGATTGGGCGTCCGGTGGACGGTGGCGTTCGACACACCGCGACGCGCGTTCGCGCGTTCGACGCGTCGGAAGAGGACCGAGCGCGACGCGACGCGGACGGCGAGGCGCGATCGAACGCGCGCGCGATGACGACGACGACGACGAACCACGCGCCGAGCCCGTCGACGCAGGAGGTGAAAAAGTTTACGCAAATTTGCGCAAAGTGCGCGAGACACACGGCGATCGTCGAGGACCACGCGTCGGGAGATTTGATATGCACCGAGTGCGGACTGGTGATCGAGTCGAGGATCATCGACGAGTGCTCGGAGTGGCGGACGTTCGGGGACGGGGATAAGGATCGCGGAGGCGCGGATCCGTCGCGGACGGTGGGGGCGACAAACGTCATGCTCACGGGCGGCGGGCTGAGCACGACGATCGGGAAGAATCCGGACGGGACGTACAACGCCACGCTGACGCGATTGCATAATCGAGGGATGAACCCGGACAAGGCGTTGATCAGCGCGTTTCACAGCATCGGGGAGTTCGCGGACGCGATGGGTATGAATCGAGTGGTGCGCGACGGGGCGTGCGATTTGTATCGAATGGTGACGTCAGCGCACTCGACGTTGGGGAAATCGAACGTGGCGATGTACGCGGCGTGTTTGTACATCGCGGCGAGGCAAGAGGGGATGACGCGGACGTTTAAGGAGGTGTGCGGGGCGGCGCAAGGGACGACGGTGAAGGAAATCGGGCGGTGCTACAAATTCATCTTAAAGGTGTGCGATGGGTTAAACATGCAGATGAACGAGCAGATGATCACGCCTGAATTACTTACGAATCGATTCTGCGGTAATTTGGGGATGAGCGATCACGACTTCTTAAAACTCTGCTCACACATCGTGCGAACGTTTAGAGAGCTGAGAGATTCCGAGGGGCACAAGAGCGAGAAGCAGCCGGCGTCCGTGGCGGCGGCGGCGATTTTCATCGCCTCCGTCGTGCGTGAAATGCACAAAGACAAGGCAAGCTTGTTTCGCATTTCCGAAGTGAGTGGGATGGCGGAGGTGACCATTCGAACGTCGTTTTTTGACATGGTGCCGTACGCGTCGAGGCTTTTGCCGTCGGCGCATCAGGGAAAATTAGCAGACTTGTTGACCGAGGCGGAGAAGATGCGCGAGGGATCTACGATGGCGCTGCCGTCACACGCGACGAGACAATCATTCCATCCCGCTCCGCAACCCGCGGTGCCTTTGTTGAAACTCGAATTAGACGGCCCGATTGAAGTGCCCGGCGACGTCCTCATTAAAGAAGAATTGAAGTGAAATAACAAATTTCTATTAGAGTTCTTTCTTGTCACCCACCTGCAAGCGCTCGCGGAAATCTTCCACCATCTTCGGCAAACCTTCGCGCAACGTGATTTTCGGCTCCCATCCGAGCGCCGTTTTGGCGAGCGTGATGTCCGGCTTGCGGCGCCCGGGATCATCCGCCGTGTTTTCCTTGAATTCGATTTTCGCATCCTTGTTCACGACTTCCTTGACGACTTCCGCGAGCTCGATCATGGTGAACTCGCCGGGATTCCCAATGTTCACCGGACCGATTTCGTTTTCGTTATCCATGAGCGCCATCAAGCCCGCGACCAAGTCGTCGACGTATTGAAACGAGCGAGTTTGTTTGCCGTCGCCGTACACGGTGAGCGGCTCGCCGCGTAAAGCTTGGGAGACGAAGTTCGAAACGACGCGTCCGTCTTCGAGCGCCATGCGCGGACCGTAGGTGTTGAAGATACGCGCGATTCTGATGTCCACACCCTCTTGGCGGTGGTAATCAAAGCAAAGCGTCTCCGCCACGCGCTTGCCTTCGTCGTAGCACGAACGCACGCCGATCGGGTTGACGTTGCCCCAGTAGGATTCCTTTTGCGGGTGCTCCAAAGGATCACCGTAAACCTCAGATGTGGACGTCAAGAGCATTCGTGCGCCCACGCGCTTAGCCAAACCAAGCATGTTGAGCGTTCCCATAACCGAAGTCTTGATCGTTTTCACGGGATTGTGCTTGTAGTGCACCGGAGACGCCGGGCACGCGAGGTGATATATTTGATCCACCTCGACGAGCATGGGCTCGACGACGTCGTGTCGAATGAGCTCAAAGAAGGGGTTTTGCAAGTGGTGCATGATATTTTCTTTGCGACCGGTGAAGAAGTTGTCGGCGACGATGACGATGTTTCCGCGCTCCATGAGTCGGTCGACGAGGTGCGAGCCGACGAAACCAGCGCCACCAGTGACCAACACGCGCAAGCGCGTCGCCTTGGGAATCGGCACGGGCATCGTCTTCGCCACGGTACCGCGTCCGACGGGTTCAGACGCACCGATTTCGCCGACAGTGGACGATTTAGACGCCGATTGACCGACGACGCCGATTTCCGCCACATCCACGGACAACGCGCTCGCAACCTTGGACGATTTCGACGACGACTTCGACGACGACTTCGACGACGGCTTCGACGACACCGCATCTATCATCGTCGTCGACGCACGCACGTCGCCGTCCACCGCCTCGTCGCCGTCCACCGCCTCGTCGACGCCCACGACCTCGTCCTCGTTCTCATCCGCGAAGCTCGTCGTCGACTTTTTCGTTTCGAAAGTTTTCTCCATCATCGCCGACGCCCCCGTCGCTCGCGTTTCCTCGCCGTCGCGTCCTTCCTCCATCTTCATCCCTCTTCCCTGCGTCGCGAATCGCGACGCGCCGACGTCGCCGTCGTCTCTCGCGTCTTCGTTCGCGCGCGCGTATCCTCGCTCCGTCGTCCCTCGCGGGCTCGTTCTCGTCCCGCTCGTCCCCGCGGCGCACACCAGCGCGATCGCGATGACGAGCATCAGCGCGCACGCGCGCGAACCTCGTCCGCGCGCCATCTTATCGCGCGCGCGTCCGAGAATCTTATGAATCACCGACGACGATCGCGTCGCGGATAGCCTCGTCGACGGCGTCGCGTCGCGCGTCGCTCGCGCGCGATCGGGCGTCGACGCGCGTCGGGCGTCGGCGCGGTCGTTCGCGTCGTTCGCGTCGTCCGGGGCGCGTCGCGCGCTCGATGACGGGCGATTCGCACCGAGTCGCATGCGCGCGCGTGTGCGGGAAAGTGTCGGAAAAATGTCCGGAAATCTCCGAGCGGCGGCGACGCGCGGTCGGATTACGCGGAGACTACGCGAATGGATCACAAGGGCGCTAGGAAGAGGGTCGGGCGGAGACGGGGAGGAGCGTGACGGCGTCACCGGCGTCGGCGTCGGCGTCGGCGTCGGCGTCGGCGGCGTCGACGACGGCGAGCTCGACGGCGTCGACGCCTTCGGGGGACTCGCGCGACCTGCGAACGGCGAAGGAGAGATAGCCGACGGAACACAGGACGGTGTAGACGGCGTATCGAATCCACGCCAGAGCGCCGAGACCGGCGATTAAGACGCACGTCAGGAGGACGCCTAAAGCGGGGAGGAAAGGGACGAACGGGGCGCGAAACGTCTTCGGCGCGTGCGTCATCGGAAGCGTCAAAAAGCTGCACGCGCTCGCGACGACGGCGGCGAGGGCGACGGCGCCAAACCAGGAGATTCGCGCGCGCGCGCGGTAGTCCACGCCGAACGCCATCGATGAGACGAAGAGCGCGCCCGCGCGCTTCAAAGCCGGCGCGCGACGGGCGAAATCGTCGTCGTCTCGAGGCGCGCATCTGGACACGATGAGTCCCAAATTAACGCCGCAAAAGATGCTCAACGTGCCGATGCTCACGAGCTGGGCGAGTATGTTGATGTCCAACAGCACCGCCAGCGCGCCGGTGACGGCGCCACTGAATATCGACGCGTTTGCCGGCGTGCCGTGCTTTTCGCTGACGCGCGAGAACCACTTCGGGAGCAAACCGTCTCGCGCCATCACCATGAAGATGCGCGGCTGCCCCATCATCGAAAGCAACAGCGACGTCGTGATGGCGGCGACGGCGCCGATGGACACGATGGTCGCGATCGCGGGCATACCGTACGCCGTGAACGCCATCGCGAACGGGGCGTTGACGTCGATGTCGTCGTACGAAACCATGCCCGTGATCACGACGCACATCGCGCAGTACAACGCCGCGCAAATCCCGAGCGATCCCAAAATACCAAACGGCAAATCCGCCGCGGGATTGGCGACTTCTTCCGCGCACGTCGCCACGGTGTCGAAACCGACGAAGGCAAAAATCACCACCGACGCACCGGATATTATTCCACGCATCCCGTACGGCGCGAACGGCGTCCAATTCGACGGTTGAATCTCCGGCGCGCCCGCCAAGAGAACGACGGCGACGACGACCAAACTCGCGTACGTCACCGCCGCGTTAAACCGCGCCGTCTGTTTCGCCCCGCTCACGAGCAGCGCCGTCATGCCGCAAACCACGATCCCAGCTATTAAATCTATCTCCATCAACCCATCGATCACGCGCACTCGCGCGCGCCGCGCCTCGACGCCGAACGCCGCCGTCGCGTACGACGTCCACCCGCGCGCGATCGCCGCGCTCGCTATGGTGAGCTCCAGCGCCAGATTACACCCCGTGAGAAACGCCGCGTACTCCCCGAACGTGCCGTACACGTAATTATACGCGCTCCCCGCCACCGGCATCGCCACCGCGAACTCCGCGTACGCCAATCCCGTCACCGCGCTCGTAAACGCGCTCAGCGCGTACGACGCCGCCACCGCCGGTCCCGCGTGTTCCCTCGCCACCGACCCCGTGAGCACGAACACGCCCGCCCCGATGATCCCGCCCACGCCGAGCGTCGTCAGGTCCGCGCGCGTCAGCACCTTTCGCAGCGCCCCGCTCGCGCCGCGCGCGTCGTCCGCCGTCGCCGTCGCCGTCGCCGTCGCCGTCGTCGTCGTCCCGAGGCGGTCGCGCGTCACGCGCATCGCGTCGCGCATCACGCGCGCGCGCGTCGTTCGATCGCTGAAGAACGACGCCATCGACGCCGACGACGACGACGCCGAAGACGACGCCGACGACGCGACGCGACGCGCGACGACGTGCCGCGCCGACCCGCGCCGACCCGAATCGACCGCGCGGTGAGACTGAAACGGTGAGACTGAAACGGTGAGACTGAAACGCACACACGAACCTCACCTCAGAGTGAGACTGAAACGCACACACGAACCCAAGGCGAACAAAATTCAAAATGTCGCGTCCCTCGACCGACGCGGACCGCGCGGCGACGACCGAACACGGCGACGCGCCGACGCGCGACGCGCTCGGGCGAACGACGCCCGCGACGCGCTCGAGTCAAATCGCGCGCGCGCGGCGTCGACGGACGCGACGCGCGCGCGCGCGAGGGCGAGGCGAACGATCCACAAAGGGGCGAGCGATCCGGCTGTCGCGCGAACACGCGCGGGCGAACGACGCGAACGACGCGCGACGCGCGAGGCGACGCGTGAACGACGGGCGAAGGGTCGGGAAAGATGAGGACGCGCGCGATGGCGACGACGCGCGGGACGACGATGCGGACGACGACGACGACGAGGAGGAGGAGGAGGACGACGACGCGAAACGCGACGACGACGACGAAGACGACGAGACGAAGCGCGACGACGACGAAAGCGGTCGAAGACGAGGAGAACGCGAACGCGTGGGATGAGGGGGTGGTGAACGGTGACGACGCGGTCGGGGCGAACGCGTACGGGGGGGAAATCTTCCACCTCGAACGCACGGCGTACGAGGCGTACGGCGAGACGGCGCGCGGCGGCGCGGCGGCGTACGAGGAAGAGACGGCGGAGGGCGACGACGACGTCAACGCGCGACTGTTCGTCGCGGGTGGGATGTCGGCGTACGGCGGCGCGAGCGAAGATAAGTCGACGACGGCGGCGTACGCGACGAATGGGAACTCGTCTTACGAGTCGCCGAAAACCGTCGCGCAAGCCGCGGCGGAGATCGAGGCGGGAGAAGAAGACGCGCCGTATTACGCCGAAATGGCTGCCGCGGAGAAAGCACAGCAGAAAGCGTACGCGCCGATGGCGGCGATGAAGCCGCCCGTGGACGACGAGGAGGAGGATTACGAGATTCCAGGAATCCACGCGTCGCCGACGCAAGGCTGGACGGGTGGCGGCTTCGACACCCCCGAAGGTACCATCGCGCTTCCTTTGTCTTATTACCAAATTTTGGGTTTGACGGCGGCTCGGTCGACGCCGAACGCGCTTCCGCGCGCGGCGCTCGCCGTCATGGATGCCCAGCTCACCGAGGGGTACTCGCCGTACATGCTCGAACAACGTCTCTCGCTCATCGACGAAGCCGTGGCGGTGTTGAAGGACGAAGAGGCTCGAAGACAACACGACGACGACATCGCCGAAGGGATCTTGACCCCAGTCGAGCCGCATCGCGCGGCGGCCGCGCTCTGCCTGCTCCAGGAAGCCGGCGAGTACGAGGCTGTTTTGGAATTTGAGCACGTCGTCGCGCAGTGCGTGAGCGGTCGCCGGCATCGCCGCGACGTCGCGCTCACCGTGGCGTTGGCATTGTGCGAGTACGGTCACATGGCGCTCGTGGCGAATCCGCCACGATTTGCCGAAGGATGTGAACTGCTCGACATGGGTTCGAAGACGCTCTCGAGCGTGGCGGGCAGCTCCTTTGCTCCCGAAGTTCGTCGCAACATTGCGCTGTCGTATCACGACGTGGCGCCAGGATACGTCTTGGAGTTGCTGGCCTCACCTTTGGAGGCTCGATCCGAACGTGCTTTGGGCTTGCGTGCTCTTCGTTCATTGCTGTGGACGAAAGATCCGGCGCAACAGCTCGAGCAGCGCGCGGCTTTCATGGAGCAAGCCAACGAATTGCTTACGGCGCAAGAACAAGTGTCTCTCTTCATCGACGCTCCGGATTACATCGCCCTTGATTCCGACGAAGTGTACAAGAGCGCTCTCGCCCACGTCGTCGCCGGCGTGATTGATCGTAAACCGATGATGATTGCCGATGCGGACGAGATTCTGCATCAAATCCAACTCGCCTCTTTGGAATCCGCCGACATCAGTCACTTTGCTGACGTCGGCGTCGAACGCGCCGTGTGCCAAATTTTGCTCGGCCAGCTCGACGAGGCGGAGCACACGCTCGGTCTGCGCGACGATACCGTCGATCCGGGTTTGTTGCAATACATCGAGGACCGTTCTCCGAGCGGAGACATCGCGGAAGGGATGTGCTCGATGGCGGATCAATGGTTGGTAGACGTCGCGTTCCCGCTCTTCCGCGGTTCAAACGCGCGTGGAACGCCCACCCTCGATGAATGGTTTTCCACACCGAGCGTTCAAGGTTTCGTCGGGCGAATGAGCTCGATTCCCGTATTGATTCGTATTCAAGGCGCGATCGCAGCCGCGAAGCGTGTCGTCGTTTCCAGCGTCGATTCCGTCGTCACGGCTTTCGCGCCGACACCCCCAGCGCTGCAATTCGGCGTCTCGGACGCGCAGCGCCGCGTCGTCGCCGTGGCCAAGCTCGGCGTGTTCGCCGGTATCGCGTTCGCCGTGAGTGGTCGCACTGGTAATGTCAGCGCGCCGAAGCTGCCGACTTTGAACCCGCTCGCACCGTTGCAAGCCGCCGTCGGAACCGCCGGGAGCACGATTTCAAAGTTGAAGATGCCGACGTTGAACATGCCGAAGATGGACGTCAAGACGCCGCGTCGCGAATTAGGCCCGCCCACGCGAGTGGCGCCCAAACCTCGCCCTACGCCCGCGGTGACCATGGATAAAGGTACGGCGGAGAAGCTCGTGCGCAAGTGGCAAATGGCCAAGGCGCAAGCGATGGGTCAACGCCACAACACGCGTTACTTGGATGGCATCTTGGATGGACCCATGTTGCAACAATGGAAGACGCGCGCTGAAGACGTCGCCACGCACGGCTGGGCTTGGGAGTATAAACTTAACGATCTCAGCATTGACTCCGTGCAGGTCATCGGCACGGAGAAGGTATTCGTAGAGACGACGCTCACGGAGGTGGCGGTGTTAAAGGATCGCGCGCGGAACGAGCCCGACGACGTCTACGAAAGCACTTATCGCGCCAAGTACGAGCTCAAGCGATGTGAGACGGGTAAAAACGCCTGGCGTATCGTTGGTGGGTCTGTGGTTTATTAAGTGAAGTCGCACCGGCACGAGAATTGTAACGCTATCTAAAGTTTTCACCTCGCGCCGGCGCCACCGTTTTCGGCGTCAAAGTCGCGCTTGACTTTCCTCGCGAATTCCCAAAGGTACACTTCGCCCCCGATGTGCGTGATGTGATTTAATACGTCTACGTGTGGGCGGTTGGCCGACAAGTCGACTCGCCCAGCGCCGACGACGGTGACACCGTAGCCTGCGTCATCGGCGACTTTTTGCAACTCCTTCGGTCCGATGCCCGTCATCGTCACCAAACCTCTCAACGCGTCGTCCAAATCCTCGTCTTCCCGCTTCGACTGCATGAAGAAACAAAAATTTTCGGCGTCCGACTTATTTTCAAACGCCAAGACATGAAACTTGTCTTCCGGTCTCGCGCGCGGCGGGATGTTATCCGGAACCATTTGCATCGCGAACAAGCGCGAGTCTCGACTTCCCATCGGCGTGATCATGATCAAGTGCAACGCGCGCGCGTCTCGCCACCAGTACGGATCGAGCAATTGCGGATGCTCGCCCTTGTCGTCATCGTCATCGATATTAACGGGGTCGAACTCTTCCCCGAATGTATCCAAAACGTCCGCGTACTTCTCCAAGAGCGCTTCCTCGCTAAACGCCCCGCTCGCAATGTCCGCCTCCATGCGCTTCATCGCCTCGACGAGTTCGGGCGGGTACTCCGGTTCGCGCGGCGCTTCTCGCGCGTTCGTCCGCGGCGACGACTCGACTTCAGCGTTTCGCACCACCTCCGCATCATCCACCGGGTGCGCCGCGCTCTCCTTTCTCAAAATCGAATTCAGGTATTCGTCCGCGGGCGTCCACTGCGCCGACGCGCCCGGCATCGGCGCCTTTTTCTCGCGCGCCTCCTTCGCGCGCGCGCGCGCCGCGAGCTCGGCGTCCAACCGCGCGCGTTCGGCGTCACCCTCCGACGCTTCCTCGCCTTCACCCCCTTTCACGCGCACGCGCTCTTTCCATTCCTCGGCGCGTTTCGCCGCGTCTCTTCGCGCGTCTCGCCGTCGTCGAATCTCCGTCGCCTCGGCGCGCGCCGCCTTTGCGCGTTTCATCGTCTTTTCGCTCGGCCATCTCCGCGCCATGCTCTCCGCCAACTCCGCCACCTCGACCGCCGCGCGCAGCACCTCTTCATCCGGATCTCGTCCCGCCGCCCCGATCGGCGACGCGTTTCCTCCGCGCGCCCTCCAACGCGAAGACGCTCAGCGCCGCCGCCGAAATCGCCGCCGCGCACGCCGCGGCGACTGAAATCTCCATCGCGCGCGCGTCTCGCGTCGACATCCCGCCGTCGATCGCGCCTCCGACGCACGCGCGTCCCGTCGTCGTCGCCGTCGTCGTCGCCGTCGTCGTCGCGTCGTCCACGACGTTCGCGCGCGCGCGCGCGTTCGTCGCGCCGTCGCCATCCGCGTCAGCGCGACGCCGCGCGTCGTCGCCGCGCGCGCGCGTCGCGCGTCGTCCGGCGCGCGTCGTCCGGAGCGCCGACGGCGACGCGCGCGACGCCGTGGCGCGCGTCGCCGTCGCGCGCATGCCGCGGCGTCGTCGCGCTGTGGCGTCACTCGTCGACGCGTTCGCGTTCGCATTCGCATTCGCATTCGCATTCGCATTCGATCGATGATTCCGACGCGACGCGACGACGCCGACGACGCGACGCCGACGACGACGCGCGCGATGGAGGACGCGACGACCGCCGACGCGACGACCGCCGACGGACGCGACGCGACGACCGACGACGAAATGAATCGAACGAATCGATCGGTGCCGCGCGCGACGAGCGTGCGAGAAAAGATTGCGCTCTACGACGGCGCCGACGAAGCGGCGAAGGCGCGAACGCGCGCGAACGACGAAGAATCGTCGGTGTCGCGAGAGACGGTGGCGAAGCTGCGCGCGAGCGATCTGGAGGAGGCGCTGACGAGGGCGTTCGACGCGTTCGGGTCGTTTGGCCGACGACGAGACGCGGAGACGCGCATGGACGGCGCGCGGTTCGCGAAGCTGTGCAAAGAGGTGATATTTAAGGGCGCGGGGGACGACGCGCGGGAGGGGAAGTTGCGACGCGCGGAGATCGCGTTCGCGCGCAGGGCGAAATTGAATCGGAAGATTGATTACGAAGATTTTCGCGCGTTGGTGATGGAGGATTGCGCGAACATCGATCGCGGCGACGACGAGGACGGCGAGGCGGACGCGATCGCGACGTGCGCGAAATTGATCGGTTGCGAACCGAGCGTGGAGTCGGCGTTGAGCCCGGGTAAAGTGCGATTCCACGACGAGCGCGAGCGTTACACCGGGGTGCAAGCGGAGAAGCACGGTCGCGGCGCGCTCGAACGCGCGGCGTCGAGACGCGGCGAGTCGGTGGAAACGCACGCCGCTCCGGAGGAGGCCAGCCTGCCCGACGTCAAAGGATTGTTCACCGCGTTCGAGTCGTTCTTGCAGTTTTCACCGCCGCAGTCCGCGCTGTCGTGCTCCAGGTGGGTGAAGATTTGCGAAGACTGCGAGCTGTTCGAGGCGCACGGGCTCGATCACCCGAGCGCGGGCATCGTCTTCAACGCCGTCGCCACGGCGAATCGTAAGACGCTCGACTTTGATGCGTTCAAAACCGTTCTCCATCTCGCCGCCCAACGCGCCGGGAGCGAATTTTTGGTGTTCGCGCGCGCCGTCGCCGCGGGCGAGCCGCGCGTGCGCTCTGCTCTGGCCAACTCGCCGTCCTCGCCGCTCCGTTTCCACGATGAAGTCGCCACGTACACCGCGACGCACAAGGCGACGCATCGCGATAAAGTATTGTCTCCCCGAGCGCTGAGCATTCGCAAGCGCGCGGGCATCGCGGACGATTAGACTGTGTATCGCGCGCGCCGCCGCGATTCGATTTGCAAACCAAAGCACGCACCGCACGCCAGACGCGATGCCGCACCTCACGACGCGACGCTCGACGCTCGAGGTGCGAAATTCGCGCGAGAGACGCGACGGCGATGCGACGCGCGTCGCGCGCGATGCGACGCGCGCCTCGAACGCGTCGCGCGCGACGAAACGACGACGATCTCGCGTCGCGGCTGACCCTAAGCCGAACGCATCATCGGTCGCCGCCGTCGTCTGACGACGCCCGATCGACGCGCGCGCGACGGGAACGACGAACGAAGACTGACGTTAAACGCGCGATGATTCGGCGGACAGTGACTGCGCGAATAGACTCGTTCGATGATTTACGAAACCACCTCGGCGCTGTTTAGGTCGTTTTTGAAGTCGTCGCGCAACGACGATAAGTTTAGCCACGAAGGTAAGCGAAAGAGCGGACCGGGAGAGAAAGCGTCGGCGAATAAACCTGTTATGGATGATTAATTCTGGAGAGATGACGTCGAGTGTGGAGACGACGGAGCCGAGATTGAGGCACGAAATGTTCGTCGCCGACGTTCGAGGCGTCGAGTTGGCGTTTCAAGTGTATCACTTGCACGACCAATTGTTTGCGTACATCGGCGGTTGCGATGGGCGTTTTTCGGAATGCGCGTTTGGGGTAAAGGCGCGAAGTAGTTTGGGAGGCGGCGGCGTCGCGACGACGACGTTGCTTGGAACGGAGGCGTCGGCTCGAGCGTCGAGCGACGCCGCGAGACGATTAGCTTTGAGATCGGGAAAGTCGATCGTGATGAGCGTCAACATGCCCGCGGGCGCGGAGGAGCTCCAGGGTGACGCTGAGAAGGTTTTGATTCGGTACTTGCGCGAAAATCACGCGTTGGAAGGAGAAATGAACGACCTCGAACGCGCCTTGGGCGGCATGTAGCGTACGCTCGCGTTTGTTATGAGAGACGAGTGACGTTCGCGACGACACCACCGCGAGACACCGCGCTTCTACGATTTCTCTATCGATACACACATTACAATTCCTCTATCATCTTCTTCGAGCGCTTCGCGTTCTTTGACGCCGCGCCGCTCTGTTTCGTCGGCACCACGAGCGTCTCCGCCTTGACCTCGTCTCGCGTCTCCTCGTGCGCCACCCCCGCGCGTTTCGCCGCCACGCGCACCGCGTCGTCTGTTTTCAAATCCACCACCCCGAGTCCCAAATCCTGCGTTCCAATCGCGCGCACGCGTCGAGTCAGTCGATCGATCGTTCGTTCGAGTCGCCGTCGCCGCGCGCGTCCCGCGCGCGCTCCTTCGTCTCCACGCACCATTTCGATCCTCGCCGCCCCGTCGTCGTCGCTCGCGACCTCGATGTTCACCTCGCTCGCCGTTTTCGTCGCCAGCGCCTCGTTCGCGCTCGCGAGCGACGGTAAAAACGTCGCGAGTTTGCCCAACAACGGACTCTGTTCGGGACGCGAAATGTTTGGCGGCGCCCGCGTCGTCGCGTCGTCGTCGCGTCGCGCGCGCGTCGCGAGCACGTCGAACGGGTCTTTCTTCGCGTCGTCGATCTCGAGCCTCTCGCGCGCGCGCGACATGACGACGACGCGACGCGATGTGACGACGAATGCCCGACGCCCGACTATCGCACGCGCTCGCACACGTACAACACCGGCGCGTTCTTGCGATTCACCACCGCGTGCACCACGACGGTGAAGTCCTTGGGCGACAATTCGGCGAACGCGCGACGCACCGCCTCGTTTTCCTCCGCGCCGCCGTCGTGACCGAGGTAGGCGACGACGGTGAACACGCCGCCGAGCCGCAGCGTCCGCGTCCCCGCGCGCACGAGTCGCGCCGACGTCGACGCCTCCGTGCGCGTTCTTCGCGCGCGTTCGTCCGCGCGCAGGCCCGGGGCGGGTAAGTACCCCAGGTTCGCCATCAGCACGCCGACGTCGCGCGCGCGCGTCGCCGCCATCGCCTCCAACGCGTCGGCGTGACACCTCTGCTCGAAGGCGAACCGACGCGGCGCGACGCGCGCGTCCTCGAACGCGCGCGTCGACGCCTCCAGCGCCTCGCTCGCGACGTCGAAGCCGCGAATGATGACGTCGGGCGACGCGCACTCGAGCGCGAGGTACAGCGCGTCGCGTCCGCACCCGAGCGTCGCGTCGACGACGACGTCGCCGTCGGCGCGCACGCGCTCGCACCACGCGCGACGCGCCCAGCGCAGGACGTCGGCGTCACCGAACGACGACGACGACGACGACGACGACGACGCGCGACGCGCCGCGCGCGCGCGCGGCGGCGCGGCGCCGCGCGCGGGGCCCGCGGGCGCGCGCGCGATTCGCGTCATTCACTGACGCGACGACGCATCCATGTCGCGCCGCGCGTTCGCGCCGACGCGCCAGAGCTCGGGCGCCGGACGCGCGGCGACGCGCGCGGCGACGCGAGCGCCGCGTTTGAGCCGCGCGAGGACGCGCTCGAACGCGTCACCGCGCGATGATGTCGTCGACGACGTCGGTGACGCCGACGACGCGCGCGTCGACGCGTTTGAGCCGCGCGTGGACGCGCGCGCGACGACGTCGGCGCTCGTCATCGGCGCGGCGTTCTTCGTCGTGAATCGACGCGTCGCGGCGGCGGTGGCGAAGCGAAGGGCGAGGGAGGAGGTGGAGGAGGAGAAGCGACGCGTCGCGCTCGAGCGACTGCGCGGCGGGGCGTCCATCGACGACGAAACCGAGATCGACGAGCGATTGCGACGGGCGTACGAGGAGGAAGCGAAGTCTAGGGAGGTGTTCTTCGGGTTGTTCAGGGTGCGAATGCCGCAACCGCTCGGGAAACCGTTGTCGGAGGTTGAGGCGGAGGAGGCGCGAGTGGCCGAGGCGAGCGGACGGCGAAGGAACGGTTCGGACGACGCCCGCGCGGGTCGCGAAGGGATGGCGGAGACGCCGCCGTGGTGGATGACGACCGTGAGCGCGATCGTGTTGGTGCTGTTGACGTGGTCGAGCGTGGGATTGGGGAGCGTCGATCGCGTCGCCGAAGCGCCGCGGTTGACGCCGGATGAAATCGAACGATTTCGCGCGGGCGGCGGTGGCGGCGGCGGTGGGGGGGCGTGAACGCACCTACGACAGTATTTTTAATTTAATCTCATTGTTTCAGCGCGATCGCATCGAGCGCGCGCGTCGCCGCGACGACCTCGGCGCTTCCTCGGCGCCCGAGACGAAGCCGTCACGATCGCGCGCGCGCGCGCGTCGACGACGGCGTCCAACCGCGCGCGTCATGCGCGACGTTCCGCGCGACGCGCGTCACCGCGCGCGCGCGTCACCGCGCGATCGGCGCTCGAAAAATCGTCGCGACACTGGATGGGTGTCGTCCGCGATGACGCTCGCGATGGCGCTTACGTTGGCGCTGCGCGGCGCGTCGTGCGACGCGCGCGCGACGTCGTCGCGCAAACTGCTGCGACGCGAACCCGCCGGCGCGTCCAGGCCGGTCCATCGCGAACACCTGTCGTCTGGGGTGTCCAAGGAGCTCGTGCAAAGAGTCGCGCGCCGGGACGGCGGCGTCGCGGTGACGTTTGCGAACGAAGGCATGTACGACTTCGTGGTGAACTGGTGCGAACACATGGACGAAATCGGGATTACGAATTATTTAGTCGGGGCGATGGATGAGAGCTTATACGGTCGGTTGCGAAAGATTGGCGTCAACGCGTGGTTGATGGGATCGAAAAATATCGACGACGACGAAGTGAAGAAGGATTTCGGTTGGGGGACGAGGACGTTTCATAAGATGGGACGGGATAAGATTCGTTTAGTGCACGAGCTGACGAAGACTGGGTTTGATGTCATCGTCACGGACGTAGATGCGGTGTGGTTACGCGACCCATTTCCGTTTTTGAGGCGATATCCCAAAGCGGATGCGTTGGTGAGCATCGATAATTTGCGCAATCATACCTCGGTCGTGGCGACGCAAGCGAATCACGCGGTCGATGGGGAAGGCTTAGAGCACAGCGCGTGCGGTGGGAACAAAAACATCGGTATTATGTGGTTTCGCTCGACCGAAGGCAGTCAGTCGTTCACGCAAGAGTGGTTGAACAAGCTCGAGTCAAATGACAAAGATTGGGATCAAGTCGTGTTTAACAAGTTGGTCGAGCAGGGCGGGTGCGAAACGGCGCGCGACGGGAGCGGTGTCGCCCCGGCGTATGGTGGCGGGCTCATGCTAGGAATCTTGCCGGTGGCGTTCTTTGCGAACGGTTACACATATTTCACCGAACGTCTTCACGAAATGTTCGGCTTGAAACCGTACGCTGTGCACACGACGTTTGGTTACGCAGGCACGGTTGGGAAGCGACATCGCCTGCGAGAGGCGAACCAGTGGTACGGCGATAAATACGAACCGACTTATTTTCAAGGGAAATTCATGTCGTACACGCCGCGGCTGCTCAAAGATGTCGATTACGCCGAATTCGTCAAGCGTGGCCACCCGAATGAAGAAAATACACCCATGCTCGAGAGAGACGAGGACGTTGTGTTGGAGCACATGCGATTCGTCAATCATCAACTCGCGCAATTGTACGAAGCTGCGGTCGTCGCGAAGCATCTTGGACGTGCGTTGATTTTACCGCCATTTGCGTGCGGGTTAGATCGCGTTTGGTTCCCTCACAAAGGGCGATATCCCGGTGCTTTGCTCAAGCTTCCATTCGTGTGCCCTGCGGATCACGTGCTCAAGATTGAAGAGTTGCACGAATTCGCGCAAGACTATCGCGAATTTTCGTTTTTAGGGCATCCTTACATGCCGCGTCACTTTTTGACGAGTGAGAACGTTCGCCGCGTTGAGATTCCGTGGAGCGCAGCATTCGAGGCAACCATTCCTTTTCACGACAAGCTTCGCGCATGCTTTGAAAAGCGCGACAGAAAGCGAGGCGATGAGTCGTGTCTACCCGAGGGAAATGCAGTCTTCCGTGCTGCCGAAACGATCAAGCTATCGGCACGCCTTGGTTCGCTCGACGCGTTGTCTGTCAACCTTGAGTCAGCAAAAGACGTCAAATTCTTGCACTTTGACACAATCATAGGCCTCACGGAGACGTCACAGGCTACGACGGCGATGACGACACAGATTCCTCTCGGCGACTGGGGCATGGCACAGGGCACGAATGAAGACCTCGGCAAATTGGATTACAGCCTTGACAACGTTTCAATCTTTGGTGACGCGCCGCCTTCGCCGTCCAAGAACGAAACTCACGAACCGGAGGAAAGCGCCGAAAGATCAAGCGAAAAAGAGAGCGAGGCGTCGACGGCCGATGATGTGAAAGTGAGCATCGAGGCCGGTCTCATGAAGATGTTCCATGGCGATAAGAATAAAGTCGAAAGTGCCGTGCGCGCGATTATGGAAGCTCAAGCGCTCGAAGCGGCTTAGATACCTAGCTAGAGAGTTTGTAACAATATGCAAAATCTACTCGTCGTCTGCGTCCTCGCGCGGTCGTGCAATAGTTTCCAGCGCCGACGCGGCGTCTGTGAGATTCTCTACGGGAAATCCCAATGCACTTTGAATGACGTTGCAGACGGCGCGCGTTCGCTCGACAACGGAAGCTATTTCGTTCCTATCAGAACTCAGAATGTTATTTCGAAGCGTCGCCGCGAGCTCCTTCCACTCGGTTTCGACTTCGCTTCGTGACAAAGCGCCGGGAAACGCCCCGATAGCAAATATCTGAATCGCAAAATGACCGAGCGTGAGTTCCATCTCGTCCGTCGTCGCGTTTGGCGCACGTTTCGAGTGCCCACTCTTCAGAAGTGCGTTCGCGGAAGACTTGGACACAACGTCTACGGACAACTGGGCGCGCCGCACCTCTCGCAAGCAAGTCGCGAACGCTGTTTCATCGTCGCCAAAAAGTCGAACACACAACACTCGCGCGCGCGCGCACGATGATGGATCTAAAGCATCGCGATATTTCATCATCGCCGCGTCGAAGTCACTCCCCGCGATCAACTCGCGCGCGACCTCGCGCGCGACGACGCGCGCGGCGGCGCACCACGACGTAATCGCTCGCTTGATTTCAGCTTCCACGCTTGCCTCGGCGTCCGCCATCGTAGCTTCCAGCATGGTGCGCACCGCGTCAGCGCTCAAGCGTTCACCATCATGCTTGCGCCACACCTCGAGTTGTCGTCGCATCTCGCGCAAAGATGCGCACACCGTCTCGTGCTCGCCCGCTCGCTGCGCGTCTCTCAACGATTTCGCCGCTCGCGATAGCTCCAAACGAAACTTCGCCGCTTTGAACCCAACCTCGTACGCTCGCGCCCGCATAGTTTCCATCGTCGCTTCATTCGTGAATTGTTCCCTCATCCGCAAACCATTCTCGATCTCGCGCGCCATCGCTCGCGATTTCCGCCGCGCGTTCGCCAACGCCTCGCTCGCCGTCGCCGCGTCCCGTCGCGCTTCTCCGCTCGACCTCGGCGCCATCGCCCGCGCCTCGCGCGCCTCGCGACGAATCATTCGCGATATTCGTTCGACATCGTTCCCATCGCGCCGCAGAATCTTCCGCAGCGCGTCCACGACCGCGTCGTCGTCGTCGTCGTCGTTTTCATTAAACTGCAACAGAAATCCATCCATCGCATCCATCGCCTCTCGTCGCGTCACCGACGTCGCGCGACCGCTCGCGCGTCTCGCATCGCGTCCATCGCGCTCGTCCTCGCTCGCGTCGGCGTCGCTGTCGTGAAAGTACCCCATGACGGCGCCGTCGCGCTCGACGCGTCGCCGTCTGCGACCAACGACTCGGCACTGTCCGACGCGTCGCCGTCGCGCGCACGACGCGTCATGGCGGATTCGAGCGCGCGCGCGTTCGCCAGCGTCACCAAGCGTCGTTTACTGGTGCGTCGTCGACCGCGCGTTCCCGCGCGCGCGAAGGCGCCGATGAACGCGCGACGCGCGACTGACTGCGACGTTTGGATGTTTGGCGCGCGTTAGGTGGACATGCTGACGACGAAACTGCGCGATCGCGCGAGCGCGTGGCGGGTGTTGATCGTCGATGATACGTCGCTGCGGGTGGTGTCGTCGGCGTGCAAGATGAGCGATCTCGCGGAGGCGTGCGTGAGCGGTACGAGGAGGCGAGGCGACGAACGAGACCGACGCGAAGGCGAACCGAACGCGAACGCGAGGGAGGTGAGAGACGCGCGCGTGACTGACCGATGGACGATGCGTCGTCGTCGTCGCTCGCAGTCGTGGAAAATTTGGACGTCGCGCGCGCGCCGCAACCGACGCTGGACGGGGTGTATTTCATCGCGCCGAGCGAACGCTCGGTGGCGCGCGTCGTGGAGGATTGCGAAAAGAAGCTGTATCGTAAGGCGCACGTGTTTTTTACCTCGGCCGCGCCGCGAGGGGTTTTGAACGCGATCAAAGCGAGCAAGGCGTGCGTGTCCATGCTCGGGAACTGCAGTGAGATGAATCTGGAGTACTTTACGGTGGATCCGAAAGGTTTCAGCGTCGGCGTAGAGGACGCTTTGCGAGGGACGTTTGCGGTCGGATCGGAACAGTCGCAGGCGCAGGCGAGAATGATGGATATGATCGCGCAGCGGTTGGCGACGGTGATGGTGTCGCTCGGGGAGATTCCGTCGATTAGGTACATGGCCAAGGTTGGGAATAAGAAGAGCGACGTATCGCGCGGCGTCGCCGACCGACTCGATCGTTCGCTCACCGCTCTTTTGCGCGCAAAAGGTGCGGAGGCGGCGAAGAACAATCCCACGTGCGACGTGTTGATCGTCGATCGCTCGTTCGACGTCATCACGCCCGTGGTTCACGAGTGGACGTACGAAAGCATGGTGACGGATTTGTTAAACGTGCCGAACGGCGTGTATCAGTACAAGATCACGACGAAGAAGGGCGAAGAATCAAAAGAAGCCGTGCTCGGGGAGAACGATCCGCTGTGGGTCGAGCTTCGCCACGCGCACATCGCCGAAGTTTTAACCGTATTAGCGGATAAAGCGAAAACGTTCGCGAACGTCGGTCCGGATGGGGGCGTTGTTGGTGGCCGTGATTTAACCACCGGTCAATTGAAGAAAGCCGTCGAGGCGTTGCCCAGAGTGTTGGAGCAACAAGCCAAACTTTCGGTGCACACGTCTATCGCTGGTGAGATCAACGCTGTTTTGCAAAAGTCCGCGTTGAGCGAGGTCGGGCGCTTGGAGCAAGACGTGGTGTTCGGCGACGCGACGAGCAAAGATCTCATCGCGTTGTTCAACGACCTCGACTCGCGCGGCGTGCGTTTGCCCATGGTGGAGAAACTTCGTCTATTGCTGTGCTACGTCAGTTCGCACCCGCAAAAGATTGACGAAAGTGAAAAGAAGCGATGGATGACGAACACTGGGCTGACGCTCGCGGACGTGAACATCTTGCAAAATCTAGAGTTATTGGGCGTGAAGGTTCTGAAAGACGGCGCATCGAATCCGTTTTCGAGCTCGATGTTTGGCTCGAGTACCAAGAGCATTCGACCGAAAGTGCTCGAACGCAAAGGCGCGGGGAGCGAGTGGGATTTATTTAGATTTTTACCCACGATGGCGGGCTTGGTGACCGAGCTTGATGCGGGAACTCTCGACGCGACGGAGTATCCATCCGTCGGAATCTCTCCGGGAGCGGCGAACGCGCCGCCTACGATGATGTCGCCAACGAAATCGCGCTCGGTGCGCACGCGAACTGAAGCGTCGTGGGCGACACACAGTAGCGCGGGTAGCTTAGGCGGCGACGGCGACTCCGAGAGATCGGCATCGGGGACGAATCATCGACGAAGTGACTCCATGACGTCGAATCGCGCGGCGAGCCAGCGTTCGAGTCGTCGCCTCATAGTCTTCGTCGTGGGCGGTATGACTCGTGGTGAGTTGCGCGAGGCACACGTCCTGAGTCAGAAATTACACCGTGAGGTCATCATCGGCTCCACCTCGCTCGAAACTCCCGCGTCGTTCGTAGAAAAACTCGCCGGCTTGGCGTCTGTCGCTTCGATTCCAGAGAAATACGCCGACATCGCGGATTTGTCTGGACTGTAATGGAAATAAACCTCGCGGAGTTCATGCGATACGTAAACGAGTGACGCTATACGAGAAGTACGATACATGAATGAGTGATACAGGAAGAAATACAGACTAAAATCGCGCGCAATCGCCGTCACATGACGGAGCAACACGTCGGTTGCGTCGCCGACGCGTCCTTGTTTGCCTCCGACGCCCGCTTCCGCGTCTCGCCCCGCGTCGACGCATTCTCGCTGACGATGAGATGCGCGATGCGTACCTCGCCACTCACGAATCCGCACCACTTCAACGCCTTCGAGTCCGGCTCTAAAATTTTCCCGTCGAGCACCACGCGCAGGTACGCCGGCGACGCCGGCTTGGGCGACGTCGCCTCGTCCCCGTCCCCGATCGCCCCATCCGACGTCTCGCGCGCCAACCACGGCGCGTCCCACAGCGCGCGTTTCAAATCCGCCACCGTCGCGTTTTCATCCTCTAAAACCACCGGCCCTACGTCCGCGCCCTCGACGCGTCGCGCCTTGACGCGAAACGCCGCCGCCGCCGTCGTCTCACCTTCGTCCCCGCGCGCCCGCTCGCGCGCCGCGTCCATGCCCGCGCTCGAATCGACCGACCGCGCGCCCCAACGCGCGCCGATCCGAGCTCGCGATCGCTCGTATCACCGCCGCGCCGGTCCGACGACGCCGATCCGACGCAAAAATCCAAATCCAATCCGATCCGTTCGACGCCGCCGCCTCGCGTCCGCGCCGCCGCCTCGCGTTCGCGCGCGATCCGCGCGCGTCTCCCGACGCCGTCCTCGCGCGTCCGTCCCGTCCCGAGGCGTCCCGTCGCGCGTCGCGCGTCGCGCGATGCCGTTCGGTCGAATCGGCGCGCGTCGATCGGTCGATCGATCGATCGATCGATCGATCGATCGATCGATCGCCGCGCGCTCGAACCTCACCTCGAGGTTCGCGTCGCGTTCGTCGAAACCGACCCGCGCCGCGGACGGTTCGGTTCGAGTCAACGCGGCGCCGCGGCGCGATCGAGCGCGAAACCGCGACGCCGCGAACGCGCGAACGCGATGGCGGCGCCGATGGTGCGCATGCCCGATGGGCGATTAATAGTGCGTGTCGCGACGGCGACGGCGCGGACGACGCGACGCGCGACGCGCGAAGAGACGCGATCGGAACGCGCGCGCGCGATGGCTCGCGACGGCGGATGAAGAGGATGATTTCGAGCGATGCGACGTCGCGCGAACGACGAGGGGGGGGGCGCGCGACGGAGGAGGGGTCGAAGAATTTGTGTGCTTCGAGCGCGGACGTCGCGCGGGACGTCGGCGCGACGCGGGAGACGCGAGGCGGCGATGATGGTGATGATGAAGACTGAAGACTGAAGACTGACGCTCGCGAACGAACGCGCGAACGCAGCAACCGCAAATCGTGCTGCTCAGGGAAGGCACGGACACGTCGCAAGGACGCGGACAGTGCGTGTCGAACATAAACGCGTGCTGTGCGGTGGCGGATACGGTGCGAACGACGCTTGGACCGCGAGGATTAGATAAACTCGTGCGAGACGCGCGAGGAAACACGACGATTTCCAACGACGGCGCGACGATTATGAAACTGTTGGAGATTGTGCATCCGGCGGCGAAAACGCTCGTGGACATCGCGAGAGCGCAGGATAGCGAAGTGGGGGACGGGACGACGACGGTGGTGATACTGGCGGGGGAGCTGTTGAAGGAGGCGAAGACGTTCATCGAGGACGGCGTGCACCCGATGAATGTCATCAAGTCGTTTCGAGAGGCGTGCGATTTGGCGACGGCGCGCGTGCGCGAATTGGCGACGTCCATCGAAGGGAACAGCGCGGAGGAGAAGGATGAACTTTTGAAGAAATGCGCGATGACGACGCTGAGCTCCAAACTTGTAGGAGGGGAGAAGGACTTCTTTGCCGACATGTGCGTCAAGGCGGTGCGCTCGCTCGATCAAGACTTGTTGGACCCGAAGATGATTGGCGTGAAAAAGGTCATGGGCGGAGGGATGACGGATTCGTTCTTGGTGGATGGCGTGGCGTTTAAGAAGACGTTCGCCTACGCCGGCTTCGAGCAAATGACGAAGAGCTTCAAAAAGCCGAAGATTTTGGCGCTCAACATGGAGCTCGAACTGAAGAGCGAAAAAGACAACGCCGAGGTGCGCCTGAGCGATCCGACCAAGTATCAAGAAATCGTTGACGCTGAATGGAACATCATTTACGAGAAGCTCGACAAATGCGTGGCGTCGGGAGCGAACATCATTCTGAGTAGACTCGCGATCGGGGACTTGGCGACGCAATATTTCGCCGACCGCGGATTGTTTTGCGCCGGTCGCGTAGACGCGCAGGATTTGGAACGCGTGACGCGCGCCACCGGCGCGCCGGTGCAGACCACGGTGAACAACATCACGGACGCCCAGCTCGGATCGTGCGAGTTGTTCGAAGAGATTCAAGTCGGTAACGAACGGTACAACATTTTTAGAGGTTGTCCGCAGGCGAAGACATGCACGCTCATCTTGCGCGGCGGCGCCGAGCAATTCATCGAGGAGGCGGCGCGCTCGCTCAACGACGCCATCGAAATTGTTCGCCGCGCGGTGAAGAACGCGGCGATCGTCCCTGGTGGCGGTGCGATCGATATGGAGTTGAGCAAGTACTTGCGCAACCACGCGCGCACGGTGGCGGGCAAATCTCAGCTCTTCATCAACGCCTTTGCCAAAGCTTTAGAAATCATCCCGCGACAGCTCTGCGACAATTCCGGGCACGACGCGACCGACGTGTTGAACAAGCTCAGACAAAAGCACGCGGGCGATGACGGGGCGAATTTCGGCGTCGATGTCAACGGAGGTGGCATCTGCGACACGCACGAACGCTTCATCTGGGAACCGAGCCTGGTGAAAATCAACGCCCTGAACGCCGCCACCGAAGCGACGTGCTTGATTCTCTCCGTGGACGAAACCGTGAGAAACCCGCGAAGCGAAGGCGCGGATGAAGGCATGGGTGGCGGCGGTGGTCGGGGCATGCCGATGGGAGGTAGAGGAGGTGGTCGCGGCCGGGGTCGCGGCCGACGATAGATTTGTTGAATACATACAACCTTAACATTTGTTACACAAACCGCACAACTAGTCGCCGTCGTCGCTACTGAGCTCGCCGCTAAGAATGGAATCGTCGACGTACAGATCCGAGGTATCCAACGCGTTGATGTATCTCGCGAGCATCGCCGCGGACTCCTCAGCCTCTTCTAATTCTTCTAAACGCACTTTCGCGTCCTCGTCTTGAAGATGCGCGTATTTAGGCGCCCAGGGCGAACCGGGTTCGTCGTCAATGGGCGACCCTGGACTCGTCTCGCTCGCCGGTTCGGGCGTCGGCGCGGCAACGGATGGCGACTGTGCGGACATCAGAGCGTCTCTCGACAATCGCGACGCTTCGTCCGGCAAGTGCTCGTCCACATGCACGTTTCTCGCGGCGAGAAGGACGTTGTGTATGAGCATCACCGCCACCGGTTCGAAAATGCCCGACGACGTCAGCGTCGGCGTGCGAACGCCCGTCGTCAAATCCATGATGTCCCTGGGCGTGAGCACGGCGAATTTCTTCGGCGCAAATTGAGCGGCGGCGTAAGATGCGAGTCCAATCGACGTCGCGGAGGCTAAAGATCCTAGCAACGAAGGTGCGCCTCGCGACAAGTGCGCGTCGGCGCTTTCGTCGAGTACGTCTTCGTCCGCGGCGCCGCAGCGGCGCGAAAACGGCGCGCCGTCGAGCAACATTCCGAACACTTCTTCCGCCGTCTCTTCGACATCTCCCGGACTCGATGGTCGCATCGTCGACGCCCATTCTGACGAAGCGAACGCGCACGTCACGGCGTGTCGGGAAACTTCGTCCGCGTGGCGCGGATACGCCTTGGCTAATCGCGACCGCAGCGTCGCCATGCGAGGATGTCGGCACACGCCGTCCAGAACAATCGTCGACGCCGGTGCGAGTCGGCCGCGTTGCGCGCGACCGACCAGACGCAGCGTCGCGACTTCAAATGCGCTCAACGACGGGTGCGATGCGACGCGAAGAGCAAACATCGCGTGACCGGTTGAACGAAATTTCGGAAGCGCGTCGAGCTCGCTCGGATCCGTCGCCGGACACTTTCCGGTGTCCGCGCCGAGGGTCAGCGCGGAGTACAATATATCGATCCAATTCGCCCCGCGTCCGACGCCGGTGACTTTTTCGACGACGCGCGACACGCTCCCGCCTCTCGTCTGCAGTCCGCACATCGGATCCCTGAGCAACTTCCACGCCTCGGCGTGCGGATCCAAGTACGCCGAGCTTCGACACAGCGTCACTCCCAACCGCATGCCGAGTCGAACGCGCTCGCGCGGAGGAAGCGTGGCGAGGAGTAAGAACGGGCGTATCAAACCGGCGCGGTACGCCTTGTCTCGGTAATCGCTCTCGCGGTCGAGAACGTCAAATATGAACCCCGCGCGCTCGTCCGCGGCTTCGCGTTTCGCCAGCCGCAAATCCCACCCGCGCGCGATCTCCTCCGCCGACGCCGTCGCCGTCGCCGCGTCGTCCCCGCGGCTCAGCGCGCGCTTAAACGCCTTCGCCAACGCCCCGATCGTGGGCACGGACACGTGTCCACCGATGTTTATTCTGCGCGTCGTCGTCTCCGCCGCGGCGCACCTCGCGCACGATCCCCCACCCGGCCGCGAGCGCTTGCGCATCACCTCCGCGTCCTCGCCGCACCGCTCGCACGCCGCCGTCCCCCCCCCACACACCATGCACTCGTACGCGTCGCTCCCGCGCGTCCCACGCCTGACGTGCGAACTCTTTTCCCCGCACCACGAGCACCACGCGACGCGTCTCGTCGCCGCCGCGAACGCCTCGCTCGTCGTCCACGTCTCCACCCATCCCGCGCACTTCGCGCACCTCCCGTCCCCGATCTTCGCGAATCCCTCCGCGCATCGTTCGCACTTGTGCGTCGCCCTCGCGCACCGCGCGCAGTGACTCAGATACGTCCCTCTTCTCCCCGTCGCTCGCGTCACTCGATGTCGCGTCTCTTTGCCGCACCACGAGCACCGCCCGCTCGGCGACATCCTTCGCGCGACGCTCTCCACCCCGTCCCCGCCCTCCGCGTCCGACCACTTGAATCCATCATTATTTTTCGTCACCGCGCACGCGCACGCCAGGCACGCGTCGTCGTCCCATCCGTCGCCGCTTCTCGCCATCGCTCGACACGTCGCGAACCGCGCGCACGCCCGCGTCCGTCCCGCGCACGCCCCGCACGCGCGCGGCGCTCGCGCGGCGCTCGACCGCGTCACCGCCGCGTGCGACGTCTCGTGGAAGCACCACGAGCACCGCGCGATGAGCGCGCGCGTCGCGGCGGGCGTCGGCGCGTCGCGCGACGTCGAGGCGCCGGACGCGCTCGGCGTCGCGCTTCGCGTCGAGCGCGCGCGCGAGCTCGGCGCGCGGTCGAGCGCGTCGCGCGCGTCGCGCATCGTCGCGGCGGACCGCCGCGCGACGCGCGCTCGCGACGCGCAGTGACGCGACGATGCGCGACGCTTTGATTGATGCGTGCGATGCGTTGATTCATTTAATTCATTTAATCGCCGCGCGTGCGTTCGCGTCGACGCGTCTCAGCGTCGGGCGCGACGCACGCGATCGCGCATTCTGAACGCGCGGTCGTCCGGCGACGCGCGCTCGAAGGCGACGTCGCGAGGCGCGTCGACGACGGCGCGGCGGACGCGCTCGGGACGCTCGGGAAGCGGCGGCGCGGGTCTGCGCGCGGCGTCGACGTCTAAACCGGCGAGCAAACGCGTGAGCTCTCGCGTGCTCACGGGACGCTCGCCCGGGGCGCGCGTCATGCACACGGCGTCGACGCCGTCGGCGTAGTAACCGCGACGCGAGCCGCGCGTCTCGAAGCCGCACTTTTCGTACATGGCCAACGCGGCGACGTTGGTCGCGCGCACCTCCAACGCGGCCGCGTTCGTCGGCTGCAGACCTAACATGGCTTTTAACACGCGCGCGCCCAGGCCTCGGCGTCGCAGCGATCGCCTGGTCGCGATTTGCGTCACCTGCGTCTCGCCCGCCACGCAGACGCAAAATCCAATCGCGCCGACGACGCGCGCGTCCGATTCGCTCGCCTCGCCCGCCGCCGGCACCGCCACCAGCGCTCTGTGCGTCTTCGACGTCTCCGCGTCGACGCTTCGCTCGAGATCGTCTCGCACCGTCGCCTCGCTCCAATCGACGTCGGCGTCCGCGCACAGCGCCGTCGCCGCGTCGAAGTCGCGTCGACGCGCCGGTCGAATCGCCCACGCCGCGACGCCTTCGCACAGCGCGTCCGTCGCGCTCGACGACGCGTCGCGAGAAGACGCGTTTCGCGACGCGTCACGTCCCGTCCGCGTCCGCGTCCGCGTCGCGCCGCGAATCGTCGCGAAACGCGGCGTCGTCGCGCCACATTCTCGAATCTTCATTCGTCGCGCGCGCGCGCGCGCGCGCCGCGTCCGCGTCGCCGGCGCGCGTCCGCGCGCTCGAGCTTCGCAGGTCTCTGTACGCGCGTCCGCGGACGCGCACGAGCGCGCGCTCGTTCGCGGGCGACGCGATGATGACGACGCGCGATGCGACGCCGGCGATTCGATTCGCGCCGCACAATGCCGCGCGACGACGACGACGACGCGCGACGACGCGCGGACGCGCGCGCGACGGTGTCCGGCGAGCGACGCGACGGCGCGCGTCGCCGCGCGCGCTCGAGGTCGAGCGAGGGACGACGACGACGGTCGAGGTCGGATTCGCGACGACGACGACGACGACGCGACGACGCGAGCGACGACGCGCGCGACGACGACGCGCGCGAGCGACGACGCGCGCGACGGTCTCGGTCTCGGTCTCGGTCGCGATCGAGGGACGACGCGCGACGAAGGCGACGACGACGGGACGACGACGACGACGACGACGACGACGACGACGGGCGCGGGCGGACGCGACGCGCGAGTCGAGATCGCGAACGACGCGAGGGAAGGACGAGGCGGCGAAGGAGTCGAAGCGAAAGCGCGCGGAACGAACGAAGAGGACGAAGATCGAGAAGCCGGGATCGCGAGCGACGGCGAGGACGGTCGAGATCGAGGTCGAATTCGAAGACGCGGCGACGCGGCGGACGAGCGAGAGCGTCGCGATGGGACGAGGACGGCGACGAGGACGGGGACGGGGAGACGAGGGTGGATTTTGACGACGCGCGAAGGGACGCGGGGAGAGGTGATGAGAAATCGACGCAGTTGAAGACGCAGATCGAGATGATGCGAGCGCTGAGCTCGACGACGAAGGATGGGGTGAAGCGAGCGATCGAAGAGGCGCGAGAAAAGGCGGCGACGTTGATGGGAGAGGCGGCGCCGGCGCGCGTCGCGGCGGCGAAGGGTGACGCGAGCGGTGAAAGTGCGAGTGGTGGTGGGGATGCGCGCGCGCCCGTTCGGACGATGGCCGTTAATGTCGCGAAGGCGGCGCCGAAAAGCGCGCGCGACGACGAAGACGCGGGCGTCGTCGGAGATGGCGCGAATAGTAAAAAGGCGACGTATTGCGTGGAGCACTACGACATGGACGTCAAGTACGAAGGTTTAATCATCGGTCCGGGAGGCGCTACGATTCGTAAGCTGCAGCAGGACATCGGGACGTCCATCGAGGTCGTACGTGGCGAAGGGAAATTACAAATTAAAGGATCCAGAGAGAAAATTGAGTACGCGCGGAAGATGCTCGATGAATTCTTCGAGCAAAAAGGATCGAAGACTGTCAAGGTGAAGTGCAAGGCACGATCGGGTCTGATCATAGGTAACGCTGGACAAACGATCAAAGCCCTTAAGGAGCAAACTGGCTGTCGTATAGAAGTCATGCGAGACGTCGAAGAGTGCGTCATCACGGGCCCGGGCGATCGCGTCAAAGTGGCGCAAGCCATCGTGGAGAAAATGATTGCGGATTCCTGGGAAGAAGGTGCCGATGGCGATATTACCATCGTCGAGGAAGTGATTCCGTGCGCGTACAAGGCTGGCGCTATCATCGGTCCAAGCGGTGGGACGATTCGGCACATTCGCGAAACGACTGGAGTGGCGATTGACATCGAGCGCGGCGCGGACGGTTGCAAAGCGAGCGATCAGTGCCGCATAATCGGCACGCCGGCGCAAGTTAAAAAAGCTGTCGAAATTGTTCATCAACTCTTGAAGGAGATGAACCAAGCGCAGTTGCAAGCCGCTCCAGTGGTACCGCCAATGTATGCGTACGGATACGGAACGATGCCCAACGCATACGCCGCCGTTCCGGGAATCCCAGTCAATTCATCGCAGATGCAGCAGATAGATCCGCAGACTGCCGCGTATTACGCGCAATGGCAGGCGTACTATGCGGCTCAGCAAAATACTGTGATGCCTCCGCACCCACCAGCCGATGGGTGACGGCTTGATGAGACTGAATGCGACTAGTTGCATGAGACTCGATCGATGGCTCAACGACTTAGTGGAAAGCGACGCGATTTGATTTGGAATTGAACTTAAGATCTGCTTACACGTTTGACTCTTTTCAATTTTTCGATTTTTTTGGTTCATCTCTGTTAACTGCGCAAGTATAACTTACGGCGGGGGTATTATTTATTGCTCAGGCTGGCGTCGGTACGGCCGAAATCCAGCGCGCGTTGGCGAGCTCTGCGAGGTGGTTGTGAAACGACGTGTCCGCGTAGAGCGGGAAAGAAGGCGACGTCAAGCTCGTGTACTTGAGATCGCCGTCGACGTAGAACTCAATCGCGCCCGCGTCGTTCACGATCACTTGGAAAGTCTCACCCGCGACGAAGACGCCGGCATCGAACTTGTTCACGCCCTTCTCTTGGAATCGGACCTGATTGCCGTTGCAGAACACGGCGTAGTCGATGGTCGTTTGGCTGTGGCCCGAGGGCGTGCTCGACAAGCCAAACTGCAAGTGCCTGTTGTCGGTGCGCATGCAGTCGCCGGAAATGCCGCGAATCTCGTCGCCGACTTTCGTGATGGCGCGCGCGCTGTACGCGCCTCTTGCCCAGTTGTTCCCGCCTTGAGTACGTTTGAGGTAGCCCTGTTTGCCGTCCGTCGTCATGCCCTGCGAAAGTCCGACCCACTCGATGAGATCCAAGTCGTTCGCACCCTCGTGGACAGTCTGTATCCAGGAGACTCGAGAGAAAGACGCGCCTGCAGTGTTGAAGCGCGCGGTGGCGTAGAGCGGGAAGGCAGGCGCCTCATCAGACGTCGCAAACGCCGCGCCATCCTTGTAGTACGTGACGACGCCCGAGTCGAGCACGACCACTTGGAACGTCTCACCGACGAAGTAATCGCCAAAGTCGCCGTCGCGCACGACGCCGTGTTCGGAGATGCGGATCACGCCGTTGTCGCACACAATGCCGAAGTCGACCACCTCGTCGACGGAGTTCGTCGAGCCAGAGTTCAAGCCAATCATCATGGACTTGTCCGTTTGGTCGCAATCCGCGGAGACGCCACGCACTTCGTCGCCGATCTTCGTGATGGCACGTTTGCTCGTGGCGCCGACGTTCCAGCCACTGCCTGCCATTGTGCGCGTCACTTGGCCCGCGGAAGACTCGACGCCTTCCGCGTCTTCAAACTCCATGGCCGCCAAGTCGTTCGCGCCCTTGACAACCTTGTGAACCCAGCGCGCGTTGGCCAGCTCTGCGAGGTGGTTGTGAAACGACGTGTCCGCGTAGAGCGGGAAAGAAGGCGACGTCAAGCTCGTGTACTTGAGATCGCCGTCGACGTAGAACTCAATCGCGCCCGCGTCGTTCACGATCACTTGGAAAGTCTCACCCGCGACGAAGACGCCGGCATCGAACTTGTTCACGCCCTTCTCTTGGAATCGGACCTGATTGCCGTTGCAGAACACGGCGTAGTCGATGGTCGTTTGGCTGTGGCCCGAGGGCGTGCTCGACAAGCCAAACTGCAAGTGCCTGTTGTCGGTGCGCATGCAGTCGCCGGAAATGCCGCGAATCTCGTCGCCGACTTTCGTGATGGCGCGCGCGCTGTACGCGCCTCTTGCCCAGTTGTTCCCGCCTTGAGTACGTTTGAGGTAGCCCTGTTTGCCGTCCGTCGTCATGCCCTGCGAAAGTCCGACCCACTCGATGAGATCCAAGTCGTTCGCACCCTCGTGGACAGTCTGTATCCAGGAGACTCGAGAGAAAGACGCGCCTGCAGTGTTGAAGCGCGCGGTGGCGTAGAGCGGGAAGGCAGGCGCCTCATCAGACGTCGCAAACGCCGCGCCATCCTTGTAGTACGTGACGACGCCCGAGTCGAGCACGACCACTTGGAACGTCTCACCGACGAAGTAATCGCCAAAGTCGCCGTCGCGCACGACGCCGTGTTCGGAGATGCGGATCACGCCGTTGTCGCACACAATGCCGAAGTCGACCACCTCGTCGACGGAGTTCGTCGAGCCAGAGTTCAAGCCAATCATCATGGACTTGTCCGTTTGGTCGCAATCCGCGGAGACGCCACGCACTTCGTCGCCGATCTTCGTGATGGCACGTTTGCTCGTGGCGCCGACGTTCCAGCCACTGCCTGCCATTGTGCGCGTCACTTGGCCCGCGGAAGACTCGACGCCTTCCGCGTCTTCAAACTCCATGGCCGCCAAGTCGTTCGCGCCCTTGACAACCTTGTGAACCCAGCGCGCGTTGGCCAGCTCTGCGAGGTGGTTGTGAAACGACGTGTCCGCGTAGAGCGGGAAAGAAGGCGACGTCAAGCTCGTGTACTTGAGATCGCCGTCGACGTAGAACTCAATCGCGCCCGCGTCGTTCACGATCACTTGGAAAGTCTCACCCGCGACGAAGACGCCGGCATCGAACTTGTTCACGCCCTTCTCTTGGAATCGGACCTGATTGCCGTTGCAGAACACGGCGTAGTCGATGGTCGTTTGGCTGTGGCCCGAGGGCGTGCTCGACAAGCCAAACTGCAAGTGCCTGTTGTCGGTGCGCATGCAGTCGCCGGAAATGCCGCGAACCTCGTCGCCGACTTTCGTGATGGCGCGCGCGCTGTACGCACCTCTTGCCCAGTTGTTCCCGCCTTGAGTACGTTTGAGGTAGCCCTGTTTGCCGTCCGTCGTCATGCCCTGCGAAAGTCCGACCCACTCGATGAGATCGAGATCCCGTGAACCTTTATGAACAACTTTTATCCACTTCACATTTTCGAGGTGTCCTCCACCTTCATCAACGTATCCATCGGCAAACAATGGGAAGATCGGTTCTCTGCTACTATTGTAGACAGAATGTCCTTCTTTATAATAGTGAACGATACCCTCGTCATTAAATGCGACCTGGAACGTTTCTCCCGCGAGGTATGTTCCGATCGTGGCCATAAGCTCACCGTCTTCGTAAACTTCCATTGTTCCGGCATTGCAACCAACGGCATACTCAATAGCATCGCCATCCGAGGGTGTGTAATGAGCGCTGCTCAAACCGAATATCATTTTCGTTGTTGTGTCACTGCAATCCGCAGAAATACCGCGAACTTCGTCATAAATTTTAGTTACGGCGCGTTTACTTGTCGAGCGCACAATGTCCATTTTTTCAGGTGTAACCGGCAAGTACACGTCGCCGTGTGACACTTCACATCGCTGGACTGTTTCAAAGTCCATCATGTTTAGCCAATGCATGTGGCTTAGCTTCGCACCTTCGGTGAAGATTCGAGCCTGGGAGTAAAGAGGGAATTCAACACTTTTAGTGCTGACATGAAGAACATTACCATTTTGCAGATACTCGATGACACCATGCTCGTTGATGACGATAGAAAATGTCTCTCCAGGGCTGTACGCCGAAGGAGGCTCGACAATGCGCTCGTGCCTTTGGAAGGCTGACGCATTGTGTTGGTCATTTATGTATTCGGGTGAATCACTATCCAATGAATCAAGTGCCAAGTCTGGCGAAGTACCAAGATGTGTTGAAGGCGGTGGACCTTGAGCATCGTTCTCCGGGGTCGGGACTTGAAGTTGGCCTTCAATCCCATGTGGTGTATTCGGCTCGGGACGTCGATGTGGCTCGATTGTTTTGATGACAACTCCATCTTCAAGGAGACGCAACGTTCCGGCATCACAGTATATCGCAAAGGACAGGTTCGTCTGCGCCGGAGCAGTAGCGGTTTCATTCGCAGCGGTTTCATTCAACTGAGCATCTTGATCACCTTGCACCATGAGTCCAAACATCATCTGTGACTTGTTGTCGGAACAATCGGCAGACACGCCTTTTTTGGTGTCATTCCAACCGCGAATTGATGAACGACTCGTTGCGAAAGCAAGTAATGAAGCTTCTTCGATGCGTTTTGCCGCCTCTTCACTCAACACGTGAGCGAGAGATCCAGGTGTAAGAGTCGCATTCTCAGGTAGAAGGAACTCAACAGGCTCAAGGTCATCGGCACCTTCAATGATTCGGTAAACCCAGCGCGCGTTGGCCAGCTCTGCGAGGTGGTTGTGAAACGACGTGTCGGCGTAGAGCGGGAAAGAAGGCGACGTCAAGCTCGTGTACTTGAGATCGCCGTCGACGTAGAACTCAATCGCGCCCGCGTCGTTCACGATCACTTGGAAAGTCTCACCCGCGACGAAGACGCCGGCATCGAACTTGTTCACGCCCTTCTCTTGGAATCGGACCTGATTGCCGTTGCAGAACACGGCGTAGTCGATGGTCGTTTGGCTGTGGCCCGAGGGCGTGCTCGACAAGCCAAACTGCAAGTGCCTGTTGTCGGTGCGCATGCAGTCGCCGGAAATGCCGCGAATCTCGTCGCCGACTTTCGTGATGGCGCGCGCGCTGTACGCGCCTCTTGCCCAGTTGTTCCCGCCTTGAGTACGTTTGAGGTAGCCCTGTTTGCCGTCCGTCGTCATGCCCTGCGAAAGTCCGACCCACTCGATGAGATCCAAGTCGTTCGCACCCTCGTGGACAGTCTGTATCCAGGAGACTCGAGAGAAAGACGCGCCTGCAGTGTTGAAGCGCGCGGTGGCGTAGAGCGGGAAGGCAGGCGCCTCATCAGACGTCGCAAACGCCGCGCCATCCTTGTAGTACGTGACGACGCCCGAGTCGAGCACGACCACTTGGAACGTCTCACCGACGAAGTAATCGCCAAAGTCGCCGTCGCGCACGACGCCGTGTTCGGAGATGCGGATCACGCCGTTGTCGCACACAATGCCGAAGTCGACCACCTCGTCGACGGAGTTCGTCGAGCCAGAGTTCAAGCCAATCATCATGGACTTGTCCGTTTGGTCGCAATCCGCGGAGACGCCACGCACTTCGTCGCCGATCTTCGTGATGGCACGTTTGCTCGTGGCGCCGACGTTCCAGCCACTGCCTGCCATTGTGCGCGTCACTTGGCCCGCGGAAGACTCGACGCCTTCCGCGTCTTCAAACTCCATGGCCGCCAAGTCGTTCGCGCCCTTGACAACCTTGTGAACCCAGCGCGCGTTGGCCAGCTCTGCGAGGTGGTTGTGAAACGACGTGTCCGCGTAGAGCGGGAAAGAAGGCGACGTCAAGCTCGTGTACTTGAGATCGCCGTCGACGTAGAACTCAATCGCGCCCGCGTCGTTCACGATCACTTGGAAAGTCTCACCCGCGACGAAGACGCCGGCATCGAACTTGTTCACGCCCTTCTCTTGGAATCGGACCTGATTGCCGTTGCAGAACACGGCGTAGTCGATGGTCGTTTGGCTGTGGCCCGAGGGCGTGCTCGACAAGCCAAACTGCAAGTGCCTGTTGTCGGTGCGCATGCAGTCGCCGGAAATGCCGCGAATCTCGTCGCCGACTTTCGTGATGGCGCGCGCGCTGTACGCGCCTCTTGCCCAGTTGTTCCCGCCTTGAGTACGTTTGAGGTAGCCCTGTTTGCCGTCCGTCGTCATGCCCTGCGAAAGTCCGACCCACTCGATGAGATCCAAGTCGTTCGCACCCTCGTGGACAGTCTGTATCCAGGAGACTCGAGAGAAAGACGCGCCTGCAGTGTTGAAGCGCGCGGTGGCGTAGAGCGGGAAGGCAGGCGCCTCATCAGACGTCGCAAACGCCGCGCCATCCTTGTAGTACGTGACGACGCCCGAGTCGAGCACGACCACTTGGAACGTCTCACCGACGAAGTAATCGCCAAAGTCGCCGTCGCGCACGACGCCGTGTTCGGAGATGCGGATCACGCCGTTGTCGCACACAATGCCGAAGTCGACCACCTCGTCGACGGAGTTCGTCGAGCCAGAGTTCAAGCCAATCATCATGGACTTGTCCGTTTGGTCGCAATCCGCGGAGACGCCACGCACTTCGTCGCCGATCTTCGTGATGGCACGTTTGCTCGTGGCGCCGACGTTCCAGCCACTGCCTGCCATTGTGCGCGTCACTTGGCCCGCGGAAGACTCGACGCCTTCCGCGTCTTCAAACTCCATGGCCGCCAAGTCGTTCGCGCCCTTGACAACCTTGTGAACCCAGCGCGCGTTGGCGAGCTCTGCGAGGTGGTTGTGAAACGACGTGTCCGCGTAGAGCGGGAAAGAAGGCGACGTCAAGCTCGTGTACTTGAGATCGCCGTCGACGTAGAACTCAATCGCGCCCGCGTCGTTCACGATCACTTGGAAAGTCTCACCTGCGACGAAGACGCCGGCATCGAACTTGTTCACGCCCTTCTCTTGGAATCGGACCTGATTGCCGTTGCAGAACACGGCGTAGTCGATGGTCGTTTGGCTGTGGCCCAAGGGCGTGCTCGACAAGCCAAACTGCAAGTGCCTGTTGTCGGTGCGCATGCAGTCGCCGGAAATGCCGCGAATCTCGTCGCCAACTTTCGTGATGGCGCGCGCGCTGTACGCGCCTCTTGCCCAGTTGTTCCCGCCTTGAGTACGTTTGAGGTAGCCCTGTTTGCCGTCCGTCGTCATGCCCTGCGAAAGTCCGACCCACTCGATGAGATCCAAGTCGTTCGCGCTTTCCACGGTCCCTTGTCTCGCCACCGTGCGCACGATCGTCGGTCTCTCTCCTAACCCGACGCCCAGCGCGCTCAGCGCCAGCCCCGCGCACGCCGCCCGCGCGCCCCATCGCCAGATTCCACCGGAAACCTCCTCGCGACGCCTCTCCGACCGCAACAACGGCGTCGCCTCATCCCTCGACGTCCACCTCGCCGCCATCGTCGCGCCCGTCTCCCTCACGCGCGCGCGAAATCGATTCAACACCTCCTCACGGCACCGCAAACGTCACGAGTCGACGCGCGTCGCCTCGTTCTTTCGCGCGCGCTCGCACCGCGTGGGTCCCGAGACCGGTCGCGCGAGTTATTTCTCCGCCCCGCTCACTCGCTCGTTCGACGCGCGCCTCGCCGTCGCGGCCGCGCGTCGCTGAATGCCGCGCGCGCCCGGTCCGCGCTGATTGTGCTGACTCGTCAAAGGTGTTACGCGAGTGGGTCGTCGCTTGAGTCATGAACCCTCGATGGTTACGCGAGTGGGTCGTCGCTTGAGTCATGAACCCTCGATGGTTGATTTGTTTCGCCTTTTCGGTCGTGGCACACGAACCGCACTTCGCGACGCCTCGACCGACGATGCGGCGTCGCGCGCGCGCGACGCTTCGCGCGGCGTGCGTCGCGTGCGTCCTGTCCGCGACCGTCGTCGCCGCGTCGACGATGCGCGCCGACGCGCGACGCGCGGCGCGGCGAGGCGTCGACCCGATGGCGATCGCATCGTACGACGTCGAGACGTTTCGCTGCGACGACGGCGCGACGACGCTCGCGATCGCGCGCGTGAACGATGATTATTGCGATTGCGCGGACGGGTCGGACGAACCGGGGACGAGCGCGTGCGCGGGTCGAGGGCTGGGGAGGGATTCGTTTTACTGTCGAAACCTCGGGGCGACGCCGCGCGCGGTGCCGAGTTCGCGAGTGGACGACGGCGTGTGCGATTGCTGCGACGGTAGCGACGAAGCGCACGGGAGAAAGGGGACGGTGTGTGAGAACACGTGCACTAGCGAGGCGCGGGCGAGGCGAGAGACGTTGATGGCGACGCTGGCGGAGCACACAAGAGGGGCGAAGGCACGCGGGAAGGCGGCGGGCAAGGCGAACGGAAAGCGAGAGGGCTGGATTAGGGAGCGCGCGGCGTTGGAGAGGGAGATGAGCGGGAAGAGGGAGCGTGTTGAGGCGTTGAGAGTCGAGGCGGAGGCGGCGGAAGAGGAAGAGCGGAAGATTCGCGAGGAGAAGGAGGCGGAGGAAGCCGAGGCGAAGGAGAAAATCGCGGCGGACGCGGTCAAAGCCGAGGATGCCGAGAACGACGCAGGCGCGGCGGAACGAGACGTGGAAAATTCTAACGTCGACGAACCGGAAGCTCCAGCAGAGGAGACGGATGAGGAGCGCGGCAAACGCATCGCGAGTCAGTGGATCTCAAACGACGAGAAGAGCGCTGACGACTCTTCGGCGAGCGAAGAAGAAAAAGTCGCCGCCGAGGGCGCTGTTGAGAGCGACGACTTTATGAGACCCCCTCGCAAGGTTGGTTCGTTCTTTAAACGCTTGCGGGACGTCGTGCGTCGACCTCGCGACGCCGTACTCGCGTCGCAGGCAAAGTCAAAGCGAGACGCGTACGACGTCGAGCGGCGCGCGCTGGAGGCCAACGACGATAAACTCAGAGAGCTGCGAGAAAACATCGATCGCGATTACGGCCCGGACGACGCTCTTATTTCGTTACAAGGTTTGTGTTTCGATCAGAAGATAGAAAAGTACGTGTACAAGGCGTGCCCGTTTGGTGAGGCCAAACAAGACAACACGCAACTTGGACGAAACTCTGAAGGCGTCCGAATCGACGCCGACGGTAAGACGATGACTCTGAAATTCGCAGACGGCGACGCGTGTTGGAACGGTCCGAAGCGCTCGCTCACGCTCACCCTCAAATGTGGCGACAAAGAGCGCTTAGCCGCGATCGAAGAACCGTCTCGATGCGAATACGTCGGCGTCTTCTACGCCCCCGCGGCGTGCGACGACGCCTCCGTCTTCGCCTTGGAGCGCGAGCTCAGCGATCTCGACCGCATCCTCGCGGCGTCTTCCATCTCACCGCGCGACGAATTGTAATCCACGCGTTCGTCGTCCCCGCTCGATCACACGTCGAACCCCTCCGCGCGCAAACACTTCAGGTGTTGCTCAATCTTCTCCCTGCACGCCCCGTCCTCGTCCGCCCCGTGCGTCACCACGCACTCGTCCCGCGCGCGCTTCGTCTCCGGACACGCGCAGCATATTTTCTTCGGCTTTTCTTTCGTCTCCGCTTTGCTCGCCGCGCCTCCCATCGCGCGCGTCGGAATTTGACGTCACTCCTGGTCCGCGCGCGCGTCTCGCCGCCATGTCGCGCGTCGCGACGCCCGCGCCGCGCGCGCCGCTTCGCTCGACGCGCGCCTCGCGATGCGCGCGCGCGCGTCGTCCCTCTCGCGCGACGACGACGCGATGCGCGCCCGCGCGCGACGCGACGACGCGTTCGATGACGCGCGGGCGACGCGCGGGCGCGCTCGCGCCGGCGCCGATGACGCGCGCGGGCGCGGCGACGCGGCGACGCGCGCTGCAGACGACGGAGGACACGCCCGTGAGCGCGGAGGCGAGGGCGGAGGCGTACGATTGGCGCGCGCACTGGTACCCGGCGGCGTACGTCGCCGACGTGGAGAAGGACGCGCCGCTGACGTTTACGCTCCTGGGCGAACCGCTGGTGTTCTGGCGGGACAAGAGCGGCGAGATGCGCTGCGTCGCGGATAGGTGCCCGCACAGGTTGGTACCGCTGAGCGAAGGACGCGTCAACGAGACGGGTGAGCTCGAGTGCGGGTATCACGGGTGGACGTTTACGGGAGAGGGTAAGTGCACGTCCATTCCGCAAATCGAGCAAGGGACGGGTTTGGAGACGGCTTTGAAGTCTCCGAGATCGTGCGTCGCGGCGTACCCGACGAAAGAGGCGCAAGGCATGCTTTGGGTGTATCCGACCTCGATGGATAAAGCGCCGGCGACGCTGCCAGATTTGCCGCTAATCCCAGAGTACGACGACCCGGAGTGCGTGTGTCAAGACATCTTTCGGGATCTTCCCATGGATTGGGCGACTTTGCTTGAAAACGTCATGGATGTTAGTCATGTGCCGTTTACGCATCACAACAGCGTTGGTAAGCGAGAAAATGCGACGCCAGTGAATTTGGAATTGGCGAGCGCCGCGGGCGTCACGGCGAACGGATTCGAAGGGATATGGAAGGAAGGTCCGAGGAAAGGTAAATATGGGTCTCAATACACCGAGTTCAAAGCACCGACGTTAATGCGCCACACGCTCAAGACGGAGGCTTTCACGACGCTCACCGTCGTGTACGCGGTGCCGACGACACCCGGCCGATGCCGACTTATGGCGCGATTTCCATTCATCTTCAAATCGGCGTTGCCGCGATTCTTTTTCGGTCTTTACCCGCAATGGTTCTCGCACACGAATCAAAATGCAATTTTAGAGGATGACCAAATCTTCTTGCACAAGCAAGAGCGATTGATCGAGGTTGAGCAAAAAGAAGGCAAGTCATACGCGCAGTCGTGCTACATGCCCACCAAGGCAGACGTCTACGTTTCGGCGTTCCGCAAGTGGATTGTCGACGTCGCCGGCGGCGGTCCAGCGTGGCCGAAGGATATGCCCACTGATTTGCCACCGCAAGAAACCACGCGCGAGGCTTTGCTCGATCGCTACCATTCGCACACGATAAACTGCAAGTCGTGCGCCAGCGCTTTGGCGAAAATCGGCAAGGCGCGAAAGGCGCTTCGCGTGCTCACCTTTGTCGCTCTCGCCGCTGCCGTGGCGACTTTTGCGCGAGCAGTACCGTTGAAGTACACGATCGCCTTGTCGGTACTATCCGCCGCGTGCGCTTTGGTTCGCGAGAAACTCGGCGCGTTTGCCGCGAAGATGAAAATCGGGCCGTATCCGCCACCGCGCAGACCGCCATCCATGATGGAGGCAGCGTTGCAACAAGCGCGAATCGCGTTTTAATCAGGCGTTTTAATCAGGCGATTCAGTTAGTATATTCATGATTACAACCATTTTTACGCTCATCTCTCATCGTCATCGAACAGTCACGACGATATTACGAAAACGCGAGCGTCTTCGACCCCGATTCCAGACACGCCGAACATCTCCAGGAGACGCTCCTTGAGAGGCGCGAGAGCAATCCAGCCTTTTTTGCGCATCTCGCGTGCACGAAGCGTTCGCATGCGCGACAGCGCAGCCAGGGATTAATTAATTCGAACGAGCGATGTTCGATGCGCACGTCAAGATGGGTTTCACACAGCGCGCACGCTTGTTCGTTCAAGACGAGACGAGAACGCGCGCGCGTGCGCGCGCGCGTGCCCAACGCCGCCGGCGCGGATCTCGGCACGAATAATTTCTCCAGCGACATCTCGAATGTGGGCTCGTCGTAACGCGTGTTGAACATCTCCGTGAGCACGCGCGCTCGCGCGGTCTCGAACGCGTCCGCCGCGAGTTGTTCCGCGCAAACTCGTCTCTGCGGCGCAGTGAGTGAAAATTCAAATTTGAACGAAACTTTTGACGTACCTTGAGCGTTTCTGGCGTGCGCGCGCGTCGAACGAGCTCGATTTCGAAGTGTTTTGTCGTTTTTCGTTGCGCTCTATCCTTTTTGGGCGGCATGAGACGGTGAAGAGGCGACGAATGAAGTCTGTTGTGTTGTCAAAGCGTCGAGGCGAGTCGATGTTCTATCATCATTGTAGACGTCTATCATTGTAGGCTATCATCGTTGTAGACGCTTCTTGCTATACTAGGAAATCGCTATCGCCGATTAACAACTCCGTTGTCTTGGGCGAGGTTTCGTCGGCGATGAAGAAGTGGCGCTCGGCCATGTTTTCTTCGTCGCCCATGGTAGAACCGCCAAGCACAGGCGGAACAACGGAGAAAAACTTTTCAGTGACGCGTTCAAGCAACACGCCTTCGTCGACGAGATGGTTCAACGCGCGCGCAATGAGGTGAATTGGGTACGATTTGCCAAGTGCATTCACGATCCGCGTCTCCGAGGATCCCGGTTGGTTGAGCGCCACGGCGGCGGCGGCGCGTGTGCAATTTTCAAACGCCGCATTGTCGGCGAAATCCATGGCGTTCTCTGAAGGCATGGAATATACGATTTCGTTCTCGTGCGTTTCCGTTCGAAGGGCTCCACTCGAAACAAGCACGCCGAGCGCATGATGCACGTTGTACGCTCCAAGTGCTCCAAAGGTCTCGGCGACTTTCGCCACTCGAAGTTCATCGATGATGACTTGACTCGGTACCGCTGTGCCAGCTTTTTCAACAATCTTCAAGCACTTCGATTCTACGTTCTTTAAATTTTTTGCGGGCAAGCGAAGCGTACCGACGGTTTCCACCGCGACTTCTGCACTCGCTTTCGAAGCGTCGAGAATTTCAATCTTCACGCTGTGCATCGCCTTGACTGCGACGTTGGGCGATTTAAAGTACGTCGAATCGCCAGCACCTTGACCGTTGAACGCTTGTGGTAACGAGTCTCCCACCGAGTCAGTCGTGGTAGACATAGCAACTCTATTGTCGACCAATGCTTGGCATAGAGTGAGGACTTGCGGACCGTTCGGAGCGATGCAGGCTACAGTGTTTGGGGCGTTAGCGTCGAAGAGTGTCTGCGCGTAACTGAGCGCGTCCACTCGAGGCGAGGGCACGACGTGGTCGTGCAAATCCTTGAACGGAACTGTGATTTCCTCGTCGACGTCTGAATCATCGTAGTCACTAACGTCGTCTTCGTCGCTATCATCGCTCTCGTCCTGAAATGAGATGGCGCGTCGGCGAAGAAATGCGATTGGCGCGAGACGCGCAAGGATAATGTCGTCGTCGGCCTCAGTGAGATCTCGACCGGCTCGGATTCGACGAACTTTTTCCTCCCGTTTTTGCCTCATGCGATTGCCGTGTCGAGGTGACTTGGGCACGTCGCGTCGTGAGAGAGGATAAGGCACTGGGAAGTCATGCAAGACTGCGCGCGTAGCTTGCAAAACTTGTTTCGCGATGCCCTCTGACCATTTTCCGGTGCAATCCCAGATTTCATCCCAGCGATCGATCGCTTCGGAACTATCCGGCGTCGGTGACGGTAAATGAGGAAGCGCACTATCGCGCCGAGCGCGAGCGCCGCGCTCGTAAAATTCTGCCCCGATTCGAAGTATAGCGTCGTGTCTCTGGGTCTTGATATCGCCTTCGTCTTCACCTTCGCCAACGGTGAGTTGTCTCCAACGCTTTACCACCGTACGCTTCTTCACTACTGGATAACGCGAACGCCACATTGGATCAGAGTACACCACTGACGCACGATAGTCACGTTTTTCTGCTCTCAAAGCGTTCGTTCCAGAAAGCGCGATGAAACGAATCATGCAAAACACCAAGAATTCGTCCTCTGACGGGCCAAAGATGAATTTCTTGCGCGAGGTGGTTACACCAAATTCACCGTCGCTTTCGTCGTCATCGAACAACTCTTGCGGAGCGACTCTACTATCATCTATGTTTTCTTTTGCTAAGGCGCTCGATGGGGATTCAATGTGCGATAAAGAGTCCAATCGAAGCGTCGGTGCACGCGCTGTGTTCGCCGGCGGCATAATCGAGCGTTGCGACACACGACTGCTTACTTTGAAGCGAGAGTAGTGCGCATACATGTTCAACGCCCTAGCCGCCACGTCTGATGAAACCACTCCATCTGTCACGGCTGCACATATTTTCGCATAGCAAAAATTTCGCCATGTTTGCTTGATGTGATTCAAATCGTCCGGGAGATCAAGATCTTGGGCGAGTTGCTCGACGCGAAGCGCGTCTTCGTTGGGCAACCCAGATTCTGCAAGAGATTCGATCGCCGCACCGACGAGCGATTTGTTTTCACTTGCTGAGCCATCGTTCAGATGTTCATCTTTGGTCGAAACCTCCGCGCGGACGAGCAACAGATGGAGAAGTGCGTCCCAAGCCTCTCGTAAACGATCCATGAGAATGATGCAGTTATCCAACGATAGTGCCCACTTGCGATTCCACGCGCGCACTGAAGTGATTCGAGGGTAAGTGAAGTCTATAGCCGGGTGCGCGTTATCCATCTCAGGTTTACCCTTAAACGTATTCTCTAGCGCACTCCAATATTCTCGCGCGCCGGTTTCGGTCGTGACGTCAAAATTTTCGCTCCACGAACTCTCATCCTCGGTGTCGGCAGGTTTCGTTTGAAATCGCGCGCTCTTTCTGAGCGTTAACACGAGTTCTATTGATTCAGTCGCCTCGTTATACTGAGGCACCTCGTAAAGTAATCCGAGCGTCATCAATCGCTGTGTGAGCCTGGACATGTAATACGTCGATTGTACTTTATCACGTAATTCTCTCGGTAAATCTTTCACGAGCTTTTCGCGCAAGCCCTCGGCTTTGATGTGCTCTAAATCTTGAGCGACAATAGATTTTGACTCCGTGCTGTTCACCACTTTAATGTAAATCGAAATCGGCATTGATCCATCCAGTACGTCGCCGTTAATCGCGCCGTCCTCGGAGCCGCGCTCGAAAACGTTTGCAACCAAGTACAAGTGTAGGGCTTCGAGACGAACGAGCGCAGACTTGATGTAACCCAACCCGATAGCGTGAAAGTCGTGAAGCGTCCGGTAATTAGAGCGAATGTCAACATCGTCCTCCATGACTACGTCTCGCGTCGCGATTGCAGACGCCGGCGGCGCCGGCAACGCCTGCATCGGTTCGACGCGCACGACTTCACTCAAGCCAAGTTTCTTAATCGTGCGCTGCCTATGCGCTACCTCCGTCGTTTGAATGTCATCTTTCAGCGCCTCGATAAAAGCCGCATCCTCGGCGCTCGCCGGATCAAATGGGTAGTCAATGTGAAACAGAATCTTGTCTGGCGGACGTTCCGTCACACTCCACGCGATCTCGCGCACGACGCCTTCGCCGTTACGAACGACGTTATCGACGATCGCATTGATACTTTTCTTGTCGACAGCCTTATACAATCCGCCTTCGGCGGCGGCGAGCCACGTGCTCAAGCGATTGATGTAAAGAAATCCTTTCATGCGTAATTCTTCGACAAGAATGTCGTAACGACGCGTGGCGTCGTCGACAATCATCAAGTCTTCTTTCAACGCGGCCGACTTCGCGGTCGTCGCCGGCGCATCGCGCGTTCCGACGTCTACGTCGTTCTCGTTCGGCGCAAAGAAGGTGACCTTTGCCTTGCCGCGCTGCACGGTGACGCGCCGAAACAGCTTGTCATCGTCGCACATTTTCAACACGCGTTTCTCCAAGACTCGCGGTGCAACGTCGTAGTCGCTCAAGATTTCCGCTTGACTAACACTACCACACTCGCGCACGCGTTGGCAAAGCTGCGTCTCGAACGTTTGTTCCGCCACGACGGCGGCGCGCGCGCCGCGGCCGGTCCAATCCGCGTCGTCAAAATTCTCCTCGCCGTCGACGTCATTTTCGTCTACGTCGTTCGCGTCGTAAAGTCTCAGCAATCGCAACGAGTCACCTATATCGCCTAAAACGGGTTCGACGTACTTTAAACGACACAACTGAAGCTTGACCGCGTTGAAGACTTTCGTCTGCTGCTTCATAGTTTTACCCACCAGCAACGACGAGTGCGCGAATTCCTCGTGCAAGCGCTCGCGGACGCTCTTGGCCAGCGCCGTTCGCTGCGGCGCCGCATCTAGTATTCTAGTAAACGCTTCGTTATACGCCGCGCTCTCATCCACTCTCGACGTTTCACTTCGAGCGAAACGACGCAGCCGCGCCACGTTCTCCGTCGCTCCGCTCCTCGCGTTTGTCTTTTTCAAACTCACCAATCCCGCCCCCGCGAGCGTGCGCACGGCGTGATCCATGCTCTTCCCCCCGCACGCCTTGTTCAACTCGATCGTCGTGATCCCTCGCGCGCCGCATCGACCGATGATCTCCAGCGCCCCGCGCGCGTTGTCGCTCAGCCCGTGTTCCCACGTCGCCTCGTCCCCGATCCCCAGCGCTCGCGCCCGCGTCGCCGCGTCCGCCACGAACCGCACTCCCGACGACATCGATCCGTTCTCCGCGCTCTGTCGCACCGCGTCGACCGCGCGCTCCAAGCGCGTCGTCCCGGTTCGTCGTCGCGTTCGCCTCCGCGTCTCGCCGTCGCCGCCGTCGTCTCGTCCATCACCATCGTCACCCCCCACGCGCGATCCGCCGCCGCGCGCACCGCCGCGCGCACGCCCGACGCTCCCCCGAGCGTCTCTCGCCGCCGCGCGTCGCTCGCGCCGTCCCTCGCGTCGCCCTCGCGCGTCGTCTCGTCGACGGTTGCGCGCGCATCGAAATGCGTCGCGATTTCGCGCGCGTCCGCGCCGCGCGCGCCCGCGAGGGCGACGTACGCCACCGCGAGCGACGCGTCGCGCGCGTCGTCGCGCATGCGCGCGCGCGATCGCCGCGACGCGCGCGTGTGCCGACGCGACGCGCGTCGCGCGACGGGACGACGACCGCGCGCGCGACCGAAAACCCACGCGAGGCGAAACTCGGCGCGCGGTGTGACCCTCGCGCGCGCGCGTCGAGGCGCGCACACGGCGCCGCGACGCGACGCGCGCGACGACGCGCCGCGAGGGCGACGTAAAAAACTCCCTCGACGGCTCGGACGCGCGAAAGCGGCGAAACGACGCGCGCGACGACGCGAGCGACGGTGAAACGAGCGCGCGCGGGAATTTCGAACGATCGCGACGGACGGTGATTCCGCGCGATGACGACGACGCTGGACGTCGACAGCGTCATCGAACGGTTGCTGAGCGTGCGAGGACAACCGAATAATCGAACGGTGCAGCTCGCGGAGGGAGAGATCAGGGCGCTGTGCGCGGCGGCGAGGTACGTTGGAATGGTGGATCGATGACGCGCGGACGCGGCGGTGAGGCGAAGATCTAAGGGTGATTGGCGCGCGCGCGACGTCGTGGAGAGGCGTTGACGCGCGGCGTGCGATGAGGCGATATTTGCGTCGTCGCGAGACGCGAATGGAGGGACGAGGGAGGCGACGGGCGTCGAGGGAGGAGGGACGAAGCCGGGCAGTTGGAACGCGCGAGGCGGACGCCGATCTCGAGCGAACGCGACGCGCGTCGTCGACGGCCGAGCGCGGATGACGCGGGCGTTACGACTGGTGAATCGTTGAGGGTGATGAGGTGATGCGGAAGGATGCGGGATGGCGCGCGATGTGGCGACGAAGACTGACGAAATCGAAACTTTCGCTCGCTCGCTCGCTCGCAGAGAAATTTTCCTGGCGCAGCCGTGCTTGTTGGAGCTCGAGGCGCCGTTGAAGATTTGTGGTGACGTTCACGGACAGTACTCAGACTTGTTGCGATTGTTCGAGTACGGTGGGTTTCCGCCGGAGGCGAACTATCTGTTCTTGGGGGATTACGTCGATCGCGGCAAGCAAGGCTTGGAGGTGATTTGTTTGCTCCTGGCGTACAAGGTGAAGTACCCGGAAAACTTTTTCCTACTCAGAGGTAACCACGAGTGCAACTCGATCAGTCGGATTTACGGGTTCTACGACGAGTGCAAGAGGCGCTACAACATAAAGCTGTGGCGCGTGTTTTGCGACGTCTTTAACTGTCTGCCGTTCGCCGCCATCGTGGATGAGAAGATCTTTTGCATTCACGGTGGACCGAGCCCGGAGTTGAAGGACTTGCAGCAGATAGTTCAAATCAAGCGGCCGACGGATATTCCCGACATGGGAATGCTTTGTGACTTTTTATGGAGCGATCCGGATGCGGATATACAAGGCTGGGGCGAAAACGACCGCGGCGTGTCGTACACTTACGGTACCGACGTCGTCGGCGATTTCCTCCACAAGTTTGATTTTGACTTAGTTGTTAGAGCACATCAGGTGGTTGAGAACGGTTACGAGTTTTTCGGAAAGCGTCAACTCGTCACGGTGTTCTCGGCGCCGAATTACTGCGGGGAGTTTGACAACGCCGGCGCGATGATGACGGTGGATGAAAACTTAATGTGCAGCTTCCAGATATTAAAGCCTGCGGAGCGCAAACTCATGGGTGGTTTTGGGAGTATGATGGGCGCGCGTCCTTCCACGCCTCCTCGAACAGGCGGCGCGAAGACGTAAGCCTGGTTTGACAAATTTCGCGAGGCGACGAGAGATTGGGTGTCGGTATTGGAAGAAAGTTTAGCTCGAACTTATGTGTAAACGAACTGGTATAACGCTAATCGCTTCATCGCCCTAACGTTCGCGCGCTATATCGTTCTGCGAACGGTATTCTCCAACCTCTGCGACGGACGCGCGAAGCGTCACTCCGCGGCGCTCCGCGGCGGCTTCGCGCCGCGCGTCCCGAACGCCCGCGCGCGCCCGAACGCGCGCCCGAACGCACCGCGCGTTCGGAATCGTCGCGCATCATGAGTGGCATCAAGACCGCGACGAGAGTGCGCGGGGATGCCATCACGAACGCGCGCCACTCTACGAAGGGAGCCGAGGGGGAACAACCGCCGGAAAAGACATCGTCACCCACCGCGACGACGAAGCGACGAGAGCGCGAATCGAGCGAACGGGATGACTGGAACGAAAATTATAGCGAGCACGCGCGGTGTAACGCGCTCAGGGTGCGTGCGCGCGACGCACAGGCGGAAGAGTCTGTTCATTTCTCTGTCCCAAAGTCGAGCGGGACGACGACGCCGTTTTGACCGACGAGCGAACGCGAACGCGCGACTGACGGTGCGAACGCGCGAGCGCGCGCGATCATTTATCCAACAGATTGGCGCGAAACGCGATTTTGCGGCGGCGGAATCGATCGGGATACGCGTGAGAGGTTGGGACGAGAAGGACGTTCGGGACGCGGGCCGAGCGTCCTTTGTGGGCGGGTCGTACGAGTTTTTAAAACCGAGCGCGAGCGCGGCGACGTTCGGCGCCGGGTTCGTCCCGAACGGAACGGCGAGTGCGAGTGGTCGCCTGTCGTTGTCTGCGTCGCCGGGACGCGCGGGGGAGATTCGACAGAGCGTACACAAGGTGGCGCGACAAAAAGGCGTCTCGAGCGGTCGCACGTACACGAGCAAGTATCGCGGCGTCCATCAAACGTTTCCCACGGGGCGTTGGGAGGCACAGTTCCGCCGCAACGGCAAACCCACATCTTTGGGTTGTTTCGATCGCGAAGAAGAGGCGGCAAAGGCGTACGATCGCATGATGCTTTGGTGTGAAATGCACGCCAGTCAGCTCGCCGTCGTATCGGCGTCGCCGCAAAAGCAAGGCGCGGCGCAGTTAAATTTCGACGTCGCGACGTATACCAACGACTTGCACGCCCTCGAGCACATGTCTCAGGATGATTTAATGTTAGAGCTGCGCCGATTGGGGCGCGCGCAGGCGGGAGGGCAGCAGGTTGCGTTCGTCCCGTAGTCGACCTCGCGTCTGAAATGTCAAATCCGCAGCGCTAGTAGCCCCATTCTCCGCCCGTCCATGTCCGTCGCGCCGTCGATCGCGACGAAACTCCGCACGCGCACGAATACGACCGCGAACGACGCGCGAACGAACGAATCAAGACTCGCGCGCGCGCACAGACGAAGCAAACGAGCGACGCAGACGCGAAGCATGTCCAACGATGATGCGTCGACGAGCGACGCCGCAGCGCCCGCACACGCGCCGAGCGCGTACGGGAAGCTCATGCAAAGCATGAACACCGCCGGTATCGCGCTTTTTTTTAAGTCATCGGTGACGGATCGCGCGCTGGCGATGCCGCAGGTGTCGTGCGAGGACGTGTCGCGGGTACGTTGGTCGCACCTAAAGTCGCTCGGGTTCGCGGGAGTCGTGTTCGACAAAGATAACACGCTGACCACTCCTTACGCGTTGGAAGTGCATGAAAAAGTGCGCGCGTCGTTGGAGGCGTGCAAAGAAGCGTTCGGGGCGGAGAATGTGGCGGTGTATAGTAACTCGGCCGGGTTGTTTCAATACGACCCAGATGGGAAAGAGGCGGACGCAATGGAGCGCGCGCTCGGGATAAAGTTCATAAGACACGCCACGAAAAAGCCCGCGGGTGATGTCGACGACGTCGTTGCGCATTTTCCCTCGTGTGACAGCGCAAAAAAGTTAATCTTCGTGGGCGATAGATACCTCACGGATGTCGTCTACGGCAATAGGCACGGGATGTTCACCGTCAGAGTCGCCCCATTCACCACCAAGGGCGAATCGCTCGCCATCAAGAGCGCGAGAAAAATAGAAGAATCCGTCGTCGCCCTGTGGCGCTCGCTCGGCGTCGCTCCGAAACCCCACGAGCTGTTATTCCCGGGCGGCGTCTCCTCGGACGCCGACGGCAAGTCTCACTGGACCCTCATCGACGGCGAACCGGCGTCGGAAAACCTCAAGCGCGCGCTTTTGTGATGTTCTAATTTGTCTCTATCGGCTCTTTGCCTTCACGCTTCGACCCCATCGCGCGCCCGCGCGCGCGCTCGCTCGCGCCCCTGGACTTATCTATCGGGTGTCCCCCTACCGACGTCACGAGACGGCGATTCAATTCGCCACTCCTCGACGCGCCCGCGTCGTCGACCAAGCCCGTTCAAAATGAGCGCGCAACAACTCCTGAGTAACACCGTCGCGGTTTCTGCGCGCACCTCGCGCGCGAACGCGACGAACAAGTCGCAGCGCGCGAAATGCGTCGCCAAGCGGTCGCAGACTCGAACGAACGCTGTCGCCGAACGTACGTCGCGCCCACGCCTTGATGACGCCCGCGATGGACGCGAAGACGACGATGATGATTTTTATGAAGCCCGAGCGCGCTCGAACGGCGCGCTCGGGGCGCGAGCGAGGCGCCAGACCCCTGGTTTCGGCGAAAAGCGCCGCCGCCGCCACGCGTCTTATCCACAGAACGAACGACTGACGGATGAAAATGAGCGATTTTGACGCACGCAGCGACGGTGACGGCGGGCGCGACGGCGAGAGATGAAATCAGAAACATTGCCATCATCGCGCACGTCGATCACGGCAAGACGACGCTTGTTGACTCGATGTTGGCGCAATCGAAGGTGTTTCGGGACAACGAAAAAGTGGAGGAACGCATCATGGACTCGAACGATCTCGAACGCGAGCGTGGGATCACGATTCTGTCGAAGAACACGGCGGTGACTTACAAGGATAAGAAGATTAACATCATCGATACTCCGGGTCACGCTGATTTCGGTGGGGAAGTCGAACGCGTGTTGAACATGGTGGACGGCGTGCTTTTGCTCGTGGACAGCGTCGAAGGGCCGATGCCGCAGACGCGTTTCGTGTTGAAGAAGGCGTTGGAGATTGGTCTTAAGGTTGTCGTTGTCGTCAACAAGATTGATCGCGAGGGTGCGCGCCCGGATTATGTGGTTGATACCACGTTTGATTTGTTTTGCAACCTCGGCGCGACGGATGAGCAGTGTGAGTTCCCGGTTGTCTACGCCTCGGGCTTCCAAGGCATCGCCGGTATGGAGCCGGATCAGCTCTCCGATTCACTCGAACCGTTGTTTGAAATGATCGTGAACGAAGTCCCGGCCCCAGTCGGAGACGTGACCGCGCCGCTTCAAATGTTGGTGACCAACTTGGACTACGACGAATTCAAGGGACGCATCGCGCTCGGCCGCGTTCGCGCGGGCACCATGACCAAGGCGACCAACGTCAAGATTGGCGTCCCGGACAAGGATGCTCGTAATGGCAAGGTCACCGAAGTGTTCATCTACAACAACTTCGTCCGCTCGCCGGTCGACTCCGTCGGCGCTGGTGACATTTGCGCCATCGCCGGTCTTCCGGACGTCATGATTGGCGAAACCATCATGGTCGAAGGCTCTAAGCCGCTCCCGACGATTACCGTCGAAGAGCCCACCGTTCGTATGTCCATGTCCGTGAACACGTCTCCGTTCGCCGGCCAAGAAGGCAAATACGTCACTTCCCGTAACTTGAAAGCGCGACTCGACCAAGAACTCGAGCGCAACTTGGCGCTCAAGGTTGAACCGGGTGACACAGCCGATACCTTTGTTATTTGCGGTCGCGGTGCTCTCCACATCACGATTTTGATCGAAACCATGCGCCGTGAGGGGTACGAGTTCACGATTGGCCCGCCGGAAGTCATCACGAAGAAGGATGCCGATGGCCACAAGGTTGAGCCGTACGAGGAAGCCTTCGTCGAGGTGCCGGAGGAGTACACGGGCTCGTGCGTCGATTTGCTCGCCAACCGCAAGGGTCAAATGCTTGACCTCGTCACTGACGACAAGGGTCAAACGAAGATGAAGTACAAGGTCCCTACGCGCGGTTTGCTCGGCTTGCGCAACGCCATTTTGACTGCCACTCGCGGTACCGCCGTGTTGAACACAAACTTTGACGAGTACGGCCCGTGGGCTGGCGACATTTCCATGCGCGACCAAGGGTCGCTCATCGCGCACGAAACCGGCCAAGTCACTACTTACGCCATTCAAAGCGCGCAAGATCGCGGCATTTTGATCGTCAAGCCGGGTGCCGAAGTCTACGAAGGCCAAGTTGTCGGCATTCACCAGCGTGCTGGTGACTTGAAGGTCAACGTGTGTAAGAAGAAAGCGGCGACCAACGTTCGTTCGAACAAGGACGCTACCGTCGTGCTCAACGAATCCAAGGAATTGAGCTTGGACGATTGCGTCGAATACATCGCGCAAGACGAACTCGTCGAAGTCACGCCGCTTTCGATCCGCATTTGCAAGAACACGAAGATGAAGACGCGCAACAAGAAGAACTAAAGTCCTTCGCGTCCTTTGCGTGCATGTGTATCATTTCTATTCATTCCACCATTCTTTAGTGTTAGAGTTTGCCTATTCAGCGAGTTTGATGCCATTTCAATATAAAATACAAAGCCATTGCTTATCAGTACAAAGCCATTGCTTATCAGTCTTCGAGCATCGCGTCCATGTCGTCGTCGCCCGTCGTCTCCTTCGGCTCACCTTCTGTGAGCGGAAACATCTCCTGGTCGTCGCCGAAGAGCGCTTTGTACGCACGCTCAGCGGCGCGTAAAGCGCCCTCGAACGTCGCAAGTTCGTCTGGTCCAGGACAATATGCCACGTTCGATGACGAGCATTCGATGTCGTCGAGATGACCGCACCGTCTCTTGTACATCGTGCCCCAAAGAACTTCGGGTTTTTCGACGTCGGCGCCGAATGCGCTCGCCGTAGAGGATACTTCGCCTCGGCGTACTAGCACGTCTAGCGCGGCATTTAAGCCTGCATAGGGATCGACGTTTACATCATCCACGACAGTGGAGAGATACAAAAGGTACTTGCCCTCTGGACAACACCCCGTGTGCGAGCCCACTTGAAGCGCGCGGATGACGGCGGTTTGCGCATCGGCGGCGCTCAAAGGCGGGAACACGACGAGCATCTGGCCGTACTCCGCGACCAACGGCGCGTCTAAAATACACACAGCGTGCACCAAAAGCGGTCCACTGGAACGCTCAGGCGCTGGTACGATGAATTTTCTCGCACGAATCTCTTGACCGCCCGTCGAAATCGCCGCCGAAATCGTCGTCGAGGCGTCCAACTCGCGAACGCCTTGACGCAAGACGTACGTCGCACCATCCACGGCACCAACGCGACAGAACGCTTGCGGGATATCACCGGCACCGTACACAGGAATTAAGCACGCTCCAGTCTGCGGACCGTACTTGGCCACGCTCAAAATGTACACTTTTAAATCTTCGAGCGCCGTCGCCGCGGCGCAATCCGCTCTCGTTTGTAACGCCAGCGCGTAAGTCACGGCCGCACGAAGACTCGCGCTGAGCCCGTGCCGCGTCAAAAACGCATCCATCGTTTCGCCGTTTTCCACGCGCAATCCCTCGGCGTCGTCGTCGTCTTTCGTCGTTTGGAATTCGTCGCCGCCCCACTCGCTTCCCGGCGCGCCCACGGCGACGTTTGTCTCTTCCCCGCTCTTCCCACTTCGCCGCCGTCCGGTCGCGTCCCGCATCGCCTCCACGTGTACCGCCTTCAAAAACCGCATCAACGCCCGTTTCTCGCCCCCGGACAACCCTCGATCCTTGAACACGTCGCTTCGATTACTCGCCACCGCTCGAGCGACGCCGTCCGCGTACACGAACGTCCGCTCGATCGCCTTGAACTCCAAATACTTGTGCGCTCCCGATCGCACGAGCGTTTCCACGAACCCATCCGCGCCGAGCGCCAATCGCGGGGCGTTTAAATCGATCGAGTACCCTCTCGCCGGCGCGTTCGCGTCCTCGTTCGCCGACCGCCGCAACCGCCTCGACGCCGTGTCGTCCACGCGTCCCGTCTTCGCGTCCACGCACGTCCCGAACGTCTCCCACGCGTTCTCTCCGTCGATCGCATCGCTCGCGAACAGCCCGCGCGCGGGCGTCGTCGCCGCGAACGCACCGAACGCGTCGCCGTAAGATGTCCCGGCGTCCAGGCAAACGACGCGCTCGCCGCGCCGCGCGATCGCCGCGGCGAGCACCGCCTGCGGGAGCGCGGTGCCGACGATCAGGACGTCGCACGACTTCGGCAGGTCGAACTCGTCGCCGCGCGCGTCGTTCGCGGGCATCGCGCGCGCGATGTGGCGGACGGTCGGTTCGCGCGCCGCGCGCGAGCGCGCGAACGCGCGGCGACCGATCGGCGGTGACGCGTCGGACGACGACGAAGCGCGGTCGTTCACGACGGCGCCTCGAGCGCGGCGACGGGCGCGAGGGACGTCTCGACGCGTAGAATTGATTGGCAAACTAACGACGACGGTTACTCTACTTTTTGGCGAACTTTGGCGAACTTGCCCTTGCCCTTTTCGAGGAGCGGGTCGTGGACCTCGTAATCGTTGACGTCGGCCGCGTAGGAACCGACGTCGTTTCGAGACTCGGGGACGAAGGCCAACTTGTGAGATTTCCAGTCGCTCGCGTCGTCCTCTTCGTCTTCGTTCTCCTCCATGTAGTACAAGCCCTGCGGGACGAAGCGAGAAACGCCGGCGCGACCGGTTCGTTCGTCGCCGTCTTCCGGTTTGTTCGTCGCCGACGCCGGCGCCTTTTTCGGTTGATTCGAGTTGAACGCGGCGAGACGCGCGAGCGTTTCTTTTTCACGATCGTACACGCGAGACTTGCGCACTTTGGCCTCGATGCGCTTAACTTCACCGCTCGTCATCAACGCGGCGTCTTCCTCGCGCACGGCTCGCTTGCCGAGACCGAGCTTTTTCAGTTTGGTCGCCTCGCGTCGTCGTCGCTCGGCTTCACGCGCCTCCTTCTCCGCCCGTCGCTTTTCCTTCAGATCGCGCTTGTCTCGCTTCGCCGCGAACGCGTCGGCTTGTTCTTTGATGTCTTTTTCGATCTCTTTCAGCCCACCATCGACGTCGCCCAACTCGCGTCGCTTTCGAATCATCTTTTCGCGCATTTGCTCCTGAAACGACGCCGCGTCGGCGCCGCCGTCGGCGTCGTCCCAAGCCCTGCGCCCACCACCGCCCGCCAACGCGGCCTCGTCATCGCTCACGTCCTCGCCCATATCGCGCAAGCGCTCTTTGACGCGTTCCTTCTTTTCTTGCGCCAACGCCTTCTCGCGCGTCGTGCGCTCGAGCGCCTCGCGCGTCTCCTCGGCGTCGGCGCTCACGAGCGTGGCGTCGCCGCCGACATCGTGCGATGACTTGATCCCTTTCAACCCGACTTCTTCTAAGGTCGCCTCCTCTTCCGCCGCTTCTTCGCCGAAAGACAACAGCGCCAGCTTCTTCTTCGCCTTCTTCTGTTTTCTAAAATCCTCCACCTCCGCCTCCGCCTCCGCCTCGCTCGCGCGTCGCCTCGGCTCGATGTCTGGAAACGGATTCGCCAGCACCTCCACTCGCAAGATCTTCGGCGCTGGATCGATCGGACGATCGCCCTCCGTCTCCACGTTCCCTATCTGTATCGCGTTATACATCGTCGCTCCCACGATTTTCCCAAAAATCGTGTGCCGGCGATTCAACCACTCGCACTCGCCCAGCGTCACGAACCACTGACTACCGTTGCTATCCCGTCGTCCCTCGTTCGCCATCGCCACCCGGCCTCGCGCGTTAAACCTTAACCTCGAGTGAAATTCATCCTTGAACCCCTTCCCGTCGTTCACCGCGCTCGCGCCGCCGCGTCCCGTGTTCGTCGGGTCGCCCGTCTGCGCCATGAAGTTGGCCACGCACCGCGTGAATTCATTCTCATCGTAATACCTGCGTCGTAAGGCGCGTCGTTTTGTCAGTCGCGCGTCGCGCGTCTTCTCGCGCGCGTTCGACGCACCCCTCGAGCGCGAGCTGCACGAAGTTTCGGCACGCCAGCGGCGCCTCGCGGGCAAAGAATTCAATCTCTAATTCACCGTGCGTCGTGCGCACGACCGCCTTTCCCTCCGTCGGCGGCTCGAGGGCGTACACCGCGGACATGCGCGACGCGGCTCGCGCGCGCGCGCCGGTCGCGCGGCGTCGCGCGGCGACGTCGAGGCGGACACTGCCGCGCCGCCGGGCGCGCGTCCGCACATCGCGCCGCGGCGTCGCGCGCCATGGCGCGCGATCGCCCCGCGGACGTCGCCGGGCGCAGCGAGAGCGAGCGTAAGGTGCTGGCGATCGCGGACATCGTCGCGCAGCTCGTCGCGCGCGACGCGAGCGATGGATTCATGAACTTGAACTCGGTCAAAAACGCGACGAGCCGCAAGTACAAGCTTTCGAAGGCGCCGAAGCTCACCGAACTCATCGCGGCGGTGCCGGTGGAACATCGCGATCAGTTGCTGCCGAAACTCAGGGCGAAACCGGTGCGAACGGCGAGCGGGGTGGCGGTGGTGGCGGTGATGAGTAAACCGCATCGGTGCCCGCACATAGCGACGACGGGCAACGTGTGCGTGTACTGCCCGGGAGGACCCGATAGTGATTTTGAGTACTCCACGCAGTCTTACACTGGATATGAACCGACGTCGATGCGAGCGATACGGGCGAGGTACGATCCGTACGCGCAGTCTCGAGGACGGGTGGACCAGTTGCGACGGCTGGGACACGCGGTGGACAAGGTGGAGTTCGTGCTCATGGGAGGGACGTTCATGTCGCTGCCGATCGATTATAGAGATTTTTTCATCAGAAATTTGCACGATTCGCTCAGTGGGGCGAGCTCGTCGTGCGTGGATGAGGCTGTGAAGGCGTCGGAGCAGAGTAGGACGAAGTGCGTGGGGTTGACGATTGAGACGCGGCCGGATTATTGTCAGTCACCGCATTTGCGACAGATGTTGTCGTACGGGTGCACGCGATTGGAAATCGGTTTGCAGAGCATCTATGAAGACGTCGCGCGCGACACCAATCGTGGGCACACCGTGGCGGCGGTGCAAAAGTGTTTTGAATTAGCCAAAGACGCGGGATTTAAAGTCATCGCGCACATGATGCCGGATTTGCCAAACGTGGGCATGGAGCGCGATTTGGAGTCGTTTCGAGAATTTTTCGAGTCGCCTGATTTTAGAACAGATGGCTTGAAGCTTTATCCTACGCTCGTCATTCGAGGTACAGGATTGTACGAGTTGTGGCGCACCGGCAAGTATAGAAATTACCACCCCGAGCGCTTGGTGGATTTAGTCGCGCGAGTGCTCGCGCTCGTCCCACCCTGGGTCCGGGTCTATCGCGTCCAGCGCGATATTCCCATGCCTCTCGTCACCGCGGGCGTGGAGAAGGGTAACCTTCGTGAGCTCGCGATGGCGCGCATGGCGGATCTAGGCTTAAGATGTCGCGACGTGCGCACGCGCGAAGTCGGCTTACAAGATATTCATAACCGCGTCGCTCCGACGCACGTTGAACTCGTCCGTCGCGACTACGTCGCCAATGGCGGGTGGGAGACATTCTTATCTTACGAAGATCCGCGACAAGACATCTTGGTAGGACTCTTGCGTCTTCGCAAGTGCGGTCGAACGGCCGCCAAGACGTCGCCTGCGCTCAAGGGCAAATGTTCCATGGTTCGCGAGCTTCACGTCTACGGCACCGCCGTCGCCGTGCACTCGCGACACAAGGGTCGCTTTCAACACCGCGGGTATGGCACTTTACTCATGCGCGAGGCCGAGCGCATCGCTCGCGAAGAACACGGCTCGAGCAAGCTCGCCGTGATTTCCGGCGTCGGCACGCGACACTACTATCGCAAGCTCGGATACGAATTAGAAGAAACCTACATGGTGAAGCATCTCTCCGCGAACGAGTAGCGCCGAGTCCAACTTGTAAACACAAACACACTCAAACGCGCGCGCGCGATCGAGTGGGCACGAAACTTCGTCGCCGCCGCGACGTCGCCGCCGCGCTCGCCTCGCCCCCCGCACTTCACCGCTTGCACGACGGCGACGCACGCGCCCGCGATCCACCCGCGCGCGCACAAACGATGAACGGGCCGACTTTAGATTTCAGCTTCCTCGACGCCACCGCGCGCGGCTCGATGGCGTCGAAACACGTCGACGAAAGGTTCGTTTCAGATCGCGTCAACGCGCGATCGACGACTGACGCCGCGTTTTAACGCGTTCACAGCCTCGACGCGATCGATGGAAACATGCACGAGTGTAACTTTAAAGCCCCTGCGGTGGAAGACGTGCGTGAGCGACGCGAACGCGACGCGCACGACGAGTGAGCGCTGGCGATCGGGAGAGCAACGGTTTGGTTAGGTCGCGGCGCTCGCGAAGAGTGAAAATGGACGACTGACGATGACGGTGGACGATTTGCGCGCGCAGTTTGAAGGATTCCAGCGAGAGGTGATCAATTACGTCAAACCGAACCACGGGACGACGACGCTGGCGTTTATTTTTGAGCACGGTATCGTCGTCGCGGTGGACTCTCGCGCGTCGCAAGGACCGTACATTTCTTCGCAGACGGTGAAAAAGGTGATCGAGATTAATCCGTTCTTGCTCGGGACCATGGCCGGGGGGGCGGCAGATTGTCAGTTTTGGCAGCGAAACCTCGGGATTCAGTGCCGGTTGCACGAGTTGGAAAATGGGAAGCGAATCACGGTGCGCGCGGCGAGCAAGCTGTTGGCGAACACGCTGTACAGTTACAAGGGCAAGGGATTGTCCATGGGGACGATGGTGGCTGGGTGGGATTTGAACGGGCCTGGGCTGTATTACGTCGATAGCGAGGGCACACGGTTGAAGGGGCAGCGGTTTAGCGTCGGTTCGGGGTCGTTGTTTGCATACGGGGTGTTGGATCAAGGATACAAGTGGGACTTGACGGTTGAGGAAGCGTGCGAACTCGGACGACGCGCGATTTATCACGCCACGTTTCGCGACGCATTTTCTGGTGGTACTGTCAGTGTGTACCACGTCGGTGCGAATGGGTGGACTAAGGTGACCGGGGACGATGTCGGCGAGTTACACTTCTCGTATTACCCGGCGACGCCGGTCGACGACGTCGATGCGCACTGCGGCGGAGAAGGCAAGAAGGAAGCCGAGGCGAGAGCGGCTACGGAAGCGAGCGCGATGGAGACGTGAGAATTGTACATCATTACGTAGCACAGTTTAATTCTGATCTCTTTACACACTATTAATTATTACTCACCGTCCAAGCCTTTGAACAGAGGGGAAGAACGCTTGATCGGCGAGATGCCGTCAATCGAGCGATTTGAAGAAGCGGGCGGAGAGCGCGGAGAGCGGATCGCCGTGATCGGCGTCGGCGCCGGTCGCGATACCGGTGAGCCGGGCGTGAATGTTCCCGGGGTTAGGAAAAAGCTTCGACTCGGCGAAGCCGCGGGCGAAGCTGATCCAGGCATCGGCGATCCAGACATGGACGACTCGAGCGAACGCAAACGTTGGGACAAAGTTTTGACTTGAGACTTTGAAGCCGACATGGCGTCGTCTTGGAGCTTGGTTAACGCTTCATATCGATTGAGCTGCGCACGCAGATCCTCTGCCTCTTCGCGCGCGATATTTCTGCCCTCAAGCGCCTCGGCAAGATCCTTTTCGAGCGCGGCGATGCGCCCTTGGTTTTCGCTCGAAGCGCGATGCGCAGACATTTCCAGGCCGCGCTTCAGCGCGTCGATTTCGAGCTGTGCCATGTCCTGTGCGCGCTTCACCGCAGCTAACCCTTCCGCTTTTGACTCTTCGAGTTGTTTTTGGAGCGATTGCATCGTATTCGACTCGTTTTGAGACAACGCCTCCTCTTCTTCTCCCGCGAGAGAAGTCTTGCGAACGCTGAGCAATGCCCCGAGGTCTCGCACGTTGGCTTCGGATTCTTCGAGCTCGCCCTTTAGTCGCTGAAACTTTTCTTCGTACGTCGCGCGCTCAGCTTTGAGTGCAGCGATGTGTTCGTTTGCGGCGACGAGCGCCGCCTCCATCGCTTCTCGGTCCTTCACGGACGACTCCAAACGCTCGCGCGCCTCCCGCGCGCTCAATTCAGCCACGGCTTTGGCTTTTTCAGCCTCAATCGTGCGCTGCGTAGACGACCGTATGGATGACTCGGACGCGCTTGCGACGGCCTGTCGCTCAGATGCCAATGCATCTTCCAACTCACGCGCGTGCGTACGCTTCAATTTTGCGATTTCGCCCTCGAGATCGACGACTTCACGTCGCAACTCGGCGACGACACCTTCGCTTGACGCGTGCAATCGACTCTTGTAATGTTGCTCGGTGCGATGCAAGGCACTTTGCATATCCTGCGCACACTGCGCCTTGAGCGCGCCCAGTTCATTTATAAACCTCGCCTTCGCGTCTGCCGCGAGTTCCTTCGCGCTTTGAATTTCTGCCGTGAGATGCGTCACGCGCGCGCGCAAAATCATGACGCTTCGCTTGTGCCCGCCGACGTCGCCCAGGACCTCTTCCAAAGACGACACCTTCATCTCCAAGTCGCGGTTTGTGATTTCGAGTCTATTCAGGTTTGCCCGCGCATCATCACGCGCGCTCTCGATGGCCCGCAATTCCCTTCGAGTCGTCGCCAGAGCTTCATCACGGGCGTGAATGACGTCGCGAGCGCTTGCGAGCTCTGCTCGAAACGATTCAAACTGTCCCATGGCTTCGTCCATGTCCCGTTTTGCCATTGTCGCCGCGTGCGTGGCGTTCGAGCGCTCGCGATTTACCGTCGCAAGTTCTTCTTCTAATGTTTCTATGCGCGTCTTCAACGCGTTCGCCTCACGCGTCGCTCGTACCTCAGTCGACGACGCGAGCGCGCCGAATCGCCCGATGGCATCCCTCGCGCGTTGGGCGGCGTCGCGCTCAGCTTCACTCAGACGCTTTTCGCAATTTGCCACTCTCGCAGCGACGCGCTCTTCCACGCGTGACGCCGCTTCGTTGGCTTCGCGCATCCTCGTCTCCGCTGCTTCGCGCAAGGCGTTCACCTCCGCGATTTGCGCCTCTCGCCACTCCGCCGAAGATCGTCGCACGTCTTCCAGTCGCGTTTCGCTCGTTGCGCGCTCTTCATCGAGCCGACGCGTGAGCTCATCTACGCGCGCATTCGCCGTGCGTTCACGCGTGGTCGACGCTTCGAGCGCTTCGCGAGTTTCATCGCGCTGTCGCAACACAGCCGTCGCGTGCACGCCGAGCTCTTCATACTTTTTCCTCGTGCGCAGATGCGCGTCCCGCTCGCGACGTAACATCTCACCCAAAGAGCTCTGCGGCGCCGGTATCTCGCGTCGTCGATCAGCGACCAAACCTCTCGACGATGACGACGGGCGTGTACGTCTTCGCGTAGACGTGCCTCCTGTGGCTTGGCTGCCTCGCACGTTCCTTCGCAGCTCCTCCATGAAATCGCCGTCGGAATCGTCGCTCGCGTTCGCCGCGCCGAACCGCGCGTTCAAATTCTCCCCCTTCGGCCGATCCTCGCCCTTACCCGCGCGCGAATCGCGCTCGCTAATATACATATCCTCGCTCCGCGCGTCCCCGCTCACCTCTCGCCGCATGCGCTCCGCGAATCCCCGCGCGCGCCGTATGTACGCGCTCGACGGTTCGTCCCGGTGCGGCGACCCCCACGCCGGCACCGCGCGCACGAAATCATCCTCATCCGACCCGCTCGCGCTCACCGACGCGTCGGTAGCTCCTCGTAGCACCTTGTCGATGAGCTTTTTCGCGCTCGACATCGCTCGGCGCGACGCGCGCGACGAAAATGACGACGAGCTGTGCGCTGGATTTCAAATTCGCACGCGCGTTCGACCGTCGCGCGGCGTCTGCGCGCGCCTGGAGGCGTCTACGCGCGCGCGGTGACGTACACTTTTGTCTTTGTCGCTCGCGCGCGGCGTTTCGCGGCCCGCAATCGCGCTGCGCGCGCGCACGAGTGCGGAACGCCTTCAAGATGCGCGCGCGTTCGGGACGCATTCGAGACGCGGCGGCGAGGCGAAGCGAAGCGAAGCGAGCGGACTACAGCACCGACTAACGTAATGATACAACCATGGGCGACGCGCGTCAAGTCATGCCCTTTGCGATCTTGGACGCGCGCACGCGCTCGCCCTCCAACGCGCTCCGCAACGCCGCGTGCGCGGCTCGCGGACTCGTCCCTTTGGCCAACAGCGTGCGCGACGTCTGCTTGTGCCCGCGTAACAAGCTCATCTGCGCCAATCTCAACCCTAAAACCCGCGCCAAAAACTCCACTAATTCCCCGTCGCACGCGTGCGCGGGTCCGATGACGTCGACGAAGACGCACGACGCGCTAATCTTCGTCACCGCGTGCGTCGCCGCGCGTTGCGAAATTTCTAAATCGATTTGCGTCGCCCCGCCCGCGCCGGCTATGATGCACGGCGGCGGCGGCGCGTCGTCCCCGATTCCCTCTCCCGCGCTCGCGCCGTGATCTTTTTCGTAATCGAACGCGCTCAGCGCGCCTTTATGTATGTAAAACACTCCCTTTTCGTCCGCTCTCGCGTTCGCGCCGCGAGACGCGTCCCGGTATCCCACCGGCGTCGTCCCGCACCGCGCCCTCTGTCTCTTCTCGTACGTCCCGTCTCTCCCTCGCACCGCGACGACTTCGGCGTCGAGCGCGGCGAGGATTCGCGTGGGGTGCTTCGCGAGGTCGAGCATCAGCGCGCCGTCCGTGCGTCGTCGCGGCAGCGCGGAGAGGTCGTCGCAGGTTGAGGTCATGACGTGTTGGCCGCAGAATTTGCAATAATACGTCGTGTATTTCGCCTCATCCGCGCGCTCGTGCTCGGCGTCTTCGCTGGTGAAGACGTGCGCGGACGCGCGCTTGCGTCCGGGAGGCATCGCGGCGCGACTCGTCGCGCGCGGCGAAAAGTGACGCCGAGGTGGAGTCAGAACGCGACGGCTGGACGCTCGCGAAGAAAGTTCGTCGATCGATCGGTGCGAGAAGCGCGCGGTGGCGCGCTCTGAAGTTGAACTAAAGCTATTTTGACTAGTCTAGAGCGTCTAAAGCGGCGGCGACGCGGCGCGCGCGTTTGCGGTGTCGCGCGCGACCGGCGTCGCCGAGCGCGCGCGTGGCGTGGAGACGCGCCCAGGCGCGAGCGGCGGCGGCGCGGCGCGCGTCGAACGCGCGACGTTTCGCGTGCACGCGCTCGACTCGGAGGGTTTCGTCGGGGCCTTCGTCCACGGTGATCACGCCGAGCGCGGGCGTCGCGCGGATGTCGTCGTTCAGGGTGAGTCGGGCGAGCGGGGGCGCGAGACGCGATCGTCCCGAAGCCGACTTCGCGGGAACGTTGAGGTTTTCAACCGCGTGTCGTCGATCGTCGTTTTCGTCTGCATCGGCGTCCACGGGAAAGGAGCCGATGTCTGCGATGACTTGCTTCACCGCGGTGGACAATGTGGTAGGTTTGAAGGCGCGAGGTTCGCGCTCGCGCGCGATTCGGGCGTCTCTCGCTCCGGCGTGCGCGCCGGCGTCGAGCAGTCGCAATTCCAGCTTTGGTCCGTGCGTGCGCGTCTGCGTGCACGACATTTGAACCCATACCTTCTGGAGAAGTGCGTAAGAGCGCACGACGGTGTCGTCGCTCGAACGCACGACATTCAAGGAATCACCCTCGACGCTCGTCGAGCGCCGCAACGTTTCGCCGGCGACGCCGACGACGGGCGTCGCTTGAAGCCACTGTTTCGCGTCTTTGTCGTCAGGATCTCGCGTCTCAAACGTGCTTTCTTTGAGTTCTTCGATGGCGTTCCCCGCGTCATCGACGAGCCTGATCGGGGCCTTCATGTGAAACGCCGGCAGGAACACCATGACGCCGTCGTCGCGAATCTCGTGCACCACGGCGGGCTCAATCATCGGCTTTTCGCGCAAAAGCCACAAAAGATAGATTTCTCCACACCGTGATTGCGCGTGTTTTGACGCACGATTGCGCTCGTTCAAGTGTTGCGCCAGAGAGTCCAGATCACGCTCCGTCGCTCTCTTCTCCGCCTCGGCGACATCCACGGCGGCGATGAGCTGACGATGCACGACAACATCCGCATATCGACGAATAGGAGACGTGAAATGCGTGTAATACGTCAACGCGAGACCGTAATGCCCGAACCCACCATCGGCACCGGAAATGGACCCAGAACTGATGTATTGCGCCTCTGACATCGCGCGCGTGGCCAATCCTCTGAACAGGGTCGTCACCTCTGGCTCGGACGTCGCGGCGACGCGCGCCAACGACGCGTTCAACGCCTCACCGCTCGAACCGTCGAGCTCGATGCCTTTCGCCGCAGCAAGTTTTGTGAGCTCTTCAAAACCACCTTCGCGAGGTGGCGCGTGGCGCCGAAGAAGCGCGCGGGATGGAAATGCGCGGTGCGTCGTTCGCGCCGCCGCGCTATTCGCCAAAATCATCAACTCGGCGACGACGCGCATCATCGGCACTTCATCTTTTTGTAAAACCTCCGTCGGTGTCTTCGTTTGTGCGTCGGTTTCAAATCTCAACTCGGCGCTCTCGAGCTCTACAGCGCCGTGCGCGAGCCGAATGGCGTTCGTCTTGTTCGCAAACGCCACGAGCGTTTGCAAATCCCCGCGAACGAGTTCGCGCTCTACGGCGTCAAACGTATCGCTCGAGTCACCGTGCGGCAGCGGTTGTCCGTCGTGAATCGCTTGGGCTTGGTAATACGTCATTTGATGTCTCGAATGGATCACCGTGCGACCGAGCCAAACGTCGACGACGTCGAGATTCCTATCGAGCGTCCAAACGCAACTCACCGCGAGGCGATCGCGTCGTTCCAACAGCGACGCCAAATTTTCGCTCAATAAGCTCGGAAGCATGTCCAAACGGCGATCGACCAAATACACCGTCGTTCCACGCATTTGTGCCTCGTGATCGAGCAACGTTCCGGGGCGCACGAAGTACGACACGTCCGCGATGTGAACGCCGATTTCGACGCGATCGGCTGAGACGTGCACGCTCAGCGCGTCGTCGACGTCGGTACATCCCGGGGGATCTATTGAACACGCTCTGTGATGGCGCAAGTCTCTCCTTTTCTCGATTTCTTCTTTGGGCACCATCCAATCGGCGCCTTCGCGCGGGAGCTCCGCGAGCGCACGCGCGCCAAACGGCTCCGCGGGAATGTCGTAACGCGCCAACAGCGCCGCCATCTCGCCGTCGACCTCTCCCACGCCACCGAGAATTTTCACCAAGTGTCCGCTCGGGTAGCGCTGATTCGCCAGCCAGCGATCGATGCGCACGATGAAGCGCTGACCGACCAAGTCCCGCGCGCGGCGTGTCAAGAGTTTCACTTTGACGATTTTTGAATCCATCGGCACGCAGAGCGCGCCGTTTCGTTCGCCGCGCGCGTCGCTCTTCAAGTCTTCCTCATCCACGACATCCAAACACGCCACGACGTCCAGCGTGGCGCGATGCGTGATGCCCACGACTCGTCCCGTGCGAACCTTTGACGTCGTCGTCGTCTGGTCGCCGTCTTCGAGCGTCACCGACGTCGCCGTCGCCGCGCGCCACTCGTCCTCGGGACAAATCTCCACCGCCACCGAGTCCCCATGAATCGCTCGATTCATCGCGTGTTTCGACGGTATGAGCACCCCATCGACGAACCCTTCGCACACCGCGCCTAACCGTTGCACTCGAAGCGCGCCGAGGACGATCGTCCCCGCCGCCGCGCCCTCGGCGATTTCTCCCTCGCTCCGGTGCGCGTCGTACGACGTCCCCGCTCCCGCGTTCCCGCCCGCGTCCTCCGCGTCCGCCCCGTCCGCCGCCACCGCCGCCTCGTACGCCTCGCGCGCGATTTCTCGACCCTCTCCGTCGCAGTACGCGTCGATGAACGCCTCGACGCTCAGCACCTCGACGTTCGCGTTCGCGTTCGCGTTCGCGTTCGCGCGTCCCGCGAGCGCGTCCGACGCCACCACCACCGGAAACTTCCCTCCGACCTTCTCCGCGTAATACGCCGCCACCGCCACTTCCCTCGACGCGAACGCGCCGTCGCCCGACGTCGCGCGCGCGATCTCCGCGCAGTGTTCGTCGTCGAAGACGAAGGCGCCGCCGCGCGCCGTCCCGCCGCGCGCCGTCCCGCGCGCGCGCCGCCCACCGCGCCCGACGCGCGTCGATCGCAGCGCGATCACGTCGCGCGCGCACCGCGGATCGCTGAAAACGTCTCCGTGCGCGCGCCAGGCGGCGGCGTCCGGGACGACGTAGCACCGCGCGCCGTCGTCGGCGCTCGCGAGCGCGGCGGCGCAGCCGCGCGCGAGGTTGAGCGCGCGGTGACGCGCGCACTCGGCGCTGCCGCACGCGACGTCGTCGCGGGCGTAGGTTTCGCGCGCGCGACGACCGGGTTCGCGGCGCGCGCGCGCGTCGCGCGACATCGCGCGAGGCGCGGTGCGCGGCTCGGGACGCCGACGCGCCGCGAACGACGCGACGCGACGCGACGACGCGCGTTCGCGCGCGCGCGCGCGCGCGCACATCTATAATCTACGTTACACTTCGCCGCGCGCCGACCCGCGTCGCGCGCGCCGTCCGCGTCTAAATCACGTCCCGCGCGCGCAGCTCGCGAGCGCCCGCGCGGCGCCGCGCGCCGCCCCTTCGAACGGATTCAACCCGCTCTCACCGCGTCGCCACGCCTCGACGGCGCTCTCACCCCTCGCGTACATCGCCATTCGCCCCCACGTCGTCACCACGCGCCCCGAGCCGCGATGCACGACCGCCACCGTCGGCAGCGTCGTCGCGCCGAGCGCTCTCAAGATGAAATTCGTCTCGCGCGCGCGCGAGTACGACGCGTCCCCCTCCCGCGCCTCCGCCGCTCGCAGCGTCTCGTCCCGCGTCCCGCTCGCTTCCACCGCTCTGTCCACGCACTCGTACCCGTTGTTCGCGTCGCACGCGATCAAGACGACGTCGCACGCGTCGCGCCGCGCCGCCGCGAGCGCGACGACGCGCGGCGCGAACGCGCGACACGCCCCGCAGTCGTCCCTCGTGAAGCACGCGACGAGCAGCGGTCGCGTCGCCTCGGACCCGCTCGAGAGATTCACCGCGCGTCCGCGCGCGTCGACGAGCGGGAGATTCGCGAGCGCGGCGGCGACGTCGCGCGTCCCGTCGTCGTCGTCCGTCATCGCGAAGCAATCATCGCGACGCGTCGCGTCGTCGCGCGTCCCGACGCCGCGACACGCCGCGCACGCCGCGAACCCATCGCTCGCGCACGTCGCGCCCGTGCCCGCGCACGCGTCGCACGCGCGCGCCATTTGTGTGACGACGCGCCGTGTGACGCCAGACCGCGACGCGTCATGGAAGTCGCCGACATCGCCGTCAAGCCCGTGCGCGACTTCGCGCGCGACAGCGCGCGGCTGGTGAAGAAGTGCGCCAAGCCCGACGCGCGCGAGTTCTGGAAGATCGCCGCGCGAACGGCGACGGGGTTCGTCATCATGGGATTCGTGGGATTCTTCGTCAAGCTCATCTTCATCCCGATCAACAACATCATCCTGAGCAGCTGAGCGCGCGCGAAGACGACGGCGGAGTAGCGCGTTTACGCTACGCGGATCGCGCGCGCGCGACGGGGCGCGCGCGGCGCGCGACGTCGGACGGGAGAGACGCGCGGACGGGAGACGCGCGATCGAGACGACGGACGCATCTCGTAAACGCGCGATCGGCGACGACGCGACGGCGCGATCGGGGACGACGCGACGGCGGAGCGGTCGCGCGATGACGGCGGCGCGGACGCGCGACGATCGCGGCGACGCGCGACGCGAGGGTTGTAAGGATGTCTTAGGTCACGACTGCATGCCCGCGCGACGCGCGCGCGACGCCGTCTCGCGGCGCTCGAGACGCCGCAGAGCGCGACTCGACGCGAACGGCGACGCGCGCGACGCGCGAACGCGAGGGACGCCGACGCGAACGCGCGACGCGCGACGCGCGCGGGACGAGACGCGACGCGCGAGCGACGCGGACGCGCGATCGACGACCGAACGCGTCAACACCCTTCGACGACCGCGGCGAGAAGATGGCGCGCGGTGAGCGCGCGCCGCTGCTGGCGCGAGGCGAAGACGTCGAGCGCGGACTTCGCGATGACGACGCGGCGATCGGCGCGGCGGACGCGTCGAAAGGCGCGAGAGAGGGACGCGAGGGACGGGGAAGGACGCGGACGACGGCGCTGGCGCTGGGCGGATGCGCGGCGCTCGCGAGCGTCGCGGCGTACGCGATGACGGCGGGTTCGGGGTCGAAGGCGACGATGACGGCGAGCGGTGCGAGCTTGGGGGAGCGATTCGCGGCGAATCGGGCGCAGATGGTGGCGAGACGACGACAGGCGCGCGCGCGGGCGAATCGTAAACGCGCGGCGAACGAGCGAAGGATGAAGGCGGAACGCGAAGAAAAGGTGAATGAGGTTTTGATGACGCTCGCGAAGGAGAAGCCGGAAGACGCGAAGACGATGGTGGAGAATGCGATCGAGCGATGGGAGGCGAAGCAAGCGGCGCGAGCCAAGGCGAGCTTGGGCGAAGACGAACGGGCGCCGAAGCGGCGCGCGTCGCGTCGACGCGAACGACGCGAACACGCGCGCAGAAGCACCACGAAAGGACGCCGTGCTCACGTGGCCGAGGCGCGTATGGGCGTGGGCGCTGAGACGTCGGTGGAGAGTCTGTCCCGCGGAGACGCCGCCGTGCGAGCCAAGGGTGAAGAAAAAATTCGGCAAGTCGAGGACGAATCCGATGAGCTCATCACTGAAATCAGTTCTTCCGTGGTCAAGCGCGTAGGAAAGATTAAGGCTGCAGCCGAGGCCGAAGGCTCGGAACAAGCGAGAGACGCCGCGCGAGCCGAGGCCGAGAAGTTTGTACAGGCGGCGAACGAACGCATCGAACGCATCGAAGAAAAGACGGCGACGCGCGTATCGATGATCAAGGATCTGACGATGCAACACATGTCGTATGACGGTCGTAACGCGTACTCGGCGCAAGTGGGCCAGAGTGAGGTGGCCAACATGGGTGAATCCGAAACGAACGATCCTGACTCCGCCGACGAGCAAGAAGACGACGAGGACGAGGACGAGGAGTTGGTCGAAGATTTGCTGGCGGATGGCGAACAAGAACAAGAAGAACAAGAAGACGCTGGTAGTGGCAATCAGGTTGTGCCGGGGACGGCGACGGAGACGGAGACAGGGAGTGACGAAGAAGACGAGGCCAACGAAGCAGCCGAAGAAGAAGAAGAAGATCATGAGATCAACAAGCTGTCCAACGTCGAACTCATTCAGTTATTGGATGACAAACTCGATAACCTGGAACAGAGTAACGAAGACTTCAAATCGGCGATTACTGAGCAAATCGAAGGCTTGTCGACAAGAATGTCTAACCTCGAGAATTCATCGGAGGAGCTGCAGGACGACGTCACGGAGATGGCGCTCGACGAGCACTACGACAACGACGAGGACGGCGACGGCGACAGCGACAGCGACAGCGACGAGGACGGCGACGAGGACGGCGACGGCGACGGCGACGGTTATCCCAGAGACGAGACCATCGACGGCAACTACCCCACCGGGAACGGTAAATATCCCGCCGATAGCAACGGCAACTATCCCACCGCCCAAACCGTCACCGTCGATGAAAACGCCTTGAGCATCAGCGCGGTCAATGACCAAATTTCCAATCTCACGGCGCAGCTTCAGAACGCCACCGCCGCCGCCGCGCAAGCGCAAGCGACTCAGGAACAATTGGATCAGACGCGAGCTGAGCTTGCGGCGGCGCAAGCGCAGCTTAACGCTCGTTACTTCGATTTGGACGTTTTCCGTAGGCGTCCGGTCGGTCTCGAACCGGATTTCCAAACCAGTGACCCGACCGCGGAATCTGGCGCATTTTACGCTTGCGACGTGCAAAATCAATGCATGACGGGCGCGACGCTTTTGACACGTAATAATAAGTTGCTCGCGATGAAGGGCGTGTGCGACAACGGCGCGAAGTCGACGGATTTGTCTTCAGGATCCTATGAAATGTTCCCGACGCACGGTACGATTGACTTTTCGTCGACGGACACCGACAACGAGTGCACGATGGAATTCGGTGAAAACTCGCGGTCGGTTTGGATTCGCAAGGAAAATGATTTTGTCATCGCCATGTCCAAGGACGGCTCCGCACACACGCGGTGTGGTCGCGATGTCGCGAGCGCGTCTTCCATCAAGTATCAGTGCCAAAATCCGAAAGCGTGCATCACGGGATATCACATCAAGAATCAGTACGGCAACTTCGATGGCGACGCGAGCACACGCACCGAAGAAGACTTGGCTATATCCGTCGTTGATTTCGTGTGCTCCGACGGCAGTTTCGCCGTCGACCCGGTTTCACTGCGACCGGATTACGGCCAAATTAGAGTTGAACCAGAATTTACCATTGGCTTGGCGAACACGCCGCGAAAGGATGGTTCGGTCAGGCGCACGGTGACGCCGTATTTGCGACTCAAGACGAATACGGTAGTGAGCGATTCGTTTCTCTTGGCTGTTCGCGTCCGCGACGTGACCGCGTTGACCGAACAAGAGAAACACGGTTGGTGTACGCAACAACACGTGCAAGCGCACCTAAACGCTCCGCACACGTGCAAAGATGGAAGCAAGCTGTGCGCGAAGCCGGCGTTTGTGTTCAACCCAGGCGGATCAGAGTATGAGTTGAAATTTGGCGAACAGACGTTCGATCTTCTCGACGCCCAAGCGCACGAATCCGCGCGCATCGTCGTTGAGAACGAAGACCAAGCAAACGACGCACGCGTCAAAAACTTTCCGATGCCGGCGAATGAGGAATTCTTCATGTTTGGTCATCACTACGAAGTGTGCGTCGCCGCCATCGAGCGTTCGAGCTTCAAAACTAAAATCATCGACCCAAGCACGGGCGCGGTGAAGGATTCGTTCTACAATCGCCACCTCGACGGTTCCGCGCACCTCGTCGGCTTGGCCACGACGGGCGAGCTCTCCGTCACCATGGAAGGGGGACCGAGACACTTCAACATCGTCGCTCCAGCGGCGCCGACGACCGCTGATTTACAAAATCTTCAGTGTTACGACAACGATTGCGCCATTTCGGGCGGTGTCGCCCCGGTGGTGAGCGCGCAGAGCCAAGTGTCGCCGCAACCGACGCCGCAACCGACGCCGGCGCCGCAACCGACGCCGCGACCGAACGACGGCGTCGCGACGCTCGCCAAGGAATCCGCGCAGCAAAAGACGCACGTCACCACCGTCCTCGACGCGCGCAAAGCGCTCGAAGCGCGTCTCCAAGACGCGCAGCGGCGCCATTAAAGTAGCCCCATTAAAGTACCCTTGTAACGCGTCGACGCCGCCGCGTCCCGGTAGGGCTACACCACAATCCAACGCATCGCCGCGTCACGATCCGCCGCGCGGTGCGTCCTCGACCGCGCGCCTCGACCTCGATCTCGACCTCGACTCGACCTCGACCACGACCAAGTCAGCTGCCGACGGTCGCGACGCTCGTCGTCGCACCGCCACCCGTCGGCGCGTTACGCTCGTGGGACAACGAATGCCGAATGCGACCGAACGCGCGCGTCGTTCTGACGCGCGTCGTCCTCGGAAGCGCGGCGCACTCGCGCGTGCGCTCGGACGTCCGCGTGCGCGCGGACGCGCCGAGCGACGCGCGGGACATCACATCGCGACGCGCGCGTCTCGCGCGGGACGGGGACGACGACGAAACGCTCGACTGACGCGCGGGACCGGACTCGGGTTTTTACGACGCTTCGCAGGGACGGACGCGCGCGATGACGTCGCGACGGGCGCGGTGAATCGTTCACACTGTGAATCGTTTAAACAGTGTTGTTGTAATTTTACAAAGTGTTGTGCGGTGATAAAACTAAACCGAGACGACGCGCGTCGACGAACGAGTTACGCCGTGATTTTTTCCGACGGGGAAGAAGAAAACTGAGAGATTCTTTCTTCGAGGAGAGGGCGGAAATGGCGAATCACTCCTTGTATCGGCCACGCAGCGGCATCGCCGAGAGCCTGAGGAATCACGACGCAAAGAGGCGCACGAGGTCAGTCAGTCGATCCTTTTTTGGGAAAAAAAAATGAACGCGCGGAGGAATCGTCGACGGACGTACGCAAATAGTGTGCCCTTCGATTTGTTTCGTGAGCTCCTGTAATGTGTCAATCTCTTCGAGACGCGCGTCGCCCTTGACCATGCGTTGCATGATGTTGTACAACCACGACGTCCCTTCGCGGCAGGGCGTGCACTGGCCGCACGATTCGTGCTTGTAAAAGTAACTCAAACGCGCGATGGCGTCGATGACGTCGGTGGATTTGTCCATGACGATCACCGCCGCGGTCCCGAGACCGCTCTGGGCTTCTTTCAAAGAGTCAAAATCCATCAACACGTCTTCGCACACGTTCTTGGGAATGAGCGGTACTGAGGATCCGCCGGGGATGACGGCTAAGAGGTTGTCCCAACCGCCTCGCACGCCGCCGCAGTGCTTCTCGATGAGGTCTCGCAAAGGAATAGACATCTCTTCCTCCACCGTGCACGGGTTGTTGACGTGCCCAGAGATGCAAAACAACTTCGTACCGGCGTTATTCTTTCGACCGAAGGAGGCGAACCAATCCGCGCCTCGGCGCAAAATCGTCGGCGCCACGGCGACGGTTTCGACATTCGTCACCGTCGTCGGGCATCCGTACAGGCCGACGTTGGCGGGGAACGGCGGTTTCAACCTCGGTTTGCCCTGTTTACCCTCTAAAGACTCGATCAAAGCCGTCTCTTCGCCGCAAATATACGCCCCAGCGCCGTAGTGAATGTTGACGTCGAAATCCATCCCGCTTCCGCACGCATTCTTCCCCAAATATCCCGCCGCGTAACACTCCGCCAACGCCCGTTCCAGCGCCAACCGTTCGTTCACATACTCACCACGAATGTAAATGTACGCCGCACGCGCCCGCATCGCCGTCCCCGCGATCAAGCATCCCTCCAACAACTTGTGCGGGTCGTGTCGCATGATTTCCCTGTCCTTGCACGTCCCCGGTTCGCTCTCATCCGCGTTCACCACGAGATAATTCGGCCGTCCATCGCTCACCCTCGGCATGAACGACCACTTCAGCCCGCTCGGGAACCCCGCGCCGCCGCGTCCGCGCAATCCGCTCGCCTTCATCTCGCTTATTATCCAATCCGCCCCGAGTTCCACGAGCGACTTCGTGTTGTGCCAGTCCCCGCGCTTCATCGCGCCCTTCAGGAACGGATCGTGCTTCCCGTACAGGTTGGTGAAGATGCGATCTTGGTCCTTCAAATCACCGTGCGCGCGCTCGCTCGAGTACGCGCGATGCGGTCGCGTTCGCGCGGCGACGGTGCGATGACCCTGGATCGTCGGTTTCGTCGTCGTTTCGCGCGCGCCATCGACGCCGTGCGCCGCGGAGGCGTCCGCGAGCGCGACGGCGCGAAGGGTGAGGGTTTTTGTCAGCCGCTGGCGCGTCGCGGAGGCGAGCATGGCGTCCGAGCGCGCGCGCGTCGCGCGATGACGCCGTACAGTCAACTAGGTTTGGTGCGGCGTGAAATTTCACTTCAAACAAACGCCGCGCCGACGAAAGGACGACGGAATCAGCTCGACATAGTCGCCTTGTTGATCTCGAAAATGAGCAAACGCCAAAGAGAAATGACGAAAGGCTCGCACTCGGCGTCTAAAACCGGGTCGAGATCGACGATGAGGTCGAGAGGGGAAACGCGAGCGTCGAGCTTTTCGAGGACGAAGCGCGCGAGAGCGGGCTCGGATTCGCCGAGGAGGTCGGTGAGCTTCTTGGAGATCCACTTGGAGGCGACGGCGTCGATTTCGGCGGTGGTGTAAGTGGACCAATCCATGGGATGGGCGAAGATGTCGTCGCGAGCGGTGGGAACGGTGGCGATGATGGCGGCGACGTCGACGGGTCGTCGCTCGGCGCGACGGCGATCGACGTCGCGGGCGGCGTCTTCGAAGACGTCCGGAGGTGGTTTCGCGTGCGATGCGGAGAACGCGGCGGATAGACCGCCGGTCGGTCGCTTCGGTGCGGTCAAGCCGAAAGACGTCTTTGCCTGCTGCTGCTGCTGCGGTGGCGGCGGCACCGACACCAAATCGCTCGAGCGCGGTTCGGCAAAGCCTCGAACGCGCTCGGGCTCGTGCGTCGACTTTCGAGCTTTTGAAATCGGAAACGCCTCTGCGTGGACATCATCGCTCGTCGAACGCGAACGCGCCGCCGCGCGAACCGTCGCGCGAGTATCGCGTCGCTCGAGCTCCTCTTCCTCATCGCGACGGTCTCGTTCGTCGTCCTCGATTTCTAAATCTCGAAACCGTCGTCGTCGCGCCCGCTCGCGGTCGGACTTTTCCCAAAGCGGCGTTTGGATGCCGTCCTCTTCGCTATCGCTCGCTAAGTCGCGCTTGATCGCCGCGCGACGTTCCATCTTCTTTTCCTTTTCTATTTTCGCTCGCCTCGCGCGTTCGCGGACGTTGGCGCCGACTAAATCATCCATCACCTTCTCCCGCTCGCGAAACAACCGCTCGGCGCGCTCGGTCGCTTCGTATTCGTGTCTTCCACCGCGCACGAACCGCGCGGTGGCGGAGTTCGTCACCGGCGCGCTCGTCCCGCTCTCGAACCTCCCGGCGTCGGAAGCGTTCGCCGGCGAGCGCCCCCTCGACGTCGACCTCCGCCCACCCTCCCTCGCCGCCGCGCCGCGCGTCGACTCTCGCGCCTTCCCCTCGTCCACCGACCGCGGCGGTAACCCACGCACGACGACCTCCGCCTTCGCGTTCGCCGCCTTCGCCGCCTTTCCCGCCTTCGCCTTCGCCGTCGCCTCGTCGTCCGAAATCTCCCCGATCTCCACCTCCTCCCCCTCCATCCCTCGCCCGAGCACCCTCGCGATCTCTCTTCGTCGCCTCGCGTCCCCGTCCGCGTCCAGCGCGCGCTCTCCCGCGCGTCTCAGGTACGCCGTCGTCGCCGCCCTCGTCGCCGCGTTCGCCGCGCACGTCATCGCCTCGTCCGCCTCGCTCACGCGCAGCCCATCGATCGCGCGCGCGCACCGCACCGCGCCCTCGATCGTCTCGAACGTCGCGAATCCGAACCGCTTCGGCGCGCGCGTCGCGGGATCGCGGACGCGTTTCCACGTTTTCAGCGCGCCGCAGATTTCGAGCGCGCGCTCGACGATCGCGTCGTCCGCGAGCGCGATTGGGATCTTTCCCACGTACACGCGCGGCGCGGACATCGTCGCTGCGCGTCGCGTCTCGACGCGCGACGCGACGCGCGGCGCGACGTGACGCGCGACGATGTCCGCGCGCGCGAAGGCGATGGATGCGCCGCACATCGGCGCTCGAAATCTGCGTCGCGCGTCGCGTCGCGCGGCGCATGGCGACGGCGAGCGCGCGCGTTCGTCGCGCGTCACCGCGCGCCGCGCGACGCCCCGCGCGACGCAACGCGAGAGGAGGACGCGCGACGCGGATTCGTCGGCGCGCGACGTCGGCATCGGACGACGAAACCGCGCGCGCGACGCGCGATGCGACGACGCGGATGTCGTACGACGACGGGGAACCGCTGATCGACGCGCGCTCGGCGCGGGTGAAGCGGACGGGGCGCAAGAGCGCGGCGCCGCCGGTGACGCGGCCGGGGATCTTGAAGTCCAAAGCCGCGGCGCTGCGAGAAATCGACGAGGCGACGCGAGGCGACGAGGAGGCGGCGGAGGCGGCGGGGGAGGCGGAGGACGACGACGGGCGGTCGCGAAGGAAACGGCGGGACGGGGAGAGGGCGGAGTTGACGTCGACGGCGAGCGTCGTGGAGTGGATGGTTCGATCGACGGATGATATGCTGGACGATTTGGAGGCGCGAGAACCGCCGGGCGCCGTCGCGGCGTGGGCGCTGAGTAAACGCGCGGAATCCGTGGTGGGGAATCCGGCGGTGAAGAAGACGGTGGACGTCGTCGGTAAGGTTGGCGTGGCGGCCGTGCGCGCGGCGGCGCCCGTGGTGGCGGATGGCGCGGGGAAGGTGGTGAAGGAAGGGTCGAAATTAGCCGTCAAGGCGGCGGTGAGCGCGGCGACGGCCAAGGTTGGATACGACAAGCGCGAACGCGAGAAAGAACGATCGACCCCGTTCGGGGGGCTGCTGGGAGGGAATAAGAAGACGCCGCCGCTGGAATCCGAGAGGGAGAAGAAGAAAAACCCATTCGCGTTCCCGTCGCTCGCGAAGAAACCAGAACCCGAACCGCCGAGAGGCTTGTTTGGGCGCAAGAAGGATGACAAGCCGAAGAGAGGATTCTTCGGCGGGAAGTAGAGTTAGCGCATGCAATTGGAAGGCTCAATTACAAAAGATGTTCGCCGCGCAATAGATTTTGAAAATTTGCGCTCGCGGTGGCGCGTTGTATATGTAGTAAAAGTGTCGAGACGGCGGACGTCGTCGAATAAGTTATTATTTTGGTTGTCGATCCGTCGCGACGGAGTCGCGCAGATCCTCGTGACGGATCGGTTTCGATCCACGTAGTAAAGTGACGAATTAGAAGCAGCAAATCCCCAAGCCACACAAGCCGCTGGACTTTTGCTCGACCACCGGCACGGTTTGCGCGGGCTTGTCGCTCGCAGCCGTCGTCTCCTCGGTCTTTTCGTTCCCTCCGAGCACGGATGGGATGATGGACAACGCGCGGCCGATCAACTTGCCAGGCATGGCGAACAGACCACCCATCTTTTCCTTGGCAGCCTTTTCTTCGGCTTCCCTGCGCGCGGCTTCGGCGGCGGCGGCGGCGGCTTGCTTCTCGGCGAGTTCGCGCTCTTCCTTCGCCTTCTTCGCCGCAGCTTCAGCCTCGGCAGCCTCTTTTTCGGCTTGCTTTTTAGCGGCGCGCGTTTTTGCATCCTCAGCCTCCTTCTTCGCCTTTTCGGCGGCTTCGGCGGCTTCGGCTTCGGCTTCCTCGGCCGCTTTCTTCGCCGCCTCGCGCTCGGCGGCTTCCTTTCTCGCGGCCTCGGCTTCAGCCTTGGCCTTTTCAGCGTCAGCCTTAGCCTTTGCTTCGGCGGCGATGCGTTCCTCTTCGGCCTTGTTCTTCGCCGCCTCCTCGGCTTCCTTGATCGCCTGCTTTGCCGCCTCCTCGGCTCGCTTCTTCTCTTCCTCGAGCGCCTTTTCGGCCGCCTTCCTCTCCTCCTCGGCGGCCTTTTCAGCCGCCTTCTTCTCCTCGGCAGCCTTCGTCGCGGCCGCCTCCTCAGCCGCAGCCTTCGCCTCAGCCGCGGCCGCGGCCGCCTTCTCAGCCGCCTCGCGCTCGTCGTTCTCAGCCTTTCTGTACGCCTCCCTCGCCTCCTCCAACTTTGCCTCCTCCGCCGCCTTCTCCGCCGCCAACTCCGCGAGCTTCGCCTCCGCCGCCGGATCCGCGTTCTTTTTACTCGCGCTCTTCGCCAGCTTCGCCTCCGTCTTCGCGTTCGTCTTGATCGACTTTTGCGACGTCAAGATCGCCTTCACCGCCTCCTTCTTCGTCGTCTCGGAGTCCGCCTTCGTCGCCTTCGCCTCCGCCTCCGCCCGCGCCCGCACCTCCGCCTTCGCCGCGGCCTCGGCCTCGGCCTCCGCCACGATGTCCTCCTGCGCGCGACGCATGAAGCTCAGCATCCCACCGAACTTCTTCTCCGACGGCTGTCTCGCCAATTCTCCCGACTCGCTCATCGTCGACGGATGGATTGGATTGAATGCGAAATTAATGAATGCTCGCGGTCACGTCGTCGATGCCGACGCCTTCCGCGCGTTCGGACGCCGCGCGTTTTACGCCGCGCGGTGTTTCGATGCGCGACGATCGACTCCGGCGCGCCGTCGCGTTCGGCCTCGATTCGGGCGCGTCGCGTCGGCGTGTGCGCCGCGCCGATTCGACGATTCGACAATTCGCGGATTCGACGCGAACGCATCGTCGGATCGCGATCGGATCGTTTTTAGCGCGCGCTCGACGCGTCGACGTCTCGTACGCGACGTCGCGATTCGCCCATGTGGTGCGCGCGCGATCGGCGATCGGACGATCGGCGGGTGGTCGATCCCGTCGACTCGCGATCGGTCGATCGGGGGGGGGTCTCTTTGCGCGACACGGACCGACGGACGCGCGCGACGCGACCGCCCGATCGACCGACGGCGCGCGCGCGCTCCAGCGCGACGCGACCGCGCGGGACGATGGCGCGCGCGCGACGGCGCGACTCGGCGCGCGTCGTCGTCGCGGCGTGCGTCGCGGCGTGCGTCGTCGTCGGTCGATCGGGCCGCGCGGATGGGTTCGCGGGACGGCGACCGGCGCGGGACGGCGACGGCGCGCGCGACGGCGACGACGACGGCGCGCGCGAGAACTGGGCGCTGATCGTGGACGCGTCGAGGTATTGGTTCAATTATCGACACGGCGCGAACGCGCTGTCGATGTACAGGAGCGTGAAACGGATGGGGATTCCGGATTCGCGCGTGGTGCTCATGCTCGCGGACGACCACGCGTGCGACGCGAGGAATCCCGCGCACGGACGCGTGTACGGCGACGAGGACAGGGGCGTGGAGCTGTACGGAGACGACGTGGAGGTGGATTACAGAGGGACGGAGGTGACGCCGGAGCGCGTGATTCGAGTGCTGACGAATCGACACGAACGCGGGACGCCGCGGTCGAAAAAGTTGCTCCCGGGGGCGCGGAGCAACGTGTTGATATACATCACGGGACACGGCGGCGATGGGTTCATTAAGTTTCAGGATCAGACGGAGTTGCGGGCGGAGGAGATCGCGGACGCGCTGGCGCAGATGCACGCGCGGGATCGGTACAACGAGGTGTTGTTTTTGGCGGATACGTGTCAGGCGGCGACGCTCGCCAAGGCGATTCGATCGCCGAGGGTGCTGGCGCTGAGCTCGAGCGGGTTGGGGGAGAACTCGTACTCGCGGTTTCTCGATCCCGGGCTCGGCGTGCACGTGATCGATAGGTTCACGTATCACGTGTTGGAGTTTTTCGAAAAGCTCAAACCGGAGAGCGCGAACACGATGGGCGAGCTCGAGGCGTCGCTCACGCCGGATAAGTTGATGTCGCGCGCGGTGTTGGACGTGAAGACGTTCACGCACAGAAACGCGCGCGCGATGAAACTGAGCGAGTTTTTCGGCGCGGTGTGCAAGGCGCGCGCGTTGACGGGGGCTTTCGATTGGTTCGTCGGGGCGAAATCGACGGCGGACGCGCCGGTAGACGGTTAGAAACGTAGAAGTTGTATTAGTCATAGCGACGCAAGCATGTGTGTACACGACGCGCGCGCGAGACGTGGTGATTGGATCCGTCGCGAACACTCCAACTGTCCATTCTTGGCGGCAGTCTGGCACGCGGTCCGGTCGCGCGATCGAGCAGCCATTTCTGTAGAGTCACGATGTGACGACGTCGACGTGACTGGATCGACGTGACTCGATCACGAAAGCTAACGGACCACACAAACGCGACGATCGTACGAGTTCTGCGCCGAAGACGAGCAAAACAGTGTTTGTACGTGCGATCACAATCATCCAAACCCGCATCGACGCCGAAGACGCGTCGTCATCCGCGACACGCATCCGCGCGAGAGAATCGACGCCGCGCGCCCGATCGCTCACGCCGCCGCCGACTTTTTCGGCGCGGTTTCCTCGAGCCATTGTTTCGCCTCTTCTTTAATCGTGCGCAGCTCAATCATCAATTTCGGGTTGAACAGTAAGAAGTAATCGTTTGTCGCGACGACCGTGTTCAAAAGCAGCTCCGTAGATTCGACGACCATCTCCTCCAGCGTTCCTTTCAGCTCGTCGACGCGGCGAACGGCGCGAGCGACGTCCTCGCGCGCCTCAGCCTCCGCGACCGTCTCCGGCGACGGCGGTTCATCCGGCGGCGAAACGTCGTCACCGAAATCGTCTTCACCCAAGTCAAACTGCTGTTCCGGAGGCGACGCGGCGAGTCCTTCCGCCAGCGCGCGCGCGTCGACGCCGTCGTCCATCCGCGTCTCCGGCGTCGGATCGGGCGTCGGACGCGGCGTCGCCGCCATCGCCGCGCGCGGCGTCAGCGTCGGCGCGCGCGACGACGGCACTTTGAAAACGATCTCGCGCTTCGCCGGCGTCGTCGTCGCGGCCATAGTCGCCGGCGTCGTCGCCGTCGATCTCGCCGCGCCCGCGTCCGCCGCCTTCGTCTCTCGCGCGACGTCCATCTTCCCCCCCGACGCCTCCGACGCCCCGCGCGCGTCGCGCGCCGTCTCCACGCTTTTCCTGCGCGCCGTCTCCGCGCGCGGCGTCGCTCGCGCCGTCGCAGTCGTCGTCTCTCGCGCGTCTCGATCGCGTCGCGCGTCGTCGTCGTCGTCGTCGTCGTCGTCGTCCTTCTCCTCGCCATCGTCGATCGCCCGCGCGTCGCGCGCGTCCGCGCGCGCGCGCGCCGATCCGTCGTCGTCGGCGTCATCGCGCGCGCGCGCCGGCGCGTCCTCGTCGCTGTCGCTGACGTCGAACTCCGTCAGCGACGGCGCGTCGTACCTGTCGCGAATCGAACCGTCGCGCGATAAAACTCAGTCTCCGCGCGTCGCTCCGTCTCCGCGCGCGCGCCGCGCGCGCGCGCGCGTCACGCACGTCATCGCGCGTCGTCGCTTGCGCGCGTCGTCGTCGTCGCGCGCCGCGTCGCGTTTCGGCGGTCGAAACGACGCCATTCGGCGGTCGAAACGGCGCGCGACAGAATGACGCGCGACGGCGACGGCGACCGCGCGTGGTGCGTCGCCGGCGCGCGCGCGAGCGACGCGCATCGCGTGACGTACGCCGCGTACGAGGTCTCGACGAGCGCGATCGCGGTGTACGTCGCGCGCAGACGAGCGATTGGTGAATTCGAATCGAGGCACCGCGATGACGACGAAAACGACGACGCGACGACGCGCGACGCGCGCGCGTTCGTCGTCGACGTCGAAAAAACGCGGCGACGCGTTCGCGCGGAGCGAGGGTACGAGCTGGCGAGGACCGCGGCGGAGATGATGGCGAGGACGAAGCGGGCGTTCGAGCGGGACGAGGTGGCGGTGGCGGGGACGACGGCGACGCCGCGGCGAAAAGCGACGACGACGACGACGACGGGAGCTTGGGCGGACGAGGGCGCGAGGGAAGGAGACACGGTTGAGATCGAGTGGGTGGAGCGCGAGGACGGGGAGGCGCGGGAGGTGACGTACGTGGAGGCGTTGGAATGGATCAACGAGGCGTTCGCGCGAGCGAGCGAACGAACGAAACGCGAACGGGAGGCGAAGAGACGGAGAGATGAGGGAAAGGGCGAGGATGAGAAAGGCTCGAGGAGCGCGAGTGCGACGCCGAAAGCGTCGCCGGCGAAGGGGACGAGCGTGGGGAAGTGGATGAGCGAGGCGACGCGGACGCGGCCAAAGTTGAAAGCCGTGGCGGAGCGAGAGAGATTGAATGAAGAAAACGAATGATTGATTGAATTACGCGGCTAATCATTTACCGTCGTTGAGCGTCCAGTCGTACGCGCGCGTCGTTAACGTGACGTCTTTGCCTTCGTCGAGCGCGCGCAGTAAACCTTCGCGATGTTTGCCTTGGCGCATGTACTTTGAGACGTATCGCAGACGCTCGGCGTCGGAATCGCCGAAGTCGAATTTGTACCACTCGCCGACGATTTTACTCACCGCCGCCGACGTCGCGTCGCCGTTTTCGGAGAGCTCTACGTCGATTTCCGACTCGAAGAAGGAAAACGCCGCGTCTTCGAGCTCGCGGTCGATATTCTCAGCCGTGTAGACGCGAATGGGAGGGCACGAACGCGCGCCGCACACCAACGCAAAGTGAATTCGAGGATCCATCGGCAGCACGACGTGGTTCCTTCGCGGATCCTTCTCGCGAAAAGGACCTCGCGACAGCGATGGTTTTCCCGCGAGCGCACCGATCGTGGCCGCGCCCGGTCGGTTCCCGCGCAAGATTCCGTTCTCGATGTCGTCGCACGTGTACACGGCGCCGGCGACGTCGTACGAAACCTTGGAGAAGAAATCCAAACGCTCGAGCGTGTTCTTGGGCGTGCCAAACACACACGTTCCGTGAATCACGAGGGCATTGTACAGATTGATGAAAAACGCCATGCGTTCTTCGCGCGACAACGCGTTCAAGTTGACGCGCTGAAGCTCTTCGCACGCTTCGACGAAATCTTTAAAGCCGTCGCTCTGACGAACGCCATCGTAATCCACCGCGCGCCCGTCGTCGCTGAGAAATTCGTCATAGAGCTTCAGTATGCGTCCGCGAACATCCTCCGCGACGATTTTAGCGTCTCGCGCTTGTCCAACGTACAAATTCGCCGCGTTCAACGGCGCACACCCCAAAGACGGCGCCTCGGATCGAAAGCGAAACAGCGGCGCGTCCGCGGCGTCGACGACGCGAAACGCGTGCGTCGCGTCGACGTCACCGATCAATCGCTCGCGCACCATGGCCGCCCCCAACCGCGCAGCCTCTTCTTCCGTCGACGCTTTACCGTTTTTCATCATCCAATCCACCGCATCTTTCGCCGTGAACACGCCCTTATGCGTCTTCACCAGCCCGAAGACGCCATCCGACAACCCGCCGAATCGTCGCTCCGTCCTTCGCGTCACCCCCCCCGTCGTCGCCGCCATCGCCCGCGCCACCGCCGCCGCGTCCCCCGCCTCATTCGATCCCTTATTCACCAATTTCGTCAACCACGACGACGACGACGACGTCGCCACCGCCGGCGCTTTCGGCGTCTCCAGCGTCCCGTTCGCGAACGCCTCGCTCGCCTCGCGAAGCGCCCGCGGCGCGCCGTCCATCCCTCTCTCCCTCGCCTCCCGCGCCTTGGCCACGAGATCGCCGCTTTCGATCCCCGCGCACGTATCGTCGGCGCCGCCGTATATCTCTCCCCCCACGAACACCTGCGGCACCGATCGAAAGCCCGCGAGCGCCGACGACGCCGCGCGCAGCGCCGCCGCGTCGTCGACGCTAATCTCATCGAACGCGATCCCCGCCTCGCCGAGCGCGCTCTTCGCGCGCTTGCAGTGCGGACACGACGACGTGCCGACCACCGTGACCGACGTCGCGCCGTCCGTCGTCGCCGCGCGCGCGCGCGACGCCGCGCGAGTCGACGCGTGATGTCCCGAGCGATGACGCATTCGCGTCGCGCGCGCGTCGACGAGCGCGCCGATCGTCGCGCGGACGCGACGCGGCGTCGCGCGCATGTCTCGCGCGCGCGTCGACCCGCGCGCGCGCGACGCGAGCGCCGACGCGCGACGCGACGCGTCGAAGAGTGTCGGCACGTCGGGACACCGCGACGCGAGACGATGGCCGCGAGCGCCGTCGACGACGCGTGGTTCGCCGTCAAGGCGGTCGAGACGACGCATCCCGTGCGTCGCGTCGTCGCGCTGCGATGCCAGAACGAAAACGGCCCGTGTCCGCTGCTCGCGGTGGTGAACGCGCTGGAATTCAAGTCTGAGCTCGGTCGAGCCGGCGACGAAAACGACGCGAGCGACGCGACGCGCGCCTCGACGCCGGCGTCGCTGCGCGAGACGATGTCGCGAGTGATGGAACACATGCTCGTGCGCGCGGAGGCGATGGCGAAGCGCGAAGACGTGGATGAGGAGACGGTGCGGATGACGCTGGACGACGCGACGGCGACGCTGGAGAGAAGCGCGAAGGGCGTCGACGTGAACGTGCGCTTCGACGCGTGCGAGAGCTTTGAGTACACGAAAGAGATGACGATGTTTGATCTGTGTGGGTTGAGGTTGGTGCACGGCTGGGTGGTGGGCGAGGTCGAACACGGCGCGGAGACGGCGCGGTTGTGCTCGAGCGTCGGTTACAACGGTTTGGTGGAGCGCCTGATTGATTTACGGACGACGGCGAGCGGTGAGGGGACGAGGGAAGGGCGAGAGGAAGGAAACGGTGAAACGCGAACGCTCGAGGCGTCGGTGAGCGGTGCGAGCGCGGGCGAGGCGCGGGAGGGGGAAACGTCGGGCGAACGCGAGGAGCGAGAACTGTTGGAGCGCGCGATGAGGCTTTCGATGGAGGATTCGCGAGACGCCAAGCTCGCGAGAGCGATGCACGAGGCGGATTTGATCGAAACGTTTCTCAACGATACCGCGAGTCAACTCACGCTCACGGGATTGGCGCAGATACGGGAGCGGATTCAAGAGCGCGAGTACGCGGTGCTGTTCCGAAACAATCACTTCTCCGTAATAACCAAGGTGGACGGCGAGCTCTACGCCCTGGTCACCGACAGCGGGTACCAGGATGAACCGGACGTCGTGTGGGAGGTGCTCGGCGGCGCGCGCGATGGAACGTTCGCGAATTCAGAATTCAGACCGTTCGAGCCGCGCGCGGAGGGCGCCGGAGCAGCGTCGCCGACGACGCAAACGGCGTCGGCGCTTCCCGACACTTTTCTCCGCGCCGCGCCGTCGACGACGGAGCCCGCGTCGTCGCCGACGAGCGATGAAAAGTCCGATTACGCCGTCGCCCTCGAACTCCAAGCGCAATTTGAAGAGGAGGAGCGCCTCGCGCTTCGCGCGGCGGAGCGACGCGTCGCCGAACGCCGCGCCGAGGCGCGAGCCGCGCAATCCCAACCGGCACCACCCGCGTCCTCGCGTCCGACGACTCGCGGCGCGCGCAAACCCAAACCTAAAAAATCATCTTCCTCCGTCGCCGACTCGTGCGCCATCATGTGATACCAATCTCAGACGGTCCCGCCGTCGTCCCGCGCCGTCCGTCCCGCTCGCCGTCCCCGCGCCGAGCGGCACACTCTCGCCCGCGGTGCGATCGTCGCGCCTCGCCGATCGGCGCGAGATTTCACCATGTCGTGGACGTGGGATTCCTTCGCCAAGGGCGCCGCCGACGCCGCCGAGACCACGCGTCTGGTCGCCATCAAGGGTGCGTCTCCCTCCGCGCCTTTAAACTTCAAACTCACTTCAACTTCTTCGTCGACCCGTTCCCAGGCGCGAAACAGGCTGAAATCATGTACAAAGAGCGTAACATCACGTCCACGACGCAACAATTCGGCGTCGACTGCTTCGCGGCGATGGAGGCGAACGATCAGGCGCGCGCGGCGTCGCTCTTCGCCGCGGCCAAGCGCGAGGTCGACGCGTACCGCGCCGACATCGCGCAGCTCAATCGCGAGATCGACGGCGTGAACGTCGAGATAGAAAATGTAGGTCGGGAGGACGCCGCGAGCGCGGCGCCGCCGGTCGTGCGGGCGACGCCGCCGAACGCGCGCGGCGCTTCGCTGCAAGACTTGTAAAGGTAACAACATTCTTCGAAATCGCGGCACACCGCGACGCCGCGCGTCGACGCGCGCGCGACGATGCGGACCGCGCGCGCGACGCGCGTCGCGCCGCCGCCGAGGCGCGCTGGAAGCGCGAGACGCGCCGCGCGCGAGACGCAGACGCGCGCGAAAGGGCGAGCGCCGCCACATCGTTCGGGACACTCGTCGAGGATTTCGATCGCGACGCGCGCGTACGAGCGCGATCGCGACGATGATGCGTACGCGAACGCGCAGAGGGATGTGTTCGATGATCGAGCGTTGGTCAGAGCGCCCGCGCGGCGACGACGAGGGCGCGAGGGGGAGCGGGATGGACGACGAGGCGCGTTCGGCGACTTCAAGACGCCGCGGACGCCGACGGAGGCGATGCGGGCGCTGTTGTCGCCGTTCGGAGCGTTTGTCGTCGCCGCGATCGTGAGTGTGGCGAATCCAACGTTCATGACGAGCGGGCGAGAGGCGATACTGATGAAACTTTACGAAAGGCAGAGCGGCGGCGAAACCTCGGCGTACGTCAAGGACGGCGTTTTGTATCGCATGGACGCGTCGGGGAGCATGACGGCCAACGCGAAGGATGGGATCATGGTGGATAAGAATGGGGGGATATGGGTGATCGTTCCGCAGAAGGATGATGTGACGTTGATCAAGCAGAAGTATTACATGGGACAGATCGAAGACGTGCCGACGCTGCCGAAGAATCCGTCGGCGGCGGAGCAGAAAAAGTACGACGAATTCATGGCCAAGTTGTTCGATTTCGAAAAGCTTCCGAACGTTAAGAAGGTGTACGATGGACCCTATCCCGTGCCCGTTCGTAAAGAGACGGAGAAATTCTTCCGCGAAGGGTTGCCCGCGAGCGTGATGGATGAAATCGAAGGTGTGGGCGCGTTGTTTGAACAACGATGACGACGTGCGCGCTTTTAATACTGTACATCTACTTTGTTTCATCTAATTCTACTGTTCAACACCATTCGTATGTCGTCGCGAAGGCTCAAGATTTTTCGCGCGTGCTCAGCGCTCGCGTCTTCGATTTCAAACCTGATTTGCCGCGTCGCCTTTTCGAGCTCGCCGAGCGCGTGCTCGCGATCGTGCTTGATTTCCTCTTCGATCGCGAGTTTGTGCTCGTCGAGAATACCACCATCGCGCGTGATCGTCGCTGCGCGCGCAGATACTTCGCTCAGCGCGATTTGCGCCGATGACATCGCCTGACGAAGCTCATTCAACTCAAACGATGCTTGCGACTTGTATGTCTCGAATTCGCCGCGAACGGCGAGGATTTCTTCGCGAACTTCCGCAATGGCGGCGTCGTACGTCTCTGCTTGATCCTCGAGCGCCTTTTCCAAAGCCTGCGCGTATAACTCGCCTCGTTTTCGCGCGTCCGCTTCGTTCTCGCGCAACGTTTTCATGTCCTGAAGCATGCGCTCCTCCTCTGCTCGCAGCGCTCTGAGCACGGCGTCTCGTTCGACGCGATCGCTTTCGTTCAAACCTTCTTCGTCCCGCACGACTTTTTCCACATCTTTGGCCATTGTTTCGGACACCTCACGAATTTCCGCGCTAGCGCGGAGGAGGAGCTTGACGTGCGCCGCCGTAGAAGTTTCGTAGTGCCGCGCCATGTCGTCTCTCGAGCATCGAAAAACGCAACCAACCTCGTGAAATTCGCACAGCAACTCCACCGATGGGCACGTCAACTCCAAATGTTGCTTCATGTCCGCCGCAGATACCAGCGCGCCGCATCCCGCGGTGCACGCGCGACGAATCTTCACGCACACCTGCTTGTGACGAAGCGCGCTTCGCTCGCTCACGAGCGTTTGACAATCCGAGCACGCCACCGTTCGCGCGTACTCGCACATCTCCTGTCTATGTCTCGCCAGCGCGTTTCGTTTCATCATCGCCGGACAGCATCGCGTGTGTTCATCCGCATCCGCCTCATCGACGACGCCGCACAAAACTTCCTTCACCGGACAAATCTCTTCGTGCCGCGCCACCGCGTCGGCGTTCGTCATCGTCGCCCGGCACCCGTGCCTACACGCCACCGGTTTATGCTCGCACACGTCCGCGTGATCCCTCGCGTACATCGCGCTCCCCACCCAATCACACCCCGCGTTCGCGCACCCCCTCGCGGCGTACGCGCACTCCTCCCGATGTCCCTCCAGCGCCCTCCTCGCGCACTCCGCCGCGCACGTCCCCGTCAACCGCCTTCCCGCGTCCCGCTCCGCGAGTCCGCAAATCACAATCTTAAAATCGCACTCCTCCGCGTGTCGCGCCAGATCTGCGAACCGCACGATCGCCCCGCAGCATCGATCGCCGAATCCTCGATGATCGAGCGTCGCGCTCCCGTCCGCGCTCGCGTCGTCCCGTCGCCACGCGTACGGGCAGTGCGCGCGCAGGTTGGAGATTTCAAGCATCAGCGCCTCGTCCGCGACGTAATCCTCCTCCGTCGCCGCGCGTCTGCACACCGCGCACGTACCGCTCTGTGCGATCGATTCGCGCGCGCACAGCGCGCACAGCGCGTGTCCGCACGGCGCGCGACGCGGTTTTCGCAGCACGTCTTTGCACGCGGGACACATCGTCGAATCGGGCGGTCGCGACGCGAACACCACGCGCTCGCGCGACGCGGAGACGTAGACGACGCCGTAGCCCTCGACGGCGACCGCGCGGAGCACCATCGCGGCGCGGCGCGGCGATCGCGTCGCGAGCGCGTTTCTGGCGGTTGGTCGGCGGCGGCGGCGCGTTTCGAGGCGGCGGCGCGCGGTCGGTCGATTCAATCATGAACTATTGGACACGTTTCGGGCGACTTCTAAGTGCGCGTCGCGGTAACCTTCTCTGTGCGCTACCCATAACGGCAGGAACTCGCGCATGGAGATCTCGCCGCCGTTTCGATGGAACGCGAGCGCGACTTCGACGCCGAATCGCTCGTCGACGACCGGGACGACGACTTCGTTCAGCGCCTCGGCGTAACGATCGGAGCCTGGACATTCGCAAGCGCACGCGTACTTCAAACAGTCCAAATGTCCTTTCCAGGCGGCAGACGCGCACATCGTTTCGTTCCAATCACACCCGTTCTCGTGCGCGTACTTCAGACAGTCCAAATGTCCTTCCCAGGCGGCAGACGCGCACGTCCTCTCGTCCCAATCACACCCGCGCTCGTGCGCGTACTTCAAACACTCCAAATGTCCACCATCGGCGGCATTGTCGCACGTCCATGCGTCCCAATCACACCCTTGCTCGTGCGCGTACTTCAGACAGTCCAAATGTCCTTTCCAGGCGGCAGACGCGCACGTCCTCTCGTTCCAAGGATACCCGTGCTCGTGCGCGTACTTCAAACAGTCCAAGTGTCCATTCCAGGCGGCAGCGATGCACGTGTTCTCGTTCCAAGGACACCCGTTCTCGTGCGCGTACTTCAAACAGTCCAGATTTCCATAATAGGCGGCAATCGCGCACGTCCACTCGTCCCACGGCGCCACGTGCTCGCGCGCGAACTTCAAACATCCTGAACCCATAATGCGCGCAGCCCGCATGCACGCCCCCGCATGTACTGTTCGAAAGAAACTCTCCTTGTCATCAAACTCGCCACCGTCGCCAACCCGCCAACTCTCCTTGTCATCAAACTCGCCACCGTCGCCAACCCGGTACCAATCGACGCCGTCGCGTCTCAAATCTTGTAAAAACGACGCCACCGCATCCCTCACGTCGTCCGGGACGCGCACGAGTTCACGGATGAGTGCGTCGTAGACTTCATTCTGCCTCCGCGGCTCTTCCTCGTCGAACTCCATCCCGCGCGTCGCGCCGTGGCGCGCGTCGTCTCGTCTCGTCTCGTCTCGTCTCGTCTCGTCTCGTCTCGGAGGACCCGAACCGCCGCGAGTGACGGGAGGGTCAGCCAAAGTGACGCACTGTCGGAGCGTCGACCTCGCAAAAAACGGACCATCGATAGGTAAAAATGCCGACACGAGCTCACAGTTAAACTAAAACCCTAAAAATATGATGCCGTATGCGATGAACACGCGTCCGCCACAGTGGGCTTCGACGACGTGAAGTGGAGGAATGAGCGCCGCACTCGGGCGCCCCGCGCGCGGCGCCGCTGTGGCGAAAGTTACGGTTTTTTCGTCGTCAACAACCGTCGACTCGACGACGCCGAGCGCGCGAGGCGCGATCACCAGCGACGGGAATCTCGAGACTTGCCGACGCGGTCGGCGTCTCGCGACGCGACGTACGCCTGGTCGCGGCGATCCCAGCCGCCGCGAAAACCGCGCTGGCGGTCGCGGTCGCGATGTTGGTCGCCGCCGCCGGTTTTGTGTTCCTCGTACGGGACGTTCGGGAACGTCATCGATGACTCCGGCGCGTGCGCTGACTTCGTGCTCGTCGACCACGTTTCGAAGACGCGATCGCGAGAGAAGACGAGCTGACGGTCGTCGCCGCGCTGCGTTTGTAAAGCCATGAGCTTGCGCACGTCGACGCCTCGCTTTTCCATCAGCGCCGTCTTCAAGGATTGATCGCGACTGATGATGAACGCGGCGTGCATGTCCTTGAGTTCGTCTGCGAACCAATCCGCGACGTCGTCTTCGCACATGTACATCTTGTACACGTAGCTCGCCAGCGCGAAATCCACGGCGCCGCCGCACGTCTCGGCGACTTTACCGCTTCGCATGTCCCACTGAAAAAAACGCAACCCCAACGCCTCGGCGCTCGCGCGCCAGCTCTCTTCCAGATCTAAAGACACTAAATCTAACGTCACGCTCGGGAAATGCGCCTTGAAAAACTCTCGCACGGCGACCAACTCGAATCCCGGTCCGCCGCCGAGCGACGCCACTCGCCGCGTCTCCCCGTCTCCGCCCTTACCCACGTCCTCGAACACCCCTCGCGCGCGCGCGCGCTCGAGGCACGCCCACGTTTCCGTGAATCTCTGCACCGACTTGAATCGACAGTATTCGCGCTGTAATCCGAGATGCGCGTACTCCGTCTGCGACCACGTGACGTCCCGCTCGCGTATGCTCGGCTTCTTGGCGTAAATATCAACCCCCGAGCGCACGATCGCTTCCCGCGCCGCGTCATCGGGCGCCAAGGTGGCGATCGCGGCGTCGAGCGCCGCGATGACGCGTCGAGCGTCGTCGAAGAGCTGTCCCAGCAGCGCCGCGCCCTGGGCGTTGGTGTGAAATGGCCACTTTCTGTTTCTGTCTTGGTAGTACTTGTACCCGCACGCGGCGGTCGATGTCGACGCGGGGGGGATGAGAACGCCGTCGAAGACGTCGGTGCGTCGCTCGGGGGCGGACATGGCGCCGATCGCGACCTGGCGCGCGCGCGTGTGTGAGGGACGGAGATTTGCGTGGTGACTGAGTGAGTACTAAATACGCTGCTAGAAGTTGATCGTACTCTTCGCTCGCGACGCGCGTGACGTCGGAGAAAAGTGTATTGTACAAGGAAAATGTTCTCCCTACTAGATCTCCAAGGCTGCGGTGCCTTCGCGAATTTCCGAATCGAGCTGAGACGCTCGGCGCGCGGCGAGGGCGTTCACGGCTACGAGCCAGCAGATGGCGATGGCGCTGTGACAGCATACGAGCACGGGGAGGGCGCCGATGATGGAGCCATACGCGAATATTAAGCCTTGCTGCATGAAGGATCCACCGGTTTTACCGATTTGAGCGCCGAGGACGTCCACCGCGGCTTTACCTTTGGTTCGACTGTCTTCGTCGAGAGTGATGTACACCATCTCTTCAGCCGGTTTGAAGAGAGAAAACTTCGCCGCACGCTCGACGATGTAAATCACCGCGCCTCCTAAGACGAGCCAAGGCAAGATGGCGGACGACTGCGCGAGCTGTCCGTGACGAAGGGCGTAGATGGACGTTCCAAAGAACACCCACCCAAGAGCGATGACGGTTTTCGGCGTCACCGAGAGCGTCCCTTTCCATCCAAGATTCTTAAACAAGAACGGCGCGGCGACCATGAAGATGCCGGTAACCATTCCGCTGTACGTTTGTACGTCGCCCATGTACGCGGCGTAAGAGGTGGGATCTGGACGGTATATGCGCAACTGCGTCTTCCAAGCGACTTGGAAGATGATGGAGCTCAAACCTTGCGCGACAGCCATGACGGCCAGACACGCGACTTCGGGGGATTCGAAGACGTACATCAACGAAGACAACAAACCGGCTTTCTTCGTCTTCTTGTTCGCCGCCTTGTCTGCGTCAGATTGGGTTTTAGAGTCTCGCTGCTTTTCCATCATCGCCGAGTTTGGATCTTTTCTCGCTTCGTCGCAAATGTACTTGTGGCACGCCATGATGGAAGCTCCGCAGAACATGACGACGGTCATGAACAACTTTAACTTTGCCGCCCACATGTCTTCCGGTGCCACGCCCGCGGGATGCCACTGCGTGGTGACAAACTTCATGAAGAGCCCCGAGCACGCCTGCGCGACGTTGGCGCCGATGCCGAGCAAAGGATAAATGATACCAGCCTCGCTCACGCGCGTGATTTCGTTCGCCAAACCCCAAAATAGCAGACTTAACACGACATCACCCCAAAGCTCGCCGGCGACGTAGAAGAGCGAATACGTCCAGTTCGTGAAGACGGCGATGCCGCCCGCGAGACCTCTCGGGAGCGTCGTCGCCAGCGTCGCCGCCAACTCGTACGGGTGTAAGACGTCTCGCATCGGATACAAAACCCCCGTGAACAGCGCGAAGAAGCACATGAAGAACGTCACCGCCATGTAAAACAACTTTTCCCGTCCAAACTTCGAGCTCAACCGCGCAAACAGCGACACGAACAGCAGACTCGTGGGCAAAACCGCGTACACCGTCAGGTACGGAATCTGTTCCGCCCCCCCGAACGCCGTCACGACGAGCGTGTCCTTCACGGCGTCCATGATCGAGTTCGCGAACGCCATAAAGTAAAACATCAACGACATCGGCACCAATCGTCCCCAGAGGCCGTCCATGGGCTTGAGAATCTTTCGCGCGTGCTTCGCGAAAAAGTTCTCTTCTCGCGCTTCGCCGCCGTCCCCAGCCGCCGCGCTCGCGGCGACGATCGCCCCTCGCATCACCACCCCCGCTCGTCGTCCATAACACACCTCATTCGCGCGCGCGCACGTCTCCATCGACCATCTCTCACGATCCCGCGCCGTCGCGCGTTCGACGCGCCGTTCCGCGCGTCCCGCGCGTCCCGCCCGCCGCGTCTCCCCGCGCCCCACACGCGCGTCCGCGCGCGCGCGCGCGCGCGCCGCGATCACCGGCGCGCTCACGGCCGTCATCGCGCGCGCGTTTCGCGCGCACGATCGACGCGCGCGCGTCGGCGTCGACCGAACCGTCGCCGTTTATTTAAACCTCGCTTTAAACGTCGCGAAATTTAAAATGTCGTCGCGCGTCGCGCGCGTCGAGCGACGCCGGTTCGGCGGCGACGAGGGAACGCGTTCGTGCGCGTCGTCGCGAGCGCTCGCGACGCGGCGCGGCGTCGTCGCGACGCTGTGCCGCGGCGGCGCGCGCGCGCGGTCCGTTTGTCACGAGTATAATACAGGATGGGTTTTATTAGTGCCGTAATAAATCCTCGTATAGGAGTGTGTTTAGTGTGTAGTGTGTGTGACGCCGCCGACGGGACGCGCCGCGCGTCACATCCGCGCGCCATGCTCGCCGCGCGCGTCACCGCCGCGCGCGCGACGCTTCGCACGCGATCCGTCACGATGCGCGCGCACGTCCTGTGCGCCTCGCGTCGCGTCTCCGCGCGCGCCGACGTCAAAACGAGCGCGAACTCGAAGAGCCACAAGGTTCACCTTCGCGCCGGCGCGACGCCGCGCGCGACGACGACGACGCGCACCGCGCGCGCGGCGACGCGGACGCGCGCGAAAAATAAGTCCACGCAGGCGGAGGCGGAGAAATCGCGCGAGGGCGCGATCACCAAGCGGAGCGAGGATTTTTCAAAGTGGTACCTGGATTGCATCCGCGAGTGCCAACTCGTCGACTACGGACCGGCGCGAGGGACGATGGTGATCCGGCCGTACGGGTACGCGATATGGGAGGGGATTCAAAAGTATATGGATGCGAAGTTTAAGGCGACGGGGGTGCAGAACGCGTACTTTCCGCAGTTGATACCGTATTCGTTCATAACGAAGGAGGCGTCGCACGTGGAGGGTTTCGCGCCGGAGTTGGCGTTGGTGACGCGAGGGGGAGGGAAGGAGTTGGAGGAGCCGCTGGTGGTGCGACCGACGAGTGAGACGATTGTGAATAATATGCTATCGCAGTGGATTCAGAGTTATCGGGATTTGCCGATGCTGTTGAATCAGTGGTGCAACGTGCACCGGTGGGAGATGCGCACGCGGCCGTTCATTCGCACGTTGGAGTTTCTTTGGCAAGAGGGTCACACCGCGCACGCGACGGCGGAGGAAGCGGAGGAGAGAGCTATGCAGATGATTCGTGTTTACGCCGAATTCGCCCAGACGCAGGCGGCGATGCCGGTGATTCCTGGGAGAAAGTCGCGCGTCGAATCCTTCGCCGGGGCCAACGTGACGTACACCATCGAGGCGATGATGGGAGATAAAAAGGCGCTTCAAGCGGGAACATCGCACAATTTGGGCGATAACTTCGCCAAGGCGTTCGACACTACGTTTTTAGACGACAAGGGCGAGACGCAGTACGTGCATCAGAGCTCTTGGGGGGTCTCTACGCGCTTGATTGGCGGTATTCTCATGACGCACGGCGACGATTCCGGGTTAATTTTGCCCCCGCGTTTGGCGCCGATTCAAGTCGTCGTGGTGCCAATTTGGAAGAAGGACGAAGAGAAGGAAGCGGTCATGGCATCTGTCGATAGCATCATTTCTTCTCTCTCCAACGCGGGCGTTCGAACCCATCTTGACGCGGATCAAAGTAAGTCGCCGGGGTGGAAATTCAACCAGTACGAAATGAAGGGCGTGCCGATTCGCATTGAAGTCGGTCCGAAGGATGTCGCGAAGGGTGCGTGCGTCGTCGCTCGTCGCGATGTTCCGGGCAAGGAGGGTAAGGAGTTCGGCGTGAGTATCGAGCCAGCCGCGCTCGAGACCAAGGTCAACGACGTGCTGAATGACATTCAAAACTCGATGTTGCAAAAGGCGACCGAGTTTCGCGACGCCAACATCGTCGACGTTAAAACTATGGACGAATTAAAGGCGACGATTGAGGCGGGGAAGTGGGCGCGATGCGGCTGGGAAGGTACCGACGAAGAAGAAAAAGCCATCAAGGAGGAGACCGGGGCAACGATTCGGTGCTTCCCGTTCGATCAACCCGCGGGCGAGCACACGTGCTTGATGTCGGGTAAGCCGGCGAAGGAGGTGTGTATCTTTGCAAAATCGTACTAAAAGGAGCGCGCGCAGTAGAGCTTGTCATATCTATCAAGTGCATGTTTATCACATCTAGTCGTACTAGTTTACGCCGCTTGGGCGAGCATTTGCGTGTCCGTCTTCAAGCGAGCCTCGTGAGACGAAATCGCCGCGCTCAACGCGTCGCAAAGCTGTTGAAGAGAATCGTCGTTCGCACAACGATCGCGCGCGTCGAAGATCAAATCCATCGGGAACCAGCACGCAGCGTGCGCGGTGCGGTCGATGGCCGAGCGCTTGGCCCAGAACGAGAGTTCTTTGAGCGCCAACTGAGCGGCGTCCTCGGCGCGGTTGAACGCGAGGTAGATGCGCAAGAGCGCCGCGGGATCCGCCCCGCGTCTTGCCATACCACCGCCGCTGAAAAGCGCAGTAGGGTTGACAAAACGTTTGATGAGCCAGCTCGGGAGCGCTAGCTTGGCGTTGACAGCGAGAATCGACCGAGCGGTGGCTTCAGAGAGGGCAAAGTTGCGTTCCGGCGCGTCGAAGCGCTCGACAAAGGCGCGCAACTCGTTCCAGTACGTGTCGACGGACGTGACCGGCGCTTCGACCCCGATTAATCCCGCGATCGCTTGCAAGTCGCTTGCTCGAGCGTTCCAACGCTTCAACGCAGCGTCTTGTTCGGCTTGCAGGACGGACGCATCGCCAACTTGAGCCATGCTCGCGCGCGCCGCCATGGCACCAGCGATTAAAGCGAGCGAAGACGTGAGCTTTTCGCCATCCAACCACGCGGTGCAAAGCGTCTTGGCGGCCGCGAAGCAACCGTACGCAATCAAGCTTTGCACTAAGTCTTGAATGACTTTTCGAGGTTCACTATCGACGTGAAGCATAGCGGTTTCGCAGCCCACGTGCAAGAGTTCTAGGCGAGCGGCGGAGAGCACGTACTCACGGGTGACGGTGGCCAGAGGACTCTTCTTCGTATCCAGTCCACTCGAAACAACATTTACTGAAGAAACATCATCGTTTCCTTCCATGTGTTCATCCTCTACGACCGTTTCAAAGCTCACCGAACAGGGATCCGACACCATGGCCAAGGCGTTGGCGGAGGAGAGCGCCGCCGAGGCATGACGCGCGAGAGCGTCGACCAGCTCGTCGTACGTTACGTCGGGTTTACGAGCGATCTCGATCGTGTGCTCGCTCAAACGATTGGCGTACTCGTGCATGGATACTGCCGCTTTGGCTGGGTCCCCACGACTCAAGTAGAATCCGTACAAGATCTCGCTCGGCGACGGCTGCGAGTCCACTGGCGCTGTGGACGCCCTACCCTCGAGCGCGTTTATGATTGTGTCGTAATGCGTTCGCTCGCTTTCATCCAAGCAAAGCGTGCTCAGCACCGCGCCACCGTTCTTCGCACCCCTTTCACAAACACTGGCGACGAGTCGACGCATCGCCGCCGCCTGGCGATGCTCGCCCGCAGTGCTCGCAGCGGCGCAATACGCCGCGCGCCAATCCCCGGCGTCCGTGGCGTATTGCAACGCATTGGCCCACAATCGTGCACTTTGGTTTTCATCATCTCGAACCTCATGCAGCGCTGCGTATGCGGCCGCCTGAGCGCCTGGAGCGCATCCGAGACGCTCGAAGAACAGCATGACAATTTCGTAGTACTCCAAGCGCGAGACGACGTCGTTTGGAAACGCGGCGTCGTCGGTACCCATCAGAATGCTTTGAATCACTCGCAACAGCTGCACGAGGAGGGAGTCGACTGGACCAGCGACTTCTGGAACAAACGCAGCCGCTCTACTGAATAATGCGATCGCGCTGTCGATCGAGGCGTTGCGCTCGGCGTTTGCGTCGTCGGTTTGATTGAGACCGACCAAATCCGCGCACGTCCACAGCGCTTGCAGAAACAGCGGTGCCGGCGCGTCGAACGGCGCCTTGGCGACCGATTCGCTTCCGGGGACTTGCTGCCGAGCAAACGCAAGTAGCGTGCCGAGGGCGTCGACTTCGCCAGAGGCGTAGAGTGTGGTACCGATCTCTATCACTCGTCGCGTGTGAGACGAAGGTTCGTCGTCGCTGGCGTCGAGCGCTGAGGCGAGTAAGGTACCGGCGCTTCGCAAGCGATCGCCCACGGAAGAAGAGCATTCGAGAATATCAGGATGTTCTAAATTCGCGAGGGTGACCGCCAAGCGAGGCGGATCTTCGCGGTTGATGCTCAAGCTCGATCTGCGCTCCGTCAGGAGCCAAGAGGAGAGAATCGCCGAGCGATACGCGCTCATCGCAGCGGGCAAAGCATTGGTGATGGAGTCGGCGGCGTCAGCGGCGAAGCCAATCTTTGGACCGAGTCGAATGCATCCCAAAAGAAGCACTAATCCGCGCGACACCTCCACGCGTGCCCGAGTTTGTTGCTTGGTGGCGTTCAAAACCAACGCGACAAACTGCGATTCGTCCATCTCACTCGCCTCGTCGTCGACGGCGCCGAGGCTTCGTCCCTCCGATGGCAGAGTCCATTCATCAACGCGCTCACGAAGCGCTTGCGCTGGCTCTGCAAGCGTGCTCAGCGCATCTTGTAACAGACGGATGACGATTCTTTGCTTGGCGCGCCTCGAAGCCTTTCGGGATTTCGCTTGCGTCTCGGTTTCGTCGCTCTGCACCGCTGGAAAGACGTCACCGATCAACACTCCAGCGAAAGACTCAAGCCAATCTTTTGTGGTGTGGCTCGACGCTTCGATGTTTTCGTCGTAATTGTCGAACGCCGTCGCCTTGCTTGAGGTTGACGTGTCCACGCACAATCCACCGGCGATTAAATCCATCGCCGAGCACGCCGAGCTACCGAGAACGCTGTTCAAACGCGCAAACAGAGCGGTGAGCGCCGACACCACTTGTCGTTTACCACCACTAAAGTTCAACATCGGCGAATCCTCGTTCGTGATTTGTGCGCGAAGCAGAGACTCTTCAACGTCGTCGCCTGCCCGAATGGCGCCCAGCGCGTCGCCCGCGCGCAGTAGCACGAGGGACGACGACCACGACGCGTCCGTGTCCAAAAGGAAGGCCATCGGCGCGTGCGCGCGCGACCACTCACGAGCATACGTAGGCGCTACGCGACACCACGTCTCCACGACGCGCTGGATGCTGGCGTTCGCCCCAGCCGCGGCGACGAGCGCGTCGCTCGCGGTTTTCGCTTCGTCCAAACCGAGCTCATCGCAGGTATTTTGCAACGCCAGCTCCGAGCTCAAACCTCGTAGAGCGATTTCACTGGCTAAGCTGTTCGCCACAGAGGCCGCAGTGTACCCATTTAGCTTACCAAACCTTCGGAGGAGTTCAACCGCCGCGCCGTTGCCTCGACCGGCGTGCCCCCACTCGGCGAGCACGTTGGCTTCGACGTCGCCGCATCGAAGATCTCGCGCGCGATGGAGCGCGTCCAGCGGCCAGGACAGTAGAGTCGAAGTCGAAGTGGACGATGCGTCGTCGTCGTCGAAATTCTCGAGCGCAGCGACGACGCTATCGGGCGTCAGCGCGAGCGCACGAGCGACGCCCTTGGATCCCTCGATGGACGACCCGAAAGCCAACGCGCCGTGCTTGACCGTGTAGAACGCCAAGGTGGCGGCATCCGCAGCTGTTTCGATCGTTGTCGTTGCTGCGGCGGCTTCGTCGTCTGCCTCCACTGGCGCTAATCTAGAGGACACTACGACGTTCAACGTGAGACCTTTCTCCGACGGCGCGCACGCGAACGACGTCGCCACGCGATCCGGCGCGGGCGTCTTCGTCCCGGGTGCGGGAGGCAAGTGCGATCCGCACACGCGCGAGACCTTCGCGGTTGCCGGTTTTAGCGAACCATCGGTTGTTCTGGCTTGCGAGGCGTGAATGGCGTTTGTGACGTCCCAAACCTGCACGAAGCCGTCCGACGAGAGCGTGGCCACCAAGTCCTTCGCCCCGACGCGCACGCACCGAGGGGTCACGTCCACCACCGCCTGCCCGCTCGAACCCTTGATTGTGTTCCAAACTCGACTCAGCGTCGACGTCTGAAGCTCACACACCGTGGTTAACCTATCGGTTCGAACGATCGCGCATCCGCTCGCGTCGCACAAAATAGCCGCCGCAGCGCCGCACGCCCCGATTCTCTGTACCCCACTCATCGAGCTCGGCGCCCGACCGACGATCGCTTCGTAGGATCCATCGTCATCGAAATCACCATCCAACCGCACGCGCACGCGCACGACGAACGCCCCATCGGCGGTCGCCAACACGACGTCGACCCGTTCGCCGTCCGACGCGCACGCGCACGACGGCGCCAACGCGCTCGGCGTCACCACGCGCACCGCCCACCCGCGCGTGCTCTTAATCACGCACACGTCTCCACCGAACTCCCCGCCGACGTTCCACGCGATGACGTCTCCGGTCTTCGAGTCGACGACGCCGCCGCCGCGCGCCCCTCGGGCGCCGTCGCTCGGCGTCTCGCCGCCCTCGCCCCGATGTCGCTTCGACGCCCTCCAATCGTCCGCGGACGCCCGCACGCCCGCGTCGACGTCGACGACGAACGTCCGCGCTCGCGTCGTCGACGTCGCGCGCGCCGTCGCGCGCGGGGTTTCGCACGCGACGGACATTGATGCGTTCGAATCGTTGAGCGATTTCGAGTCGTTTCGCGGCGGTTTCGTCGGCGCGACGGGGTCTTCGGCGCGAGCGACGCGCGCGAGACGGTCGTCCGCGCGCGTTCTTTCGTCGGCGCGGCGCGCGAGCGACGGAAGCGCGGTAGCGCGCGCGAAAGTGCAGCGATAGGCGATGGGTGTGGCATCTTTTGTCGGCGTCGGCGCGGCGACGCGCGCGAGGACGGCGGTGAATGAATGGTTTGATATTTTATTGCAACGCGTAAACGTACGTCTAGTTGCCCTTGGCGGCTTCTTTTTCCTTCTTCTTGAGCTCGCGCGCCGCCTTCGCGGCGGCGCCGGCGTCTTCTCCCAAATACTGTTGCGCGTACACGTTCGACTGTCAGTCTCGGTTCGCGATCGAGGGTCGCATCGCGCGCGTTCGTGCGGTCGTCGTGTCGCATCGCATCGTCAACTAACCTGGTCCAAGTCCCAATCCGAGTCTGTGGTTATGTCCTGGCCAGCGGCTAATTTAGCCGCTCTCGTCTTTTGCATAGCCTTGATCTCCTTGCGAGACAACTTCTTCTTCGGTCCCTTGACCTTAACCTTGTTCCCGAGCGCGTCGACGGTGTCCTCTTGGACTTCGAATTCAACCTTGGCACCCTTAGCGGACTTGCCTTGACCCCACTTGTTACCTTCAATTTCAACAAAACCATTACCCGGAACGTTCCACGTTTCTTCCTTCAACGCATCGGCGAATTCGCAGTTGTGCGTGATGAGAAGAACGCCACCGTCGTATTCCTTGACGGCGCACGCGAGCGCGCCGAGGGCGTCGCGATCCAAATAGTTGGTCGGTTCGTCCATGACGACGATGTGCGGTTGCTGCCACATGGCGGAACCGAGCACGAGCTTAACCTTTTGGCCACCGGAAAGACCCTTGATGCGGTTGTGGGTACCGAATTCGGCATCCAAACCAAAGTCGATCAAGTGCTTCTCGACGTTCGCTTGCGTGAGCGGGCGCGCGTACAAGCCCGCGCGAGCGGCTTCGCGCTCGTCAACGCGGTTGAGGTACTTGGTGAAACCATACTTTTCGAGCTTTTCGCGCTCCATCCAAGAGTTGGAGTCCATGGAGAGACCCTTCCATTGGCACTCGTACTCGTACTTGGACTTCTTTTGGCGGCGACCAAGAATCTTCTCGACGACGAGCTTGAGAATGGAACCATCCTCTTGCGGGACCGGAATCTTTTCCTTCATCATGCGCTCTTCCTCTTCGGTGTATTGCGCGGTGACCTTGGTCAAGTTTTCCTTGTCTTCGCCCGTGGAGAAACGCCAGCGGATGTATTCGTTCGGCGTTTTGTCCAAGTGCTGCTCGACGTGATGGAACGCGTGCTGCGCGACGTACGCGTAACGCATGTTCGGGTGACGCCAGACGGTACCCTGGTCCGGTTCGGCTTCACCGGTGAGAAGCTTGATGAAGGTAGACTTACCAGCACCGTTCGGGCCGAGGCACGCGACACGAGAGCTCAAAGAGAGCTGAATGGTCGCGTCTTGGATGATTTGACGCGTCGTGTTCGGGTACTTGAACCAGCACTTGGTCGCCTTGACGATGGCCTTGTCCTTGTTCTTCACGCCCTCGAGGAAACCCGGAACCGGGAAGATGAACTTGAGTTCGTCGTTGGAGAGCTCGGTGTACTTCTTCGCCGCCGGGCACTGCTTGACGAATTCGGTGAGATTACCTCTGTACGTCACCAACTTGCGGTTCTCGTAGTGAATGATGTGAGTACACACGCGATCCAAGAAACCGGAATCGTGAGACACAATCATGGAGGAAACTTGCGTTTGCGAGTTGAGGTACTCTTCCAACCACGCGACGTTCTTCACGTCCAAGTGGTTCGTCGGCTCATCGAGTAACAAAATGTCCGCCTTCATGAGGATGGCGCGCGCGAGCGCGAGCTTCATCTTCCAGCCACCGGAGAGGGCGACAACCGGGCCGTTGATCATCTCGTCGGTGAATTGGAAAGAGGAGAGCGTGGAAGCGACAGATTCCTTGCTCGTGCCGTGGCCTTGGATGACAGAGTCGGAGAGAACGAACTCAACGACGTTCATCGTGTGTTGATCACCCTGGATGTCGTGCTCGACGTACACCGTGCGGAGTTCCTCCGGCGGCGGGAAGTTTTCGACTTGGCCGTTGTTGATAGCCTTCATCAAAGTGGACTTACCGCAACCGTTCGGGCCGCACAGACCGTAACGCTTACCCTTCTTCATGTGAAGCGTGGCGTTGTTCAGCAAAATGAGCGCACCGTACGCCAAAGAGAAGTCGCACTTGCAAAGATCTTCGCCTTCTTCGTCCTCGACGACGAAGACCTTCTTGGAGGCTTCGTACACGGCGTGAGCGCGTTCGACGAGAGACTTGGTCATGGCATCGGCCTCGGAGAAGAAAAGCTTCAAGTAAGAGGTCGCGCAAGACTTGGTCCAGGTGTCGAGATCGAAGTTCTTCGCCAACAACGCGTTGGCGGACAAGGAGCAAATGTAGTCAAAGTACACCTTGACGCCGTCGCCTTGGACAAACTTCGTGACGTCTTCCTTGGAAGAACCGGAGGATTCGGCCAAAAGCGCGATGAACTGCTCGCTGACGGTTTCTTCGTTGTAGACACCCTTGCCTTCTTGGCCATCTTCGGCACCGGTTTCGTTGCCCGCGGCTTGGAGCAAAGTCTTGTACGCGCGAGTACACACTTGGCGGCACTCCGGGTCGGCGACTTCGTCCATGGCGCGCTTCAAAAGCGGCAAAAGCTTGGGCAAGAACGGCGCGGCATCCATCGGATCTTCGACAAGTTTGCACATGTTGTCAATGATGACGGCAGACTTACGCTTGATCGGGGTGGTTTGCTGGAAGAACAAACCGCGCTGGAGAAGCGGACCCAGGAGGGAGAGCGTCGGGGATTCAACTTGTTGAACAAAAGTCGTCGCCGCGAGCTTGTGCACGCATTCCGGAACTTCATCGACGTTGTTGATGCATTCAATCAAGGTCGGGATGAAAGGCTCGATGTCCAAGTTACCGACGCACGTCGCAACCTTGGCCATGGACGCGGTGGACGCCTCCTTGACTTCCGAGCGCATGTGCACCATGACTTGCGCGAGCTCCGGGATGATTTCCGGCAAGTTCGCCGCGACCGCCTTGCGGTTGCGATCGACGAAAGCATCGAGCACACGCAAAGCAGCCATGGTGGACTGCCAGAACTGAGACTGAAAACCAACAAAGATCGCTCGCAACGCCGGGCGAACCGCGAACTCGCTCAACTTGGGCGCGATGGCCGCCACCGCCGCGTCGCCAGCCGCGCGCACATTGCTAGACTTGTTATCACCCGCGAGCGTGATCGCAACCTCGAGCAAATCAATCAAATACGGTTCCTCCGCGAACGAAGCCGCGTTCGCAATCTCCGTAATCTTTTCCGCCGCCGCCTTGCGCGCGTCCTCGTCCTTCTTCTTCGCCGCCTCCGTCTTGATCCCTTCGACGTCAGCCGGCGTCACCTTCGCCGCCGCGGGCACGTTGCACTTGCTCGGCGCCATTATTTACTTTTTGTCTGCGCAGGTCACGATCGCGCGCGTCCGCGGTTCACCGTCAGTCTTCCTTCTCCCGCGTCCCGTCCCCGCGCGCGCGAAGGGCTTTTTATGGATAGGCTTGCAGCCGCCACCGCCATCGGCGCGCTTTCGCGACCGTCTCTCCTCCCCCCATCGCCTCCATTCGCCGCGCGCGCGCGCGCGCGCCGTCGACCAATTTTACACCATCGATCGCGCGCGCCCGCGCGTCCCGATCGAACGCCCGCCGCGTCGCGCGCGTCGTTCGCGTTCGCCCTCGCGCCGCCGCGCCGCGCGCCATCGCGCCTAATCATCCCTCGCGTCGCGCGTACCGTCTCCCGTGCGCGGGCGTGCGTGCGTTCGAGCGTCGAGTCGCTGGAACGTATTTATTTCGTCGTGTGTGTGCGCTGCGCGTCGTGCGTGACGGTCGCAGGCGAGGGAACGCGCGTGAGAGTGCCGCGCGGCGCGTCGCGCGCGACGGTCGCGGGCGAGGGCGCGCGCGCGTTTTCGCGATGCATCATGACGTGTGCGCATACAGTGAGACATCTATTACGATGCGAAGACGTCGAAAAACGCGCACATGGCGTTTCGAGCGCGCGCAATGCGATCGCCGCGACGCGCGCGGAGGCGCGTCGCGTCGGCGTCGCGCGCGGCGACGACCAACGACCGCGTCACACGTCGACGACGATGATCGCGGCGTTCGCGCGACGCGCGCGTCGGGATGCGTGCGGCGCGATGCGGCGCGCGCTCGCGAACACCGCGATGAGGGCGTCGGCGAGCGCGAGCGCGTCCACGAGCGCGACGACGACGACGACGACGACGACGACGACGAACGTGCAACAGTTTAGGGTGTATCGCTGGGATCCCGATTCGGGGGACGAACCGAAGTATAAAACCTACGACGTCGACACGAACGATTGCGGACCGATGATGCTGGACGTGCTGTTTAAGATCAAGGACGAACAGGATCAGACGCTGAGCTTTCGACGATCGTGCAGAGAGGGGATCTGCGGGTCGTGCGCGATGAACATTAACGGGCGAAACGGATTGGCGTGCCTGACCAAGGTGGAGAAGACGGAGAAGGGGGCGCAGACGATCGCGCCTCTGCCGCACATGTTCGTGGTGAGAGATTTGGTGGTGGATATGGCGAACTTTTACGCGCAGTATAAGTCGATTGAACCATTTTTGAAGACGAAGAGCGACGCGCCGGCGAACGGCGCCGAGCGCTTGCAAACCAAGGAAGATCGAGCCAAGCTCGACGGGTTGTACGAGTGCATCTTGTGCGCGTGCTGCTCGACGTCTTGTCCGTCGTATTGGTGGAACAGCGACAAGTATCTCGGACCCGCGGTGCTACTTCAGGCGTACCGATGGATCATCGACTCGCGCGACGAGTTCACCGAGGAGCGGTTGGCCAACGTCAACGACGCGTTCAAGTTGTACCGATGTCACACGATCATGAACTGCAGCAAGGTGTGCCCGAAAGGCTTGAATCCAGCGCTTAAGATTGCGAAAATTAAGCAAATGGTGGCGTGAGGACGCATTAACGACGCGAGACGCCGCGAGCGCGCGCGGCGCTTTCATTTAAACTTTAGTACGTGTTTCAATTTTCAAGCGCTTCGACGCCGATCATCACAGCTTCTTCGACCGCCAGTTGACGAGCTCGTCGACATCATCGCCGCTATCATCGCTATCGCTATCGCTACGCGTCGCCGTCCCGACCGTCGGCCGCGCCGTCTTCGCCCCTCCCGCGGCTTCGCGCTTGCGTCGCTTCGCCTCCGCCGCGGCTTCCCTCAACCGATCCACCCGATCGAAGCACTCCACCTGCTCCGCGATTTCGCCTCGCGTCCGCGACACCGCCTCGGCCTCGGCCCGCTCCATCGCCGCCCGCTCCTCCGCGTCCTCGCGTTCGCGCTTCTCCCGCGCCGCCGCCGCCGCCGCCGCCGCCGCCGTCGACGCCGCCTCCCTCGCCGCCTCGCTCCCTCGACCTCCTCCCGCGCCCCGCGCGGGCGCGCGCGTCGCCGACGCGACCGCCGTCGTCCCTCCCGTCGCGCGTCCCGTCGTCGCCGCGCGTCCCGTCGTCGCCGTCGCCTTCACCGCGCCGTCGAAGAAATCGCTCGGCAGCGCGTTCGACGTCCCCATCGCGCGCGCGTCGCTCGCGGCGCGCGCGGTCGCCGCGTCGCGACGCGCGCGCGTTCGCGCGTCCCGAGGCGGTCGCGCGGCGTCGGCGCGCGCGGCGATGCGGCGCGCCGCGCGGCGACGCGCGCGCGACCGCGACCGCGCGTCCGCGTGTACACACATACCACTCGAACGCATCTGTATACGATACTCCGTATGTCCGAATAGCATACACAATGCACATACGGACATAAATTTCGAGCATTTGAACGGGGGAAAGAACGCGCGCGCGAGCTGTCGCGAGATTCGCGCGCGCACACGCCCGCGCGCGAAACAGATCGCGCGAGCGCGCGACGCACGAACGCGCGAACGAACGAGGCATCGAACGAGGTCGAACGTCGGCGCGCGAAGCGGACGCGATGGGCGGACACTCGATCAACGATGCGTACGAAAAGCTGGAAAAGATTGGACAGGGGACGTACGGGAAGGTGTACAAGGCGCGCGAACGGGCGAACGGACGGCTGGTGGCGCTGAAGAAGACGAGGTTGGAGATGGAGGAGGAGGGCGTGCCGTCGACGGCGCTGCGAGAGGTGAGCCTGTTGCAAATGTTGAGCGAGAGCCCGTACATCGTGCGATTGCTTCGCGTCGAGCACGTGGAGGAAGACGGCAAGGCGATGCTGTATCTGGTGTTCGAATTCTTGGATCAAGATTTGAAGCAATACATGGATATGACTGGACGCGGGCCGACGAACCCGTTGCCGACGAGCGTGGTGCAAAACTACATGTACCAGCTGTGTTTGGGGTGCGCGCACTTGCACAAGCACGGGGTGATGCATCGGGATTTGAAACCGCAGAACATGCTGGTGGATAAGGCGAAGAATCTGCTCAAGATTGCGGATTTAGGACTCGGTAGAGCGTTCAGCGTGCCGGTGAAGAGTTACACGCACGAAATCGTCACGCTGTGGTATCGCGCGCCCGAAGTCTTGCTCGGGGGCTCGCATTACTCCACTCCGGTCGATATGTGGAGCGTCGGGTGTATGTTTGCCGAGATGGCGCGCAAGCAACCGCTTTTCCCGGGTGACTCCGAGCTTCAACAGTTGTTGCACATCTTCAAGCTTCTCGGAACGCCGAGCGAGCAAACGTGGCCGGGCGTCTCCAACCTTCGCGACTGGCACGAGTTCCCGCAGTGGAAGCCGCAAGATCTGTCCAAGGTGATCCCGCAGCTCGACGAGCACGGCATCGACTTGCTCTCCAAGCTTCTCGTCTACGATCCTGCCAAGCGCATCCACGCCACGGACGCCTTGGAGCACCCGTACTTTGACTCTCTCGACAAGTCGCAGTTCGAGCAAATCGAACGCGAGTTCGAAATCGAGTTCGCGCAAGAAAAGGAGAATCGCATGGCGCAATGATTCACTCGTCGCACGACCGATCGACGCACGATCAGCGGTTTTCACCGCTAACTTAATCACTCACACTTCATTGTATTCTACACTACAATCGTCGAAGCCAAAGTCGCCGCGCTATCCACTCGTCGCGCGCGTCCCGCCGCCCCGACCTCAGAACGTCGCGTCTCGCCCGACGCCTCGCTCGCGCGCGCGGACGACGGTTCGTCACCATGCGCGCGACGCCGTCGACGCTTCGAACGCCGTCCCGCGCGCGCGCGCCCGGTGCGGCGAACAGTCGGGGCTCGACCGCGCGCGCGCGCGCCATCCAACCGCCGAAAGCGCCCGATGCGTACCGCGGCGCGCTGTTCCCGGGCGTCGAGGTCCCCGATAATGATCTCGCGCGATCGTTCAGCGCGCTGTTTCCGTGGGGAAACGGGGCGCGGGTGACGGAGAAGGTGCTGGGGGATTTGCTGAAGCCCGAGGTGCGCGCGGCGCCGCTCTTCGTGCCGCTGTACGATTACTACCGCGAATACGGCGGCGTGTACAACTTGGGCGCCGGACCGAAGTGGTTCGTCGTGGTGAGCGATCCGGTGGCGGTGCGGACGATGTTCAAGGACCAGGCGGATAGCTTTTCGAAGGGGATACTGACGGATATCATGGAGCCGATTATGGGCGACGGGTTGATTCCGGCGAATAAGGAGATTTGGGCCAAGCGTCGACCGGTGATCGGGGCAGGATTCCACGGGGCGTGGTTGAAACACATGTGCAACTTATTTGGAGCGTCGGCGATGCGGTTGGCCGATAAGTTGGACACGTTCGTGGAGTCGGAGAAGACGGTGGAGCTCGAGAGCGAACTGTACGCGATGGCGCTCGACGTCATCGGCAAGGCGGTGTTTAATTATGAATTCGGGGCGTTGAAGCAAGAGACACCGATCATCAAGGCAGTCTATCGCGTTTTGCGGGAAAGTGAGCACCGTTCGACGTTTCCGTTGCAGTATTGGCAGATTCCTGGGGCGATGGAGCTCGTGCCGAGACAAAAGCAATTCAAGGAGGATATGAAAATGGTCAACGACGAGCTGTCAGTGTTGATTAATAACGCTATCGCGTCGCGAAACGAAACTGGCTTGGAGGAAATGGAGCGCAGAGACTATTCTAACGTCGAAGACGCGAGTCTGTTGCGGTTTTTGGTGGACATTCGTGGCGACGAGGCGACGAGCACGCAGTTGAGAGACGACTTGATGACGATGCTCATCGCCGGCCACGAAACCACCGCCGCGGTGCTCACGTGGACGCTTTATTTACTTGCGCAGCACCCGGAAATCGCGGATGATGCGGTGGCTGAAATTAACGCCTGTGTTGAAAACGCTGACGGCATCCCCACGCCCGAGGAGGTGCGCAAGCTGGAAAAGGTTCGCATGATTCTCGCCGAGGGTATGCGCCTGTATCCGGCGCCGCCGATTTTGATTCGTCGTGCGATTAAGGATGTCACGCTCCCGCGCGGAGGTAACGGGAAGGAAATCACCTTGAAAGCCGGCACCGACTGTTTTATCGCGGTTTGGAACCTCCATCGGTCACCTGATTTGTGGGAGGATCCAGAAAAATTTGACCCGAGCCGGTTTTCGCGAAGGTTTGAAAATCCCGCCATTGAGGGCTGGGGCGGCTTGAATCCCGAACTAATGACTGGTTTATACCCGAACGAGCAGTGCACAGACTTTAGTTACGTGCCTTTCGGTGGCGGACAGCGTCGCTGCGCCGGTGATCAGTTTGCGATGCTCGAGGCAGTGACGGCGTTGAGCGTCTTGTTGAAAAAGTTTAAATTTGAGCTCGCGTGCGAGCCGGGCGAGGTCGAGATGATCACCGGGGCGACGATTCACACGAAGAAAGGGTTACCTATGAAGCTTAAGAGACGATAGAGGCGTGTTGTAATGCATTTTTAGCGGCGGCGATTTTTATCAAGTGAACGATGGAGCTGTTCATCACAACGTCATGTACTTGTACAAAAGAATTGGTGCAAATAGGATACAGGCTTCGTGTTAGTGGTGTGGGTGGTAGAGAAGAATCTTGAAACTTGAATTGGTCGGTTTACGCCGTCTTAACGACGGACTTCCGACCTTTGCGTCGAGCGTTGCCGTAACGTGCCTCGAGATCGAGAACACGCTCGAGAAACTCGGGCGGCGTGTCTTGCTTGCGACGCGACTGCGCGGGGAGCGATGCGAGTTGAAGAAGGTTACGCCACTTATCCTTCAAATCCATCGCAGTACGACGCTCGAGGGCTGGATCGTCTGACTTTTTAATGACAGTCCATCGGCACCCGCCGCAGCGTTCGACGCCGTCGACGAGCGCCTCCGCCTCCACCGCCGTCCACGGCGAATGGTGCTTGCTTCGACGCACGCCCTTGACGTTCGACGAAGGCGATGCGGCGATTGGCTCTGCCTTGACCGCGGTGACCGCATCCGTCGCCGCTGCTTTCACCGTCGCAACCGACGTACCACTGCGCGGCGCGCGATTTTCCTTGGAGCTTCGCTGCGCGCCCTCGTTCCCTTTGCTCGACGCCAACACGCGAACTTGCTCGAGAATATCTGCTGGCACACCATTCACTTCACGACGCTTGTACAGAGCGGGCAGCATGGCCACGCGCAAGAGGTTACGCCATTTATCCTTGAGATCGACGGCGCTGCGGTTGACGAGCGCATCGGAAACGCCGTCGAGGCGCAAGGCCTTGATATCCGCCCATTGCCCACGTCCGTAGTGCGTGACGCCGCGAACCAAAGCTTTAACTTCGGGTAGACTCCAAGGGCGATGCGTCTTGGGTTTCGCGGGTGCCGCCATCGCGCCAACGTCGAAGCGCGCCGCTTCGGGCGCCGACGGGGGCTTGGGCGCCGCGCTCGGCGCCGCGTCAAACGTCGTCAAATTCGATCGTGCCCTAGAGGTTTTCATCGTTCGGCGCTTCTTCGGGCATCTCACCGAAAGTGGGCCGAGGTACTCGCTTCGTCGTTTCCCTTGCCCGCGCGGTTTAGGCGCCGGAGCCGTCGGGTGTTCGTTTTCGTCATCCGATCCGCGCGTCATCATGGCGCACAGCACGTTTGCCGCGGAGAACGGGGATTGAATCCCCGGCGTTTGCGTGCGGTCGGGCACGGACAACGCCTCGAGACGAGCATTTTTCAAAGACGTCGGCACGGTGAGCATGGGCGGCGGCGGTATCATCATCGCCAATCCTCTTCCCGAGCACGTCGCCTCTTGCCCAGCCTCCACGCGCTCGCCGCCCTCGACGTCTTCGCCATCGACGTGCGTCGTCGTTCGATGGCTCCCATCGCTCGCACTCGGCGAGTTTTTCTTCTCGTCCTCAACACCGCCGCGAAACGTCGCACCGGCGGGCGTCGCGCCCATCCCCACCATCGGCATCATCGCGAACGGATTAAACGGCATCGGCGCGAAAATCATCGGCGCCGTGACCCCTCCATCCGTCATCCCGCCCTTCATCACCGCCGCCTGTCGCCGCAATCCCTCAACGTTCGGCCCGAACGCCGCCATCATCATCGCGTTGCCCGGCATGGCGAACGGAAACCCGCCCGCCGCCGTCGCCGCCGCCGTGCGCGTCGCCGCGCCCCCCCCCTCGCGCGCCTTCGCGTCCCCATCTCTTCGCATCTCCGCCGCATGCCGTCGCACCGCGATCGCCGGAGGCGTCATCTTTAATCTGCATCGCGAGAAATCGCACGCATTCGTCAGTCTCGCGTCCTTCGCGCGCGCGCGCGGGTGGATAATCCACTCCCGAGCGTTACTCAAAATAAACAATACTCGGACATTCGACTCGTATACGAGTATACGAAATCCCGATCACCCAAAACCGTATCTGATCGCGTCCCACCGCTGTCTCCGCGTCGCTTCCGTCGGGTCGTTGACGACGCCATCGAACGCGCGCGCGGACGCGCGCGCCGACGCCCTCGCGCCGCGCGCGCCGCGCGCGTGATGCGCAAGAATCTTTCGCACCCCTCGACGCGGCACCACCCCCCCCTCCCGCGCGCGCGCGCGAGATCGACGCCCGCGGTCGACCTCCGCGCGCACGCGCCATCGTCCGTCCGCGCCGCGCCCCCGTCCGCGCGACGCCCTTCCGTCCGCGCGCGCGACGCCATCGCGCGAAGTCCTAACTCACGCACCGTATCCGCGAGCGCTCGCGCCGTTCGACGCCCCTCGCGCGCGCGCGTCGCCGACGTCGCCGCGCGTTCGAATGTCGCCGCGCGTGGCGACCGCGACGTGTCGGGCGTCCGCGATTTTGGCGCGAAAAAGATTTCCCATACTCCAGCGCGTTTTCGCCCATCGTTGCGTGTTTATACCGTATAGGCACCCTCGGCGATCCAGGGCAACTCTATCCGGGCGAGAGATTTTTTTAACTTTTCGGGTGTCTTTTTGCGCGTCGTGTCGAGTCGTGACTCGTCGATGGGGGGGGACTCGCGACCGCCCCCGGAGATATCTGACGTGGATTGTGTATGAGTGTGCGGTCGAGGAGGGGGGTTGCTAAGATGTTGGCAGATGTTGCCGATCGAATTGACGTCCGCGTCGACGCGCGCGCGCCGGGATTCGTCGACGCGCGCGTCGACGCGCGGTCGCGGACGTCGGCGTCGATGTGGTCGAACGCGTCGACGCCGTCGATGCCGAGCGCGGAGGAACTGCGCGCGGCGTACGCGGCGAAACAGCGCGTCGACGCGATGGCGGATTACGCGAGTCGCGCCGCGGCGGGCGCGCGCGAGGGCGTCGCGAGCGCGCTCGCGAGCGCGAGGACGGGCGCGAGCGAACCGCGGGATGCGTCGGTGCGCGCGGGGGGGGTAGGCGGCTCGGGAGGGGCGGGGGGTCTGGGGGAGAGGCGATGGACGTGTCACGCGTGCGAGCGGCTCGAGGGCGGCGGGCGAGGGCCGACGCGCGACGGGACGATCGTGCAGCCGGCGAACGTGCCGATGGTGCTGTTGGAGGTGAAGGGGGAGGTTGTGGAGCGGTGCGCGCTGCCGATGGGGAAGGATGATTTGGTGAAGGGGGAGATGATGACCATCGGGAAGTGGTTGGCGCGCGTCGTCGGGGCGGAGGGCGCGACGCCGGAGAAGCCGAGGGTGTTGGTGCGACCGCCTGAGGCGGAGGATGAGGCGAGCAAGCGCGCGGGCGGAGCGGTGGTGGCGCAGCACGCGGTGGCGCAGCACGCGGTGGCGCAGCACGCGCCACCGTTGATGATTCCGACGCCGAGTTTGGCGACGCAGCCTCGAGCGGGCGGGCTCGAGGCGCCGGGCGCGCGACGAGAATATTATCGCGAAGAACATCAGCAGCAGTATCAGCAGCATCCGTCGCCGCCGCAGCAGCAGCCTAGATACCAGATATACGAACCGCCGCCGAGATTCGAGCGCGCGGTCGATCCCGACACCGGCACCCGCGAACGGTGGATGGGCGGCGGTTGGCGAGGGCGAGGGAGCGGAGACGATCGTCCGCGCGGTGTGACGCAGCAAGAGGTCGACGCTGCGCGAGCGCGTTTGTTAGAGCTCGAGCAAGAAGCGAGAATTCGCGCCGAGGTCGCTGCCGCCGAGGCGATGGCGCGTCAACAACAAGCTGAAGCCGCGAGGCTTTCAGCGGAAACTGCGCTGGAGCAAATGTCTCAAGCCGAGGCGGCGAATCGCGCGGTAAGAGACGCAGAGTACGCCGCCGCGGAGGCGAAACGATTAGCGTATTTCGCTGCAGAAAATCAACGCGAAGCAGAGAGTCAATTCATCTCCATGCTTCCCTTGGACGGCGTGGAGACGGCAGTAGAGGCGCAGCGCCGAGTAACGGAACTCGACGATATTCAGCGTCGCATCGCGGAGCACGAGCGCGCGGCGGCGGCGCACACGCTCGCCCCGCCGCCGCGAGAAGTGCCGCATCAGTATCCATCGTCTGTGGCGCCTCAGGCACCACCCATGGTGACGTACGCGCCGCCGCTACCGCAACAGGAACAGCAGCAATACCAGCCGCCGCAACAGCAGTACCGGCCGCCACAACAACAGCAGGAATACCAGCCGCCGCATCGGCAACAACAGTACCAGCCGCCGCCGCAACAACAGCAGCAGCAGCCAGCTTCCACCGTTTCAGTGCGTTTCGAGGCTCCATATCAGCCGCCTCCGCAATCAGCGCCGAAACGGGCGGAGGCGGAGATCGAGTACACGACTTCGCCATCCAACGTCAAGGACAGAGCGGCGGCGTTCGGGCACGTCACCATCAAATCCAAGCCAGCGTCTCGTCCCGTCGACCCAGTCGCTCAAACGTACGCGAACAGTGGTACGTCGCAAACGAGCGCAAGTCCGCACGCGTTGGCGCAAGTCATGCGTCAAGAGCGCCCACCGACGGCATCCCAACAGCAGCAGCAGCAGCTCCCTTCGAAGAAGGAAGAAACGCCCGAGGAGCTCCGGCGAAAGATTGCACTGCTCGAGCGCTTGGCGCGTTCGAGAGGTCTTATCGCGTGAGTGACGTTCGATCACGTTCTTTCCAGTCGTTCATTGTCATGTACAATAATGTATCTAGTATTTCTATGTGTCTACTTTTTGCCCTTACCTCGCCGTGGCGGCCCGCCTTTATTTGCCTTGTCCATCTTGCCGAGTACGCCGTCCATGCCGCGGCGCTTGCCTCGCGCGTGCCCCGACACTTGTTCCTTCCACGCGCCCTCGGCGCGTAAACCTTCGTCAACACCGTATTCATCTGCCGTCCGAGCTTTACCGAGACGCTTCATGGACTCGCTCTTCGGCGCGGAAGCGTCGAAGAAGGCTTCTCGATTACCCGTGACGCGAGCGCGTTTGGTCTTTTCCTGAGCGCGCTCGAGCTTGGCGCGCTCTTGCAAAGGCAAGTCAGCCTTGGTGGCGCGACCGTCTTTGAACGCGTTGGCGTGGAACTCGTCTTTCGCGGCGTACATCTTCGGTTCGTTGGCGTCGTCGTCGTCGACTTCGTCTCCGCCGTCTGCGTCTCCTTCGTCGTCGCTCACCAACTCGAAATGATCCTCCAATATCTCCTTGCGCTCATTTTTCTTGAGTTTTGGCGCGTTAGGGTGCAGCGCCTTGAACGCTTCGTCGTCTTCATTGATTTCGAATTGCTCATCCTTGAACATCGCCGCAAAACGGTCGTCATCGAGCAAGCTTCCGCCAGGCGCGACGACGCCGACGTCGTCGCCGTCCTCGTCCACGCCTTCGACATCCTCCCTTTCGGCGGTACCGATGCGCGCGGCGAGCATGGCGTTGACCTTTGGCGCCTTCTTTTTGACCGTAATTCTGCTCGTACGCTCCTCCTCGAGCTTCTCCTTGATTTTCTTCTTCTTGAAGTCTTCGTAAGAGAATGGCTCAGCGATCGCCTTTGCCTTGCCGTACAGGCGATTGTCCATGAAGTAACCGTGCATGTACGCCCTGAGCATCTTGGTCCCGATCAAGTGCGAGAGATGGAGCTTGTCTAACTCCTCCTTTGTGACGAATCTGTAATCGTCGTACAAGGTCTCTTGCTGTTGCTCTTCCATTTCTTCCGTGAGATTTTCGAGGAACGAGCACCACTTCGGCGCCGCGCCGAGCGCCGGCGTGAAATATACGCTCATCTGCGTGTGCTCCTGTGTCATCATCATCAGCCCAGTTTTGTCCCACATGCACAAATCATTGATTTCGTATCCGGGCTCGATCGAGGTGTACGGCGTGCCCGTGCGTTCGTCCCAAACTTTGACGATTTTCTTATCCGTCGACACCACGCGTCGCGTGCCATCCACCGACGTGTGATACTTCAAATCAATAATTGGAAATCCGTTCATGTGATCCTTCACCCTGAGCGGTCGCGAGCTTCGCAAATCATACAGCCTGATGTATCCACCCTCGCTACCGACGGCGATTTGCAACCCATTCGGGTCGAATCGCAGCGAAGTCACGCCGCCCTCGTCTCGCTGGTCGCACACCCGCATCGTCGCGCACGACTTTCTCGCGCGCAAATCAAAACACTCCAACTCTCCATCCCCCGATCCCGCGGCGAACAATCCGTGCGTCGGTGATATTCCACACACATTCAACTCCTCGCACGCGCTCTCTAACGGCTGTAAGAACCGCCCTTGCTCTAAATTCAACCGCCACACCTCGCTCGAGCTCCCGACCACGCACAAGTCCCCGGTGTTCTCCGAGTACGCCAAATCCCGTCCCTGCTTCGGCGTTCGCGTCTGATAATACGCCCCAAACTTTGCGTGAAACCGAATCGACCTATCCGCGCACAAAAACGCCAACTTCGAGTAATCATCGCTCAGGCATTGAAAATCCACCACCTCCGCGTCCAGCCCGCGCGACCACTTCGCGCTCAGCTGGCTCAAATCGTAGCACTTCACCTGCGGCGGGTGCAGCCCGCTCACGATCGCGTACCGCCCGTCCGCCGTCACCTTACACCGCCCCGACGACGCCGGAAAGTTCAAGTCCTGCACCAGCTCGATCCGCCGCTGATACTCGACGTTCTTCCGCAGCTTGCGCGTCGATTTCTCGAGCTTGGCCCACTCCGGCGCCGCGCGCGCCGCGCTCACCTCGTACACCTTCACCCCGTTCAGCTCGCGGAGCTTGATGGCGCCGCCGTCGAGGGACGTCATCGCTCGCGCGTCCGCGCCGCGTCGCGTGTCCCGCCGCTCGCGCGCGCGCGTCGTCGTGTGCGACGTCGCGCCGCCGCCGGTCGCCGGTCGCGTTCGTTCGATCGATCGATCGATCGATCGCGCGCGTCGCGCGTCAAACCTCGACGCGTCGATGCGACGCATCTATCGATCGACGCGCGCGGGTTCAATCGGCGCGCGGCGTCGTCGATCGATCGATCGATCGCGCGCGTCGCGCGTCGAACCTCGACGCGCCGATGCGACGCATCTATCGATCGACGCGCGCGGGTTCGATCGGCGCGCGGCGTCGTCGATCGAACGATCGACCGCGCGACGCCGCGCGCGCACACGGCGACGGCGCGCGTCGATGGCGCCGCCCGCGCGCGCGCGCGCGCTGGGCGCGCTGGGCGCGCTCGTCGCCGCGCTCGCGGCGCTCGCGACGCTGGAGGTGGGCGCGCGCGCGCGCGCGGGCGCGACGCGGGCGACGACGACGTACGGCGCGCGGGAGGGGGACGGGACGCGCGCGCGCGAGGCGCGGACGACGGCGGCGGCGGCTCCTCGCGCGCGGGCGCGACCCTCGCCGCTCGCCGCGGACGCGTCGCCGCCGCCGACGACGACGCCGACGACGAAGGCGACGACGACGGCGACGAAGGCGACGAAGGCGACGAAGGCGACGACGGAGAAGGAGAAGGCGCCGTCCGAGACGGTTCGAAAGAATGCGTTTGATTCGAAATCGATCGCGGCGTTGTCGTCGTCGCCGACGGTGGGTGAAACGGGGACGTCGTCGCGGAACGCGTCTTCGGCGTCGAGTTCGATCGAAGCGTGCGCGCACGGCTATCGCTCCGCGTCCGATCCAAAGCTCGGGTGCGCGTGCGGTCACGCGTACGCGGGCGAACGTTGTGAGATCGACTCCATCGCCGCGTGCGATAGGGGCGAGATTATGACGTGCGCGTACGTGTTCAGTCCTTGGGGCGACGCGCTCGAGTATCAGAGTTGCGGTTGCGTGAGCGAATGCGAAAAAGTTTTGAAGCGCGAGCACAATCTTACGGATGCGGAATGGCACAAAATGTCGCACGAAATGCCGGAAAGTATGCAAGTTTGCGTCGACAGCGAGGGGAGAAAAGTGAATATGTTCACGCGACAAGCCGTCGCGGCTCCCAGAGCGATTAAAGAGAAGCAGATTTCCACGCACCAACGCAACGTGTGCATGCACAACTGTTTCGGGCGAGGCGTGTGCAAGGATCGCGTTTGCTATTGCGAAACCGGACGATTCGGGATGTTGTGCCAATTTGACGCAGACGATGTGTCGGTCGACACGATCCAGGCGTCCATGGGTACGAAACTCGACGGGAAGCGCGAGATGCGAATAGAGTATTACGACGGTTTGTCGTCTCACGCGCGCATTCCACTCTTCACGAAGGCGTATTACTTAGATATTAAAAAGGAACATCTCGGCGAAGATGACCTGCACGAGCAGTCGCAAATTGACGCCTCGGCGTACGCCTCGGCGGCACATGTAGCGGAGACCATCGTAGAGAAACGCTGGAAGCGAACATTGCTGACGCCTCGATCGGGAACACACAGATTTGTGCCCTTCTTTCCTACAAACATAGGAGGCAATGTGGGCGCTGCCGACGTGTATCTCCCATACGTCGTCAGACAGTTGCCAAACAACGATGGCGACGACGATCCGTGGTACATTTTCGTGAGCATGCAAGACCGAGGCTTCTGTCTGCACGATCGCATGCGCGATATGCTGCCCCCACGTTCCATCGTGGTGCACAGTTTCGGCTGGCAAAAGTTTACATCTGAAGATGTCAACGCAGAGGCAAGGTGTCACAGACCGGATTTTGACGTCGTCATCCCTTCGCGCCGACACGCATACCAAACGGCGTTCGACGAGAACGATTTCAATGCTTCCTCGAAAACCGGTCCTATGCTTTTCTTTAGCGGTAGCCTCAGAGACGAACCCGGTTGCAAGGGTGAAGATCTATTGCAGAACAGACTGAAGTGTATAGACGTGTACAGTCAAGGCGTTCGGATGTACGTCGTCGAAACGTTTCAGAACGTCAGCGATTTTAGCTTGAACGCTCCGGGAGGAAAAGAGGCGTTCTCGCGAGACGTCATGAAGACGGCGAAATACTGCCTGGTCGCGGGTGGACATGGGTTCGACATGCGTCTAGTCGACGGAGTCGCCCGAGGTTGTGTGCCGTTACTCACGGCCATCCAGATGAGTTATCCGTACGACAACGTCTTGGATTATTCCAAATTCGCCCTCGACATCGGCGATAGATGGGGTAAAACTAGCGATAAACTCCGGAATTTACCCGACACGCTGAAAGAGGCGTACGCAAAGGGCGATCACGGTGACATGGTTCGTCGTCTGCGGTATGTGCATGAAGTGTACGTAATGGAAGACGAACTCACCGATGAAGAGTACCGAGAAGCGCACTTGAACAACGTCACCGACGCCGGTTTTGCGACCATGTTAGCTTCCATCGCGCTCGGCACGAATGTCGTCTTGCCGCCATATTTCCGAACAACGCTCTGCACTCTGGCGTATGATTTTTTAGATGGGCGTGGACACGAGATATTTAAGAAGGAGGCGCTCGATTCGTTTCGCTGCTCACAAGCCCAGCGGACAAACCCAGCGAACTTGTAAAAAGTTGTAAAATAGTGTAAATAGCCGCTGTCGACGTGTCCATGTCGACGAGTCGATCGATCGATTTAACGTTATAACATGGATTACACAAATTAAAACTCAGTCTTGGTTGATTTCCTCGCGGTCGTTTCCCCAGAGCTTAGTGCCGTGGTCCTGGTACCGCTTGCACGCGGCCCAATACATCGCGTACGCGCCCAAACCGATCATGGCCCCGAGCGCGTTTCTTGCCACGGGCGTCCCTAAAACCGCCAACGGGTTCAGCGTCTCCGCGGGTAAAATACCACACCCCTGCAGCATCTCCTTCTCCCGCACCGTGTACTTTCCCGGCGGCAACAGCACCTTCGTTCCCGCTTTCAGCGCGCCGAGTTTCGGATTTAACCGCTCCACCTCCGCCTTTGAGATCTTTCTCGGCTCGATGATATCGTTCAGCGACTCCCCTCCCCGGCACGGATACACTCGCGGTTCATTCACTCCTCGTATCCCATCGATGATCTCTTGATCACGTTTGCTCACGCGATTCGCCGGGAGTAAAATCGTCGTCCCCGGCGCCAGCCCCTCGCCCCGCAAACTCTTGTTATACTTCTTCACCTCGCCCGCGCTCATCGACCGCTTGGACGCGATCGACTCCAGCGTGTCGCCCTTTCGCACCGTGTACGGTCGCACCGCGCGCGCGATCGTCGCCGTTCGCGCGTCGCCGCGCGCGCGTCGCCGCGGCGTCGGCGATCGCGCGCTTTCCGAAGAGATTCGATTCGCCAACTTTGACCGCGTCGCGCGCGTCGCGACGACGGATTCGCGCCCCGCGACGGCGCGCATGACGACGCGAGCGCGCGCGCGCGCGAAACGAGGACGCGGGCGGCGCGACGGAGGACGCGCGGCGGCGATGGACGCGATAATGCGTCGAATTGTGAAGGTTCGCATCGCTCGCGTCACGTCGCGACGCGCGCGCGACGCCGCGCGCGCGATGTCGTCCTCGAGCGACGACGACGACGGGTCGGACGGCGGCGCGGACTTGGCGCGGCGCAAGCGCGCGAGGCGCGGGCGCGACGAGGCGATTTACGGGTCGTTTTTGGATGATTTCAGAGGCGGCGACGACGACGACGCGACGCGACGCGAACGAGGAAGCGCGCGCGCGCGCGAGCGATCGGGCGCGCCCGTGGCGTTTCGCGCCGCGAGCGCGGGCGGCGGCGGCGGTGGCGGCGGATTGGGGCTCGCGGCGAGCGCGGGGGCGAGCGGCGGCGGCGGCGGCTTCGGCGGGTTCGCGCGCGGAGGCACGATGACGGCGGACGACGCGATGCGAGGGACCGACGCGAACGGGAGCGATGATCAGAGCGATGGCGCGGTGAGCGAGGAAGAGGAAGAGGAAGAGGAAGAGGACGAGGATTTGTTGCCGTCGACGTTCGGGCAGAGGTGCGGGACGCGCGAAGACGCGACGATCGACGCGACGACGCGCGCGAACGCGATGAAGGAGAGACTGACGAGCGATGATTGTTATTTTAGATTGGTCGCCGGAGCGGCGCAGCGAGCGAAGATGGCGGAGGATGAACGCAAGGCGAAGGCGGCGAAGCGACGAGCGGAGGAAAAGGCGGCTCGGGCGAGGAATAAGGATAACGAGGACGCTTTTGCGGGGACGAGCTCGCGCAGAGATGGCGGCGGACGTAACAGTCGCGCGAACGACGACGTGGGTTCGTTCGAAAAGCACACGAAAGGGATCGGGATGAAACTTTTGGAAAAGATGGGATACAAGAAGGGCGAAGGTTTGGGCAAGGGCGCGAGCGGTATCTCGCGAGCGTTGGAGACGCAATTGAGACCGAAGAATATGGGTATGGGTTTCAACAACTTTAAGGAAAACGTGAACGATCCCACTCGGTCGAGTAAACGCGAGGATGACGAAGGTGAAGCGAGCGAGGACGATATGGACGTCGACGACATCACGAGGGCTCGAGATGAAGCCAAGCGCGCGAGAGAGCAGTCTATGTGGAAGAAACGTAACGAGTTGCGGCGACAAAAGCGCGAATACAAGACAGCGGAAGAGCTGTTGGCGGAAGAGCAAGAGAACGCATCGTCAGTACAGACGACGACGAACAAATTAAACATCATCGACATGCGCGGCGCGCACGCGACGGTGGTCAACGCCAATGAACTTCACAAGGCTCGGGTCGTGCGCGCTGGGGAGGAAGACATCATGCTCCCAGAGTTACAACACAATCTCAAGCTCGTCGTTGATCTCGCTGAAAGCGATATCACGAAGCTTGATGGAAAGATTCGAAGCGAGAAAGATACACAGGAGATTTTACGTCGGGAAAAGATTCGACTATCCAAAGTTGCTGAGGCCCACGACGAACTTGCGGCGAGAACTAAGAGCGCGCTCGCGCTCGTCGAGATGTGCAACACACATGGTAAGGCATGCGACACGGCCGAACAATTCGATGCGCTCACGCAATCTTGGATGGAGGTTGTCAAGCAATTTCCAAAAGAGTACTACGGACACAGATTAAATCGTCTCGCCCTCGCGCACGCGGCGCCGTACGTGCGTGCGATGTACAAGAGCTGGGATCTAAGCAAAGATCCAACGCTTGGTGTTGATATTCTGAGACCTTGGCGATCTTTACTCTCACCGGAGCTCGTTCCGGATGAGTACAAGGGCGTATTTGAAGACGACTCGTACGAGGACTTGTTACGAGATCCGATGCTTTCGAGACTTCGCCCGATTATTTCATCCAAGTGGGATCCAACGAAGCCCGAGGATATTTTGAATTTCGTTCAAGCGTGGTCTGACGTGATGCCCGAGGCACTCATGCGCGAAATCACGCACGCTCTGGTGTTGCCCAGGCTACAGCGTCGCGTCGGGGAGTGGGAGCCTACGAAGGAGCGCGTCGCGCTCCACGTTTGGTTCCATCCGTGGTTGCCCATGTTGCATAAAAACCTCAAGGATTTGTATCCTTCTATTCGTCAAAAGTTCACGGTGTCCTTGGCAGAGTGGGAAGCGAGCGATTCGAGCGCGTTGACGCTCTTAAAGCCTTGGCAGAGAGTGTTCGAGGCGAAGGACTGGTCATCGCTCATGCGCCGTTGCGTCACGCCCAAGCTCGAAGACGCCTTGGCTATGCTCCAAATCAATCCTTCCAACCAAGTACTGGACCCAGTACGAACGGTGCTGAAGTGGGAGTCTATGCTTGGCCCGAGCGCGTTCATCACGCTTCTGGAACAGCACTTTTTCCGCAAGTGGCACGCCGCCCTGCACAAGTGGCTCACCGCAAGCAACGTCGATTTGGACGAGGTCGCGCAATGGTACATCGGATGGAAGACCGTATTCTCCGAAGAACTTCTATCCCACGAACGCATGCGTGTCCAATTGAACGTTGCCCTAGATATGATGAACCAAGCTGCCGCAGGCGAAGGCGTCGTCATGCCGAACGTTGCTGCACCGCAACCCACCGCACCGCTCGCGGACGAACGGCCCGTGCCTCACCCCATGGATGAATCTACGATGTCTCTAAAAGAGATGATTGAAGAATTCGCCAACGCTCACGAGCTTGAATTCATACCGAGCGCCTCTGGTCGCCGCCACGACGGCTTAGCCGTGTACGTCTTTGGCGGCGTCAGCGTCGTCGTCGACACGGCGCGCGAATCCATTCGCGCCCTCATCGACGGCGATTGGACCCCAATTAGCCTAGACCAACTCCTTGATCGCGCCCGCGCGATCAAGCGATGATTCATTTGCCCAACATTAGCTCGTAGAGTTTGCAAACGATCGATTGATCCCGCGACACACCTCCACGACCGCCGCCCTCAGTCGCCGCCTCGCGCCGTCATGACCGACGCCGACCCACCGTCGACGTCGTCCGCGGTGGACGTCCGCGAAACGACCACCGCGCCCGTGGTTCGGCGTTTCGTTCGCAATCAGGTGCGCACGCGACGCTCGCGCGTTGTCCCACTCGCCGAAAAGTGTCCCGAACCGAAACTGACCGCGCCGACGCAGATTCCGGACGAGATCGCCAACGATCCCGAGCTCGAGACGGCAATGAAAGTGTTGCCGGTGAATTACGACTTCGAGGTGAAGAAGACGGTGTGGCGGTTGCGACAGGTGGGGGTGAAGACGCTCGCGCTGCAGTTTCCCGAAGGTTTGTTGCTGTACGCGACGACGCTGTCGGATATATTTCAAACGTTCGCGGGCGTGCGAGACGTGGTGATACTGGGAGACGTGACGTACGGTGCGTGTTGCGTGGATGATTACACCGCGGAGTCGCTGGGGTGCGACTTTTTAGTGCATTACGGGCACTCGTGCTTGGTGCCGGTGGACGTGACGCGAATGAAGTGTCTGTACGTCTTTGTGGATATTTCGTTCGACGTCGGGCACTTGTGCGCGTCTGTGGAGCACAATTTTAAACCTGGGTCGAGGTTGATCCTGGCGGGGACGATTCAGTTCGCGAGTGCGATCCAAGAGACGCGGACGCGATTGGCGGAAAGGTATCCCTCGCTCGCGGTACCGCAAGCCAAGCCGTTGTCGCCGGGAGAGGTTTTGGGATGCACGGCACCTGTGATCGAAGACGCGAAGGATAGAGACGCAATAGTGTTCGTCGCCGATGGACGATTCCATCTCGAGGCGATTATGATCGCCAATCCGACGGTGCCGGCGTTTCGCTATGATCCGTACCAGCGCATTCTGACGCGCGAAGAGTACGCGCACAAGGAGATGCGTTCGGTGCGTAAAAGCATGGTATCTCGAGCGAAAGACGCAAAAACATTCGGCATAGTTCTCGGCACGCTCGGTCGTCAGGGAAATCCGGCGATTCTGGAACATTTAATGTCTCTCATGCGCGTCAAGGGTCGAGAGTACGTCGTGTTTTTAATCAGTGAGATGAACCCTGCGAAGATGGCCGCGCTCGAGGGCCTCGACGCGTTCGTCCAAGTGGCTTGTCCGCGATTATCGATCGATTGGGGGGAAGAATTCGATCGACCGGTGTTGACGCCGTATGAGGCGGAAGTCGCGCTCGATAACGTCGAGCCGTGGTGGTTACTGGCTGGCGTCGCCCCGGGCGAGGAATACGCACCTTACCCGATGGACTACTACGCCAAAGACGGCGGCTCGTGGAGCAGTAGCTACCACAAGCAAACAGGTAAGAATGGCAAGCCCAAGCGCGCGCCAGTGCGCATCGAAACCGCCGAGTGATGTGATTCGTCTCTCGCGCAGTCGTCTTTGTTGCATTTTAGCTCTAGCTCTAGTTTTCTATTCAGTCCTCGCGGACGATCGCGTCGAGTACCTCACGCTCGCCATGTCGCTCTGTCGCACTAAATCCCACTCCCCGTTCCCCACCTCGCACGCCTGCATCACCTCACCGAACCACCGCGCGTACACGTACCCCATCGGCACCCCGCCCAACTCCTCGTCCCTCCGTTCGCTCACCACCACCAACCGCTCCTCTCCGCTCTCATCATCCCTCGCGCTCTCGTGCAGCGCCGCCAACGTTTTCGCGTACGCTATCTCTCGTTTCACTCTATCCTTCCCACCACACTTGATCAAACTTCCCAAATCGTCGACGACGTACGCCGTCGGCTGCGCGTTCGCCGGCGCCGCGTGTCTGAAGCAGCACAGCGCCCGCACGTCCTGGTCGTCCTCCGCGTACTTGATTCCGATTCGATCGAGCGCGCGCGGGTCGTCTTTCAGCAGCTCATCCCGCGTGGCGTGCACGCGCGCGCGATCCATCGCCCGTTCGCTCGCGATGTACAGCACTCGCCCATCCGGATTTTCCCGCACGTAACGCACGCAGAAGCGAAGCAACAGCGTCGTCTTCCCGCATTCCGGCGGGCCGACGAGCACGACGCGCGTCTGCGCGCGCTCCGACGTCTCCGCGCGCGTCGCCGCGTCCAAAGGTTCGGCGAACGCGCGCGGATGCATCGCTCGCGCCCAACAATGCGGTACAAATGAACGCGTCGCGCGACGTCGTGCGCGTCGCGGTGCGCGACGGTGACGCGGAGGCGACCGTGGATGACGTCGCGATCGATCGATCGCGTCCGAACGCGCTCGAACGCGCGGTGAGGGCGAGTAAACGCGCGTGCATGAAGCGATTGAACGCGCTGATGGGCGTCCCGGACGAAGAGAGCGACGAAGAGCGCGACGACGCGGGCGAAGACGACGCCGAAGACGACGAGAATCGATAGCCATGTAATGTGTACGCGCTTCACGACGCGCGCGGCGCGCGAAAACGCCCCGCGGCGCGCGATGCGACGCGATGCGCGTTGAATAATCAAAAGCGTCCCCGAGTCGACCGCGCGCGTCACTCTCGCGCGCGCGTGGGCCGCGCGCGCGCGCCGATGTCGCGCAAAAACGCGAACGCGCCGCCGCACTGGATGTCCGAGGCGCAGACCGAGCGCGCGGACGCGCGAACGGCGACGCGGGAGGCGCAAACGCTTCGTCATCCAGAGGGACATCTTGAACGAGAGGCGACGACGGCGGCGACGACGGCGTGGGAAACGCACGTCGCGCCGGATGGGCGAACGTATTACTATCACCCGGAGACGCGGCGGAGCACGTACGCGAAGCCGGAGGAGATGATGACGACGATGGAGCGCGCGGAGGCGGCGACGCGGTGGCGAAAGTTTACGGCGCCGGCGGCGGACTCGACGGGAGCGATGAAGACGTATTGGGCACACGAGGACACGGGAGTGACGACGTGGGAGACGCCGAAGGAGATTGAGGAGGTGAGGGAGATCGTGCGGCGAGCGGAGGCGCGGGCGACGGGGCCGGGAGGTCGAGGAACGGGAGCGGGGCGCGCGGAGAGTCGAAACGAGAGCGGACGAGCGAGCGGCGAGGATGCGGCGCCGTTTGCGAAGGAATACGCGAGTATGGAGGAAGCGAAACAGGCGTTTAAGAAGATGCTCGCCGAGTACGGCGTTCGGGGATCGACGAAGTGGGATGAAGTGGTGAATCGAGCTGGGGCGGATGCGCGGTTTTCGGCGCTGCGGTCGACGGGGGAGAAGAAGCAGTGTTTGAATGAGTATCAGATGGCGCAGGCGAAGATCGAGCGCGAGGCGAAGAGAATGGCGGAAAAGAAGGCGCGCGAGGCGTTTAGAGCGATGCTCGAGGAGCACGGAGAAGCGTTGGGCTTGACGTCGAATTCCAGATTGTCGCGAGACGGATCGCTGGAGCAGGCGCTGCGGGACGACGCGCGGTGGCGCGCGGTGACTGATCAACGCGAACGTGCGGAAATATTTGAAGACTACACGCGAGATTTACGTGTGCGCGAAAAACACGAGCGCGAGCACACGAAAACGAAGCGTGCTTCGGAGTTTAGGGAGTGTTTGATCGAAGCTGGCGCGACGTCAGAGATGACGTGGCGAAAGATTTATGAAGTCGTCAAGGACGACCCGCGATGCGAGCGATGCGAACCTTTGGCTCGTTTGGATGTGTTCGAAAGCATAGTGCGTGATTTGGCTCGCGCAGAGAGGGCCAAACTCGAAGTCGAGCGCAAGGCCAAAGCGCGCGAAGAGCGCAAGCGTCGCGAAGACTTTGTTGCGCTGCTCGCCGAGTCGCAAGCCGACGGCATCATAACGCCACGGATGCCGTGGAAGTCGTTCGTGAAGCGCATCGAGAACGACGAGCGATACGTCAGATTGTGTCAAAACCTCGATGGATCGCGACCGCGCGAGTTATTTGAGGATTTAATCGACGAGATCGAGGGCGAGATTGATCGAAAGTTGGACGATTTTGAAGACTTGCTGCGCGACGGATACAAGGCGCGCGAGTTGCACGGCAACACGACGTGGGAAAAGGCGGAGAAGCTGTACAGACACGACAAGGCTTGGAAGCAAGCGCCTCGGGACGAGGCGCGTAAGCTGTTTGTGAAGTTTATCGCGAAAGTTTTCCGGCGTGAGCAAGAGAAAGAGCGCCGTAAGCGCGAGGGCATTCGCAGCGAGGACGACGCGGACAGGCCGTCGTCGCGCAAAAAGTCTCGTCGCGATCGTAGCGCGAGTCGATGACGGGGCGAACGAGACGGATTGATTTAATTGTAATTCAGTGATACGTAGAATTCAACAAGTGTTGTACGATTCGCTGACATAGTTAGGCGGTGACCCATCCGCGCCGAAATTCGCCGAAACTTTACCCTCGGCTCTACTCAACGGTGGTTGTTGCTTTTGCTCACTCTCCTCTCAAGTCATCTTCTTCTTCCGTTCTTCTCTTCTTCTTCATAACACGCTGCCCATATCTTCGTGGCCGTACGTTGTATTTTTTCTTCTTGCTCTCTTTTAAACAGATGTCGTCGACGCGCGCTTAGTCGTAGCGGTCGAGCTTGATTTGCATCGGTCGGTGCTCCAACTCGACGCCGTTGAAACCTTGGATCGCGGCTTGCGCCTGTTCGCGGGTTTCGAAGAGCACGGTACCCCAGCCCTTGGATCGGCCGGTGTCGGTGTGGCACACCGCAACGGCGTTCACGACGTTACCAACTTGTTGGAACACTTGGCGGAGATCCTCGCTGGTGGTGGTCCACGGCAAGTTGCGAACGACGATTTGCAAGCCGCTCGAGTTCTCCGGACGAGTCTCGACGCGCGCGCTCTTTTGGCCAGCTCCCGGACGCTCGACGCGAACGATGATCGATCGGCCTTGAATCTCAGAGTTGTGCATTTGCTCGATGGCGTTTTGCGCCTCCTCCGGCGTGGCGAAGTCGACCAAGGCCCAACCCTTGGATCGCCCGCCGCTTTGGCGCGCCACCTCGCATTGCACGACGTTCACGCCGAAGCTCGCGCAGTGCGACGTGAGCGTTTCCTCCGAGGTTTCCCACGCGAGGTTACCGAAGTAGCATCGGCATCCGTCGCCGCCCGCCGGGGCGTCGCCGAGCACGCTCGCGCTCGCCTTCTTCGCGCCGCCCGCCGCCTTCGTCGGCGCCTTGTCTTCGCGCACCGTGATCGTGCGATCACCGAGCGGCGTGCCTGCGGTTCGCCAACGCCGCGCGTTCCATCGTCAGTCTCCACCACATTCCCTCGTTTTCACCCATCTCGCGCGCTCGCGCCCGTCGCTCGCAATCTTCGTCTCGCCCGCGATCTCGATCTTCGCCCCGCGATCGCGTCCAATCCGCGCCCGATCCGCGTCTCTCTTCACGCACCGTCCATCCGCGTCACCGCGGCCTGCGCCTCGGCCTCGGAGTTAAACTCCACGAGTCCGTACCCCCGGCTTCGCCCCTGGCGCCCCGTCGGGATGTCCACGCGCGTCACGCCGCCGCACTCCGCGAAGAGCTCGCGCAAATCCTCGATCGTCGTGCTCCACGGGATGTTCCCGACGTATAATCGCGCGCTCGATCCCCCGTCGACGTCCATGGTGATGTGCGGATGTGCGTCCGCGTTCTCGCCGTGCGTCCGTGCGCGTCGCTGTGTGTCGCGGTGTGCGGCGTCGACGTCGCGCGACGATCGAACAATCGTCGCGATCGAGCGATCGATCGGCGGCGGTGCCGGCGGCGCGCGCGGGACGCGTGATTCGTGGTTTTTCGGTGTTCAATGCGTGTTTTTTCGCGCTTTGTACGGTCGATGTGCGCTATCGACGACGACGCGCGATCGCGCGCGGCCCCGTTCACGTGTCCCACTCCGAATGTCCGAACGCGTCAACCAATCGTATGGGTAAACAGTGATAGTCAGCTGGTGCGTCCCGCGCGTCCCGAACATCGGTCGTTTCGCACTGTTTGTCCACACGAATCGTCTGGTGCGCGCGTTACATCGCGGCGCGCGTCGTTCGCGCGCGATTCGCGCGCGCGCGCGGCGACGCCGCGGCGCGTCGCGGCGATGGCGAGCGCGAACGGCGGCGCGGCGTCGGACGCGACGTCGACGCTCGTCGTCGCGTGCACGACGGCGTCGCTGTACGCGTTCGGGGACTGGTTCCTGAAACACATCCTGTGCGCGGAGACGCGGGATCTCATCAGCGCGCGCGTGTCGGCGACGTTCTCGGCGACGTTCGCGGTGACGTCGTCGATGCTGTTCCTGATCGGGTACGAGATCGCGAACGCGGTGAACGCGAGGACGCTGCGGTGGTCCTGGGCGGGCGCGCTCGGGAGCGGGACGGCGGCGCTGCTGGGCGTCGCGCCGTGGGAGCTGTTCGCGCTCGGATTCGAGGCGCTGGGAGGGAAGGGAGGGGGGAGGGACGGCGCGGGAGGCGCGGGAAGGGGACGAAGGCGACGGGCGTACGCGTGGGCGACGGCGGCGACGGGGGGGTTCGCGTACGCGTTTTTGGGGTTGGCGAGACGAGGCGCGAGCGGGGAAGACGACGGCTCCGTGATGGTTCGCGTCGTGTCGCGCACGGCGGTGTTGGGGATTTGTCTGTTGGGCGTGTTGTCGGGGTTCGGGATGGTGCACTTTCCGTACACGACGGTGCGGATTTTTCACCGCGCGATTCCGGACGCCGAGGTCTCTGGTCTCGAACGGCGTTTGGTGCAGAGCGTGGAGACGATCGTGGAGCGAAAGAAACGCATTGAGATCTTGAAGTACGAGATCGCGCGCGAGGCGCGGATGGAGCGCGATAGGAATAGCAAAAATGGAGGCGGCGGAAGTTTGTTCAACCGTCTCGCCGGCGGGTTTCGCCTTCCGGGCCTCGGCGAAGCTCGAGGGGAACAGATCTTAGCCATAAGCGCCGAAATAGAGGCGCTAGAGATGGTGAACAACACTCTGTTCTTCGATCTCCACGACGTCAACTTGCAGCGACAGCGCGCAAAGATGTCCAAAACCCCCTACGGCCGCTTTCTCGAGCTCTGCGGCGTCGGCATGGCCGTCGTGTGCGGCTACCGCCTCGTCGCCGGATTCAAGCGTTTGATTTTCAAACAAACCCCCACGAGCGATCCAATCTCTTTCGCTCTACACATATTCTTAGCCAACAAGGCCATTCACATCGATCCCGCGACGTTGGCGCAGTACCTCAGCCTGCTCTTGATCGCCTTCCTCGTCATCAACTCGATGCAAAACTTCATCACCCAGCTCGTCAAGCTCTTCTTCGCCTACGGCGGCGGCGTCACCACGGACGCCCTGGTGCTATTCACCACCGAGATGGTCGGTCTGTACTTCCTCTCCTCCGTGTTATTAGTCCGAGAGCAGCTTCCCGAGCGTTACCGCCACGTCGTCACCGAGGCGCTCGGCGCCGACTTGGAGTTTCGCTTCTACGCCAAATTCTACGAGCTCATCTTCATGGCGAGCGCCGCGCTCACCGCCATCGCGCTCTACGCCAAGCACGTCACCGCCACCGTCACCGCGGACGTCTCCAAGCCCGTTCGTCGCGCGTGACCCGTCCGCGTCGTTTTTCGCGAAAAACTCACCAATCAAAAAATCCACAAAAAATCTTTCGACGTGCCAGCTGGCGATGCGCTTTTTCGCCGCTTTCCGATCGGCGATGGATCGGATGGATCGTCGCCCTCGCGTCGCGCCCGCACACGTCGACGCCCCGACGCGAACGACGCGAACGACGGAACGAACGCCGCCATCATGCCCGCGCCCGAGTTAAAGTTCGAAACCCTGCAGGTGCACGCCGGCCAAGCGTCCGATCCCGCGACGAACGCGCGCGCGGTGCCGATCTACGCCACGAGCTCGTACACGTTCGATTCGTCCAAGCACGGCGCCGATCTGTTCGGGCTGCGCGCGTTCGGGAACATATACAGCCGAATCATGAACCCGACGTGCGACGTGTTCGAAAAGCGCGTCGCCGCGCTCGAGGGCGGCGTGGGCGCGCTCGCGGTGTCGAGCGGGCAGAGCGCGCAGTTTTTGGCGATCTCGACGATTTGCGGGACGGGCGATAACATCGTCGCGACGCCGAGCCTGTACGGTGGAACGTACAATCAGTTCAAGGTGACGTTTCCGAGACTTGGGATCAACGTTAAGTTCGCGAAGGACGACGATCCGGCGAGCTTTGAGGCGCAAATCGACTCGAACACGAAGGCGCTGTACGTGGAGACGATTGGGAATCCGCGATTTTCGGTGCCGGACTTTGCCAAGTTGAAGGCGATCGCTCAAAAGGCGGGGATTCCTTTGATTTGCGACAACACGTTCGGTGCTTGCGGATACGTGTGTCAACCGCTCAAGCACGGCGCGGATATCGTGGTTGAAAGCGCGACGAAGTGGATCGGCGGCCACGGCACCACCGTCGGCGGCGTCATCGTCGACGGCGGTACGATGAACTGGAACAACGGTAAGCACCCAGTGATGACTGATCCGTCTCCGGGCTACCATGGATTGAAGTTCTGGGACACTTTCGGCCCGGACGGCATTCTTGGTGCCAACGCGACGTTCATCATGCGTTGCCGCGTCGAAGGCTTGCGCGATCTCGGCATGTGCCAAAACCCGTTCGGAGCGTTCAACTTCATCCTCGGCTTGGAGACTTTGTCTCTCCGCATGGAACGCCACTGCTCGAACACTATGGCTTTGGCGCAATACTTGGAAAAGCACCCGCAAGTGAGCTGGGTGTCTTACCCAGGCCTCAAGGCGCACCCGTTCCACAAGCTCGCCATCGAATATTTCCGCGACGGCAACTTTGGAGCCGTGCTCACGTTCGGTATCAAGGGTGGTCTCGATGCGGGCATGAAGTTCATCGACAATGTCAAGCTCGCTTCGCACTTGGCTAACGTCGGGGATGCGAAGACGCTCGTCATCCATCCGGCGTCGACCACGCACGAACAGCTCACTCCGGAGGAACAAACCGCCTCGGGCGTGACTCCGGACATGATTCGCGTCTCCGTCGGCATCGAGCACATCGATGACATCTGCGCGGATTTCGCCCAAGCGCTCACGGCGTAATCTTCCGGTGCTGATCCAATCAGAATCGTCTCTTGCACGAACTATTTACGAAAACTTTAATCGCGCGCGCGGCTCCGCAACGCAGCATGTCTCTCATATTACTATCATACCACATCAATAAACTTGTAATGAACACAAAAAACGAAAAAAATCGAACGTGACGCGCGCGCTGTGGTGTGTGATGGTGGATGGATGGATATTCAGTGGAGTTACAACATCATCCTGGTAAGTAAACTACAGTTGCTGGGATTGTTTTGTTTTGTTGTACACGTTGGTTGGACGAGACAAAATATTAACTCGACGACGATCTCTTCCTTGAAAGCGAGTGTGGTCGCCCTTGTTAGAGATCGTCACAGAGTATCTGATTATGCTCCTCCAAGTACTGCTCGAGCACCCAAGTAGGGAGCGTCGTAGAACTCGAAGGCTTCGACTTGTGTCGCGTTCCGTGTAAACGCTTGGCCTCATCCTTCCACGACACCGCTCTGTGCGTGGCCTCGGTGGGCTCTTTCGGCGTCGCCGGGATCCCCGTGCGCTCGGCGGCGCGCGCAGTGGGATAGTACAACAAACAACTGCCGGCGACGGCGGCTTCGGGGGAGTGATCGGGACGAACAATTTCCGTAGGGGGAAAATGGAAAGATGTTCCGAACTCGTCGCCCACGTTGTGGCCGTAGACGTCCATGCGTCGTCGGTAACTCTCTTGCGCGAGCGCGTCGGCCGTTCTCTTCGCATCTCCCATGCGATCGAACCGATCGAAAGAGTCTTCGACGTGTATGTTCACCGCCTCGTCGTCATCGTAGCCACTGTTGTAAGGTTCGTCGACGACGAAGTGCATGGGCGACCGCGCGCGCGGCGCGTACTGCGGCGCGCGATGCTTCTTCTGTTGTCTGCCGTGCCCTTGGCCCGACTGACACGCACCGCTGTCGCCATTTCTGCCGTTACCGTGTCCAATTCCAGTGGTGCCACTGTCGTGGGATCCACTCGACGTGCGCGGGGCTGGCAAGTCGTTGCCGCTGCCGCGCAGCTGCGAACGCAAGCAGTACGTCGACGGCGCGATTCGGACAAAGGTTTCATCCTGACTCAGCGCCGCGGTGACGGAGTTGTTCGGCGTCTTACACGTCCCCCAACTGTACATCGATAATCTCTGCGCCGTCCCCACGATCGATGCCACGGTCATCCCGCGCGTGCCGCTCTCCGCGAGCAACACGTACGCGCTGTGTTTGATGGTGCCGATTTCGTACCCGAGCGCCACCGCGTCGGCGCTCCAATTCTTCTTCGCTCTCTTCACCATCATCGCCTCCTCATCGGTATCGCTGGACGACGTCGGCACCGCCCGTCCCTTAGCGAGCGTGTTTACCAGCACATTATCCGGCGTTCTCTTCCCATCCTCGTCGACGTGCGCGTCGCCCCGATTTCTCGTGCTCATGTGTCCCCCCTTCGTCGTCGCCTCGGCGTGCGCCTCCTTGCGATCAATCACCTCGTGATCACCGCGCGCGCCGCGACGCGCCTTCGTACTCGCCACCATGACGTCGTCTACGCGACGAGATCTCCCCGCGTTCAACCCTCGAGTCCGTCGCCTTCGCGAGTTCGCTCGCGCGAATCGCCGTCTCGGCGAAACCTGTCCCGTCGCGCGCGTCGCGTCGCTTCGTCAGTCACCCATTCTCACCGCGCGCCCGAACCTCTCGCCGCGATTCGCGATCATCGCGATCGCGTTCGCCCCCGTTTTCGACGTCCGATTCGATCCCGCGCCGTCGCCGCGCCGCGTCCCGGCGCGTCCCGGCGCGTCCCGGCGTCCCCACGGTTTAGTACCCCTCGTTAACGACCGCGCCGTCCTCGCCCGCGCCCGCGCCGGCGACCGCCCGCGCGCGCGCGCGACGCGCGCGATCGACGCGTTCGAAACCCAACTCTCGATCTCGCGCCTCTTCGCGCGCGTCCGCGCCGTCCGCGCGCGACGCCGCGCCGGCGCGCGCCCTCCGCCGCGCGCCGCGGGGGAACGCGGCGCATCCGCGTCACGGGATCCGAGACGACGACGCGTCGCCCGCTCGCGTCGTCGTGCCTCGCGCGTCTCGCCCCCCGACGCGCGCGCGCGATCGACGAATATATCGCGCGCCCATTCCCGGCGCGCGCGACGCGCGCGCGTCGTCGCGGACGCGCGCGCGTCGACATTTTCGCGCGAATGTCACGCGCGCGCCACGCGGTTCCGACACATCGTGCGACGCGTCTCTCCGCGCGCGCGACCGCGCGTTTCCGCGCGCGCGCGCGCGATCGATGTGAAGACTAAAGACGCACCGTGTGTCGGCCTCGCGCTCGAGGCTTCGCGACGCGAGCTCTCGGGAACCCGTCGAGACGCGATCCCGCGCGCGCGCGATTGTGCCACGCGCGGCGCGCCAAAGATCTTTTGCGCGCGGCGCGCCGCTTTTTCTGGATTCGTTTGATGCTGTTTCTTTTATCTAGTGTACGAGATTTGTGTGCGTGCGGAAAGGGCACTCTGAGATAAATCGTGTGAAACTGGGCGCGTGCTGTGGTGATTTTTCGCGCGATGATCGGGATTTCGCGACCAGTGTACGACGTCGTCGAGGCCCCCTGTTTTGATCGGACGCGCGGTCGGTCGCACCAATCAAAACGCGATCTCGGCCGACGATATTTTTGGCGCCCTTTTCGGGAGGCGGGCGCGAACGCGTTCGCTTCTGTCGCTAAAACGTCTAAAGTCGAAACGCGGCGAGGGCTAGCGAACGATCAAACCGTGGAGCATGGTTAACAGAAATATCTGTAACGCCGCGCGCGCGAGATGGCCCTGCCACGGCAAGACTTGCATGGACTCGTCGGCGTTCGGCGGCAGCGGACCGGGCGAATTGTGAGTCCACATGTACGTGTTCGCGGGCGTGACGACGATGGTCAACAGAAACAACCCCGCCGCGCTCGCGGGCGTCAGCCAGGATTCGCAAAAATCGGGCGTGAGACCGAACGGGAGCGAGCCGAGGACGACGCCGAAGCCGCCCAAAATTTCCGCGACGCCCGTCCAGTTGACGTGAAAACTCGCGCTTCCCGGTAAGTTCCAGAATCCCCACGCGCCTTTGTGCGGCATCATGGACGTGAACCCATCGTGCACGGCGAAATGTGCCGCGCCCGCGGCGATGTACGTGAGTCCGATGAGCGGCCAACTTCTCGCCGACCAAGCCGCGAGCTCCGGCGCGAGCGCTCGCGTCGCCGGGCCGACGACCTCGCAGCACTCGTACGTGCCGAGAAGGATCGCGGCCCACACCGCGAGCACGCACGCGGTCTGCGCGCGCTCGTCGAGCGCGGAGACGCGCGCGCCGCGATAGCCGGGCGCCGTCCAGGGCGCGACGTCCCGAGGCTCGAGCTCTGGGGACGCAGAAACTCGCGTCGCTCGCGGACGACGCGTCGACGACGCGGGCCGACGCGCGCGCGACGCGCGCGGACGCGCGACGCGGGCGAACGCGGCGGCGCGCGCGACGACGGCGACGCTCGGACGCATGGCGACGTGTGCGGCCGGGACGCCGAGCCGGCGGCGCCGAACTTTACCTTTACGGAATCTAATGTTACACACGCCGTCGCGATCACCGCCGCGACGCCTTCGCTGTTCGACCACGCCCCACCGCTCGACGCTCGCTCGGCGCGGCGGGACCGAGGACGTGCGCGCCGCTTCGGTCGCGCTCTTGCTGCGGCGTCAACCGCCTCTTCGGCTCGGCCTTCGCCCTCGCGCGCGCGTCTTCGTCCGACCGTCCCGTCCGCGCGTCGTCCGCGACGCCGGAGATGATGTGATTCGAAATCGCCGCGATCGGATTCGAGCGAAACGTCGGGTGCGCGAGCACGGCTTGCATCCGCGTCGTCTCCCGCGCCACGAGCGCCGTCCGCCGCCTCGCCGTCGGCGTCTTCGCCCCGTTCCCCATCCCTCGCCCCCCGCCCGTCGCCGCGACGTCCGCGAGCGACATCGACAGCGCCCTGACGTCCACCGTCGTCCCTCGCCCGCTTTTCTTCCCTATTTTCTTCATCTTCGTCTCCGTCGCCACGCGAATCTCTGTCCCGACCGCGCGCGCCGAGCGCGTCCGCCGTCAGTCGCCCCGCGCGCGCCGTCCGTCGCCGTCGGTCGCCGCGATTCGCGCCCTCGAACGCACTCTCTAAAAATTTCGCGCGCCGCTTCGCCTTGCGCCGATGCGACGGCGCGACCGTCGTCGCCGTCGTCGTCGTCGTCGTCGTCGTCGTCTCCGCCGCCGGTTCGCCTCGCGTCGCGCCGTCGTCGTCCCGTCCCGCCTCGCCTGCGCGCGCGCGCCGCCGACCGAGCGCGCGCTCCACCTTCCGTCGGAGCTCTCGCTTGACCATCGCGCGGACGCGGCGCGTCGCGGCGTCGCCGAGTGTCGACCGCGCGCGTCGTCATCGTCTTCGCGCCATGTCGCGCCGCGTCGTCGCCGGCGCGCGCGCGCTCCAGCGCGAGCTCGACCTCGAGCGCCTCGCGCGCCTCGTCGCGCCCGCGCGCGACGCGTCGTCGCGCGCGCGCGCGGTGAACGACGCGCTCGTCGCGCAGCTCGCCGAGCTCGCGCGCGCGACGCCCGCGCGCGCGTGCGACGTCGCGCCGTCCACCGCGGGACGATCGGGCGCGAGCGCGGGCGACGGGCTGTTCGCGCGCGGCGCCGTCGCCGCGGGACGCGTCGTCGCGACGTATCCGGGGCTGACGTACGTCGGCGCGGCGACGCGATTCATGAAGGATTATCCGCGCGTGACGCGCGAGAACGAATACCTGATCGCGCGAAGCGATGGGAGCGTGATCGACGCCGAGCCGTGGGGACGGGGCGGTGAGAACGACGACGCGTGGCCGGGCGCGCCGGTGGCGCTGAGCGAGGCGGAGGCGAGACGGGCGGACGGCGCGAGCTGGCTGGAGCGGTTGCGAAAGCCGACGCTGCCGAGGGCGACGCGAGCGCGGTTGGCGAGGGAGTGCGCGACGCTAGATCGAGGAGATGAGCTGGCGCTGGCGCACTACGCGAATCATCCGCCGAGTGGGACGGCGCCGAACGTCGTCGTGGCGTCGGTGGACGTGCCGAGGGACTCGGACGCGCGGAGGCGCACGCAAAACGTAAACGTGGAGTGCGAGGAGGAGGGGGAGGAGACGGAGAGCGTGTGGTCGATCGTGCGCGATGGCGAACGGTCGCTCGTGGAACGCGCGCGAGACGCGTCGTTGGCGATGTTCGGGGAAGATGCGGATAAACCCAGAGCTCGAGGAGGGACGGTTCGGCGAGACGTCGTTCGAGGCTTGGTTTTAGTGTCGACGCGAGACATCGAGGATGGGGAGGAGATTTGGTTGAATTATAGATTATCGACGCACGTGACGCCGCCGGCGTGGTACGTGCGCGTCGATCCAGAGGAGGACGAGCGTCGCTGGTCGTTGGATTAGAGAAACTAGATTATTTGCTATAGAGACTACGCGCCGTTTAGACATCTACCGTGCACGCATTTCCCACCGACGTACGTGGCGACGATGTCGCTATCGCTAGAACTATCGAGAATTATAAAATCAGCGAACGCCCCGGGTGCCATAGTACCGACGAGACCGTCCAACGTGAGCGCGTGCGCGCCGCCGCGAGTGAACATCGTCGTCGCCTCCTCGGCCGTGAGACTTTGGCTCTCGTGTCCGTCTCCGCGCTCCACCGCCGCTCGCATGCCGGCGAAGACGTCAGCGCTGACGATTGGCCAATCGCTACCGCCGGCAAGAGGCACGCCGTTTTCCAGAAATGTCCGCAAAGCGTAATATCTGCTCGCTCGTTCCTCGCCGAGCTTTTCCCCGGCGCTTCGCCCGTCGAGCGCTATTTGCGCAGGCTGCACGCTCGCCACCGCGCCGAGCCTCTTGAATCGTTTGGGTTGGCCATCGATTGGCGCCGTTAAGTGCTGCGAGTGCTCGATTCGAAATCTCCGCAGCGAACGCTCGCCGTTGGCGGCCTCGATCGAGGCTAGGAGCTCGAGCGCTTGTTCCACCGCGGCGTCTCCGATGGCGTGCACGGCGATCTGAAGACCCGCTGCGTCCGCGAGAGTGGCTTGCTTGCGCAAAATTTTCTCTCTTTTACCTCTGGGGTACATCAAATGTCCAGACGTCGACCCGTCGTCTAGATACGGCGCCATCATCGCCGCGGTTCGCCCGCCCAAGCTACCGTCGAGAAACGCCTTGACGCCGCCCAATCGAACCCGAGAAGCCGCGGTCTCATTCTCTCGCGTCCAACCACTGTTCCACGCGACGTGGGATTGAACGCTTGCCCAGTCCCCGAGTGGCATGTACGACGTGATGCGAATCGGAAGGTCGCCGACCGCGTCCCATCGCTCGAGCGTCTCAAAATCTTCCCAGAGCTGCGCGTATCCATCCGCGCCCGCCACCAAGCTCTCGATGTCCCCGAAATCACCCACGGTCGTGATTCCTTTACTGAGTAAGTACTCAAACGCCCGTTTAAACGCTTCATCGCGCTCGCTCCGCGACCGCTTCGGCACCGCGTTCGACATCGCCGCCGTGGCCAACTCCTTTAGAATCCCAGTCGGCGCCCCCTCGTCGTCCAACTCCACGATCCCACCCGCGATCACCGTCTTCGCGCCCGTGATCTTCGCGATTTCCAACGCCGCCTCGCTCGCGAATCCGACGTGTCCGCACGTCCGCGTGACCCACACCTTCGCTCCGACGAATCGTTCGTCGCCGCGCGTCCACGCGTTCGACGGCGTCTCGCCGCCCCACGACGTCTCGTCCCAACCGTGTCCCAGCACCCATTTTTCCTTCCCAGCGTCGATCGCTCGCGCGAGGGTCTCTATGAACTCTTCTTTGGACCGCACGCCTCGCAGATCGAGCGCGTCGAGCGCGAATCCGCCCGTGACGACGTGCGCGTGCGCGTCGACGAAGCCGCTTCGCAGCGCGCGCCCGCCGCAGTCCAACACGACGCCGAATCTCGTCGACGGAACGTCTTCGACGGCGATGATTCGCCCGTGTCGGGATACCGTGATGTCTTTGATCGCGCCCGCGTCGCCGACGGCGCAGTTCGCGAACGTGGTGACGTCGGCGTCGCGTTCGGCGTCGGTCGAGTGATGACGCGCGCGAGCTGGACCGGTGGTTTTAGCGCCGTAGCCGAGCGGGCAGGCGGAGAATCGAGCCTCGAACGCGGGCCAGGCGATCGCGAGGAGTGCGCTCGCGATTGCGAGGGCGAACGCGACGTCGCGGGGGGTCCATCGCATGGCGCGGGAGCGCGCGCGAGGCGGACGCTGACGCGAGGAGCGGCGAGCGGGCGCGTGGCGGCGGCGGCGGTATGATTACATGAATGCCTGCGTGCTGGACGATCGGTGGTCGTCGTGAACGCGAGACGCTCTATTTGTTGTTGCTTTCGGCTTCGGAAATTTTTCTGAGAGCCTCCTTTTGAGACGCGTCGAACGCGTGCTGCATGTCTCGCTCGTTCCAACGCAAACATCTTCGAAGCGAATTGATGAAATCGCCCGTTTGATCGGCGTAGTTGATGGTGGGAATCGGGTATTGGCTCATGCGGACGAACACGGAATCCCCGCTCTCGAGCTCGCAGCGATCGCGGCCGTCGAAGGAGACCCAGGCGGAACATCGAGCGTCTTGCGCAACGCGTAGCTCGATTTCGACGCTGTCGGGGAAAATGACGGGTCGGAAAGACAGCGTGTGTGGGCAAATCGGAGTCATCAAGATTGCTGGAACGTTCGGGTGCACCATCGAACCTCCAGCGGACACGCTGTAAGCAGTGGAACCGGTGGCGGTGGCGACAATGACGCCGTCGGCTTGAATAGTCGTGATGAGTTCTCCGCGATCGTACGCCTCAATTTGAGATAAATACGGACTTGGACCTCGATCAACGAGCAACTCATTCAAGACGGTGATCTTTTTCGTGAATTCGCCCGTTCCACCGCTTCCGATCTTGTCCTTTGCCTTGACCAGTGTACACTCGAGACGCATGCGAAGCGTAATCGGCACGCCTCCTTGGATGTTCACCACGGGCTTCCCTCGTCCGATGGATTGAAGCAAGCTCGAAGCCATTTCGTCCGATGGGTGGCTTGTCAAAAACCCGAGCGAGCCGAAATGGAACCCCGAGAAGCGGCGGCACTGGCCCTTGGAATAACTTGCTCGCGTGCAGGATGACGCCGTCACCGCCCAAACACACGATGATATCAGTTGTACCCCAGTCCTCTTGAGGGATGATGCCGTCCACTTTGCGCAGTTTTTCGGCATTTTTTAAAACTACCGCTCTGTGCAGGGTGTCTTCGAGGATGTCTGCGTTCGCCAATTCATCCATGACGTCTTCGTCGAGGACGACGGTGATCCCCATCGTCATCATCGCGTGCGCGATCTCTATGAGTTCTGGCAGCAGGCCAAAGCCAATCTTCTTCAGTAAGAAAACACGCCGCGGTTGTTGACGCCATACCAATATCAATTGTTGCGTGCTCGGGTGAGATATCTTCAGTTCCCGGTTCTCGACGAGCTCGCGCGTGCACGAGAAACCGTCGGTTCGAATTATGTACATATCCGGAGCGTCCGTCAGAGAGCTGTGTTCGCCAACGACAATTTCTTCCCCGTTTGCAGTACTATCGAATTCATGATCCGCGATAAACTTTTCTCCGTTGAATGTCTTGTTATTCAACTTCGCGGCGTACTCGCGAACAAACGCCTCCTGTGCGATCGATCCGAAGTCGCACACGAGCGATTCAGCCGAGAGCGCCTCGTCGACGTCCATTCCTTGGTGCACACGCCAGCACGCGACGAGTGATCCGGTCCGTCCAATTCCAGCTTTACAGTGCACCAGGATCGGTCGCATCTTGTCATCGTTTACAGTCTCGATGAATCGTTTCACATCCTCCTCCGTCGGCGGCTCCATGTCGGGAATCGGTATGTGTACGATGTTGAGCGCGCTCGCGCCGAACGTCCCTTGGCCCGAGCCTCCCCCGAACGCTTGTAGCCACTGGTTATCTCTATCGCTCCCGCGCAAATCGATGACAGTTTTGAAGTTGTTGCGAACCAGCCAAGCTCGACCTTCCGCGGTGGGCTGCCCTCCTCGATAATACGCCGCAGCGCTCTCGTCGCCAACTTCGGTGACGATTTGCAAGTTTGGGATCGCCGTTCCGCTCGGCGCGTTCGGCGCGCGTAATCGCGGATGCACCAAGTCCAGCGACGCGCTTCGAAGCGCCTCGAAGCGATGCCGCACCGTTACCGAGCATCCGCCGATCTCTTCGCACGACTGTTCCAGTATCACTCGCAACTCCCACAGCGCCGTGCGAAGACGCGACAACTCCTTACTTCGCAAGTTGTTACTGAACCTCCCGGCGACTTCCGCGGCGGACGCGTACACGACCATCCTCCCCAACGCCTCCGTCACCTCTCCCGAGCATGAAGCGAGCGTGTTATTCGAAAAGTCCACCTCGCACTCCGCCGATAAGACGTCGGCGAACGACGCCAGCACCGCGCGTTCTAATTGCGCCGCCAACTGCGGCAACGGGACGTAACTCTGATCCGAGGTCGAAGGAAACTCCACGACATCTCCCTTTTCCTGTTTCTTCGCCCCGGTATCGACCGACGGGAACATTTCAGACTCTGAAATCGCGCGTCGCTCGCCGCCGCCTCGACCTCGCGACGCGTCCCGCGCGTTCGGGCGCGCACCTCCGAAGGCCGAGCGCCGTCCGGGCAAATGCGCGCGCCGCGCCGTCACTGTGCATACATTAGACCGTTCACGCGCGAGTTTCGTCGTCGACGACGCGCTGACGCGCGATGCCGCGGCGATCATCGTCCCGCTCGCCATCCCTCGTCACCGGGCGCCGCACACGATTCCCGCGCGCTCGCGCGTCCGCGGGACTCGCGAGACCTCGCGACGGGCGCGAACGATGCTCTCGCGCTCGTTCCACGCGCTCTTCCGGCGATCGCGGCGTGCGCGTGCGTCGACGCGCGCGCGTGTGCGCCCGGGCGCGACGCGACGGCGAAGCGCGAAAACGCCCTCGCGCGCGTCGCGACGCCCAGCTTCGCGAAACCGAAACGTCCGAACCTTTAAGCGCCGTCATCGCAATCTACTCGAAGCACGATCAGTGTCGCGAACCACACCATCGATCGAACGCGCGACGAGCACCGCTTCGCGAAACATGAAACCGATCGACCCACCGTCAGGTTCACGAACCTGCAAGCCCCGAACCCGCGCGCGGGTTCGATTCGACATCAACGAACCTCGCGCGGTTCAGCGAACCTTCGATCGGGTGACAAAAATAGCATCCCGAATGATGCGCGCCATCGTGGATCGCGGAATGGATGTCCGATCGAAAAAATACGACCGCGATCCCACGGATGCGTGGGTGTGCGAACATCGATATCGATATCATCGATGACCGGGGTTTCGATCGTTTCGTCGCCCCGTCCGCGATCGCGCGCGCGGGCCCGGTCGCGCGCGCGATTGCGATTACAAGGGGCCTCCCGACGCGTCGCATCGCGACGCGCGCACGCCATGGCCCTCTCTCTCGCGCAGGTCGCGCCCGCGGCGCAGGTGCGTCGCGTCTCGCACCGTCGCGCGCGTCGCGCGCGTCTCTCGGCGTCGCGAACGCGCGCGCGTCGTCGCGAACGGCGGCATCGCTCGGCATCGGATAGGATGGCCATCGGCGCGTCGTCGCGGGTCGACGCGCGACCGGGACGCGACGACGCGCGACGTCGACGGAGGGCGAGAGAAAAATCGACGACCGCGGACGCGCGGGTGACTGACGAGAGGTTTCGCGGCGCAGTTTTCTTCGCGTAAGCGCGTCTGCGGCGCGCCGGCGGCGGCGTCCCGGACGCGCGTCGTCGTCCCGCGGGCTCGAGCGGTCGCGGCGCGCGCGAGCGGAGAGAAGAAGTCGGTGTTGATCGTGAACACGAATGGTGGCGGACACGCGAACATCGGGTTCTGGCTGGCGAAGACGCTGGCGGGGGCTGGGCACGACGTGACGATGAACGTCGTCGGCGCCGAGGACGATAAGAAGATGGCCAAGACTCCGTTCTCGTTGTTCGATGAGATTCGAGGGATGGGTGTGAAGACGGTGTGGGCGAACCCCGATGAAGTGGCGTCCAAGCATGCCGGGGCGAAGTTCGACGTGGTCGTCGATAACAACGGTAAGGACATGGACACCGTTGGTCCGGTGGCGGATTTCGCCGTCGCCGCGGGGGCGTCGCAGTTCTTGTTCGTCTCGAGCGCGGGTATCTACAAGCCCACGCCGTGCCCGCCGCACGTCGAGGGCGATGCCGTGAAGGAGACGAGCGGCCACGCCGTCGTCGAGGCGCACTTGAAGACGTTGCCGTTGAAGATGAGCTCTTTCCGCCCGCAATACTTGACGGGATACGGATCGAACAAGGACTGCGAGGAGTGGTTCTTCGATCGCGCCGTGCGCGGCCGACCGATCTTGGTCCCGGGCTCGGGTGATCAGCTCTCGTCGGTGACGCACGCCGAAGATTTGGCCACCATGATCGCCGCCGCCGTCGGCAACGACGCCGCCGCTGGGGAAATCTTCAACTGCGTGACGACGAAAGCCGTCACGCTGAACGGCATGGCGGAACTTTGCGCCAAGGCTGCGGGCGTCGAACCGAACGTGATCAACTACGACCCGAAGGATGTCCCGGATGTCGAAGTTAAGAAGGCGTTCCCGTTCCGCCCGATCCACTTCTACAGCTCCAGCGCCAAGGCGCAAGCCGTGCTCGGCTGGTCGCCCAAGCACCCGGATTTGGCCGCCGAGCTCAAGGAACGCTTCGCGTACTACAAGTCCATCGGACGCGATAAGAAGGAGATGTCGTTCGAAACCGACGACAAAATTCTCGCCGCGATCGGCAAGTAAATAGCGAGCTTGATTTTATATTAAACGAACATATTGAACGTGCAACGCGAGCTAAAACGTACAGTACACGGATCGGCGACGTCGTCATCGGTTTGGAACTTGGGAGAAACCACCTAGAAAGTTGAGCGCCAAATTCTTCGCCGAGTCCGCCGTCAGGGATTGTATTTCACGATCCAAGTGCGCGCGATGCGTCGCCCGCGGACTGGCGTAGGCGTAACTCGCGTGTCGAAGCGTGACCTCGACCCCTCGCGTCAACGACTCGTACGCCTCGCCGAGATCGGAATCTTTGAACCTTTCTAACTCATCCATATCACCGTCGATGATGTGCCAATGCTCGCCCGGACGCGCGGTGGTGGCGATGAGATTCGCCGCGGCGAGCGAGCGCGAGGCAAAGTTTTCGGTCGGGATCACGCAGACCCCGTAACCGTCGACGTCTTCGGCGACTTCGAAACCGTTTTCTCTAAATATTTCGCGGCACCTCTCCACCGCGCGTCCGCGCGAATTCAAGACGAACACCTTGCTCCCGCGCGCCAGCGCGGCGTGCAAGAGCGGTTTCAGGTCCTCGTACACGACCTGCTCGCCCGCGCTCGTCCCCGGCTCGCCGTCCGCCGTCGTCTCCATCCGACGCGCGTCCACCGACGCTTGCAAACCCGCCGGCATCATCCGTCGCCCGTCCCACCCGACGCTCGACTCCACCTCCTCCCCCCACTTCAACACGCTCATCAACTTTATCTCCGGCCAGCTCGACACGATCTCGTCCACCGTCAACGGCCTCGTTCTTCGCTCGAACCGCTGCTCGTTTGAAAACACCGGCCCCGGCCGCCCGCCGCTCGTCGTCCGCCCGCCGATGATCGCCTCGTCCGCGATCACCCGCACCATCACCACCGCCTCGCACGACGTCGACTCCGCGATCGCTCGTCGCATCGTTCGCATCGCCTCGACGTACGACGACGCGTCTCCCGGGACGTGCTCCGGCCAGCGCTCGCGCGCCACCGCGTGGCTCACCCTCGTCATCTCCACCGTCGCGTCCACGACGGCGTCGTACGCGAACAGCACGACGTCGCGCGACCGCTCGATGGCGTCGTCGTCGCTCGCGTCGCTCGCGTCCGCCGCGCGTCGCGCGACGCGTCGGCGTCGCGCCGACGCCGACGCCGATGTCCCGCTCGATCGCGTCGCGCGGTCGCGCGCGCCTCGCGCGGTCGCGGTCGCGCGCGCGCGCGGCTCCGGACGCGCGCGCGACGCGTCGATCGCCCGCGCGTCCATGGCGCGCGCGCGTGTCGCGCCGCGCGCCGCGACGACGCTCGGAGGGACGCGGGACGCGCGATGCGACGAAAAGATATTTTGTTTCGCGCCGGACGCCGCGAGCGTTTTAATCGCGCGACACACTCGTCGTCGCGCGGCCGATTCGGGACGCGCGCGACGCCGCGGGGCGCGACGTTGCGCGGAAAAACATATCGAAGATCGATCTCGCACGGCGGCATACGCGCGTACGGCGCGCGAGGCGTCGCGAGACGGGACGACGATGGGGAATCGCGCGAGGCGAGCGTTTCTGAAGACGAGACGACGCGCGGGACGGGGGGGTGGACGCCGCGCGCGCGCGAGGATTTCGGGACGTCGGGAGGGGCGTTTCCGGAGATTAACGTCGTGCAGTTCGTGGACGCGGAAGACGGGGCGCCGGTGAGTTGTTTTGGGATGGATTACGAGACGCTGCGGCGGCGCGCGGCGGAGGCGGCGTTCGACGAGACGTCGACGACGCCCGAGTATCGTGGGTTTTTGAATCACGCGAGACGGTGCGTCGATGGGAGCGGAAAGATCGACTGGGGTTCGGTGACGCGCGTGGGGGGGCTGGCTGGGTCGAGAGAGGTGCGGCGGGCGCGCGGGGTGGACCCTCGGGACGTCGAGGCGGCGTGTTTGCGAGGCGAAGGCGAACCTTTGATCGTCGAGGACGGAGGGAAAGATTGGGCCAAGTGGGATTTTGAAACGCTTCAAAACGAAATCGGTGATTTTGAGGTGTTGTGTAACGATCGAGCGCCCGCGCGGCGACGAGAGATCGATGGATCCAAGCAGCGGTCGCACCTGATTCCGTTTCGGGCGTACGCCGACTACGTACGAAAGCGCGACGGCGTCGCCGGCACAGTCTTTGACGATCGCCGCACGCCGTTTTATGCAAACGGCATGCGCGTATTCAGCGAGTGCAAGCGCGCCGACGCCCTCTCGCGGGCGTTTCCACGACCTTATTTCACGCACGAGTGCGATAATACGGAGACGCTGCTCATGGCGACAACGAACGAGCTCGGGTCGATACTCAAATTTGACTCGGAAATCGCGCTCAGAATGCGTGACAGCGTCTCAAAATCGCTCGACAAGATGTTTGTCGGGCCTCGAGGCGCACTCACGCGCCTTCATTACGACGCCGGGGACGCTCACGGTTGGCTGGGACAGGTCGAGGGGCGGAAGCTCTTCGTGTTTTATCCGCCCAGCGCGTCGCCGATGCTTTATCCGATTGAAGACTCGCACGCCAGCGTCGATCCACTGGAGCCAGACTACGATCGATTTCCACTATTTCGCGAAGCGCAATCGCGCGCGCGAGTGTGCGTGCTGAATCCGGGAGAAGTCGTACTGTGTCCTCGACGATGGTGGCACTACGCCGTGGCCCTGGACACTAGCGTCACGGTTATGAGGAATTGGTACAACGTCAATACCAACGCCCAGGCGTTGGTCGAGCAGATATGCTCCACGATTAAACAAACAGTAGACAATAGAGCGAAAGGATCCGTGCCTCGAAACGAAGCGTCTCGATGAAGATACGTCGCGGCGCTAGTCGGTGAATTCGCTCGCTCGCGCGTCGCGTCGTTTACGGATGAATGGAATCGAAAGATTAAAAGCCTATGGTAATTAATCAGCAGCGATACACGTGCGCTTGAGCGTCGTCCGCGCTTAATGCTTGAACACCCGCTCGCGTGCGGCGAAAACTCGCGGCGAAAGAGATGATATTCGTCGTACAAACGAACGACTCGAACGACTCGCTCGAGCGTCTACGCCGAGAACAACTCCTCCAAAGTCATGTCCCGCATCTTGGCCACTTCCTTGAACGTTCGCATCTCGTTCAACCCCGCAACGACCGCCCGCGCATTATTCAACGGGTTCGAGCTTCCGAGCTGTTTCGCGAAGCAATTCTTATAGCCCGCCAGCTCCAAAACCGTGCGGCACGCGCCCCCCGCGATGACCCCCGTCCCCGGGCTCGCCGGGCGCAGCATCACCACCGCGCCGCCCTTCCCCTTCACCGTCACTCGATGCGGGAACGTGTCCCCTTTAGTTATCGGCGCTCGCTTCGCGCTCTTTCGCGCATCGCTCGCCGCCTTCGTCACCGCGATTTGCACCTCCTTCGCCTTCTGGCACCCGACGCCAACCAAACCCTTGCCGTCGCCCACGACCACGGTGGCGCGGAAGCTCATCTGCGACCCGCCCTTGGTGATTTTCGTGACGCGCGACACCTGGACGACGGACTCTTGCATCCCGTCGTCCTCCTTGCCGCCGCGACCGCGGCCTCGGCCGCCGCGACCACCGCGTCCGCCGCCGCGCCCGCCGCGCGCGCGCGGGGTCTCGGACTCGCCTTCGACTGCCGACGCGTCTGCGTCGTCGCCGGCGCGCGCGACCGTCGCCGTGCGCCGCGGGGCGACGGCGACAATTTTATCGCATCGGTTCGCGCGGCTCGGGAGGCGCGCGGACGCCGCGCGAGACGCGGGCGCGGCGGTGAGGGCGATGGAGGCCATCATGATTCGCGGCGCGACGTCGATGGTTGAATCGACGCGTGGAAGCGCGCGTGGGCGGCGGTCGTCCGGGCGTGCGGTGGGCGCGCGACGAAACGATCGACGGTGCGCGTCGAGCGTGCGCGAGCGGCGACGATGGCGTCGCGGTGTGCGGCGCGGCGGCGGCGACGTTCGAGGGCGAGGGCGAGAGAAACCCTATTGCTCCTTCAGGGTAGAGATGGGGTGGCGACCGACCGCGTGTGGGTAAACAGTGATAAATCGACGCGATCAGGACGCCGCGGCGCGCGCGAGTCGCTCGAAAAGGCGCGCGGGGATCGATCACAACGTTAATCGCGACCGGAATCGCGCGCGGCGTTCCGGATTTCGGTGCTACTGACGTCGACGCGAAAAGACGGGAGGGCGGCGAAGAGGTCGGCGGCGCGGCGCGCGGCGGCGGCGGCGAGGACGTCGGCGGCGGGGACGAAGGCGCGAGAGACGCGGTCGACGCGGCCGGCGACGAGGAAATCGCACGCGTTGGCTCGGATTTCGTTGAGGGATTCGTCGAGGGCGGCGTCGGAGCCGGCGTATTTGGGGTCGAGGAGACGCGCGGCGGTGTCGGCGCCGACGACGAAGGCGGCGCCGGGGGCGGCGCGGGTCTTGTCCACGAAGAGTGGGGTTTTGGTGAGTAAACACACCGTGCCGGGGGTGGAGAACTGCTCGAGTCGACGCATGATCTCGTCTATGGAGAGCGTCCCCTTGTCGGCGTTCGTGACGCCGATTTCGTACGCGCCGAGCGCGCCCGGGGGCTTTGTCGCCGTCGCCGCGGCGAGCAAGTCGCGGTGGCCGTCGTGCAAAGGGTTGAACGACCCACTCAACACGACGTTCGCACGCGTGGCGCCCACTGCGGTGAGCACGCCCCCCGTGAATTCCAAAATCATCGGCGCCGCGGTGGTGGCACCGCTCGTCGACGAGTCGTCCTCCGCCAACCACCGCTCGACGACGGCGCGAGCGTCGCTCGCGTTTGCGTACGCCGAATCCTCCATCGTCGTCACCGAAACCTCGTCGAACTCGCGTTCGCTCAGAACTTCTCGCACTAAATCTACACCCGCGTCCGCGTCCGCGTCATCGACGCTCCGCCTCGCTTCCTCGTACAGCGCTCGCAACACCAACCGCGACGCGCAGCCCTCCTCGTCGAACCGCGAGCGCCCGCTCGTCTTCTCCAATCGCATCTCGTACGTCGTCATCCGCCCCAGCGTCTTCGCCGCCACGAAACATCTGTGGTCGCCTCGTTTGACGACGTCCTCCGTCGTCAGCGCGCACGTCGCGCCGAGGCCCGTCGTCGCTCGCGCGTCGCTCGCCGACGCCGTCGCTCGCGAGCTTCCGTGTCGCACCGCCCTCGCGTACGCCGCGCTCGCCAGCGCCTCCGCGACTTCCCGCGAGCAGTACGATTCCACGTCATCGTCCGTCGCCCTCCCGAGCGTCTCGAGCGCGCTCTCGCGCGCGTACGGCACGCGCGCGTCCAATAAAGTGTTCGAGCACCTCGGGACGCTCGTCAGCCACCCGAGCGCGCGCGCCCCGCCGCCCGTGACGTGCAGCACCGCCCTGACCTTGCTCGCGTGGATCGTCTCCACGATGGCGCGGATTCCGGGCTCCATCGGCGCGCGCGCGACGCGGCGTCGCGCGGTGAAGTGCGACAGCGCGTCCCGGTCGTTCGTTCAAACGTTCGCGTCACACGTCGACGCGACGACGCGCTCGATCGCGCGCGCGCTCGCGAGCTCGAACGCAGGCGCGCATCGCGCGGTCGTCGACGCATGCGCGCGAGGCGAACGGGCGCGGCGGCGGCGAACGAGGACGACGCGCGATTGGCCAAGTATCTCGTCGTGAACGCGGAAAACGTCGCGCACAACGCGCGAGTGAGCGCGCGAGTGTTCACGTACCTGAGCATCGTGTCCGGAATCGCGATCGGCGCGCTCGGATACACCGGAGTGCGAGGGTTCGCGGCGCACGGGGTGTTTATGCTGGCGAGCGCGTGCGCGGTGGCGGCGAGCAAGTGCGAGGGACGACCGACGAGTTTCTTTCCGTCCGTCGATAAGGTGTTCCTGGACGGACCGAACGCTGGATTGCCGACGTTTGTGTTGTTTTGGACGCTGTCGTATAATTGCTGGCACTTGTTTTAGACGGTCGGAGGAGAGGGATCATGAACACGGCGGCGCTGGTGAAGCGACAGCGGCGACCGGTGACGTATTCGCTTCCGCAGCCCGAGTACGCGAACAAGCACGTCGGTGGGGTGAACGCGGTGGACTTGGGAGGAGAGGGATCCGATAGCATATTCACCGGTGGGCGCGATGGGACGGTTCGGATGTGGGATCTGTCGGCGGGGATGCCAGCGTGCGCGCGGCGGTTTGAAGGTCACGGCGGGTGGGTGAACGACGTCGCGAGAGTGTCGAGCACACATTTGGCGAGCGCTTCTAGCGATCACACCGTGCGGCTGTGGGATATAAGTGAAGGATCGATGTCGTCGTCTTGCGCGGTGGCTTTGCAGGGACACACAGATTACGTCATGGCGTTGGCGTGCGCGTCGGAACGCTTGGAAGGAAAGTTTGCTTCGGGCGGGCTCAATCGCGAGATTTTCTTGTGGGACATCGAGCGATGTCTCGCGATCAATGCCGCGCCGTCGTATCTAAGCGTGAAGAATGATGGATGCGTCACCGCGCTGGGGGGCTCGAAGGAGTCCATCTACGCTTTGGGTATGGATGGGACTGGAAACTTGCTCGTCTCCGGCGGTACCGAGCTCGCGCTTCGCGTGTGGGACACGCGGAGCGCTCAAAAGGAAGGCAAACTCAAGGGACACACAGACAATGTTCGAGCAATCGTCGTCGACACGGATGGTAAAAAGTGCGTCACAGCGTCGAGCGATAGAACGATTCGTGTTTGGGACATTGGCGAGCAGCGATGCGTGCAGACGTTTGCGGGCATGCACACCGGGTCAATTTGGGCGCTCGCGTGCAACCGCGATTTCACTCGTGTATACTCGGGAGGTATCGATGCCCGGATATGCGTCACGTCGTTGCGTGATAGGAAAAGTAGTTTAGTCGCGAACGAATCGGCGGCTATTTTAAAGCTGCGCCTAGACGAGTCAACGCGCGCGAGCGGTTTCGCCGCGCACTCGTCGGACGGCGACTTGTGGACCGCCACTGCGTCGCGGTCGATCAAGCGCTGGCCGACGATCATCCCGGGCGAAGATGGCTCATCAGCGAACGTAGAAGACTCTCATGGAACGCCGACGAGCACCTCGTTCTCGCGTCGCGCCGCTGGATCGAGTCTTTTGCGGCAGCCGGGAACGTGGTTCGACGTCGGTTCGCCCGGGGCATTTTCGTTCGGCGGCACGACGCCGCGAAAGTTCGATAACTGGGGCGATCCGCACGATCGTGAGCCCCAGGACTTAGTGCCGTCGATGGAGATTATCGGTGTGAGCCCGATCGTTCGTCACAGCGTGCTGAAGAACAAGATGGAGGTGTTGACGCAAGACTCCATGGGTGCCATCGCGCTGTGGGACGTGTCGCGATCGACCCCAATACGCACGTTCGACGGCGTCACCGATGGATCAGACTTCGAAATTTTACTCGAAAATGAAAGTTTGAATCCAGATGTCGTCGTTCCATCGTGGTTTACCTGCAACACTCGTAGTGGTTCGCTCGCCATCACGCTCTCGCCAAGTTCGGCGTTCAACGCCGAGGCGTACGCGAGCGATCTGGGTATCGCTGACGCCGCGCCGGACGAGCGAAGAAATTTAGGTGTCGAAATCATTCGACTATTGATGGATGAGTGGGTAGAAAAATTTACGTCGTCGAAACCTCCGCGATCAACGAAACGGGCGTTCGCCGAGCCGCTCCCGAGCGAGTGTGCGGTTTCGTTCGCGCACCCCATCGACGACAGCGGTCGCGTGTGCGTCAAGATTCGCGAAGACTTCTCGGGCACACCCACCGAGCGTGAGTTGCTTCCCAAATGGTTCGCCGATCACGCCCTGAATCAAGCGCCCGAGCCGGAATCTCCAAAGATCAGTTTCCGCCTCGCCCCTCGCGCAGGCTCGGGTCTCGCTGAAATTTCCCCCGCGAGCGTCTCGGCGCCCAAGATTCTCGGCGCTCAGAAGATTCGCGAATACATCGCACAGAAGTTAGACGAAACAGATGGCGGAACGAGCACCGATGCCAGCGCGCTCGCGCTCTGGTGCGCCGGCCAACCCGTGCCGTCGTCGGCCACGCTCGCCGCCGCGCTCGCGCGCGTCTGGAAAAAATCGCCCCCGATCGAGCTCGAGTACTCCAACTAGCCGCGATCGCAACGTTCATCGTCGCGCCTGTTGTCATCTCCACAAAAAAAAATTCGCATTCGGCAGGATTTGAACCTACGCACGGAGACCGTATTCGATTTCTAGTCGAACCCCTTAACCACTCGGGCACGAATGCTCGTCGCGGACGCCGCGCGCTTCGACACATGGTCAAATCACACATTAAATACGTCGCACACACACCTAAAAAAACATAAACTTCAATCTCAGACCCCCGACGCGATCGCGCGACGCGTGTTACAGGTTTTTCCCGATCCCCCTCGATCGCGCGCCGACGTCACGCGATCGCGTCGCCGCGCGGTCGATCGATCGCCGATCGCCGTCGTCGAACCTCGCCGCGTCGATCGATGATCACGCGCGGACGATGCGGTGAGGTTCGACGCCCGCGCGGGCGCGTCGATCGCGAATATTCTCGAGACGTCGGGCCGCCGCGCGCACTTTACTTTACGTCGCGTGGTCGAACGACACACAGCAGGTGCGCGAGCGATGCGAGCGCGCGTGACCGAGACGCGCGCGCGCGGGAAATATTCCGCCGCGCGTTCGCGCGCGCGGAGGCGCGGCGCGGCGCGGGATCGGGGCGAACGGACGCGCGATGGGACGCGCGCGCGATGATGATCCGTCCGCGGCGGCGGGTTATCTTGACGCGTGGCGTCGCGCGCGACGCGAATATGTCGGGGCTCGCGCGGTAATACCGCGCGGGAAATCGCGTGCGTCGATCCTGCGCGTCCGTGGGGGATGTCGCGGCGCGATCGCGCGGTGGGATGGGAAGATGTTGAAGATCTTGGATTTTTGGGACGAGGCGCGGGTGACGGCGCGCGGCGGCGCGGACGTCGAGGCGAAACGAACGAACCGGAAGACTGACGACGGCGAACGCGCTGAAAACGAGCAGTAAACCGCACATCAACACACTCCACAGACATAAATATGGGATTTCTTTTCACTTCCGAATCCGTGAACGAGGGTCACCCGGATAAGCTCGCGGATCAAATCTCCGACGGCATCTTGGATGCGTGCCTCGCGCAAGATCCGGATTCCAAGGTTGCGTGCGAGACCGCGACGAAGACCAACATGGTGATGGTTTTCGGTGAAATCACGACCAAGGCCAAGGTTGACTACGAAGCCGTCGTGCGCCAAGTGTGCCGCGACGTCGGTTTCATCTCTGATGAAACCGGCTTGGACGGTAACAAGTGCCGCGTGCTCGTCGAGTTGCACGACCAATCCCCGGACATTGGTCAAGGTGTGCACGGTATGGGCACCAAGTCCGATGAAGACATCGGTGCGGGTGACCAAGGTCACATGTTTGGCTACGCCACGGATGAAACTCCGGAACTCATGCCGTTGACGCACGTTTTGGCCACCAAGCTCGGTCACCGCCTCACCGTCGTCCGCAAGGATGGTACGTGCCCGTGGGTGCTCCCGGATGGTAAGACGCAAGTCACCATCGAGTACGAAAACGAAGGCGGCGCCATGGTGCCGAAGCGCGTGCACACCATCTTGATCTCCACCCAACACATCGAGGGCGTGACGAACGAGAAGATCGCCGAGGATCTCATGAACGAAGTCATCAAGAAGGTTGTCCCGGAAAAGTACTTGGACGCCGACACCATCTTCCACTTGAACCCGTCTGGACGTTTCGTCATCGGTGGCCCGCACGGTGACGCCGGTTTGACCGGTCGTAAGATTATCATCGACACCTACGGTGGCTGGGGCGCGCACGGCGGTGGCGCCTTCTCCGGTAAGGACCCGACCAAGGTCGACCGCTCTGGCGCGTACATCTCCCGCCAAGCGGCCAAGTCCGTCGTCGCCGCGGGTCTCGCGCGCCGATGCTTGTTCCAAATCTCCTACGCCATCGGCGTCGCCGAGCCGTTGTCCGTGCACGTCGACACCTACGGCACCGGTAAGATTCCGGATTCCGAAATCCTCGCCAAGGTCAAGGCCGCGTTCGATTTCCGTCCGGGCATGATGGGCAAGGCGCTCGACCTCAAGCGCGGCGGTAACAAGCGTTACCAAACCACCGCCGCCTACGGTCACTTCGGCCGCGATGAAGACCTCGACATCTTCACCTGGGAAAAGGTCGTCCCGCTCTAAGATAAAGTAACGAAGCCGTCGGCGCGGCGCGTCTCCTCGCGCGCGGCGTCGTCCCGACCCCGCGCGCGCGTCGTCCCCGCGCCGCACACGTTTGTCAAATTTTTAGACGGCGAGCATTTCGCTGTCCGACGGAACAGTCGGAATCATCACTAGACGAGTCGTAAGGATATTATTACGTTGTGAGGAGAGCCACCGTATAGAGCACTCGCGCCTTCGCGCATTCATGCATTCGCTCGCGTCACGCCGCGCCTCGGGCGATGCCCGCGCGCGCGTCCGCGCCGCCTCGTCCCGCCGCGCGCGCGCGTCGCCCTCGCGCGCCGCGCCGCGCGTCGCGCGTCCCGCGCGCGTCCCCCCTCGACCGCATCGATCCCGCCGCCGTCGTCGCCCGCCTCGCCGAGGCCGCGCTCGCCTCGCCGCTCGTCCTCAAGCGCTGCGACGACGTCCGCGTCGTCGTCGACGCCGACCTCGCGCGCGCGCTCGCGCTCGGCGAGCTCGGCGGCGCGCGCGTGCGCGGCCGCGGCTGGTCGAGCCCGCGCGACTTGACCGCGCGCGACGTCGAGCTCGTCGCGCGCGACGTCCGCGTCGACTGGAGCGCGGCGATGGCGATGCGAGGGGTGGTGCTCACGCGACCGGCGCGCGGCGAGGCGCGCCTGACGCTCGACGGGAGGGATTTCGAGAATTTCTTGAGGCACCCGCTGGCGAGACGCGCGGCGCGCGACGAAGCGTTCGAGTTCGAGCGAGGCGACGTCGCGAGCGACGACGACGACGGGTACCTGGAGTGCGACGTGGTGATGCGAGACGGCGGCGCGCGGCGAACGGTGCGAATGCGACCGGGAGAGGGATCGACGGTTCGCGCGACGTCGCGCGGCGACGGGGACGAGACGCTCGAGCGCGCGTTGGAGACGTTTTTCGAGCGACTCGTCCTCGATTTAGACGGCACGGAGCTGCGGTATCGCGACATGACGATCGACGCGCGCGCGACGGCGCCGACGGTGACGTTCGAGCTCGATCTGTGCGTCAAAAGGTTTCCGTCGCCCGGGATACGGTTTTAGCTCGCGTTCTCTCGCTCGCGCGCGAGACGCGCGCCTCTAATTCTAGCTCTACACATCTAGTTCGCGTTTTCCGGCGCCCGCGTTCGCCTCGACGCCTCCCTCGTCACCGCCCGCATCGCGCTCGGCGGCCACAGCACCGCGGCGATCCGTCCTCGAAGCGCCCCCGTCGGCGTCTCGCCCGCGTCGCCGTCGTCTCGCGCGTCGCGTCCTCGCCATCCCGCGTCCGCTCGCAGCGCGCACGTCCCTCGCGAGGGCCCTCGCACGGCGTCGACGCGCTGAATCACGATGCCGTCGCCGTCGCGCGCGCGCACGGCGACGACGTCTCCCGCGTCGATCGCGCCGCGCGCGACGCTCGCGCGGTCGCACCACACCACCACCGCCTCGAACGCGTCGCGCGCGTCGCTCGACGCGCTCGCGCGCCGCGCGAGCGCGCGCTCGGGCGCGCCGACGCGGTCGCCGACGACGGCGCCGAGCGCGAGCGCGAGCGCGCCGTCGCGCGCGACGCGCCGAAGCGTCATGCTCTGCCGCGCCGTCCCGGTCGCACTTCGCGACGCGCATGCGCGACGCGCGGCGCCGCGCGCGCGCGCCGCGCGCGCGAATCGTCGCGGCGCTCGCGCTCGCGCTCGTCGCGGCGCGCGCGCGCGCGGGACGCGCGCGCGAGGCGACGGGACGCGCGAACGATGGCGACGACGTCGCGGCGCTGCGCGACGCGCTGCCGAGCGACGGCGCGACGCTGAGCGAACTGTTCAGGTGGTCGATCGAGGCGGGACACCCGCGCGCGTCGAGCGACGCCGACGATCGGGCGCGCGGCGACGCGGGTCGGGCGGAGGGTTGGCGCGCGAGGGCGCGCGCGGCGCTCGCGCGAGCGACGGGACGACGCGACGACGGCGCGAGCGCGGTCGACGCGATCGACGACGACGAGGGCGCGGAAGCGGAAGCGGGACGGTCGAAGACGGTGGATTCGATCGAGTCGAGGAAGAGGGAGGTGCGGGAGGCGCTGGACGCGATGGCGGCGGCGCCGAGTCCGCACGCGCTCGCGCGAGAGTGCGGCGAAGTGGTGAGGGACGCGCGTAAGAATGAAACCAAGGCGCGAAGGGTGCGCGCGCTGGAGATTTTGTACGATTTGGTGGCGCCGATCGAGTTGGCGAACGATTTGGATAAGCTCGGGGTGGCGGAGGCGCTGATCGGGGCGCTGAGGGACGAGGACGAGGACGTGGCGAGCGCGGCGGCGAGCGCGCTCGCGGCGGCGGCGTCGAATAACGTCGTCGTGCAGGGGATCATTCACGAGAGACGAGGGTTCGATGCGCTTTTAGAGCTCGTGTCGTCGCCCGCGACGCCCGCGGAGGTGCGTCATAAGTCGTTGTGGGTGCTCGGGATGTGCGCGCGGACGCACGAGGCGTCGCGCGCCGACTTTTTCGCCGCGGGCGGCGCCGGCGTGTTGGCTGATATTTTGTCTCCGAAAACGCCGGTCAAGACGCGCACGCGCGCGATGGTCTTATTCGGCGACTTAGTTCTCATCGACGGCGTCGCGGACGCGATGTTTGCCGACGTAAAAGTCGCGAAATCCTTACTCGAGGACGTCGTCGCGAGCGCGCTCGACGCCGACGCCTCGCTCGACGCGCGCGAGAAAGCGATCGGCGCGCTTCTCGCCGCGCGCGAGCGCGGCCCTGAGATCGTGCGACATACGCTCGACGGATTCAAGCGCGATCTCTCGACGCTCGCCGACGCGTTCGACGCCGCGGCAAAGGCGGAGGACGACGACTCCGCCGCCGACATCAGTCGTCTCGCGCGCGCGTTGAGCGTCTCGCCAAGGGTTGAATTGTAGCGCGCGCGCGTTGAAATAGCATCCTCGTTCGTTGGTCATGTGGACTTCTTCATCATCACATTTCTACTAGTGTTAGATGGCGCCTCGCTCGCGTCGTCGATCTCGAAAGACCGCCTCCGCTCGCGCGCGCTCGCGCCTCGCCCCGCTCAGATGCGGTCGCGCGGCCCGACGACGGCCGGTTGCTGCGGGCCGACCGTGATCGGAAGCTTGGCGTCCTTCGCCCCCTTCACGCCGTACCCGACGGTCAACAAACCCGCGGAAACGGCCAAGAGCGAGTACACGGCCTCGCGTCGGCCCAAGCCTTGCGCCGCGTATTCGAAAAACGCCGCCTGTTGATCCGGGTATCGGCTCGACGCGTCGACGCCGTAGACGTCCCACGACCCCGTCGTCGCCTCGACGTCGGACAGATCGAAGTACACCGACTCATCGCCGTACTTCGCGTTCGTCTTCATCGCGCTGCATCGTTCGCAAACCACCGCGCGCGCCGTCAGTCCCTCGTCCCGCCGTCTCGCCCTCGCGCCCCGCTCGCTATCCGTCCCGATCGCGCCCCTCGCGCGCGTCTCCGCCCCTTTTCCGAACCCTCGTCGCCGCTCGCGCCGCGTCCCGCTCGCGTCGCGCGCGCGCGTCCTGGAGCGCGTCTCGCGCCCCTCGCACGCCCATCGTTCGCTCGCGTCGCGCGTCGTCGCGCGTCGCGTCGTCGTCCCGCGTCGCTCGAGATACGATCGCGATTCGCCCCTCGCGCGCCGCGCGTCGTTCGCGCGCGATCGCGCGTCGCGTCGCGTCACGCGCGGTCGATCGCGACGTCGCGGCACGCACCGTTCGCGTCGCGCGCGCGTCGAGCGCGGCGCGCGCACGGCGACGCCGGTGGCGAACGAGGTGGTCTTCGCGGTGGCGAACATGGCGCGTCGGGGTGTGGCGACCGGGGATTCGTTTCTCCGTATTCGACGTCCATCGAACGCCATCATAGGGACGTCGATCGCGGTTTATCGCGATCCACGTGGATTCGGCGCGATCGCGTGTGGAATCGGGGGGACGCGCGATGGTATTATACGTCATCGAGGGGTATATAATGCGTCGAAGTTTTACTATATAGAGGAGCGCGATCGGTCGGACGGTCGGTCGGACGCGGTCGGTCGGACGGCGCGCGCTACGCGTCGTCGTCGTCGTCGTCGTCGGCGGCGGGGCGTCGGCCGGCGTGCGCGGCGTTGATCTCGCGAGCCTCGCGGCGGAGGGACTTGACGACGCGGCGGTCGGCGCGGGCGGCGCGGGCGTCGGAGAGCGCGCGCGCGGAGGCGCGCGACGGACGCTGCCAGGCGCTGCTTCGGCGCGCGGGCGCGCGGGACGGGGCGTGGGAGTGGCCGTGGGCGTGGGCGTGGACGCGAGACGCGTCGGTGGACGCGGCGTGGGAGTGGCCGTGGGCGCGCTGGGCGCGTTTTTGGGCCTTGGCTTTGGCGGCGTCGGCGGAGGCGGCGGTTTCGGCGACGGCGAGGGCGCGGTCGGCCCAGGCGTAGGCGCTTTGCATCGCGGCCTGCGCGCCTTTGGTGGATTTGAGTTCGGTTTTGAACTCCTTTCGCGTCGACACCGGAACGAGGGCGCCGGCGTGATCTTTAGTCGCGCCGGGCGGCGCGACGACGAAGTCGTTCGCCGAACGAACGTCGACGAAGACGTCGGAAGAACGCGCGTCGACGTCGGCCGCGGACGCCGCGTTCGCCCTCGTCGCGGCTTTGTTAATTTCGTCGACGCGAAGCGCGTTCACGTCGTCCAGCATGCGGCGTCGCGCGCCTTCGAGATCTGTAATCATGCGCGTCGGGTACGTCGATCCCAACTCGACGCCCGCGGCGTCGAGCTGCTTCGCCGACGCTTCCCACGGGCGGTGTCGCAGGTGCCCTTTCGGCAGCGCCGCGAGCTCTGGAATCCATCGAGCGATGCTCTCGCCTTCGGGGTCGTGCGCTCGAGAGGATCCATCTGGGGTCAACGAACCCGCGAAGACGTCCCACTGATCGAGTCCGCTCTTTCCCGCGTTTTGCCACATCATGGAATTGATCGCCAAGTCCGCGTCCACGAGAGTGTCGAGGAACCAATCTGCGCCGTGCGTCCAATGAACGCCGCAGTAATCGACGAGAAACGTGGCCGCAATCATGCGTTCACTCTGATGCATCCATCCGGTGGCCCAAAGCCGGCGCATGCCCGCGTCCACGGTGGGGAAGCCCGTCGTTCCAGTTTGCCATCGATGAAGCGCAACGGCGGCTTCGTCGCCCTCCAACCAAGCCTTGCGATTCTCGTAGTGCCCACGCACGGACTTGGACGGTAACTCGGGCCAGTTGTGCAGTTGCCAGTACGCAAACTCTCGGCGATAGAGACGGTGCCAAAACACGCGAGAGAGCTTTTTGCCCTCCACCCCGTCGCTGCCCATCTTTTTCGTCGCCAATTCGTGGTAAATCTGCCGCGGCGATATCTGACCATGGCGTAAATACGGTGAAAGCGTGCTCACCGCGGCCGGAGCGACGATATCCGCTCTTCCGTGATCGTCCTCAAACTTCTCCAACCCCACCGAAGCGAAGTGCTCCCAAGTAGAGGCGGCGCCCGACTCCGACATCGTCCACTCCGCGCGAATCCCAGCCGCCCAGTCCAAGCGTTTATCTACGTCTGATACTATCCCTAATTCTTCTAACGACGCCGCGAATCCGTGCTCGGGGCCTAAATCCACCACTCGCGCGCTCGCCGGCGCCGCGCGCGGCGCCCCCACTTTCCCTCCGAGCTTCTCCGCGGCGTGCACGAACGGCATGAGCGTGCCGAAAAAGTACTTTTCCCTCCTCAGATCGATCTGAATCTTCTCTGGCTCAAACAACAAGTACCCCGGCAAGCGCACGATCTCGCACGCGTCCCGCACGCTCGCCGCCGTCTCTTCGTCGTCCGCGTCCGCCGTCGGTTCGTACCGCCTCGACGCGAACGCGCGCGTCGCTCCCACTCCCCCGCACGCCGCTCGCATCGCCTCCGCGTGCGTCCCGCGATAATACGACAGTCCTCCTCCACCGTACCGTCGTCGCAGTTCGCGATCGAGCGCGTCCAGCGCTTCGACCAACCACGCCCTTCGCGCGCCTCTCGTCGTCTCGCCGTCTCGCGTCTCGTCCCACGCGAACACGCACGCCGTCTCGCCGCCGCGCCGTCGCGCCGTCTCCACCGCGGCGAGCAGCGCGGCGTTATCGCTCACGCGCAGGTCGTGGTCTCGGAACCACGCGACGGCGCCGCGACGCGCGTCGTCGGCGTCGCGCTGACGATTTGTGTCGCCCTCGACGTCACGCGTCGCGCGCGGCGCGAACCGTCGTGCGGCGCGCGTCGCGGGCGAGGACGCGCGCGCGGCGATCGGCGTCGCCGAGCTCGCGCGCGCGCCGAGGCGCATCGCGCGCGCGACGCGACGCGACGCGACGAGCGACGACGAATGGCGACGACGAACGGCGTCTCGTCTGGATTCGATTAAATGTTGAGCGCGTGCGCGACGGATCCCGCGAGCTTCAAAACGACGAAAGGCGCGACGCCGCTGCACGCGCTGACGGTCTGCGGACACGAATCGGTGATCCAAAAGTTGGCGAACCCGGCGGACGGGTCGGTGAAACGACGCCAAGACTCGTTGGGAAAGACGCCGTGGGTGACGTAGGCGCTCACCGCGGAGGCGCCCTCGCGGCGAAGAACCTTGGCGCACTCGATGAGGGTGCCGCCGGATTGCACGAGATCGTCCACGATGACGATGTGCTTACCCGTGGGTTTGCCCTCCTTGATCGTGACGATGCGCTTGTCGCCCTCGCGAACCTTGGTGCAGACGACCTCGTCGTACTTGGCGAAAAAGTTGTGAAAGCGCTTGCACGCGCCCTCGTCGGGGTAGGCGATGACGACGTCCGCGGCGTCTTCTAAACTTGCTAATCGCTCCAACAAAAGCGGAATTCCCGATGCGAACAGCGGAGTGACGGAGTCACCGAAATAAAATCGCTCCTGAAGCGCGTGAATGTCGAACACGATCATATCCGTCGGCCCGCCTCGCGAGTGCGGAATCGAGCTCAACATTCTCGCCATCGTCACCGCGGTGGGGATTTCTCCTTCCTTATCCACCCGTTCGAACGTACCGGTGGGGAAAAACGGTAAGATCAATCTGAACGACGCGACGAACATCTTGGGAAGGGAGTATATCACGCTAAGCTGTTGGAAAATCACAGACGCGTTGTGAAACGACGCCAAAAACGCCACGTGCCGCCCGTGCAGCTGTTCCGCGTCGTTCACGAAAATGTTCGGGAAACCATCCGCGAACGTGCGCCACTGAATCTCACCCAACTCAATGTTTCCGTCGATCGCCGCGATCTCTCTCGCCATTTGTTCCATCTGTTCCATTCGTCCGGCGCGTCGTCGTCAGTCGCCGCGTTTGAATTCGACGTCGTCGCGCGTTCGCCCTCGCTCTCGCTTCGCTTCGCGCCGTCGCGCTCGCCGCGCTCGCGCTCGCACCTCGGTGCAATAAAACAACATCAGCGGCATGGACGACCGCGTCAGGCGCTGGCTCGTCGCTCGGCCGAGCGCGTTCGCGTCGGCGGACATTTCTTCGCGTTCGCGACGGCGCGTTCGCGACGGCGCGTTCGCGTCGCGGACGGGCGCGCGCCGCGAACCGCGCGCCGCGATCCGCGCGCGCGCTCTTTCGTCCGCGCGACGGCGCGAATTCCGGCGCACCGAGACGACGCGCGCGAGTGTGCGGCGCTCGGCGCGTCTCGACCGGGACGCCGCGCCGCGCCGCGCCGCTCGACTACCGACTACGACTACCATTACAACCCATGCGCGCGCCGCGTCGCGCTACATCGCGCGCCCGACGAACGTCGAGCGAGGATACGCCGCGTGCGCGCGCTCCCACATCACGCACACCCGATCGACGCACCTCAGATGATAAAAAATCTTCCCCGTCAGGCTGAGCGTTCGCGCGCGACACGCGCTCTCCACGAACACCGTCGCCGGCGTTCGCCACCCCAGCGCGCGTCGCGCCATCGCCGCCAGCACGATCGGCACGCACGTCCCCGGTCCGTTACAAATCACCACGTCCGGTTTCACGCGCGCGACGATCGCGATCGCCGCCGCGCACGCGCGCGCCGTCGTCGCCGCGCTCGTCGTCCATCGCTGGCCCACCTCTCGCGCGCGTCCGATCGTCAGCACGCGCGCCTCGCCGCGAGCGCCGCGTCGCGAGCGCTCGAACGTGAGCGCTCTGTCGGCGCTCCGCGCGTCCGTGCTCGCGACGACGTACGCCGCGACGTCCAGTCGGTCGAGCGTTCGCGCGTCGCGCAGGATGCGCAGCATCTCCGCCGTGTGTCCGCCGCTGCCGAGCACGACGAGCGCCCGCGCGCGCCGGCCGCGGAGCGCCGACTTGTCTAACGCGCGCGTCGCGGCGCGCGCGATCCACAGCGCGACGTTGGCGAGCGCGAGGAGCGCGAGGAGCGAACGCGGTGGCATGGCGAGGCGAACACTGCGGTCAAAACGCGACTCGCGCGCGCGCGGCGCGATGTCGCGGCGCGCGGCGACGGCGGTGACTCTCGCGGTGACGCTCGCGTCGCTGGTCCGCGCGCGCGCGCCGCGCACGGCGCGCCGCGGCGGCGACGAGGGCGACGCGCGGGCGGCGGGGGCGTGGACGGTCGGGGACGCCGCGCGCGCGACGCTGGCGTCCGCGTGCGTGTCGCTCGCGTCCCTGGTCGGGTGCGCGCTGATGGCGATCGGCGCGCGCGCGGACGCGCTCGCGTGGCTGAGCGACGCGGCGATCGGGGCGATGCTCGGGGACGCGCTCGGGTGTCAACTGCCGTCGGCGCTCGAGGCGGCGACGCGAGCGCGAGGACGCGACGGCGCGGGCGTCGCGGCGTGCGCGACGACGTGCGGCGTGCTGGCGTTTCATCAGTTGGAGGTGATCGTGCGCGCGGTGAAGGCGCGAAACGATGGGAAAGTGGGGACGACGCGGCGGCGTCGAACGCCGAGCGAAAGCCGAAGCCGAAGCCGAAGCCGAGGCGCGAGTGGTCGAGCGCGCGAGCGACGCGCGGCGGCGCGAGAGATCGCGGCGAGCGGATGGCTCAATCTGTTCGCCGATGCCGCGCACAACTTCACCGACGGCGTCGTGATCGCGATCGCGTTCGCCCGGCGCGGCGCGACGCGCGGCTACGCCGCGGCGTGGACGACGCTCGCGCACGAGCTTCCGCAAGAGCTCGGCGACTACGGCATCTTACGACGCTCGGGATTCACCGACGTCGAGGCGTTATGGTTCAACTTTCTCTCCGCCCTCGTCGCCGTCGGCGCGACCGCGCTCACGTTCCTCGTCCTGGCCGCGCTCGACGCCGCGAGCGCCTCCGCGTCGTCCTTCGCCCGACGTCTCGCCCTCGACGTTCCCTACCTCGTCGAGGCCTTCTGCGCCGGCGGGTTTCTCACCGTCGCCTTCACCGCCCTTCGCGAGGACGATTCGGGATCCGCGTTCGCGCGCGTTCGCGTGTTCGTCGCCGCCGTCCTCGTCGCGCGTCGCGGCGCCCACTGATGCATAAGTAACCCGAGCCCGACTGCGCGCGCCCCCCCTCGTGTCCGCCCCCCCTGCGATTTCCAATATTTCATATTCAACGACCCAAATGACCCAATTAACAAAAAACATGACACACACACACACACACGACGGTTCAGGACTCGTCGCGATTCAGGCGCCGTCGAGGGGCGCCGGCCGGTCTCCGCGCGCGGTCGTCGCGCCGACGCATCTCGCGACGCGATCGCGCGCGCGACGCGAGGACGACGACGCGCGGGAGGCGCGCGAAGCGACCGCCGCGGACGCGCGACGACGCGCGGCGCGATCGACGACGGAGACGCGCGATCGGGCGCGACGCGGCGCGGCGCGGCGACGGGACGAGGTTCGAATTAATTCCGCGGCGTCATCTCGAGACGCGCGCGGCGAATCGAGGAAGCGCGCGGGGACGCGAGGCGGGCGGTTCGAGGCGCGAGAGGAGATGTCGCAGGCGGGGACGTCGACGAAGGCGGGACGAGGCGCGGATGGGCGCGAGAGGTTCGTCGTCATTCGCGCGATGGGGCTGAGCGTGGACGGGAAGGTGGAGGCGGTGGTGGAGAGCGAGGCGTTTCCGACGCTCGAGGCGGCGATCGGGCACAGCGAGTACTTGGCGCAGACGGTGAGAGCGCGCGGGGGGGTTCGGGGGAACGTGGGACGAAACGGGGGGAAGAAAGGGATGAAGGCGTCGCGAACGACGATTTGCGAGTTGCCGGTGGACACGCAGGTGTGGCACGTGACGCCGACGAATATTCCCGGGCCGGCGTATCGAAACGAGGGGCAGCTCATGGTGATGCTGCTGTCGAGTCTGTGCGGACGCGTGGTGTCGAAATCGCGCAATGGGGTGTTGGATGAGTCGGAGTTCGCGTACAACAACGGCCACGGCGTGCGGTCGGCTCGCAACGGGGGCGACGCGGAGGCGCCACAAATTGCGGACGGCATTCCTTACGTCAAAGCAAAGATTTTCGGCCAGAAAACGGCTGACCCATTCATGTTGCGCCCTAACATCTCCAAGGCTGCGTTCAGAACGCTCCTCCTGCGCGCGGTGGGTAAGTACCTGGCCGACGATCGCGAGCCGTACCCGGTGCTGGCGAAATCAGACGTGCAGCTTCAAGTCGCGCAAGTGGCTCACGGAGTCCAATACCACGTTCTCGCGATTCGTGCGCTTGGACATTCCGCCGCGGACTTTTCGATGTCCATCGATGATCAAGGTCGAACCTTTGTGCGCGCCGATCCGGCGCAACCGCCAAACTCGAACCCGAAGTTGGGGCGGCCGTTCGAGCTGTTGTGTCAGTTCCCTTCCCTCGTGCACTTGCAAACGTGCCGCTGCATTTATCAAGACGACGTACTGTACATCATTGTGTATCCTCGTAACGCCAAGTCGCGATCACTTCGTTTGTCTTCAGCAGAAATTAGAAACACGTCTTTGCCGGAAAGCATTCGAAACACCGCGACGGGCGCCGGCGTGGAAAAGGCCAACGGACCTTCGTTTCCGCGCGAAGTAGGGATCGAGGATGGAACAAATAGCGCTAGACCGGGCGATGAGATTGCCTTGGCTACCCTTGGTGGCGCTTTTGGGAAGAACGAAGATGACTCTGACTCCGACAACACGGATGACTTCTCGAACGACGAGGCAGAGGAGCCACGTGCCAAGACTGCGGCGCCCGAGGTTGATGAGAAGACGATAGATTTACCAGACGAGGATGTCGACAGCGAGGTGGAAGAGCCGATGCCCGAATAGGATGATTTTACGTGATGGACTATTAATAATGCACTCAATGTGAATACACGCTGCGCTACGCTCTAATGTGATGGAATAATGATGCGTTAAATGTCAGTACACGCTGCGCTACCCTCTGTCCGCGTTCAAATCCCCGTCGTTCTCTATCGGTGCCACCTCGTTTTCGTCCGTCTGTAAAGCCTCGAGCACGGCCCTTCGTTCCATCTCTACGTCGTGATCGATGGTAAATGTAATGCAGGCCAAAATAACGCCACACACAAACCAAAAGGTAAACGCCACGTTGAACGCCACTCGTCTGCCCATGCTCACGATGAGCAAGGCGACCAGCGCGGGTCCACCGCCTTTACCGACGTCGTCAATTTGTGAGTAAAATGCAAACATACTTCCACGAGTTTCCGGCGGGTTGACATTCAACAAAATTGCGCGCACATTGGGCGGTGTCACCGAGCAGAAAACGCCGCCGACGAGGCACGACAGGTACAAACCGACCCTCCCCGGACCGTAGTCGTTGACGTTGAGATAGTAATACGCTGGAAGTGCTCCAATAGCGGTCGTCAGTCCCATTAAAATCGGAAGTTCGCTCTTCTTCTTATTGTACATCCTCTGACCGATGAATCCTCCCCCAATGGTGCCGAAGGCGGAGCCCAAGCCGAAGACGGTGATGGCCGCCGTGGCGTTTTGCACCGTCATACCCTTTTGCTTATGTAAAAAGTCGACAAAGTACGAATTGAACACCCCCCACGGCACCGTGCCCGGCAAGCCTTGCGCAAGCACGAGGATGTTGGTCTTCACAAGCAATTGCTTCTTGACCTTGCTCCAATTCATCTTGGCTTTATACGAAACATCTCCCGCTTCGTCGCCGCTTTCGAGCTCGTCCTCCGTCTGCGCCGTCGTTTGTTCGTCGGAATCATCCCGCTCAGCGACATTTTTCGTTGAATTCCTTCGCATCGTCATTCGATGAACTTCTTCCTCCTGAGCGCCACGCTTGGGCTCGTCGACGACGAGAACCATCACCGTTGCGAGCACGACCGCGGGCGCGGATGTGAGGATGAACGGTAGTCGCCACCCGTACGCCGGCCCTACCGTACCCGCCACCACTTGTCCGAGCGCCACTCCCGCTCCCGTCGCGATCGTCAAAAAACTCGCCACGTAACTCCGCTCATGACTCGCAAACAAATCTCCGCACAACGAGAACAACAGCGGTAAGCATCCGCCCACCGCGATGCCCGTCATCGCGCGAAGCGCAAACAACTGCCAATAACTCGTCACCCAATACGTCGCCATGCACGGCCCTTCACCGATCAGTGTCGTCCAAAAGAACAAACGCACTCGACGCACTCGATCGGCGTAGTACCCGATGATCAGCGACGCCGGCGAGCCGACGACGAAAAACGCCAGCTGGAGCAACCCGCCCAGCTTGACATCCTTCTCTTTTTCATCCATCCCGAACTCCTCCGCTATGGCGCTCATGTTCGGCCCGATGAGGTTTTGATCGGCGTACAGGAACAGAGAAGTGGCCGTGATCAACCCGACGACGCCGTAGCGCTTCCATCGCTCGCGTCGCGCAAGTCTACGCCGTTGAAAACTCACGGAAGATGATGTCCCCGCCGCTGGGATAGCTTCGCCTTCGCGAGGCGCTCGGGACGCGTCGGAGGACTCAGAGGGCATGAAACTTCGCGCGCGCGTTAAAAGCGATACGATGCACGAACCGCGGCGCGCGCACCGTCGCGCGCGGGCGCGCGCCGATGTACGGCTCGCGCGCGGGCTGGGACGCTCAACAACTCTTTCGGGACGAGCGCGCGCGCGGCGAAATACACAACACATCATATTTATTGCACTAAGTTTCATCGAGCGCTCGCGACCAGTCGCGCGGAATCATTATTGACGACCTCCTGAGCGCTGCAAAGCGGCGAGTTTCGCTTTAGTCGCCACGAGTTCGCGGCGGAGCGCGGCGTTTTCCTCTTCGAGCGCTCGCATCGCGCTCTCGCGCTTTTCGCGACTTCTCGCCGCGCTCTCGCGGTTACGGAACAGCCGCTCTTGCATGCGGAGCGCTTTCTCGGCTTCGGTCTCTTTCGGGGCGCCTTTCGGCTTCCGTCCCATCTTGAGCGGGGCGATGGCTTGTCGAAACGCCGGAGGCGTGGCGATGCCGCTGCGCTTCTTCAACCGCTTGGGTTCGTAGGACACGCCCGGAACGGTGGGAACTATCATCATCGACACCCGGGACGGCGCACTCCCCGTCGTTTTCGTCGTCGTCGTTTTCTTCACCGCGGTCGCCCTCCCGTTCGTCGCCCTCTTCGCCTTCGCCTTCGCCGTCTTCCCCGCCGTCACCGTCGCCGTCGTCGTCGCCGCTTCATCCCCCCCGGCGTCCGCCAGCGCCAGCGCCGTCGTCAACTGCATGAAATTCATCGTCGGCAGGCTCGGCAGGCTCGGCAGGCTCGGCTCGCGTCCCCGCGCCGTCCCGCTCGCGCCGCTCGAATTAATCTTCGCCCACACGTCTCCCATGCTCTGCCGTCCCGCCTCGTCCGGCAATCGATCGAATATTTTCGCGTCGATCGTCGACGCCTGTCGCGCCACCGCCGTCGCCACCTCGCGCATCGTCGCCGTCGCCGCGTCCGCGCCTCGTCCGAGCGCGTCCAGCGTCAGCCCGAGCGCGGGGTCGTCCGCGTGCGCGCTCAGCGTCGGGACGAGCTCGCGCGCCCATTTACGCAGCGAATCATCGCGCATCACCGCGTCGTCACCGTCGTCCGTCGTCGCGTCGCGTCGCGTCGCCGCGCGCGGCATCGCGTCGCGTCGTGCCGCGTCGCCGCGCCGATCGACCGGTCGCGCGCGTCGATATCGCCACGTGGCGATATCTGGATATTCGACGAGTCCCGACCCGTCGATCGAGCCCAGATCCGATCGCGCGGGTGCCGACCGACGCCGCCGCGCGCGACGGCGACGGTTCGCGCGCGACGGTATTTTTGGACGGCGCGCGACGGCGCGCGACGGCGCGCGCGCGCAGAGCGCGGCGCGCGACGCGCGGGCGAACGCGCGCGACGGTGCCGGCGACGCGCGCGGCGACGCGCGGTCGGCGCGCGACGGCGCGCGCGAGGAAACGGACGCGCGAGGACGCGACGGTTCGTCTCGCGCGCGGACGCGATGGGAGGCGCGCGCGACGACGACGTCGCGACGCACGCGGAGCGGGCGCGACGGGAGGCGCGAGCGATCGAACGGCGAGCGACGCGGTTGGAGCGACGCGCGGAGGCGCTGCGGGCGCGGCGAAAGGCGCTCGGGACGGAGGCGCGGGAGGAGGACGTGGCGGCGGCGCGGTGCGCGGCGGAGGCGGAGCGCGAGGAGGCGAGGATTCGAGCGCGCGGGCGCGGTGAGACGGTGGAATCGCTGCGGGAGAAGCGAGACGCGGTGATGAGGACGCTAGAGGAGGCGAGACGGCACGAGGCCGAGCGGTTGGCGCCGATGGTGGTGAGCGCGCGGGAGGAGTGCGAGATGTTGCGCGAGGAAATCGAGGGATGCGGGAAGCGCGCCGAGGCGCTGACGGGGAGCAGAGACGAGCGCGAACGACGCGCGTGCGAGGTCGAACGCGCGTGCGCGAGCGTGCGAGAGGCACTGAAAATCGAGCGAGAGAGATTAAAGTGTGAGAAAGCGGTGTTGGGGAAAATACGAGCTGAAAAAGACGCACTGTTTGAGACGTTGACGCGCGCTCGAGCCGACGCGGCGACGCTCGAAACCCGCGCGGAGACGCTTCGATGCGCAGAAACCGATGCAGAGACGTCGGTGCGACGCAACGAGCAAGAATTGAGCGAACACGTGAGTAAGAACGCGAAGTTTGACGAGCAGCTGTCGACCGCGGAGAGAGGTTTAAACGATCTCAAGGCGCTCTTGGAGCGGGAATCGTTGGCGCGAGACGAAATCGCCGCCGAGGGCGTGCGCCGCGAGCTCGATCGACGCGCGTGTCAGAAGTCTTTGACTCGAGCCAAGCAGACGTCGCTTCGTGAGACGCGTGCAAACGCACATCTTACGTATCTCGTGAACGAAATGTTGACGAACGCACGCTCGATTGCCGACATTGTCGAGGACGTCGAAGGGACAAAGGCTGCGCTCGAACGTGAGCTCGCCACGGCGGTTCGCGACACCAAGCGTACCATAGAAGAGCAAAACGCGCTCAGACTCGACGTGAACGAGCGTAGGGAAGAGTGCAAGGTAGAAATCACCAAAGGAGATTTGCTTGCGCACACCGTGACAGTCACCGTGCGCCAAGAAATAGCAGATTTAGAAGATGAGGTAAAATGTCTTCGTCGCGAGGAGGCGGCGAGAAATCGAATACAAAAGTACGTCGCCGACAGGGTCTCGCGCGCGATGAAGCGTCACCAAGGCGTGCAGCAAAACATAGCACAACTAAAATCGCTATTGCGTATCCGCGATGCGGAGATGATGGATGTGAAGTCAAATATCGACGACGCGCGAGAGCGCCGCTCGCACTTTGAACGCCTGCGAGAATTGACGACGACGCAACGCGACGCGTTCGCGACGATCGTGAGAAAATCTGGCGTCATCGCCGGAGCTACTCGAGAAAAGAATGAATGTTTACATTTGAAAACGTTCGAGCTCGAGCGTCAAGCGCAAGAGAAAGATTGGGAAGTTTCCGCGGCGCGCGGAGAGACAGATGCGAAGAAGCGCGAGAGGGATGCGCGCCGAAATCAAAACGACGCCGTCTCGCACGTCATCTTGCGCGCCAGAGCGGACATGGAGGTGAGTGAAACCGAACTCGGAAAACTACAAAACGAGCTCAAGGCCGGGAAGTGCGATCAAGAGCTTTTATTCGAGCAATCAAAGGCGCTTGTGAAATCACGTCAGGCAGTCGCCATGGAGTTGCTCGACCGAAACGACGAGTTGTGTCAACTGTGCGATCGTATCGCCACGTCCGAAGACGTCAGCCGGCAGTGCGAAGAAGAGCTCGCGCTGCGTGTACATGAATATGAAACACTACGCCGTCAAGTACACGACCTAGAGCGTTCCCTGATCGTCGCGCGGCGAAACGTCGCCGCCATACCGCGCTACCAAGCCGAGATTTCGAGCAAGCGCTCGACGCTATACGAGATGCGCGTCTCGGCGGAGAATCTGAGTCAGCGATTGGAAGATCCGAACGAGCACACGCGGTGGCGATTAATTCATGGTCCGAAGGGTGAGCAAGAAAACGACGTTGACGTGGACGTTTTCAACGATAAGCTTGCGAGCGTGGGATCGAGAATTCAAGATCAAGAGCGCGAGCTCGCGAGGCGTCGACTGAGATGTCAAGACATCGATCGAGAGATTGAACGTTTGCGAGCGGTCATCGCCGAAAATGCAGACGAAGCGATCGAAACTGCGTCGTCGCTCAATCGAGCGAAATCCAAGCTCTCGGCCGTCGAGCGAGCGCTCCTCGCCGCGGTGTCCGAACTCACCATGTATCGAGCGCTCACCGCCGCGCTCGCCGACGCAAAATCGCGAAACATCGCCGAGATCGATGCCTTACGCTTGAGTTTAGAGACGTAAACGAAACGATCTTGATGACGTGAGCGATTACGACGACGACCACGACGACGCGCGCTTGGACGAACGCATTCAAGCTAAAAGAAAAGAATTACAACCGCTGGGTCTTCGCGCGGTGCTCACCCTAACTCGCTAGTATTCCCAGTAGCACCAACACGCCCGCGATCGCGCTGTACTTGAGCGTCGTAAAAATCAACGCCCACGTCACGCTTATCAGCTTCACCCCAACGACCGCGAACCACACACCGAGCAATCCAAACAAAACCCCCACCGCCGCGCCCTCGGGCGTGAGCTTGTCCCCGCCCGGCAGCTCGCTCGTCGGCATGCTGAACACGTTGGTATCCGCCTTGTATCGCTGTTGGTACTTGAACTGATCCAAAAACCACGCCGCTTCGGACATTTGCACGTCTTTCTTGCTCTTCTTCGCGCGCGCGACGACGGCGTGGCGATTTCGCTCGGACGAGGGCCGTTGAGGTTGGCGTTGGGGTTCGCACGCACCGCGAGTTCGGGACGCGGACGCGCACGCCGGCGCGCGCACGGTGCGCAACGACATCTGATTGATGTCTCGGCGCGGTCGCGCGAGGCTGCGTCACGAGTTCGAGCGAGGCGCGCACTGCGGCGAAGGCTGGGTCGCCCAGCGAGCGAGCGTCGAGAGTAACTCGAGAGTCACGAAAGCAATGAATCAATCAAAATCAGCTATGTTTCCGTGGTGACGTACGTGTACACGTCTCCCGATCGCCCGAATCCTAGGGGTAGTTTTTTACCCACGATGCCCGCGTAATCGCCGACGCTCCATCGGACGCACCGCTCGTGGAGCGCGTGCGCGTGCGAACCCGGCTCGATGTTTGGATTATTCAAGAACTCGTCCACGCTCGCCCACTTCGCGCGCTCGATCTCTGTTTCCTGAATCTTAATCTCCCTCGACGCTCCATCCTTGACGCGCAGGCCGACGCAAAAGAATAAATCAGATTTGCCAAACAACCCAAAGTGGCCGTGTCGACACCCCACGACGGCGTCGAACGTCGTCTCGATCCCAGTCTCCTCCAACACTTCCCGCACCGCCGCGTCGGGAATGTCCTCCCCAGCCTCCAACAACCCCGTCGGCATCTTCCACAGATCTCTCCCGCTCGCCGGACCTCGTCGTTCCTGCACGAGGAGCACCTTTTCGTTTTCGCCGTCGTACACAAACGCCCCGACGCCAACCTGATGCGACGCATTATTCGGTATCGTCGACGCCTCATCGCTCGGCAACCACGTCGTCATCATCACATACGTTCTTTCGGCGTGATGAAACTCAAATCCGCGCTCCTTCGCCACCGGAACCAACCGCGCGTCGTCGAGCGCGAGCTTCAGCCACACCCCTCGCGCGCCGCTCGCGCGCCACGTCGCCAACCACCCTCCCAGCGTCGCGTCGAACGCCTCCGGCGTGCGCGCCGCCCTCACGAACGCATCGTGCGCGTTATCGACGATGATCCCACCGTATCGATCGATCGTCCACGGCGCGTTCGTCGCCGTCGCCATCGACGTCCCCGCGGTCGCCGTCGTCGTCGTCGTCGCGTCGCGTCGTCGCGTCGCCTCGCGCGTCGCGCCGTGGCGCGTCGTTTTTCGCACCGTCGCTCGAGCGCGTCGTCGCGCGCACGCGACGAGCGTCCTCGCGAGCGTCGACATGCGCGGCGCCGCGCGACCGCGCGCCGCGCGCGCGTCCGCGCGCCCACACACGCGGGTGTCGCCCCGCCACATCCCGGCACCCATATACATACCATCAAACACACCCAAAGTACGCATACAAACCACATACGAAATACCACGCGAAATCCATCATTAAAATCAGGCACCCCCCGCCGCGCCCCATCGCGCGACAGGCGCGTCGATTTCGAAATCCCGCGTCGCCCGCGCGCCACTCCGCGACGCCGCGCGCGCCCGAGCGCACGCGCGATGCCGCCCGCGCTGACGCCGAACGCGATATCCAATATTCTCGAACAGACCCACGGATCGCAGGACTTCAAACCCATCGTCCAAGTGTTCGATCTGAAGGAATTGAAAACCAAACCCGACGCCGACGACGCCGCGAAGCGATTCCGCGTCCTCGCGTCCGACGGTGGATTCGCGGCGCAGGGATTGTTCGGGGCGGAGTTGAACGCGATGTGCGAGCGAGGGGAAATTACGAAATTCACGGTGCTGCGGTTGAGAGAGTACATCGTGAACGATCTGAACGGGAGACGGTGCGTGCGCGAGATGGGTTGGGATGGGCGGCGCGGCGCGGCGCGGCGCGGCGCGAGGGGCGAGACGAGACGCGCGAGGATGGAGACGCGCGATCGAGGGATCGCGATGATCTTGGATGGAAGCGAGGAAGGCGGCGCGATGCGCGAGGGGGGTGACTGACGATCGTGCGAACGGACGAATGGTTTGAACGTAGGATTTTGATCGTCATGGACGCCGAGGTGATGGATCGGTACGACGCCGTCATCGGACAGCCGCGGGTGTGGCAGCCGGGGACTGGGACGAACGCGTCGACGGGGATGAACGCGGGGGGGATGCAACAGCAAAGAAACGCGTACGGAGGAGCGCCGGCGGCGCAGGTGGAAGGCTACGGGTCGGGTGGAGGGAACGGCGCGAATCTGGCGACGGAACCGCCGCGCGCGAGCGGTGGCGGGTACGGTGGCGGCGCGCCGGCGGCGCAGGGGCAGTATCGTCGAGATGGTGGCGCGGTGGCGCGCAATGAGCAGCCGAGGTCCATCACGCCGATCCATGCGTTGAACCCGTACCAGAACCGTTGGACTATTCGCGCGCGAATCACGACTCCGTTGGAGTTGCGCTCGTATTCGAATGCGAAAGGCGAAGGTAAGGTGCTCGGCTTTCAAGTGCTCGATGCCGACGGAACGGAGATCAAGTGCGTGTGCTTTAACGACACCGCCGTGCGCCTCGCGGGGGAGTTACGTCAAGGCTTGGTGTACGAAATTTCCAAGGGAGCAATCGTCACGCCGCGCGACCCGCGGTACGCGATTTATCAGTACGAAATTAAGTTGGATAACCACGCGACGTTCGTGCCGTGTCCAGACGCCGAACGCGACATCAAGAAGATGGTATACAAGTTCAAGAAGCTTTCTGAACTCGACGCGCTCAACGCCGGAGATATGGTGGATGTCATTGGCATCGCATACTCTGTGGGTGATTTGACGACGATCATGAAGCGCGACGGTTCCGAAACTTCGAAGCGTTCTGTGATGATTCGCGACGACTCGGACACATCCATCGAGTTCACGCTTTGGGATCCGCACTCAGTCGAGATTGGCGGGCAAATCGAAAGCTTGATCGCTAGCGGCGAAAAACCCGTCATCGCGGTGAAGAGCTCTCGATTGGGCGAGTTCCAAGGCAAGAACATGGGCACCGTGAGCAGCACGATGGTAGAAATAAATCCCGACAGTTCCGAGGCGACGCGCATGCGCGTTTGGTTTGATCAAGGCGGCGCCGATAAAACTTTCAACTCCTTGAGCGGTTCTGGCGGTGGCGGCGGCAAAGGCAGTGGTGAATTGCTCTCGTTCTCGACTGTGAAAGAGATCGGTGAAGAACTCGTGGCTAAAAATGAGGGCGTGGCGTACCTGAGTTGCTGCGGTATCATAAAGCACATCAAACTCGGCGCGGAAGGTAACTTCTATCCCGCGTGTCCGTTGCTTAATGGTGAACGCACGTGCCAAAAGAAGCTGCGTAAAGATGACTCGACTGGTGAATGGAAGTGCGAACGTCACGCCGGTGAAAAAATCGAAGCCGCGGATTGGCGTTACATGTTTAGCATGGTTTGCATGGATCACAGCGATGAGTATTGGGTGAGCGTTTTCGGTGACAAGGGTGACAAGATTTTCGGGATAAGCGCCGCTGAAATGAAGGAAATCTACGACCGTGAACCGGAGCGATACGAAAACATGATCAGTGACGCACTGTTCAACGATTACTCTCTACGCGTTAAGGTCGCCGTTGACAACTACACCGACGTACCCCGCGCCAAGGGCAGCTTGGTTGAAATCGAGCGCGTCAACTACGTAGACATGAGCAAGAAGTTGATCGGCAAGATTGCAAAGCTTCACGCTGGCGAAGAACCCGAAGTGTACGTGCCGCCTACGAAGAAGCGTGCTTCCGATGTCGGTTACGGGCAGGAGAACAAGATGCCGGCGTTCAACGGCGGTTGGAACCAAGCGGGTGGGCAAGCCAACGGTGGTGGCGCGAGTGCCGCGAACGCCGCGAACGCAACTTGCTACAAGTGCGGTCAGACCGGTCATTTTGCGGCAGCCTGCCCGAGCGGTGGCGGCGGCGGCGGCGGTGCGTCGTACAACCAATTCAATGGCAACGGCGGCGGTGGCGGCTTCAACAACAACGCTCCGAAGAAGGGCGCTTGCCACAAGTGCGGCGGAGAGGGACACTGGGCGCGCGACTGTCCGAACGCGGCCTACATGGGCAACGGCAACGGCGGTAATCAACCGGTGCACAACGGCAACGGCTACGGTGGTGGCGGCTACGGTGGCGGCGGCGGCGGCTACGGTGGCGGCGGCGGCGGCTACGGCGGCGGCGGCGGCGGCTACGGCGGCGGCGGCGGCGGTTACGGCGGTGGTGGCTACGGCGGCGGTGGTTTTTAAAATCAGATCACGAACAAACGCACGAACGCACGAATAGATGACACGCGCATGTAACATGAACGAACGAATACAACAAATTACAAACACTATTCGTCGACGAGCGGAAGCGCGTCTCTCGAACGGATGGCTGGAAGCATAGCCGGAATCAAGTTCAGGTAATCTTCCAACAGTCCTGTCGTGGTGATGAACTGCCACGTGAAGAAGGCCATGACGAGTGATACGAAAAGCGTGGCGACGAAAGCGCGCTCGCGGAAACCCGAACGCCGGATCATAGCGATCGTCGTTGCCATGACGGGATGAATCGTCATTCTGAAGTAGAACATCGGATAGAAAACGACGAGCGCGACGGAGTACACGGCCAAGTGTCTCAAGTACTGACGACGCTGTGACCCAGACATTTGCTGCCACGTAAGACCTCGCCACGAGCCCGCTAAAGCTCGTCGCGGCGGTCTTGGAACGAAAGGTTCATGCTTGCACTTGACGCAGTGACACTTACCACCCACGATGCAACGAGGCAAGATGTGGGGCGAAAACTTTTCATGCAGCTTTTCGATGCCATCGTCGTCCGCTTGGTAAATCAAAATGCGTCCCTTTGTGCTACTACTCACGACCTCGAGTAATATTTGCAACGCACGTCTCATGAGCCACCACACATTGATGCAATGCACCTCGCACGCCAGCTCCGGGTAGTTGGCGTCGAGCGTCACGAGAGTCGTGGCGACGAGGGAAATCGGAAGCGAAGTCAAATCGATACCCGAGCAATCGACGAGCGCCACCAAACGACCTCGCATGACACCATTTGACTTCTTCAACCGCATCCACTCCTGCTCGGCGTGCGTCATCACCGCGGCAACGACTTCGTCCAAGCCTTCCATGCCCACTGCGTCCATGGCGGCTCGAAGTCTCAGCACGAGTTGATAACCGCCGCTCCAGCTTTGCTTCGGACCGTGAATGTATACCACGTTCTCAAACTGCTTCAGCTTGGCGTCGGTCAAGAACTCATACCTTCTGCGCCATTGCAACGATCGTTCCACGGCTTGCGCCGCGGCGGACGTGTGCTTCCACTGTAACAAGAAAGCCGCGAGTTGGGTGTCGGTGAACTTGGCTCTCGCGGTCGGCGAGAGTTTATTTTTCAAAGCGTGAATCTCGTATTCGCGGGGAATTAACAGTGCGTTCCCGTATCCAGTATCTGTCGCCACCACACCAGTGTACACGGCGGCTGGCAGTCGTTGTAATCTATTCATTCCGCCCTTGACCCAACCGACGGGGCGCAGCAGCGCGTGCCTTTGCCTATGGCTTTCGGCGTACTCTCTCGATTGATTGATGCTCTCGTCGTCGCTCTCTTCATCGCTACCTATGTCTTCGTCACTGGCGTACTCTCCGTTCGTCCCCGTTCCCGATCCACGTCGACGCCTTCGTCTGTTCCTAGCCCCCGTGAATCGCGCGATGGTGCTCAGCTGTCCCTCCGCGTGCCGCATCGCGTACAGCACGTCCCTCGGCAACGTCTCCTCCAAAACCTCCCACGCCTCGTTCACCGCCGCCCTATACGAACTCACCTCATTCTTCACCTTATTCTTCGCCAACAACTTCCCCAACCGCTTCGCGTGTCGCTGCAGCTTTATCCGCACCGCCGGAATCTTGCACACGCGCGCCGCCATTTTCGCAAACTTCCGCACGAAACATTTATACGGCGCCGACGCCGCGACGAGCAGCGCCACGCGTCCCGTGATCGTCGGCAGCGGCTTACTCGACGCCAGCCCCTTCGTCATCGTCGCCAACGCCTTGACGACGAGCGTTTCGATCCTTCGTCTTCGCGTCCCGACCGCGTTCGCCTTTAAAAATCCCAACGTTCGTCGTCCGCGGTGGTTGACGCGATACATCTCTCCCGCGCACACGCACGCCGCGACCAGCGGGCCGCGTCGTCGTCGGGCTTTGCGCAGCCAGACGACTCGCGCGGCGTAGCTCGCGAACTGCGCCGTGGGCGTCGTCGCGCGGTACAATTCGCGCGCGACCGCCGCCGTGGACGCCGTCGCGAGCGCGACGGCACCGCGACCGAGCGGGCGCGTCGTCGCGCGCGCGACGACGCGAACGGCGACCTCAGCGGTAGCACCATCGTCCGCGCGCGTCGACGACGCGCCGGACGACGGCGTCATGACGCGCGTCGACGACTGACGCGGCGCGCGCCGAACGCGCCGCGCGGCGACGCCGCGAGCGACGAACGACGCGCCGCGAGATCACGCGAAACGACGCCGCGATAACGCTACGACGAATACATCGAATAAATAGACGCGCCTACGAATCTACGAATCGCGATCGCCGCTCGAATCGCGATCGCCCGCCTCGAGCGCGCCCGTCAACATCGCGCGCCGAAGCGTCAAGTTATCCTCGCGCGTCCGGTCGATCGCCTCAGCCTTCATCCAATCGTAATCGAATCCCTCGGCATCGCACGCCAGCACTTTTCTCGTCTCGATGATTCGCACGGCGACGAGTCGGTAATCCAGCTCTTCGTGCGCCATGAGTTCCGCCAACCACGCGCTCGCGTCGGCGCGCAGCGGCTTGGCGTGCAGGTAATCGATCCAGTTTCGGCGCCATCGGCGAGCGGTGTCGCGTCCCTGACATCTGGTCCAGGACGACGCGGACGGCGGACATGGTGAGGAGGTCGGCGAGCGCCTTGGCGGCCTTTCGCGGCGGCGTGAGACCGTCGAAGTCGACGGTGGCGAAGAAGTCCGCGCCGAGGGCGTCGTCGTCGTCGGCGGCGGCGCGCGCGCGAGGCGAGGCGCGCGCGCGCGCGCGAGCGCGCGCGACGCGACCGGACGTGGACGCAGCGGCGGCGCTCGCGGCGGCGCTCGCGCGCATGACGGCGCGGCGCGCGCGGGTGTGAGGAGGACGCGCGGTCGACGCGCGCGAGCGGGACGCGAGGGGCGTCGGTTGACGTCGGTTCAGCGCGAAAGGTGCGTCGATTCAACAGACGAGCGGGCTGGCCGGAGCGGCGGGACGGAGCAAAAGGAGCGTCGCGCACAGAGCGACGAGACCGAGCTCGGTGGACGTCAACAGGGACGGGATGTGGGCGGCGCCGGCGTCGACGACGGCGGAGACGACGTTCGCGAGCGAGGCGCCGGACGCGAGGAGAGCGCGGCTGTCGGCGCCGACGATGGCGTAGAAGACGACCCAGGGCGCCATACCGAATGCGGTTCCGGCGACGATGGCGCGGATGGGGACTTGAGTGAGACCCAGGAGGTAGTTGGTGACCGTGAACGGGGCGTGCGGGAGGAGACGCATCAACGAAACTTTGGAGGCTTGCACGAGGGCGTCGCCGTCGCCGCTCACGGCGCGGTTCACCTTTTTCAACTGCGCCGCGATCGATCGACGCGCGGGCGCACCGATGCCCGTTTGCTGCGCCAAGTCATCGCTGATTTGCCTATACCCTCGAGCGCGGCTCGCGCTCGCGGAGATGGCGGCGGCGCACACGGCGGCGCATAAACCGAGCGCCGCGCCGTACGCGGGACCAAAAAATAAGCCAGCCATGATGAACAAAGGCTGCGTAGGAACGAATGGAATTATCGCCGCGAGCGTGGTGATCGCGGTGAGGCACAATGGCGCGAGCACGGGACCAGCTTTACTGATCGCGGACTCGGCGACGTTGAGCCAGCTCGTCGCTCCGAACGCGGCCTTGACTTTGGTCGCCGTGGCGATCGGACCGGCTTGTCTCGCGTAAACCAGCGCGCTCACGGCGGCGGCGAAGATGGCGACTTGCAAAATGTGTTGACCACTGATCAAAAAGTCAAACACAGCCACCGCGCGTCGGCGAATACCGATGGCTTTGATCGCCTTGCGCAAGTTTCGCAACTTGAAAAATCGCTCCAACCCTTTCGAGTACTGGTTCTCTCGGAGATTTCTATTGGACGACATCCATCCCCACTTTTCGACGTCTGCGCGACTTGCCGCACCCATGCGTTGGCGTTCGCTGTCGTTCTCGAGCAACATCTTGACGTGCTCGGCGGCTTTGTCGTAGTCGTACTCGGGGTAGAGCAAGCCGACGTCGCCCGGATTGGTGAGGATATCGAGTAAGCCACCGGCGGCGACGGCAACGACGGGTACGCCCGAAGCCATGGACTCCATGACGACAAAACCGAGCGTCTCACTCGGGCTCGGCATGACGAACACGTCCAAAGACGCGTACGCTGCGGACAAATCGTCTCCCGTGATCATCCCCGTGAAAACTGTATTCGTTCCGGCAAAGTGCTCCTCGAGCCTTTTACGTTCGGGTCCGTCTCCGATGATGGCCAAATTCACGTTCGACGGTAATTTTGCGAGAATATCTTTGAGATCTCCCAAGCGCTTTTCCGCGCCGAGGCGTCCGACGCACCCGATGATCGGACCGTCGCGACCGCCGCTCAGACGCTTGCGCATCTCCTCGCTCTTAAAGCTCGGATTGAACGCCACCGTGTCCACGCCCTTGTCCCAGACTTGCAAATTTTTACACCCTTCTCCTCTCAACTCGTTCTCCAGAATGCTCGAAGTCACCAACGTCGTCGACGCGTAGCCGTTCCAAAACCGAATCAAGTCCCACATCGGCTTGACCAACCCCGCCCACGTGTACCTCGGAATGTAGTGCGGAATGTGCGTGTGATACGACTCCACGAGCGGTATATCCATCGCCTTACAGTACGTCATCGCCCCAAAAATCATCCCTCCCGGCACCGCGCAGTGCACCAAGTCCGGTTTATTCTCCTTAAACTCCCGCCACACCCGTCCGTCGAGCCCGAACGAGCACAGCAGCGTGTCCGTCCCGTAAAACGGCAGCACGAACCCTCTCAACCCGATCACCTTCGCCCCGTGATACTCCTTCGGCGGATCGCGATCGGGCGTGATCACCACCACGTCGTCTCCCATCTCTCGCAGGTTCTCGATCAATCGCAGGAATCGATTCTTCATCCCGCTCACGTGCGAAAACGGGCTCGGCTCCACGAAGATGGCCACGCGTCGTTTCGGTCGCGCGTCCGTCGTCGCCGTCGCCGTCGCGGTCGTTCGCGTCGTCGCGCGTCGCCTCGCGACGACCACCGCGGCGTTCCGCGTCGCCGTCGAGCGCGCGTCCGCGCGTCCCGCGTCGCCGTCGCGTCGTTTCGGTCGGAATATACCACCGCCCGTCGTCGTCGTCGTCGTCGCGCGCGTCGTCGTCGTCGTCGTCGCGCGCCGCGGTCGCGCCGACGCTCGAGGCGCGCGCGTCATCGCGCGCGTCGCGAACCTCGCGTCCATCGTCGCGGGCGTCGGCGCGAGCCCCCGCGCGTCCCGCACTGCCGCGCGCGATGGACGCCCCCGACGTCGGCGCTCGCGATCGACCGCGCGGCGGTCGACCGCATCGCGCGCGCCGCGACGCTGTCGACGCTCGCGGGCGCGCTCGCGGGCGCGGCGCTGGCGCTGCGACGACGCCGACCGCAGGCGGTGGCGCCGACGCACGCCGTCGCGGGCGCGGCGAACGTCGGCGCGTGCGGCGCGGCGCACGCGACGACGCTCGAGGCGCTGGACAGACGGCCGGACGCGCGAGGCGCGACGACGCACGCCGTCGCGGGCGCGTGCGTCGGGACGGGCGCGGCGTGGGTGAGGTGGGGACGACGCGCGGCGACGGCGGGCGCGGCGTGCGGCGCGGCGGCGGCGGGCGGCGCGAGGGCGTGCGCGACGGCGCTCGAGGGCGCGGGAGAGCGCGGGTACGAGTTCCCGAGGTGGTTTCCGGTGCAAATCGTGCGAGAGGAGGGGCGCGAGGACGAGCTGCTGGCGCTTATGGGGCGGGCGCAGCGAGGCGAGCTGTCGGCGGAGGACGAGGCGAGGACGCGGGACGCGTACGCGCGGTGGAAGATGCGTCGAGCGGGGAGAGGGTAGAGGCGCGCGCGGCGAAGCGGTGAAGTGGAAAAGTTAGCGTAGAATACAATCGCGATCGGCGAACGTCGGTCGAGACGCGACGCGACGCGACGCGCGCGCGCGCGAGGCTCAAATCATCGAAGGCGGCGTCGCGCCGAGAGACGCTAAACGTTTGAGCATGTCTCGCCCGAAACTCCCCGGCGAGTCGTCGCGCGCCAGAGGCACCGAAATTTCAAACGGGAAGCTCACGACGTCGCTCGTCGTCACCGGCGGCACGTGCGCCTTCATCTCGTTCACCAATCCCAGCACGTGTCGCTGCGTCCCGACGACTTGGTCTCGCAGCGCCTCCCGCGCGCGCGCGCGCTCCGTCTCGTCCAACTCCTCACCCCTAAAAATCTCCAATCCGATCCTCCACTGTTCCCAGTACCCATTCGCCGCGCGCGCTTCCTCCCGTCGCGTTCGTCCGCCGCTCAGCGCCTCTCGCAGCGCGCCGCCGCGTCTCGGCTTGTCCCGCTCGCGCTCGTAAAAGCTCACCGCCACGTCCGCCTCCCCGCCTCCCGTCTTCAGCGCCCATCGCACGAGGGCGTTTATCTTCTCCTCTATCTTCCCGTCCACCGCGCCGTCGCCGCACGCGACGTAGTGCACGTCCACGCGCTCGCATCGCGCGTCCCGAGGCGCGCAGCATCCGAGCGCGCGCGCGAAGACGATCGTGTGCAGCAGCGCCGAGAGCACGTCGCGCACCTGCGACAGCTCGCATCGCAGCGGCGGCAGCGCGAACACCTCCCGCGCCCGCATGCGCGCGCGCGTCGACGCGCGCCGCGATGCGCGGTCGCGGCGCGGTCGCATCGCGATTCCGTCGCCACCGCGGCGTAACACTATAAAACGCGCGGACGCGACGACGCCGACGGTGTCGCGCCGCAGAAGACGACGCGCGCGACGCGACGCGACGCGAGCGGCATGGACGAGCGAGCGGCGCTGCTCTCGCGCGCGGTCGCGGACGCGGAGGAGCGGACGCGCGCGGAAACGCGCGGGCGCGCGCGCGCGCGAGGGAAAGATGGGAAAGTCTCGACGTCGCGATCGGACGACGACGACGACGCGGTGCTCGAAAGAAGCGCGGGACGGGGTCGACGGACGCGGGCGATGATGGTGACGATCGGACTGGCGTGCGCGGTGGGATTGGCGGCGCTCGGGGCGCGGACGCGCGGCGGAGACGGCGGACTTTTGGGCGGGCGCGGCGCGAGCGACGGCGCGGCGACGAAACGGGGCGAGCGCGGACGTTCGTCGCGCGCGAAGACTTCGACCGGGGGCGCGCGCGCGAGTGTGGATTTAACGGCGGAGACGGAGAGCCGGGAGGTTGTGCGCGTCGCGGGCGTGGAGGACTTCACGGCGAGCGATTCGCGATTGGCGGGTTACAGCAAGCTCGAGGTCGCGGACGCCATCAAGCACGCCGTGGAGTTTGTGAAGAAGGAGCAGTTGGAGGAAAAGCGACTTGAAGCGAAAACGTCGTCTGACGTGGGCGGGCTCGGCTCGGATGAGATCCCGGATGAGGATACCTGGGGCACGCCGATGCACCTGATGGCGAGACCGGGCGCGGCGAAGGACAGAGACGCGCTCAAGGTGACGCTGAGCAAGCTGCTGACGACGCACGACGTTGAATTGGTGTCAAAGAACGTCAAAATCACCGCCAGTGTAAATCCGAAGAAATGGCCTGATGGCTTAGATCGCGCGGTGTACGCGCTCAAGTCGGTTTTTGAAATCCTCGGAGGCGACTACTTGCACCCGGATTTCTCCCTATTGAAAGGTTTGGACTGGATCGAAGCGCCGAACTCGCGTGATTTAGACGGTAAGATCGCCGGTGCATGGGGCGCGCTCTCTAATCACGTCGGCACACTCTTCGGTCACATGTACCAGTGGCAGCTCGCCAAGGATTCGATGAACAAGGCCACCATCATCGTCGACAGCGACGGCCTCGCGCCGACAAAGCTCGGGGTGCCGGTGTCGTCGTTCGGGGCCATCATAGACAACGTGCCGGCGGAGTACGATATCATCTTACTCAACACTTATCCCGATGTCGAGAACTCGCACACGGTCGCGGAATTTCCCGATCACAGAGGGCACGACCTCAAGCTCACAACTTGGAAATCGCCCGGGCACACCGGCTTGAGCACTTACATAATCTCGTCGTCGTTCCCGGATAGAGTGTTCGCGTACGCCGCACAGAAGGGTGCGGGCTACTTAGACTCTTGGATTGTCGATGATTTGTGCACTCGTAAAGTATGCGATGACGATGGAGAAATTGTCGGCATGGGCGCAATCACGGCGAGCCAGCCTTTGCTGCGATGCTACCGAGCACACGGGGTCATTGAAACGCATCACGACAAGCAGAGCGACCAAGCGACGACTGTGATCGCTGAGAACGTGGAAGCAAACACGACCACTGTGCTAGCGACTGGTAAGTTGGTTGGCGATCACAAACACGCGACGAAGGAAGACGACAAACCGGGCAAGGCCAAGGGGGTGTCTGACGACTCGCTCAAGAAAGTCATGGACGAGACTTTGGACGAAGACTCTGAGCGGCGTGCCAGTCAGAAGAAGTCTTCACACCATGACAACGACTCCGATCATTCGTCGAAGGAGTCTTCGAACAAGGATTCCGACGCCGACGCGAAAAAATCAAAGCACGCGCATGTCCACGAAGCCGCTGCGCTCGAGGCGAGTCTCGGCGTGACGCCCTTTGCTCGCGAGTCTCACGCGACGAAGCCGACCGGGTTAACGAGCGATTTCATCTTCGATTCAATGCACGAGCTCAACGCTGAGCATGGATCTTTGATTCACAAGAAGTTTTCCTTGTTGCACAAGCATCAGCACGAGCGCGAGCGCGTTGAGGCGATGATAAAGCGTCTTCATGACCTGAGGGCGTCGGGCAAGGAGGCGACAGCTCAGGACATCTTGAGCGCGGTACCGACGGAGGAAGAACCGATCGCGGAACCGATCGTAGAACCCATCGCCGTGGTGCCTCAGAGCGTGGTAGAGCCGGCGCGCAAAGAAGAATTCGAGGCGAAGAAGCCGGCGCCCGAGGCTGACGCAGAAGTCGGCAACTTTCTGACGGGGCTCTGATCTAGCGTAAACAAAATTTTAATGAGCGAAATGTAGCGAAATAATAGGAATTACTGAATGTTTGGTCGCGGTGAGGTCATTACAACCGCGTGACGCGTCACAAAGTGACGCATCTCGCGACAAACGAAGACTATATGGTGTCTACGCGTCGGTGACGTGAAACACGACAACGCTTACGCGGCCGCACGAAGAGCTTCGAGCTTGGCCTTGAGGTTGGCCTTCTTCTCTTCGTACGTGAGCTTCGGAAGCTTGAACAGACGCCCAGCGTCCGCCGGCTTCACGCGTTCCTTCTTCTCGTGGACGGGGTCTTCGCGAATGGCATCGAGGACGTCCTCCATGGCGTCTTCGAGCTCAGTCGGGTCGAAGTCCGCGGCCAAGTACTTGGCAAACTGCTGTTCGAACTTTTCCGGTTCCTCCTCTTGCAGCTCTTCCGCGTACTCGGCGACAACACCACCCTTGATGTATCGCTCGAGAGTGTCCGGATCGTGGGACTTGTCTTGGAGATCGTACCCAGCGAATCGCTTTTCGTTGTGCGGAATGTCCAACCCGCCGTCCACCGCACCCTTGAGCGCAGCGAACACTCGCGCGCCGGTCGACGTTCGCACCAAACCGGTGTCCAAGAAGCACTTGAACGGGCGCGCTTCCTCATCACCTTGTTCAACGTGGTAATCCTCCCCGAGGTCCTCCGTCTTACCCTCGTACGCATCCGCCAAGCCGTACTTCGTCAACAGTCGTCGCGCGCACAGCAACCCGGTCGCGTACGTCGCGGCGTAGTTCGTCAAACCCGCCTTCATCCCGTACTTCGGCAACTCGTGCGAGTACGCGGACGCGATGCACACGTCACCCGCGAGCGTGGCGTAGACAACTTGGCAAATCACATCGCGGTTCGTAAAGCGCACGACGAATCGGTACTTCGGCGAGTTGTACTTGTTCTTGTCCTGCGTGATCAAGCGCTGACGAGCGTAGTAATCCGTCTTGCCTGCGAGCGCGAAAACGTCCCGCGTCCAGCGCGAGCGCGTGATTTAAATCGTCAGTCCACACTCTGCGCGCTCGCACGCCCGCGCGCGCGTCGCGCGCGCGCTCGTTCGCGCCCGCGCGCGCGGTGCCGAAAAACCCTCGAGCGCGCCACCGCGCGGACATCGATGCGCCCCACGTCGCCGCGCCGCGCGCGCGCGCGATCGCACGCGTTCGAAACGAAGCATACGAATCATCCGCATCGAACGACGCGATCGACGCCGTCTCGACGGCGTCGACGCGTCGGTCGCGGCGCGATGATCGTCGCGCGATCGAGAAAGCCCTAAACGCGATGCCGAAGACGTACCAGCGCGGCGACGCGCGAACTTGACTTGGAAGCGCGAGAAGTACGCGTTGGTCTTCGCCACGGATTGGGACTTGCGTTTGACTTTTCTGCGACCCATGGTTGCGTCGTGTGACACGCGAGGCGCGCGCGTCGAAAAGACGGAGCGCGACGGGCGGGGCGTGGCATCGTGCGCGCGAGGATGGTGTGGTCCGTGTTTGTAGTTTACGATTTTGTTCCAAAGGCGTACTGCTACAGGCGCTCGCGCACGACGACGGGCACCGTTCGCTCGCCCACGGGTTCGCCGCGAATGAAGAGCGGAATGTCGTACTCGCCGAAATCTACGATCGGGCGCTCGAGCATGAGCGCGCCAGGGGTAAGATTGAGGGATTTCTGACGTCGAATCTGGAGAGAGACGAAGGCGCGGCGGTGAGTCTTCGCGAGGGTAGAAATCAAACAAACGCCGGGTGTCGGCGGTGCTCGACGGTCGTCGTCGTCGGTGTCGTCGTCGCGTCAGAATAATGTCTCCTCACGGGTTATAGGCATGAATCCGTCCATTCAGACGGAGGCGCGATGCTATCAGGTGACAATTTCTCTTCACTCGCGAACGAAGACGAGACGAGACGAGATGAGAATCGAATCGACGGAGCGCGCGTCAGTCGAATCACGCACCTCTTCAACGATATTTTCCCGCGTCACCGCGATGCGAGGTTTCCCAGTTTTCTTGTCCTTAATTCTTCTAAAAGCGATCGCCGGTTCCGCGGTGAGCATCTTCATCACCGTGGCGCGTTCCTGCGAGTACGTACGATCGTCGTCGGCGTCAGTCCTAGCGCCATTGGCGTTTTGATTCATCGTCATGATTGACGACGTGCGACGTTCGCGCGCCAGATACTTTGCTCAGACAGCCAAGGGAAACGTTTTGTAAACACCGGAGCCGAAACTCGAATCTTCAGAAACTCTAGTCCGTAGAAAGTTCCAGTCATCATCGCAGGCGTATCAAATGCCTCGACTTCGTCAGCGTCGTCATCACGGCGACGGCTACTCGATCATTTCTCCCATCGCGTCGCTACGTACCTTGCGTTTGTGTTCCTCCTCTTGCGCCGTCGCCGCGGCTTCGTCTCCGTCCTCCCCCCCCGCCTCGATTCGCGCCCTCTCCCGCGCCGCCAACCGCTCGCGCGCCGCCGCTAACTTCTCCGCATTCACATACGTCGCCAACTTCCCCGGCACGAGATGATTCCTCGCCCGTCCCGGCCGCACGTGCGCGACCTCGTCGACGTCGCCGAGCCCGCTCACCGGCGCCCTCAGAATCACCTCCACCCTCCGGTTCGCCTTCTTCCACCACCGCCGCTCGACGCGCATCGACGCCGGCATCACCCCAGCCTCCCCCACGCGCGCGCTCGCGCTCGACGCGATCGACAGCGCGCGCGCGCGCCCCGGCACCGTCGAACCTCCCGTCGGCGCGCGCGCCTCCACCGCGCGCTCGCCGAGCGCCCGCGCGAGCGCGCGCGTCGCGCGTCGCGTCGCGTCGCGCGCGCGCGGTCCCCACATCGCGCGTCACGCGTTCGTCGCGCGCGCCGTCGCCGTCGCGCGCGCCGTCGTCGTCGCGCTCTGCCGCCGCGCGCGCCGATCGACCCACCGATCGATTCGTTTTCAATCGAACCTCGAGCGAGGTTCGCTCGCGCGCGCTCGATCGACGATCGTCGATCGACTCCGGGGCGTCGAACGCGGCCTCGCGGGGGCAGAGCGCGACGACGCCGCGCGCGCGATCCGTCTCTTTGCGACGCGCGAAAGCCGACGCTCTTTCGAGATGCCGACGAGGTGCGGGCGATGAAACGGCGAGCGATGCGATGCGTTCGATCGGGCGCGACGTCGCGGCGCGCGCGCGGTCGCGCGCGCGACGGGAGGGGCGAACGCGGCGTGGGACGCGATGGCGAGCCCTAGCGATCGGTGTGCGGCGTGGACGCGCCCGGGCGAGCGGCGCGAACGCGCGCGGGCGCTCGCGCGCGCGCGGTTGGGCGTGCGGGATTGCGATGCGTCGTTTCGAGGCGCGCGCGGGCGGGCGTGCGGGGGAGACGCGCGCGTTCGACGCGCGCGTTCGGCGCGTTCGGAGGCTTTAGGGTTTTTAGGAGGACTCGACGCGGGACGCGTCGCGGAGCGCGCGGCGCGGTGGTTCGCGCGATGGCGCGAGAGCGATGGAAAAACTTCGGAGAATCGTCGACTGACCGAGGACGTGTGTTTGTTTGCGCGCGCGATTAGGTTGCATAAGAACCGCAAGAAGCGCGGGCACGTGTCCGCGGGTCACGGCCGTATCGGTAAGCACCGCAAGCACCCGGCGGGTCGCGGTATGGCGGGTGGTCAACACCATCACAGAATTATGATGGATAAGTATCACCCGGGTTACTTCGGTAAGGTTGGTATGCGTCACTTCCACAAGCTCAAGAACCACTACCACTGCCCGACCATCAACATTGACAAGCTTTGGACGCTCGTCGGCGAGGAGAAGCGTGAGGAGTGCGCCAAGAACACGTCTCAAGCGCCGGTGATTGATCTCACTGATCACGGTATCTTCAAGCTTCTCGGTAAGGGTCAACTCCCGAGCCAACCGGTCGTGGTGAAGTGCCGTTACATTAGCAAACTCGCCGAAAAGAAGATCAAGGATGTCGGCGGCGCGTGCATTCTCACCGCGTAAAGGGCGTCTCTCGAATTCGGGTTCGTCTTCTGGGTAGTCTGGGATTAGTACCGCGCGTTGTTATGAGTAACATTCATCTCACGCGTTCATCAACCTAACCACATCCATCGAGCACGACTCCGCCCGCCTCACTCGTCGCCGCGCCGCGGAATATTCACTTCAAATGTACCACGTCCTCATCGCCGCTTTCGCCACCTGCGTCGCGTGCGAGCTCTTCGAGACCGAGAAAATCTACGCCACCGATGATTACGCGATCGCCAAGCGTCGCATCGAGCTCGCGCGCGAGCGCATCGCCGTCGCCGAGGCTCAAGTTCGCGAAAAAGGCGAACGGAAGAGCGCGCGTTTGGAGCAAGCGCAAGTCGCGCTCGTGCACGCCGAGCAAAAGATGAAACAGATGTGCATGGCCACGGGACGGACGTTCATGATCGTTACGTTCATCGGCGCCACGGCGGTCAGATGGTACTACTCGTACGCCGAACAAAAGACTGGGTTGCGACTGCCGTTCGCCGCGCCGATGCGCTGGGCGCTCGGAACTGGCGAAGACGAACGCGATTTAAATCCCACCGCGGCGTATTTCATCGTGACGTATCTCTGGCGCGTGGTGTTCGGGGATGTGCTGGGGCGTAAGACGAGACAGATCGAGGCGTATTGGAGCACAAAGGACACGGAACGTTACATGGCCGCGCATCGACAAACCTTCAACTCGTTGACTCGCGACTCTACGATGGCGGTGGCGCCAAAGGTGAAGAAAATGCGATGATCACGAACGCGTGTGATAGATTAGTAGATAGTTTTGTAGCCAGTTGAGCGCTTATTATTACATACGGCTTGGGAAAGGGGGAACAAATTATCAATCCTTGTCGAAGGAGGAGCTCACGGAGATTTCGCGTGAATCGTACTGGTCCAAATCGTCCGTGGGGTCGGCTTGAAGCAAGCTCGCGAATTCGTCCATGTCGATTTTACCGTTACCATCGATATCAGCCTCACGGATACACGCCTTGACGATGGCGGCGCGAACTGAATCGTTTGATTCGCTTGACTCTTCGAAAATCAATTGCGCCACTTCCTCGGCGTCAATTTGACCGCTATTGTCCTTGTCGAGAATGTTGAACGCACGCTCGACCCACTTGGGGTACTCACTCGTCTGTTCAATCTTTTCCCAATCCAACAGCGCGGCGATGAATTCGTTGACATCAATCAAACCGTCGCCAGACGTGTCCAACGAACCTAAGAGCTGCTTGCTCTCTCGCCCTGTGACGTCGTATCCAATCTCCCTCAACCCCACCTCGAGCTCGCCGAGCTCGACCATGTTATCACCTGAAGTGTCCAACTTCGCGAACAATGCTTTCAAGGTCTCGATGTCCGCATCTCGGGCTTGGGACAACGTCTTGATGTCGTCTTCGTCCTCGCTCAAGAGTTCTCGGGCGATGAGCCTGAGCACCGAACGCTTGAGCAAACCTTGAGTGGCGAAACGCTGCAGTCGAGCGACGACTTGACCGTCCAACGCGGAATCCTGCCCCTTTGCTGCCTTTGCCTTCCAACTCGCCGACGTCTGCGTGAGCCAGGGGTGAAGGAGCGCAGCGCGAGCTATCGGTCGGGCTTCAGGATCGCGATCGAGTAGTTTGCGCACAAAATCCTTCGCCTCGTCGCTCACTTGGGACCAGGGATCGGACTCGAGGTCAACTTCGTCCTCAAGAATAGCCCTAAACACTTCCTTGGCGTTCGGTCGAGCGTTGACTTTATCGATGAAAGGCAGACGCCCGCTCAAAAGTTGATAGGCGACGACGCCGGCGGACCACACATCGGCTTGACTGCCGTAGTTGCGTTCAATCACCTCGGGTGCCATGTAGCTCGGCGTTCCACATCGGCGCGCGAGCACTTCTCCTTTGGGGGGCAATTTACCCGCCAAACCGAAATCCGTGGCTTTGAGAGGCGAGTCGTCATCTTCGGTTTGGAACAAAAAGTTATCCGGTTTGATGTCGCGATAGATAATCCCCCGACTGTGGCATTGCACCGCCGTCCGCAGCACGCTCTTCACCAATTGCGCCGCCTTTTGCTCGCGATAATCATTAGAATCGTTCATAGAGATGCGATCGAGCAACTCTCCGCCCGAGCACAACTCCATGAGAAGATGTACGCACTCGTCGTCTTCAAACGCGTCGTAAAGGTACACCACGCTCAACGAAGCTCCGATGGTTTGCATCACCTCCACCTCGTTCCTCAGCTTGCCGTGATAATACTGCACCGCCGCTTTCGATGCCGGCGCAGTCTTCCACGGCGCCTTCTTCAGCGTCTTCAACGCGAACGCCTCCCCGGTTTTCTTGCTCGTCGCCTTGCGCACGACGCCGTACGACCCCGCCCCCAGCGGCTCCTCATCCAAGCTCGGCACGTCGTACAGCTCGTGCAGATCCCTACGAAACCCAAAATCTGGTTTTAACTCTTCATTCGTGAAATCATCGAACGGACTATCGATCGTATCCGCCACCTTCGGCGCCGGTCGTCTTCGCTCGCTCGGCGTCGCGCTCTTCTTCTTCTTCCCGCCCGCGCTCGCCTTCCCCTTCGACCCTTTATCGTCATTCTTCGCCAACCAATCGCTCAGAAACCCTCGTCGCACGACCTCTACCCCTCGTCGCGCGTCCGCGTCGCGTCGCGCGAGCCGCGTCGCCGCCGTCGACCGACCGCGCGCTTTATCTTCCCTTTTCCAACTTCCACCCCTCGCGATCGCGCGCGCGACCGCCGACGCCCGCGTCGTCGTCGCGCACCGCGTCGTCGTCATCTCGCACGACATTCGCGGCCGTCCGAGCTCGCGCTTCGCCCGCCGCGCGTCGCGCTTTCGCGTTTTCGTCGATTTCGCGCGTCGTCCCGATCGCGCGGTCGGTCGACGTCATCACATCGCGTCGTCGCGCGCCGCCATGGGCGCGTCGCACAGCGCCGAAGCGGCGATCATCGACGGTAAGACGATCGCGTCGACGATTCGCGCGGAGATCAAGGGCGAAGTCGACGCGCTGCGCGCGAAGCACGGTAAAGTTCCGGGACTCGCGGTGGTCATCGTGGGCGATCGCAAGGACTCGCAGACGTACGTCCGCATGAAGCGCAAGGCGTGCGAAGAGGCGGGCATCGAGAGCTTTCACGCCGAACTCCCGGCGAGCGCGAGCGAGGCGGAGGTGCTGGCGACGGTGCGGAAGTTTAACGCGGACGCGCGCGTGCACGGGATACTGGTGCAGCTGCCGCTGCCGAAAGGGATGAACGAGGAGCGCGTCCTGGCGGAGATATCGCTCGAGAAAGACGTCGACGGGTTTCATCCGGAGAATATCGGGAAGCTGGCGATGAAGGGACACGAACCGCTGTTTGCGCCGTGCACGCCGAAGGGGTGCGTGGAGCTGCTGAAGCGAAACGGGACGGTGTTATCCGGAAAGAACGCCGTCGTCGTCGGACGATCAAACATCGTCGGCATGCCGGCGGCGATGCTTTTGATGAAGGAAGATTGTACCGTAACCGTGGTGCACTCTAAGACGCGGGATCCGAAGAGAATCTGCCGCGAAGCCGACGTCATCGTCGCGGCGTGCGGGAGCGCGGAGATGGTGAAGAAGGATTGGGTGAAGAAGGGCGCCGTCATCATCGACGTCGGTACGAACAGCGTGGACGATAAGACCAAAAAGGCTGGCTATCGCTTGGTCGGCGACGTCGACTTTGCCGAGGTTAAGAAGGTGGCGAGCGCCATCACGCCCGTGCCGGGCGGCGTCGGTCCCATGACCATCGCGATGCTTCTCTCCAACTGCCTGGATTCTGGCAAGCGAGCCATCGCCAAGGCGTAATCTCATCTTTCGCTCGTCCATGGGTCCTCTATTTTTAATACGTATCGTCGTTGAATTCATTCTTCACTCTCGTTCGTCCCCGCGTCCCGAAGTTCAAACGCCGACCAGCTGTCGCCAGTCATCGCCGCGCCCTTCGCCATGCGGGGCGCGCCCCCGCCCCTGTACCCGTGGCAGGCCGAAGCGATAAACCTCGTCGCCGCGTCGCGTCGCTCGCTGTGCTACACGGCGCCCACGGGCGGCGGTAAAAGTCGCGTCGCCGATGAGTTGTTACGACTGTCCCTGACAAACTTTCCCGCGGCGAAAGCGCTCGTCGTGCTGCCGTACGTCGCGCTCGTGCGGGAAAAAGTGGCGTCGTTGGAGTCGTTGTTACGCCCGCTCGGGATCAAGGTGAGGGGCTACGCCGGGGTGGAGTGCGAGGGGGCGCCGTTGGGGAGCTCGAGAGAGCGCTGCGCGGTGACGACGATTGAAAAGGCGTCGTCGTGCGTCAATAGACTGTTCGAAACGGGCGAGATATCGCTGCTCAGCGTCGTGGTGGTGGATGAGCTGCACATGGTCAGCGAAGACGAACGTGGGTGCGCGCTGGAGGGGATGTTGGCGAAGATACGACACGGAGTGAAGTCGGGAAAGGTGTCGAGCGACGGCCCGCAAATCGTGTGCATGAGCGCGACGGTGGGAAAGTCATCGATGGAACGCTTAGCGAGGTGGTTAGACGCGGAGATTTACGTCAGTCATCATCGGCCGGTGGAGTTGAAAGAGTACGTGGTGTGCGTGGGTGGGGTGTATGCGAAGGAGAATCGAGGTGAGGCGGGCTGGGAGCTGACGCGCGTGGCCGATTCGCCGTCGCGAGTGGAGTTGGAGATCGTCGCCGAACTGGTTGGTCAAGTGTTCGTCAACGCGCACAGCTCGTTGGTATTTTGCTCGAGCAAGAGTCAGTGTTCAGTTTATGCGACGAAATTGGCGAGCTTGCTTCCGGTGAATCCGAACACGGCGCACCTGCGAGAAGAGTGCGTGGCGAGACTCTACGAAGCTGCGGAGGGCGAGCCCGACCAAGCGCTAGTAGCGTGTGTTCGCTCCGGTCTCGCGTGGCATCACGCCGGATTAACGACGGCAGAGAAGAGAGTAATCGAAGAGGGCTTTCGAGCTGGTGCGATTTTAGCGCTCACATGCACGACGACTCTTGCTGCGGGCGTCAACTTGCCCGCTCGCCGTTGCGTCATCCTTCGCGGCTTCATCGCCGGTTTACCGACGCCTTCGATGGCTCAGTACAAACAAATGGCTGGTCGAGCTGGAAGAAAAGGGCAAAGCGATTTCGGTGAATCTTTCCTAGTCACGACGAAACAAGAGGCCGTGGATTGGGCGCGAAATCTAGTACTCGGCGAGCTACCGGCTTTGGAGTCGCGTCTGTTTCCTCCTGCAATCAAGCGCCATGACATGCCCGTGACGCCAGAACAACGACGGTTTTATCTCGAATCCATCGCGTGTGGAGTACTCAAGACAAAGGAAGACGCCGGTGAGCTGGCTTGTCGCACGTTTGCTTGGACATCTGGACGCGATAACGCGTCAATTCTCGCCCGTCAAAGCCGAGCGTTGAAGGAAATTTACGAAAAAGGGCTGGTTGTCGCGCGCTCCGGCGCGCATTGCGCTGAGTGGTGCTCTACTCCAGAGGGATTCGCGTTCTACAAGTGTACTTTACCGATAGCACACGCTAAGACGCTGCGGAAAGAGTTGTCTTTCGCGCTTACGAATGGATTGAATCTTTCGACGAAGACGCACTTGCTATTCTTTTGCGTGTCGAACGAAACCAACGTCTTCGCAGCAAACTTGAATTGGCACGCGTGGAGCGATTGGATGAGTCGATACGACAGTATTCATGAACTTGGGGAGAAACATTTGAATGTCACCCGACAGTACGCAGAAAGAGCGCAGCATCGACAAGGGATATCAGACCAAGCCAAGGCGACTCGGTCGCGCCATGAGCGTCTCGCTGCGGCGTTGCTGTTGAGCGACGTGTTGGCGAGCGACGACACCACCGTCGACATTGCGCGCAAATGGTCAACGTTATCGAACAATCCCGTCAACCGTGGGATGATTCAATCTCTTCAAAACAGCGCGGCGACGACGGCGGGCATGGCGAGCGTGCTGTGCGAACAGTGCGGCTGGCACGCGCTCGCAGGTCTTTTGCAAAACGTTAGCGAAGAGTTGCAAGCTGGCGCGCGACGAGAGCTATTACCGCTGATGCGTCTCGAAGGCATGACCGGCGCAAGAGCACGAGCTCTACATAACGCCGGACTAACGACGCCTGCGAAAATCGCGGCACTTCAGAGCGATAAGTTTGACAAGCTGCAAGATGCTTGCCTGCGTTCGCTGACGCGATCGAGAAACGGCGGCTTGGATCAAGCCATGCGTACCACGGCGTGGAGAATCGCAAGCGCTCTCGTGCAATCGGCTCGTGAAGCGACAATCGAGGAGGCGAAACGGGCGTTGGAAGACGATTCTAACGCTGAATGGTTAAATTAAAACCAGGCTAGTAGGCATAGGTAGAATTAGACGTAGAGAATAATAGGCAGCGGCGCGATTACTGAAACGGCAAAGAGATGCCGAGCCCCTCGTTACCCGGAGCACGGTACTTCTTCTTGTTCGGAGTCGTCAATCTAAAGCTCTTGATCGTCTCGTCGAACCCACGGGCGAGCTCGTCCCAGTAAATCTCGGGGGCGCTCGAACTCAGCGTGTACAAGTACCCATCCCGCTCAACCGTCACGCCGTAACTGTGTCGAAACGTCGTCGCCTCCGGCTCGCGCAAATTCGGTGAGCCTTGCGATATGTACTCGTAGTAATAATACGGCACATCATCGATGACGTTGATGATCGCGTTATCCACCTCGGCCAGACTCACGCGCTGTCCGCTCGCCACCCGTCCCGTGGCTTTATCCGCCAGAACCGCGTTCGCCACCTGCTTCGCCGTCCACTCCTTCACGGCTTTCGATTCAAGCGCTGGGGGCGTGTTGCTCACCGTCACCACCGTCGTCAACGGTCCTTTAAAACTCAACAACTCGTACACGATGCGTTGCCGAGCGTTCGGCGACATCGGCTCCGCGCTCGAGTACGTATCCCGCTCTCGGCTCACCGCCCAACTGATCGGCTTCCCGCTCTCCGCTTCCACCGCGTACGTGAACTCATACGCCAAACTCTCGCTCACCACGCGCTTCTTCTCGAGTTCGCGAACCTTCGACGCCGTCGGCGGCGCCGCCGCTTCGATCGCCGCCGCGCCGTCGATCGCCGCGTCGTCCTCCTCCGCGCGCGCGCCCGGCGCCGAAACGACGCTCGCGACGCTCGCGAGCGAGAGCACGTGCACGAACGCCCGGCGCGAGGGCGCGTTCGCGCGCGCGGTGTCGTCGCGCGCGTCGTCCCCGACGACGGCTCGACAGGATAGGCCGACGCTCTGGCGCCGCGCGACGGCGCGCGCGGGACGCCTGCGAGCGTCCAAGGACGCGAAAACGCGCGCGAGCGATGCGCGAGACATCGCAAGCATGTGTGCGGGCGAGGCGGGGGGCGTCGGGAAGTGCGGCGGTTTCGCGGCGGCGACGGCGCGGCGACGAATTCGCGCTGTGCTTTCGCGCTGCTAATCATAACGTTCTAGTTAACTAAGTCGACGTCCACGATCACGGGGATGTGGTCTGATGGAAATTGCGCGTTTGGTAACGCGGTGTGCGCGAGGACGGCGGACATGTCGGGGAGCGGCGATGTGGCGCGCGACGCGAAATCGCTCGTCGAACACCACACGTAGTCCAACGCGCCGACGAATCCGCCGACGTAATTCGTCCATTCGAGGAATCCACCGGCAGAGAACAGTGGTCGCGCGGTTCGCAAGTGTGCGCCACAGCCGATCGGGACCGCGCTGGCGTCGGGGACGACGGATGAAGCGAGCGCGGCTTGCTTCGCCGAGACGGCGGCGAAGCCGTCATCCTGCGCTCGCTTAATATCACTAAACGCGCGACGAGCAATCACGTGGTCGTCGGCATCCATCGTTAACCCAGGCGCGAGTCCACTCTCGCGTCGAAGTGTGAATGCAGCGACGGCGTGACAGTTTTTCAACGTGCATCCGCATTTGACGTGCTTCTTCACGGCTGCGATTGCGTTTGCGTCGTCGCTCGATTTTTCGTCGCATTTACACGACGCGCCCCACTCTTTATCCAGCGTACGAGCGCAAAGAGACATGAAAATACCTCGTTCTGCGAGCGCTCGTAACTCAAAGGTATTGGTGACTTCATCAAAGTTGCGATTGAATGTCTCGTATCCTGTACCATCGTCACAAATATAGAAGAGATCTCGAGCGGCGTCTCGCGATGACGTCCCGCCCCACCGAAATAGACTACCACGAACCCAATCCTCGTCACTCGCGGAAATCTCGCCTTTGGTGAGATATCTGATGACGCCATCTTCAGGCTCACCGTTAAAATCGCCGCACAATACGAGTGGATCGCCGGCGGCGAACGCCGTTGCCCGAGTCGTAAATTCGTGAGCTTGCAAGACTCGTAAGTGCATCGCCCCTGGGTGAAAAAATAAGTGAGTGTTACCGACGCACAACGACTTGCCGCTCGCGCGTACTTTCACGCGCGCGAGCTGCGCAATGGACGTGATCTTTTTGAGAGCCATAGCCAACTCTGCGTTATCGTCATCCGCGATCCAGCGCCGCAAAGCTTTGTCTCCGATTTCCGTGAGTTTGATCGCTTCTTCGCGCTCGATGCTTTCAAACTTGCTCAATGCGAAGAACATCGCGCATCCTTCCAACGTCTGACCGCTCTTACCGACCCAATCTGTCGCGATATATCCGTTTGCAGTGAGTACGGGCACGAACAACGTTTCGTGGTACTTCTTGTCCACTTCTTGTAGCGCCACGACGTCGGCTTTTGATCGTAAGATATCTTCCAATACTAGCTGCAAGCGTCGTTCCACTTTAGCCAACGCCGTGTCAAAGTAAGGAAACATCGTTCCCCAAGTGTGCGCGTACGCATCGGCCAACACGTTGTACGTCATGATACGATAATCCGCCGACGTCTCGGCGCTCGGCTCCAACCGTCGCAACGCCTCCGACCGATCAACGCCCAGCCGCGTCACAACGTTCGTAAACTCAAACCTCTCGTCCAAAGCCTCAACCGCTAATCTTTTACCGAAATCCTCTTTTGTGGGCGTGTACACGCGCCCTTGGCCGACGATCTCGCCGTCCGCGTACCATCGCCAGTCGACTTCGTCGTGCTGGCAAAATTCCAATCCGTGCGCGGTCGCTGGAAGCGGATATCCCACCATGGCGTAGTCCACGCTCGAGCACCCCGCCATCTCCGGCGCATCTAATCGTACGAGATACGATATCCGCGTCTCGCAGTCATCGATCGTGAGGACGCTTCCCTCGGACCACGCTTCGGCGTGCGTAGCGCTCCCAGCCACCGGCGCCCCGTCGCGCTCGAGCGTCACCGTCGTGGTTCCAGAAGCCGTCTTTCCCCGCGCCAGCGTTTTCAATAAGCGCTGAAAACTCTTTTCTATCGGTTCCGCCGCGTCGCGATGCAGCGTCTTCGATGTGCCGTCGCGCATCGGCACTTTTATCGTCACGCGCTGCTTTTCGACAAATCTTTTGACGTCGACGTAAAGTTCGTCGCAGGGCGCGTCGGACATCGCGGACGAAGGCTTCGAACGCGCCGCGACGCGCGTTTGACGATGGCGCGAATCGGGGCGAGGGAGACGGGCGGTGACGAGGGATGCGCCTCGCGGCATTGACGAGCGCGCGAGTGCGGCGGCGGCTGGACTGGAGCGCCGTCTATTCATAATAAAAATAATCTCTATCACGTTTGCCCGTCAGAGCGAGTACACCGCGGCGGTGGCGGGATCCGGTAATAAGTCATCGTTGTTCCACATCGCGTCGTCGAGCTCTTCGTCGGATAAGTTGGCGTCGCCGGGACGCTTCATGCGAACCGACGTGCGCGCGCTCAGATTTTGATGCACGGGTCGCAAGGTGAGGTAGAGGAGGGTCGCGATGTATACGCCGAGCATGCTGAAGATGATGAGACCTAAGAACACACCCGCGAAAGAGCCCCACACGAGCTTAGACTCGACGATGGCCGTGGAGATCAAAATCACGTTGGCGCCGATGATTCCGCCGGAGAGCCAGATGGTGTAACGCAACCGCTTCGCCGACACCGCCATGGGACCCATGATTCGCTCGCTCGCGGTGAACTTGATGAGGGGAATCAGCGCATACGGGAGCTGTATCGCTAAAATTGTTGATGATATCACGATCAAGGACTCGGAGTACTTATCGCCAGCGGCCAAAACGACGATTAAAGACGGCACGATGGCGCACATGCGCGTCACAAACGCTCGAAGCACCGGGTTGACACGAAGCTCCAAGAACCCATCCATGACGAACTGACCGGCATACGTTCCAGTAATAGTGGAACTTTGCCCCGACGCGAGCAGCGCGGCGGCGAAGAAACCTTTCGCCGCCGTGCCGAGCACCTCCTTCAACATTTGCGGCGCGTACTGCAACGGACGCTCGCGCACCTGGCGCATTTCCTCCGGATCGGTCAAGTGCGCGTAATTCGACGCCGCGACGATGACGACGGCGAAGTTGATGAACAACGACACCGAGAGCGCCATCCCAGACTCGACGATATTGTACTTGTACGCCATCCTCAGACTCTTTTCGCCTAAACTAAACCCGCGGCTCAACACCAGAGCGCTGTGCAAGAATAAATTATGCGGCATCACCACGGCGCCGACGAGAGATACGGCGATATACAGCGCCTTGCTTCCCGGCAATCGAGGCAACACAATCCCCGCCACCACAGAGGACGCTTTCGCGTCCACAAACGTGACTTCAGCCAAGAAACACAACGACATCACGCCGACGAGCGCCGCCATGAACGCCTCCAACTTTCGCACCCCGAACGACTGCAACCCCAAAAACACCATCGTCGACATCGACGTCAGCACCACTCCCACCCACGTGGGAATTCCAAATATCAATTTCAGCGCCAACGCCGTGCCGATGACCTCCGGAACATCGCTCGCGATGATCGCCAGTTCCGTCATCGCCCACAGCGCGTACCGCGTCGGGTCCGGATACTCCTCCCGCATGCACCGCGCCAGGTCCCACCCCGTCGCCAGCGCCAGCCGTATCGTCAGACCTTGTATGTACCACCCCCCCAGCGTCGCCCAGAGCAACACCCAGAGCAATTTATACCCGAACAGCGTTCCCGCCTGCAAGTCGCTCTCAAAGTTCCCCGGATCCACGTACGCGATGCACATCAAAAATCCCGGTCCCATGAACCGCCACAGCGTCTTCAGGTTGAACCGATGATCGTCGTCGTCCAGGCCCTCGATCTCGACCCCCGCCGCGGCGCGCCGCGCCCCGTCCTCGCCTTTCGCGCGCGCGCCGTCGCCGCGCGCGTGCCATCGCGTCCCCGTCCCCGCCGTCGTCGTCCCGCCGTCGTCGTCGCCCTCGTGCGACCGCGCGGCGCGCGCGGCGCCGTCGAGCACCGGCGCGTCGTCGCGGTCGTCCTCCATCGCGCGCGCGCGTCGGCGCGCCGTCGCGGTGTCGCGCCGCGGTGTCGCGCCCGCGGTCTCGTCCCGAGCCTACAACACGGACGACTCGCACACCTCGACGCGCGCGACGCCGCCGCGCGACGCCGCACACGCGCGCGCGCCGCGCGCGGACCTCGCGCGCGACGTTCCTCGCGCGCGCGGCGTCCCGAAGCGCGCGCGCGATCGCGCGACGCGACGCGACGGCGACCGAACGCGATCGGTTCGCGCTTTGAATCGTCGCGACGACGACGATGTCGACGTCGCCGACGCGACGATCCTCGCGACGAGGCGCGCCGACGCCCGACGGCGAGACGATGGACGATGGAGGCGGAATCGCGCGCGACGCGCGCGCGGCGGCGTCGCGGGCGAACGTGAAGGTGCGATTCGATTTCGGAAACCTTTTGAGAATTTGAATTTCGGACGGCGACCGACGCCGAGCGGAGGCGCGCGCGGATCGAGGATCGAGCGAGGCGCGCGATCGGCGCGCGGCGGAGACGGCGGTGGACGACGGGCGCGAAAGCGCGGGCGCGATGGGGCGGCGCGCGGGAGGGATCGGACGGGCGGGGAAGACTGACGGCGACGCGCGCTCGAAATCGACAGGTCGAGACGGAGGAGGGGAAGGAGGACGCGCTGGGACGAGGACGGCGGGTGCGAACGGCGAAGCTCGAGACGGGGGACGATGGAAGGAACGGGAGCTCGACGCGCGCGGGGTCGTCGACGCCGAAACGGGGGAGTTCGGTGGAGAACGAGCCGGCGTCGAAGAGCGACGGGACGACGACGGTTTCGGCGTTGAGCGTGCTCGGCGTGCAGGCGCCGCGAGTCGTGGGTAAGCGAACGCCCAGGAAGCCGTCGAGCGCGTACGTTAACTTTGAAAATGCGGCGGAGGTTCTAGTTTCGCTGTCGCCGCAGATCAACCGCGAAGCGGTTCGCGCGGCGCAGCAAAATAGCCCGAGTAGGAGCTACGCGACGAAGAGTCAAATCGCGGACTTGGCGTTGGGTAACGTGACGACGCCCAGACGAAAGCGCGCGCGGGCGTTGTTCCCGGATGAAGTGTTCACGACGAGCACGGCGAACGGTTCATCGCCCGCTAGAAGGAAGAAGCCGATGTCGGCGGCGGATGAAGACACGCTCTACGGCGCTCTAGACGGATTGATGACGCTCGCAGAGAACGTCGCGGCTCCATCGCCGCAACAGACGGATAGCATGAAGAAGAAACGTAAGCAAGGTAGTGGACGACCGCGCGGCTCGTACGGGTCACCTTCACGCCACCTGCCGCCGTTACCGAAGTATGCGCTCAAGCCGACGCCGATGCCGGTCGGGAAGAAGATGTTGAAGATAAACAGGCCTCGGCGCCACGTTTCGCGCGAGATCGAATCTGTTGGTCTCGGCGCGGCGTCCTCACTCTTTCACGATCATCGTCTGAGCGAAACGGCTGAGGCGACGACGACGACGCAAGGAGACAACCGGGCGCGTTTGCTCATCGGTGCGCACGATCCGTTGACGAGACGCTGGGCAAACGCCAACTTCTTCACCGCTGGTACGGACAAGGGCTGGTTTGAAGACAGTGGCTTCTCACGATGGTTGCAGCACATTGGTAAAGGCGATATGCGCGTCGCTACGCGCGAAGAATGGCAAAAAGTCCGTCGAAAATTACCAAAGACGAGACGCCTTTCGCTCAAATTTTTGAAGGACGAGCGTGTGGACTTGGAGTATTTCCGACACGCCGCGCGCGAGATGACAAACTTGAAATTGCACGGTACGGTTCTAACGGATGAGCTTAAGGCCTTAATGCTCAAGTGGACGGGTGGCGTTCCGGTCCCGTCGCCGCTCGAAGTCGGGCAAACGGTGTTGGCGGTGCATCCCCGATTCCATTCGCCGTACATAGGAAACATATTGATTGTCGAGCGCGCCACCTGTCGCGTACAATTTGCACGTCCAGAACTCGGTGTCGAGCTCGTCCGAGACATCGATATCATGCCAGTAGACGCCAACCAAGAAGAGATGGATCTGATTGCTGCGGGGACCGCGGAACAAATCGAAAACGAAGCCTTCAACGCTGGTTTCCGAGGAATTTACGATCCGCTGCCGGTGGTCGGTGGCGGTGGCCACGCCTACGGCGCCGGCGTCGCAGTTGCCGCACAAATGCGTGAGATGGACGTCCGTTTGCTCAACGAAGCTCAACAAGCTCTCGAGCGCAAGCGCGAGCTCGTCGATGCGTTGCGGATGAAGAATGACGCCGCGGAGGAGTTCAAAAAGAAACCAGAACGCGTCAAGCAAGCGGCGGAGACGAACGGCGAAGCGCTTAAATTCCAACGAGAATACGCCGCCATCGTTCTCGCCTTGCGCGGCGCCAACGCGGAGTTGGAGGGTGCTTTAGTTCGCTTGCGGCAGCAACAGGGATATCACGACAAACCCCTCGGGTTGTGGCGGAAAATCAAGAGTCAGAATTTGGGCGACGGTCATCGCGCTCTCTCTCGATTCGCCCCACCATCCGCGACGCCGAGCTCGGACGAACTCTACGCTTCGACGGCGGAAGACATCGTCGCCACCGCCGGCATGGGCGCTCGTCGCATCGTTTACCACGTGCAAACCACCACCAACGCCGGCGCCGAGAGCACGGCGACGCTCAATCCGAGTCTCCAGGAACCTCTCGGAACCGGCGCCACTAAGTCCGATCTCCCTCCCACCGCCGCCGACGTCGACGCCGAAAAGCTCAAAGTCACCCAGCTCGTCACCGCCATCGTCCAGGCCGCGCTCACCATCAAAGCCTGCGCCGACCGCGGCGCCAGCGCGAGCGTCCTCGACGCCTGCCTCCGCCGCGTTTCCGATTCCCTTCGCCCCGTCGCCGTGAGCAATCGCGCCGCTTTCGACGCCGTCGAGCGCGCTCTCAAAGACCTTCGCGACGTCTTTCTCATCCGTTGACGCTTTTAACCACCACCCGCATCCCTGCGTCCCAATCCGCGCGCGCACCGTCAAAACGCGCCGCGCGCGCCGTCGCCGCGTCCGAGTCCCGCGAGAGCTAAAAGCGCGCGACGCCATCATGCGCGCGAGCGTCGCTTCCGGCGCCGTCGCCGCCGCCGCGCGTCGCGCGTCGTTCCGGAATTCCGTCGACAATTCAGTGGCGTCCCTGCGACGACCGAAGCGCGTCGCGACGAGCGCGCGTCGACGCCGATCGTCGACACCGCGCGCGCACCACGGACCGATGACCAATCTGCAGTTCACGCCGGACAGCGCGCTCGCGGGAGGGCTGATTTTGGGGTCGATGGTGGTGGCGAAGCGATTGAATTCGGGACGCAATTTGGGCGTGAGCGGGGACACCAAGGCGTTCGCGCGAGGCGAGGGTCGAGCGACGAGCGCGGCGTTTTTGATCGGACTGCTCGCGGCGGGATACGCGGCACCGATGATTCTGGGCGCGCAGGCGGCGGTGCCGATGGTGGACGCGACGCGAGCCATCGCGGCGGGCGCGCTCGTCGGAGCGGGGAGCTCGCTCGGAGGCGGGTGCACGAGCGGACACGGAATCTCTGGGATCGGACGATTGGACGTGCGAAGCGTGGCGTTCACGTGCGTGTTCATGGTCGTCGGTGCGATCACGGTCGCGGCGACGGGAACGATGGATGAGTTACACGTGTCGCAAGCGACGAAGACGATCGACATGCTCGCGCGCTCGCCCGAGGCGAAAACGATTTTGTACGCCAAAATTTTCGCCGCCGGTGCGGCTGTCCAAGGCGTGCTCTACGCGCTCGCTAAGCGTGAGGGCGGAGGAATCACGGACGTCGTGAAGAAGCTCGAGCTCGTGAGCGAGTCCGTCGCCGGACTGTTTTTCGGTCTCGGTCTCGTCGTGAGCGGGATGACGAATCCGGCGAAAGTCGCCGGTTTTCTCGCAGTCACCACTCAAGCTTTCGATCCGTCCTTGATGTTCGTCATGGGCGGCGCGCTCGCCCTCGTGGTTGTTTCTATGTTCCTCGCGAAGAATGCCTTGGGCGTCTCTCGTCCGGCCATGGCGCGAGAGTTCTCGACTACTCCGAAGTACGTCGACAAGTCTGTTTTGATCGGAGGCGCGCTCTTCGGCGCTGGCTGGGGCTTGGGCGGCGTTTGCCCCGGCCCGGGCCTCGTCAATCTCGTTCTGAACTCCGGTCGCGAGATCACGCTCTGGTGCGTCGCGTACTTTGCCGCGCAAGCCGTCCAACAAAAGCTCTCCTCCCAGTACTCTCTCGAATAACCGCCGTCCCGCGGCTGCAATACCAAACTTCACAACGTACCCTCACACCCCCGCGCGCGCGGCGCCGTGCGATCAGCGATGCTCTCGACGCGCGCGCGAGCGGCGCCGCCCTCCTTCGCGCGCGTCTCGAGCCGCTCGCGTCGCGCTCGCGTCCCCGCGGCGTCGCCGCGCGCCGTCGAGTTCGGCGCGCGGGACATCGCTTCCCTTCCTCGCGTCGCCGCGTCGTTCGCATCCGCCGGAAAACTAAAGTCGCCGGCGCCCCAGCGCGCGTCTCGCGACGTCAAAGCCCGCGGCGTGCCCGTTCTCTCGTCGCTTCCGCTCGTCGGCTGGGCGTTTTCGTCCCCAGTCGTGCTCGTGGTCTACGTTTTCGTCGCGATTAGGATGTATCTCGGCTACGACAGGACCACGTTCGGAAGCGGCGTGCCCAAGATCGCCATGTGCGGCCTGTGGCCCGTCTTGGCCGCGCTATCGGCGTCGTTTCGCGAGAATTTAAAGCGCTCTTTGTAAGACTTGAGGATTTGAATGCGCCCGGGACAGGCGTCAGAACGCGACGCGACGTCGCGTCGTCGCGCGCGCGTCGTCGGACCCGCGCGCGCGCTCGAAGGCGGAAAAGACTCGCGCGCGCGATCGCGCGCGCTCGAACTCGCGCGAATCGCGACGCGCGCGTCGATAGGCGCGCGTGAACGTCGACGCGCGGTGACAGTTGCGTCGAGTAAATCGCCGCGCGGCGGCGCATGCGCCCTGGCCGATCGTCGCTCAGCGGACAGAGTTTGAACGAAGAACACCGCGCGCGCGCTCACGCGCGAGGGAGGACGTCGCTCGGGATGTCGGCGTCGAACAAGCGCGCGTTCGTGTTCACGTGCCTGGGCCTCGGGTTGGTGTTCGCCGATCAAAATTTGTTAGCGCCGAATTTGACCGCCATCGCGAACGATTTGAATCTGTCGCCGAATGAGCGGGACTATAAATTAGGCGGGCAGATCGCGTTCGCGTTCTTCTTGCTCGGCGCGCCGGCGGCGGTGTTGATCGGGTCGATGGCGGATTACTATCCGCGCACGAAGCTCTTCGCGTGGACGATGCTGTTGGGATCGTGCCCCAACGTCCTGGCGTGGATGCCGGGGGTGACGACTTTTGGTCAGTTGTATTGGTTGCGCGCGCTGACGGGAATCGCGGTAGGCGGCGCGGCGCCGTTGACGTACTCCTTAATGTCAGACTTATTTCCGCCGAGCGAGCGGACGAAGATGAGCGCGGTGACGGGGCTATCGATGACGCTCGGGATCGTCTGCGGGCAAGCGATCGCGGGATTTTTGGGGGAGTCGTACGGCTGGCGCTTGCCGTTCGCGGTGGTGGCGATTCCGGCGATATGCGTGGCCATGGTGCTGATGTTCTTTGTCGAGGAGCCCGAGCGCGGGGCGATGGAGGCGCCGCCGGACGAGGAGGCAAGTCTCGAGCAAGAGTCGCTCGTCATCCAATCGTCCTCACGACCCTCGACACCGCCGATACCACCGCGAGGGCTGCACTTCAGCGCGACCGCGGCGAAGATGTATGCGCGAAAGTTGCACGGCATCGTCTCCGTGCGCACCGTGGCGTTGTTCTTGGCGCAAGGCGTGTCGGGTTGCGTGCCGTGGAGTATGATCAACACGTTCTTCAACGATTACTTAGCGCAAGATAAGGGGTTAGGTGTGAAGCAGAGCACGTCGATGCTGATTTTATTCGCCGTCGGCGGCATGTTAGGGACGATTTGGGCCGGGTGGTACGGCCAAATTCTTTTCAACAACAAACCGGAGAACGTATCGATTTTCATGGGATCGAGCGCAATCGTGGGGGTGTTCCCGGTGGCTTACTTGGTGTTGGCGAATTACGACAACTCCGCGTCCGACATCGCGATCAAGTCGATCTTATCCTTTATTTCGGGAGGCATCGCTTCGTGCGTCGGCGTGAACATTCGAGCGCTGTTGCTCAACGTCCTGCATCCCATGAATCGCGGCACCGCGTTTTCCCTCTTCATGCTCACCGACGATTTAGGCAAAGGATTCGGACCTCTCGTCGTCGCCGGCTTCGTCGCCGCGTTCGGTCGCGAGACGGCCTTTTTCATCTCGGTTTTGTTCTGGATTCCTTGCGGGTGTCTTCTCGCCGCCTCGTGCTACACGCTGAAACGAGATTTACAAACCGCCGCTGCGCGTTACCAAACAGAACGCGCCGAAGAAAATCGTTCGGTTCGATTGGATTAGCCCTTCTTCGCGCCCGCTGTAGATTATCCCTCATTTCAATCCGACGCGCTCGCGTCACTAATCCCCTCGCCGCGCCATGGCGCCCTTCAACCTGAAAACGATCAGCGTCACCCGCGCCCACCACGGCACCTTACATCGGCTCCAACACGACTCCGAAACCTTGAGCTCGGTCGCGACTTTCGCCGTGTTCGTTCCCGGCGCGGTCGAAGACTTCAAAGACAAATTCCCCCTCTTGTTGTACCTCTCCGGATTGACGTGCACGGACGAAAATGTGGCGCAGAAAGGGTGCGCGTTCGAGCACTGCCACGCGCGGCGCGTGGCCATGGTCATGCCGGACACGTCACCGCGAGGAGACGACGCGGCGGACGACGAGGCGTGGGATTTAGGGAAGGGGGCTGGATTTTATGTAGACGCGTCGGCGGCGCCGTGGTCTCGACACTACAAAACGTACTCGTACGTCACGAAAGAGCTGCCGAAAGTGCTGCGGGCGTGCGATTTTGCCGATGCGTTGGATCACGAGCGAGTGTCGATCTCGGGGCACTCGATGGGGGGACACGGGGCGTTGACGTTGGCGCTGAGAAATCCAAACGCGTACGCGAGCGCGAGCGCGTTCGCTCCGATTGCTAATCCGACGGCGTCGGATTGCCCGTGGGGACAAAAGGCGCTCAAGGCCTACCTTGGGAGCGCGGATTGCGATGAGGCGAAATCGCACGACGCGACGGAGCTCGTGAAGAGCGTCGAGGCGGGCACGTTTAAGATGCCGATTTTAATTGATCAAGGCGCGGCGGACTCCTTTTATAAGACGCAGTTGCACCCTGAGCGTTTCGTGGACGCGGCGAAAGAGCGTGGATGTGATGTCACGTATCGTCTGCACGATGGTTACGATCATAGCTACTTTTTTGTTTCCACGTTCATGCGCGAGCACATCGAGTTCCACGCCGCGGCGCTGGGAAGTCTTAAAATTTAATGACATTGATAATCGGTTGTGAAAGTAATTATACGGTTGAGAAGGACCGCTTGATTAATCGAAGCTCAACACGCATCGTAAGCACTTGCCTTCGTGCAACAGCTCGAACGCTTCGTTGATTTGATCAAACTTCATGCGGTGCGTGATGTATCTGTCGAGTTTCGTGTTTCCGCCCATGTACTTTTCGACCAGTTTCGGCACGGCGATGCGGCTCTTGTACCCGCCGAAAGCGGTACCTTTCCACGTGCGACCGGTGACGAGTTGGAATGGTCTGGTTGAGATTTCCGTGCCCGCGGCGGCGACGCCGACGATGACGGAAGTCCCCCACCCCTTGCGGCAGCATTCCAAAGCGCTTCGCATGACGTTGACGTTTCCGACGCATTCGAACGAATAATCCACTCCACCGTCCGTCATCTCCGCGATGACAGTTTGTGAATTTTTATCGCCAAACTTTGTCGGGTTCACAAAATCCGTGGCGCCGAACTCGCGCGCCACGGCTTCCTTTTCGTCGTTGGTGTCGACAGCGATGATGCGCGTCGCGCCCGCCTCCACAGCCGCCTCCACGCACGCCAATCCGACGGCGCCCAGACCAAACACCGCCACGGAGCTCCCCTCTTCGACCCGCGCCGTGTTATGCACCGCCCCCCACCCCGTGCTCACGCCGCATCCCAGCAGGCACACCTTATCCAACGGCGCCTCGTCGTTCCCCACCTGCGCCACCGCCACCTCGTGCACCACCGTGTACTCGGAAAACGTCGACGTTCCCATGAAGTGAAAAATCTCCGACCCGTCGCTCGCGAGCGTAAATCTCGGCTTCCCGTCGTTCTTCATCACCCCCGCGCCCGTGTACGCCCGCACCGCCTGACACAGGTTCGATTTCGGATGCACGCAGTGCGCGCACGGCTCCTTCGCGATGTCCGCGCAGTACGCCTGATAGCACGGAATCACCCGATCGCCCGCTTTACACGACGTCACGCCCTCGCCGACGGATTCCACCGTCCCCGCCGCCTCGTGTCCCAGGATGCACGGAAACTTCCCCTCCGAGTCGTGTCCGCCGAGCTGTTCGACGCGTCGGCGTCAGTCCGAGACGATCGACGGCGCGTCCGGGTCGAGTCGGCACGCGCGCGCGCGCGCGATTCGCGCGGCGAGCGCGCACCGTGTACGCATCCGTGTGACACAGCGCGTTGTACGCGATTTTAATTCGCACTTCGCCCGCCTGCGGCGGCGCGACGACGACGTCGACGATTCGCAGCGGCTCGCGCGGCGCGAACGCCACCGCCGCCTTGCACGCGATCGGCTCGCCCGCGCGCGACATGCGCTCGCGAGGCGATCAGTGGCGACGCGCGAACGCGAAGGGGACGTTTTTCGCGACGACGATTCGACGACGACGGCGCGGGAAACGACGAGGCGTCGCGACGGACGGCGCGCGGAGTTACAAGCGAGCGTCCGCTACGGCTTGGCGCTCGCGAGGGGGGCGACGTACTGCGTGGACTGCTGAAACGCCTCGATCTCGCGGTGAATCGCGTCGACGGCGTCGGGCTGGACGAGGACGCGACGCGCGTCGAGGTCGACGACGACGAACTTGCGCTCCGCGGGCGCGACGTCGTTGAGGTGGAGGATGTACTGCTTGATGGGGACGTCGGCGGTGATCATGACGCCGTGGACGGCGGAGACCATGGCGCGCGCGAGGCGCGGTCTGCGGGTCGCGGCGACGACGCGCGCGGCGAAGGGAGAAATGGGCTAAAACGAGGGCTAAAACGAAGACCGATGGCGAGGTCGGTGATGGCTAAATCATGGCGCGCCGTAGAGCCGCGCCCACGGTGGACGCGGGGCGTGGACGTCGACGCGGAGGTTGGATTTGGGGTGGCGAAACGCGACGCGCTCGGCGTGGAGCAACGCGCCGGCGACGCGACGCGCGGAGAAAGGCGCGTCGATCGGTCCGTCGCGAGTCGCGGCGATCGGTCCGCCGTATCTCACGTCGCCGACGAGCGGAAGTCCGAGCGACGCGCAGTGAAGTCTGATCTGGTGCGTGCGACCGGTGAGCGGGGAGCAACGCGCCAACGCGACGCGGTGTCGTCGGCGGTCGGCGTCGTCGGCGGTCGGCGGTTCGCAAAATCGCAGCGCCACGCCGTCGGTGATCACGCGCTCGACGATGATCGTGGTTTCGGCGTGCTTGACCTTGACCTTTTTGTTCCCGGGAAGCGCGCGGCCGATGTCCGCGGCGTCGTAGAGACGGAAGAGGCCGTATTTCGCGCGGCCCCAACCCGTGAATACTCTGCGATGATCTTCAACGCCGTCGTAATCCGCCGTCGCCGCGCACAGCGCGACGTACGTCTTCTGCACCGTGCCGTCGGCGAATTGCGCCGACAAGCTGCGAATGGCGTCTCGATTTCGCGCGACGACGAGACATCCGGAGGTGTCGCGGTCGAGTCTGTGAACGACGCGCGCCGACTCCGAGGCGTTGAACGGCACGTCCCGCGTCGTCGCGCGGTTATCGACCGTGGTCGCATCATCGCATTTCACCATGCCTCGCTCGACGAGGCGTTCTATATCGTGCACGTACGTCTGCGCAGGCTTGTTCAGGACGTAGACGTCGTCGTCGACGTACACCGCGAGCAACGGGACGCCGGCGGCTGCGTCCGCTCTCGCCGCGCGTTCGCACGACTCCGCGCGCTCGCCCTCGATCGCGCGCGCTGCATCACTCGGCGGCCCAGGACGGAGCGTCGGTTTGGGATATTCGGTCGACATCTCGCCGCGAGGCGATAAATGATGAGACGCAGGGCGAAACCTCGAGCGTCCAGCGTCGCAAACTTTTGCGACGCGAATGACGCTCACCCCATTTTACCTACGGTACAGCACAGTGACGACCGCCGATATACGCATACGTCGGTCTTTCATAACGTGGAATCCGCGTCGCACTCTTGAGGTAGCGATCGATCGGCGGTTCGCGAGCGACGGCGGTTAAGAATTCACCACACCGCGGCAAATTCAGACGCGTCGCGAAATCGGGCACTAAATCCTCCTCCGCGAGCTCGAACAGCGTTTCGAATAAAGCTAAATCGACATACGTCAACGACTCGCCGACGAGCCGCGAATTTCCGTTACGCTCTAGGATTTCCTCGAACACGCGCAGCGCCTGCCGCGAACGCGCCGGCACCGATAAATTATTCACGCGATGCGTCTCTTGAAACCTCGCGCACTCAGCGTCTTCGCGTCTTTCAATGCTCTCTTTCAATGCCCTCGCGCTGTACAGCTGTCCATCGTGCGTCAATCCGCCGTTGCGAATAGTGTGCCAATATTGCATAAAGAGTTCGTCGACGCGCGCGCGCTCATACTCGTTCGCGCCGTCCAAACTCAACTCTCGCCCCAGGTATCTGATTATCGCCGTTTCGTGGGAAACGTCGTTCGCACACCCATCGATGTCTACCAAACTCGGCGTCTTCCCGAACGGCGTCTTCGGTTTCACTTTCGGCCACGCGAGGTAGCCGACGACTTCGACCGCGTGCGGCGCTCGCGCGAGTTCGAGCATCATCCGAATTACCTCGGCGCGATTCCGCATCGGCATGTACTGCAGCCAATATTTCGCAGCCTTCGCGCCGTCGCCGTCGCAGTGGCGGTACATCACCGCGTGGACGTCCGTGCTCCATAAATCTTTCGACGCGAAGAGTTGCTTTTTCAACGCCTCGGGCGTGATTTCCGCGAGCGTTTCGTCGCGTTTCGCGCGCGCGGCGACGCGTCGCGCGCGCGCGCGCGTCACAGTCGCGCGCGGTCTCGTCGCGCGCCGCGCCGCGCGCGGCGTCGGCGCGGGTCGCGCCGCGAGCATCGTTTTAAAGATGATTTCAGGAGAAACAGGATGATAAAGTGATATTACAGCGCGCGCGCTACGAGGACGCGAGACGCTTGGGAGAGACGTCGACCGCCACGGCGTCGACGAACGCCACGCGATCGTCGTCGATGACCTCTAAGTCGGGTGCGAGTAACTGCACGTAACGGTCAAAGTAAATCAGTTGTTTGATCAAGATGCCGAACGCTTTGGGGAGTTTGATTTTGTTCTCCTCGGCGGCGACGATCAAGTCGGAGGCCAACTGCGTCACTTGCTGTTGGTCGACGGTCACGGCGGCGCGAGGGGTGCCGTCGAAGGTGTCTTCATCGACAAGAACAGTCGGTTCGATGGAATCTAAGGTTTCGTAGACTTTGCGTAAATCATTAGCGAATTTCTTGACGTCGACTTCGCCGTCGGTGGCCCCCATCGTCACCAGCGCGAGCGCCATGCGCTCGTAATCGCGCGCGGCGGTGGATTGGAAAAAAGCTTGCACCGCGCCCCAAATTGACGGGGAAATTTTGCCGACGATGCCGAAGTCGATGAAACCAACGCGCCCGTCCGGACAAACGATCAGATTACCCGCGTGCACGTCGGCGTGAAAACTCTCGCACGCCAGCACGCTGCCAAACCAAACGTTGAGCGCGTTGATGAGCGTCGCCTCGGGATCGCGCGTGCTCACCGAACGAATCGCCTCCAAGTCCGTGAGCGGGACGCCAGAGAAGTACTCCATCACCATCACTCGTTTACCACTAAATTGTTTGTACACTTGCGGCGCCTTGGCGATGTTCGTCAGTTCCGCGTCTTCAAGGTATCGTCGAAAAGCGTCGACGTTTTGCGCCTCCTTTCTAAAATCCGTCTCCTCCAACATCGACTCTCGAATGTCTCCGACGATGTCCACCAACGATGTTCGCGAGAGTTCAGGATTCAAAAACTGTAACACCTTGCTCACGATTAACACAAAGCTCAAATCCGCCTTGAGCGTGTCCTCGACGTTCGGTTTCAGCACCTTGACGACGACGTCTCGCCCGCTTCCGAGCAGCGTCGCTCGATGCACCTGCGCCACGCTCGCGCTCGCCAAAGGCACCGGATCGATCGTCGCGAACACATCATCTATAGAACGTCCCAAGTCTTTCTCGATCGTCCGCTTAATGATGGAAAAATCCGTCACCTCGGTCGCGTCCAGGCACTTTTGAAACTCCTCCACGTACTCCTTCGGAAACACGCTCGGCGCGCTCGCGATGAACTGTCCCAATTTCACGTACGTCGCCCCCAGCGCCTCAAACGTCCGTCGCACGATCACCGGCGCCGTCGGCGGGTTCTCCATCGACAACTCCCCGAAAGATCTCACCGCCAGCGCCGCGAGCGACTCCACCGCGTTCAGCGTCCTCGCCACGCCCGGCGTCCCCGCGCCCGCCGCGATGCCCGCGATTTCGCTCATCAGCACCCTCGCCTCATCCGCCCTTCGCAACGCCTCCCGCGCGTCGAACGTCGCGCTCGCGCTCGCGAACGGGTTCGCCTCGAACGCGTTCCCGTCGTCGCGCGCGCCGGTCTCCCCCGGGATCGACCGCGAGCGCGCGCGGCGCGTCACGATGCGTTTCGACGTCATCGCGTTCGCGCGCGTTTTCGACGTCATCGCGTTCGCGCCTCGTCGCCGCGCATCGCGCGACGCCGACGCGTCCGCAACGCGCGCGATGTGCGCGCGCATGCTCGCGCGCGGGTTCGATCGTCGCACGCGCCGCGCGTCGCCGAGTGCGGCGCGCGTCTTCATCGCGTCAAAACGCAGCGCGACGAGCGACCTCGTCGCACGCGCGCGCGCACGCCGCGTCGGAAGCGACTCGAATGGCGTGGACGAACTTCATCATCACCGCCACGGGCCTGATCGCCGTCGCGTCGCTGATGCGCACGGACGTGCGACAATCGTCACGAATGTTGAGACAGAATTTAAAAACCATTCGACGCTGGGTCGAGGACGGCGCCGAGGCGACGGCGAAGACGAGCGAAAAAACCCTCGGGGACACCGCGGTCGGGAAAGCGATGAAAGAGATGCGCGACGAGGCGATGAAGAAGAAGGATTGAGGACGAGGTTGAAAGGCTTTTTGAGATTGGCGCAGACGCGGCGAGGTCGACGTCGAACGAGGGAGAGGTTTGCGTCGATCGATACGCTAGGCGGAAGTGCGGTCGAACTGCGTTCGGTTGGAGGGCGACGCGCGGAGGGGCGATCGAGGACGAGATGAGTTCGCCGTTCGGGGCGAGGATCGAGACGCCGGCGTTGAGCGGGAAGTCGGCCAAAGCGATGCGGAACGCGAGCGCGGCGTGGGGTTGGACGTGTGTGCTCGTGTTGATGTACGAGGCGCTGGTGCGAGGGATCGATGAACGGCGCGTGCACATGCTGAACGTGTATTATCAAGCGCCGACGGTGGCGACGCTGGCGTGTTTGATGTGGGCGCACAACTTGCGAGTGTGGCACCGGTTGCGATTGACGCCTTCACCGTTGATTTGTTTTGGGGTTGAGCAAAACGAGTCGGTGACGTTTGAGCACGTGTATCGATTGGCGCACGCGAGCGCGTTAGCTCTCTTGACCTCGGCGGTTTTGTTTCTATACGCGTACGACGTGGACGAACCGTTCGCCGCGACGACGATTTTGTTGGCGACGTATTTCGTTCCAATACTCGTCGCCATGTGGCCAAATAGAACGAAAGGGCTTGGAGAATTACGGTCGTATACGCGACGGTTGCTTTATAACTGCTTCACTCCCTTGGTGCGGCCGGTCGGGTTCGCTGATTTCTTCTTCGCCGACATCTTGTGTTCGTTGGCGAAATCTTTGAGCGATTTAGAACGCGTTGTTTGCAGCGTGCGACACCGCGTGATGCTCATACACACCGCCGCGGGTAAGTGCGGTGATAGAAGTATCATGATTCCCGTCGTGCTCATCATACCGTCCGCGATTCGACTGCTGCAGTGTCTGAGGCAGTTTGCCGACACGCGCGAGCCAAAGTGTCTGTACAACGCATTCAAGTACACGAGCGCGTTCCCGGTCATCATCATCTCCGGATTCCGGCACTTCATCGATCACGACGATTGGGTCTTCTTTTGGCGTCCGCTTTGGATCGGGTTTTGCGTGTTCAACACGTGTTTTAGCTTTTACTGGGACATCAAGCACGACTGGGGGCTGTCGTTGCTCGGCGGCGGCGCGCCTCGGCGACCCGGCGAGAAATTTCCGTTTGGATTGCGCGAGCGTCGCATTTACGGCGCACCCAAGGTGTATTATCGGGCAATTTGGTTGAATTTCTTCTTGCGGATAAGTTGGACCTACAAGCTCGCGTCGCACTTGCGACATCATAGCGCCGTGCTCTGGCTCGTTACCGCCGCTGAAATCACGCGACGATTTCAATGGTCGTTGTTCCGCGTCGAGGTGGAATATTTGAGACGATTGCAGCACGCGTAAATAGCATTCTAGTACCGATATAGGTTATTATCACAACATCACGACTCTCTATCGATCCGTAAACACCCGCTATTTCGCGTGCGCGGTGAGCCATTTCAGGCACACGTCGATGTTTGTGGAATTCTTGCAACTCACGTTGTAGCAGCACACCTCCCTCCCGGTCGCGCGTTTCAGCTCCATCGCCTCCACCACGTCCTGCACGCGCACCGCGCTCTCTAAATCGCTCTTATTCCCGAGCACCAACAACGGAATCTCCCGCAGCGTCTCCCTCTTGAGCAACCCGTGCAGCTCGTTCCTCGCCGTCTCAAACAATTCCTTCGCCGCCGCATCCACGACGTACACCACGCAATCCACGCCTCGACAGTACCGTTCCCACGTTCCCCGAAACCGTTCCTGTCCACCGAGATCCCACGTCTTCACGCTCACCCCATCCCTACGCAGTCTCCGCACGTTGAATCCCACCGTCGGAATCATATCCTCCTCAAACGTCCCGCCGCTCAGCGCGTCGATGAACGACGTCTTCCCGGCGTTCTGCAGCCCTGCGCGCGCGCGTTCGCGAAACGTCTTCGTCAGTCCCCGCGCGCGCGTCCCCGCGCCGTCCTCGCGCGCGATCGAATTCGTTTCGTCGCGATTCAAATCAAAGTCCGACGCAACCGCCATCTTAAATCGCTCTCGCGCGCGCCGCGTCTCGCGCGCCGCGTCTCGCGCGTCGCCTCGCGTCGTCGTCGGCGTCGCTCGACGCACCGATCACGACGATCTCCATCTCGCGTCCGAAGAACAGCGCGCGCAACCACGCGACGAAGGCGTCCCAGTACGAGCGCGCGTCGTCGCCCATCGCGCGTCGAGGTGTGAGGGGGACGACCGCGCGGCATCGCGAGACATTACGCGCCGCGCCGACGCGCGTGCATGGATCCCGCGAGACCGTTTTCGACGTGCGTGAGAGAAACTCGCGCGACGCGCGCGATGCGACGTCGCGCGCGACGCGGCGGCGCGGGCGCGCGACGCGGCGGCGCGATGGATGACGATCGATTTGAGATTTCGCGAGCTGTCGAGTGATTAAAAATAAAACGACGACGCGAAGACGCGGACGCGCGACTGACGAGGGCGAGGGCGAGGCGAACAGGACGGTGGTCGTGCCGCTCGAGGACGAGAGACGCGCGAGGGCCGTGGGAGGGGCGCTCGGGGTGGATAAGGAGTTGCAACCGAGGGTGGTGCGAAAGACGGTGACGACGCGCGAGAGGGAGAACGGGGACGGTTGGGAGGTCGTCGCGACGTTCGAGGCGAGCGAGTTGAAGGCGCTGAGGAGTGCGGTGAGTGGGTATTACGATTTGTTGACGGTGAGCGTGCGGACGGTGGAGGCGTTCGAGGAGGAGATTTGAATCGGCGGTACGGGCGAGAACGGGCGAGATGCCGACGCGCGAGTATCAGATGAGCGATTATCACACGTACGAGGCGATCGGGAAAGGGAAGCACAGTACGGTGTATAAGGGGCGACGGAAGAAGTCGATTCAGTACTTTGCGATGAAGAGCGTGGAGAAAGGACAGAGAAATCGAGTGATGCACGAGGTGCAAGTGATGAAGGCGTTTTCCCACGAAAACGTGTTGAAATTCATCGCGTGTTACGAGACGCAAAATCATCTGTGGTTGATTCTGGAATACTGCGTCGGAGGTGATTTGTTGACGCTGCTGTCGCAAGATCTCAAGCTTCCCGAACCTTCCATCATGACGTTCGCGCGCGATATGTTCGTCGCCGCGCGAGAGTTGCACAGTAAAGGACTGGTGCACTGCGATTTAAAGCCAAGTAACATGTTGCTCGACGAAGAAGGGCGGATTAAGATTTGCGGATTCGGACTCAGTCGCAAGGTTTCCACTGTCGTGGCGTCTTCGGGTACGCCCACGCAGCTGTCGCGTCGAGGGACACCGTGTTATATGGCTCCGGAGATGTTTACACAAGAGGGCGTGCACTCGTACGCGACGGACTTGTGGGCGTTGGGGTGCGTGCTGTATGAGTGCGCCACCGGACGACCCCCGTTCACGAGTACGTCGTTGACATCATTGATCGAACAGATTTTAGAGCACGAGCCCGCACCGTTGCCCGCGGCGTATGGTACGACGTTTAAGAATTTGGTCTCTGGGTTGCTCATCAAGCGCCCGCACGCTCGTTTGACGTGGGACCAAGTCATTAACCATGAATTTTGGACCGAGCGCGGAGGGCAATACTTGGACGATCTTGGTGACTTAGTGACGCTTAGACTCCCACCGCAGCCTTCATTCGACGCGCTCGCGGCTAAACTGAAGAGCGAGGATTTGGCGGCGAGACTGCGAATGCTTGGAAACGCAAGAGCGTCGGGGGCGGTGGACGTGCGCGATTCTTTCATGCCCGTCTTGACGCAAAGTTTACGAGATAGCGTAAACGTCTCGCGACTGTCGAGGATTGCGCGTTCAAATTTGGAGCGAGAAGAAGTCGGTTCGTACGCGCCTAGCGGTGCTGCAGCTATCGAAGGCGACCCCTTGCAAGTCGCTGCCATTCACGAAGACGTGGAGTTGGAGAATCCAGACGCTGAGCTCAACTTCACCGCTCCGAGCGGGAACGACGATTTGGACGTGGACATGGAAACCGAAGACGTTATCATACCTTCAGCTCCCAAAACGCCTCCTAGGGGAGGTCGTCGTGGTGACGATGATTACGCAGATGAAAACAGAGCAGAGAACTTTGCCGATCCCGCTGAGTCGTTTGGTGACGAGATGCAGTCGGACAGCGATGACGCAACTCGCATCGTGCTCACACCTCCGACCGCGGACGCTATGTTAGTAGACACGCGTTCGCCGGCTTCGACGAGTCGCTCGTTACAGACGGCAGATGATGAGTTCGAAGAAACGTCGTCTTCGATGCGTCGCTTGGCGCCGCTTCCGGCGGAGACGCCGGCGGTGATCGGGAGGACAGAAAGTAGGATGCCTTCGCTGGCGGCAAGGAATGATGTGCTGGCAAAAAGTGTCGATTACGACAAGTTCAAGAAGCTGTGCACGCATTCGACCGATTTGACCGTGCGACCCATCGTGTCCAATCACAGAATTGAAGTGGTGAAAGACGCGCCTCACGATCCAGAAAAGTTGCCCTTCAAAGAATTGAGCGTGGACAAAATGTTGGCGACTTCTCAGAGCGAGCTCGAAGCGTTTCTGACTCGTATTTACCGCTCCGTGGCGCACCCTTCAAACGTTCAAGAAAAAGTTAACACTTTGGCTTATTTCGAGACGTTGTGCACCGAGGCGTCGAGCGCGAACGTCTTGGCGAATTCATCCTTGATGTCAATGTTCGTCCGAGTGCTCGGTAGCAGCAAATCTCCACCGTTGAAGATCAAGCTTTGCAGCATCATGGGCTTGTTGATGCGACATGCGACGCATATTAGCGATGAGTTCGCGAAGAGTGAGGCTGCAAAAGTACTGGCGGGCACTATGAGCGACGAAAACTCTCGCGTGAGACGCCGAGCTATGGCGGCGCTCGGGGAACTGTCGTTTTACGTCGCGACGCAGCAGAGGCCAGACGCATCACAAGTATGGGGTATCACCGACAGTGTGATTGAGGTCTTCATCAAGACGTTAGAAGAGGAAGAAGATGAAATTACTAAGCACTACGCGTGCAAGAGCATCGAGAACATAGTCTCTCACGAGGGCTCAACGTGGATACAAGACGCATTCGCGGAGTGTCGCGTCGTAAGTGTTTTGTTTTCAATCGCGACGAATGACGCCGTAGACGACCAGCTTCGTGGTACTTCGGCAAGTGCGCTCGCAAGAATCGTTCGGCTCAAGTCGGAAACGCTTCACCCACTGGTCGGCGAAGAGGATTGCGATGGTTCAAATGCACGCGATGGCCTGGTGAAAATGCTTAGAGATCGTGAGAGAAAAGTACAACAGGCGGCACTCAACGTGTTGTGTAGAGCGCTGGTGGATGAAAAGTCGCGCTTGATTGCCACTATCATGGAAGTTCAAACGCTTTTGCCCATTCTTGCTGGATTGTACGAGCGAAGTCAAACGCCCATCATCAAAGCCAAGTCGTTGCTCGCGATGGCGCTTTTGATTCGCGCGCATCCAAAATGGTTGCAATCGCTTTGCAAGGCGCGCGTTTTGCCGATGTTGGATCGTCAACCGACGCAAATGGACCCTTATTTACAAGAATGTTTCGATACGTTCGTCACCACCGTTGTGGCCCTCGTGCCGGTCGTGAACACTGGTATCTTGCAGTACGTCGAGCGATCGCTCTCCACGGGATTGTCATCGGAAAACGCCATGCGACCGCAAGCGTTTGAGTTATTTCCTGTGCTCATTCATTTGCTGCAATCGACTGTCATGCGACCAAAAGTATTGACCAGTGCGTTTGTGATCGACATTGCGAAGTACATTCGCGCCGCTGAGGCTGAAGAGGATTACCCTGGTCGCGACGAGCTTCGCGTGGGAGTTATGGCGTTGCTCGAGACGTGCGCACAGTGTACGAATGAGTTGATTCATAAGGTTGATGCGTTGACGCGTCACTTATTACCGGCGCTGTGCGACTTACTCGAAGGAAGTGCGCACGTTGAAACTCGTTTCTTGGCGCTGAAGCTCATCTACGAACTCTTGCTGCCATTGCGTTTGGATTTGGATATCGCCACGCAAAGCGGTCTCGATCGAAAAGTCGTTGCGCACCACTTGGACCAGCTCTTGATGCAAGACTTGTTCCCGATGTGCCCTGCGTTGATCGATAGTGAAGACCCAATCCCATTGTACGCTTTGAAACTTCTCAGCGGCACGCTGGAGATTGAGCCCGCGCTTTGTCGCGAAATCATCGCCTTGGGTTTGGCGCCAAGATTCTTTGAGTTTCTCTCGCTCGAGCACACGAACAACAACGAGCACAACATACATCTGTGTCTCGCCCTCGCTCGATGCAAAGCGCTCAGCACGCAATCATTGTGGGACTTCGACGCCCCTGCGAAAGTCGCGCAAGTATGTGCGTATAGCTACGAGCGAAACGTCACGCAGTTTGTCGAGCCCGCGCTCGGCATCGCCGCCACCCTCCTTCGCCGCGCCGCCGCCGACGCGCCTCGCGCCGCCGGAGACGCCGTCCCATCCGAAATCACCCCTCTCCTCGAGGTCGCGCCGACGCTTCGTCGGCTTGCAGCGACCATACCCGACGGTGCGCTCGCGCGCGATATCACTCATTCCCTCGACACCTTCAACGCGCATTAATTGTAACACAGAACTCGCACGCGAGTCAACAGCACGCTGTCAACTCACACACAGATGCTCATTCGGTCAACAATCGACCGCACACCACGCGCGCGTCGCCGCACGACGTCGAGCGACACAGGGAGCCGTAACGGAACCGCACGGAACGTCACCTTCCGCCGCGCGCGAACGCTCGCGATAGACAACCGACGCGCGCGTTGTCGCAACGTCGACCGGGACACGAAGCGTTTTTTCAACCGTCGCGCGCCTTCGCGTCATCATGCCTCGAGATCACACCCGCGACGCCAAGCCGTGGACCGCGGAGGAAGATGCAGCGTTGTTGACGCTACAAGGCGCGCATGGGAACAGATGGAGCGAGATCGCGCGCGCGATGGGCACTCGGAGTGGACAACAGTGCGCACAGCGGTGGCGACACAAGGTCAACCCAGGGATCCGACGGGAGCGGTGGAGCGAGGAGGAGGATGAAAAGGTGCGAATGCGGTCGATAACGTGAGCAAATGATATTGGTTACATGCGTTGTGTGCGCAGAACACAATTTTGGTCGCGTGGCGGGAGAGATATCGTCGAGTGGTCCCGCGCGGTCCCGCGTCGTCTCAAACGATTTGACTGACGAAGAGAGCGATTTGATTTGACGTGACAGTTGAAGACACTGAAAGAGCGCTACGGGTCGAGATGGGCAACGATCGCGCGTGAAATGGGTGGTCGCACGGATCAGCAATGTATGGGACGGTGGAGACGACATCTCGATCCGACAGTGACTCGCGGCGCGTGGGCTCGGGACGAAGACGAGCTCTTGTGCGGGTTGTACGACGAGTACGGTCCGCGATGGTCATTCATCTGTCAGAGCGTTCCGGGTCGCACCGCGCAACAATGTCGCGCGCGATGGTTTCAAGTCGACGGTAAGCCCAGGGAAGAGCGCGATCATCGCCCGTCCAGGCGGCAATCGCCCGTCGAGACTTCATCTCATGGACCCGCGGAGGATCATCCAGCGCGGCGATTTTCCGATCATGAAGGGTTGGTGACGCGTACTTCGATCGATTCGATGCCCATGGCGAGTCTGTCGCCAACACCAGTCGCTGAAAAACGACCATTCAGTCACATTCTGGCCGAAGTCAGCGCGCGCACGACGCAAAAGACTGGATCGTTAATAGAATCCGCCTCCATAGCGACTGCGCTCGGGCGCGCTTCGCCGGCGACTCTCTCAAAGCGCAAACAAGTATCGACAGCGCTGGATCCGATGTCGCTTTGGCGCGACGTCGGCGGTACGAAAGCCGTCGGTAGCTTGGCGCCGACACTCGTGGAAGATGGTAAGCGCAAACGCGGACGCCCGTCGAAGACGGTGGACGCGCCGCGGTCGCCGATGGCGAGGCTTTCGGTACAATCTCCTCGCGCATCATCGGTGTATGCACCGCGAACGCGCGCGCGAGCGTCGACGGCATCTGCATCATCCAAATCTACGCCTCATTCGTCAGTGATTGGTCGATCGACAGAAGAGGATAAACTCTCCGTTTTGCTCGGCGTCGCGCTCGGTCGAAGCGACGGCGCGGCGCCGCGTTGAATCGGCTAGGGAAAAATAATGTTGGTTTGCTGCTCGTGTTGTAACGACAAACTACGAAGAGAAAAACGTTTTTATGAGCGCTGGATTCGGGAGTCGATAGCTACGCCGCGACGCACTCGAGGAGCGCTTGAAAGTCCGCCTCCTCGTTCGCGTCGGGGAGGGCGTCAAAGCGCGCGTCGTCGAGCCACGCGAAATCGTCGATGTCAATCCCATCGAGGTCATCTTGACTTTCTGAATGAATCCCCGATTCTGATTCCGCGCCGCGGGCGAGGTCGCCGTCCAGGCTCCCGAGCGCGCCCTCGACGTCGTCCGAGTTCGCGCTCGGCGAGTTCGCCCGTCGTCGTCGTTTGCGGTTGGCATATTCATCGCGCTTTTCTCGCCGGCGCGTGGCTCGTCCCCGCGCGTCGCTCCAAACGGGCCCTCTCCGACGCGTCGACGAGACGAATCCCTTCGTCTCCTCTTCGCGTCTTCGATAGCCCTCGCGACGCGCGCGAGTTCCGAGCGCGTAGTCCGGCTTCGCGACCGCGTATAATCCGCCCCCGACGACGACGGCGTCCGCGCCGGCGTCCGCTCCCCATCGCTCGCGCGCGACGACGCCACCCTTCCGTCCCATCCCGCGCGCCGCTCGCGCGTCAGCTCCGACAGCGCGTCCTTCAGCACCGCGTTCTCCGTCGCGAGCGCGCGCGTCAACCGCTCGAGCGCGTCCACGCGTCGCCGCGCGTCCCGCTCGAGCGCCCGCTTCCGCGCCCGCGACGCCGCGCTCGCCGCGCGATTCGCCTCGAGTCGACGCGCGCGTCGCGTCGCGTCGTCCGCGTCGCGCGTCGCCATCGCGCGCGCGTCGGCGTGTGCGTCGACGCGGTCGGCACCCGCGGCGTCGGACGCGTGGTCGCGCGTTTCGATTGGTCGGCGGCGTGCATCGCGCGTTTCGATTGGTCGGCGCACGTGCGTCGATTCGCGCGTTTTACACCGCGCGAACGCGATGTGCGCATATATGCGACGCGGGTAAACCCTACACGTGCGCGCGTGTGTCCGTTCCGTGTGTGTGTTACGGTCTCGCATTTGAACGCGTCGCCGCGGGATCGCGCGCGCGCGCGGTCACACGACGAACGCGCGCGCGGGATCGCGCGCGCGCGCGACGTCCGACGCGACGCATCGACGGCGACGCGTTTACATCGACGCGCGCGACGCGCGAAATCGGCGCTCGAACGCGACGGACGCGCGGAGCGACGGTATTAACACGCGCGGACGACGGGGCGACGGCGCGGGCGATCATGGAGGCGACGACGACGACGACGACGACGGGCGCGGGAGAGCGCGACGAAGCGCGGCGATCGCTCGAAGCGCTCGGTGAACGCGAGTTTCTGGATGATTTGGTGCGCGGCGACGCTCGAACGCGCGAACGGGGACGGAATAGGGGATATTAAGAATGCGGACGCGCGAGGGCGATTGGCGCGCGGCGCGAGGGGCGGACGCGCGAAGCGCGCGACGAGGACGCGGGCGCGGCGACTGACGACGACGCGATCGACGGTGATTGGTTTTCGCGATAGATATTGACGCTGAGGAAGGATCCGGCGCTCGCGCGAGAGGTTCCCGAGGGCGTGGGTGGGTGACGACGCGCGGCGCGAATCTCGTCGGAGCGGCGAATCGTCGCGATTTCGGAGGCGCGCGCGGCGCGTTTGATTCGGCGCGGCGCGGACGAGCGATCGAGAGACTGACGACGAGGACGACGACGCTCGATCGCGAATCGCAGACTACTCGCAGTTCCCGCAGCGCACGGTGAATGGTTTTAAACTGGATTTGTTTGGGTTGTATCACAACGTGTGCGCGCGGGGAGGTTTTCCCGTGGAGACGAATGGGTCGGCGAGCAAGGTGCCGTGGTCGTGGAGCAAGGAAATTTTCAAGGGCATGGCGAACTGGACGGACAACCATCGGTGCACGTCGGTGGGGCACGATTTAATCTGCAGCTATCGCAAGTACTTGCTCGCGTACGAGCAGGCGCACCCGGAGGACGTCGACACGAGCGGCGCGCCCGTGGACGCGAACGCGGTGCCGCGCGGCGAGCAGACGATTCGAACGCGCGTGGCGACTGGCGCGCCGCAACGACGACGCGCGGGCGAAGGCGGCGCGGGAGGGAGTGGACGCGGGCGCGGACGGCCGCGCAATCCCGACGGCGGCGGTGGACGCGGGCGCGGGCGCGGGCGCGGGCGCGGGCGCGGGCGACCGCCGGGATTGCCCTCGCGAGGCGGGAACAATTTCAACTTTTCCATCGGCAATCGCGTGCGCGTGTACTGGCCGAGCGATAACGATTGGTACTCGGGGATGGTCGTGATGCAGGAGACGACGCCGGAGGGGGTGGTTTACAGTAAAATTGATTACGACGATGGTGATGAAGAAGTTTTGAATCTTTCAAACGAGATTTGTGAGTGTTTGGACGACGACGAAGATGGATTAGTGTATCGCCCGAGACCGAGCTCGAGGCGAGGCGCGAACACGGGCACTCCTGGGCAATTGGCGTTGGAGTACCAAGGTGGACACGAGCACGAGACGATGCGGCAGCCGATATCTATGGAAGAAGTCCTCGAGGCGATGAATCGTCGGGAAGCAGCGCGAGGTTTGTTTGAGCTATCGGCGGAACCGCACGAGGCGCAGGAAACGTTTCGGCTCGGGTACATGATGGGCGTTCGTCGCGCCGCGTTCAAGGCGGTGGATGTCATGCAAACCATGCTGGCGAGGGCGTTTCCCGAGGGTGATCCGATGCGGGATTTGGTGACGAAAGAAGATTTGCACAAGGCGGTGGTGGATGGCACGTACGAGGCTGATGCGGAGAGCGAGCTCGAGGAGGAACCGCCGGAGGATGAAGCGAACGATCCCATTGAGACGAAGACGTACGATCGCCCTTGGCCGAAAGAAACTAATATCCCCACGGAACAGGAAGTGTCGGACGAATTAGAAGCCATGCGCGCCGCTGCAAAAGAACGGCAAGCGCAAATGCAGCAACCGCTCGACGCGGATGGGAACCCAAAATTGGTCTTCAAGGTGAAGCGATCGCGCGAGTCGACGGACGATTTAGTCGCTTCGGCGGATGGCAAAGACGTCGCGATGGACAATGCTGACAAGCAAACGGAAGGAACGAAACCAGCGGTGGAGATGACGACTGGTACTGATCCCACCGGCGGAGAAGATGAAGAACCCGACGCGAAACGCCCTGCGCCCGAAGACGCCGCCGCGAGCGCCACGCCGCTCGGCGACCAACGCCGCATCGCCCTTAATAAAGTCGTCAATGTCGAATACGGCGGCGACAAGACCGTCCTTCGCTGGCTCGACACCCACGGCTGGGGTCATTACGCCGGTTCGTTCGCCGTCTACGGCGTCTCCCGCCGGACCCTGAACTACCTCTCGATGACAGATTTGGAAAACATTCAAGTCGACGCGCCGGCGCGCGCGCAAATGTTCAGAGCGCTCGATCGCCGTCGCAAGCGCAACGAAAAGTACCGCTTGAACGGCACATGACTTTTCATCGCAATTTGCATAGCACTTTTTAGCGTTTCATAAAAACTTTCCACGCGTTCGCGACGAAGTCCATCCGCGTCTCGTCGCGCGGCGCCGCACACCGCGACGCGACATCCATCGCGAGATCGCGTCACCATGTCCACCGGATGGCTCCGAGGCGTCGTCAAAGCCGTCCCCAGCGGTGATCAAGTCATCATCGCCGCACCGTGCGCGCCAGGGGTGCGTTCGCGCGCCGTACCGACCGATTTCGTCGCGCGATGTCGACGCGACGGTTGCCCGATCGCGCGAAACTGACCACTCTCGCGACGATTCTCGCGCTCGCAGGCCCCGCCCGGCGTCGAAAAAACGCTCACGCTCGCCGGTATCGTCGCGCCGCGTCTCGGTCGCCGCGACGGGTCGAGCGCGGACGAGGCGTTCGCGCGCGAGTCGAGGGCGTCGCTGCGGCGCGCGCTCGCGGGACGACGCGTGTCGTTTCGCGTCGAGTACGCGGTGGAGTCGATAAATCGCGAGTTCGGCGTCGTGTTCACGGAGAGCGGGGAAAACGTGAGCGTGATGCAAGTGTCTAAGGGGCTGGCCAAGGTGAAGGCGCCCGGGGGGAACGATCGAGCGGTGGCGAACGCGGAGGAGTTGGAACGACGCGAACTCGAGGCGCGAGAAGCCGAGGCGGGGATGTGGAGTAAGGATCCCGCGGTGCTCGCGGCGGCGAGTCAGCGAACGGTCGTGCAGGCGATGAAAGCGGAGGACGTGCTGGGTGCGTTGCGGATGAAACCGACGCCCGCGGTGGTGGATTACGTGCTGAACGGTGGGACGGTGAAGCTTGTGCTGACGGGGGACGGCGCGACGCGCGATCAGAATATCACGTTGTCTATCGGTGGGATTTCAGTGCCGTCCGTCGGGCGCAAGGGGGCGAAGAACGAAGATGGGACAGATCAAGGTCCAGAGCCGTTCGCGCTCGCGGCGAAGCATTTCACGGAGATGGCGCTCCTGCATCGAGACGTGCGGGTGATTTTGGAAGGTCTCGATCGTCGTAATAATTTCATCGGTTCAATCTTGCCCGCGGACGTGAACGATACGTCGTTCGTGAACGTCGGCGAAGAGTTGTGTCGGCTAGGTCTCGCGCAAGTGCACGAGGCGAGTGCGGCGGCGTTGATCGGTGGCGCGGCGACGCTTCGCGCGGCGGAGAAGATGGCCAAGGATCAGCAGTTGCGACTTTGGCATGGATACGTCCCGCCAATATCTTCCTTGAACGCGATGACGACGAAAGTCTTCGATGCCAGAGTAGTAGAAGTCATCAGCGGTGATTGCATTTCCGTGGTGCCGACGTCAGGGCCGGATACGTCTGAGAGACGAATCAATCTGTCGTCGATTCGGGCGCCTAGAATTTCCAACTCACGAGATGACAAGTCCAATCACGAACCTTGGGCGATAGAGGCAAAAGAGTTTTTGATCTCGCGTCTGATCGGGCGCACCGTATCGATTAATATGGATTACGCACGCAAGATTGGAGAAGGTGCGAACGAACGAACGTTGCACTTCGCCACGGTGAAGCTGCCAAACAACAAGACGGGCGGTGACCCGCTCAACGTTTCAGAGATGCTTCTCATGCGCGGTTTCGCGTCGTGCATTCGTCACCGTTCTGAGGAAGAACGTGCGGCAGACTACGATGAGCTCATCGCGGCGGAAAAGAAGGGCGTGGAGAGCAAAAAGGGAATGCACAACAAGAATCGCGAGGCGCCTGTACACAGGACGAATGATTTTAGCATCAACGCGCATAAGGCGAAGACGTTTTTGCCGTTTTTGCAACGCGCGGGTAAGTGCGTCGCTATGGTAGACTACGTCGCCGCTGGACACAAAATTCGAGTTTCAATTCCCAAAGAAGGCGCGGTGATCGCCTTTTGCTTGGCGGGCGTTCGCTGTCCCCAGCGCGACGAGCCGTACGCCGCCGAGGCGTTGGCGTACACGCGTTCTCGAATTCTTCAGCGAGAGGTGGAAATCGTGGTAGACTCCGTGGATAGAACTGGAATTTTCCTTGGCACCTTATTTGCGGACAACGGGCGATTAAATCTCGGTGAAGAACTCCTTCGAGCCGGATTAGGAAGCTTGCACCCGGCGTTCCCGGTGGATCGCGTTCACTACGGTCGCGCGCTCGCGGACATTGAAGCCGCGGCACGGGAAGTCAAGGCTGGTTTATGGAAAGACTGGACCCCTCCGATCGTCGAAGTAGACGGGCCTGAGGATAGTTCGACCGGCGAACTCGTGCGAGTCGGCGTCACCGAGTGCGTCGCCGGGGGCCGATTCTTCGTGCAGAAGTTAGATGGGAGTAAGATTCAAGAGGTCACGGACAAACTCGCCGAGCTTTACGACGGCGTGGACACGAGCAAGCCGCACGATGGCGTGTTCGAACCAAAGCCTGGCGATGCCGTCGCCGCCAAGTTCACCGGAGATGACAAGTGGGCGAGAGCCATCGTCACCGCGAAGCGCGTCGGTGATAAGCCCGTCAGCGTCTTCTACTGCGACTTTGGCAACGTCGAGGACATCGGTTTCAATCGTCTTCGACCTTTGAAGGATCCAACGGTCACCACAGTTGCTATCCCACCCATGGCCAACTTCTGCGCGCTTTCCTTCCTCAAGATTCCTCGCATCGATTCCGATTACGGCTACGCCGCCGCTTCGCACGTCGGCAAACTCATCTCTGGCCAGGCTTTCCACGCCCGAATCGACGCCCGCGATCGTTTCCCCACCACAAAACCATGGGAAATCGACGCACAGCCCGCGTTCTCGCTCACATTATTCCCCGACGCCAACGCTCGCGCCGCTGAATCCGTCGCCCTCGACCTCCTTCGCGCCGGCTTTGCGCGCGTCCACCGCCGCGCCGCCGCCCGTCGTCTCGATCGCGACGTCTTCGACGCCATGGTCGACGCCCAGGAGTCCGCGCGTCGCGCGAGGGTCGGTCAGTGGGAGTACGGCGACGTCGATTCCGACGACGACGCGTCTTAGCCTTGTAATCGCGTTCGCGTCTCCCGTCGCGTTTGAACGCGCCGCGCAGGCCGCGCCAAAACCCTGTTCTGGATAAGAAAAGCGAACAACGACGCGCGCGCGCCGCACACCGCGTCGCGCGACGCCGCCCGTCGGCGCGCACACGACGACGATGCACTCGCACGCGATGCGCGCGCGCGCGCCGCGCCCGCGCGCGAGCTCGCGCGCGTCGACGCTCGAAAGCGCGCGCCGAGGCCGATGCGACGGGACGGGACGACGCGCGCTCGGACGCGTCGCGCGAAGCGCGAAGCGCGGCGACGGCGTCGCGACGCGCGCGCAGGGCGACGTCGACCTGCTGAATCACCTGGGAAAGAAGCGCGTGGTGATCACGGGGATGGGGGCGGTGACGGCGCACGGGGACGACGTGGATGAGATGTACGAAAAGCTGTGCCGAGGGGAGAGCGCGATCGCGACGATCGATAAATGGGACACCGGAGAGATCGGAACGAAGTTCGCGGGGGAGATAAAAGCGTTCGATTGTGGGGATTATATGAATAAAAAGATGGCGCGCAGGGTGGATCCGTACATTGCGTACATGATCGTCGCGGCGAAGCGAGCGCTGGAGTCGGCAAAGGTGAACTGGAACGACGAGTCGGGGGAACATTACGTCGATAAAGCGTTGAGTGGATGTCTGATTGGTAGTGCGATGGGGGGGATGCAAACATTCGCGACGGCCACGGAGAATCTCGTGACGCAGGGACACAGAAAGATGAACCCGTTTTGCATTCCGTTTGCGATTACGAATATGGGAAGCGCGCTGACGGCGATGGATATTGGATTCATGGGGCCGAATTATTCGATCGCGTCCGCGTGTGCGACGGGCAACTTTTGCATCTTGAATAGCATCATGCACATTCAAAACGGAGAGGCGAACTTGATGCTCGCCGGGGCGAGCGACGCGGCTGTCATTCCCATCGGTATGGCGGGTTTCTCCGCGGCGAAGGCGTTGAGCACGCGCAACGATGACCCCGCGGCGGCTTCGAGACCGTGGGACGCGAACCGAGACGGATTCGTTATGGGTGAAGGTGCGGGCGTTCTCGTACTCGAATCTTTGGAAAGCGCATTGGCGCGCGGTGCGCCCATCGTAGCTGAAGTTTTGGGCGGGTTTGCGACGTGTGACGCTCACCACATGACTGAGCCTCGACCGGATGGCGTGGGCGTCAACTTTGCCATCGACAAGGCGCTCGAGATGACTGGCGTGAAGGCGGAAGATGTCAACTACATCAACGCTCACGCCACGTCCACGCCGGCCGGCGATATGGCGGAACTCCGTGTGTTGCAAAAGAAGTTCAAGGCGTCGGGGGCGAAGATTAATAGCACCAAGAGCTTGATCGGGCACTTGCTCGGCGCAGCTTCCGCCGTCGAAGCCGTCGTATGCATCAAAGCCATCACTAGCGGCGAAGTTCACCCCAACAAGAACCTCGAAACCCCAGATGAAGGCGTTGACACCTCGATGTTGGTTGGCACAACGAGAGAAAAGCTCGACGTGAAGGTTGCTTTGTCCAATTCTTTTGGCTTTGGCGGGCATAACTCGGCGGTCCTGTTCGCTCCGTACAAGCCTAAACGCTCGTAAACGACGCTTGATAATGTTATAAGAACTAGTCACCTGAATCACCGAACGTTCCTTCGTGCGTGCGCTTATATTTGATTGCCTAACGTATTGCAAATTGCTAAAAAATCAAATCAAGACCAAATACGGCGCTGATGACAAATAATACACCGAAGGCGAGCGCGACGGCGCTCGATCCACGAGCGATATAGCTCACAAACTTGGGATTATTCTTCTCCAACGCTGCCGTACCCGCACCAATGCAGTACGTGTACGTCCCCATGGCGATAATGGTTCCGATGAAGAACGTCGCCAAAAAAGAAATCGCCTCGACGCGAGGGAGCGCCAGGGCAGGTAAAAGCAGAAACAATGAATCCGGTTGTAATCCATGGATGGTGCCAGTAATATACGTCCATGAGATGAAGCTGCTATCGCGCTTCGCGGGCACATCGCTCCCATGCGAGTGCGAATGCGAGTGTGAGTGTGAGTGTGAATGTGAGTGCGAGTGACCGCCCATGCTTTCCCAAAAGCCAATAGCGCCAATAATAATGAGCGTCAAACCGACGATTCCTTGTCCAAACTGACCGATAACTTCCAAGTTGAGCGGTAATTTATCCCTCAAAGCGATGAAAATACATCCAAATAAAATTTGACCCGTGTTATGCCCGAGCCCCCAAAGCGCGCCCATCAACGCGTTTTGCGCTCTGCTCGGTCCCACTGTCAGTGGCGTGAGTGCCGCTAAGTGGTCTGGCCCCGTGAGCGTGTGCAAGCAACCGGCTAATAGACCAGCCCATGCAGACTTAAACGCCGTGATTACGCTCATCCAGTGTGCGACGTGCAAATGTTTGACCCAAATGGCAATCGCTTCGCTGCACACCGAGTACGCTGCGCCCAAGCAACAAAACACGGTGAACGTCGTGAGGGCCACGGTAGTACTCTTGGACAACGGCTGTCGCCCGAACGTGACAAGCAAACGCACTGAGTTCATCGCCACCATGAGGGTCGCGCCTTCGTGCAGCAATACCGCCAACCATAGCGGAAACGCGCCGAAGAGAGCGGGAATAGCTGACCCCAAGATTGATACCACGGCGAGTGCGATGTTTTGTCGTAAAGTGCGTCGCGTGCGCTCGGCGATGGAAAACAGCTCTGGTAATTGAGAGATGCCTCCTTCGTCTTTAGTGAGCAACAGTACATCCGCCGCACTCGCGGCGGCATCGCTCGGCGTCGACGCGATGGCGACGCCGACATCCGCGGCGGCGAGCGCTGGGGCATCGTTGATACCATCGCCAACCATGGCCACGCGAGGATATTGCTTGGATTTCACGCGCTCTCGCATTGATTCAACCAGTGCAAGCTTTTGAGACGGAGTCAATCCGGCGTGTACGTCTTCCGGTTTCAACTTGATCTCCTCAGCCATGGCTATGGCGCTCGTCTTGTTGTCGCCCGTGAGCATGGCCAACTCCATACCCGTCGAGTCGCTCGCCACCTCCCACCATCTCCGTCGGCACTTGCCAGTACGCAGGGACTCGATGGCATCGGGCGCCTGCAAATTAAGCGTATCACTAAACCTAAACAGCGCCGGGCTTTCGCCCTCAATCGCGAGCACAGAGAGCACTTCGCCCTCTTGCGCGATGACCTCGGCGGAGCATTCCGCAGCGCCAGTGTTACACAGCTCGAGCGCAAACTCGGAGCTACCGAATCGCGCACGCTTGCCGTCGATCGTGCCTTCCACACCACTCCCCGCGATGACTTTGTAATCCGTCACGGGACCGACGTCTGGCAAAATGATCCCCCGCGCCGCTTGCGTCACCGCGGCGGCAATCGGGTGGGACGAACCGCGTTCGAGGCTCAGCGCGTACGCCAGAGCCTTGACTGACGCGCTCGGAGCAGTGTCGTGTTGCGCACCGTCTTCAAATTGTGTGATATTCGTGCAGCTCATTTGCCCCGTCGTGATGGTTCCCGTCTTATCGAGCGCCACCGCGCCGACTTCGGCCAAAGCGTCGAGAGTCAAGCCGCCTCGAATGAGCACACCTCGCCGAGCCATGGCCCCGATGGCCGCCACGTACACGAGCGGCGACATCAACAATGCACACGGCGCTGCGGAGGATAAAAACGCAAAGCTGCGATACATGGCACCGCCGCGACCCAAAAATGGAATCCCGAGCACCATCGGCGCCGCGGCCATGGTAATAAAGGTGATGGCCAATATCGCCTTACTGTAGCGGTCTCCTATGCTATCGATCAATCGTGAGACTTTCGGACGACGCCGCTGCGCAGCCTCGGTGAGTCGCGCGATTCGCGCCGGTGTGCTCTCCTCGCTCGATCTCAAGCTCTTCACCACGAGCACGCCGTCGGTGTTCATCGCGCCGGCGGGAATCTCATCGCCGTATCTCTTCATCACCGGCAAAGCCTCACCGGTGATGTGTTGAATGCTCACTAACGCGCTGCCGTGGACAACCATACCATCCAACGGCACTTGCTGTCCAGCCTTGACGAAAATCATCGTCCCAACGTCGACGTCCGCCGCGGGCATCTCTCGGAGCGTCGTCAAATCCGGCGTCCCATCGGCGAGCAACTGCACGACGTCCGCCGTCGTGGGCACCGTGCCCCACAACGCCTTCAAATCCCCCCGAGCGTGCAGCGTCAATCGATCCTCCACGAAGTGCGCCAGGGCGAAGAGCACCAAGAGCAGCGCGCCCTCCATCGCGCACCCCAAGAGCACGGTGCCGAACACGGCCAACGTCGTGAGCACGTGAATGTTCACGTTCCCCACCGCGAGCTCGTACGTCACGTCCACAAACTCGGGCGTCCCCGCCAACACGTAAACCAGAATCGTGCACACCCGACTGACGTTCGCCGCCATCGTCGTCTCCACCAATCCGCCGCCGCCGACGTGCGTCGCCACGTGCGCCGCCCCCGCGACGAGAAACAGCGCCCACGACACCACCGCCACCGCCGCGTTCCCGCGCAGGAAATCCGCCACCGCGTGCAAACCAGTGGCGTTAAACATCGCATCCAGCGCCCTCTCCGTGCGTCCGCGCGGTGCAAACTCCCCGGAGCTCGTCGCCGCCATCATCCCCGCCTGCGACACGAACTCGTCCTCGTCCGCGCTCATCGCGCCGTCCATCGCCCGCGCGCCCCGCGCCTTACCGCACGAGTGCCCACAACACGAGTGAAATTCCCCACCGTGCGCCCGCGCGCGCTCGAAACCGCGTCGACCGCCTTCCCCGCGCGTCCGCGTCCCGCGTCCCGCGTCCACCCTCGCGAACCTCCCCCCCCGCGCCCCCACGACGCGCGCGCGCTCGCGATTCGACGCCGCGCGCGCGCTCGACGCGTCCATCCGCGCGCTCGCGCGCGTCCGGTCGCATCTGTCTCGCGCGCGCGTCCCCGTCGCCGCCCCCGTCGCCGTCGCCGCGCGCGCGACAACGATGCGCGTCGCCGTCGTCGCGCGTCCGCGCGCGCGCGGCGCGCCCGCGAGCGCGCGCGGCGAGGGCGCGATCGCGTGCGCGCGCATCGTTCGACGCGCGCGTCCCGGACGCGGCGCGCGCGGGCGTGTGACGCGCGTCGCGACGCGATCGGACGCGCGCTAGGGAAGCCGCGCGTTCGCGGCCGACGATCGCGCCCGTAATCGCCATTTCGCGACGCCCGACATGGATTTATTTCGGGACGCGCGCGTGGAGATGATAGGTTTAAAACGTCCTCGAACGCGCGTCGGAGGCGCACTTTTCGCGCGCGCGGGCGATGGATGCGCGCGCGTCGACGACGCGGGGGGCGCGCGCGGCAGAGCGCGGCGGGTCGCGACGGCGACGGCGACGGCGCGGACGGTCGCGGCGAAGCCCGGACGAAGGCGCGTCGACGCGCGCGCGGCGCGCGGACGCGAGCGACGCGACGCGCGGTCGACGAGAGGCGTGAGTTCGAGTTGGGTGTTGACGGTGGATGTTGACGACGGCGATGGCGTCGTTTTCGAGCGAGGCGCTTCGCGCGTGGCGCGCGGGGGACGAGGAAGACGCGCGCGAACGCGCGGCGTTGATCGCGGCGAGCTCGGGGGCGGAGTGCGGCGCGAATGGGGCGCGGGGGGGGGGCGACGACGGCGGCGCGAGGGCGAGCGCGCGAGGACGACGCGCGCTCGCGGCGGCGGCGTGCGTCGCGGCGCTGGTGGGCTTGGGGGCGTGCGCGCGCGCGCACGGTGCGGAGATGAGCGGGCGCGAGCGTGGGGTGCGCGCGGCGGCGCTCGGTGGGGAGGCGCGTTCGGGCGGGACGCGGCGGCGCGGCGCGCCGAGACGCGCCGCGCCGAGACGCGCCGCGGCCGCCGCGGCCGCCGTCGGGCAGAGCGAAGCCGAGAGCGGTCTAGTGGTGTTTAATGAAGCGCCGGAGTATACGTGCGCGAAACGGAATAAAGCTTTGAGAGAGGCTGCTTACGCCGCGAGGATGGGGTCGCCGTGGACGCCGGGGTGTCACTCAAAGCTAGGCGAGGAGGGGTGCACGAAGATTTCAGACGCCGGCGCGCGACTGGCGGCGTTGAGCGATCACGTGTACGTCATCTGCATGAAGTGCGATAAAATAGTGCTCCCATTGCAGTGGGCGGGGAAGGTGACGACGGTGCACGGCGCCGACATCGATCCGTGCTACGGGCGCGCGGCCGCGGATCACTGGCACAAGGCGTCGATGTCGCACGTGCACGCGCTCCTCGACGCCGTCAAGTACCAGTACAAGACGGTGACCATCGTCGAAGAAGATGCGATAACGGTTTCACCCGATCGCGTGGACGCCAACGCGGGGTTCGACATCGACGGCTTAGAGCACGCGATCAAGAATGACTCGAGTTGGAACACCGTTCGCGTGGGTTACAGACCATTCTTTTTCGAGCAACAGTCTGCAAACGTCCCAGTCGGTTCGACACCGCATTACGCCTGCCCGCTGGCGTGTAAGTGCCACGAAACGACGGCGAAAAACGCGTGCATCGTGCGCGAGAATGGATGTGACATGCGAAGCAGCGACTTTTACATGATTCGCATGTCGCAGTCGCGCGCCATCAGAAAAACCGTCGGCGCGGGGAGCACGATCGACATGGAAGCTTTACGCAACGTGCATCATCAAATGTACGTGTTGCCGCAGCTCAGCTACCAAGCGAACCTCGATCGCACGCGCGAGCAGCAAGTGAATATGGCTCGACGATTCAGAGACTTGTGCTTTGTGCCGAAAACTCCGTCCGACGAAGTCGTGCAAGACGCGGCGACGGCGGAGCGCGAGTACGAAGAGCGAGTGAGCACCATCGAGTCCGCGGACTCGACGCGATATATCACCAAACCACAACGATAACCACTCAGCTCGCGTCCATCGATTGTAGTCTCACGAGAGCCACTTAGCGAACGTCGCGCCGCCGCTCGACCTCGCCGCGCGCCGCGCGCCCGACCCTCCCCACTCCGCGGCGCGCGTCATGGTCTTCGCCACCGCCGCCGCCCTCGCCCGTCGCGCCCGTCGCGTCGGTTTCAACGCCCTCACGACGAAGCTCGCCAAGAAGGGTTTCTACAAGGGCAAGGGCGCCGTCTCTCCCGGCGTCCGCACGCGCACCGGCCGGTTCAAGGTCGTCCCGTGGAAGCGTCCCGAGTACGTCGTCCCCGCCAGCGCGCACGGCGTCAGCGCGTTCGCGCCCTACGTCGAGCGCGCGAGCGTCAAGTGATCGCGCGCGCGCGTCGATCGATCGCGCGCGCGCGCGCGTTCGCGCGCGCGCGGTTTGTAATTCATTCGTAGCGTCCTAGTCGTCGTCACACGCGCGCGCGACGCGACGCGACGCGACGCGACGCGACGCGACGCGACGCGACGCGACGCGACGCATGCGCGCGGTGCCGTGCACGTGCAAGCGCGGCGCGGCGTCCGCGCAGCGGCGCAAGCTGGAGAAGCGCCGGGACGCGCGCGAGGTCGAGCTCGAGCGCGCGCGAAGGCTCGAGGCTCGAGCGCGCGCCGAGGCGTTTCGACCGCCCGCGCCGGCGCCGGCGGCGACGAGCGAGCGAGAGGCGACGGCGCGCGTCGAGGAGGCGCGCGATGACGCGCGCGCGAGCGGAGAGGCGCTGCGACGGGCGAAGGAGGAGGCGAGGGCGAGCGAGGCGTGGGACCCGAACCGAGGGTATAAAAAGTTTCCAAACGTGACGGCGCTCTTCGCGGAGTACGACGCGAAACGCGCGCGATGGGTGGAGACGAAGCTCGAACGCGCGCTGACGATTTGGGGTGAGGTGACGGGGGGGGAGTTTAAGACGCTGGAGGCGTTTAATTGGTACTACGGGGAGGATTTGGACGCGCGCGACGGCGCGAACGCGAAATCCGTGACGTACATGCTGCCCGCGGTGATGAAAGCGTCGGCACCGCGCGCGGTGGCGGAGATATGCGAAGTCGCGTGTCGCATCGGTGCGCCGAGAAGCGGTGCGATCGATTTAGGGGACAAGCTGCGCGCGCAGGCGGTGGCGAAGCTTGAAGAGGCGGCGGAGTTTGATTTGCTCGAAGACGACGAGTTGGAGACGCTCGAGGCGTTGAGGAGTTGGGTCGTGGAGGAAAAGTAGGTGGGAAGAAAACTTCTGTGTTGATGTATTTATTGTAATGTAAGAACTCGGTTGCGTTGAAGAATTCATTACGCGGGCTTTTCGGTGCAAAAAAGTACGCTCGCGCGGGTGCGTTTTAAAGCGCCGTCGGGCGCCCACCGTCGACGCCGTCGCTCGACGCCTCGGCGGAGGCGCTCAAAAACCCTTGCGCCCACGCCTCGTCGCGACTCCATCCGTCCTTTCCAGATGAAATCGAATTCACCGCCGTGGGCTTGGGTTCAGACGTGTACGACGGTCTAGCGCTCTCGACGCGCGAACCGACGGCGTCGAGAAGATCGTTCGCCCACGGCGCGCCCGGCATCACTCCCGACAGATTGGGATCGGCGAAGTGGGTCTCATCTTTCGGAGCCACCACGTACTCTCCCAATCGACGCTTGATCGCGTTCAGAGCCATCTCCGCTCGAAGCGTGCGCTTTTCAAGTCTTCTGTTCTCCGCGTTCAAGCTGAGCACTTCGCGCTCGAGCGAAAAGTCGTCCACGAGCATCTTCGCGCGCTCTAAGTGCATTTGCTCCACCTTCGCCCGCAACCGCTTGCGGTCGGCGCGCGCGGGCCAACCGAGAACCAAATTCCCAAAAAAAGCGCCGAAAAACCCACCCTTCATCACCCGTCGCGTCTCCGGCTTGAGATTCATCCACTCCTTTCTAATCGGCTCCGTCACCGGCTTCAACAAATTATTAATCTGCCTCGCCGTCGGCCCAAAGTGATCGACCGCCACGTTCATCGACGGCTGTATCAACTTCGCCTTCTCATTCATCTCCTTCGTCACCACGTTCTGCGTCGACTGCGCCCACGTCGCCGTCGTCGCCGTCGCTCGTCTCGTCAGCTCGCTCGCCTTGTCGAACCACTTCCCCCACCCCCCGCCCTTGCCGTCGCCACCGCTCGCGCTCGTCGAGGCCCCACCGCTCGCGCTCTGCGCGCCGCTCGCGCCGTTCGGTTCCTTGATCGACCGCACCGCGCGTCCGCGCGCGCCCGTCGTCGTCGTCGTCGTCGTCGTCGTCGTCGTCGTGCGTCGTCCCGTCCCTCGTCGTCGCGCGCCGTCGTCGCGCGTCGTCGCGCGTCCGCGAAACGCGCCGGGTGCGCCGCGATCGAGTCCGCGCGCGCCGAGTCCGCGCGGCGGCGGCAGCATGGCGCCGCCGTCGTCGCGCGTCGGCGTGCGCGGACGCGCGACGACGCGTCGCGTCAACGGCTCGGTCGGACGAGGACCGCTACACAGCGCAATTGGAGGTACTTTATGACCTCAGCGTTCATATTAGGACGGTGCGTGTACCTATTTACCGGACGAGGACTGCGTCGTATCGGTAAACAGTGCGAGCGACTGACGCTTCAGTCGCGGTCGCGCGACGGACCCGTCGTCGCGCCGCGGCGCGCGCGACGGACCGCGAGCGAGGCGTCGTCCGTCGCTCGACGTCCGCGCGGCGTTCGCGCGCGCGATCGAGGCGCGCGCGCGTCGCGACGGACGACGATGGTGTTCGAGCGGTTGTTGGCGGACCAACTGAACGCGAGGCTCGGGCGCGTGCTCGAGGGCGTCGATCGCGACGACGTGCGCGTGGGCGTGCTGAACGGAGACGTGCGGATACGGCGGGTGCGGGTGCGGGCGTCGGCGCTGACGAAGATATTGGACGAGCCGAGCGCGCGGGTGCGGTGCGGATTCGTGGACGAGCTGCGCGTGCGCGTGCCGTGGAGGAACTTGGGGAAGGAGGCGGTGCGAGTGACGTTTCACGGGGTGTACGTCGTGGGGGAGATCGATGTGAACGGAGACGACGAGGCGCGGGAGAGCGAGGAGGAGCGGAGGGAGAGACAGCGGGTGAAGGCGTTGAGGACGGCGCGCAGGGCGGCGGACGCGGCGGAGCGGGCGTGGTTGAAGTGGAATCCGGCGGTGAACGCGGAGGCTTTGGAGGCGGAGGACGGCAGGGAGAGCGCGCAGGATGGGGTGAGGAAGAGGAGCGCGATCGCTGGGCTCATCGACGTCGCCCTGGCGAACGTTCTGATTGAAATTTCAAACGTGCACGTCAGAATCGAGGGCGAGTACGGAGCGGGCGTTCCGTGGGGAATGGGACTCGTGCTCGAACGCGTGTCGCTGACGACCGTTGGAGAAGATTTCGAAAATGACTTCAAAGTCGGCGGTTTCGCCGACAGTTTACGAAAGATGATTGCGTTAGAGCGCGTCGGCGTGTACGCCGATTTCAATTCGCCGTCAGTCGCGTCAGAGACGCCGGACGGTTGGCGAGGCATCCGCGAAGACCAATTCGTGCGGCAAATGTCCGCGGTCTTCAATACCGAGGTTGGCGAGCGCATGAAAGAAGGCACCAGCGGCGATGTCGTGATACCGCAATCGTACGTATTCGGACCGTTACGAGGAACGGCGACGTACGCGAGAAGAGGTCACGCCGAGGACACCAACACGCCGCTGCATCAATTACGGATGGATATAAATTCTATTCAAATCAGCATCAAGTCAACGCAGCTTAAGGTGTTTTACAACATGTACTCCAATTTACGCACCAGTCGCGTGCGGTACACGTATGCGCATATACGCCCAAGGGTCGGCGTCAAAGGAAATGCGCGTTTATGGTGGCGTTTCGCGGGCGCCGGCGTTCAGATGCACGTCGACGAAATACGTAAACGGCGTGGATTGGACTTTAAATCTAGTGTTAGCGCTATGGTGCGCATAACTGAGGCTCGCCAGCGTTATATTCCTTTATACGTCAAGCATTTGCGCTCTGCACCGCCACCTCCAGAGTGTCTAATCGCCGAACGCGCCGAGCGACGCAATAAGCTTTGGCCACCTAAACTGAAGATTGGGATGTCGACAGAAATTGATGAAATCGAAGAAGGTATTCCCCTGCAGAGTATTATTACTTTCCGAACGCTGGCGCACGTAGAATACCGGGAGTCTGGCGGGGTGAAAGCGGCGGTAGCGAGAGAACGAGCGGCTCGCTTTGGCAAACGTCGCGTCGTCAGAGCAGTCGTCGGTCTCGCGGGCGGTGGTGCGAAGAACACGGCAAAGGTATTGAAAGGGCTGTCGGCGCCGATTCGTGGTCTTGCTCGAGCAGTTAACAAACGCGACTCGACAGCATTATTAGTCGAGAGGCAAAAGCGTTTGCGAAAGTCGCAACCGGAAGAAGATGATGATTCAAACTGGCGAGAAAGTCTAGAGAATACGGTGCAATTGAGCCAGCGAATGGTGGCTCTAGAAGAAGAAGCCGTGCACTCTTCGGTTGAGCTATCCGGAGTGGTGAATGTTGAAAAAGTATTAGTTTGCATGGTTGATGACGAGGTTGACAATCCAATCGGTGAGCAGGAGATTTTTAGAATAGGTGTCCATGAAGTCAGTTTGGGAACGCTGCGAGGTTCTGGACGACGAGAACAACGCGTTTCTATCCGCCGATTGGCGATCGTAAGCCCGGAAGGGACACTACTCGATTCCAGTAAGACCACTGATAATGAAGAGAGAGCGACCTCTCTCGATCGTTCACAAGTTGCGTTATGGGACAAGGCGTCCGAGTGTAACGCGGTGCAATTGCAAATAGTCAAAGGCGATGTCGAGACAGAAGAAGATATCTTCATAAAGTTTCAGATGAGGCAGTCGATCGTGCACTTATTGCGAGAGCCTTTAGATAGAGTGGCGCGAGTGGCTGTGCGACACAAAGTGACGACGGCATATCTCGAATCTTTCATTTACGACGATGAAGCGAAACAGCGCAATCACACACACTCCATCGAAAAGCAGGCAGATGAGTTCAAAATCAGACCAAGAGTGCGATTAGACGCGCGAGTTCACGGTCCCGTGATTATTTTGGATGGCGACGGCGTAAACTTACGCATAGACCTTGGTACAACGGTAATTGAGTCTATGACGCCAGTTTCAGCTGGCATCGAGAGCTCACTAGCAAAAGAACACAATGTTTTCTCATTTCAATGCACAGGATTCCAAGTCGGATTTATCGACGATGAATGGGATACGAATTCGAACCGACCTGTGGAAGATGAACAGATAATACTTCCGCTGTTGAGTGCACCGTCGTCAAACACCGTCGTGATTCAAAATTTGAATGCCGCATCCGATGCGCCGAATCTCAAGGTGCACTCAAAGTTCAGCGCCATTGATATTTCGGTTTCTCCTGTGCGAGTGTTTAAGATCCGTTCTTTGGTCAAGGCATTGAAGCCAACAACGTCCATAAGTGAGGAACACGTCGCCGCGGTTGTCACCGAAAACGAGGTCCGAGTGCTGCTGCTGCAATTGGATGAAAGCGGCGAAGTGTGTTGGATACCGGCGACGATATCGTTGCAAAACAATAGTTCTATGGATATTAGAACGATTAATGGGCTCAAAAGTCGAACAATTCACATCAACCTCATGGAAAGCAACGGGGCGAGCAAATTGCGAAGTGACATTTGCGCGAAACTCTCCTTGCACAAGGACGTACTCACTATCGGTGAAACTGTGCATTCTTTGGACGAGTTAATGATTTCAGCTATGTCGGATGATAGTCTCAGCGTGATGTTTGATATTGACGATGATGATGCGAGATCTCGCGACACGGTCCTGTTCGATGCATGGTACGCACGGATTAACGGCGTCGCTCGCGAAAATATCACTAGGCTGACAAATGCTGCAAAGAACGGCAAGCTGTCGAAGACTCAAGTGATTTTAAGTGTCGGCGCCGAAAAGCTGTCTGTTCATGTTTTTGCACCTCTCAAAGCACATCCATCCGAAGATGATTCCGCTGTGATAAATGACGAATCAGATTCTGAACGAGCGCTCGCAAGCCTTTGTTTCGACGAGCTCAACTACGACTCGTCGTTGGCTCGTACCGTGAAAGTCCATCATATAAAAGCAAACTCACTCGTTTTGTACGACAGATATGCAAGTGAAGGTCTTGGACGCGAGTGCATCGCCGGAATTGGAGGACAGGGCTCCGGTCAACCCCTACTTACAGTCACGGTCGCCGTTCGCCATCAGAGCGATCCCCAATATTGCGGATTGGACAAGCTGATCGAAGTCGACATTCACAAAGAGTTAGTGATGAATATTCGTCGGCCCACGCTCCTTGCATTGATCTCGTTGAGATTCAGACTGCGTCCACCCGGTTTCAAGATTATTAAGATCATGCCTGATGTATCGTCGCGCATCATGATTTCTGGCAAGCTCGTAAAACGGATCAAACGCGAGATACGCGTGAACGTTGCGGCAGTGACTGCGAATGGCTTTTATGATCACGACAAAGAGATGGATGTTCCTGTGCTAGTGTTGCGTGCCGAAGATTCGTATTGGAGCACCATTATCAGTCCTCCAACACGTGAAACAAGCGTAAGCGTTGGCACCATAAAACTTGCGACGGGACAGATGCAAGCTCGGGGCGCTTGGAATCTACAACCTTCACCCGAGTCGAGCTCAAACATCATACTTTTACGTAATGACGTGTACGACAGAGGAGAAGAATTAGACGGGGCCGATGTGTCGTGGGAGATCGAGCTCGGAAATTTGGACATAGTTATGACTCCTGAGATGAAGGAAATTGGATCGTGGTTCGCATTCTTTCGTCAAATAAGACCTGATCATATTGAAAAGTACGTCCACCCATGTGCACGACCTCGAGCTGGATTTCAAGTGCTCAAATCCCGTCTCTTGATCAAGATGGACGATCAAAGGATCACCTTGCCCGTCGCCCTCAGCGAGGGCGAGTCAAATCACGACGTCGTCATCAACTCAGGATGTGTAGAAATCACCAGATCATTTTCTTCGAAAGCAATCAATGAAGCGCATTCAATATTTTGGCAAACAACGGCATTGAGCGTGTCAGAGTTTGAAGTAAGTGTCATCTCATTTGCGGAGAAGCGGAGAGAAAGCGTTTCTAAAATTACGCAGAAGCCGTTTGGTGTGAAATTGTCTTTGCGGAAGAGAATTGACAGTGGCCCCGCAATCGTGAATGAACTCGATGATAAGAACAAAATCAGAGTGCAGCCTATTTTCCTCGACTTATCCGGTAGCGAATTTCGATGTATCCACGATTCCATCAAGAACATTCAGTTGAGTAAAGTTCGGCCGAACGTCAAAGTGGAAAATCCTATCAGATGGGGTAGCGTCGGACCGCTCCCTGTTTCAGACGTGCTCGCGCCGGCATCGTTGAAGTCGATGGAATTGAGCGTTATTCTGAGCAGCGCAAAACTCCGCGTCTTCCGGCTACCGATGCAAAGTCGTCCCCTCTCAACGATAAAGGTAGTTGGCGTCGACGTGTTTGTCGTAAAAAACTTGAATCGCAAGTCTGGAATCAATCTCGACGCTACCGTGGATATGATTGGCGTCGACGATAATTCTCGACAATCCCAGAACCTTAAAGTCAAGCACGTTCTCTATGCGGGTTCTCCGAAATTACCATTGCTTCATTTGACGCTCGGTGTGAATGATGACAGCACGCGCCTGCGAATTTCGCTACAGCATGTAGAAGTATTGCTGCGTGTGGGAATCATTTTGGATACCATACGGACTTTCGCACCTCGAAAATTTGGAGGGGTCTTTTTAGCCAGTACGATTCTTCCTCAAGACATTAAGTGCGTGCACGGCAGTGACTTCCATCTCGATAAGGATGTCACTCTGACGAAAAGTACGAGACTGCTGGCCGACGATCCCAAAATTGTTGCTGGCAAATATGTGCTGCGCGGAGGTGGACATACCATAAAATTCGCCGATGGCAAAGGAGCGATCATTCGTCATTATTCCCATGGCTCTCGACGCAAGACGATGCCACGCATTATTATCGGTCATGGCGCAACGCTGAAGATTGAAAACGTCACCTTCAATTGTACACGCTCAACATTGTCAAGGTTTATCAAAATGATGCCCGGCGGTAGTTACTCCCTCGGTAAGAGTGTTTCCTTTGACGAGACCGAAGAAGAGTTGATACCGGTTCACGATGGTCTTGTTGAAAGCACACCAGTTATTGATGCCGCAACAAAGCGTGCAGAAGAAGGACCAGGGCGAAGAATGAAGGAAATTAAAAAGAAACCGCTGTTGGTCGAGGTGGATGTGTCATGCGTACATATAGTCATCGGTGAAGAATTGAGAGCTGATCAGATCAACTTGATGTTTGGAGTCGATGTGGCAATAATTCGGGACGAAGAATTGAACACGACGGGAACTTATCAGCTACTTCGTCTTCGTACGAAGGACACTATGAAACCACCGCTTCTGGAACCAGCAAGCGTGACAATGCACGTTGTATCGCGTGATGGCGGCACCACAACTTGCACGGGGTGTGTGACACCTATCAAGATGCAGTTGAGTCCCAACAGGATTTGTATCTTGAAGAATTTCACGGAACGTATTGAGCGATCATTTGCAATTGCGCCCATCTTGCAAACCGGCGTGTATTCGTGTGTCTGGGCAGGACATGCAACCACTTTAACAAAAAAAGTAACTGAGGCGGGTGTGCTCCGACAAAATCAAGCCGGTAGCAATACTTCCTACTCTATCTGGAGACCCGTTGCTCCACCTGGTTACGCCATACTATCTGATGTCGTGAAGTCTGAAGGAGGAGCTCCTGAAACGCAAGTTTTGATCGTTCGGGATGCGCCCGCTCTGTGCACGTTGCCAGAGAGATTTGAGAAAGTCAAAGGCACCGCAAATCCTTGCCTGTGGCGCCCGATCGCACCGACGGGTTTCGTGAGCTTAGGCGATATTGCGTCAGTATCGGATGCGGATGAACCGTCGCTGGACGTCGTCCGGTGTATTCGAGAAGAGCTCGTGACGAACATCGGTCAAGCGTCTACACTCGCAAACTTTCGCTTGTACGGAGATTTCAGTCAATCGAATACAACGTTGTGGCAAATGAATAACAGAGTCCGCGGATTCGTGGTGGTCTCGAAGTCGAATATTCGGCCTTACGCGTACGACATTCGCTCCCCTCCTGGATTTCAACGCAAAGTTTCGACGGGAACCAAGGAGAAGATAAAGCTGCAGGAAAAGGAGTGCGAGTGTGCCACCGCGGTGAATTTCAAAAAGATTGGCATGGCACAAAACGCGAAGTCAACTGTTGGGTTTTGGGAAGTCATTCCGCCTACGGGTTATGTATCCACCGGACACTGCATGAGTGTGGGCAAACTTCCGCCTTTAAGCAGTAGAGTGTTCGCGGACGATAAACGTACTTTTCGACAACCAGAGTCATATGAAAAAGTTGCTTCAGCGCGTACGTACGGCACCACACAGCGTTTGACAATTTGGAAACCAGTGCCATGCGCCGGGTTTGTGAGCGTCGGGTTTGTTGTCACCACTGAAGATAACGAGCCTTCTGTGAATGACTCGATCGTCTGCGTCCGAGCAGAATTGGTATCTTACATGCATCAAAGGAACTGGACTACAGACAACTCTGTTTGGACAGTTGACGAAAATGCTACAGACACCACGCACTTCTGGATCACAAATGATCACACGAAAAATTTCGTTATGAGTGTTTTGACGACTGGCATGACGCCCGATTTCGGCTTTGATATCGGCTTCCTAGAAAGCTCTTCGTTAAGGGGGCAAGTACAAATGCCAAATTTCATTATGAAATTCGACGTGCCTCTTGTGAGCGTCGGACTCTCATTTGAAAGATTGTTTCGCAACCAGATGCTCTTCTTGCTTCGATTGGAAAAAACGAAGTTGAGTTGTACGAAAACGTCGAAATTGAATCTGTCGTTAGATTCTTCGCTGTCTCTCCTGCATAGAAATACGCGACTGGGATACAGTCTAGAACCCATTGTGGCGCCGTGGAAGTTTTCGGTTCTGTTGGATGACTCAAAAAATGATGTTTCGGGCGTGAATCCCGCGGGGTTGGACATGTTCATTGAAAGTAAAAAGAAGATTGAGATAATCGTCAATCAAGCCTCCATAGTTGACGCAGTGGATGCCGTGATGCAGTTTAAGAAACCACGCGACAAAAACTCAAAAATTGCACATTTGTTGGCTTACGAAGCCGTGCAAAACAACGTCATTGTGAATTCCACGGGACGCGACTTATGGGTTCGCGAACTGAATGGCAATATACAAGAAGTACCGCCTGGAAATAGCATTTCGCATTTGGTACATGCCGCTGAAACCGAAGCAAATTCTGGATTCGAGAGTGCATCAAATGAGCAGACGATGCGCGGTATGACTGACGTCGTTGATGACATGAATCATCACGGTGACGAACAGCTCATTATCGCATACCTGATGATGGATATCGTGGCAATTGACTCGTTGGATGACTGGCTTTACCCCCGCATAACTTTCAAGATTTGGGATGAGGCTTTGCAGGGTCATCGTACCGATCCATTACCCATCGGCGTTACGCGCGGCTCAGCAAAGTTACCGATCCCTCATCCTTTTTTCCATCGCGATAGTGATAGCGAGTTCATCAACAATGACGATATCACCATTATCGTCGAAATTTCTCATATTGGGCCAAATGGCGAAACATTGAGCTTCAGTGGTGACTTTGAAGCTCCAATCGAACAACAACGCGGTGGATGGATTGGCGGTAAAACTGGAAGCTGGATAGACTGTGCTGCAGGCAATGGTGACTCCGTGAGAATTAAGCTGCGCGCTCGAGTGGTGGAAGGTTTGAATGCGACGCCAGTCACAGAAACGGTAGAGTTGTATCAACTCTTAAAGAGTCCGCAGAAAACGATTATCAAGAGTAAATTACAAGTTGAATCACCACCTCTCATCGTGTGTCGTACGAATGACATGGTGAAGCAATGGTGGACAAGAGATCATCAGCAAAGTAAAAGTGCCCTAAGTGCTTGGAAGCCGCACGTCCCATCGACGTATGAACTCGAGACGAGATATAAGTTTTGTTCGAGTAGAGCTGAAAACGAGTATAAACTCGTACCTTTTGGGACCATCCTCTTGCCCGGCCTCATCGCGCCTCGCAGTGCGCTCATGGCAGTTGTCTTAGAACATAATTCAGATCAGCGGGCACCGACTGCTTTTCCCTCGGGGTTCGAAAATATTTGGACGAGCGATAAAAATGATGTCTCATTTTGGAAGCCCATTGCACCAGACGGTTACGTTGCAGTTGGTAACGTGGTTGCGGCGAGCGCCGAAATGCCTTCCACCGATTGCGTCGTTTGTGTTCGCGAGGATTTGACAAAACTTGCAGAAGTGCCTCCGGATGTTGCATGGAAATCGAACAGACGATTTCGCAATAATGATGAAAGAGAATTGGCGCTTATTCAAAACGGCCAACTGAGTACTGGTGGATGGTCGTTCTTGAAGGAGAAAATCAAGCGCACGAGTCCAGGCGTGATTTCGAACGTCATTCCATCTATGCATAGACTTAATGACAGGATGTGCATTCATTCTTTGGATGACGAAGGTATTCGCGAGTTTTGGATCGATAACCGCACTCATATAGATCATATAAAGCAAGAATTACAAGCTGGAGAGTCAATTCTCGCCATTTCGTTTTCTCCTTCCGGGCCGTTTGAGCAAGTGCGTCTTAATCTAGGCGCTTCACACGTTGTTCGTCACAAGACTCACGATTTAGTCTTTGACAGTCAAAAGGGGCATCTTTTGAGCTATGTTTCGTGCGAAAACGAAACAGATTCTGATATATTCGTTGATGTTCATCCAGCTATGAAGAGAGAACTCACGACTTCTAATTTGGACATATCTCTGAGTGAGAAGTATGAGTCGCCGAGCGATGTCGCGGATATAGAAGTATTTGAATCGGAACGATATTACCCGTTGAGAGGATGGCGTGCTCCAAAAGACGCTATCGTAAAAGCTCGTTATAGCAGGCATAAAAGTGGACGAGGTTCGCAAAAACGGTTTCCAGACGTCAAAGCTCCAAAAGGTTTCAGATTTGAAGGACCGTGGGAGCTCGACAAACCACCAAATCTGGTGAATGACGACGGTTGGGCGTACGGTGCTATTTGGCTAAGGAAGTGGCCACCGCCTCGTGGATCAGACAAAAGTAAAGGTCGTGCAACCCGTCGCCGACGATGGTTTCGTCGTGTCGTTCGATTGAAATCAGCTGAAGAAATTGAATCGCGCGTTTCCCTTCATAACATGAAGCGAGATTTCATCGAAGATTGGCACGGCACGTTGGCGGTACACGGACGTCTTACGCTACCTTCTTGTTCACGAACCGAGTCCTACATGTTGGCGTTACGCACGGGGGCTGACGTCGCATCAATTACCGCTCCGTCGTTTACCGAGAGAGATGACGCGCTGGATATTCGTGACGTGTTATCAGAGCAAGGCAACTGTGCGCTTGCTTACAACAACCTGCACGATCACTTTCTTTTGGTCAAAGAAGAATTGTCGAATGATGTGCAAAGTAGCGCGATAGGTGCTATTCCAGGCGTCAAGATTCGTGTCGTTGCCCCTGTTCACGTTGTCTCATTGATGGATTGTCCGTCGCAAGTTGTTTTGTACGCCAATGGCGAAGAAAGAATTGCCATGCATCTTGCCGCGAACGAAACGAAACGTATCACGGCGATCGATGCAAACTGTGATACAATAGAGGTGCTCGTGTCTTTGTTCGAAGATTATCTCAGCCTTAGTAACGACAGGCCGCTGCGTCTAGATGTCACCCCGGCTGGAAGTCCACCGGCGCCACAGGTAAACTGGTTGAACATCAAAGGCTATCCGTATGTGGTTTCTATGCTGTTGATGGAGACGTGTAGAACTAGAATGGCGGGTGATAAATTCAACGATGATCCTTCGCAGCATCTCTTGAGTCTGACGTATCGCAATGTGCTGATGGTTACAAATGCATCACCGATCGACATTAAGTGTTTGGCGTGGGTCGCTGGCACAAGTACGACAAACGCGCACATAGATGCATACGTTGGGGTACCCAAAGGCGAGTCGCAACCTGCCATGTTTCTGAAATCGAGTGCGAAAACCCTCGCCAAAGTTTCGAGCAAAGAATTTGTGCTCGGTTTTTGTATCGATTCGTCTCCAGTACTAGTGAAAATTTCACCAAGTTCTGAGCCCGTGATGTTTACGCTTATGACAGCAAGTGGGGACGAACTTGCCTTTCAATGTTCCGTAGTATTATGGGAGGGTCAAAACACCAACGCCGCGACATGGCCAACGCTTGAAGTTGTTTTACAACCCGTGCTCGTGGCGATCAACTTGACTCGAATTCCTCTCGCGATTCGCTCAAACACTATGGAACACAAGATACTCGAGCCAGGTTCATATCCCACGCCGTTTTCTTTGGATATTAAGTCTTCGAAAAGCGTAGACGAAGTTGAAGCCGTGCTTAATCAAGCCGCGATTCAAATAGCGGATATGTCGTGTCATTCGGAAGGAAAAGATATACTTTGGAGTTCGCCGCTGCAGAATTTGGTGCGCTATTCTGGAGCGATGTGGAGCATCCCACAAGGTGCCTCCCCCTTGGCGGATGAAATTAATGCATTTAGAAGACTTGGAGGTATCGACGAGTCTGGCGAAAACGTAAATTTCAAGGCACCTATCATCGTTCAGTTTCTTGTCGAGCGCGGTGAGCACGGTTGCTTCAGGGTCTTTTTTAGGGGGGGCGACGGAGCATCTCTGCAGAAGGCGCCAATCATGATCAAAAACCATTTGCACGAACCTTTACTCATTCGACAAGTGAAAGCGAACGACTTTGAGGACGTAGAAAAGAAGTCGGTGCAAAAGTCCACCGTGCGACTACTGCAAGGTATTAAGAAAGCCTCACACGGCGTAGGACAGTCTTTTGCAATTCGCCCGTTCTCAGCGATATCTTGGGCGTGGAGCGTCCCAGGTATTCCTATGAGATTGGACAACTTGAAAAAACAGGAGCTCGAGGCAAACGCCGCGGAGCTCGCATTTCGAAAGCGGAAATTTTTGGAGATATCGAACAATACAGGGGATCACGTCATCATAGAGATAAACGCGTTCAGCTCGCGATTCAAGGGTTTCATGCACCTCGGCGACATGCAATTTGGAGAACTAGGCAAGCGCACGTTACAGGCAACGATTATTGGTGAATGGCGTGACGCATCGTTCGTGATCTTCGTGGTTGATAAAACGATAACGTTTGACAACTTTTCTTTCACGACTGAAATGACGAATCAAGCGAAAGCATTGACGTTGTACGCGCGGCAGCAAGAAACGCACATCTCTGTCAATTTGGCTGGCTTCTCCGTAACAATCATCGATCGCCTCCGCGACTCATTCGTCGAGTTATTCCATCTCACGATCGACGACGTGATGATCAGGCACGGAATCAACTTAATCAACAGCAGTTCTGTCTATAGTTATCTCAGAATTGGTGCACTGCAGATAGATTTTAGCACGCATGACGCAAGCTATCCAGTCTTCGTTTGGCACGACCCGGCGGACGGGCACTTGCTTGAAGCGTACGCTACTTTGAGTATGAATTCTCATATCGGTGGTGACTCGATCGATGTTTATCACGTCCAACTAACGACAACGAAGAAAGGCCTCGTGATTCGCGCCGGTGAAGATCTCGTCTGGACAATCTTGAACTTTTGCAGACTCCTCCAAACGCAACTTCCACAACGCAACGCTTCAGCAGGTTCCGCCATCGCGCCACGCGAAACGTTTGTTGGAAAGCAAACCTCACAAGATAGTTTGCTGAATATCGCCACTTTATACGTGGAACCGACATCTTTTGTTGTCACGTTTGCTCCAAATTCCGATATCCGACCTGCAGACGCCGACGCTCGGATGATCGCCGCGTTGACGTTTGCAAGTTTACAGCGCCTGCATTTGGTGCTCAACAAATTTGATAAATTCGATGAGAGCATACTTCGTTCGAATTTGATTCGCGAATTCCGAAACTATTTCAAGTCACAAATGATAGCGCAAACGCTCAGTGTCATGACATCGATGCACACGCTGACAAACGTTTCCACGGGTCTAGATGCAGTGAGCAAGGCGGTCGAAACCGGCTTCGGCGTACTCGCGCCTTCTCGTACGGCGCCTTTGGCTCGTTTGCCATCTTCTGTCGTCGGCCGAGGAAGCAGAAGCGACGGTCAGGGCAACTTTGCGAAAAGTGTATTCGTTGGTCTGAAACGACTGGGGGGTGGTATTTCTAAGGGAATTATCGGCCTTTTCGTCAGCCCTGTAAAAGGTTGCATGGAAGGCGGCGTCGTGGGCGGGTGTAAAGGATGCGCTCGAGGCGTCGCCGACTTGGTAGCTAAACCGACCGCTGGCGCGTTAGCTCTCGCCTCAAAGACGGTCGAAGGCGTAGCCAATGCCGCTAAAGGCGTACAGACTGCCGCGTGGGACATCATCACCACGAATAATGTCTCAAAAGCGTGCATTAAACGCCTCCCCATCGCCGTGCGATCGGATGGCATCATTCGAAGATGGGATGCGCACGACGCGTTGGGTGTTTATTGCATGCGCACATGCGTCGTGTCCAGTCGAACACTGGGCATTTCTTACTGTCCGGGCGTGAAAGACTCATTCTCCTCGATGCATGACATTTTCGGTGAATATTTGTTGCTTGTCACCGACAAGCGCGCGTTGTGCGTTCGGACGCCGGAGATGGACGGGGCCATGCCGGCGCGCGCGCCGACTTGCGCGTGGTACATCTCTTGGAGTGATGTGAGCTCGATATGGATCGAAAACTCTGTGATCATAAAGTTGCAGATGAACGTCACGAGTGAGGGCGACACTTCCAACCTGGGTGCGCAGAAGCGTGAAACCGAATCTTGTTTTTCGATTCGCGCTAGAGCCCAAGACGAGGCGGCGAACATCGAAGCCGCGATGCGTCAAAGCTGGAACGCCTACCTGGATACAACAGAAGAAGAATAGAATCACAATTAATGATAGTACTAGCAGTAATTCGCAGTGCGCGCGCCGCGTCAACGCCCTAACCCAATCTTTTTCAACAGCGATTTTGATTCGCTCGCGAGCGCCAACCTCTCCGTGAGCTCGTCAATCTCCTCCTCCGTGAGCTCCGTCTTCACCTGATCGCCGTCCGGCGATTTCCCTTGTATCTTACGCACGAGATAAATGATGGAATCCCGCTCGTCGTTCGCCTTACGCAGTCGCTCTTGAAGACTTTCCAACAGTTGCGTCTCCCGTTCGTCCGTCGGCGCTCGCGCCTCCCTCGACCCATCTCCCCGCTCATCCCGCGCCTTCGTCTCGCGCGTCGCCACCATCTCCATCGCATCGTTCGCGCCTCCGCGCCTCGCGCTCCCTCCGTCGTCCGCGCGCGCCGCCGCGCCTCGCGCGCCGCCGAACCATCCGAATCCGCGTCTCCCCCTCGCCTCCATCGCCGCCGCCCGCGCCGCCTCCCGCGCCGCCTCCCGCGCCCGTATCCTCGCCTCGATCCGATCCCCGATCGACTGCCCCCCCCGCTCGCCGAACACGTCGATGTACGACGCGTACCACGCCCGCGGCGCCGCGCACAGCGTCATCAACCCGAGCGTCATCCACGCGATGCACGCCCTCGCCCGTCGCGTCCCGCGCTCGTGCGTCGCCCGCGCGTGTTGCGGCGTCACCTGCGCGTGTCTCGTCGGCGCCCGCGCGTCGCGCTCGCGTCGCTCGACGCGCGCGCGCATGTTTTCTTCGATTCGGCGCGACGTCGAGTGGCGCGCGTCGCGTCACTTCGCGCCATGTCGCTTCGACTCCGCTTCGCCGGCCGCGGCGTCGGCGGCGCGGACGACGCGCGCGAGCGCGCGAGCGACGATCGCGTCTCCTTCGGCGTTTTGCGGCTGTGCGTCGGTCGAGGGACGTTCGCGCGGTGGAAGAGCGTGCTCTTGCACTTTAATCCGGAATCCGCGAGCGTCGTCGCGCGCGGACGCGCGAACGCGCAGAAGCGCGCGGTCGAGGTGCGACGAGCGAGCGCGCGACGCGCGACGAACGAACGCGCGACGCGACGAGCGAACGCGCGACGGCGCGCTGACGATGCGGGCGAAAACTTTAAATCGATGCACTTCATTCGCAGGAACGGTTATCGCCGTTTTCGATGTCGATGACGTTTGAGACGCGAGAGGCGTGCGATGCGGATCGAATCGTCGAGGCGCTGGCGCGCGTGGTGGTGGACGACGGCGCGCTGGGCGCGGAGGGGGAGACGCCGAGCGATTTTGAGGCGCGCGTGACGACGATGAAGGCGGACGTGGCGGCGCAACTGGACGAGGCGAAGAAAATGTACGAAGAGAGGGCGAGGACGGGAGGCGCGCCGCGACGATTGACGCTGCGAGAGATGGATAGGAAGATGAGCTTCAGGGACGTCGCGAACGCGGTACGCGCGGACGCGGGAGCGTTCAATTGGTACCTGGTTCGCGGAGACGCGAACGGCGCTTCGGAGGTGTTTAACGCCGGCGGCGGGAGCTTGGACGAGATGAAGAAATCGTTGGCGTCCGACGAGGTGTTTTTCGGGCTTCTGCGCATGGGTTTCGGGCGCGGCGCGTTTCGGCGCGTGAAGCACATATTCATTCACTGGTCCGGCGCCGACGTCAATCCTTTGAAACGCGGCCAACACAACGCGAATGAGGAGGCGATTCGCAAACTCGTCGGACCGGTGAATCTGAGCCACTTCGCGACTGAGATGGATGAGATGAATCTAAACGATTTACTCGACAAGGTGAAAACTAAGGTGGTGCTGGACGGCGAGGCAATCGACGATGTGGAAGATCTGTTCAGTTTGGAATCGTACATGGTTTCGTGCGAAGACGACGCCGAGGCGATGAAGCGTGAATTTCCCGACGCGATACGTGAAGGCGACGGCGAGGAAGACGAGCAAGAACCAACGTTTGAAGAGGCTTTGGAGTCCGTGCGGGATAAGTCTCAGCCGTACAATTGGATGTTGTGCACGCTTTAAAGCCGGCGTTCTCTCCATAGCGACGCAAGGTACCGTAGTTTGTAAAACAATTGAATAAAAGTTAAAGTTAAAGTTGTTGTCACATTTCTAAACTTCGCGCTTCGACTTCTTGCCGCGTAAGATTCCCGCCGCCTTTGCTGATTTCACGACGCCACCAAGCTGCGCGCGAGCGGCAACTTTTTTGCTATTGCGTCGATTCAAAAGTTTTGGATCAAGCGGCCAATACGCGTACGGCTCGAGCTTGGTTTGCTTCGAGTAGACGTCACCAGTCGTCTTACCCTTCGCCTTGTACAAATCAGCGCTGTGGCGCTCGTGCGTCGTGCGCTGCCGTTTGACACCGTTGGAATTGTGCGTACCAACCGTACGCGAAGACTTGCCGGTAGCATTCGTCCGCGCGGTGGCGGCGCCTCGCGATTTACCAGTTTTGGACGTGTAACGTGAGCGACCGCCTTCAGACGCGTTGTCTTCCTCTTCTTCGCGTCGACGCTTCGCGCCTTCGCTCTCTTCAACAATCATGAGCTTGCCATCAGCGCCCGTACGGTAGCCACTGTCATCGTCATCGTCTTCGAACTTCACACGACGACGTTCTCCTTGCGGTAGCATCGATCGGCGCATGGCGCTATCGTCCAACAAATCAAGCGGGGCGTCGCCGGAAGCAGGAAGTCGTGCACCGCCCGTCGCGCGCTTCGCAGCCGCGGCTGCGGCGGAACGAGGACCCTCGCCACCACCTCGTCTAGAGGCTGGGGCAAAAGATCCTCCATCACGACCTCCGCGTCCACTTCTGCGCGATCGGCCGTCGTCGCTGTCGTCGCCCTCGTCGTCGCTGAAAATGTCGCCGTCGCGCCATTCTGAACGTCTCGCCGTTCGCGTGGACTTGGCGCCGTGTTCACTACCTGCAACGGACGATTTCTTCTTCTTTTCTAATCGTGTCTCCTCGCGCTTGATGTGCGCGATAAGTGCCATGTGTTCTTTTGGCATGCTCGCTTCGACGACTTCGTAACCACAACGTTTGCACATGCGTTCCAACACGACACGCACCTTGAGCTTGAAGCGATTCTTCGAATCTTCCGACCAATGCAACAGCGCTGGGACAAGTCGCGGAAGTTCGGCGGCGAGATCTTGTTGAGGTAGACGCACGACGACAACCTTCACGAAGCCGAGGCACGACTTGACCACTTCGCGAGATTTTCCTTCGAGCAACGCGCACACTGCCGGTAAGAGTTCAGGAACGGTGGACACGAGCGCAGAGGAAAATTCGTAGAGCAAACGAGCGAGAGCCATGATGGTGGCCGATTGCATCTGAGGTGACGAGCCGACGATGCCAGCGAGCACGGTGAGGAAAAATCGTCGAACGCCCACACCCATTTGCTCAGTCTCCATCGCCTCGTCGTCCTCCTCCTCTGTAGCCGCGCCGAGCCAGGCGGCGACGCCTGCGTTACCAGAGCGCGCAACTCCGCGTGCCGCTTCTGCATTCTTGCGCTCGATTGATCGTGGAATGCTTATCAAGAGCTGATACGCCAGCGTGCGCGTGCGCGCGTTGGTTTCTTTTGTGGCGAGAATGAGTTCGGAGAGAAGCACAGTGAGCGATCCAGTTTCGGCGATGCTCCCGGCACCGTCGCCGCCTTCCTCAGCGTCCGCCGCAGCGTCGCGTTCTTGAAGCGCTGGTAAAATCTTACCGATAACTTTCAATCGATACCGTCGCGCCGATGGTAAGCAACAATCAACGCCAGAAACGAGGAGCTCTTCGATTTCCGCCGCGCGCGGTTCAAGCCACTTCCCGTCTTGTGCCTCGCACAGCTCGTTGAGCAACTTGTATGCGCGCTTTTGAATCACACTTTCCTTCTCCAGACACGCGGGTTTGGCAATTTTGTAAACCATTTCCAAGCCCTGATCGTCCAAGCCGGAAACGAGCGCGAAGACGAGATCCATGAAGGTGCACCTTCGTGCGGTCTTGTCGTCTCCGCCCTCCACCAAAGCGTCCGGCGCGCCCGGATCGTCCGCGGTCACTTTGACGAGTTTGCGCAGTACAGTCCTGAAGAAGCCGCCCAACTGCGCTTGATCGGTCACTTTTGCAAATGCACCGATTGTATGCGACAGCTCACCACGTCGTGACGTCGGTGACGAAACGAAGAGATTAAAAAGAATGGGCAAAAAGTTCCGAGCGTACTTGCTCACCGCCGCGAGCTGCGCTTCGGCGATATCAACCGTGAAAGTCGCGGGCATTTGATCATCGTTGGGCTCACCCGCGGCGATTGTGGACGCACCGTCACCGGCTTCGTCGTCATCGTCGACTTCGTACACACCAGCGCCGATTCTTCCTTGACGAATCAAGCGCTTCAAGCCTTCGCAAATGGGCCCTTGCAAATCGATTCTCGAACTCAACGCATTGCCTAAATCCTTGGCAATCAACGGAAACGCGTCCGAGGCGTCGCTCGGCCAATTAGCAAACGCTGGAAACAGGCTCCAAAGTGCGTGCTCGGCGGCACCGCAGCGCTGCGCTTCGTACGAACTTTGAGAGTTTCGCGCGTGCTCGGCGCGAGCGCCCAACGCGCGCGCTTGCGGCAAAATGGCGTCAGCAAAAAATCCCATATTCGCTCCAACCAAACCAGAGCGCAACAACGGCACGAGCCAAAGTCGTCCAGTCTCTTGACTCGCTGCATTCATGACGTCTTGCTCGTCCACTTCCATGCCGTCTCCGTCGCCTTGACGGTTAGCGAGCTCGGCGTCGATGGCTTCTTCGAGTTTTAACGGAAGCGACGCGAGCACCTGCTCAGGACCTATGGCTTGAATCGCCGCCGTGATGCAGTCTTGCAGCTGTTGTTTGCACATCAACTCGCTCGCGTGCTCGCCCATCTCGCCGAGCGCGTTCAAAGTACCAGCCAAGATTGGCCCGGACGCGGGACCAAGGCGCATGAACGCGCATGTGGCGACGGGAATGGAAACAGCCCACGCGCCGCGATAGCGGAACCCGATCGCGGACTCAATGCTCGACGCCACGGACATCAACGTCGTCGGTTTGGACGGCGCGGACTTCCCCGCCGCTCGCGCAGATGCAATAGCCTTGATCCCTTCTTGCACCATACCGGAATCGATGCATGAGCGCACGAGCGAAATCAACGCTTCGGCGACCTCGGTCGCAACGCCCTCATGAGGCGACGCGAAGAGCTTCACGAGGGAATGAAACGTCGTCGGCAACGCTTTTGCAGAGGCTTGCGCGTCGATGGCGTGGAGCTTACACTGCGCGCGAGAGAGCAAGCGCGCCAAAGAAATCACCATCGTCGGCGCCGTGTTCAAGTTCGCATTCGCCACGGCGGCGATGGGCGCCATCAGCCCTACGATCGTGTCCGCGCTCACGCCTTCGCTGCCGTCATCGGCATCCATCGTGGGCGAATTTGCGAGCGCCAGAAGCGCTTCCGTGGCGTGTTGCGTGAGCAAAGGCTCATCCAAATCCAATAATCCCGCGCACGCATCCGCGCACGCCCCGCACGCGGGTTCGGCGAGTTCGGGCAACAAAACCTTCATCGCGCCGAGCATGTACAGCGCCTCCGTCGCCGCCGCCGTCGCGCGCGCGCGAGCATCTTTCGCACCCGCCGCACCTCGCGCCTTTTGCATCTCCGCCGCCGCGCGTTCGGGCGCCTCGCCAATCTTTCTCGCGAACGCCGCCGTCATCTCCCCGTACGCCGCCGCGCGCGCCGCGTCCCCACGCACCCTTCGCACGACGTCTCCCAGCGCGTGCACCGCCGCCTTCCGCACCTTTGGCCTTCCATCGATCGACAGATTCAACGTCGCCTGAAACGCGCGCTTCCCGTGTTTCTCGCTCGTCTCTCCTCCCGACTCGCCCTTCGTCGTCGCCGCCGCCGCCGCGCACGACGCCAACAATCTCGCCACGTGTCGCATGCTCTTCGGCGACCTCTCGCTCACCACTCGTCCGCATCCCATCACCACCTCGATCGTCCGCTCCATCTTCGCCCGTATCACGCGTCCATCGACGTCCGCCGCCGCCTCGGCCGCGCACGCGCACACCGCCTCGAGCGCCTCCAGCGCGTCCTCGCTCCCGTCCGTCCCCGCCCGCGCGCTCGCCCGCTCCAGCGCCCCGAACGCCGCCGCGAACACCGACGTCGCGTTCACTCGCATGTCTCCCTCCGCGATCGCGCGCTCGACCGCGTCGCACGCGCGCACGACGCGCGCCGAGCTCGCGCTCGCGCTTCGTCCGTGCGCGCGCCGCAACCGCTCGAGCGCGCCCTCGGGCGTCGCGCGCGCGTCGCGCGCGTCCGCGGTCGGGCGCGCGTCGTCGTCATCGCTCGACGCCATCGCGTCGAGCGCGTCGAGCGCGTCGAGCGTCGGCGCGCGCGCGAATGGCGTCGCGCGCGCGTGGCGGCGGATGGCGGCGATCGACGTCGCGCGCTCGATCCGACGCCGTTCGCGCGGCGCGCGCGGAGGGGCGCGCGCGAGCGTTTTTATCGGCGAGTCCGTCCGCGCGACGACGCGCGATGACTCGCGTCGCGTCCACGCGCGACGATTCATTCATTCGTGCATTCATTCACGGTTCGCTGGCTACCGCTAACGCGCGCGCCGGCGCTGGCTATCGCCGATGCGCGCGACGACGCGCGCGCGATCACGCGCCCTCGAGCGTCGCCGCGCGCGCCTCGCGCACGGCGCCCGCGAAGGCGTAGAACTGCGCGACGCTCATCTCCATCTGCTCGAACCAACGCCCGTCTCGCGCGTCGTCGTCGCTTCGCGCGTCGTCGTCCTCGAGCGTCAGCCTGACGACGACGCGCGAGACGCCGCTGGCGTTCGTCTCGCTCGTGCTCGCGGTCACGGCGAGGCGCCAGGCGAGATCGACGCACCGCGGCGGCATGGAGTGCGGCGCGCGCGGGACACCGCGACGCGATGGCGAACCCGTTCGCGACGCTCGACGGCGACGCGCGCGGCGACGACGGGCGAGACGACGGCGAGAGTGGCGACGCGGCGCGCGGCGCGCGCGCGGCGACGGCGGCGACGCGCGCGAGACGGACGACGACGACGACGACGAGGGCGGCGAAGAAGCGCGAGACGGCGGCGCGGCGAGCCGAGGCGGAGGCGATGCGCGCGCGCGCGCACGCGGCGATGGCGATGGAAAAACGAGAGGACGATCGTTGGGGGAAGGTGGCGAAGGGATCGGGAATCGCGAGGAAGGCGGCGAAGGAGATGGCGAAGACGATGACGACGACGGCGGCGAGGGACGACGACGACGCGACTGGAGAGACGACGACGGAGACGACGGAGACGACGGAGACGACGACGACGACGAGTGATGCGATGGCGAAGGTGAGTGAGGTGTTCTGGCACACGTTCGAGGACACGGGGGCGTCGTGTTGGTGCGTGCGAGTGGAGGACGAGGACGGCGAGTCGACGACGATGTCGATTACGAAATCCGTGCCTCGCGCGAGAAAAATTCCGAGCGATGGGGGCGAACGACCGGTGTTGGTGAGCGGCGAGATTCGACTATTACTCGCTGAGTGGGACGATCGCACGCGCATCGATCGAGCGAGGCGCGCGAAGGCGAAATTGAAGGCGGCCAAGGCGGCGGCCAAGGCGGCCGCGGAGGCGGCCGAGGCGCCGGCCGAGGCGCCGGCCGAGGCGCCGGCGGTCGAGACATCGCCCGCGCCGGTGGCGGAGACGCTGTCCGCGGCACCGCCTGATTTCGGCGCGACGCGTAGAGCGCCGCCGCCCGGGTTCGAAAAACCTGCGTTTCGAGTCGTGCACGTGCCGGTTGTCGATCCTGCTGTCGAGGCGAGGCAACGCGAGCTCGAGGCGCAAGTCGCGGCGTTGCAAGCGCAACTCGCCGCACAGCAGATGATGCAACAGACGACGTACGCGCCACCGCCGCCAAGCTTTTCGGGAGGATCATCGATCTGGTAACTCGTTATTTGTTCGTTGTAATTGTCACATTGACAAATCTAGCAAACGCGAGCGCAAAATAATCTACAAATAATCTCAAGACGATTCTTCGTCGTCGCAACGCTGGAACTCGAGCTTCATCTTTCGAGGCGCGGGCCACGTAGAGATAGCCGCCATAACGACGTCGAACGACTCTCCACGAGTGGAAAATCTGATTTGCTCTTCGCCTTTTTTAACGCTCACTCCGCCGTAGTCCATTTCGCTGTTGAACACGATCGCCGACGTAGCGATTAATCTATCACCCACGCTAATCAGGCCGCTCTGCTCGGCCGCACCGCCGGGCACGAGTTCTTCGACAAAAATATTTCCATTTTTATCGTTCGCCAGAAACATGCCGAGCGGTTTCTTCAGTTCCACCGCGTATCTCGCGCATCCCGGGGGAACCGGTTCGTCGTCCGCCGCCGCCGCGCGGCGGCGGGTGAGCCGACGCCGAGACGGTCCCGCGCGCGGCGTCGCGACGGCGCAACGAATGGCAGCACTCGTTGTCATCTGCGTTCGAAAATAAGAAGCGAAAAAGTGAAAATGTCAGTCTTCGTCCGCTCGCTCGTTCATCGTCTCAGAGAGTATGGTCACAAAATATCCACATTGGGTATTCGGTAAAGTTTTTGGGTTAAGGTTTTCATCTTCCTTGACGACGGCGCGATTGAAGTCGAAGAAAAACGAACGTCGAGAACGACGACGACGACGACGGATGTAGCAGGGGTTCTAGAGGCCGTTAGTCATGGACAGACACGAAGCCCGCTTTACCCAAGCGTCACTCTACGGGCGTCTTCTGACGCGTCCGCGAATCTTTGAATCGCGGCGCGCACGTTCGAGATAAATCTCGCACCCAACATCGATCGAAAAGTAAAATGAATCCATTCAGCGGCGTGTCAGTGTTTCGTGAATCTTTTCACCGCGCCGAAACGCTCTAAAGGTGTCCTAAGATATATTGACGAAGTCATCACCCACACCGCCGAAACGGCGAGAAAAACCAAACAAACAAACCAACGATCGCGTCAGGAATCAAAAATGATTTCGTTTCAAAGGAAGCCACTGAACACGGAGTCCTCAATTGAACTATGCCTTGATTCGAGCATCACCCGCGTCGTCGTCCGTCGTCTTCGTCGTCTTCGTCGTCGCTCGACGAGAGAAAAATCCACCCGCCGCTCGCGCGCGTTTCCAAGCCTCAGCTTAACGAGATTCACAAGTTTGATCGTCACCGAAATCAGATGGTACGGACAAGTGTGTCTCATCATCGGCTTCGCGCGCGCGACGGGCGGTCGCGCGTTTTCGTTTATCCGGCTAGCGTTCCGGCGTCGCGGGACCGGCCCGCGCGCCTCGCTCACGGTTCGCCGCGTCTCGCGCGTCGCTCGCGCTCTCGCGCCCGTCCCGAGAGACGCGCGCTCGATCGCGTGCGTCATCGCTCGACGGTGGTTTATCTCGGCGCGACCGAGCGCTGCGCGCGTCATGAGCGGGACGCGGCAGTGACTCTAGAGTGGATCGGCCTCTCGCGTTCTCGCGCGTCGCGTCGTCGTCGTCGTCGTCGTCGTCCTCGTCGCGTCGCGTCGCGTCGTCGCGCACCTCGTCGCGCGTCTCTCGCGCGCGCGTCTCGCGTTCGCGCGCGCTCGCGTCGCGCGGTGCGGTCGGGTCCGATTCGCCGCCGCCGCCGCACACCGCGACGCCGCGTCGACGCGCCGCGACGACGCGCATGGAGACGGACGCCGACACCGGACGGGTGCGCGTGAAACCTGCGCTCGAGGCCGTGCGCGCGCACGACGGCCCGCTCGAGATCGATCTCGGGACGCTGCGCGTCGTCGACGCCGCGCCGCTCGATGTCACCGCCGCCGACTCGGGCGAGGCGGAGGCGCACGCGCGCGAGCGCGCGCGAGACGTCCTCCAGCGCCTGGTCGCGGAGTTGTTCGCGCTGCCGAGCGAAACGGACGCGCACGGACGGTTCGCGCAGTTGCCCGAACCGACGACGACGTTCCCGAGGCTGCGCGCGTTGCCCCCGAGCGAGGCGCCGCTGACGAAGTGGGAAAAGTTCGCGAAGGAGAAGGGGATCAAGAAACGGAAGCGAAGCAAGGAGGTGTTCGATGAGAAGACGGATGAATGGAAACGGCGGTATGGGTATCAACGCGCGAGGGACGGGAACGATGTCATCATCGCGCCGGGGAAGATGACGGACGTGCCGGGGAAGACGGAGGACCCGTTTACGCGCGAGGAGCGAGAGAAACGGGAACGGACGTTGAAGAATCGAGAGAAACAAGATAAGAATTTGATGAACGCGGTGGCGGAGAAGGGTGCGAAGGCGTTACCGCCGACGCTGCGATTGGCGGTGACTGGTAAGAAGGACTCCGTGGGGAGCGGGAAGCTAGGGAAACGGGAGATGAAGGACGTGGCGGCGCGCGTCTCGCACTCCACGGCGTCGGTCGGCAAATTCAACGCCCCAGTGCCGGGAGACGATAAGGTCAAGGTTCGCGGCAAGCGACGTCAGTTTGCGAGCGTGACGGATATGGATTCTGAGCGTAAGAAGAGCTCGGAAATCATCGATAAGTTGCTCGCGAAGGAGAAGCGCGGCGGCGTCGTCGACGTCAACGCGGCGGCGCGGAAGATTCAGCAAGAGAAGGAAAAGGCGAACCGCGTGAGCAAGCGCAAGAAGGCTGACGGCGAGAGTAAGGAGCGGGCGTCCGGTAAGCGAGGGAAACCATCCGCAGCCGGAGGCGCTCGCGCGAAGAAGAAGTGATTAGATTGTGATATAACCAAACGACGACACGACGTTAAAGAACCGTAACAAACATCGCGAGTACATGTCGCGACCCGGGGCGACCACGACTTATGTTCCCTCGTATAGTTGCGTCTTCTCATAGTGATTTGAAGTCGTAAAGTATGAAAAAAGTTGGTGATCAACAGGTCCGGAGTTCGATTCTCCGAGGCCCCTACGACAGACCCATACCTAGGGCACTCGGGGTCTTAGCTCAGTGGTAGAGCGGTTGACTGCAGTTAAAAACCATTTCTTTTTTGGACGTTTCTCGTCTCGACGCGTTTAGGGCACTCGGGGTCTTAGCTCAGTGGTAGAGCGGTTGACTGCAGTTAAAAACCATTTCTTTTTTGGACGTTTCTCGTCTCGACGCGTAACGCGATAGACGTGCGCGCGCCGACGTGTCTTCGTGATGTCTTCGTCTAAATCAGCACTTCACTTTTTATCACAATAGTTGACGACGACGACGCGTCTATTTCTTCGCGACGACTTGCGCGAAGCTCACTTTGACCTTCTTCGCCGCCGCGGTCTCCGTCCCCGCGTGTAAATCATCGTTGAGCGAGTCCAATTGCGTGATTGAATCGTCTTCTTGCATTTCTTTGCGTTTGCGAGCCGCCTTCGTATCGTCTCCCAGGGGCAAAGGTTTCTCTTCGGAGATTTTCTTTTCCTCGTCCTCCGCGCTCGCCGCTTTCTTCTCCTTCTCCGGCGCGTAGATGTCCTTGACGTAGCCGTCGATTTCTTCTTTCACGAAGCTCGGTAAATCCTTGCGCTTCAAATATTTGACGTTCGCCTGCATCCCGGGTACCCAGTTCGATTCCCCAGTCGCGCGATCCATCCACGACGTCACAGTCATTTGGAACTGCTCCACCGCGGGATTCAAGTTGAGCGAAACCTTCTCCTCCTTCTTCTTCAGGCTCGAAGGAAATAACCCCAAGAACAGCGTGACGTGCGAGTTTTCGTCCTTCTCCGGATCTTTGTACCTCGACGTGCCGGGATGCGCAAGCATTTGCCCTCCCGTGGCGTTTTCGATGCCTTGGATTAAAAGCTTGATTCGCGAGCCGACCCAACCTTCCCACTTCTTAAAGTCATCTTCGTTCTTGGCCGAGATGGTAACCATCAAATAATGCTTGTATTTTTCTAAAAAGTTCAACGAACACCACAGCTGCTCCCACTTCGCGGTGTTTAAAAGAATCATCTTGGTCACTTCCTTGCCGCGCTTGAACTCGGCTTTGAGCACCTCGAGCGTGCTGACGCTCACGTTGAACGTAGAGTTTTGCGCCGGATACGCCGGAGTTAAGATTTTCATCAACTGATATCGCTCTGCCTTGTTCACACGCTCGTCCCACACTCGCATCCCGGGTAAGCCTTCGTCGACGATGGGTACGAGCATCACCGGCGTCGTCCATTGCCACGCCGACCATAGTTGGAAAAAGCTGTACACGAGCATGGAAGGTGCGGCGTTGGGGTACAACTGACACACGCGCGCTACTAAAATCGCCAGGTTTACGCCACCGAAAAACCCGACGACGTTGCTATACACCCCGCGCCGCTGCGCCCACAGACGCAACGTGCGAAGCGCCACTCGAAACGCGTCGTGGTTTGGCACGACGCGCAACAACTGATCCGCCACGCGACAACCATTCAGGGATTTCACCCCTGGGTCGTCCAAATTCATCATCACCGACGTCTGACACACGTCTAAGTCCTCTGGCACGTGCGTGTACGACGGTAAGCTCGTGTACGCCATATCTATTTCAAAACCTCTAAACACGAGTTTGATTTCTGGCACGATGGCGTCGCGCACGGGCACGATGCTCTCCGTTCCAGGGTGTTTCCGCATCACGTCATAAAACGACCCTTCGTAATCATTCTCATCCCATCCAAAGAAATCCTCCTCTCGGCTCAGATGTCTCGGCCCGAGGCACAGCGTATCGATATCCGCAGCCGGTCCGTGCACGCCCAATCTATAGCTCCCAAACGTGTACAAGTTACACGACGGCCGCATATCCTCTGTGATCCCCTTTCGCTCGCTCGCCGCCAGCACCCAGTCTTGCAACAACGCGTTTATCTCCCCCAGCACCTCCTCGCGTCGCACGCACTCGTCCGCGTCTTCGTACACGTCCTCTTCCCGCAGTTTGTCATCGAGCGCCTTGCTCAACTTTTCGTCGAACGCCGTCGGCATCTCGTTCGACATCACGCGATTCAGCGCCTCCGCGGACGCCGACTGGGTCATGACCGACGGTGCGGAGGGCGTCTGCGCGCCGATCATGATCGCGGGCGACGACGCGCGCGCGTCGATCGCGTCGGAGTGTGAAGTCGGGCGCGATTAATTTCGACGGCGCGACCGTATTTCGCGGCGCGCGCGCGCGCGTTCGTTCGCGCGCGATTCGGTTTCGATGCTCGGGACTCAATCTCGCGGTCACGCCGCGGGCGATCGCAAGAGCGCGCTCGTGCGCTACGGACTCGTGGCGATCGCGTTGATGAATGTCGGTGTCGAATTGATTAAGATGTACTTTGGAACGAGCGCGCGCGGCGTGGAGGGGCGATACGGACGCGTGCGCGCGGAGGTGGCGTCGGTAAATCATCGCACGTCGTCGCTCGAGCGGACGATGCCGCGCGCGGATGCGCTGGCGCCCGAGGTGGAGGAGACGCGGGCCGAAACGGCGGCGGCGACGGCGCTGGCGCCCGAGGTGGAGGAGACGACGACGCCGGCGAACGTTCGGCGGCGAGAGAGAGAGTGCGGTTCGCCCGCCGTCGATGGCTACGCGCACGTAAATTTGACGTGCTTGGCGATGAGTGCGACGGCGAGAGAATTCGCTCACGCGTCGGCGAGCGGGCGCGAGAAGTTGCGAGCGCACATCGAAGAACACGCGTCGTACGACGGCGTGGCGGTTCGTTGGGGAATCCATCACACGACGGAAACCGCGGAGGAGTGCGGTGAGCGGTGCAAAGAACACGTGGTAAAGCCGGACGGAATCGGTGCAGAAGTTTTGCCGTGCAACGTGTTCGTTTGGCCGTCCCAAAGACGTCGGTGAGGGCGGTTGCTTTGAACCAGACGCGCACCAGCACTTCGCGGGCGACTGTTGGCTCAAGTTTAGCGAGACTCCGGAGAACGTCGAGGTGAACCAGCGAGGGGCCAACGACGCACCTGGGTTCGTGAATAAGGATGGAAAGACGTTCGCCGAGCGACACGCGAACGCGCCGAAATTAGTCCATTGGTCGAGCGGCGTGCTGCTTCCGGAATCGATGACAGCTTCGAGCACGCTCGGGCCGCGCGCAACGTGGTAGACATGTAGAAAATTTGTTGTTATACATATACTTGTACACTTTGATTACTGTACGCGGGCCATCCAGTTTGCAGGCGGTGACCAGGTTGTCACCGCCGCATGGTGATCTCTCTGGTCTTTAGGTGGGCAAGGCCCCATAGCCAAAAACTTCAAAGAACTACTATATTCCAGCGTGTCCAGTGCTTCCACATTGCGAAGCTTTTCGTCATCTCTTTTTTCCACCAACACGCAGAATTCATTTACTTCCACTGCCCAGGCCTGGCCGGTGTTTCTTTCTATTTTGTACATGCCGGCTCTGCATTGGAGGCCCATATTGAAAAGCTTAGCCTCGTTGACTTGCTAACAAACTTTCTCAAATGCCTCTACCATTTTCGGCGGTGTGCAACCCACCGGGAAGCGTATAGCAGACCAGCATCGGATCGTTTCACAAATGGGCCACCCCCCCATGTCCTTCAGTGCGCCGTTCAAGATATCTACAAGCTCGATCGCCACGGGTGAGTTTCTCGACCAATCTGGGTCACGGGCACGCATGTAGAGAGGCGACGGCGCATGGGTTTTCAGCAGGGGGGCGATGCGCCAGGACGTGAAGTCGTGTTTCCCCTGAACTTGAAGAACTGCGAGCAGGTCGGGGTGATAGAATGCTGGGGTGCTCAGGCAACAACCCATGATGCGCTGTGTTTCTTTTCTCGGCCACGCGCGCGTTTTCTTTTGTCCGCCTCTCTCTCGCGCGCGCGTCGTCGAGTGATGCTGGTGCCGCTCGTGACGGATTTAAGGGCGTGAACACCCGCGTGTAAAAGCAGACACTTTATATAGCACTTTGGGAGGTTAAAAGGTGTCCCAAAGTCTCATACATTGGCCTATACTTTGGCAACATCCCGCGCTTTGATTACTGTACAGTAATCAAAGCGCGGGATACCGTGGAATGGACTCGGAAAAACCTCTAGAAGTTCGGCGGCGCCATTCCGCGCGCGATCTCAGCGGGCGAGCGTGATCACCAACGTGGACCGATGAGGCACCGATCGTACCGTGTATGCAATGGACGCACGCTCGCACTCATCGCGCTCGTCGTGCTTGTCGCACGCACGCAGCGCGTCTTCGCTTCGCCGACCGACGAGCGAAGATTCTGGACGCCCACTGTCGTCGCCGTGGACGACGGCGTCGGTTCGAAGATCCGACGCATGGGAAACGATGTGGAGAAATCGAAGTCTTTCGTGTTTGAGAACACGGTAGCGGAATCGCTGACAAGAGATGGCGTCGTCGCGGTGCGAGTGCGAGGCTTGAACGAAGCAAAGACACAGAGCGCAAAACTCTTCATGGATTGCGCGCGGGTTACGGATAATGTTGCAGTAGAAGAGTACGACGATGGATCCAGGCGCGTGACGCTCGCCACGACGACGAAGCAGAGGGGGAGTGGTTTCGGGGAACCCACGTCCAAAGCATGTAAGAAGTTCGAGGTCACGACGAAAATGCTTCGCGCGAAAGTTTCTGTGGCCGAACAAGCAATCACGGACGTGTTTCAGAGCAAGTTTTCAGATCTGAGTGAATTTGCGAACGGGGTACTGATGCAGGGAGAGAACGGCGAGACCTATAAAACTTTCTCGGAAGTATTGAAAGACTGCGAGCACCTTGAACATTTTCACGGCTACACGATTTCACCACAACAAAAATTGAAGAATAGTAAAGTGCGGACGATCGAAGAGCACACGGATCAAGGTCTACTCATCGCATTCGTCCCGGCCATAATTGTCGATGCAGTGACGGGAAGGCGCGATAAGTTTTCCTCAACCGGCGATTTTTATATGACGCTTCCTGGGCATCGCAAGGTGCTTCTCCATTTTGACACGCTTCCAGACGATGTCGTTATTTTTATGCTGGGTCAAGCAATCGAGCAACAAATCACTCCCAAACTTGCAAACGGCCTTGAGCTTCACGCTGTACCACACGCAATGGATATGCCCAATCTTAAATCTAATCAGTTCAGATTTTGGTATGGGCGAATGTTCCTCCCACCTGAGAATGCCTTGGACGAAAGCCATGGTCTCTCTTTTGGGACAGTGCGCGCTAACATCATCGAAGATTTCGCACGTGGGCTGAAGACATCCGTGGGATGTGGTCGTGAGCTCCTCTCCGTGGCAGGGAGCGGTTCATGCGCTAGCAACCAGATATGGTGCTGGATGCGATGCATGAATCACTCAGCGCCGGCGAGCAATCCACTCACATGCAGGACGGGTCATAGTGTCCAATGTTTGAGCCAAAGACTGGAAGTCTGGACGGATGCCGACAGTCATGGTGATTATAATCCTGGATGCACCGACGAGACCAACGAGACAAAGCCCGTCACCGATCCACCGACCATCCCAGCTCGAGCAGCCTCTTGTACAGATGGAAACGCCTGGGAAACTTTTTTGAACCACTCCGAATATGAAAACAGCTTGGAGCTGTTACAAGATAAGTTATATTTACTCTGGACTGTTCAAAATGGTAAGTTAAAAGCCCGAGTTGCCTTCAATGGCAAGATTGGTTGGTTTGCTCTCGGCATCAAAAACCTAGGAGGGAAACACAACGGGATGAACGGGGCGAACATCGTCATGGGCGTCCACGACCCTCATCCAATGGGTCACGACAGCAATTTCGGTTCTCCTTATGTTGGAAAGAGCAGTGCGAAACAATACAAAATCCACGATCATTCTTCTGCTTTTCGACATTGGAATGACACTGCTGACGTTGCCTCACCCTTCGTGAGTTCGACGACGTTCAATTCATGTTTCAGTTGTATGCGTTTCGAGACGGCCTCGATACGGGGCGAGGCTCTGAATCTCACCTCTGGTATTAATGAACTCATCTGGGCTGCTCATGATGGCACTTACCTCAAAGGCTACCATGAAGTACAAGGATTCGATCGGAGAGATGCACGCGGGCATCTCACGCTTGACCTGACGCGAAATTACGGTCGTGTAACGTGCGGCTTCTCAAGAGGCTGGGCTGCGGCGAGTCAAACATGTGCTTTTTCGGCAGCAAGCACTCCTTCAGCGATAGTTTCTATATCCATTGCTGTCATTGCAATCCTCGTTATGTGACGCGGAAGTTTGCATTCTTCACGATCTTTCAATCGACACCCGAAACAGTCTGAGCACGCACCGACAGTCACGCCGTTGTAGGTCCCGGCGTGATAACAGAACTCTTCGCTTGATGCGAGTGCGTTCGTGCTCGCGTACGCACTCGAAACGGTGCAGTCGGCGTGAGAGAAACACACGTCGCCCGGGTCCGCGCGCGCGGTGTGCGCGACGGCGAGAGCGAAAACGAACGGCACGAGGAGGTTCTGAAACATTTTTGGTGTGGGTTTAGCTCGCGAAAAAGTTTCAGCGAGGCTTGACGTGCGCCGCAAAGTGAGGTTCGGAGATCCGGAGATCCGCCGGTTGACGCCCCGCGGGGCGTGTGTGCCAGCCCGTAGGGTTTAGGGGATCGGACATATGGAGCCTCACTATTAAGACACACTGTCATATATATTAATGGATTTATGACAGTGTGTCTTAATAGTGAGGCTCCATATGTCCGACCGCGGGCACACATCCCCGCGGGGCGCCAGCAGGGTCAGGTCGCAATTTTGCGTTTTCCCGCTCAGCCTTCACTAGAAACGTGTCTAAACCGGCCACTTTTTAAATCTTGTTTTTTGCTAGGTTTTTACTGTCTCCGGGTCTCGGAGGAATCGCGTGGAGTGACCGGTTATGGGTTTAGTGGTTGGAGGTCCTGTGAGGAACTTTCTCTCCGTCACTTTTTTTCCATTTTTGAAAAAAAAAACGTCACATGTAAACTTTATAAATAAACCTATAACCTATAACCTATAACCTTGAAGGTTGAAATTTCTTAAGACCCGGGGTCCGCTGTTAAGGGGGGTCGGAACGCACAGAGAAATCGGGCTCGTCGTCCTGTGTATCAGCAGTCCTGTAGTAGGAAGTCATTTTTTGCTGTTTTGGGCATCCCTTGCGTTCAGAGATTCCATTCTGAAGAAATCTTAAGCGAGGGCACCAAAAACTCAAGGTCTCAACGGTCGCACGCTTCAGACTAGTTACATCTTCTGTACCTCCAAGCAGCGAAGTGCTCCTGTGTGTCAGGTTTGTCTCACCAAACACCGAGATCTTCGAGAAGACGAACACGTTCCGCTGAGAGTTTGCACGTGCACCTGTCTTCCTTTGCCTGATTTGTGAGCCATCACCCCAGATTTGAATGTGGCGTATCTTATCGCGACACTCTCGCTTAAGATCTCTTCAGAATGGAATCTCTGAACGCAAGCCGTGGATGTATTAAACTGTGAACGAGGCTAGTCATGGTTCGATTTTTTGGATTACAAGTGTAGGTCTACTTTTACGTTTCGTGGACTCCGCTTGAGTCGGCCGATGTCACCACGTCAGGTGTTTCGAGTGCACTAGAGACGTGACCGCCGATACACAGGACGTCGAGCTCGGCGTGCCTGATTTCACGACTCGGTGACCATGGTTTGAAACCGAAATGACCATCGGCTTCAGGCCCAGGCGCGGCCGCAATGCTACTTTAAACTTAATATATTTTTTTTGAAAAAAGAGTAGTAAGAGTAATAAAAATAAACTTTTTTTTTGAGTTGGGGCACCCCAACATGATAAAACCGCACATCGCGGCGAGCCATGCGCGACCATCAATTTGATGTCATGTCTAGTCAGGCTCTCGTGGTAAAAACGTAAGATGTGCTTATTACAGCATATGCCAATTGCGCAGTAAATCTCGAAGGACGACATCAAACATATCACAGAGCGCGCGCTTCACACCGTACAACACCATCTAAGGTACTTTCGACCGACGTTTTAGGCAATTTTGACTCGCCGACTGGTCTTTTCCAGTTGTGACGTCAGATTCGATACGATACTGGGTTACGATGCGTTGAGTTGGACTGTAGAGGCCTGTACCCTTACATGCACATCTTCCATGGAGCGCTGGAGAAAAGGCATTGTTGCATAATTATTGTCAAAATATAGATATTTTAATTTGACGCCACCATTATTAACTTTAAAATCAAGCCAGATCGCGACGACACTGAACATTTGAATGTGTATTCACACTTGAGAGACACTGGTTTCGGCAACTCACGATCGAGTACCGAAGACAAAATTAGCGCACTTTTTTCTATCATCTGCAGAATGCGAGTTTGGCGCATTTTTTACTGCGTCGCAGTGTTTCTTAGCCGCTTTGCACTGTTTGGAGCAGACATGCGGACATGCTGCCACCCAGGTTGGGTTGGAACATAGATGGCGCCTGCCTTCCGGCTTGCCGCAGCCCCGCGGAATCGATTCACAGGGAGCCATGTTGGGTAGATCAGGCGTTTCCCAGACGGTACCAGAGATACCATCGAAACCTGGGCACGTGTAATCGTCACTCAGAGTACAGCCAGTCGCCGCCGAGCCTTGACAAGATCTTTTCCAACCACCCAAACGCCTATGGCCCTTTGTACGCTTTTGGCAAGTACCCGTCGACACGTTGTACGCTTGTTTAGCTTCCTTAGTATCAAACGAGTGACACACGCATGAATCAATCAGTGGCAAAGCGCGGACCTGTACGGCCGGCTCATGCTCGCACGCCCAACACGAGTGTCCTCCAATACTGATCCCGAACCGCTGGCGCATCTCTGACGCGCAGACTTTCGCGCGTTCCTCCTCGTTGAGCTCCATTCCCGCGCAGGCACAAGCGCACTGTGCACGCGACCACTCCACTCCATCTGTCGCACCAACATAACCTCTCATATCATTCTCCAGTTGGGCGTGTTGGTCGTGGCATATTCTCGCACACGCCGCGAATGTCTTCATAGATTCTGGTAGTCCGTAGTGCACCGCGGCCTGGGACACCGCGTCGTCATCCATGAGTTTCCACCCCGTGACCCCCGAGCTCACTGGCCGCCGCCGCCGCCCGAGCTCACTTGACGGTGCATCCAAATCACCGCCCGCATCGCCTGGGTCCGTCGCCACCGCCGTGAACGGCGCATCCGCGTCAACGCCCGCGGCGACGTTCAGCGCCGCGGCCCCCACGAACAGCGCCAACGTCAAAGGTGACACACATTGCCTTCGAAACCCCATCCCGCGCGCGCGATCTGCTTTTTCGTCCACGCGGCGTCCACTCGCGAACGCGCGGATACCGTTCGCTCTCTCAGCGCCCTCCACGTCCGATCGGTTCGGAAGTGACGCGCGCGCGCAGAATAGTTTCGCGTCACAACGCAATTATTCATTCCCGTGTTGATTTTATTCTATTCCAGGGGGTATGGGTATAGAGTTTACAGTGCCTTCGTACGAGATATTTCCCAACACCCTTTAGTACCAAAACCTAATTGCGTATCTTCCCTCACTTTCCGACGTCACGCGCGCACGCGATGACGTCGGCGACGCCGAAACGACGGCGCGCGCGCAGATTTTTGTATGCGTTCGGAGGACCGACACTCTTATTTAACCTCATGCGCGTGTTTGCCATGTCCGGGCTCGTGGCAACAATTACAATGTCAACAGCCGCGGGCGCCGCCCACGGTGGAGGTGCGAGCATGGACGAGGGACCGGCGCAAATGCATTATATGCCTGATCGATTTCGCAGCCTCGCGGGCGGCGGCTGGCTTACTATCTCATCGAGAGACGTGCACAAGAGCCTGATGCCCATGCCTGGGATGCGCGGTGGCGGGGAAGGCGCGAATGAGTCAGCAGTAAGTGGCAGCGCGATGAAGGACGAGGTGAAGATCGATCTGGCCCACGGTGACCCAGACGGTGAGCGATCGTGCGATCTCGTGCATTACAAGTCATCCTCGAATGAGTTGGTGTGTTCACCACGTGCGGTGGATTGCTGTTTGGACGGACTCACGGCGCAGGAGCTCGCCAGCGTAAGCGATGGGTGCCCGTCGGTGAGACCAGAGCTGAACGTCGAGGTCAACGGTCAGCGATTGACGTGGGGCAGCGCTGGTAGAAATGGAAGGGACACGCTCACGGACGAAAGTCTCAAAGTGAGCCATGGGCAGACGCCGACGATCGTGGCGGTCGAGCCGGCTGAGGTTCGTCCCGGTGAGTTGATCACGGTGTACGGACGAACGTGCTTTGGCGATGTTTGGAAGAAAGATGAAGATGATGGTTCGTCTCTACGTGATGATCCCGACGCACTGCGAGATCTATTCTCGGTTGAAGCGAGCGCAAGAGAGGATCCGCGCCAAGAAATTGGATTGGAAAAGTCTCTCTACAAGGTGCTCATCGGTGACCTACCGTGCGAGGTTCGAGATCCACTCACAAACAGGTACTACCGATCCGAGCGCGGCGATGGTCCATACACAGCCCACCGGCAAACAGAGTGTGGACCCGTTAACGGTTGGTTTCAGTGCCGTGTACCCCAAGACATCGATTCCGGTCTTCATCTACTTCATTACGAGACGTACACCAGAGGCAATGCTGTGATCCTGTCTGAGGCGCTCAGATGGAATGCATCGGACGCGTCCAAGGGCTACGTGCTGTCAGTGGTTGATGATAAGTCGGAAGATGAAGATCCACCGCGTGTTTATAACATAACGCAGCTCTCGAAGGATGAGTCCAAACAGCGACTCCTTGTTGAGGGTGCGTCTCTTGATGCGCCAAATATCGTCGTCGAGCTTGACGGGGAGCGCTGTGGTGGAAAAAAGGTTGTGTCCAGATCTGGCATCGAGGTTGAATGCTCAGGTTCAGCTGGAGCGAGCTCGCAGTATCACTACGGCCCCCCCGCGTGGCTGCGTGAAGACTGGGTGTTCAAGGACAAGAATAATAAGTTTGTCGGTGGCAAAGCGTGGTCTAACGCTCTCCACGTTTTGAAGCAGCGTGGAGAAAGGTACAACCCTCTCGCCGACGAAGTCATGGACGCTTTAAGCTCGGCATTGGCAACGAATGGCATTGTCCGCGGGTACAAGATCGAGAAAGTTCAACAGTATCTCACGAGCCCATCGGTTGGATCACCATATGTTGAGGCAACTAGCGGCATGAAAGCGGCGCACGCCGGACTCATCCGTCACCGAAGGATACGGAATGCTGTGTTTGAACGTGTAAGCGGAGTCATCACCGCCAAAGCAAACGGGCGAATGCGCGTGGCGATCGCCAATGCGGCGGGCAATAACATGGTGCTTCGTGTGCGACATGTTTCCGACAACTTAAATGTATTCAAACCTTGGTTGTTAGTTTCCAAATTTTGCGGCACCAGATACAGCAGACAAAACATTTATCGATACGGCTTTTCACAGTGGTTCAGTGTTCGTGGTAACGAAAAATACTATATGGAATTTCTGATGAACTTGGACCCCAGATACTTGCACAATTTCGGGGGATTCGATGTTAAGATGGAATTTTCCTACGACGCGGGTAATCCTGCGGGATCAATTGGGCAACTTACGCACACGACAACGCCTCACGTGCCCAAACGAGCGCATGGTGGCGATTACGTCGTGCGCTTTAGCGGCGCTTCGAAAACTGCGATCAGATTCGCTCATAATGCAACTTCTTCAAGAAGCAATTTTGAGTGGAAACTCTTCAGTGGCGGCAAGACCATCGAGTTCAATACGAAGAATTGGTTGCATGCACGCGAACACGTGCGGAAAGTTAGAGACGCTCTGCGATGGGCTAACTGTACCGCGCTGCCTGAAGACTCAAAGATGTGGGACGCGGACTCGACCCATTCTTCGCACCCATTCGACGTCGAGAATCGATGGCTCATGGTGCGTGATACGCAGACCTTCAAAGAGCCCACCACAGATTGGAACTTCATATGGCAACGTCGCATGGGCGGATTCAGAGGCGCGTCGATCGACTGGAGTACCTCGTACTGTTCGACACACAGTCAAAAATTTGATTTGTCGTCACTACCCCCAGGAAGAGTCATCACTCCTTCTTCTCATTTCGACGTACCTGCATCTTCTCGTGCGACGACGAATAAGTTTCTGAACTTTGCCTACAAAGTCACTCCGGGTACGCGAGCGACCTTGTTACTTCGTCTAAAGTACCGAAGCGGTAATCGGGACATATCGACCACGTGCGCGGTTCTCCTCACCCATGAACAAGCGACTGGGAACGTGAAGAACTTCGATCACCCAGCGTGTGTGGACCTTCGAAGCGTCTTCAAGGATGATGGAGAGTGGCACTTTATTTCATTCGATTGGCGAACTGCGTTGGCCGGTGGTGAGTATGCCCCGAGTTATTTGGGCGAGGCTATGTTCCCGCATAAAGTGCAAGTTCAACTCGATGGTATCGGTGTCGGCGCGCAGAGATTCCTCGGCAAGTGTCCGAATAAACAGCGCTTAGCGGAAATGTATGTCGGTGATGAAGGAAGTGAACTGCGCGGTTACCTCTGGTTGGATAGCGTTTCTGTGACACAGGAACGCTACTCTCCTCAACGAGTCGAGACGCCCTCTGCACAGCTCGGAGGTATGCAAGAAGGCGTTCACGCAATCACAGATATTGAATATTCGGTCATCAGCCGAAGCGATGGCTCTAAGTGCAAATCGCTGTCGGACTGTGATATCATCGTGAGCCTGCGTCAGGTGAAGAGATGCATTGATGCGCAGTCGCGAGGCGATTTCAATATTTCGCCGATGGTGATGTCACAGACGAGTCCAAACCCGCAACCCGCGACGGTCTCGTGTGGTCGTCACTATGCAGCGAACTGCTCGACTTGTCCGTGGAAGGTGTCCGCGGAAGGTGTCCGTGGAAGGTGGATGGGCTGGAAATATTGCAATGGTGCGTGCGAATGGAGATGGCACGGGCGTATCAATGCAGGTGGCACGTGCGTGTCAAAGCCAGCTCCAACTCCTCCGGCAATAACAGTCACGGATCGTACTTCTTCAACACGTGGAACCGTCACTGCACAGATCACAGGGGGGACGATGACGCAATTTTCCACCTCTGCCAATTCATCTGAAGTGCAGGACGCATTACGTCATGTCCTCGGAGCGCACGACGGAGGCTTCGTGGTGAGTCCAAGCATGGATTTGTTTGATGCGTGCGGTGTGAGCGCTCATCGCATGCGCGTTGCGCATGCGAGCGATCTCGAATCGATCCAAGCGCGGTACAAAGAAGTCGTCAATGGTGTGCCCCTGGGAATGCTACCGAAATCTTCCCGAGGCCGCACTGCGGAAAATGACGCAGGTCTCCTTAATATAACTGTGAATGTCTCAGGCGGCCTCGCTGAGATAGTCGCGACAGACGAGTCGAGCGATTTCATCGGTATGGTGCCCCTGGACACGAGAACAGATCTCGATGTGCGCGCCTTGATTCGCGGTGGCGACGCCGTGTTGGCGACGGCTGTTGTGACGGATGGCGACACAGTCGTACCATGTTCTGTCTCACCTGACCGTATGTCTGCGACTGGCTTCAAACAAGTTCCGAACGGGCAGGCATTCGTTGGCGATGCTTCTTGCCACATCATTGTGCCACACGAGGAAGTTGCATCTGACGCGACCGTGCACGCTCCGACGGAGTTGAATCAGGATGGTTTTCCCTCACTCGGTGAGTCCGTGAGTCAATCGAGTCCGACAGACCAGAAACGTCGACGGGACGTCGAAACTATCCGTCGGCGCAGCATGTCAAACTCGCTAAAATTTCCTGGCCATGATACCTGGGCAAAACGAGATCTATCGATGAGTAGATCCGATCTTGGACGATTAACAGTCACAGTGGTTGGTTTTGGTGCGCGTGTGCACAACGGCGCCGCGCACCGTAGAGCTGCGAATCACGCGCGGAAACTGTTGAAAACGGAACTCGTCGCGAAGGATGCAGGTCAGGGGAGTCTCAACAATACGAAAAGCAAGTATGAATTTCCGGCGGGCGCGGGTCGATTCAGTGATCCATCGACGTGGGGTCCTCGGGGAGTGCCGGACCAAAACTCGACGGATATGCTCTTTATTCCTGCCGGTTTCAATCTTACTCTGGATGTCGCCGATACGTACTTCCGCGTGTGGGTGATTGAGGGGCACCTAAATTTCCAACGGGGCATGAACATCACGATGCAAGCAGAAATGATCGTCATCAACGGCGACGACGCACACTTTAGCATTGGGAGTGAAACACGTCCCTTTGAAGATCAGGCGAATATCATCATGCACGGTCACTGGCGATCCCTCGGCTTGCCCAAATATGGGGTGAAGTGCATCTCACTGACGAGCGGACGATTAACATTCTATGGTCAGCACGTCACGCCTTGGATGGAACTGGCCACTACGGCTTCAGCTAACGCAAACGTTATTTCCGTCAGAAGCAAGGAAGGCAAGACTCCAGATCTCGCCGGATGGAAACCGGGTGCGAGTATTGTGGTGACGTCAACCTCTTACGGGGACAGGAGATGTCGGCAAAACCGTACAGACGACTGTCAACCCGAGGAGCGCGTTATTGAATCTGTCACTCCTAGAGGCAACTTTGCGGACATAACTCTCGATCGACCGTTGAAGTATGAACATTTGGGTGAATCCGTGAATGTGGCGGGAAGCCCCCGCGGGGCTACGATTGAGCGTCGTGCTGAAGTAATGCTTCTCACGAGAAATATCAACGTGCGCGGCACGACTGAACACAATGGGTATAAGCTCGTCGGCTTTGGCGCGCACACTATGATGATGTCTGGTCAAATGGTGTTGAAAAATGTTGAATTCGGCCCAAACGTCGGACAGGCCTTCCAACTGGGTCGGTATGCCATCCACTACCACACGCCCAATGAAAAGATGTTCAAATATGGTTTGACAGCCTCAAATGACCCGAGGATGCAGGGCGCAGACCAGCGCTTGAGTCGTGTGGAGGGAGTCTCGGTCCACCAATCAAACAACCGTGCGATCGCGGTGCATGGTTGTTATCGACTGAACATCATTAACAACGTCGCGTACAACATCTTGGGACATGGGATGTTCGTTGAAGATGGTGTGGAAATGTGGAACCTCTTCAAGGACAACGTTGTTTCTCTAGTGCATCGCTCTTTCTCTCTTTTGAACACTGATCAAACACCTGCAGCGTTTTGGATATCGAACGCTAACAATTTCTTCATCGGTAATCGAGTGTCATCGAGTAATCATCATGGATATTGGTTTGACCCACCAGGAGGACCTACCGGACCGTCGTCGCGAACGCTCACGGGGCCTTTGGAAATCCAAAAATTAAGCACTCGGAAGGTACCGCTCGGCCAGTTTGAAAATAACAGAGCCCACTCGAATGGCCACTCCGGACTTTGGATTGATCAAATAAACACGGTCTTGCAGCAAGGCGGCAGGCTCAGAATGTACATGGTCGGTACCCACGTATGGAACAATGGAATCAACGGTTTCGGAATGATTACCGGCGTTGGGCATCTACAGATTGTGAATACGTTTGCCATGGGCAACGGGATTGACATCATGTATATCAAGTCGACTGGTGCGACGTGGGCGATGCCGACGAATGGTTGGTCCGGTAACTTGGTGTACAACGCCACCCTTCGCGGTGACCCGAAACGCAATACCCAGGCAATCGGCTGTCCGCACGGCGGATGGGTAACATTTAACGATATCCTCATTAGTGGCTATCAAAGTAGGTTGCCCCCAATACACCACTGCGCTGTGTGTCCGGGTTTCAAAGGCGGCATGGAAGTTCGTTTCATGAATATGAAATTCGTCGACAGTGATACAAGGCGGCTCCGCGGTGGTTCAACATCTCGACCGCGCGTATTCTGGAACGGGTACAACTCCAACCTTTTGCTCGACGTGGATGGGACCCTGAGTGGATCGCCAGGTCCACGATGGGCGCATTCAGTCAAGGGCGCCAGTGATGATCCCAGGAACCGGCCGACGGGTCATTTTCCGCCAGAACACTGCACCCTCAATGATCACATCGGAGGTGTTGTTTGCGACGCCAACACTGTGTCGTTGCGAGAGGTGCAGTGGCGCCGTATCAAGCCCATGACCCTTATACCCATGGCGATGCAGACAGCACCTGATCAAAATGCAGGGCAAGTGAACTTTTATCATTACGACCATATCGAGCGACGTTTCAATTGGCGTACGACATTGGTTATGGTTAAAAGTCCGAACGCGAAGCCATACATCCATAACTTTACGTTTAAGTTTAAAACATGGCAAATTGATGACCCGGACGCTTGGTACATGGAGGTCCGTGAGCTTCAGCCCAATGAATGGGCTATAATGCGATTCCCCACACTCCGCAATCCGTGGCGTTGGAACTTGAATTCAAGAATACCGACGGTCACATTGAATAACTACAATCAAAGTGATTATAGTTTCAATGAGAGCAAGGCCATCACCACCACGAGCAACGAATGGCTGAGTTGGAAAAATCACAAGTTCGGCGACCACACATACCTACCCGTTGTGGAGACAAGGGATGTTAATGTAAAGCCAGATCCAGGGCTGCTCGATATCATGATATCTGGCAAGCGCGAACAAGGATGGACACAATCGTACGCCCTCGGTGCCAACTATGATGGCGCGCGTGAAGATATGCCCGTCTGCACCACTTCATGCGGAAGCTCGGCAAAGTCAACATGTGGCATGAAACGCTACAACTGCAGACCGGGCGACAAGAAACGATGTTTGCCGATGGAAAAGCCTGCAAACTGCTTCGACAATCGACCTATACCCGAGGTAGATCCCGAGCCTAAAACTTTTTCCTGGTGCGACTCAAACGAAGTTTGGTCTCCGCCGGCATTCGGGGATGACGTCATGATCAAGGCTGGTTGGACGGTCATCTTAGATGAAACCTGTCTGGTGACCAACATAACTAGACACGTGGATTTATATGGGTCCCTGTTGCTTCGTGATCCAGGCGCTGGTAAAACCATCAAGTTCCGAGCGCAGACCATCCACGTCGCGGCTGGGATTGGATACCTCGAAGCTGGTGACCAGGATGATCCGATATCGAATGGCGACGTTCGTATCGAGCTTTATGGGAACAGATTTTCTAACGCTCGAATGGGCTACGGTATGGAGACAAAGTACATCGCCGTTCTCGGACACCTCAGCCTCGTCGGAAAGGCGAGCGTGGAGCAAACGTGGTCGACGCTTAGAAGCGATGCGCCCGCGGGAAGCAGTACAATTGAAACGACAGCCTGTGGCGGTTGGAATACTGGCGACACGCTCATGATTGGTGGCGCTATGCACAATTGGACCGGGATCAAGCATGCTTGGTTTTTGAGCGCGGAGCGCTGTGATATTTCCTCCATAGCAGTTGCGAGCGAAGGTTGCGTCATACGGTGTACTTCCAGCTTCAACTACACGCACTCAGGCCCGGCCCAAAAGCACGAGGTCAGTTTTGGTGGAATGCCAGTGACTCTCATGCATAGGCGCTCTCCAGGTGGGCGCGTGCAGGTAGTTGGCATGGAAGACAAAAACAAGGCACTGGCAGAGCAGCACTATGGTGCTGTTATTACTATCCTGAAACCGAAAAAGAAAGGCTATGACGCAAAATTGGCTAAGAGATTCAAGATAGAACTCAAGACGCCCGAGCGCATGCAAGCGGCAACTGAAAGCATGAAACATGATCCCCCGCCTGAATGCCACCGCAGACAAGGTTCGGCTGTGATCGTCAATGTCAACTTTGCGCATTGCGGTCAGCGGCACTCTAGTCGCGCGTGTGTTTCTTTTGCCGCCGGTATTGGCGCTGAGTATCGAGCTACGTTCGCAGAAACGACATCGATGGCACTCGTTGCGAACAACACATTTGCGGACGCCTACAATTTTGCCGTGAGCGCAGCAGGAGATGGAATTATTATAGAGAATAACGCCATCGCACAAACCTATCACGGTGGATTCGAGGTCTCTGGTGCGAACAACACAATGTCTAATAACGCAGCTGTTCGATTATTCGACGATGTTAGTGATTACTTTCACGACATTGGGTCGGTTGGTTTCAAGTTGTCGGGATCAGGGAAATGGTATACTAACGTCGTCGCCTCCGTGCAGTACACTGGGTTTAAAATTCCTGGATATCCGTGCGAAATGATGACTCCAGACGTGGAGGATGAGGGTTTAGACGTTCGCGCTGTGACCACCGTTCCCGCCGAACCTACAATGCGTGACCTTCGCGCGTATGGTGGCATGGTAGGCGTGAATCTGCGGGGCGGGCGTACTCGGATGGTCACACGTGAACCGGTGGAGGCCTACGCGCCGCTCGAGTGTCGCCAATGGAGCGACTTCGAGATTCGTTCAATGGTTTGGTACGGCGTAACCACGTTTGGTCAGGGAAAAACGTCTATTGTGTTGAAAAACTTTAATATTTGGGACACCGGACTTGGTTTCGCGCTGTGGATGGTCAACGGTGGCTCAGCCGCAGGTTCGAGCAGCGAGCGAGGGCATTTCGCAGAAATCAGTGACACGACGATAATCGGTTCTGCAAGTCGATGTAGAAACGACGGCATTGGGTTTCCCGCGTTTTACTTAACGGCAGAACCGTACCGGCCGGATCAAGGAGTGAAAACGCCATCGCGCTTTGGTGGAACGACGCTAAGAAACATAAGGTTTCGCGATTTCGGCGCATGTGAAAAGAAAGGCGTTCGTCAAGTTCGTCAAAAGAATTACGCATTGGTGAACGCCATGAACCGTGGGCGATACGCGTGGGTTTACTACGACAACGCGAACCCCGTGCGATCTTCTGGCTTGAGCTTTAAGGGTGTACCATTCGAAAACAGGTTACTCATGATCCATCCAAGCTGGGGTCGAATAGGCAATGGGAAATGGGGCTGTGCCCAAATGTACTGCGACGGACATCGCAACACGTTTGTGATGGATGAGGACGGTTCGCTGCTCGGTGATAACGCCGCATTCGGGACCATCTTGCCCGAAAACGAGATTGGTTGGTTCAAGAAACTGGCCTATATCGATCCGCTCAGCCGTGACATTCTTGAAGATTTGGTTCCATTCACACACCAGTGGCTGCCCAACGGTACCAAACTGACGCCCATGCGAGGGAAGCTCTACGACGAGCCAGGCCATCTCAAAATGGGCTGTCGAAAGGAGGCTTCATGGCAGGCGTGGCTCTGTCCCGAACACAGGCACAGGCAAATAATCCACGAAAGTTTGGACGGCGATCACACGAAGAGGCGCATCTCCCCAACTTCTGTTCTCACAGAGCTACCATCTCAGAGCAAGCGTTTCATGTCTCTGTACACTGGGCCTGCGAAATACGGAGGAAACTCCTCGACCGAGGGCAATAACATCCAAGCGCTCGATCGAGGCTAGGAGCTCGAGCGCTTGTTCCACCGCGGCGTCTCCGATGGCGTGCACGGCGATCTGAAGACCCGCTGCGTCCGCGAGAGTGGCTTGCTTGCGCAAAATTTTCTCTCTTTTACCTCTGGGGTACATCAAATGTCCAGACGTCGACCCGTCGTCTAGATACGGCGCCATCATCGCCGCGGTTCGCCCGCCCAAGCTACCGTCGAGAAACGCCTTGACGCCGCCCAATCGAACCCGAGAAGCCGCGGTCTCATTCTCTCGCGTCCAACCACTGTTCCACGCGACGTGGGATTGAACGCTTGCCCAGTCCCCGAGTGGCATGTACGACGTGATGCGAATCGGAAGGTCGCCGACCGCGTCCCATCGCTCGAGCGTCTCAAAATCTTCCCAGAGCTGCGCGTATCCATCCGCGCCCGCCACCAAGCTCTCGATGTCCCCGAAATCACCCACGGTCGTGATTCCTTTACTGAGTAAGTACTCAAACGCCCGTTTAAACGCTTCATCGCGCTCGCTCCGCGACCGCTTCGGCACCGCGTTCGACATCGCCGCCGTGGCCAACTCCTTTAGAATCCCAGTCGGCGCCCCCTCGTCGTCCAACTCCACGATCCCACCCGCGATCACCGTCTTCGCGCCCGTGATCTTCGCGATTTCCAACGCCGCCTCGCTCGCGAATCCGACGTGTCCGCACGTCCGCGTGACCCACACCTTCGCTCCGACGAATCGTTCGTCGCCGCGCGTCCACGCGTTCGACGGCGTCTCGCCGCCCCACGACGTCTCGTCCCAACCGTGTCCCAGCACCCATTTTTCCTTCCCAGCGTCGATCGCTCGCGCGAGGGTCTCTATGAACTCTTCTTTGGACCGCACGCCTCGCAGATCGAGCGCGTCGAGCGCGAATCCGCCCGTGACGACGTGCGCGTGCGCGTCGACGAAGCCGCTTCGCAGCGCGCGCCCGCCGCAGTCCAACACGACGCCGAATCTCGTCGACGGAACGTCTTCGACGGCGATGATTCGCCCGTGTCGGGATACCGTGATGTCTTTGATCGCGCCCGCGTCGCCGACGGCGCAGTTCGCGAACGTGGTGACGTCGGCGTCGCGTTCGGCGTCGGTCGAGTGATGACGCGCGCGAGCTGGACCGGTGGTTTTAGCGCCGTAGCCGAGCGGGCAGGCGGAGAATCGAGCCTCGAACGCGGGCCAGGCGATCGCGAGGAGTGCGCTCGCGATTGCGAGGGCGAACGCGACGTCGCGGGGGGTCCATCGCATGGCGCGGGAGCGCGCGCGAGGCGGACGCTGACGCGAGGAGCGGCGAGCGGGCGCGTGGCGGCGGCGGCGGTATGATTACATGAATGCCTGCGTGCTGGACGATCGGTGGTCGTCGTGAACGCGAGACGCTCTATTTGTTGTTGCTTTCGGCTTCGGAAATTTTTCTGAGAGCCTCCTTTTGAGACGCGTCGAACGCGTGCTGCATGTCTCGCTCGTTCCAACGCAAACATCTTCGAAGCGAATTGATGAAATCGCCCGTTTGATCGGCGTAGTTGATGGTGGGAATCGGGTATTGGCTCATGCGGACGAACACGGAATCCCCGCTCTCGAGCTCGCAGCGATCGCGGCCGTCGAAGGAGACCCAGGCGGAACATCGAGCGTCTTGCGCAACGCGTAGCTCGATTTCGACGCTGTCGGGGAAAATGACGGGTCGGAAAGACAGCGTGTGTGGGCAAATCGGAGTCATCAAGATTGCTGGAACGTTCGGGTGCACCATCGAACCTCCAGCGGACACGCTGTAAGCAGTGGAACCGGTGGCGGTGGCGACAATGACGCCGTCGGCTTGAATAGTCGTGATGAGTTCTCCGCGATCGTACGCCTCAATTTGAGATAAATACGGACTTGGACCTCGATCAACGAGCAACTCATTCAAGACGGTGATCTTTTTCGTGAATTCGCCCGTTCCACCGCTTCCGATCTTGTCCTTTGCCTTGACCAGTGTACACTCGAGACGCATGCGAAGCGTAATCGGCACGCCTCCTTGGATGTTCACCACGGGCTTCCCTCGTCCGATGGATTGAAGCAAGCTCGAAGCCATTTCGTCCGATGGGTGGCTTGTCAAAAACCCGAGCGAGCCGAAATGGAACCCGAGAAGCGGCGGCACTGGCCCTTGGAATAACTTGCTCGCGTGCAGGATGACGCCGTCACCGCCCAAACACACGATGATATCAGTTGTACCCCAGTCCTCTTGAGGGATGATGCCGTCCACTTTGCGCAGTTTTTCGGCATTTTTTAAAACTACCGCTCTGTGCAGGGTGTCTTCGAGGATGTCTGCGTTCGCCAATTCATCCATGACGTCTTCGTCGAGGACGACGGTGATCCCCATCGTCATCATCGCGTGCGCGATCTCTATGAGTTCTGGCAGCAGGCCAAAGCCAATCTTCTTCAGTAAGAAAACACGCCGCGGTTGTTGACGCCATACCAATATCAATTGTTGCGTGCTCGGGTGAGATATCTTCAGTTCCCGGTTCTCGACGAGCTCGCGCGTGCACGAGAAACCGTCGGTTCGAATTATGTACATATCCGGAGCGTCCGTCAGAGAGCTGTGTTCGCCAACGACAATTTCTTCCCCGTTTGCAGTACTATCGAATTCATGATCCGCGATAAACTTTTCTCCGTTGAATGTCTTGTTATTCAACTTCGCGGCGTACTCGCGAACAAACGCCTCCTGTGCGATCGATCCGAAGTCGCACACGAGCGATTCAGCCGAGAGCGCCTCGTCGACGTCCATTCCTTGGTGCACACGCCAGCACGCGACGAGTGATCCGGTCCGTCCAATTCCAGCTTTACAGTGCACCAGGATCGGTCGCATCTTGTCATCGTTTACAGTCTCGATGAATCGTTTCACATCCTCCTCCGTCGGCGGCTCCATGTCGGGAATCGGTATGTGTACGATGTTGAGCGCGCTCGCGCCGAACGTCCCTTGGCCCGAGCCTCCCCCGAACGCTTGTAGCCACTGGTTATCTCTATCGCTCCCGCGCAAATCGATGACAGTTTTGAAGTTGTTGCGAACCAGCCAAGCTCGACCTTCCGCGGTGGGCTGCCCTCCTCGATAATACGCCGCAGCGCTCTCGTCGCCAACTTCGGTGACGATTTGCAAGTTTGGGATCGCCGTTCCGCTCGGCGCGTTCGGCGCGCGTAATCGCGGATGCACCAAGTCCAGCGACGCGCTTCGAAGCGCCTCGAAGCGATGCCGCACCGTTACCGAGCATCCGCCGATCTCTTCGCACGACTGTTCCAGTATCACTCGCAACTCCCACAGCGCCGTGCGAAGACGCGACAACTCCTTACTTCGCAAGTTGTTACTGAACCTCCCGGCGACTTCCGCGGCGGACGCGTACACGACCATCCTCCCCAACGCCTCCGTCACCTCTCCCGAGCATGAAGCGAGCGTGTTATTCGAAAAGTCCACCTCGCACTCCGCCGATAAGACGTCGGCGAACGACGCCAGCACCGCGCGTTCTAATTGCGCCGCCAACTGCGGCAACGGGACGTAACTCTGATCCGAGGTCGAAGGAAACTCCACGACATCTCCCTTTTCCTGTTTCTTCGCCCCGGTATCGACCGACGGGAACATTTCAGACTCTGAAATCGCGCGTCGCTCGCCGCCGCCTCGACCTCGCGACGCGTCCCGCGCGTTCGGGCGCGCACCTCCGAAGGCCGAGCGCCGTCCGGGCAAATGCGCGCGCCGCGCCGTCACTGTGCATACATTAGACCGTTCACGCGCGAGTTTCGTCGTCGACGACGCGCTGACGCGCGATGCCGCGGCGATCATCGTCCCGCTCGCCATCCCTCGTCACCGGGCGCCGCACACGATTCCCGCGCGCTCGCGCGTCCGCGGGACTCGCGAGACCTCGCGACGGGCGCGAACGATGCTCTCGCGCTCGTTCCACGCGCTCTTCCGGCGATCGCGGCGTGCGCGTGCGTCGACGCGCGCGCGTGTGCGCCCGGGCGCGACGCGACGGCGAAGCGCGAAAACGCCCTCGCGCGCGTCGCGACGCCCAGCTTCGCGAAACCGAAACGTCCGAACCTTTAAGCGCCGTCATCGCAATCTACTCGAAGCACGATCAGTGTCGCGAACCACACCATCGATCGAACGCGCGACGAGCACCGCTTCGCGAAACATGAAACCGATCGACCCACCGTCAGGTTCACGAACCTGCAAGCCCCGAACCCGCGCGCGGGTTCGATTCGACATCAACGAACCTCGCGCGGTTCAGCGAACCTTCGATCGGGTGACAAAAATAGCATCCCGAATGATGCGCGCCATCGTGGATCGCGGAATGGATGTCCGATCGAAAAAATACGACCGCGATCCCACGGATGCGTGGGTGTGCGAACATCGATATCGATATCATCGATGACCGGGGTTTCGATCGTTTCGTCGCCCCGTCCGCGATCGCGCGCGCGGGCCCGGTCGCGCGCGCGATTGCGATTACAAGGGGCCTCCCGACGCGTCGCATCGCGACGCGCGCACGCCATGGCCCTCTCTCTCGCGCAGGTCGCGCCCGCGGCGCAGGTGCGTCGCGTCTCGCACCGTCGCGCGCGTCGCGCGCGTCTCTCGGCGTCGCGAACGCGCGCGCGTCGTCGCGAACGGCGGCATCGCTCGGCATCGGATAGGATGGCCATCGGCGCGTCGTCGCGGGTCGACGCGCGACCGGGACGCGACGACGCGCGACGTCGACGGAGGGCGAGAGAAAAATCGACGACCGCGGACGCGCGGGTGACTGACGAGAGGTTTCGCGGCGCAGTTTTCTTCGCGTAAGCGCGTCTGCGGCGCGCCGGCGGCGGCGTCCCGGACGCGCGTCGTCGTCCCGCGGGCTCGAGCGGTCGCGGCGCGCGCGAGCGGAGAGAAGAAGTCGGTGTTGATCGTGAACACGAATGGTGGCGGACACGCGAACATCGGGTTCTGGCTGGCGAAGACGCTGGCGGGGGCTGGGCACGACGTGACGATGAACGTCGTCGGCGCCGAGGACGATAAGAAGATGGCCAAGACTCCGTTCTCGTTGTTCGATGAGATTCGAGGGATGGGTGTGAAGACGGTGTGGGCGAACCCCGATGAAGTGGCGTCCAAGCATGCCGGGGCGAAGTTCGACGTGGTCGTCGATAACAACGGTAAGGACATGGACACCGTTGGTCCGGTGGCGGATTTCGCCGTCGCCGCGGGGGCGTCGCAGTTCTTGTTCGTCTCGAGCGCGGGTATCTACAAGCCCACGCCGTGCCCGCCGCACGTCGAGGGCGATGCCGTGAAGGAGACGAGCGGCCACGCCGTCGTCGAGGCGCACTTGAAGACGTTGCCGTTGAAGATGAGCTCTTTCCGCCCGCAATACTTGACGGGATACGGATCGAACAAGGACTGCGAGGAGTGGTTCTTCGATCGCGCCGTGCGCGGCCGACCGATCTTGGTCCCGGGCTCGGGTGATCAGCTCTCGTCGGTGACGCACGCCGAAGATTTGGCCACCATGATCGCCGCCGCCGTCGGCAACGACGCCGCCGCTGGGGAAATCTTCAACTGCGTGACGACGAAAGCCGTCACGCTGAACGGCATGGCGGAACTTTGCGCCAAGGCTGCGGGCGTCGAACCGAACGTGATCAACTACGACCCGAAGGATGTCCCGGATGTCGAAGTTAAGAAGGCGTTCCCGTTCCGCCCGATCCACTTCTACAGCTCCAGCGCCAAGGCGCAAGCCGTGCTCGGCTGGTCGCCCAAGCACCCGGATTTGGCCGCCGAGCTCAAGGAACGCTTCGCGTACTACAAGTCCATCGGACGCGATAAGAAGGAGATGTCGTTCGAAACCGACGACAAAATTCTCGCCGCGATCGGCAAGTAAATAGCGAGCTTGATTTTATATTAAACGAACATATTGAACGTGCAACGCGAGCTAAAACGTACAGTACACGGATCGGCGACGTCGTCATCGGTTTGGAACTTGGGAGAAACCACCTAGAAAGTTGAGCGCCAAATTCTTCGCCGAGTCCGCCGTCAGGGATTGTATTTCACGATCCAAGTGCGCGCGATGCGTCGCCCGCGGACTGGCGTAGGCGTAACTCGCGTGTCGAAGCGTGACCTCGACCCCTCGCGTCAACGACTCGTACGCCTCGCCGAGATCGGAATCTTTGAACCTTTCTAACTCATCCATATCACCGTCGATGATGTGCCAATGCTCGCCCGGACGCGCGGTGGTGGCGATGAGATTCGCCGCGGCGAGCGAGCGCGAGGCAAAGTTTTCGGTCGGGATCACGCAGACCCCGTAACCGTCGACGTCTTCGGCGACTTCGAAACCGTTTTCTCTAAATATTTCGCGGCACCTCTCCACCGCGCGTCCGCGCGAATTCAAGACGAACACCTTGCTCCCGCGCGCCAGCGCGGCGTGCAAGAGCGGTTTCAGGTCCTCGTACACGACCTGCTCGCCCGCGCTCGTCCCCGGCTCGCCGTCCGCCGTCGTCTCCATCCGACGCGCGTCCACCGACGCTTGCAAACCCGCCGGCATCATCCGTCGCCCGTCCCACCCGACGCTCGACTCCACCTCCTCCCCCCACTTCAACACGCTCATCAACTTTATCTCCGGCCAGCTCGACACGATCTCGTCCACCGTCAACGGCCTCGTTCTTCGCTCGAACCGCTGCTCGTTTGAAAACACCGGCCCCGGCCGCCCGCCGCTCGTCGTCCGCCCGCCGATGATCGCCTCGTCCGCGATCACCCGCACCATCACCACCGCCTCGCACGACGTCGACTCCGCGATCGCTCGTCGCATCGTTCGCATCGCCTCGACGTACGACGACGCGTCTCCCGGGACGTGCTCCGGCCAGCGCTCGCGCGCCACCGCGTGGCTCACCCTCGTCATCTCCACCGTCGCGTCCACGACGGCGTCGTACGCGAACAGCACGACGTCGCGCGACCGCTCGATGGCGTCGTCGTCGCTCGCGTCGCTCGCGTCCGCCGCGCGTCGCGCGACGCGTCGGCGTCGCGCCGACGCCGACGCCGATGTCCCGCTCGATCGCGTCGCGCGGTCGCGCGCGCCTCGCGCGGTCGCGGTCGCGCGCGCGCGCGGCTCCGGACGCGCGCGCGACGCGTCGATCGCCCGCGCGTCCATGGCGCGCGCGCGTGTCGCGCCGCGCGCCGCGACGACGCTCGGAGGGACGCGGGACGCGCGATGCGACGAAAAGATATTTTGTTTCGCGCCGGACGCCGCGAGCGTTTTAATCGCGCGACACACTCGTCGTCGCGCGGCCGATTCGGGACGCGCGCGACGCCGCGGGGCGCGACGTTGCGCGGAAAAACATATCGAAGATCGATCTCGCACGGCGGCATACGCGCGTACGGCGCGCGAGGCGTCGCGAGACGGGACGACGATGGGGAATCGCGCGAGGCGAGCGTTTCTGAAGACGAGACGACGCGCGGGACGGGGGGGTGGACGCCGCGCGCGCGCGAGGATTTCGGGACGTCGGGAGGGGCGTTTCCGGAGATTAACGTCGTGCAGTTCGTGGACGCGGAAGACGGGGCGCCGGTGAGTTGTTTTGGGATGGATTACGAGACGCTGCGGCGGCGCGCGGCGGAGGCGGCGTTCGACGAGACGTCGACGACGCCCGAGTATCGTGGGTTTTTGAATCACGCGAGACGGTGCGTCGATGGGAGCGGAAAGATCGACTGGGGTTCGGTGACGCGCGTGGGGGGGCTGGCTGGGTCGAGAGAGGTGCGGCGGGCGCGCGGGGTGGACCCTCGGGACGTCGAGGCGGCGTGTTTGCGAGGCGAAGGCGAACCTTTGATCGTCGAGGACGGAGGGAAAGATTGGGCCAAGTGGGATTTTGAAACGCTTCAAAACGAAATCGGTGATTTTGAGGTGTTGTGTAACGATCGAGCGCCCGCGCGGCGACGAGAGATCGATGGATCCAAGCAGCGGTCGCACCTGATTCCGTTTCGGGCGTACGCCGACTACGTACGAAAGCGCGACGGCGTCGCCGGCACAGTCTTTGACGATCGCCGCACGCCGTTTTATGCAAACGGCATGCGCGTATTCAGCGAGTGCAAGCGCGCCGACGCCCTCTCGCGGGCGTTTCCACGACCTTATTTCACGCACGAGTGCGATAATACGGAGACGCTGCTCATGGCGACAACGAACGAGCTCGGGTCGATACTCAAATTTGACTCGGAAATCGCGCTCAGAATGCGTGACAGCGTCTCAAAATCGCTCGACAAGATGTTTGTCGGGCCTCGAGGCGCACTCACGCGCCTTCATTACGACGCCGGGGACGCTCACGGTTGGCTGGGACAGGTCGAGGGGCGGAAGCTCTTCGTGTTTTATCCGCCCAGCGCGTCGCCGATGCTTTATCCGATTGAAGACTCGCACGCCAGCGTCGATCCACTGGAGCCAGACTACGATCGATTTCCACTATTTCGCGAAGCGCAATCGCGCGCGCGAGTGTGCGTGCTGAATCCGGGAGAAGTCGTACTGTGTCCTCGACGATGGTGGCACTACGCCGTGGCCCTGGACACTAGCGTCACGGTTATGAGGAATTGGTACAACGTCAATACCAACGCCCAGGCGTTGGTCGAGCAGATATGCTCCACGATTAAACAAACAGTAGACAATAGAGCGAAAGGATCCGTGCCTCGAAACGAAGCGTCTCGATGAAGATACGTCGCGGCGCTAGTCGGTGAATTCGCTCGCTCGCGCGTCGCGTCGTTTACGGATGAATGGAATCGAAAGATTAAAAGCCTATGGTAATTAATCAGCAGCGATACACGTGCGCTTGAGCGTCGTCCGCGCTTAATGCTTGAACACCCGCTCGCGTGCGGCGAAAACTCGCGGCGAAAGAGATGATATTCGTCGTACAAACGAACGACTCGAACGACTCGCTCGAGCGTCTACGCCGAGAACAACTCCTCCAAAGTCATGTCCCGCATCTTGGCCACTTCCTTGAACGTTCGCATCTCGTTCAACCCCGCAACGACCGCCCGCGCATTATTCAACGGGTTCGAGCTTCCGAGCTGTTTCGCGAAGCAATTCTTATAGCCCGCCAGCTCCAAAACCGTGCGGCACGCGCCCCCCGCGATGACCCCCGTCCCCGGGCTCGCCGGGCGCAGCATCACCACCGCGCCGCCCTTCCCCTTCACCGTCACTCGATGCGGGAACGTGTCCCCTTTAGTTATCGGCGCTCGCTTCGCGCTCTTTCGCGCATCGCTCGCCGCCTTCGTCACCGCGATTTGCACCTCCTTCGCCTTCTGGCACCCGACGCCAACCAAACCCTTGCCGTCGCCCACGACCACGGTGGCGCGGAAGCTCATCTGCGACCCGCCCTTGGTGATTTTCGTGACGCGCGACACCTGGACGACGGACTCTTGCATCCCGTCGTCCTCCTTGCCGCCGCGACCGCGGCCTCGGCCGCCGCGACCACCGCGTCCGCCGCCGCGCCCGCCGCGCGCGCGCGGGGTCTCGGACTCGCCTTCGACTGCCGACGCGTCTGCGTCGTCGCCGGCGCGCGCGACCGTCGCCGTGCGCCGCGGGGCGACGGCGACAATTTTATCGCATCGGTTCGCGCGGCTCGGGAGGCGCGCGGACGCCGCGCGAGACGCGGGCGCGGCGGTGAGGGCGATGGAGGCCATCATGATTCGCGGCGCGACGTCGATGGTTGAATCGACGCGTGGAAGCGCGCGTGGGCGGCGGTCGTCCGGGCGTGCGGTGGGCGCGCGACGAAACGATCGACGGTGCGCGTCGAGCGTGCGCGAGCGGCGACGATGGCGTCGCGGTGTGCGGCGCGGCGGCGGCGACGTTCGAGGGCGAGGGCGAGAGAAACCCTATTGCTCCTTCAGGGTAGAGATGGGGTGGCGACCGACCGCGTGTGGGTAAACAGTGATAAATCGACGCGATCAGGACGCCGCGGCGCGCGCGAGTCGCTCGAAAAGGCGCGCGGGGATCGATCACAACGTTAATCGCGACCGGAATCGCGCGCGGCGTTCCGGATTTCGGTGCTACTGACGTCGACGCGAAAAGACGGGAGGGCGGCGAAGAGGTCGGCGGCGCGGCGCGCGGCGGCGGCGGCGAGGACGTCGGCGGCGGGGACGAAGGCGCGAGAGACGCGGTCGACGCGGCCGGCGACGAGGAAATCGCACGCGTTGGCTCGGATTTCGTTGAGGGATTCGTCGAGGGCGGCGTCGGAGCCGGCGTATTTGGGGTCGAGGAGACGCGCGGCGGTGTCGGCGCCGACGACGAAGGCGGCGCCGGGGGCGGCGCGGGTCTTGTCCACGAAGAGTGGGGTTTTGGTGAGTAAACACACCGTGCCGGGGGTGGAGAACTGCTCGAGTCGACGCATGATCTCGTCTATGGAGAGCGTCCCCTTGTCGGCGTTCGTGACGCCGATTTCGTACGCGCCGAGCGCGCCCGGGGGCTTTGTCGCCGTCGCCGCGGCGAGCAAGTCGCGGTGGCCGTCGTGCAAAGGGTTGAACGACCCACTCAACACGACGTTCGCACGCGTGGCGCCCACTGCGGTGAGCACGCCCCCCGTGAATTCCAAAATCATCGGCGCCGCGGTGGTGGCACCGCTCGTCGACGAGTCGTCCTCCGCCAACCACCGCTCGACGACGGCGCGAGCGTCGCTCGCGTTTGCGTACGCCGAATCCTCCATCGTCGTCACCGAAACCTCGTCGAACTCGCGTTCGCTCAGAACTTCTCGCACTAAATCTACACCCGCGTCCGCGTCCGCGTCATCGACGCTCCGCCTCGCTTCCTCGTACAGCGCTCGCAACACCAACCGCGACGCGCAGCCCTCCTCGTCGAACCGCGAGCGCCCGCTCGTCTTCTCCAATCGCATCTCGTACGTCGTCATCCGCCCCAGCGTCTTCGCCGCCACGAAACATCTGTGGTCGCCTCGTTTGACGACGTCCTCCGTCGTCAGCGCGCACGTCGCGCCGAGGCCCGTCGTCGCTCGCGCGTCGCTCGCCGACGCCGTCGCTCGCGAGCTTCCGTGTCGCACCGCCCTCGCGTACGCCGCGCTCGCCAGCGCCTCCGCGACTTCCCGCGAGCAGTACGATTCCACGTCATCGTCCGTCGCCCTCCCGAGCGTCTCGAGCGCGCTCTCGCGCGCGTACGGCACGCGCGCGTCCAATAAAGTGTTCGAGCACCTCGGGACGCTCGTCAGCCACCCGAGCGCGCGCGCCCCGCCGCCCGTGACGTGCAGCACCGCCCTGACCTTGCTCGCGTGGATCGTCTCCACGATGGCGCGGATTCCGGGCTCCATCGGCGCGCGCGCGACGCGGCGTCGCGCGGTGAAGTGCGACAGCGCGTCCCGGTCGTTCGTTCAAACGTTCGCGTCACACGTCGACGCGACGACGCGCTCGATCGCGCGCGCGCTCGCGAGCTCGAACGCAGGCGCGCATCGCGCGGTCGTCGACGCATGCGCGCGAGGCGAACGGGCGCGGCGGCGGCGAACGAGGACGACGCGCGATTGGCCAAGTATCTCGTCGTGAACGCGGAAAACGTCGCGCACAACGCGCGAGTGAGCGCGCGAGTGTTCACGTACCTGAGCATCGTGTCCGGAATCGCGATCGGCGCGCTCGGATACACCGGAGTGCGAGGGTTCGCGGCGCACGGGGTGTTTATGCTGGCGAGCGCGTGCGCGGTGGCGGCGAGCAAGTGCGAGGGACGACCGACGAGTTTCTTTCCGTCCGTCGATAAGGTGTTCCTGGACGGACCGAACGCTGGATTGCCGACGTTTGTGTTGTTTTGGACGCTGTCGTATAATTGCTGGCACTTGTTTTAGACGGTCGGAGGAGAGGGATCATGAACACGGCGGCGCTGGTGAAGCGACAGCGGCGACCGGTGACGTATTCGCTTCCGCAGCCCGAGTACGCGAACAAGCACGTCGGTGGGGTGAACGCGGTGGACTTGGGAGGAGAGGGATCCGATAGCATATTCACCGGTGGGCGCGATGGGACGGTTCGGATGTGGGATCTGTCGGCGGGGATGCCAGCGTGCGCGCGGCGGTTTGAAGGTCACGGCGGGTGGGTGAACGACGTCGCGAGAGTGTCGAGCACACATTTGGCGAGCGCTTCTAGCGATCACACCGTGCGGCTGTGGGATATAAGTGAAGGATCGATGTCGTCGTCTTGCGCGGTGGCTTTGCAGGGACACACAGATTACGTCATGGCGTTGGCGTGCGCGTCGGAACGCTTGGAAGGAAAGTTTGCTTCGGGCGGGCTCAATCGCGAGATTTTCTTGTGGGACATCGAGCGATGTCTCGCGATCAATGCCGCGCCGTCGTATCTAAGCGTGAAGAATGATGGATGCGTCACCGCGCTGGGGGGCTCGAAGGAGTCCATCTACGCTTTGGGTATGGATGGGACTGGAAACTTGCTCGTCTCCGGCGGTACCGAGCTCGCGCTTCGCGTGTGGGACACGCGGAGCGCTCAAAAGGAAGGCAAACTCAAGGGACACACAGACAATGTTCGAGCAATCGTCGTCGACACGGATGGTAAAAAGTGCGTCACAGCGTCGAGCGATAGAACGATTCGTGTTTGGGACATTGGCGAGCAGCGATGCGTGCAGACGTTTGCGGGCATGCACACCGGGTCAATTTGGGCGCTCGCGTGCAACCGCGATTTCACTCGTGTATACTCGGGAGGTATCGATGCCCGGATATGCGTCACGTCGTTGCGTGATAGGAAAAGTAGTTTAGTCGCGAACGAATCGGCGGCTATTTTAAAGCTGCGCCTAGACGAGTCAACGCGCGCGAGCGGTTTCGCCGCGCACTCGTCGGACGGCGACTTGTGGACCGCCACTGCGTCGCGGTCGATCAAGCGCTGGCCGACGATCATCCCGGGCGAAGATGGCTCATCAGCGAACGTAGAAGACTCTCATGGAACGCCGACGAGCACCTCGTTCTCGCGTCGCGCCGCTGGATCGAGTCTTTTGCGGCAGCCGGGAACGTGGTTCGACGTCGGTTCGCCCGGGGCATTTTCGTTCGGCGGCACGACGCCGCGAAAGTTCGATAACTGGGGCGATCCGCACGATCGTGAGCCCCAGGACTTAGTGCCGTCGATGGAGATTATCGGTGTGAGCCCGATCGTTCGTCACAGCGTGCTGAAGAACAAGATGGAGGTGTTGACGCAAGACTCCATGGGTGCCATCGCGCTGTGGGACGTGTCGCGATCGACCCCAATACGCACGTTCGACGGCGTCACCGATGGATCAGACTTCGAAATTTTACTCGAAAATGAAAGTTTGAATCCAGATGTCGTCGTTCCATCGTGGTTTACCTGCAACACTCGTAGTGGTTCGCTCGCCATCACGCTCTCGCCAAGTTCGGCGTTCAACGCCGAGGCGTACGCGAGCGATCTGGGTATCGCTGACGCCGCGCCGGACGAGCGAAGAAATTTAGGTGTCGAAATCATTCGACTATTGATGGATGAGTGGGTAGAAAAATTTACGTCGTCGAAACCTCCGCGATCAACGAAACGGGCGTTCGCCGAGCCGCTCCCGAGCGAGTGTGCGGTTTCGTTCGCGCACCCCATCGACGACAGCGGTCGCGTGTGCGTCAAGATTCGCGAAGACTTCTCGGGCACACCCACCGAGCGTGAGTTGCTTCCCAAATGGTTCGCCGATCACGCCCTGAATCAAGCGCCCGAGCCGGAATCTCCAAAGATCAGTTTCCGCCTCGCCCCTCGCGCAGGCTCGGGTCTCGCTGAAATTTCCCCCGCGAGCGTCTCGGCGCCCAAGATTCTCGGCGCTCAGAAGATTCGCGAATACATCGCACAGAAGTTAGACGAAACAGATGGCGGAACGAGCACCGATGCCAGCGCGCTCGCGCTCTGGTGCGCCGGCCAACCCGTGCCGTCGTCGGCCACGCTCGCCGCCGCGCTCGCGCGCGTCTGGAAAAAATCGCCCCCGATCGAGCTCGAGTACTCCAACTAGCCGCGATCGCAACGTTCATCGTCGCGCCTGTTGTCATCTCCACAAAAAAAAATTCGCATTCGGCAGGATTTGAACCTACGCACGGAGACCGTATTCGATTTCTAGTCGAACCCCTTAACCACTCGGGCACGAATGCTCGTCGCGGACGCCGCGCGCTTCGACACATGGTCAAATCACACATTAAATACGTCGCACACACACCTAAAAAAACATAAACTTCAATCTCAGACCCCCGACGCGATCGCGCGACGCGTGTTACAGGTTTTTCCCGATCCCCCTCGATCGCGCGCCGACGTCACGCGATCGCGTCGCCGCGCGGTCGATCGATCGCCGATCGCCGTCGTCGAACCTCGCCGCGTCGATCGATGATCACGCGCGGACGATGCGGTGAGGTTCGACGCCCGCGCGGGCGCGTCGATCGCGAATATTCTCGAGACGTCGGGCCGCCGCGCGCACTTTACTTTACGTCGCGTGGTCGAACGACACACAGCAGGTGCGCGAGCGATGCGAGCGCGCGTGACCGAGACGCGCGCGCGCGGGAAATATTCCGCCGCGCGTTCGCGCGCGCGGAGGCGCGGCGCGGCGCGGGATCGGGGCGAACGGACGCGCGATGGGACGCGCGCGCGATGATGATCCGTCCGCGGCGGCGGGTTATCTTGACGCGTGGCGTCGCGCGCGACGCGAATATGTCGGGGCTCGCGCGGTAATACCGCGCGGGAAATCGCGTGCGTCGATCCTGCGCGTCCGTGGGGGATGTCGCGGCGCGATCGCGCGGTGGGATGGGAAGATGTTGAAGATCTTGGATTTTTGGGACGAGGCGCGGGTGACGGCGCGCGGCGGCGCGGACGTCGAGGCGAAACGAACGAACCGGAAGACTGACGACGGCGAACGCGCTGAAAACGAGCAGTAAACCGCACATCAACACACTCCACAGACATAAATATGGGATTTCTTTTCACTTCCGAATCCGTGAACGAGGGTCACCCGGATAAGCTCGCGGATCAAATCTCCGACGGCATCTTGGATGCGTGCCTCGCGCAAGATCCGGATTCCAAGGTTGCGTGCGAGACCGCGACGAAGACCAACATGGTGATGGTTTTCGGTGAAATCACGACCAAGGCCAAGGTTGACTACGAAGCCGTCGTGCGCCAAGTGTGCCGCGACGTCGGTTTCATCTCTGATGAAACCGGCTTGGACGGTAACAAGTGCCGCGTGCTCGTCGAGTTGCACGACCAATCCCCGGACATTGGTCAAGGTGTGCACGGTATGGGCACCAAGTCCGATGAAGACATCGGTGCGGGTGACCAAGGTCACATGTTTGGCTACGCCACGGATGAAACTCCGGAACTCATGCCGTTGACGCACGTTTTGGCCACCAAGCTCGGTCACCGCCTCACCGTCGTCCGCAAGGATGGTACGTGCCCGTGGGTGCTCCCGGATGGTAAGACGCAAGTCACCATCGAGTACGAAAACGAAGGCGGCGCCATGGTGCCGAAGCGCGTGCACACCATCTTGATCTCCACCCAACACATCGAGGGCGTGACGAACGAGAAGATCGCCGAGGATCTCATGAACGAAGTCATCAAGAAGGTTGTCCCGGAAAAGTACTTGGACGCCGACACCATCTTCCACTTGAACCCGTCTGGACGTTTCGTCATCGGTGGCCCGCACGGTGACGCCGGTTTGACCGGTCGTAAGATTATCATCGACACCTACGGTGGCTGGGGCGCGCACGGCGGTGGCGCCTTCTCCGGTAAGGACCCGACCAAGGTCGACCGCTCTGGCGCGTACATCTCCCGCCAAGCGGCCAAGTCCGTCGTCGCCGCGGGTCTCGCGCGCCGATGCTTGTTCCAAATCTCCTACGCCATCGGCGTCGCCGAGCCGTTGTCCGTGCACGTCGACACCTACGGCACCGGTAAGATTCCGGATTCCGAAATCCTCGCCAAGGTCAAGGCCGCGTTCGATTTCCGTCCGGGCATGATGGGCAAGGCGCTCGACCTCAAGCGCGGCGGTAACAAGCGTTACCAAACCACCGCCGCCTACGGTCACTTCGGCCGCGATGAAGACCTCGACATCTTCACCTGGGAAAAGGTCGTCCCGCTCTAAGATAAAGTAACGAAGCCGTCGGCGCGGCGCGTCTCCTCGCGCGCGGCGTCGTCCCGACCCCGCGCGCGCGTCGTCCCCGCGCCGCACACGTTTGTCAAATTTTTAGACGGCGAGCATTTCGCTGTCCGACGGAACAGTCGGAATCATCACTAGACGAGTCGTAAGGATATTATTACGTTGTGAGGAGAGCCACCGTATAGAGCACTCGCGCCTTCGCGCATTCATGCATTCGCTCGCGTCACGCCGCGCCTCGGGCGATGCCCGCGCGCGCGTCCGCGCCGCCTCGTCCCGCCGCGCGCGCGCGTCGCCCTCGCGCGCCGCGCCGCGCGTCGCGCGTCCCGCGCGCGTCCCCCCTCGACCGCATCGATCCCGCCGCCGTCGTCGCCCGCCTCGCCGAGGCCGCGCTCGCCTCGCCGCTCGTCCTCAAGCGCTGCGACGACGTCCGCGTCGTCGTCGACGCCGACCTCGCGCGCGCGCTCGCGCTCGGCGAGCTCGGCGGCGCGCGCGTGCGCGGCCGCGGCTGGTCGAGCCCGCGCGACTTGACCGCGCGCGACGTCGAGCTCGTCGCGCGCGACGTCCGCGTCGACTGGAGCGCGGCGATGGCGATGCGAGGGGTGGTGCTCACGCGACCGGCGCGCGGCGAGGCGCGCCTGACGCTCGACGGGAGGGATTTCGAGAATTTCTTGAGGCACCCGCTGGCGAGACGCGCGGCGCGCGACGAAGCGTTCGAGTTCGAGCGAGGCGACGTCGCGAGCGACGACGACGACGGGTACCTGGAGTGCGACGTGGTGATGCGAGACGGCGGCGCGCGGCGAACGGTGCGAATGCGACCGGGAGAGGGATCGACGGTTCGCGCGACGTCGCGCGGCGACGGGGACGAGACGCTCGAGCGCGCGTTGGAGACGTTTTTCGAGCGACTCGTCCTCGATTTAGACGGCACGGAGCTGCGGTATCGCGACATGACGATCGACGCGCGCGCGACGGCGCCGACGGTGACGTTCGAGCTCGATCTGTGCGTCAAAAGGTTTCCGTCGCCCGGGATACGGTTTTAGCTCGCGTTCTCTCGCTCGCGCGCGAGACGCGCGCCTCTAATTCTAGCTCTACACATCTAGTTCGCGTTTTCCGGCGCCCGCGTTCGCCTCGACGCCTCCCTCGTCACCGCCCGCATCGCGCTCGGCGGCCACAGCACCGCGGCGATCCGTCCTCGAAGCGCCCCCGTCGGCGTCTCGCCCGCGTCGCCGTCGTCTCGCGCGTCGCGTCCTCGCCATCCCGCGTCCGCTCGCAGCGCGCACGTCCCTCGCGAGGGCCCTCGCACGGCGTCGACGCGCTGAATCACGATGCCGTCGCCGTCGCGCGCGCGCACGGCGACGACGTCTCCCGCGTCGATCGCGCCGCGCGCGACGCTCGCGCGGTCGCACCACACCACCACCGCCTCGAACGCGTCGCGCGCGTCGCTCGACGCGCTCGCGCGCCGCGCGAGCGCGCGCTCGGGCGCGCCGACGCGGTCGCCGACGACGGCGCCGAGCGCGAGCGCGAGCGCGCCGTCGCGCGCGACGCGCCGAAGCGTCATGCTCTGCCGCGCCGTCCCGGTCGCACTTCGCGACGCGCATGCGCGACGCGCGGCGCCGCGCGCGCGCGCCGCGCGCGCGAATCGTCGCGGCGCTCGCGCTCGCGCTCGTCGCGGCGCGCGCGCGCGCGGGACGCGCGCGCGAGGCGACGGGACGCGCGAACGATGGCGACGACGTCGCGGCGCTGCGCGACGCGCTGCCGAGCGACGGCGCGACGCTGAGCGAACTGTTCAGGTGGTCGATCGAGGCGGGACACCCGCGCGCGTCGAGCGACGCCGACGATCGGGCGCGCGGCGACGCGGGTCGGGCGGAGGGTTGGCGCGCGAGGGCGCGCGCGGCGCTCGCGCGAGCGACGGGACGACGCGACGACGGCGCGAGCGCGGTCGACGCGATCGACGACGACGAGGGCGCGGAAGCGGAAGCGGGACGGTCGAAGACGGTGGATTCGATCGAGTCGAGGAAGAGGGAGGTGCGGGAGGCGCTGGACGCGATGGCGGCGGCGCCGAGTCCGCACGCGCTCGCGCGAGAGTGCGGCGAAGTGGTGAGGGACGCGCGTAAGAATGAAACCAAGGCGCGAAGGGTGCGCGCGCTGGAGATTTTGTACGATTTGGTGGCGCCGATCGAGTTGGCGAACGATTTGGATAAGCTCGGGGTGGCGGAGGCGCTGATCGGGGCGCTGAGGGACGAGGACGAGGACGTGGCGAGCGCGGCGGCGAGCGCGCTCGCGGCGGCGGCGTCGAATAACGTCGTCGTGCAGGGGATCATTCACGAGAGACGAGGGTTCGATGCGCTTTTAGAGCTCGTGTCGTCGCCCGCGACGCCCGCGGAGGTGCGTCATAAGTCGTTGTGGGTGCTCGGGATGTGCGCGCGGACGCACGAGGCGTCGCGCGCCGACTTTTTCGCCGCGGGCGGCGCCGGCGTGTTGGCTGATATTTTGTCTCCGAAAACGCCGGTCAAGACGCGCACGCGCGCGATGGTCTTATTCGGCGACTTAGTTCTCATCGACGGCGTCGCGGACGCGATGTTTGCCGACGTAAAAGTCGCGAAATCCTTACTCGAGGACGTCGTCGCGAGCGCGCTCGACGCCGACGCCTCGCTCGACGCGCGCGAGAAAGCGATCGGCGCGCTTCTCGCCGCGCGCGAGCGCGGCCCTGAGATCGTGCGACATACGCTCGACGGATTCAAGCGCGATCTCTCGACGCTCGCCGACGCGTTCGACGCCGCGGCAAAGGCGGAGGACGACGACTCCGCCGCCGACATCAGTCGTCTCGCGCGCGCGTTGAGCGTCTCGCCAAGGGTTGAATTGTAGCGCGCGCGCGTTGAAATAGCATCCTCGTTCGTTGGTCATGTGGACTTCTTCATCATCACATTTCTACTAGTGTTAGATGGCGCCTCGCTCGCGTCGTCGATCTCGAAAGACCGCCTCCGCTCGCGCGCGCTCGCGCCTCGCCCCGCTCAGATGCGGTCGCGCGGCCCGACGACGGCCGGTTGCTGCGGGCCGACCGTGATCGGAAGCTTGGCGTCCTTCGCCCCCTTCACGCCGTACCCGACGGTCAACAAACCCGCGGAAACGGCCAAGAGCGAGTACACGGCCTCGCGTCGGCCCAAGCCTTGCGCCGCGTATTCGAAAAACGCCGCCTGTTGATCCGGGTATCGGCTCGACGCGTCGACGCCGTAGACGTCCCACGACCCCGTCGTCGCCTCGACGTCGGACAGATCGAAGTACACCGACTCATCGCCGTACTTCGCGTTCGTCTTCATCGCGCTGCATCGTTCGCAAACCACCGCGCGCGCCGTCAGTCCCTCGTCCCGCCGTCTCGCCCTCGCGCCCCGCTCGCTATCCGTCCCGATCGCGCCCCTCGCGCGCGTCTCCGCCCCTTTTCCGAACCCTCGTCGCCGCTCGCGCCGCGTCCCGCTCGCGTCGCGCGCGCGCGTCCTGGAGCGCGTCTCGCGCCCCTCGCACGCCCATCGTTCGCTCGCGTCGCGCGTCGTCGCGCGTCGCGTCGTCGTCCCGCGTCGCTCGAGATACGATCGCGATTCGCCCCTCGCGCGCCGCGCGTCGTTCGCGCGCGATCGCGCGTCGCGTCGCGTCACGCGCGGTCGATCGCGACGTCGCGGCACGCACCGTTCGCGTCGCGCGCGCGTCGAGCGCGGCGCGCGCACGGCGACGCCGGTGGCGAACGAGGTGGTCTTCGCGGTGGCGAACATGGCGCGTCGGGGTGTGGCGACCGGGGATTCGTTTCTCCGTATTCGACGTCCATCGAACGCCATCATAGGGACGTCGATCGCGGTTTATCGCGATCCACGTGGATTCGGCGCGATCGCGTGTGGAATCGGGGGGACGCGCGATGGTATTATACGTCATCGAGGGGTATATAATGCGTCGAAGTTTTACTATATAGAGGAGCGCGATCGGTCGGACGGTCGGTCGGACGCGGTCGGTCGGACGGCGCGCGCTACGCGTCGTCGTCGTCGTCGTCGTCGGCGGCGGGGCGTCGGCCGGCGTGCGCGGCGTTGATCTCGCGAGCCTCGCGGCGGAGGGACTTGACGACGCGGCGGTCGGCGCGGGCGGCGCGGGCGTCGGAGAGCGCGCGCGCGGAGGCGCGCGACGGACGCTGCCAGGCGCTGCTTCGGCGCGCGGGCGCGCGGGACGGGGCGTGGGAGTGGCCGTGGGCGTGGGCGTGGACGCGAGACGCGTCGGTGGACGCGGCGTGGGAGTGGCCGTGGGCGCGCTGGGCGCGTTTTTGGGCCTTGGCTTTGGCGGCGTCGGCGGAGGCGGCGGTTTCGGCGACGGCGAGGGCGCGGTCGGCCCAGGCGTAGGCGCTTTGCATCGCGGCCTGCGCGCCTTTGGTGGATTTGAGTTCGGTTTTGAACTCCTTTCGCGTCGACACCGGAACGAGGGCGCCGGCGTGATCTTTAGTCGCGCCGGGCGGCGCGACGACGAAGTCGTTCGCCGAACGAACGTCGACGAAGACGTCGGAAGAACGCGCGTCGACGTCGGCCGCGGACGCCGCGTTCGCCCTCGTCGCGGCTTTGTTAATTTCGTCGACGCGAAGCGCGTTCACGTCGTCCAGCATGCGGCGTCGCGCGCCTTCGAGATCTGTAATCATGCGCGTCGGGTACGTCGATCCCAACTCGACGCCCGCGGCGTCGAGCTGCTTCGCCGACGCTTCCCACGGGCGGTGTCGCAGGTGCCCTTTCGGCAGCGCCGCGAGCTCTGGAATCCATCGAGCGATGCTCTCGCCTTCGGGGTCGTGCGCTCGAGAGGATCCATCTGGGGTCAACGAACCCGCGAAGACGTCCCACTGATCGAGTCCGCTCTTTCCCGCGTTTTGCCACATCATGGAATTGATCGCCAAGTCCGCGTCCACGAGAGTGTCGAGGAACCAATCTGCGCCGTGCGTCCAATGAACGCCGCAGTAATCGACGAGAAACGTGGCCGCAATCATGCGTTCACTCTGATGCATCCATCCGGTGGCCCAAAGCCGGCGCATGCCCGCGTCCACGGTGGGGAAGCCCGTCGTTCCAGTTTGCCATCGATGAAGCGCAACGGCGGCTTCGTCGCCCTCCAACCAAGCCTTGCGATTCTCGTAGTGCCCACGCACGGACTTGGACGGTAACTCGGGCCAGTTGTGCAGTTGCCAGTACGCAAACTCTCGGCGATAGAGACGGTGCCAAAACACGCGAGAGAGCTTTTTGCCCTCCACCCCGTCGCTGCCCATCTTTTTCGTCGCCAATTCGTGGTAAATCTGCCGCGGCGATATCTGACCATGGCGTAAATACGGTGAAAGCGTGCTCACCGCGGCCGGAGCGACGATATCCGCTCTTCCGTGATCGTCCTCAAACTTCTCCAACCCCACCGAAGCGAAGTGCTCCCAAGTAGAGGCGGCGCCCGACTCCGACATCGTCCACTCCGCGCGAATCCCAGCCGCCCAGTCCAAGCGTTTATCTACGTCTGATACTATCCCTAATTCTTCTAACGACGCCGCGAATCCGTGCTCGGGGCCTAAATCCACCACTCGCGCGCTCGCCGGCGCCGCGCGCGGCGCCCCCACTTTCCCTCCGAGCTTCTCCGCGGCGTGCACGAACGGCATGAGCGTGCCGAAAAAGTACTTTTCCCTCCTCAGATCGATCTGAATCTTCTCTGGCTCAAACAACAAGTACCCCGGCAAGCGCACGATCTCGCACGCGTCCCGCACGCTCGCCGCCGTCTCTTCGTCGTCCGCGTCCGCCGTCGGTTCGTACCGCCTCGACGCGAACGCGCGCGTCGCTCCCACTCCCCCGCACGCCGCTCGCATCGCCTCCGCGTGCGTCCCGCGATAATACGACAGTCCTCCTCCACCGTACCGTCGTCGCAGTTCGCGATCGAGCGCGTCCAGCGCTTCGACCAACCACGCCCTTCGCGCGCCTCTCGTCGTCTCGCCGTCTCGCGTCTCGTCCCACGCGAACACGCACGCCGTCTCGCCGCCGCGCCGTCGCGCCGTCTCCACCGCGGCGAGCAGCGCGGCGTTATCGCTCACGCGCAGGTCGTGGTCTCGGAACCACGCGACGGCGCCGCGACGCGCGTCGTCGGCGTCGCGCTGACGATTTGTGTCGCCCTCGACGTCACGCGTCGCGCGCGGCGCGAACCGTCGTGCGGCGCGCGTCGCGGGCGAGGACGCGCGCGCGGCGATCGGCGTCGCCGAGCTCGCGCGCGCGCCGAGGCGCATCGCGCGCGCGACGCGACGCGACGCGACGAGCGACGACGAATGGCGACGACGAACGGCGTCTCGTCTGGATTCGATTAAATGTTGAGCGCGTGCGCGACGGATCCCGCGAGCTTCAAAACGACGAAAGGCGCGACGCCGCTGCACGCGCTGACGGTCTGCGGACACGAATCGGTGATCCAAAAGTTGGCGAACCCGGCGGACGGGTCGGTGAAACGACGCCAAGACTCGTTGGGAAAGACGCCGTGGGTGACGTAGGCGCTCACCGCGGAGGCGCCCTCGCGGCGAAGAACCTTGGCGCACTCGATGAGGGTGCCGCCGGATTGCACGAGATCGTCCACGATGACGATGTGCTTACCCGTGGGTTTGCCCTCCTTGATCGTGACGATGCGCTTGTCGCCCTCGCGAACCTTGGTGCAGACGACCTCGTCGTACTTGGCGAAAAAGTTGTGAAAGCGCTTGCACGCGCCCTCGTCGGGGTAGGCGATGACGACGTCCGCGGCGTCTTCTAAACTTGCTAATCGCTCCAACAAAAGCGGAATTCCCGATGCGAACAGCGGAGTGACGGAGTCACCGAAATAAAATCGCTCCTGAAGCGCGTGAATGTCGAACACGATCATATCCGTCGGCCCGCCTCGCGAGTGCGGAATCGAGCTCAACATTCTCGCCATCGTCACCGCGGTGGGGATTTCTCCTTCCTTATCCACCCGTTCGAACGTACCGGTGGGGAAAAACGGTAAGATCAATCTGAACGACGCGACGAACATCTTGGGAAGGGAGTATATCACGCTAAGCTGTTGGAAAATCACAGACGCGTTGTGAAACGACGCCAAAAACGCCACGTGCCGCCCGTGCAGCTGTTCCGCGTCGTTCACGAAAATGTTCGGGAAACCATCCGCGAACGTGCGCCACTGAATCTCACCCAACTCAATGTTTCCGTCGATCGCCGCGATCTCTCTCGCCATTTGTTCCATCTGTTCCATTCGTCCGGCGCGTCGTCGTCAGTCGCCGCGTTTGAATTCGACGTCGTCGCGCGTTCGCCCTCGCTCTCGCTTCGCTTCGCGCCGTCGCGCTCGCCGCGCTCGCGCTCGCACCTCGGTGCAATAAAACAACATCAGCGGCATGGACGACCGCGTCAGGCGCTGGCTCGTCGCTCGGCCGAGCGCGTTCGCGTCGGCGGACATTTCTTCGCGTTCGCGACGGCGCGTTCGCGACGGCGCGTTCGCGTCGCGGACGGGCGCGCGCCGCGAACCGCGCGCCGCGATCCGCGCGCGCGCTCTTTCGTCCGCGCGACGGCGCGAATTCCGGCGCACCGAGACGACGCGCGCGAGTGTGCGGCGCTCGGCGCGTCTCGACCGGGACGCCGCGCCGCGCCGCGCCGCTCGACTACCGACTACGACTACCATTACAACCCATGCGCGCGCCGCGTCGCGCTACATCGCGCGCCCGACGAACGTCGAGCGAGGATACGCCGCGTGCGCGCGCTCCCACATCACGCACACCCGATCGACGCACCTCAGATGATAAAAAATCTTCCCCGTCAGGCTGAGCGTTCGCGCGCGACACGCGCTCTCCACGAACACCGTCGCCGGCGTTCGCCACCCCAGCGCGCGTCGCGCCATCGCCGCCAGCACGATCGGCACGCACGTCCCCGGTCCGTTACAAATCACCACGTCCGGTTTCACGCGCGCGACGATCGCGATCGCCGCCGCGCACGCGCGCGCCGTCGTCGCCGCGCTCGTCGTCCATCGCTGGCCCACCTCTCGCGCGCGTCCGATCGTCAGCACGCGCGCCTCGCCGCGAGCGCCGCGTCGCGAGCGCTCGAACGTGAGCGCTCTGTCGGCGCTCCGCGCGTCCGTGCTCGCGACGACGTACGCCGCGACGTCCAGTCGGTCGAGCGTTCGCGCGTCGCGCAGGATGCGCAGCATCTCCGCCGTGTGTCCGCCGCTGCCGAGCACGACGAGCGCCCGCGCGCGCCGGCCGCGGAGCGCCGACTTGTCGAACGCGCGCGTCGCGGCGCGCGCGATCCACAGCGCGACGTTGGCGAGCGCGAGGAGCGCGAGGAGCGAACGCGGTGGCATGGCGAGGCGAACACTGCGGTCAAAACGCGACTCGCGCGCGCGCGGCGCGATGTCGCGGCGCGCGGCGACGGCGGTGACGCGCGCGGTGACGCTCGCGTCGCTGGTCGCGCGCGCGCGCGCGCACGGCGCGCGCGGCGGCGACGAGGGCGACGCGCGGGCGGCGGGGGCGTGGACGGTCGGGGACGCCGCGCGCGCGACGCTGGCGTCCGCGTGCGTGTCGCTCGCGTCCCTGGTCGGGTGCGCGCTGATGGCGATCGGCGCGCGCGCGGACGCGCTCGCGTGGCTGAGCGACGCGGCGATCGGGGCGATGCTCGGGGACGCGCTCGGGTGTCAACTGCCGTCGGCGCTCGAGGCGGCGACGCGAGCGCGAGGACGCGACGGCGCGGGCGTCGCGGCGTGCGCGACGACGTGCGGCGTGCTGGCGTTTCATCAGTTGGAGGTGATCGTGCGCGCGGTGAAGGCGCGAAACGATGGGAAAGTGGGGACGACGCGGCGGCGTCGAACGCCGAGCGAAAGCCGAAGCCGAAGCCGAAGCCGAGGCGCGAGTGGTCGAGCGCGCGAGCGACGCGCGGCGGCGCGAGAGATCGCGGCGAGCGGATGGCTCAATCTGTTCGCCGATGCCGCGCACAACTTCACCGACGGCGTCGTGATCGCGATCGCGTTCGCCCGGCGCGGCGCGACGCGCGGCTACGCCGCGGCGTGGACGACGCTCGCGCACGAGCTTCCGCAAGAGCTCGGCGACTACGGCATCTTACGACGCTCGGGATTCACCGACGTCGAGGCGTTATGGTTCAACTTTCTCTCCGCCCTCGTCGCCGTCGGCGCGACCGCGCTCACGTTCCTCGTCCTGGCCGCGCTCGACGCCGCGAGCGCCTCCGCGTCGTCCTTCGCCCGACGTCTCGCCCTCGACGTTCCCTACCTCGTCGAGGCCTTCTGCGCCGGCGGGTTTCTCACCGTCGCCTTCACCGCCCTTCGCGAGGACGATTCGGGATCCGCGTTCGCGCGCGTTCGCGTGTTCGTCGCCGCCGTCCTCGTCGCGCGTCGCGGCGCCCACTGATGCATAAGTAACCCGAGCCCGACTGCGCGCGCCCCCCCTCGTGTCCGCCCCCCCTGCGATTTCCAATATTTCATATTCAACGACCCAAATGACCCAATTAACAAAAAACATGACACACACACACACACACGACGGTTCAGGACTCGTCGCGATTCAGGCGCCGTCGAGGGGCGCCGGCCGGTCTCCGCGCGCGGTCGTCGCGCCGACGCATCTCGCGACGCGATCGCGCGCGCGACGCGAGGACGACGACGCGCGGGAGGCGCGCGAAGCGACCGCCGCGGACGCGCGACGACGCGCGGCGCGATCGACGACGGAGACGCGCGATCGGGCGCGACGCGGCGCGGCGCGGCGACGGGACGAGGTTCGAATTAATTCCGCGGCGTCATCTCGAGACGCGCGCGGCGAATCGAGGAAGCGCGCGGGGACGCGAGGCGGGCGGTTCGAGGCGCGAGAGGAGATGTCGCAGGCGGGGACGTCGACGAAGGCGGGACGAGGCGCGGATGGGCGCGAGAGGTTCGTCGTCATTCGCGCGATGGGGCTGAGCGTGGACGGGAAGGTGGAGGCGGTGGTGGAGAGCGAGGCGTTTCCGACGCTCGAGGCGGCGATCGGGCACAGCGAGTACTTGGCGCAGACGGTGAGAGCGCGCGGGGGGGTTCGGGGGAACGTGGGACGAAACGGGGGGAAGAAAGGGATGAAGGCGTCGCGAACGACGATTTGCGAGTTGCCGGTGGACACGCAGGTGTGGCACGTGACGCCGACGAATATTCCCGGGCCGGCGTATCGAAACGAGGGGCAGCTCATGGTGATGCTGCTGTCGAGTCTGTGCGGACGCGTGGTGTCGAAATCGCGCAATGGGGTGTTGGATGAGTCGGAGTTCGCGTACAACAACGGCCACGGCGTGCGGTCGGCTCGCAACGGGGGCGACGCGGAGGCGCCACAAATTGCGGACGGCATTCCTTACGTCAAAGCAAAGATTTTCGGCCAGAAAACGGCTGACCCATTCATGTTGCGCCCTAACATCTCCAAGGCTGCGTTCAGAACGCTCCTCCTGCGCGCGGTGGGTAAGTACCTGGCCGACGATCGCGAGCCGTACCCGGTGCTGGCGAAATCAGACGTGCAGCTTCAAGTCGCGCAAGTGGCTCACGGAGTCCAATACCACGTTCTCGCGATTCGTGCGCTTGGACATTCCGCCGCGGACTTTTCGATGTCCATCGATGATCAAGGTCGAACCTTTGTGCGCGCCGATCCGGCGCAACCGCCAAACTCGAACCCGAAGTTGGGGCGGCCGTTCGAGCTGTTGTGTCAGTTCCCTTCCCTCGTGCACTTGCAAACGTGCCGCTGCATTTATCAAGACGACGTACTGTACATCATTGTGTATCCTCGTAACGCCAAGTCGCGATCACTTCGTTTGTCTTCAGCAGAAATTAGAAACACGTCTTTGCCGGAAAGCATTCGAAACACCGCGACGGGCGCCGGCGTGGAAAAGGCCAACGGACCTTCGTTTCCGCGCGAAGTAGGGATCGAGGATGGAACAAATAGCGCTAGACCGGGCGATGAGATTGCCTTGGCTACCCTTGGTGGCGCTTTTGGGAAGAACGAAGATGACTCTGACTCCGACAACACGGATGACTTCTCGAACGACGAGGCAGAGGAGCCACGTGCCAAGACTGCGGCGCCCGAGGTTGATGAGAAGACGATAGATTTACCAGACGAGGATGTCGACAGCGAGGTGGAAGAGCCGATGCCCGAATAGGATGATTTTACGTGATGGACTATTAATAATGCACTCAATGTGAATACACGCTGCGCTACGCTCTAATGTGATGGAATAATGATGCGTTAAATGTCAGTACACGCTGCGCTACCCTCTGTCCGCGTTCAAATCCCCGTCGTTCTCTATCGGTGCCACCTCGTTTTCGTCCGTCTGTAAAGCCTCGAGCACGGCCCTTCGTTCCATCTCTACGTCGTGATCGATGGTAAATGTAATGCAGGCCAAAATAACGCCACACACAAACCAAAAGGTAAACGCCACGTTGAACGCCACTCGTCTGCCCATGCTCACGATGAGCAAGGCGACCAGCGCGGGTCCACCGCCTTTACCGACGTCGTCAATTTGTGAGTAAAATGCAAACATACTTCCACGAGTTTCCGGCGGGTTGACATTCAACAAAATTGCGCGCACATTGGGCGGTGTCACCGAGCAGAAAACGCCGCCGACGAGGCACGACAGGTACAAACCGACCCTCCCCGGACCGTAGTCGTTGACGTTGAGATAGTAATACGCTGGAAGTGCTCCAATAGCGGTCGTCAGTCCCATTAAAATCGGAAGTTCGCTCTTCTTCTTATTGTACATCCTCTGACCGATGAATCCTCCCCCAATGGTGCCGAAGGCGGAGCCCAAGCCGAAGACGGTGATGGCCGCCGTGGCGTTTTGCACCGTCATACCCTTTTGCTTATGTAAAAAGTCGACAAAGTACGAATTGAACACCCCCCACGGCACCGTGCCCGGCAAGCCTTGCGCAAGCACGAGGATGTTGGTCTTCACAAGCAATTGCTTCTTGACCTTGCTCCAATTCATCTTGGCTTTATACGAAACATCTCCCGCTTCGTCGCCGCTTTCGAGCTCGTCCTCCGTCTGCGCCGTCGTTTGTTCGTCGGAATCATCCCGCTCAGCGACATTTTTCGTTGAATTCCTTCGCATCGTCATTCGATGAACTTCTTCCTCCTGAGCGCCACGCTTGGGCTCGTCGACGACGAGAACCATCACCGTTGCGAGCACGACCGCGGGCGCGGATGTGAGGATGAACGGTAGTCGCCACCCGTACGCCGGCCCTACCGTACCCGCCACCACTTGTCCGAGCGCCACTCCCGCTCCCGTCGCGATCGTCAAAAAACTCGCCACGTAACTCCGCTCATGACTCGCAAACAAATCTCCGCACCAACGAGAACAAACAGCGGTAAAGCATCCGCCCACCGCGATGCCCTGGTCATCGCGCCGAAGCGCAAACAACTGCCAATAACTCGGTCACCCAATACGTCGCCATGCACGGCCCTTCACCGATCAGTGTCGTCCAAAAGAACAAACGCACTCGACGCACTCGATCGGCGTAGTACCCGATGATCAGCGACGCCGGCGAGCCGACGACGAAAAACGCCAGCTGGAGCAACCCGCCCAGCTTGACATCCTTCTCTTTTTCATCCATCCCGAACTCCTCCGCTATGGCGCTCATGTTCGGCCCGATGAGGTTTTGATCGGCGTACAGGAACAGAGAAGTGGCCGTGATCAACCCGACGACGCCGTAGCGCTTCCATCGCTCGCGTCGCGCAAGTCTACGCCGTTGAAAACTCACGGAAGATGATGTCCCCGCCGCTGGGATAGCTTCGCCTTCGCGAGGCGCTCGGGACGCGTCGGAGGACTCAGAGGGCATGAAACTTCGCGCGCGCGTTAAAAGCGATACGATGCACGAACCGCGGCGCGCGCACCGTCGCGCGCGGGCGCGCGCCGATGTACGGCTCGCGCGCGGGCTGGGACGCTCAACAACTCTTTCGGGACGAGCGCGCGCGCGGCGAAATACACAACACATCATATTTATTGCACTAAGTTTCATCGAGCGCTCGCGACCAGTCGCGCGGAATCATTATTGACGACCTCCTGAGCGCTGCAAAGCGGCGAGTTTCGCTTTAGTCGCCACGAGTTCGCGGCGGAGCGCGGCGTTTTCCTCTTCGAGCGCTCGCATCGCGCTCTCGCGCTTTTCGCGACTTCTCGCCGCGCTCTCGCGGTTACGGAACAGCCGCTCTTGCATGCGGAGCGCTTTCTCGGCTTCGGTCTCTTTCGGGGCGCCTTTCGGCTTCCGTCCCATCTTGAGCGGGGCGATGGCTTGTCGAAACGCCGGAGGCGTGGCGATGCCGCTGCGCTTCTTCAACCGCTTGGGTTCGTAGGACACGCCCGGAACGGTGGGAACTATCATCATCGACACCCGGGACGGCGCACTCCCCGTCGTTTTCGTCGTCGTCGTTTTCTTCACCGCGGTCGCCCTCCCGTTCGTCGCCCTCTTCGCCTTCGCCTTCGCCGTCTTCCCCGCCGTCACCGTCGCCGTCGTCGTCGCCGCTTCATCCCCCCCGGCGTCCGCCAGCGCCAGCGCCGTCGTCAACTGCATGAAATTCATCGTCGGCAGGCTCGGCAGGCTCGGCAGGCTCGGCTCGCGTCCCCGCGCCGTCCCGCTCGCGCCGCTCGAATTAATCTTCGCCCACACGTCTCCCATGCTCTGCCGTCCCGCCTCGTCCGGCAATCGATCGAATATTTTCGCGTCGATCGTCGACGCCTGTCGCGCCACCGCCGTCGCCACCTCGCGCATCGTCGCCGTCGCCGCGTCCGCGCCTCGTCCGAGCGCGTCCAGCGTCAGCCCGAGCGCGGGGTCGTCCGCGTGCGCGCTCAGCGTCGGGACGAGCTCGCGCGCCCATTTACGCAGCGAATCATCGCGCATCACCGCGTCGTCACCGTCGTCCGTCGTCGCGTCGCGTCGCGTCGCCGCGCGCGGCATCGCGTCGCGTCGTGCCGCGTCGCCGCGCCGATCGACCGGTCGCGCGCGTCGATATCGCCACGTGGCGATATCTGGATATTCGACGAGTCCCGACCCGTCGATCGAGCCCAGATCCGATCGCGCGGGTGCCGACCGACGCCGCCGCGCGCGACGGCGACGGTTCGCGCGCGACGGTATTTTTGGACGGCGCGCGACGGCGCGCGACGGCGCGCGCGCGCAGAGCGCGGCGCGCGACGCGCGGGCGAACGCGCGCGACGGTGCCGGCGACGCGCGCGGCGACGCGCGGTCGGCGCGCGACGGCGCGCGCGAGGAAACGGACGCGCGAGGACGCGACGGTTCGTCTCGCGCGCGGACGCGATGGGAGGCGCGCGCGACGACGACGTCGCGACGCACGCGGAGCGGGCGCGACGGGAGGCGCGAGCGATCGAACGGCGAGCGACGCGGTTGGAGCGACGCGCGGAGGCGCTGCGGGCGCGGCGAAAGGCGCTCGGGACGGAGGCGCGGGAGGAGGACGTGGCGGCGGCGCGGTGCGCGGCGGAGGCGGAGCGCGAGGAGGCGAGGATTCGAGCGCGCGGGCGCGGTGAGACGGTGGAATCGCTGCGGGAGAAGCGAGACGCGGTGATGAGGACGCTAGAGGAGGCGAGACGGCACGAGGCCGAGCGGTTGGCGCCGATGGTGGTGAGCGCGCGGGAGGAGTGCGAGATGTTGCGCGAGGAAATCGAGGGATGCGGGAAGCGCGCCGAGGCGCTGACGGGGAGCAGAGACGAGCGCGAACGACGCGCGTGCGAGGTCGAACGCGCGTGCGCGAGCGTGCGAGAGGCACTGAAAATCGAGCGAGAGAGATTAAAGTGTGAGAAAGCGGTGTTGGGGAAAATACGAGCTGAAAAAGACGCACTGTTTGAGACGTTGACGCGCGCTCGAGCCGACGCGGCGACGCTCGAAACCCGCGCGGAGACGCTTCGATGCGCAGAAACCGATGCAGAGACGTCGGTGCGACGCAACGAGCAAGAATTGAGCGAACACGTGAGTAAGAACGCGAAGTTTGACGAGCAGCTGTCGACCGCGGAGAGAGGTTTAAACGATCTCAAGGCGCTCTTGGAGCGGGAATCGTTGGCGCGAGACGAAATCGCCGCCGAGGGCGTGCGCCGCGAGCTCGATCGACGCGCGTGTCAGAAGTCTTTGACTCGAGCCAAGCAGACGTCGCTTCGTGAGACGCGTGCAAACGCACATCTTACGTATCTCGTGAACGAAATGTTGACGAACGCACGCTCGATTGCCGACATTGTCGAGGACGTCGAAGGGACAAAGGCTGCGCTCGAACGTGAGCTCGCCACGGCGGTTCGCGACACCAAGCGTACCATAGAAGAGCAAAACGCGCTCAGACTCGACGTGAACGAGCGTAGGGAAGAGTGCAAGGTAGAAATCACCAAAGGAGATTTGCTTGCGCACACCGTGACAGTCACCGTGCGCCAAGAAATAGCAGATTTAGAAGATGAGGTAAAATGTCTTCGTCGCGAGGAGGCGGCGAGAAATCGAATACAAAAGTACGTCGCCGACAGGGTCTCGCGCGCGATGAAGCGTCACCAAGGCGTGCAGCAAAACATAGCACAACTAAAATCGCTATTGCGTATCCGCGATGCGGAGATGATGGATGTGAAGTCAAATATCGACGACGCGCGAGAGCGCCGCTCGCACTTTGAACGCCTGCGAGAATTGACGACGACGCAACGCGACGCGTTCGCGACGATCGTGAGAAAATCTGGCGTCATCGCCGGAGCTACTCGAGAAAAGAATGAATGTTTACATTTGAAAACGTTCGAGCTCGAGCGTCAAGCGCAAGAGAAAGATTGGGAAGTTTCCGCGGCGCGCGGAGAGACAGATGCGAAGAAGCGCGAGAGGGATGCGCGCCGAAATCAAAACGACGCCGTCTCGCACGTCATCTTGCGCGCCAGAGCGGACATGGAGGTGAGTGAAACCGAACTCGGAAAACTACAAAACGAGCTCAAGGCCGGGAAGTGCGATCAAGAGCTTTTATTCGAGCAATCAAAGGCGCTTGTGAAATCACGTCAGGCAGTCGCCATGGAGTTGCTCGACCGAAACGACGAGTTGTGTCAACTGTGCGATCGTATCGCCACGTCCGAAGACGTCAGCCGGCAGTGCGAAGAAGAGCTCGCGCTGCGTGTACATGAATATGAAACACTACGCCGTCAAGTACACGACCTAGAGCGTTCCCTGATCGTCGCGCGGCGAAACGTCGCCGCCATACCGCGCTACCAAGCCGAGATTTCGAGCAAGCGCTCGACGCTATACGAGATGCGCGTCTCGGCGGAGAATCTGAGTCAGCGATTGGAAGATCCGAACGAGCACACGCGGTGGCGATTAATTCATGGTCCGAAGGGTGAGCAAGAAAACGACGTTGACGTGGACGTTTTCAACGATAAGCTTGCGAGCGTGGGATCGAGAATTCAAGATCAAGAGCGCGAGCTCGCGAGGCGTCGACTGAGATGTCAAGACATCGATCGAGAGATTGAACGTTTGCGAGCGGTCATCGCCGAAAATGCAGACGAAGCGATCGAAACTGCGTCGTCGCTCAATCGAGCGAAATCCAAGCTCTCGGCCGTCGAGCGAGCGCTCCTCGCCGCGGTGTCCGAACTCACCATGTATCGAGCGCTCACCGCCGCGCTCGCCGACGCAAAATCGCGAAACATCGCCGAGATCGATGCCTTACGCTTGAGTTTAGAGACGTAAACGAAACGATCTTGATGACGTGAGCGATTACGACGACGACCACGACGACGCGCGCTTGGACGAACGCATTCAAGCTAAAAGAAAAGAATTACAACCGCTGGGTCTTCGCGCGGTGCTCACCCTAACTCGCTAGTATTCCCAGTAGCACCAACACGCCCGCGATCGCGCTGTACTTGAGCGTCGTAAAAATCAACGCCCACGTCACGCTTATCAGCTTCACCCCAACGACCGCGAACCACACACCGAGCAATCCAAACAAAACCCCCACCGCCGCGCCCTCGGGCGTGAGCTTGTCCCCGCCCGGCAGCTCGCTCGTCGGCATGCTGAACACGTTGGTATCCGCCTTGTATCGCTGTTGGTACTTGAACTGATCCAAAAACCACGCCGCTTCGGACATTTGCACGTCTTTCTGCTCTTCTTCGCGCGCGCGACGACGGCGTGGCGATTTCGCTCGGACGAGGGCCGTTGAGGTTGGCGTTGGGGTTCGCACGCACCGCGAGTTCGGGACGCGGACGCGCACGCCGGCGCGCGCACGGTGCGCAACGACATCTGATTGATGTCTCGGCGCGGTCGCGCGAGGCTGCGTCACGAGTTCGAGCGAGGCGCGCACTGCGGCGAAGGCTGGGTCGCCCAGCGAGCGAGCGTCGAGAGTAACTCGAGAGTCACGAAAGCAATGAATCAATCAAAATCAGCTATGTTTCCGTGGTGACGTACGTGTACACGTCTCCCGATCGCCCGAATCCTAGGGGTAGTTTTTTACCCACGATGCCCGCGTAATCGCCGACGCTCCATCGGACGCACCGCTCGTGGAGCGCGTGCGCGTGCGAACCCGGCTCGATGTTTGGATTATTCAAGAACTCGTCCACGCTCGCCCACTTCGCGCGCTCGATCTCTGTTTCCTGAATCTTAATCTCCCTCGACGCTCCATCCTTGACGCGCAGGCCGACGCAAAAGAATAAATCAGATTTGCCAAACAACCCAAAGTGGCCGTGTCGACACCCCACGACGGCGTCGAACGTCGTCTCGATCCCAGTCTCCTCCAACACTTCCCGCACCGCCGCGTCGGGAATGTCCTCCCCAGCCTCCAACAACCCCGTCGGCATCTTCCACAGATCTCTCCCGCTCGCCGGACCTCGTCGTTCCTGCACGAGGAGCACCTTTTCGTTTTCGCCGTCGTACACAAACGCCCCGACGCCAACCTGATGCGACGCATTATTCGGTATCGTCGACGCCTCATCGCTCGGCAACCACGTCGTCATCATCACATACGTTCTTTCGGCGTGATGAAACTCAAATCCGCGCTCCTTCGCCACCGGAACCAACCGCGCGTCGTCGAGCGCGAGCTTCAGCCACACCCCTCGCGCGCCGCTCGCGCGCCACGTCGCCAACCACCCTCCCAGCGTCGCGTCGAACGCCTCCGGCGTGCGCGCCGCCCTCACGAACGCATCGTGCGCGTTATCGACGATGATCCCACCGTATCGATCGATCGTCCACGGCGCGTTCGTCGCCGTCGCCATCGACGTCCCCGCGGTCGCCGTCGTCGTCGTCGTCGCGTCGCGTCGTCGCGTCGCCTCGCGCGTCGCGCCGTGGCGCGTCGTTTTTCGCACCGTCGCTCGAGCGCGTCGTCGCGCGCACGCGACGAGCGTCCTCGCGAGCGTCGACATGCGCGGCGCCGCGCGACCGCGCGCCGCGCGCGCGTCCGCGCGCCCACACACGCGGGTGTCGCCCCGCCACATCCCGGCACCCATATACATACCATCAAACACACCCAAAGTACGCATACAAACCACATACGAAATACCACGCGAAATCCATCATTAAAATCAGGCACCCCCCGCCGCGCCCCATCGCGCGACAGGCGCGTCGATTTCGAAATCCCGCGTCGCCCGCGCGCCACTCCGCGACGCCGCGCGCGCCCGAGCGCACGCGCGATGCCGCCCGCGCTGACGCCGAACGCGATATCCAATATTCTCGAACAGACCCACGGATCGCAGGACTTCAAACCCATCGTCCAAGTGTTCGATCTGAAGGAATTGAAAACCAAACCCGACGCCGACGACGCCGCGAAGCGATTCCGCGTCCTCGCGTCCGACGGTGGATTCGCGGCGCAGGGATTGTTCGGGGCGGAGTTGAACGCGATGTGCGAGCGAGGGGAAATTACGAAATTCACGGTGCTGCGGTTGAGAGAGTACATCGTGAACGATCTGAACGGGAGACGGTGCGTGCGCGAGATGGGTTGGGATGGGCGGCGCGGCGCGGCGCGGCGCGGCGCGAGGGGCGAGACGAGACGCGCGAGGATGGAGACGCGCGATCGAGGGATCGCGATGATCTTGGATGGAAGCGAGGAAGGCGGCGCGATGCGCGAGGGGGGTGACTGACGATCGTGCGAACGGACGAATGGTTTGAACGTAGGATTTTGATCGTCATGGACGCCGAGGTGATGGATCGGTACGACGCCGTCATCGGACAGCCGCGGGTGTGGCAGCCGGGGACTGGGACGAACGCGTCGACGGGGATGAACGCGGGGGGGATGCAACAGCAAAGAAACGCGTACGGAGGAGCGCCGGCGGCGCAGGTGGAAGGCTACGGGTCGGGTGGAGGGAACGGCGCGAATCTGGCGACGGAACCGCCGCGCGCGAGCGGTGGCGGGTACGGTGGCGGCGCGCCGGCGGCGCAGGGGCAGTATCGTCGAGATGGTGGCGCGGTGGCGCGCAATGAGCAGCCGAGGTCCATCACGCCGATCCATGCGTTGAACCCGTACCAGAACCGTTGGACTATTCGCGCGCGAATCACGACTCCGTTGGAGTTGCGCTCGTATTCGAATGCGAAAGGCGAAGGTAAGGTGCTCGGCTTTCAAGTGCTCGATGCCGACGGAACGGAGATCAAGTGCGTGTGCTTTAACGACACCGCCGTGCGCCTCGCGGGGGAGTTACGTCAAGGCTTGGTGTACGAAATTTCCAAGGGAGCAATCGTCACGCCGCGCGACCCGCGGTACGCGATTTATCAGTACGAAATTAAGTTGGATAACCACGCGACGTTCGTGCCGTGTCCAGACGCCGAACGCGACATCAAGAAGATGGTATACAAGTTCAAGAAGCTTTCTGAACTCGACGCGCTCAACGCCGGAGATATGGTGGATGTCATTGGCATCGCATACTCTGTGGGTGATTTGACGACGATCATGAAGCGCGACGGTTCCGAAACTTCGAAGCGTTCTGTGATGATTCGCGACGACTCGGACACATCCATCGAGTTCACGCTTTGGGATCCGCACTCAGTCGAGATTGGCGGGCAAATCGAAAGCTTGATCGCTAGCGGCGAAAAACCCGTCATCGCGGTGAAGAGCTCTCGATTGGGCGAGTTCCAAGGCAAGAACATGGGCACCGTGAGCAGCACGATGGTAGAAATAAATCCCGACAGTTCCGAGGCGACGCGCATGCGCGTTTGGTTTGATCAAGGCGGCGCCGATAAAACTTTCAACTCCTTGAGCGGTTCTGGCGGTGGCGGCGGCAAAGGCAGTGGTGAATTGCTCTCGTTCTCGACTGTGAAAGAGATCGGTGAAGAACTCGTGGCTAAAAATGAGGGCGTGGCGTACCTGAGTTGCTGCGGTATCATAAAGCACATCAAACTCGGCGCGGAAGGTAACTTCTATCCCGCGTGTCCGTTGCTTAATGGTGAACGCACGTGCCAAAAGAAGCTGCGTAAAGATGACTCGACTGGTGAATGGAAGTGCGAACGTCACGCCGGTGAAAAAATCGAAGCCGCGGATTGGCGTTACATGTTTAGCATGGTTTGCATGGATCACAGCGATGAGTATTGGGTGAGCGTTTTCGGTGACAAGGGTGACAAGATTTTCGGGATAAGCGCCGCTGAAATGAAGGAAATCTACGACCGTGAACCGGAGCGATACGAAAACATGATCAGTGACGCACTGTTCAACGATTACTCTCTACGCGTTAAGGTCGCCGTTGACAACTACACCGACGTACCCCGCGCCAAGGGCAGCTTGGTTGAAATCGAGCGCGTCAACTACGTAGACATGAGCAAGAAGTTGATCGGCAAGATTGCAAAGCTTCACGCTGGCGAAGAACCCGAAGTGTACGTGCCGCCTACGAAGAAGCGTGCTTCCGATGTCGGTTACGGGCAGGAGAACAAGATGCCGGCGTTCAACGGCGGTTGGAACCAAGCGGGTGGGCAAGCCAACGGTGGTGGCGCGAGTGCCGCGAACGCCGCGAACGCAACTTGCTACAAGTGCGGTCAGACCGGTCATTTTGCGGCAGCCTGCCCGAGCGGTGGCGGCGGCGGCGGCGGTGCGTCGTACAACCAATTCAATGGCAACGGCGGCGGTGGCGGCTTCAACAACAACGCTCCGAAGAAGGGCGCTTGCCACAAGTGCGGCGGAGAGGGACACTGGGCGCGCGACTGTCCGAACGCGGCCTACATGGGCAACGGCAACGGCGGTAATCAACCGGTGCACAACGGCAACGGCTACGGTGGTGGCGGCTACGGTGGCGGCGGCGGCGGCTACGGTGGCGGCGGCGGCGGCTACGGCGGCGGCGGCGGCGGCTACGGCGGCGGCGGCGGCGGTTACGGCGGTGGTGGCTACGGCGGCGGTGGTTTTTAAAATCAGATCACGAACAAACGCACGAACGCACGAATAGATGACACGCGCATGTAACATGAACGAACGAATACAACAAATTACAAACACTATTCGTCGACGAGCGGAAGCGCGTCTCTCGAACGGATGGCTGGAAGCATAGCCGGAATCAAGTTCAGGTAATCTTCCAACAGTCCTGTCGTGGTGATGAACTGCCACGTGAAGAAGGCCATGACGAGTGATACGAAAAGCGTGGCGACGAAAGCGCGCTCGCGGAAACCCGAACGCCGGATCATAGCGATCGTCGTTGCCATGACGGGATGAATCGTCATTCTGAAGTAGAACATCGGATAGAAAACGACGAGCGCGACGGAGTACACGGCCAAGTGTCTCAAGTACTGACGACGCTGTGACCCAGACATTTGCTGCCACGTAAGACCTCGCCACGAGCCCGCTAAAGCTCGTCGCGGCGGTCTTGGAACGAAAGGTTCATGCTTGCACTTGACGCAGTGACACTTACCACCCACGATGCAACGAGGCAAGATGTGGGGCGAAAACTTTTCATGCAGCTTTTCGATGCCATCGTCGTCCGCTTGGTAAATCAAAATGCGTCCCTTTGTGCTACTACTCACGACCTCGAGTAATATTTGCAACGCACGTCTCATGAGCCACCACACATTGATGCAATGCACCTCGCACGCCAGCTCCGGGTAGTTGGCGTCGAGCGTCACGAGAGTCGTGGCGACGAGGGAAATCGGAAGCGAAGTCAAATCGATACCCGAGCAATCGACGAGCGCCACCAAACGACCTCGCATGACACCATTTGACTTCTTCAACCGCATCCACTCCTGCTCGGCGTGCGTCATCACCGCGGCAACGACTTCGTCCAAGCCTTCCATGCCCACTGCGTCCATGGCGGCTCGAAGTCTCAGCACGAGTTGATAACCGCCGCTCCAGCTTTGCTTCGGACCGTGAATGTATACCACGTTCTCAAACTGCTTCAGCTTGGCGTCGGTCAAGAACTCATACCTTCTGCGCCATTGCAACGATCGTTCCACGGCTTGCGCCGCGGCGGACGTGTGCTTCCACTGTAACAAGAAAGCCGCGAGTTGGGTGTCGGTGAACTTGGCTCTCGCGGTCGGCGAGAGTTTATTTTTCAAAGCGTGAATCTCGTATTCGCGGGGAATTAACAGTGCGTTCCCGTATCCAGTATCTGTCGCCACCACACCAGTGTACACGGCGGCTGGCAGTCGATGTAATCTATTCATTCCGCCCTTGACCCAACCGACGGGGCGCAGCAGCGCGTGCCTTTGCCTATGGCTTTCGGCGTACTCTCTCGATTGATTGATGCTCTCGTCGTCGCTCTCTTCATCGCTACCTATGTCTTCGTCACTGGCGTACTCTCCGTTCGTCCCCGTTCCCGATCCACGTCGACGCCTTCGTCTGTTCCTAGCCCCCGTGAATCGCGCGATGGTGCTCAGCTGTCCCTCCGCGTGCCGCATCGCGTACAGCACGTCCCTCGGCAACGTCTCCTCCAAAACCTCCCACGCCTCGTTCACCGCCGCCCTATACGAACTCACCTCATTCTTCACCTTATTCTTCGCCAACAACTTCCCCAACCGCTTCGCGTGTCGCTGCAGCTTTATCCGCACCGCCGGAATCTTGCACACGCGCGCCGCCATTTTCGCAAACTTCCGCACGAAACATTTATACGGCGCCGACGCCGCGACGAGCAGCGCCACGCGTCCCGTGATCGTCGGCAGCGGCTTACTCGACGCCAGCCCCTTCGTCATCGTCGCCAACGCCTTGACGACGAGCGTTTCGATCCTTCGTCTTCGCGTCCCGACCGCGTTCGCCTTTAAAAATCCCAACGTTCGTCGTCCGCGGTGGTTGACGCGATACATCTCTCCCGCGCACACGCACGCCGCGACCAGCGGGCCGCGTCGTCGTCGGGCTTTGCGCAGCCAGACGACTCGCGCGGCGTAGCTCGCGAACTGCGCCGTGGGCGTCGTCGCGCGGTACAATTCGCGCGCGACCGCCGCCGTGGACGCCGTCGCGAGCGCGACGGCACCGCGACCGAGCGGGCGCGTCGTCGCGCGCGCGACGACGCGAACGGCGACCTCAGCGGTAGCACCATCGTCCGCGCGCGTCGACGACGCGCCGGACGACGGCGTCATGACGCGCGTCGACGACTGACGCGGCGCGCGCCGAACGCGCCGCGCGGCGACGCCGCGAGCGACGAACGACGCGCCGCGAGATCACGCGAAACGACGCCGCGATAACGCTACGACGAATACATCGAATAAATAGACGCGCCTACGAATCTACGAATCGCGATCGCCGCTCGAATCGCGATCGCCCGCCTCGAGCGCGCCCGTCAACATCGCGCGCCGAAGCGTCAAGTTATCCTCGCGCGTCCGGTCGATCGCCTCAGCCTTCATCCAATCGTAATCGAATCCCTCGGCATCGCACGCCAGCACTTTTCTCGTCTCGATGATTCGCACGGCGACGAGTCGGTAATCCAGCTCTTCGTGCGCCATGAGTTCCGCCAACCACGCGCTCGCGTCGGCGCGCAGCGGCTTGGCGTGCAGGTAATCGATCAGTTTCGGCGCCATCGGCGAGCGGTGTCGCGTCCCTGACATCTGGTCCAGGACGACGCGGACGGCGGACATGGTGAGGAGGTCGGCGAGCGCCTTGGCGGCCTTTCGCGGCGGCGTGAGACCGTCGAAGTCGACGGTGGCGAAGAAGTCCGCGCCGAGGGCGTCGTCGTCGTCGGCGGCGGCGCGCGCGCGAGGCGAGGCGCGCGCGCGCGCGCGAGCGCGCGCGACGCGACCGGACGTGGACGCAGCGGCGGCGCTCGCGGCGGCGCTCGCGCGCATGACGGCGCGGCGCGCGCGGGTGTGAGGAGGACGCGCGGTCGACGCGCGCGAGCGGGACGCGAGGGGCGTCGGTTGACGTCGGTTCAGCGCGAAAGGTGCGTCGATTCAACAGACGAGCGGGCTGGCCGGAGCGGCGGGACGGAGCAAAAGGAGCGTCGCGCACAGAGCGACGAGACCGAGCTCGGTGGACGTCAACAGGGACGGGATGTGGGCGGCGCCGGCGTCGACGACGGCGGAGACGACGTTCGCGAGCGAGGCGCCGGACGCGAGGAGAGCGCGGCTGTCGGCGCCGACGATGGCGTAGAAGACGACCCAGGGCGCCATACCGAATGCGGTTCCGGCGACGATGGCGCGGATGGGGACTTGAGTGAGACCCAGGAGGTAGTTGGTGACCGTGAACGGGGCGTGCGGGAGGAGACGCATCAACGAAACTTTGGAGGCTTGCACGAGGGCGTCGCCGTCGCCGCTCACGGCGCGGTTCACCTTTTTCAACTGCGCCGCGATCGATCGACGCGCGGGCGCACCGATGCCCGTTTGCTGCGCCAAGTCATCGCTGATTTGCCTATACCCTCGAGCGCGGCTCGCGCTCGCCGAGATGGCGGCGGCGCACACGGCGGCGCATAAACCGAGCGCCGCGCCGTACGCGGGACCAAAAAATAAGCCAGCCATGATGAACAAAGGCTGCGTAGGAACGAATGGAATTATCGCCGCGAGCGTGGTGATCGCGGTGAGGCACAATGGCGCGAGCACGGGACCAGCTTTACTGATCGCGGACTCGGCGACGTTGAGCCAGCTCGTCGCTCCGAACGCGGCCTTGACTTTGGTCGCCGTGGCGATCGGACCGGCTTGTCTCGCGTAAACCAGCGCGCTCACGGCGGCGGCGAAGATGGCGACTTGCAAAATGTGTTGACCACTGATCAAAAAGTCAAACACAGCCACCGCGCGTCGGCGAATACCGATGGCTTTGATCGCCTTGCGCAAGTTTCGCAACTTGAAAAATCGCTCCAACCCTTTCGAGTACTGGTTCTCTCGGAGATTTCTATTGGACGACATCCATCCCCACTTTTCGACGTCTGCGCGACTTGCCGCACCCATGCGTTGGCGTTCGCTGTCGTTCTCGAGCAACATCTTGACGTGCTCGGCGGCTTTGTCGTAGTCGTACTCGGGGTAGAGCAAGCCGACGTCGCCCGGATTGGTGAGGATATCGAGTAAGCCACCGGCGGCGACGGCAACGACGGGTACGCCCGAAGCCATGGACTCCATGACGACAAAACCGAGCGTCTCACTCGGGCTCGGCATGACGAACACGTCCAAAGACGCGTACGCTGCGGACAAATCGTCTCCCGTGATCATCCCCGTGAAAACTGTATTCGTTCCGGCAAAGTGCTCCTCGAGCCTTTTACGTTCGGGTCCGTCTCCGATGATGGCCAAATTCACGTTCGACGGTAATTTTGCGAGAATATCTTTGAGATCTCCCAAGCGCTTTTCCGCGCCGAGGCGTCCGACGCACCCGATGATCGGACCGTCGCGACCGCCGCTCAGACGCTTGCGCATCTCCTCGCTCTTAAAGCTCGGATTGAACGCCACCGTGTCCACGCCCTTGTCCCAGACTTGCAAATTTTTACACCCTTCTCCTCTCAACTCGTTCTCCAGAATGCTCGAAGTCACCAACGTCGTCGACGCGTAGCCGTTCCAAAACCGAATCAAGTCCCACATCGGCTTGACCAACCCCGCCCACGTGTACCTCGGAATGTAGTGCGGAATGTGCGTGTGATACGACTCCACGAGCGGTATATCCATCGCCTTACAGTACGTCATCGCCCCAAAAATCATCCCTCCCGGCACCGCGCAGTGCACCAAGTCCGGTTTATTCTCCTTAAACTCCCGCCACACCCGTCCGTCGAGCCCGAACGAGCACAGCAGCGTGTCCGTCCCGTAAAACGGCAGCACGAACCCTCTCAACCCGATCACCTTCGCCCCGTGATACTCCTTCGGCGGATCGCGATCGGGCGTGATCACCACCACGTCGTCTCCCATCTCTCGCAGGTTCTCGATCAATCGCAGGAATCGATTCTTCATCCCGCTCACGTGCGAAAACGGGCTCGGCTCCACGAAGATGGCCACGCGTCGTTTCGGTCGCGCGTCCGTCGTCGCCGTCGCCGTCGCGGTCGTTCGCGTCGTCGCGCGTCGCCTCGCGACGACCACCGCGGCGTTCCGCGTCGCCGTCGAGCGCGCGTCCGCGCGTCCCGCGTCGCCGTCGCGTCGTTTCGGTCGGAATATACCACCGCCCGTCGTCGTCGTCGTCGTCGCGCGCGTCGTCGTCGTCGTCGTCGCGCGCCGCGGTCGCGCCGACGCTCGAGGCGCGCGCGTCATCGCGCGCGTCGCGAACCTCGCGTCCATCGTCGCGGGCGTCGGCGCGAGCCCCCGCGCGTCCCGCACTGCCGCGCGCGATGGACGCCCCGACGTCGGCGCTCGCGATCGACCGCGCGGCGGTCGACCGCATCGCGCGCGCCGCGACGCTGTCGACGCTCGCGGGCGCGCTCGCGGGCGCGGCGCTGGCGCTGCGACGACGCCGACCGCAGGCGGTGGCGCCGACGCACGCCGTCGCGGGCGCGGCGAACGTCGGCGCGTGCGGCGCGGCGCACGCGACGACGCTCGAGGCGCTGGACAGACGGCCGGACGCGCGAGGCGCGACGACGCACGCCGTCGCGGGCGCGTGCGTCGGGACGGGCGCGGCGTGGGTGAGGTGGGGACGACGCGCGGCGACGGCGGGCGCGGCGTGCGGCGCGGCGGCGGCGGGCGGCGCGAGGGCGTGCGCGACGGCGCTCGAGGGCGCGGGAGAGCGCGGGTACGAGTTCCCGAGGTGGTTTCCGGTGCAAATCGTGCGAGAGGAGGGGCGCGAGGACGAGCTGCTGGCGCTTATGGGGCGGGCGCAGCGAGGCGAGCTGTCGGCGGAGGACGAGGCGAGGACGCGGGACGCGTACGCGCGGTGGAAGATGCGTCGAGCGGGGAGAGGGTAGAGGCGCGCGCGGCGAAGCGGTGAAGTGGAAAAGTTAGCGTAGAATACAATCGCGATCGGCGAACGTCGGTCGAGACGCGACGCGACGCGACGCGCGCGCGCGCGAGGCTCAAATCATCGAAGGCGGCGTCGCGCCGAGAGACGCTAAACGTTTGAGCATGTCTCGCCCGAAACTCCCCGGCGAGTCGTCGCGCGCCAGAGGCACCGAAATTTCAAACGGGAAGCTCACGACGTCGCTCGTCGTCACCGGCGGCACGTGCGCCTTCATCTCGTTCACCAATCCCAGCACGTGTCGCTGCGTCCCGACGACTTGGTCTCGCAGCGCCTCCCGCGCGCGCGCGCGCTCCGTCTCGTCCAACTCCTCACCCCTAAAAATCTCCAATCCGATCCTCCACTGTTCCCAGTACCCATTCGCCGCGCGCGCTTCCTCCCGTCGCGTTCGTCCGCCGCTCAGCGCCTCTCGCAGCGCGCCGCCGCGTCTCGGCTTGTCCCGCTCGCGCTCGTAAAAGCTCACCGCCACGTCCGCCTCCCCGCCTCCCGTCTTCAGCGCCCATCGCACGAGGGCGTTTATCTTCTCCTCTATCTTCCCGTCCACCGCGCCGTCGCCGCACGCGACGTAGTGCACGTCCACGCGCTCGCATCGCGCGTCCCGAGGCGCGCAGCATCCGAGCGCGCGCGCGAAGACGATCGTGTGCAGCAGCGCCGAGAGCACGTCGCGCACCTGCGACAGCTCGCATCGCAGCGGCGGCAGCGCGAACACCTCCCGCGCCCGCATGCGCGCGCGCGTCGACGCGCGCCGCGATGCGCGGTCGCGGCGCGGTCGCATCGCGATTCCGTCGCCACCGCGGCGTAACACTATAAAACGCGCGGACGCGACGACGCCGACGGTGTCGCGCCGCAGAAGACGACGCGCGCGACGCGACGCGACGCGAGCGGCATGGACGAGCGAGCGGCGCTGCTCTCGCGCGCGGTCGCGGACGCGGAGGAGCGGACGCGCGCGGAAACGCGCGGGCGCGCGCGCGCGCGAGGGAAAGATGGGAAAGTCTCGACGTCGCGATCGGACGACGACGACGACGCGGTGCTCGAAAGAAGCGCGGGACGGGGTCGACGGACGCGGGCGATGATGGTGACGATCGGACTGGCGTGCGCGGTGGGATTGGCGGCGCTCGGGGCGCGGACGCGCGGCGGAGACGGCGGACTTTTGGGCGGGCGCGGCGCGAGCGACGGCGCGGCGACGAAACGGGGCGAGCGCGGACGTTCGTCGCGCGCGAAGACTTCGACCGGGGGCGCGCGCGCGAGTGTGGATTTAACGGCGGAGACGGAGAGCCGGGAGGTTGTGCGCGTCGCGGGCGTGGAGGACTTCACGGCGAGCGATTCGCGATTGGCGGGTTACAGCAAGCTCGAGGTCGCGGACGCCATCAAGCACGCCGTGGAGTTTGTGAAGAAGGAGCAGTTGGAGGAAAAGCGACTTGAAGCGAAAACGTCGTCTGACGTGGGCGGGCTCGGCTCGGATGAGATCCCGGATGAGGATACCTGGGGCACGCCGATGCACCTGATGGCGAGACCGGGCGCGGCGAAGGACAGAGACGCGCTCAAGGTGACGCTGAGCAAGCTGCTGACGACGCACGACGTTGAATTGGTGTCAAAGAACGTCAAAATCACCGCCAGTGTAAATCCGAAGAAATGGCCTGATGGCTTAGATCGCGCGGTGTACGCGCTCAAGTCGGTTTTTGAAATCCTCGGAGGCGACTACTTGCACCCGGATTTCTCCCTATTGAAAGGTTTGGACTGGATCGAAGCGCCGAACTCGCGTGATTTAGACGGTAAGATCGCCGGTGCATGGGGCGCGCTCTCTAATCACGTCGGCACACTCTTCGGTCACATGTACCAGTGGCAGCTCGCCAAGGATTCGATGAACAAGGCCACCATCATCGTCGACAGCGACGGCCTCGCGCCGACAAAGCTCGGGGTGCCGGTGTCGTCGTTCGGGGCCATCATAGACAACGTGCCGGCGGAGTACGATATCATCTTACTCAACACTTATCCCGATGTCGAGAACTCGCACACGGTCGCGGAATTTCCCGATCACAGAGGGCACGACCTCAAGCTCACAACTTGGAAATCGCCCGGGCACACCGGCTTGAGCACTTACATAATCTCGTCGTCGTTCCCGGATAGAGTGTTCGCGTACGCCGCACAGAAGGGTGCGGGCTACTTAGACTCTTGGATTGTCGATGATTTGTGCACTCGTAAAGTATGCGATGACGATGGAGAAATTGTCGGCATGGGCGCAATCACGGCGAGCCAGCCTTTGCTGCGATGCTACCGAGCACACGGGGTCATTGAAACGCATCACGACAAGCAGAGCGACCAAGCGACGACTGTGATCGCTGAGAACGTGGAAGCAAACACGACCACTGTGCTAGCGACTGGTAAGTTGGTTGGCGATCACAAACACGCGACGAAGGAAGACGACAAACCGGGCAAGGCCAAGGGGGTGTCTGACGACTCGCTCAAGAAAGTCATGGACGAGACTTTGGACGAAGACTCTGAGCGGCGTGCCAGTCAGAAGAAGTCTTCACACCATGACAACGACTCCGATCATTCGTCGAAGGAGTCTTCGAACAAGGATTCCGACGCCGACGCGAAAAAATCAAAGCACGCGCATGTCCACGAAGCCGCTGCGCTCGAGGCGAGTCTCGGCGTGACGCCCTTTGCTCGCGAGTCTCACGCGACGAAGCCGACCGGGTTAACGAGCGATTTCATCTTCGATTCAATGCACGAGCTCAACGCTGAGCATGGATCTTTGATTCACAAGAAGTTTTCCTTGTTGCACAAGCATCAGCACGAGCGCGAGCGCGTTGAGGCGATGATAAAGCGTCTTCATGACCTGAGGGCGTCGGGCAAGGAGGCGACAGCTCAGGACATCTTGAGCGCGGTACCGACGGAGGAAGAACCGATCGCGGAACCGATCGTAGAACCCATCGCCGTGGTGCCTCAGAGCGTGGTAGAGCCGGCGCGCAAAGAAGAATTCGAGGCGAAGAAGCCGGCGCCCGAGGCTGACGCAGAAGTCGGCAACTTTCTGACGGGGCTCTGATCTAGCGTAAACAAAATTTTAATGAGCGAAATGTAGCGAAATAATAGGAATTACTGAATGTTTGGTCGCGGTGAGGTCATTACAACCGCGTGACGCGTCACAAAGTGACGCATCTCGCGACAAACGAAGACTATATGGTGTCTACGCGTCGGTGACGTGAAACACGACAACGCTTACGCGGCCGCACGAAGAGCTTCGAGCTTGGCCTTGAGGTTGGCCTTCTTCTCTTCGTACGTGAGCTTCGGAAGCTTGAACAGACGCCCAGCGTCCGCCGGCTTCACGCGTTCCTTCTTCTCGTGGACGGGGTCTTCGCGAATGGCATCGAGGACGTCCTCCATGGCGTCTTCGAGCTCAGTCGGGTCGAAGTCCGCGGCCAAGTACTTGGCAAACTGCTGTTCGAACTTTTCCGGTTCCTCCTCTTGCAGCTCTTCCGCGTACTCGGCGACAACACCACCCTTGATGTATCGCTCGAGAGTGTCCGGATCGTGGGACTTGTCTTGGAGATCGTACCCAGCGAATCGCTTTTCGTTGTGCGGAATGTCCAACCCGCCGTCCACCGCACCCTTGAGCGCAGCGAACACTCGCGCGCCGGTCGACGTTCGCACCAAACCGGTGTCCAAGAAGCACTTGAACGGGCGCGCTTCCTCATCACCTTGTTCAACGTGGTAATCCTCCCCGAGGTCCTCCGTCTTACCCTCGTACGCATCCGCCAAGCCGTACTTCGTCAACAGTCGTCGCGCGCACAGCAACCCGGTCGCGTACGTCGCGGCGTAGTTCGTCAAACCCGCCTTCATCCCGTACTTCGGCAACTCGTGCGAGTACGCGGACGCGATGCACACGTCACCCGCGAGCGTGGCGTAGACAACTTGGCAAATCACATCGCGGTTCGTAAAGCGCACGACGAATCGGTACTTCGGCGAGTTGTACTTGTTCTTGTCCTGCGTGATCAAGCGCTGACGAGCGTAGTAATCCGTCTTGCCTGCGAGCGCGAAAACGTCCCGCGTCCAGCGCGAGCGCGTGATTTAAATCGTCAGTCCACACTCTGCGCGCTCGCACGCCCGCGCGCGCGTCGCGCGCGCGCTCGTTCGCGCCCGCGCGCGCGGTGCCGAAAAACCCTCGAGCGCGCCACCGCGCGGACATCGATGCGCCCCACGTCGCCGCGCCGCGCGCGCGCGCGATCGCACGCGTTCGAAACGAAGCATACGAATCATCCGCATCGAACGACGCGATCGACGCCGTCTCGACGGCGTCGACGCGTCGGTCGCGGCGCGATGATCGTCGCGCGATCGAGAAAGCCCTAAACGCGATGCCGAAGACGTACCAGCGCGGCGACGCGCGAACTTGACTTGGAAGCGCGAGAAGTACGCGTTGGTCTTCGCCACGGATTGGGACTTGCGTTTGACTTTTCTGCGACCCATGGTTGCGTCGTGTGACACGCGAGGCGCGCGCGTCGAAAAGACGGAGCGCGACGGGCGGGGCGTGGCATCGTGCGCGCGAGGATGGTGTGGTCCGTGTTTGTAGTTTACGATTTTGTTCCAAAGGCGTACTGCTACAGGCGCTCGCGCACGACGACGGGCACCGTTCGCTCGCCCACGGGTTCGCCGCGAATGAAGAGCGGAATGTCGTACTCGCCGAAATCTACGATCGGGCGCTCGAGCATGAGCGCGCCAGGGGTAAGATTGAGGGATTTCTGACGTCGAATCTGGAGAGAGACGAAGGCGCGGCGGTGAGTCTTCGCGAGGGTAGAAATCAAACAAACGCCGGGTGTCGGCGGTGCTCGACGGTCGTCGTCGTCGGTGTCGTCGTCGCGTCAGAATAATGTCTCCTCACGGGTTATAGGCATGAATCCGTCCATTCAGACGGAGGCGCGATGCTATCAGGTGACAATTTCTCTTCACTCGCGAACGAAGACGAGACGAGACGAGATGAGAATCGAATCGACGGAGCGCGCGTCAGTCGAATCACGCACCTCTTCAACGATATTTTCCCGCGTCACCGCGATGCGAGGTTTCCCAGTTTTCTTGTCCTTAATTCTTCTAAAAGCGATCGCCGGTTCCGCGGTGAGCATCTTCATCACCGTGGCGCGTTCCTGCGAGTACGTACGATCGTCGTCGGCGTCAGTCCTAGCGCCATTGGCGTTTTGATTCATCGTCATGATTGACGACGTGCGACGTTCGCGCGCCAGATACTTTGCTCAGACAGCCAAGGGAAACGTTTTGTAAACACCGGAGCCGAAACTCGAATCTTCAGAAACTCTAGTCCGTAGAAAGTTCCAGTCATCATCGCAGGCGTATCAAATGCCTCGACTTCGTCAGCGTCGTCATCACGGCGACGGCTACTCGATCATTTCTCCCATCGCGTCGCTACGTACCTTGCGTTTGTGTTCCTCCTCTTGCGCCGTCGCCGCGGCTTCGTCTCCGTCCTCCCCCCCCGCCTCGATTCGCGCCCTCTCCCGCGCCGCCAACCGCTCGCGCGCCGCCGCTAACTTCTCCGCATTCACATACGTCGCCAACTTCCCCGGCACGAGATGATTCCTCGCCCGTCCCGGCCGCACGTGCGCGACCTCGTCGACGTCGCCGAGCCCGCTCACCGGCGCCCTCAGAATCACCTCCACCCTCCGGTTCGCCTTCTTCCACCACCGCCGCTCGACGCGCATCGACGCCGGCATCACCCCAGCCTCCCCCACGCGCGCGCTCGCGCTCGACGCGATCGACAGCGCGCGCGCGCGCCCCGGCACCGTCGAACCTCCCGTCGGCGCGCGCGCCTCCACCGCGCGCTCGCCGAGCGCCCGCGCGAGCGCGCGCGTCGCGCGTCGCGTCGCGTCGCGCGCGCGCGGTCCCCACATCGCGCGTCACGCGTTCGTCGCGCGCGCCGTCGCCGTCGCGCGCGCCGTCGTCGTCGCGCTCTGCCGCCGCGCGCGCCGATCGACCCACCGATCGATTCGTTTTCAATCGAACCTCGAGCGAGGTTCGCTCGCGCGCGCTCGATCGACGATCGTCGATCGACTCCGGGGCGTCGAACGCGGCCTCGCGGGGGCAGAGCGCGACGACGCCGCGCGCGCGATCCGTCTCTTTGCGACGCGCGAAAGCCGACGCTCTTTCGAGATGCCGACGAGGTGCGGGCGATGAAACGGCGAGCGATGCGATGCGTTCGATCGGGCGCGACGTCGCGGCGCGCGCGCGGTCGCGCGCGCGACGGGAGGGGCGAACGCGGCGTGGACGCGATGGCGAGCCCTAGCGATCGGTGTGCGGCGTGGACGCGCCCGGGCGAGCGGCGCGAACGCGCGCGGGCGCTCGCGCGCGCGCGGTTGGGCGTGCGGGATTGCGATGCGTCGTTTCGAGGCGCGCGCGGGCGGGCGTGCGGGGGAGACGCGCGCGTTCGACGCGCGCGTTCGGCGCGTTCGGAGGCTTTAGGGTTTTTAGGAGGACTCGACGCGGGACGCGTCGCGGAGCGCGCGGCGCGGTGGTTCGCGCGATGGCGCGAGAGCGATGGAAAAACTTCGGAGAATCGTCGACTGACCGAGGACGTGTGTTTGTTTGCGCGCGCGATTAGGTTGCATAAGAACCGCAAGAAGCGCGGGCACGTGTCCGCGGGTCACGGCCGTATCGGTAAGCACCGCAAGCACCCGGCGGGTCGCGGTATGGCGGGTGGTCAACACCATCACAGAATTATGATGGATAAGTATCACCCGGGTTACTTCGGTAAGGTTGGTATGCGTCACTTCCACAAGCTCAAGAACCACTACCACTGCCCGACCATCAACATTGACAAGCTTTGGACGCTCGTCGGCGAGGAGAAGCGTGAGGAGTGCGCCAAGAACACGTCTCAAGCGCCGGTGATTGATCTCACTGATCACGGTATCTTCAAGCTTCTCGGTAAGGGTCAACTCCCGAGCCAACCGGTCGTGGTGAAGTGCCGTTACATTAGCAAACTCGCCGAAAAGAAGATCAAGGATGTCGGCGGCGCGTGCATTCTCACCGCGTAAAGGGCGTCTCTCGAATTCGGGTTCGTCTTCTGGGTAGTCTGGGATTAGTACCGCGCGTTGTTATGAGTAACATTCATCTCACGCGTTCATCAACCTAACCACATCCATCGAGCACGACTCCGCCCGCCTCACTCGTCGCCGCGCCGCGGAATATTCACTTCAAATGTACCACGTCCTCATCGCCGCTTTCGCCACCTGCGTCGCGTGCGAGCTCTTCGAGACCGAGAAAATCTACGCCACCGATGATTACGCGATCGCCAAGCGTCGCATCGAGCTCGCGCGCGAGCGCATCGCCGTCGCCGAGGCTCAAGTTCGCGAAAAAGGCGAACGGAAGAGCGCGCGTTTGGAGCAAGCGCAAGTCGCGCTCGTGCACGCCGAGCAAAAGATGAAACAGATGTGCATGGCCACGGGACGGACGTTCATGATCGTTACGTTCATCGGCGCCACGGCGGTCAGATGGTACTACTCGTACCCCGAACAAAAGACTGGGTTCCGACTGCCGTTCGCCGCGCCGATGCGCTGGGCGCTCGGAACTGGCGAAGACGAACGCGATTTAAATCCCACCGCGGCGTATTTCATCGTGACGTATCTCTGGCGCGTGGTGTTCGGGGATGTGCTGGGGCGTAAGACGAGACAGATCGAGGCGTATTGGAGCACAAAGGACACGGAACGTTACATGGCCGCGCATCGACAAACCTTCAACTCGTTGACTCGCGACTCTACGATGGCGGTGGCGCCAAAGGTGAAGAAAATGCGATGATCACGAACGCGTGTGATAGATTAGTAGATAGTTTTGTAGCCAGTTGAGCGCTTATTATTACATACGGCTTGGGAAAGGGGGAACAAATTATCAATCCTTGTCGAAGGAGGAGCTCACGGAGATTTCGCGTGAATCGTACTGGTCCAAATCGTCCGTGGGGTCGGCTTGAAGCAAGCTCGCGAATTCGTCCATGTCGATTTTACCGTTACCATCGATATCAGCCTCACGGATACACGCCTTGACGATGGCGGCGCGAACTGAATCGTTTGATTCGCTTGACTCTTCGAAAATCAATTGCGCCACTTCCTCGGCGTCAATTTGACCGCTATTGTCCTTGTCGAGAATGTTGAACGCACGCTCGACCCACTTGGGGTACTCACTCGTCTGTTCAATCTTTTCCCAATCCAACAGCGCGGCGATGAATTCGTTGACATCAATCAAACCGTCGCCAGACGTGTCCAACGAACCTAAGAGCTGCTTGCTCTCTCGCCCTGTGACGTCGTATCCAATCTCCCTCAACCCCACCTCGAGCTCGCCGAGCTCGGACCATGTTATCACCTGAAGTGTCCAACTTCGCGAACAATGCTTTCAAGGTCTCGATGTCCGCATCTCGGGCTTGGGACAACGTCTTGATGTCGTCTTCGTCCTCGCTCAAGAGTTCTCGGGCGATGAGCCTGAGCACCGAACGCTTGAGCAAACCTTGAGTGGCGAAACGCTGCAGTCGAGCGACGACTTGACCGTCCAACGCGGAATCCTGCCCCTTTGCTGCCTTTGCCTTCCAACTCGCCGACGTCTGCGTGAGCCAGGGGTGAAGGAGCGCAGCGCGAGCTATCGGTCGGGCTTCAGGATCGCGATCGAGTAGTTTGCGCACAAAATCCTTCGCCTCGTCGCTCACTTGGGACCAGGGATCGGACTCGAGGTCAACTTCGTCCTCAAGAATAGCCCTAAACACTTCCTTGGCGTTCGGTCGAGCGTTGACTTTATCGATGAAAGGCAGACGCCCGCTCAAAAGTTGATAGGCGACGACGCCGGCGGACCACACATCGGCTTGACTGCCGTAGTTGCGTTCAATCACCTCGGGTGCCATGTAGCTCGGCGTTCCACATCGGCGCGCGAGCACTTCTCCTTTGGGGGGCAATTTACCCGCCAAACCGAAATCCGTGGCTTTGAGAGGCGAGTCGTCATCTTCGGTTTGGAACAAAAAGTTATCCGGTTTGATGTCGCGATAGATAATCCCCCGACTGTGGCATTGCACCGCCGTCCGCAGCACGCTCTTCACCAATTGCGCCGCCTTTTGCTCGCGATAATCATTAGAATCGTTCATAGAGATGCGATCGAGCAACTCTCCGCCCGAGCACAACTCCATGAGAAGATGTACGCACTCGTCGTCTTCAAACGCGTCGTAAAGGTACACCACGCTCAACGAAGCTCCGATGGTTTGCATCACCTCCACCTCGTTCCTCAGCTTGCCGTGATAATACTGCACCGCCGCTTTCGATGCCGGCGCAGTCTTCCACGGCGCCTTCTTCAGCGTCTTCAACGCGAACGCCTCCCCGGTTTTCTTGCTCGTCGCCTTGCGCACGACGCCGTACGACCCCGCCCCCAGCGGCTCCTCATCCAAGCTCGGCACGTCGTACAGCTCGTGCAGATCCCTACGAAACCCAAAATCTGGTTTTAACTCTTCATTCGTGAAATCATCGAACGGACTATCGATCGTATCCGCCACCTTCGGCGCCGGTCGTCTTCGCTCGCTCGGCGTCGCGCTCTTCTTCTTCTTCCCGCCCGCGCTCGCCTTCCCCTTCGACCCTTTATCGTCATTCTTCGCCAACCAATCGCTCAGAAACCCTCGTCGCACGACCTCTACCCCTCGTCGCGCGTCCGCGTCGCGTCGCGCGAGCCGCGTCGCCGCCGTCGACCGACCGCGCGCTTTATCTTCCCTTTTCCAACTTCCACCCCTCGCGATCGCGCGCGCGACCGCCGACGCCCGCGTCGTCGTCGCGCACCGCGTCGTCGTCATCTCGCACGACATTCGCGGCCGTCCGAGCTCGCGCTTCGCCCGCCGCGCGTCGCGCTTTCGCGTTTTCGTCGATTTCGCGCGTCGTCCCGATCGCGCGGTCGGTCGACGTCATCACATCGCGTCGTCGCGCGCCGCCATGGGCGCGTCGCACAGCGCCGAAGCGGCGATCATCGACGGTAAGACGATCGCGTCGACGATTCGCGCGGAGATCAAGGGCGAAGTCGACGCGCTGCGCGCGAAGCACGGTAAAGTTCCGGGACTCGCGGTGGTCATCGTGGGCGATCGCAAGGACTCGCAGACGTACGTCCGCATGAAGCGCAAGGCGTGCGAAGAGGCGGGCATCGAGAGCTTTCACGCCGAACTCCCGGCGAGCGCGAGCGAGGCGGAGGTGCTGGCGACGGTGCGGAAGTTTAACGCGGACGCGCGCGTGCACGGGATACTGGTGCAGCTGCCGCTGCCGAAAGGGATGAACGAGGAGCGCGTCCCTGGCGGAGATATCGCTCGAGAAAGACGTCGACGGGTTTCATCCGGAGAATATCGGGAAGCTGGCGATGAAGGGACACGAACCGCTGTTTGCGCCGTGCACGCCGAAGGGGTGCGTGGAGCTGCTGAAGCGAAACGGGACGGTGTTATCCGGAAAGAACGCCGTCGTCGTCGGACGATCAAACATCGTCGGCATGCCGGCGGCGATGCTTTTGATGAAGGAAGATTGTACCGTAACCGTGGTGCACTCTAAGACGCGGGATCCGAAGAGAATCTGCCGCGAAGCCGACGTCATCGTCGCGGCGTGCGGGAGCGCGGAGATGGTGAAGAAGGATTGGGTGAAGAAGGGCGCCGTCATCATCGACGTCGGTACGAACAGCGTGGACGATAAGACCAAAAAGGCTGGCTATCGCTTGGTCGGCGACGTCGACTTTGCCGAGGTTAAGAAGGTGGCGAGCGCCATCACGCCCGTGCCGGGCGGCGTCGGTCCCATGACCATCGCGATGCTTCTCTCCAACTGCCTGGATTCTGGCAAGCGAGCCATCGCCAAGGCGTAATCTCATCTTTCGCTCGTCCATGGGTCCTCTATTTTTAATACGTATCGTCGTTGAATTCATTCTTCACTCTCGTTCGTCCCCGCGTCCCGAAGTTCAAACGCCGACCAGCTGTCGCCAGTCATCGCCGCGCCCTTCGCCATGCGGGGCGCGCCCCCGCCCCTGTACCCGTGGCAGGCCGAAGCGATAAACCTCGTCGCCGCGTCGCGTCGCTCGCTGTGCTACACGGCGCCCACGGGCGGCGGTAAAAGTCGCGTCGCCGATGAGTTGTTACGACTGTCCCTGACAAACTTTCCCGCGGCGAAAGCGCTCGTCGTGCTGCCGTACGTCGCGCTCGTGCGGGAAAAAGTGGCGTCGTTGGAGTCGTTGTTACGCCCGCTCGGGATCAAGGTGAGGGGCTACGCCGGGGTGGAGTGCGAGGGGGCGCCGTTGGGGAGCTCGAGAGAGCGCTGCGCGGTGACGACGATTGAAAAGGCGTCGTCGTGCGTCAATAGACTGTTCGAAACGGGCGAGATATCGCTGCTCAGCGTCGTGGTGGTGGATGAGCTGCACATGGTCAGCGAAGACGAACGTGGGTGCGCGCTGGAGGGGATGTTGGCGAAGATACGACACGGAGTGAAGTCGGGAAAGGTGTCGAGCGACGGCCCGCAAATCGTGTGCATGAGCGCGACGGTGGGAAAGTCATCGATGGAACGCTTAGCGAGGTGGTTAGACGCGGAGATTTACGTCAGTCATCATCGGCCGGTGGAGTTGAAAGAGTACGTGGTGTGCGTGGGTGGGGTGTATGCGAAGGAGAATCGAGGTGAGGCGGGCTGGGAGCTGACGCGCGTGGCCGATTCGCCGTCGCGAGTGGAGTTGGAGATCGTCGCCGAACTGGTTGGTCAAGTGTTCGTCAACGCGCACAGCTCGTTGGTATTTTGCTCGAGCAAGAGTCAGTGTTCAGTTTATGCGACGAAATTGGCGAGCTTGCTTCCGGTGAATCCGAACACGGCGCACCTGCGAGAAGAGTGCGTGGCGAGACTCTACGAAGCTGCGGAGGGCGAGCCCGACCAAGCGCTAGTAGCGTGTGTTCGCTCCGGTCTCGCGTGGCATCACGCCGGATTAACGACGGCAGAGAAGAGAGTAATCGAAGAGGGCTTTCGAGCTGGTGCGATTTTAGCGCTCACATGCACGACGACTCTTGCTGCGGGCGTCAACTTGCCCGCTCGCCGTTGCGTCATCCTTCGCGGCTTCATCGCCGGTTTACCGACGCCTTCGATGGCTCAGTACAAACAAATGGCTGGTCGAGCTGGAAGAAAAGGGCAAAGCGATTTCGGTGAATCTTTCCTAGTCACGACGAAACAAGAGGCCGTGGATTGGGCGCGAAATCTAGTACTCGGCGAGCTACCGGCTTTGGAGTCGCGTCTGTTTCCTCCTGCAATCAAGCGCCATGACATGCCCGTGACGCCAGAACAACGACGGTTTTATCTCGAATCCATCGCGTGTGGAGTACTCAAGACAAAGGAAGACGCCGGTGAGCTGGCTTGTCGCACGTTTGCTTGGACATCTGGACGCGATAACGCGTCAATTCTCGCCCGTCAAAGCCGAGCGTTGAAGGAAATTTACGAAAAAGGGCTGGTTGTCGCGCGCTCCGGCGCGCATTGCGCTGAGTGGTGCTCTACTCCAGAGGGATTCGCGTTCTACAAGTGTACTTTACCGATAGCACACGCTAAGACGCTGCGGAAAGAGTTGTCTTTCGCGCTTACGAATGGATTGAATCTTTCGACGAAGACGCACTTGCTATTCTTTTGCGTGTCGAACGAAACCAACGTCTTCGCAGCAAACTTGAATTGGCACGCGTGGAGCGATTGGATGAGTCGATACGACAGTATTCATGAACTTGGGGAGAAACATTTGAATGTCACCCGACAGTACGCAGAAAGAGCGCAGCATCGACAAGGGATATCAGACCAAGCCAAGGCGACTCGGTCGCGCCATGAGCGTCTCGCTGCGGCGTTGCTGTTGAGCGACGTGTTGGCGAGCGACGACACCACCGTCGACATTGCGCGCAAATGGTCAACGTTATCGAACAATCCCGTCAACCGTGGGATGATTCAATCTCTTCAAAACAGCGCGGCGACGACGGCGGGCATGGCGAGCGTGCTGTGCGAACAGTGCGGCTGGCACGCGCTCGCAGGTCTTTTGCAAAACGTTAGCGAAGAGTTGCAAGCTGGCGCGCGACGAGAGCTATTACCGCTGATGCGTCTCGAAGGCATGACCGGCGCAAGAGCACGAGCTCTACATAACGCCGGACTAACGACGCCTGCGAAAATCGCGGCACTTCAGAGCGATAAGTTTGACAAGCTGCAAGATGCTTGCCTGCGTTCGCTGACGCGATCGAGAAACGGCGGCTTGGATCAAGCCATGCGTACCACGGCGTGGAGAATCGCAAGCGCTCTCGTGCAATCGGCTCGTGAAGCGACAATCGAGGAGGCGAAACGGGCGTTGGAAGACGATTCTAACGCTGAATGGTTAAATTAAAACCAGGCTAGTAGGCATAGGTAGAATTAGACGTAGAGAATAATAGGCAGCGGCGCGATTACTGAAACGGCAAAGAGATGCCGAGCCCCTCGTTACCCGGAGCACGGTACTTCTTCTTGTTCGGAGTCGTCAATCTAAAGCTCTTGATCGTCTCGTCGAACCCACGGGCGAGCTCGTCCCAGTAAATCTCGGGGGCGCTCGAACTCAGCGTGTACAAGTACCCATCCCGCTCAACCGTCACGCCGTAACTGTGTCGAAACGTCGTCGCCTCCGGCTCGCGCAAATTCGGTGAGCCTTGCGATATGTACTCGTAGTAATAATACGGCACATCATCGATGACGTTGATGATCGCGTTATCCACCTCGGCCAGACTCACGCGCTGTCCGCTCGCCACCCGTCCCGTGGCTTTATCCGCCAGAACCGCGTTCGCCACCTGCTTCGCCGTCCACTCCTTCACGGCTTTCGATTCAAGCGCTGGGGGCGTGTTGCTCACCGTCACCACCGTCGTCAACGGTCCTTTAAAACTCAACAACTCGTACACGATGCGTTGCCGAGCGTTCGGCGACATCGGCTCCGCGCTCGAGTACGTATCCCGCTCTCGGCTCACCGCCCAACTGATCGGCTTCCCGCTCTCCGCTTCCACCGCGTACGTGAACTCATACGCCAAACTCTCGCTCACCACGCGCTTCTTCTCGAGTTCGCGAACCTTCGACGCCGTCGGCGGCGCCGCCGCTTCGATCGCCGCCGCGCCGTCGATCGCCGCGTCGTCCTCCTCCCCGCGCGCGCCCGGCGCCGAAACGACGCTCGCGACGCTCGCGAGCGAGAGCACGTGCACGAACGCCCGGCGCGAGGGCGCGTTCGCGCGCGCGGTGTCGTCGCGCGCGTCGTCCCCGACGACGGCTCGACAGGATAGGCCGACGCTCTGGCGCCGCGCGACGGCGCGCGCGGGACGCCTGCGAGCGTCCAAGGACGCGAAAACGCGCGCGAGCGATGCGCGAGACATCGCAAGCATGTGTGCGGGCGAGGCGGGGGGCGTCGGGAAGTGCGGCGGTTTCGCGGCGGCGACGGCGCGGCGACGAATTCGCGCTGTGCTTTCGCGCTGCTAATCATAACGTTCTAGTTAACTAAGTCGACGTCCACGATCACGGGGATGTGGTCTGATGGAAATTGCGCGTTTGGTAACGCGGTGTGCGCGAGGACGGCGGACATGTCGGGGAGCGGCGATGTGGCGCGCGACGCGAAATCGCTCGTCGAACACCACACGTAGTCCAACGCGCCGACGAATCCGCCGACGTAATTCGTCCATTCGAGGAATCCACCGGCAGAGAACAGTGGTCGCGCGGTTCGCAAGTGTGCGCCACAGCCGATCGGGACCGCGCTGGCGTCGGGGACGACGGATGAAGCGAGCGCGGCTTGCTTCGCCGAGACGGCGGCGAAGCCGTCATCCTGCGCTCGCTTAATATCACTAAACGCGCGACGAGCAATCACGTGGTCGTCGGCATCCATCGTTAACCCAGGCGCGAGTCCACTCTCGCGTCGAAGTGTGAATGCAGCGACGGCGTGACAGTTTTTCAACGTGCATCCGCATTTGACGTGCTTCTTCACGGCTGCGATTGCGTTTGCGTCGTCGCTCGATTTTTCGTCGCATTTACACGACGCGCCCCACTCTTTATCCAGCGTACGAGCGCAAAGAGACATGAAAATACCTCGTTCTGCGAGCGCTCGTAACTCAAAGGTATTGGTGACTTCATCAAAGTTGCGATTGAATGTCTCGTATCCTGTACCATCGTCACAAATATAGAAGAGATCTCGAGCGGCGTCTCGCGATGACGTCCCGCCCCACCGAAATAGACTACCACGAACCCAATCCTCGTCACTCGCGGAAATCTCGCCTTTGGTGAGATATCTGATGACGCCATCTTCAGGCTCACCGTTAAAATCGCCGCACAATACGAGTGGATCGCCGGCGGCGAACGCCGTTGCCCGAGTCGTAAATTCGTGAGCTTGCAAGACTCGTAAGTGCATCGCCCCTGGGTGAAAAAATAAGTGAGTGTTACCGACGCACAACGACTTGCCGCTCGCGCGTACTTTCACGCGCGCGAGCTGCGCAATGGACGTGATCTTTTTGAGAGCCATAGCCAACTCTGCGTTATCGTCATCCGCGATCCAGCGCCGCAAAGCTTTGTCTCCGATTTCCGTGAGTTTGATCGCTTCTTCGCGCTCGATGCTTTCAAACTTGCTCAATGCGAAGAACATCGCGCATCCTTCCAACGTCTGACCGCTCTTACCGACCCAATCTGTCGCGATATATCCGTTTGCAGTGAGTACGGGCACGAACAACGTTTCGTGGTACTTCTTGTCCACTTCTTGTAGCGCCACGACGTCGGCTTTTGATCGTAAGATATCTTCCAATACTAGCTGCAAGCGTCGTTCCACTTTAGCCAACGCCGTGTCAAAGTAAGGAAACATCGTTCCCCAAGTGTGCGCGTACGCATCGGCCAACACGTTGTACGTCATGATACGATAATCCGCCGACGTCTCGGCGCTCGGCTCCAACCGTCGCAACGCCTCCGACCGATCAACGCCCAGCCGCGTCACAACGTTCGTAAACTCAAACCTCTCGTCCAAAGCCTCAACCGCTAATCTTTTACCGAAATCCTCTTTTGTGGGCGTGTACACGCGCCCTTGGCCGACGATCTCGCCGTCCGCGTACCATCGCCAGTCGACTTCGTCGTGCTGGCAAAATTCCAATCCGTGCGCGGTCGCTGGAAGCGGATATCCCACCATGGCGTAGTCCACGCTCGAGCACCCCGCCATCTCCGGCGCATCTAATCGTACGAGATACGATATCCGCGTCTCGCAGTCATCGATCGTGAGGACGCTTCCCTCGGACCACGCTTCGGCGTGCGTAGCGCTCCCAGCCACCGGCGCCCCGTCGCGCTCGAGCGTCACCGTCGTGGTTCCAGAAGCCGTCTTTCCCCGCGCCAGCGTTTTCAATAAGCGCTGAAAACTCTTTTCTATCGGTTCCGCCGCGTCGCGATGCAGCGTCTTCGATGTGCCGTCGCGCATCGGCACTTTTATCGTCACGCGCTGCTTTTCGACAAATCTTTTGACGTCGACGTAAAGTTCGTCGCAGGGCGCGTCGGACATCGCGGACGAAGGCTTCGAACGCGCCGCGACGCGCGTTTGACGATGGCGCGAATCGGGGCGAGGGAGACGGGCGGTGACGAGGGATGCGCCTCGCGGCATTGACGAGCGCGCGAGTGCGGCGGCGGCTGGACTGGAGCGCCGTCTATTCATAATAAAAATAATCTCTATCACGTTTGCCCGTCAGAGCGAGTACACCGCGGCGGTGGCGGGATCCGGTAATAAGTCATCGTTGTTCCACATCGCGTCGTCGAGCTCTTCGTCGGATAAGTTGGCGTCGCCGGGACGCTTCATGCGAACCGACGTGCGCGCGCTCAGATTTTGATGCACGGGTCGCAAGGTGAGGTAGAGGAGGGTCGCGATGTATACGCCGAGCATGCTGAAGATGATGAGACCTAAGAACACACCCGCGAAAGAGCCCCACACGAGCTTAGACTCGACGATGGCCGTGGAGATCAAAATCACGTTGGCGCCGATGATTCCGCCGGAGAGCCAGATGGTGTAACGCAACCGCTTCGCCGACACCGCCATGGGACCCATGATTCGCTCGCTCGCGGTGAACTTGATGAGGGGAATCAGCGCATACGGGAGCTGTATCGCTAAAATTGTTGATGATATCACGATCAAGGACTCGGAGTACTTATCGCCAGCGGCCAAAACGACGATTAAAGACGGCACGATGGCGCACATGCGCGTCACAAACGCTCGAAGCACCGGGTTGACACGAAGCTCCAAGAACCCATCCATGACGAACTGACCGGCATACGTTCCAGTAATAGTGGAACTTTGCCCCGACGCGAGCAGCGCGGCGGCGAAGAAACCTTTCGCCGCCGTGCCGAGCACCTCCTTCAACATTTGCGGCGCGTACTGCAACGGACGCTCGCGCACCTGGCGCATTTCCTCCGGATCGGTCAAGTGCGCGTAATTCGACGCCGCGACGATGACGACGGCGAAGTTGATGAACAACGACACCGAGAGCGCCATCCCAGACTCGACGATATTGTACTTCTACGCCATCCTCAGACTCTTTTCGCCTAAACTAAACCCGCGGCTCAACACCAGAGCGCTGTGCAAGAATAAATTATGCGGCATCACCACGGCGCCGACGAGAGATACGGCGATATACAGCGCCTTGCTTCCCGGCAATCGAGGCAACACAATCCCCGCCACCACAGAGGACGCTTTCGCGTCCACAAACGTGACTTCAGCCAAGAAACACAACGACATCACGCCGACGAGCGCCGCCATGAACGCCTCCAACTTTCGCACCCCGAACGACTGCAACCCCAAAAACACCATCGTCGACATCGACGTCAGCACCACTCCCACCCACGTGGGAATTCCAAATATCAATTTCAGCGCCAACGCCGTGCCGATGACCTCCGGAACATCGCTCGCGATGATCGCCAGTTCCGTCATCGCCCACAGCGCGTACCGCGTCGGGTCCGGATACTCCTCCCGCATGCACCGCGCCAGGTCCCACCCCGTCGCCAGCGCCAGCCGTATCGTCAGACCTTGTATGTACCACCCCCCCAGCGTCGCCCAGAGCAACACCCAGAGCAATTTATACCCGAACAGCGTTCCCGCCTGCAAGTCGCTCTCAAAGTTCCCCGGATCCACGTACGCGATGCACATCAAAAATCCCGGTCCCATGAACCGCCACAGCGTCTTCAGGTTGAACCGATGATCGTCGTCGTCCAGGCCCTCGATCTCGACCCCCGCCGCGGCGCGCCGCGCCCCGTCCTCGCCTTTCGCGCGCGCGCCGTCGCCGCGCGCGTGCCATCGCGTCCCCGTCCCCGCCGTCGTCGTCCCGCCGTCGTCGTCGCCCTCGTGCGACCGCGCGGCGCGCGCGGCGCCGTCGAGCACCGGCGCGTCGTCGCGGTCGTCCTCCATCGCGCGCGCGCGTCGGCGCGCCGTCGCGGTGTCGCGCCGCGGTGTCGCGCCCGCGGTCTCGTCCCGAGCCTACAACACGGACGACTCGCACACCTCGACGCGCGCGACGCCGCCGCGCGACGCCGCACACGCGCGCGCGCCGCGCGCGGACCTCGCGCGCGACGTTCCTCGCGCGCGCGGCGTCCCGAAGCGCGCGCGCGATCGCGCGACGCGACGCGACGGCGACCGAACGCGATCGGTTCGCGCTTTGAATCGTCGCGACGACGACGATGTCGACGTCGCCGACGCGACGATCCTCGCGACGAGGCGCGCCGACGCCCGACGGCGAGACGATGGACGATGGAGGCGGAATCGCGCGCGACGCGCGCGCGGCGGCGTCGCGGGCGAACGTGAAGGTGCGATTCGATTTCGGAAACCTTTTGAGAATTTGAATTTCGGACGGCGACCGACGCCGAGCGGAGGCGCGCGCGGATCGAGGATCGAGCGAGGCGCGCGATCGGCGCGCGGCGGAGACGGCGGTGGACGACGGGCGCGAAAGCGCGGGCGCGATGGGGCGGCGCGCGGGAGGGATCGGACGGGCGGGGAAGACTGACGGCGACGCGCGCTCGAAATCGACAGGTCGAGACGGAGGAGGGGAAGGAGGACGCGCTGGGACGAGGACGGCGGGTGCGAACGGCGAAGCTCGAGACGGGGGACGATGGAAGGAACGGGAGCTCGACGCGCGCGGGGTCGTCGACGCCGAAACGGGGGAGTTCGGTGGAGAACGAGCCGGCGTCGAAGAGCGACGGGACGACGACGGTTTCGGCGTTGAGCGTGCTCGGCGTGCAGGCGCCGCGAGTCGTGGGTAAGCGAACGCCCAGGAAGCCGTCGAGCGCGTACGTTAACTTTGAAAATGCGGCGGAGGTTCTAGTTTCGCTGTCGCCGCAGATCAACCGCGAAGCGGTTCGCGCGGCGCAGCAAAATAGCCCGAGTAGGAGCTACGCGACGAAGAGTCAAATCGCGGACTTGGCGTTGGGTAACGTGACGACGCCCAGACGAAAGCGCGCGCGGGCGTTGTTCCCGGATGAAGTGTTCACGACGAGCACGGCGAACGGTTCATCGCCCGCTAGAAGGAAGAAGCCGATGTCGGCGGCGGATGAAGACACGCTCTACGGCGCTCTAGACGGATTGATGACGCTCGCAGAGAACGTCGCGGCTCCATCGCCGCAACAGACGGATAGCATGAAGAAGAAACGTAAGCAAGGTAGTGGACGACCGCGCGGCTCGTACGGGTCACCTTCACGCCACCTGCCGCCGTTACCGAAGTATGCGCTCAAGCCGACGCCGATGCCGGTCGGGAAGAAGATGTTGAAGATAAACAGGCCTCGGCGCCACGTTTCGCGCGAGATCGAATCTGTTGGTCTCGGCGCGGCGTCCTCACTCTTTCACGATCATCGTCTGAGCGAAACGGCTGAGGCGACGACGACGACGCAAGGAGACAACCGGGCGCGTTTGCTCATCGGTGCGCACGATCCGTTGACGAGACGCTGGGCAAACGCCAACTTCTTCACCGCTGGTACGGACAAGGGCTGGTTTGAAGACAGTGGCTTCTCACGATGGTTGCAGCACATTGGTAAAGGCGATATGCGCGTCGCTACGCGCGAAGAATGGCAAAAAGTCCGTCGAAAATTACCAAAGACGAGACGCCTTTCGCTCAAATTTTTGAAGGACGAGCGTGTGGACTTGGAGTATTTCCGACACGCCGCGCGCGAGATGACAAACTTGAAATTGCACGGTACGGTTCTAACGGATGAGCTTAAGGCCTTAATGCTCAAGTGGACGGGTGGCGTTCCGGTCCCGTCGCCGCTCGAAGTCGGGCAAACGGTGTTGGCGGTGCATCCCCGATTCCATTCGCCGTACATAGGAAACATATTGATTGTCGAGCGCGCCACCTGTCGCGTACAATTTGCACGTCCAGAACTCGGTGTCGAGCTCGTCCGAGACATCGATATCATGCCAGTAGACGCCAACCAAGAAGAGATGGATCTGATTGCTGCGGGGACCGCGGAACAAATCGAAAACGAAGCCTTCAACGCTGGTTTCCGAGGAATTTACGATCCGCTGCCGGTGGTCGGTGGCGGTGGCCACGCCTACGGCGCCGGCGTCGCAGTTGCCGCACAAATGCGTGAGATGGACGTCCGTTTGCTCAACGAAGCTCAACAAGCTCTCGAGCGCAAGCGCGAGCTCGTCGATGCGTTGCGGATGAAGAATGACGCCGCGGAGGAGTTCAAAAAGAAACCAGAACGCGTCAAGCAAGCGGCGGAGACGAACGGCGAAGCGCTTAAATTCCAACGAGAATACGCCGCCATCGTTCTCGCCTTGCGCGGCGCCAACGCGGAGTTGGAGGGTGCTTTAGTTCGCTTGCGGCAGCAACAGGGATATCACGACAAACCCCTCGGGTTGTGGCGGAAAATCAAGAGTCAGAATTTGGGCGACGGTCATCGCGCTCTCTCTCGATTCGCCCCACCATCCGCGACGCCGAGCTCGGACGAACTCTACGCTTCGACGGCGGAAGACATCGTCGCCACCGCCGGCATGGGCGCTCGTCGCATCGTTTACCACGTGCAAACCACCACCAACGCCGGCGCCGAGAGCACGGCGACGCTCAATCCGAGTCTCCAGGAACCTCTCGGAACCGGCGCCACTAAGTCCGATCTCCCTCCCACCGCCGCCGACGTCGACGCCGAAAAGCTCAAAGTCACCCAGCTCGTCACCGCCATCGTCCAGGCCGCGCTCACCATCAAAGCCTGCGCCGACCGCGGCGCCAGCGCGAGCGTCCTCGACGCCTGCCTCCGCCGCGTTTCCGATTCCCTTCGCCCCGTCGCCGTGAGCAATCGCGCCGCTTTCGACGCCGTCGAGCGCGCTCTCAAAGACCTTCGCGACGTCTTTCTCATCCGTTGACGCTTTTAACCACCACCCGCATCCCTGCGTCCCAATCCGCGCGCGCACCGTCAAAACGCGCCGCGCGCGCCGTCGCCGCGTCCGAGTCCCGCGAGAGCTAAAAGCGCGCGACGCCATCATGCGCGCGAGCGTCGCTTCCGGCGCCGTCGCCGCCGCCGCGCGTCGCGCGTCGTTCCGGAATTCCGTCGACAATTCAGTGGCGTCCCTGCGACGACCGAAGCGCGTCGCGACGAGCGCGCGTCGACGCCGATCGTCGACACCGCGCGCGCACCACGGACCGATGACCAATCTGCAGTTCACGCCGGACAGCGCGCTCGCGGGAGGGCTGATTTTGGGGTCGATGGTGGTGGCGAAGCGATTGAATTCGGGACGCAATTTGGGCGTGAGCGGGGACACCAAGGCGTTCGCGCGAGGCGAGGGTCGAGCGACGAGCGCGGCGTTTTTGATCGGACTGCTCGCGGCGGGATACGCGGCACCGATGATTCTGGGCGCGCAGGCGGCGGTGCCGATGGTGGACGCGACGCGAGCCATCGCGGCGGGCGCGCTCGTCGGAGCGGGGAGCTCGCTCGGAGGCGGGTGCACGAGCGGACACGGAATCTCTGGGATCGGACGATTGGACGTGCGAAGCGTGGCGTTCACGTGCGTGTTCATGGTCGTCGGTGCGATCACGGTCGCGGCGACGGGAACGATGGATGAGTTACACGTGTCGCAAGCGACGAAGACGATCGACATGCTCGCGCGCTCGCCCGAGGCGAAAACGATTTTGTACGCCAAAATTTTCGCCGCCGGTGCGGCTGTCCAAGGCGTGCTCTACGCGCTCGCTAAGCGTGAGGGCGGAGGAATCACGGACGTCGTGAAGAAGCTCGAGCTCGTGAGCGAGTCCGTCGCCGGACTGTTTTTCGGTCTCGGTCTCGTCGTGAGCGGGATGACGAATCCGGCGAAAGTCGCCGGTTTTCTCGCAGTCACCACTCAAGCTTTCGATCCGTCCTTGATGTTCGTCATGGGCGGCGCGCTCGCCCTCGTGGTTGTTTCTATGTTCCTCGCGAAGAATGCCTTGGGCGTCTCTCGTCCGGCCATGGCGCGAGAGTTCTCGACTACTCCGAAGTACGTCGACAAGTCTGTTTTGATCGGAGGCGCGCTCTTCGGCGCTGGCTGGGGCTTGGGCGGCGTTTGCCCCGGCCCGGGCCTCGTCAATCTCGTTCTGAACTCCGGTCGCGAGATCACGCTCTGGTGCGTCGCGTACTTTGCCGCGCAAGCCGTCCAACAAAAGCTCTCCTCCCAGTACTCTCTCGAATAACCGCCGTCCCGCGGCTGCAATACCAAACTTCACAACGTACCCTCACACCCCCGCGCGCGCGGCGCCGTGCGATCAGCGATGCTCTCGACGCGCGCGCGAGCGGCGCCGCCCTCCTTCGCGCGCGTCTCGAGCCGCTCGCGTCGCGCTCGCGTCCCCGCGGCGTCGCCGCGCGCCGTCGAGTTCGGCGCGCGGGACATCGCTTCCCTTCCTCGCGTCGCCGCGTCGTTCGCATCCGCCGGAAAACTAAAGTCGCCGGCGCCCCAGCGCGCGTCTCGCGACGTCAAAGCCCGCGGCGTGCCCGTTCTCTCGTCGCTTCCGCTCGTCGGCTGGGCGTTTTCGTCCCCAGTCGTGCTCGTGGTCTACGTTTTCGTCGCGATTAGGATGTATCTCGGCTACGACAGGACCACGTTCGGAAGCGGCGTGCCCAAGATCGCCATGTGCGGCCTGTGGCCCGTCTTGGCCGCGCTATCGGCGTCGTTTCGCGAGAATTTAAAGCGCTCTTTGTAAGACTTGAGGATTTGAATGCGCCCGGGACAGGCGTCAGAACGCGACGCGACGTCGCGTCGTCGCGCGCGCGTCGTCGGACCCGCGCGCGCGCTCGAAGGCGGAAAAGACTCGCGCGCGCGATCGCGCGCGCTCGAACTCGCGCGAATCGCGACGCGCGCGTCGATAGGCGCGCGTGAACGTCGACGCGCGGTGACAGTTGCGTCGAGTAAATCGCCGCGCGGCGGCGCATGCGCCCTGGCCGATCGTCGCTCAGCGGACAGAGTTTGAACGAAGAACACCGCGCGCGCGCTCACGCGCGAGGGAGGACGTCGCTCGGGATGTCGGCGTCGAACAAGCGCGCGTTCGTGTTCACGTGCCTGGGCCTCGGGTTGGTGTTCGCCGATCAAAATTTGTTAGCGCCGAATTTGACCGCCATCGCGAACGATTTGAATCTGTCGCCGAATGAGCGGGACTATAAATTAGGCGGGCAGATCGCGTTCGCGTTCTTCTTGCTCGGCGCGCCGGCGGCGGTGTTGATCGGGTCGATGGCGGATTACTATCCGCGCACGAAGCTCTTCGCGTGGACGATGCTGTTGGGATCGTGCCCCAACGTCCTGGCGTGGATGCCGGGGGTGACGACTTTTGGTCAGTTGTATTGGTTGCGCGCGCTGACGGGAATCGCGGTAGGCGGCGCGGCGCCGTTGACGTACTCCTTAATGTCAGACTTATTTCCGCCGAGCGAGCGGACGAAGATGAGCGCGGTGACGGGGCTATCGATGACGCTCGGGATCGTCTGCGGGCAAGCGATCGCGGGATTTTTGGGGGAGTCGTACGGCTGGCGCTTGCCGTTCGCGGTGGTGGCGATTCCGGCGATATGCGTGGCCATGGTGCTGATGTTCTTTGTCGAGGAGCCCGAGCGCGGGGCGATGGAGGCGCCGCCGGACGAGGAGGCAAGTCTCGAGCAAGAGTCGCTCGTCATCCAATCGTCCTCACGACCCTCGACACCGCCGATACCACCGCGAGGGCTGCACTTCAGCGCGACCGCGGCGAAGATGTATGCGCGAAAGTTGCACGGCATCGTCTCCGTGCGCACCGTGGCGTTGTTCTTGGCGCAAGGCGTGTCGGGTTGCGTGCCGTGGAGTATGATCAACACGTTCTTCAACGATTACTTAGCGCAAGATAAGGGGTTAGGTGTGAAGCAGAGCACGTCGATGCTGATTTTATTCGCCGTCGGCGGCATGTTAGGGACGATTTGGGCCGGGTGGTACGGCCAAATTCTTTTCAACAACAAACCGGAGAACGTATCGATTTTCATGGGATCGAGCGCAATCGTGGGGGTGTTCCCGGTGGCTTACTTGGTGTTGGCGAATTACGACAACTCCGCGTCCGACATCGCGATCAAGTCGATCTTATCCTTTATTTCGGGAGGCATCGCTTCGTGCGTCGGCGTGAACATTCGAGCGCTGTTGCTCAACGTCCTGCATCCCATGAATCGCGGCACCGCGTTTTCCCTCTTCATGCTCACCGACGATTTAGGCAAAGGATTCGGACCTCTCGTCGTCGCCGGCTTCGTCGCCGCGTTCGGTCGCGAGACGGCCTTTTTCATCTCGGTTTTGTTCTGGATTCCTTGCGGGTGTCTTCTCGCCGCCTCGTGCTACACGCTGAAACGAGATTTACAAACCGCCGCTGCGCGTTACCAAACAGAACGCGCCGAAGAAAATCGTTCGGTTCGATTGGATTAGCCCTTCTTCGCGCCCGCTGTAGATTATCCCTCATTTCAATCCGACGCGCTCGCGTCACTAATCCCCTCGCCGCGCCATGGCGCCCTTCAACCTGAAAACGATCAGCGTCACCCGCGCCCACCACGGCACCTTACATCGGCTCCAACACGACTCCGAAACCTTGAGCTCGGTCGCGACTTTCGCCGTGTTCGTTCCCGGCGCGGTCGAAGACTTCAAAGACAAATTCCCCCTCTTGTTGTACCTCTCCGGATTGACGTGCACGGACGAAAATGTGGCGCAGAAAGGGTGCGCGTTCGAGCACTGCCACGCGCGGCGCGTGGCCATGGTCATGCCGGACACGTCACCGCGAGGAGACGACGCGGCGGACGACGAGGCGTGGGATTTAGGGAAGGGGGCTGGATTTTATGTAGACGCGTCGGCGGCGCCGTGGTCTCGACACTACAAAACGTACTCGTACGTCACGAAAGAGCTGCCGAAAGTGCTGCGGGCGTGCGATTTTGCCGATGCGTTGGATCACGAGCGAGTGTCGATCTCGGGGCACTCGATGGGGGGACACGGGGCGTTGACGTTGGCGCTGAGAAATCCAAACGCGTACGCGAGCGCGAGCGCGTTCGCTCCGATTGCTAATCCGACGGCGTCGGATTGCCCGTGGGGACAAAAGGCGCTCAAGGCCTACCTTGGGAGCGCGGATTGCGATGAGGCGAAATCGCACGACGCGACGGAGCTCGTGAAGAGCGTCGAGGCGGGCACGTTTAAGATGCCGATTTTAATTGATCAAGGCGCGGCGGACTCCTTTTATAAGACGCAGTTGCACCCTGAGCGTTTCGTGGACGCGGCGAAAGAGCGTGGATGTGATGTCACGTATCGTCTGCACGATGGTTACGATCATAGCTACTTTTTTGTTTCCACGTTCATGCGCGAGCACATCGAGTTCCACGCCGCGGCGCTGGGAAGTCTTAAAATTTAATGACATTGATAATCGGTTGTGAAAGTAATTATACGGTTGAGAAGGACCGCTTGATTAATCGAAGCTCAACACGCATCGTAAGCACTTGCCTTCGTGCAACAGCTCGAACGCTTCGTTGATTTGATCAAACTTCATGCGGTGCGTGATGTATCTGTCGAGTTTCGTGTTTCCGCCCATGTACTTTTCGACCAGTTTCGGCACGGCGATGCGGCTCTTGTACCCGCCGAAAGCGGTACCTTTCCACGTGCGACCGGTGACGAGTTGGAATGGTCTGGTTGAGATTTCCGTGCCCGCGGCGGCGACGCCGACGATGACGGAAGTCCCCCACCCCTTGCGGCAGCATTCCAAAGCGCTTCGCATGACGTTGACGTTTCCGACGCATTCGAACGAATAATCCACTCCACCGTCCGTCATCTCCGCGATGACAGTTTGTGAATTTTTATCGCCAAACTTTGTCGGGTTCACAAAATCCGTGGCGCCGAACTCGCGCGCCACGGCTTCCTTTTCGTCGTTGGTGTCGACAGCGATGATGCGCGTCGCGCCCGCCTCCACAGCCGCCTCCACGCACGCCAATCCGACGGCGCCCAGACCAAACACCGCCACGGAGCTCCCCTCTTCGACCCGCGCCGTGTTATGCACCGCCCCCCACCCCGTGCTCACGCCGCATCCCAGCAGGCACACCTTATCCAAACGGCGCCTCGTCGTTCCCCACCTGCGCCACCGCCACCTCGTGCACCACCGTGTACTCGGAAAACGTCGACGTTCCCATGAAGTGAAAAATCTCCGACCCGTCGCTCGCGAGCGTAAATCTCGGCTTCCCGTCGTTCTTCATCACCCCCGCGCCCGTGTACGCCCGCACCGCCTGACACAGGTTCGATTTCGGATGCACGCAGTGCGCGCACGGCTCCTTCGCGATGTCCGCGCAGTACGCCTGATAGCACGGAATCACCCGATCGCCCGCTTTACACGACGTCACGCCCTCGCCGACGGATTCCACCGTCCCCGCCGCCTCGTGTCCCAGGATGCACGGAAACTTCCCCTCCGAGTCGTGTCCGCCGAGCTGTTCGACGCGTCGGCGTCAGTCCGAGACGATCGACGGCGCGTCCGGGTCGAGTCGGCACGCGCGCGCGCGCGCGATTCGCGCGGCGAGCGCGCACCGTGTACGCATCCGTGTGACACAGCGCGTTGTACGCGATTTTAATTCGCACTTCGCCCGCCTGCGGCGGCGCGACGACGACGTCGACGATTCGCAGCGGCTCGCGCGGCGCGAACGCCACCGCCGCCTTGCACGCGATCGGCTCGCCCGCGCGCGACATGCGCTCGCGAGGCGATCAGTGGCGACGCGCGAACGCGAAGGGGACGTTTTTCGCGACGACGATTCGACGACGACGGCGCGGGAAACGACGAGGCGTCGCGACGGACGGCGCGCGGAGTTACAAGCGAGCGTCCGCTACGGCTTGGCGCTCGCGAGGGGGGCGACGTACTGCGTGGACTGCTGAAACGCCTCGATCTCGCGGTGAATCGCGTCGACGGCGTCGGGCTGGACGAGGACGCGACGCGCGTCGAGGTCGACGACGACGAACTTGCGCTCCGCGGGCGCGACGTCGTTGAGGTGGAGGATGTACTGCTTGATGGGGACGTCGGCGGTGATCATGACGCCGTGGACGGCGGAGACCATGGCGCGCGCCAGGCGCGGTCTGCGGGTCGCGGCGACGACGCGCGCGGCGAAGGGAGAAATGGGCTAAAACGAGGGCTAAAACGAAGACCGATGGCGAGGTCGGTGATGGCTAAATCATGGCGCGCCGTAGAGCCGCGCCCACGGTGGACGCGGGGCGTGGACGTCGACGCGGAGGTTGGATTTGGGGTGGCGAAACGCGACGCGCTCGGCGTGGAGCAACGCGCCGGCGACGCGACGCGCGGAGAAAGGCGCGTCGATCGGTCCGTCGCGAGTCGCGGCGATCGGTCCGCCGTATCTCACGTCGCCGACGAGCGGAAGTCCGAGCGACGCGCAGTGAAGTCTGATCTGGTGCGTGCGACCGGTGAGCGGGGAGCAACGCGCCAACGCGACGCGGTGTCGTCGGCGGTCGGCGTCGTCGGCGGTCGGCGGTTCGCAAAATCGCAGCGCCACGCCGTCGGTGATCACGCGCTCGACGATGATCGTGGTTTCGGCGTGCTTGACCTTGACCTTTTTGTTCCCGGGAAGCGCGCGGCCGATGTCCGCGGCGTCGTAGAGACGGAAGAGGCCGTATTTCGCGCGGCCCCAACCCGTGAATACTCTGCGATGATCTTCAACGCCGTCGTAATCCGCCGTCGCCGCGCACAGCGCGACGTACGTCTTCTGCACCGTGCCGTCGGCGAATTGCGCCGACAAGCTGCGAATGGCGTCTCGATTTCGCGCGACGACGAGACATCCGGAGGTGTCGCGGTCGAGTCTGTGAACGACGCGCGCCGACTCCGAGGCGTTGAACGGCACGTCCCGCGTCGTCGCGCGGTTATCGACCGTGGTCGCATCATCGCATTTCACCATGCCTCGCTCGACGAGGCGTTCTATATCGTGCACGTACGTCTGCGCAGGCTTGTTCAGGACGTAGACGTCGTCGTCGACGTACACCGCGAGCAACGGGACGCCGGCGGCTGCGTCCGCTCTCGCCGCGCGTTCGCACGACTCCGCGCGCTCGCCCTCGATCGCGCGCGCTGCATCACTCGGCGGCCCAGGACGGAGCGTCGGTTTGGGATATTCGGTCGACATCTCGCCGCGAGGCGATAAATGATGAGACGCAGGGCGAAACCTCGAGCGTCCAGCGTCGCAAACTTTTGCGACGCGAATGACGCTCACCCCATTTTACCTACGGTACAGCACAGTGACGACCGCCGATATACGCATACGTCGGTCTTTCATAACGTGGAATCCGCGTCGCACTCTTGAGGTAGCGATCGATCGGCGGTTCGCGAGCGACGGCGGTTAAGAATTCACCACACCGCGGCAAATTCAGACGCGTCGCGAAATCGGGCACTAAATCCTCCTCCGCGAGCTCGAACAGCGTTTCGAATAAAGCTAAATCGACATACGTCAACGACTCGCCGACGAGCCGCGAATTTCCGTTACGCTCTAGGATTTCCTCGAACACGCGCAGCGCCTGCCGCGAACGCGCCGGCACCGATAAATTATTCACGCGATGCGTCTCTTGAAACCTCGCGCACTCAGCGTCTTCGCGTCTTTCAATGCTCTCTTTCAATGCCCTCGCGCTGTACAGCTGTCCATCGTGCGTCAATCCGCCGTTGCGAATAGTGTGCCAATATTGCATAAAGAGTTCGTCGACGCGCGCGCGCTCATACTCGTTCGCGCCGTCCAAACTCAACTCTCGCCCCAGGTATCTGATTATCGCCGTTTCGTGGGAAACGTCGTTCGCACACCCATCGATGTCTACCAAACTCGGCGTCTTCCCGAACGGCGTCTTCGGTTTCACTTTCGGCCACGCGAGGTAGCCGACGACTTCGACCGCGTGCGGCGCTCGCGCGAGTTCGAGCATCATCCGAATTACCTCGGCGCGATTCCGCATCGGCATGTACTGCAGCCAATATTTCGCAGCCTTCGCGCCGTCGCCGTCGCAGTGGCGGTACATCACCGCGTGGACGTCCGTGCTCCATAAATCTTTCGACGCGAAGAGTTGCTTTTTCAACGCCTCGGGCGTGATTTCCGCGAGCGTTTCGTCGCGTTTCGCGCGCGCGGCGACGCGTCGCGCGCGCGCGCGCGTCACAGTCGCGCGCGGTCTCGTCGCGCGCCGCGCCGCGCGCGGCGTCGGCGCGGGTCGCGCCGCGAGCATCGTTTTAAAGATGATTTCAGGAGAAACAGGATGATAAAGTGATATTACAGCGCGCGCGCTACGAGGACGCGAGACGCTTGGGAGAGACGTCGACCGCCACGGCGTCGACGAACGCCACGCGATCGTCGTCGATGACCTCTAAGTCGGGTGCGAGTAACTGCACGTAACGGTCAAAGTAAATCAGTTGTTTGATCAAGATGCCGAACGCTTTGGGGAGTTTGATTTTGTTCTCCTCGGCGGCGACGATCAAGTCGGAGGCCAACTGCGTCACTTGCTGTTGGTCGACGGTCACGGCGGCGCGAGGGGTGCCGTCGAAGGTGTCTTCATCGACAAGAACAGTCGGTTCGATGGAATCTAAGGTTTCGTAGACTTTGCGTAAATCATTAGCGAATTTCTTGACGTCGACTTCGCCGTCGGTGGCCCCCATCGTCACCAGCGCGAGCGCCATGCGCTCGTAATCGCGCGCGGCGGTGGATTGGAAAAAAGCTTGCACCGCGCCCCAAATTGACGGGGAAATTTTGCCGACGATGCCGAAGTCGATGAAACCAACGCGCCCGTCCGGACAAACGATCAGATTACCCGCGTGCACGTCGGCGTGAAAACTCTCGCACGCCAGCACGCTGCCAAACCAAACGTTGAGCGCGTTGATGAGCGTCGCCTCGGGATCGCGCGTGCTCACCGAACGAATCGCCTCCAAGTCCGTGAGCGGGACGCCAGAGAAGTACTCCATCACCATCACTCGTTTACCACTAAATTGTTTGTACACTTGCGGCGCCTTGGCGATGTTCGTCAGTTCCGCGTCTTCAAGGTATCGTCGAAAAGCGTCGACGTTTTGCGCCTCCTTTCTAAAATCCGTCTCCTCCAACATCGACTCTCGAATGTCTCCGACGATGTCCACCAACGATGTTCGCGAGAGTTCAGGATTCAAAAACTGTAACACCTTGCTCACGATTTAACACAAAGCTCAAATCCGCCTTGAGCGTGTCCTCGACGTTCGGTTTCAGCACCTTGACGACGACGTCTCGCCCGCTTCCGAGCAGCGTCGCTCGATGCACCTGCGCCACGCTCGCGCTCGCCAAAGGCACCGGATCGATCGTCGCGAACACATCATCTATAGAACGTCCCAAGTCTTTCTCGATCGTCCGCTTAATGATGGAAAAATCCGTCACCTCGGTCGCGTCCAGGCACTTTTGAAACTCCTCCACGTACTCCTTCGGAAACACGCTCGGCGCGCTCGCGATGAACTGTCCCAATTTCACGTACGTCGCCCCCAGCGCCTCAAACGTCCGTCGCACGATCACCGGCGCCGTCGGCGGGTTCTCCATCGACAACTCCCCGAAAGATCTCACCGCCAGCGCCGCGAGCGACTCCACCGCGTTCAGCGTCCTCGCCACGCCCGGCGTCCCCGCGCCCGCCGCGATGCCCGCGATTTCGCTCATCAGCACCCTCGCCTCATCCGCCCTTCGCAACGCCTCCCGCGCGTCGAACGTCGCGCTCGCGCTCGCGAACGGGTTCGCCTCGAACGCGTTCCCGTCGTCGCGCGCGCCGGTCTCCCCCGGGATCGACCGCGAGCGCGCGCGGCGCGTCACGATGCGTTTCGACGTCATCGCGTTCGCGCGCGTTTTCGACGTCATCGCGTTCGCGCCTCGTCGCCGCGCATCGCGCGACGCCGACGCGTCCGCAACGCGCGCGATGTGCGCGCGCATGCTCGCGCGCGGGTTCGATCGTCGCACGCGCCGCGCGTCGCCGAGTGCGGCGCGCGTCTTCATCGCGTCAAAACGCAGCGCGACGAGCGACCTCGTCGCACGCGCGCGCGCACGCCGCGTCGGAAGCGACTCGAATGGCGTGGACGAACTTCATCATCACCGCCACGGGCCTGATCGCCGTCGCGTCGCTGATGCGCACGGACGTGCGACAATCGTCACGAATGTTGAGACAGAATTTAAAAACCATTCGACGCTGGGTCGAGGACGGCGCCGAGGCGACGGCGAAGACGAGCGAAAAAACCCTCGGGGACACCGCGGTCGGGAAAGCGATGAAAGAGATGCGCGACGAGGCGATGAAGAAGAAGGATTGAGGACGAGGTTGAAAGGCTTTTTGAGATTGGCGCAGACGCGGCGAGGTCGACGTCGAACGAGGGAGAGGTTTGCGTCGATCGATACGCTAGGCGGAAGTGCGGTCGAACTGCGTTCGGTTGGAGGGCGACGCGCGGAGGGGCGATCGAGGACGAGATGAGTTCGCCGTTCGGGGCGAGGATCGAGACGCCGGCGTTGAGCGGGAAGTCGGCCAAAGCGATGCGGAACGCGAGCGCGGCGTGGGGTTGGACGTGTGTGCTCGTGTTGATGTACGAGGCGCTGGTGCGAGGGATCGATGAACGGCGCGTGCACATGCTGAACGTGTATTATCAAGCGCCGACGGTGGCGACGCTGGCGTGTTTGATGTGGGCGCACAACTTGCGAGTGTGGCACCGGTTGCGATTGACGCCTTCACCGTTGATTTGTTTTGGGGTTGAGCAAAACGAGTCGGTGACGTTTGAGCACGTGTATCGATTGGCGCACGCGAGCGCGTTAGCTCTCTTGACCTCGGCGGTTTTGTTTCTATACGCGTACGACGTGGACGAACCGTTCGCCGCGACGACGATTTTGTTGGCGACGTATTTCGTTCCAATACTCGTCGCCATGTGGCCAAATAGAACGAAAGGGCTTGGAGAATTACGGTCGTATACGCGACGGTTGCTTTATAACTGCTTCACTCCCTTGGTGCGGCCGGTCGGGTTCGCTGATTTCTTCTTCGCCGACATCTTGTGTTCGTTGGCGAAATCTTTGAGCGATTTAGAACGCGTTGTTTGCAGCGTGCGACACCGCGTGATGCTCATACACACCGCCGCGGGTAAGTGCGGTGATAGAAGTATCATGATTCCCGTCGTGCTCATCATACCGTCCGCGATTCGACTGCTGCAGTGTCTGAGGCAGTTTGCCGACACGCGCGAGCCAAAGTGTCTGTACAACGCATTCAAGTACACGAGCGCGTTCCCGGTCATCATCATCTCCGGATTCCGGCACTTCATCGATCACGACGATTGGGTCTTCTTTTGGCGTCCGCTTTGGATCGGGTTTTGCGTGTTCAACACGTGTTTTAGCTTTTACTGGGACATCAAGCACGACTGGGGGCTGTCGTTGCTCGGCGGCGGCGCGCCTCGGCGACCCGGCGAGAAATTTCCGTTTGGATTGCGCGAGCGTCGCATTTACGGCGCACCCAAGGTGTATTATCGGGCAATTTGGTTGAATTTCTTCTTGCGGATAAGTTGGACCTACAAGCTCGCGTCGCACTTGCGACATCATAGCGCCGTGCTCTGGCTCGTTACCGCCGCTGAAATCACGCGACGATTTCAATGGTCGTTGTTCCGCGTCGAGGTGGAATATTTGAGACGATTGCAGCACGCGTAAATAGCATTCTAGTACCGATATAGGTTATTATCACAACATCACGACTCTCTATCGATCCGTAAACACCCGCTATTTCGCGTGCGCGGTGAGCCATTTCAGGCACACGTCGATGTTTGTGGAATTCTTGCAACTCACGTTGTAGCAGCACACCTCCCTCCCGGTCGCGCGTTTCAGCTCCATCGCCTCCACCACGTCCTGCACGCGCACCGCGCTCTCTAAATCGCTCTTATTCCCGAGCACCAACAACGGAATCTCCCGCAGCGTCTCCCTCTTGAGCAACCCGTGCAGCTCGTTCCTCGCCGTCTCAAACAATTCCTTCGCCGCCGCATCCACGACGTACACCACGCAATCCACGCCTCGACAGTACCGTTCCCACGTTCCCCGAAACCGTTCCTGTCCACCGAGATCCCACGTCTTCACGCTCACCCCATCCCTACGCAGTCTCCGCACGTTGAATCCCACCGTCGGAATCATATCCTCCTCAAACGTCCCGCCGCTCAGCGCGTCGATGAACGACGTCTTCCCGGCGTTCTGCAGCCCTGCGCGCGCGCGTTCGCGAAACGTCTTCGTCAGTCCCCGCGCGCGCGTCCCCGCGCCGTCCTCGCGCGCGATCGAATTCGTTTCGTCGCGATTCAAATCAAAGTCCGACGCAACCGCCATCTTAAATCGCTCTCGCGCGCGCCGCGTCTCGCGCGCCGCGTCTCGCGCGTCGCCTCGCGTCGTCGTCGGCGTCGCTCGACGCACCGATCACGACGATCTCCATCTCGCGTCCGAAGAACAGCGCGCGCAACCACGCGACGAAGGCGTCCCAGTACGAGCGCGCGTCGTCGCCCATCGCGCGTCGAGGTGTGAGGGGGACGACCGCGCGGCATCGCGAGACATTACGCGCCGCGCCGACGCGCGTGCATGGATCCCGCGAGACCGTTTTCGACGTGCGTGAGAGAAACTCGCGCGACGCGCGCGATGCGACGTCGCGCGCGACGCGGCGGCGCGGGCGCGCGACGCGGCGGCGCGATGGATGACGATCGATTTGAGATTTCGCGAGCTGTCGAGTGATTAAAAATAAAACGACGACGCGAAGACGCGGACGCGCGACTGACGAGGGCGAGGGCGAGGCGAACAGGACGGTGGTCGTGCCGCTCGAGGACGAGAGACGCGCGAGGGCCGTGGGAGGGGCGCTCGGGGTGGATAAGGAGTTGCAACCGAGGGTGGTGCGAAAGACGGTGACGACGCGCGAGAGGGAGAACGGGGACGGTTGGGAGGTCGTCGCGACGTTCGAGGCGAGCGAGTTGAAGGCGCTGAGGAGTGCGGTGAGTGGGTATTACGATTTGTTGACGGTGAGCGTGCGGACGGTGGAGGCGTTCGAGGAGGAGATTTGAATCGGCGGTACGGGCGAGAACGGGCGAGATGCCGACGCGCGAGTATCAGATGAGCGATTATCACACGTACGAGGCGATCGGGAAAGGGAAGCACAGTACGGTGTATAAGGGGCGACGGAAGAAGTCGATTCAGTACTTTGCGATGAAGAGCGTGGAGAAAGGACAGAGAAATCGAGTGATGCACGAGGTGCAAGTGATGAAGGCGTTTTCCCACGAAAACGTGTTGAAATTCATCGCGTGTTACGAGACGCAAAATCATCTGTGGTTGATTCTGGAATACTGCGTCGGAGGTGATTTGTTGACGCTGCTGTCGCAAGATCTCAAGCTTCCCGAACCTTCCATCATGACGTTCGCGCGCGATATGTTCGTCGCCGCGCGAGAGTTGCACAGTAAAGGACTGGTGCACTGCGATTTAAAGCCAAGTAACATGTTGCTCGACGAAGAAGGGCGGATTAAGATTTGCGGATTCGGACTCAGTCGCAAGGTTTCCACTGTCGTGGCGTCTTCGGGTACGCCCACGCAGCTGTCGCGTCGAGGGACACCGTGTTATATGGCTCCGGAGATGTTTACACAAGAGGGCGTGCACTCGTACGCGACGGACTTGTGGGCGTTGGGGTGCGTGCTGTATGAGTGCGCCACCGGACGACCCCCGTTCACGAGTACGTCGTTGACATCATTGATCGAACAGATTTTAGAGCACGAGCCCGCACCGTTGCCCGCGGCGTATGGTACGACGTTTAAGAATTTGGTCTCTGGGTTGCTCATCAAGCGCCCGCACGCTCGTTTGACGTGGGACCAAGTCATTAACCATGAATTTTGGACCGAGCGCGGAGGGCAATACTTGGACGATCTTGGTGACTTAGTGACGCTTAGACTCCCACCGCAGCCTTCATTCGACGCGCTCGCGGCTAAACTGAAGAGCGAGGATTTGGCGGCGAGACTGCGAATGCTTGGAAACGCAAGAGCGTCGGGGGCGGTGGACGTGCGCGATTCTTTCATGCCCGTCTTGACGCAAAGTTTACGAGATAGCGTAAACGTCTCGCGACTGTCGAGGATTGCGCGTTCAAATTTGGAGCGAGAAGAAGTCGGTTCGTACGCGCCTAGCGGTGCTGCAGCTATCGAAGGCGACCCCTTGCAAGTCGCTGCCATTCACGAAGACGTGGAGTTGGAGAATCCAGACGCTGAGCTCAACTTCACCGCTCCGAGCGGGAACGACGATTTGGACGTGGACATGGAAACCGAAGACGTTATCATACCTTCAGCTCCCAAAACGCCTCCTAGGGGAGGTCGTCGTGGTGACGATGATTACGCAGATGAAAACAGAGCAGAGAACTTTGCCGATCCCGCTGAGTCGTTTGGTGACGAGATGCAGTCGGACAGCGATGACGCAACTCGCATCGTGCTCACACCTTCCGACCGCGGACGCTATGTTAGTAGACACGCGTTCGCCGGGCTTCGACGAGTCGCTCGTTACAGACGGCAGATGATGAGTTCGAAGAAACGTCGTCTTCGATGCGTCGCTTGGCGCCGCTTCCGGCGGAGACGCCGGCGGTGATCGGGAGGACAGAAAGTAGGATGCCTTCGCTGGCGGCAAGGAATGATGTGCTGGCAAAAAGTGTCGATTACGACAAGTTCAAGAAGCTGTGCACGCATTCGACCGATTTGACCGTGCGACCCATCGTGTCCAATCACAGAATTGAAGTGGTGAAAGACGCGCCTCACGATCCAGAAAAGTTGCCCTTCAAAGAATTGAGCGTGGACAAAATGTTGGCGACTTCTCAGAGCGAGCTCGAAGCGTTTCTGACTCGTATTTACCGCTCCGTGGCGCACCCTTCAAACGTTCAAGAAAAAGTTAACACTTTGGCTTATTTCGAGACGTTGTGCACCGAGGCGTCGAGCGCGAACGTCTTGGCGAATTCATCCTTGATGTCAATGTTCGTCCGAGTGCTCGGTAGCAGCAAATCTCCACCGTTGAAGATCAAGCTTTGCAGCATCATGGGCTTGTTGATGCGACATGCGACGCATATTAGCGATGAGTTCGCGAAGAGTGAGGCTGCAAAAGTACTGGCGGGCACTATGAGCGACGAAAACTCTCGCGTGAGACGCCGAGCTATGGCGGCGCTCGGGGAACTGTCGTTTTACGTCGCGACGCAGCAGAGGCCAGACGCATCACAAGTATGGGGTATCACCGACAGTGTGATTGAGGTCTTCATCAAGACGTTAGAAGAGGAAGAAGATGAAATTACTAAGCACTACGCGTGCAAGAGCATCGAGAACATAGTCTCTCACGAGGGCTCAACGTGGATACAAGACGCATTCGCGGAGTGTCGCGTCGTAAGTGTTTTGTTTTCAATCGCGACGAATGACGCCGTAGACGACCAGCTTCGTGGTACTTCGGCAAGTGCGCTCGCAAGAATCGTTCGGCTCAAGTCGGAAACGCTTCACCCACTGGTCGGCGAAGAGGATTGCGATGGTTCAAATGCACGCGATGGCCTGGTGAAAATGCTTAGAGATCGTGAGAGAAAAGTACAACAGGCGGCACTCAACGTGTTGTGTAGAGCGCTGGTGGATGAAAAGTCGCGCTTGATTGCCACTATCATGGAAGTTCAAACGCTTTTGCCCATTCTTGCTGGATTGTACGAGCGAAGTCAAACGCCCATCATCAAAGCCAAGTCGTTGCTCGCGATGGCGCTTTTGATTCGCGCGCATCCAAAATGGTTGCAATCGCTTTGCAAGGCGCGCGTTTTGCCGATGTTGGATCGTCAACCGACGCAAATGGACCCTTATTTACAAGAATGTTTCGATACGTTCGTCACCACCGTTGTGGCCCTCGTGCCGGTCGTGAACACTGGTATCTTGCAGTACGTCGAGCGATCGCTCTCCACGGGATTGTCATCGGAAAACGCCATGCGACCGCAAGCGTTTGAGTTATTTCCTGTGCTCATTCATTTGCTGCAATCGACTGTCATGCGACCAAAAGTATTGACCAGTGCGTTTGTGATCGACATTGCGAAGTACATTCGCGCCGCTGAGGCTGAAGAGCATTACCCTGGTCGCGACGAGCTTCGCGTGGGAGTTATGGCGTTGCTCGAGACGTGCGCACAGTGTACGAATGAGTTGATTCATAAGGTTGATGCGTTGACGCGTCACTTATTACCGGCGCTGTGCGACTTACTCGAAGGAAGTGCGCACGTTGAAACTCGTTTCTTGGCGCTGAAGCTCATCTACGAACTCTTGCTGCCATTGCGTTTGGATTTGGATATCGCCACGCAAAGCGGTCTCGATCGAAAAGTCGTTGCGCACCACTTGGACCAGCTCTTGATGCAAGACTTGTTCCCGATGTGCCCTGCGTTGATCGATAGTGAAGACCCAATCCCATTGTACGCTTTGAAACTTCTCAGCGGCACGCTGGAGATTGAGCCCGCGCTTTGTCGCGAAATCATCGCCTTGGGTTTGGCGCCAAGATTCTTTGAGTTTCTCTCGCTCGAGCACACGAACAACAACGAGCACAACATACATCTGTGTCTCGCCCTCGCTCGATGCAAAGCGCTCAGCACGCAATCATTGTGGGACTTCGACGCCCCTGCGAAAGTCGCGCAAGTATGTGCGTATAGCTACGAGCGAAACGTCACGCAGTTTGTCGAGCCCGCGCTCGGCATCGCCGCCACCCTCCTTCGCCGCGCCGCCGCCGACGCGCCTCGCGCCGCCGGAGACGCCGTCCCATCCGAAATCACCCCTCTCCTCGAGGTCGCGCCGACGCTTCGTCGGCTTGCAGCGACCATACCCGACGGTGCGCTCGCGCGCGATATCACTCATTCCCTCGACACCTTCAACGCGCATTAATTGTAACACAGAACTCGCACGCGAGTCAACAGCACGCTGTCAACTCACACACAGATGCTCATTCGGTCAACAATCGACCGCACACCACGCGCGCGTCGCCGCACGACGTCGAGCGACACAGGGAGCCGTAACGGAACCGCACGGAACGTCACCTTCCGCCGCGCGCGAACGCTCGCGATAGACAACCGACGCGCGCGTTGTCGCAACGTCGACCGGGACACGAAGCGTTTTTTCAACCGTCGCGCGCCTTCGCGTCATCATGCCTCGAGATCACACCCGCGACGCCAAGCCGTGGACCGCGGAGGAAGATGCAGCGTTGTTGACGCTACAAGGCGCGCATGGGAACAGATGGAGCGAGATCGCGCGCGCGATGGGCACTCGGAGTGGACAACAGTGCGCACAGCGGTGGCGACACAAGGTCAACCCAGGGATCCGACGGGAGCGGTGGAGCGAGGAGGAGGATGAAAAGGTGCGAATGCGGTTCGATAACGTGAGCAAATGATATTGGTTACATGCGTTGTGTGCGCAGAACACAATTTTGGTCGCGTGGCGGGAGAGATATCGTCGAGTGGTCCCGCGCGGTCCCGCGTCGTCTCAAACGATTTGACTGGACGAAGAGAGCGATTTGATTTGACGTGACAGTTGAAGACACTGAAAGAGCGCTACGGGTCGAGATGGGCAACGATCGCGCGTGAAATGGGTGGTCGCACGGATCAGCAATGTATGGGACGGTGGAGACGACATCTCGATCCGACAGTGACTCGCGGCGCGTGGGCTCGGGACGAAGACGAGCTCTTGTGCGGGTTGTACGACGAGTACGGTCCGCGATGGTCATTCATCTGTCAGAGCGTTCCGGGTCGCACCGCGCAACAATGTCGCGCGCGATGGTTTCAAGTCGACGGTAAGCCCAGGGAAGAGCGCGATCATCGCCCGTCCAGGCGGCAATCGCCCGTCGAGACTTCATCTCATGGACCCGCGGAGGATCATCCAGCGCGGCGATTTTCCGATCATGAAGGGTTGGTGACGCGTACTTCGATCGATTCGATGCCCATGGCGAGTCTGTCGCCAACACCAGTCGCTGAAAAACGACCATTCAGTCACATTCTGGCCGAAGTCAGCGCGCGCACGACGCAAAAGACTGGATCGTTAATAGAATCCGCCTCCATAGCGACTGCGCTCGGGCGCGCTTCGCCGGCGACTCTCTCAAAGCGCAAACAAGTATCGACAGCGCTGGATCCGATGTCGCTTTGGCGCGACGTCGGCGGTACGAAAGCCGTCGGTAGCTTGGCGCCGACACTCGTGGAAGATGGTAAGCGCAAACGCGGACGCCCGTCGAAGACGGTGGACGCGCCGCGGTCGCCGATGGCGAGGCTTTCGGTACAATCTCCTCGCGCATCATCGGTGTATGCACCGCGAACGCGCGCGCGAGCGTCGACGGCATCTGCATCATCCAAATCTACGCCTCATTCGTCAGTGATTGGTCGATCGACAGAAGAGGATAAACTCTCCGTTTTGCTCGGCGTCGCGCTCGGTCGAAGCGACGGCGCGGCGCCGCGTTGAATCGGCTAGGGAAAAATAATGTTGGTTTGCTGCTCGTGTTGTAACGACAAACTACGAAGAGAAAAACGTTTTTATGAGCGCTGGATTCGGGAGTCGATAGCTACGCCGCGACGCACTCGAGGAGCGCTTGAAAGTCCGCCTCCTCGTTCGCGTCGGGGAGGGCGTCAAAGCGCGCGTCGTCGAGCCACGCGAAATCGTCGATGTCAATCCCATCGAGGTCATCTTGACTTTCTGAATGAATCCCCGATTCTGATTCCGCGCCGCGGGCGAGGTCGCCGTCCAGGCTCCCGAGCGCGCCCTCGACGTCGTCCGAGTTCGCGCTCGGCGAGTTCGCCCGTCGTCGTCGTTTGCGGTTGGCATATTCATCGCGCTTTTCTCGCCGGCGCGTGGCTCGTCCCCGCGCGTCGCTCCAAACGGGCCCTCTCCGACGCGTCGACGAGACGAATCCCTTCGTCTCCTCTTCGCGTCTTCGATAGCCCTCGCGACGCGCGCGAGTTCCGAGCGCGTAGTCCGGCTTCGCGACCGCGTATAATCCGCCCCCGACGACGACGGCGTCCGCGCCGGCGTCCGCTCCCCATCGCTCGCGCGCGACGACGCCACCCTTCCGTCCCATCCCGCGCGCCGCTCGCGCGTCAGCTCCGACAGCGCGTCCTTCAGCACCGCGTTCTCCGTCGCGAGCGCGCGCGTCAACCGCTCGAGCGCGTCCACGCGTCGCCGCGCGTCCCGCTCGAGCGCCCGCTTCCGCGCCCGCGACGCCGCGCTCGCCGCGCGATTCGCCTCGAGTCGACGCGCGCGTCGCGTCGCGTCGTCCGCGTCGCGCGTCGCCATCGCGCGCGCGTCGGCGTGTGCGTCGACGCGGTCGGCACCCGCGGCGTCGGACGCGTGGTCGCGCGTTTCGATTGGTCGGCGGCGTGCATCGCGCGTTTCGATTGGTCGGCGCACGTGCGTCGATTCGCGCGTTTTACACCGCGCGAACGCGATGTGCGCATATATGCGACGCGGGTAAACCCTACACGTGCGCGCGTGTGTCCGTTCCGTGTGTGTGTTACGGTCTCGCATTTGAACGCGTCGCCGCGGGATCGCGCGCGCGCGCGGTCACACGACGAACGCGCGCGCGGGATCGCGCGCGCGCGCGACGTCCGACGCGACGCATCGACGGCGACGCGTTTACATCGACGCGCGCGACGCGCGAAATCGGCGCTCGAACGCGACGGACGCGCGGAGCGACGGTATTAACACGCGCGGACGACGGGGCGACGGCGCGGGCGATCATGGAGGCGACGACGACGACGACGACGACGGGCGCGGGAGAGCGCGACGAAGCGCGGCGATCGCTCGAAGCGCTCGGTGAACGCGAGTTTCTGGATGATTTGGTGCGCGGCGACGCTCGAACGCGCGAACGGGGACGGAATAGGGGATATTAAGAATGCGGACGCGCGAGGGCGATTGGCGCGCGGCGCGAGGGGCGGACGCGCGAAGCGCGCGACGAGGACGCGGGCGCGGCGACTGACGACGACGCGATCGACGGTGATTGGTTTTCGCGATAGATATTGACGCTGAGGAAGGATCCGGCGCTCGCGCGAGAGGTTCCCGAGGGCGTGGGTGGGTGACGACGCGCGGCGCGAATCTCGTCGGAGCGGCGAATCGTCGCGATTTCGGAGGCGCGCGCGGCGCGTTTGATTCGGCGCGGCGCGGACGAGCGATCGAGAGACTGACGACGAGGACGACGACGCTCGATCGCGAATCGCAGACTACTCGCAGTTCCCGCAGCGCACGGTGAATGGTTTTAAACTGGATTTGTTTGGGTTGTATCACAACGTGTGCGCGCGGGGAGGTTTTCCCGTGGAGACGAATGGGTCGGCGAGCAAGGTGCCGTGGTCGTGGAGCAAGGAAATTTTCAAGGGCATGGCGAACTGGACGGACAACCATCGGTGCACGTCGGTGGGGCACGATTTAATCTGCAGCTATCGCAAGTACTTGCTCGCGTACGAGCAGGCGCACCCGGAGGACGTCGACACGAGCGGCGCGCCCGTGGACGCGAACGCGGTGCCGCGCGGCGAGCAGACGATTCGAACGCGCGTGGCGACTGGCGCGCCGCAACGACGACGCGCGGGCGAAGGCGGCGCGGGAGGGAGTGGACGCGGGCGCGGACGGCCGCGCAATCCCGACGGCGGCGGTGGACGCGGGCGCGGGCGCGGGCGCGGGCGCGGGCGCGGGCGACCGCCGGGATTGCCCTCGCGAGGCGGGAACAATTTCAACTTTTCCATCGGCAATCGCGTGCGCGTGTACTGGCCGAGCGATAACGATTGGTACTCGGGGATGGTCGTGATGCAGGAGACGACGCCGGAGGGGGTGGTTTACAGTAAAATTGATTACGACGATGGTGATGAAGAAGTTTTGAATCTTTCAAACGAGATTTGTGAGTGTTTGGACGACGACGAAGATGGATTAGTGTATCGCCCGAGACCGAGCTCGAGGCGAGGCGCGAACACGGGCACTCCTGGGCAATTGGCGTTGGAGTACCAAGGTGGACACGAGCACGAGACGATGCGGCAGCCGATATCTATGGAAGAAGTCCTCGAGGCGATGAATCGTCGGGAAGCAGCGCGAGGTTTGTTTGAGCTATCGGCGGAACCGCACGAGGCGCAGGAAACGTTTCGGCTCGGGTACATGATGGGCGTTCGTCGCGCCGCGTTCAAGGCGGTGGATGTCATGCAAACCATGCTGGCGAGGGCGTTTCCCGAGGGTGATCCGATGCGGGATTTGGTGACGAAAGAAGATTTGCACAAGGCGGTGGTGGATGGCACGTACGAGGCTGATGCGGAGAGCGAGCTCGAGGAGGAACCGCCGGAGGATGAAGCGAACGATCCCATTGAGACGAAGACGTACGATCGCCCTTGGCCGAAAGAAACTAATATCCCCACGGAACAGGAAGTGTCGGACGAATTAGAAGCCATGCGCGCCGCTGCAAAAGAACGGCAAGCGCAAATGCAGCAACCGCTCGACGCGGATGGGAACCCAAAATTGGTCTTCAAGGTGAAGCGATCGCGCGAGTCGACGGACGATTTAGTCGCTTCGGCGGATGGCAAAGACGTCGCGATGGACAATGCTGACAAGCAAACGGAAGGAACGAAACCAGCGGTGGAGATGACGACTGGTACTGATCCCACCGGCGGAGAAGATGAAGAACCCGACGCGAAACGCCCTGCGCCCGAAGACGCCGCCGCGAGCGCCACGCCGCTCGGCGACCAACGCCGCATCGCCCTTAATAAAGTCGTCAATGTCGAATACGGCGGCGACAAGACCGTCCTTCGCTGGCTCGACACCCACGGCTGGGGTCATTACGCCGGTTCGTTCGCCGTCTACGGCGTCTCCCGCCGGACCCTGAACTACCTCTCGATGACAGATTTGGAAAACATTCAAGTCGACGCGCCGGCGCGCGCGCAAATGTTCAGAGCGCTCGATCGCCGTCGCAAGCGCAACGAAAAGTACCGCTTGAACGGCACATGACTTTTCATCGCAATTTGCATAGCACTTTTTAGCGTTTCATAAAAACTTTCCACGCGTTCGCGACGAAGTCCATCCGCGTCTCGTCGCGCGGCGCCGCACACCGCGACGCGACATCCATCGCGAGATCGCGTCACCATGTCCACCGGATGGCTCCGAGGCGTCGTCAAAGCCGTCCCCAGCGGTGATCAAGTCATCATCGCCGCACCGTGCGCGCCAGGGGTGCGTTCGCGCGCCGTACCGACCGATTTCGTCGCGCGATGTCGACGCGACGGTTGCCCGATCGCGCGAAACTGACCACTCTCGCGACGATTCTCGCGCTCGCAGGCCCCGCCCGGCGTCGAAAAAACGCTCACGCTCGCCGGTATCGTCGCGCCGCGTCTCGGTCGCCGCGACGGGTCGAGCGCGGACGAGGCGTTCGCGCGCGAGTCGAGGGCGTCGCTGCGGCGCGCGCTCGCGGGACGACGCGTGTCGTTTCGCGTCGAGTACGCGGTGGAGTCGATAAATCGCGAGTTCGGCGTCGTGTTCACGGAGAGCGGGGAAAACGTGAGCGTGATGCAAGTGTCTAAGGGGCTGGCCAAGGTGAAGGCGCCCGGGGGGAACGATCGAGCGGTGGCGAACGCGGAGGAGTTGGAACGACGCGAACTCGAGGCGCGAGAAGCCGAGGCGGGGATGTGGAGTAAGGATCCCGCGGTGCTCGCGGCGGCGAGTCAGCGAACGGTCGTGCAGGCGATGAAAGCGGAGGACGTGCTGGGTGCGTTGCGGATGAAACCGACGCCCGCGGTGGTGGATTACGTGCTGAACGGTGGGACGGTGAAGCTTGTGCTGACGGGGGACGGCGCGACGCGCGATCAGAATATCACGTTGTCTATCGGTGGGATTTCAGTGCCGTCCGTCGGGCGCAAGGGGGCGAAGAACGAAGATGGGACAGATCAAGGTCCAGAGCCGTTCGCGCTCGCGGCGAAGCATTTCACGGAGATGGCGCTCCTGCATCGAGACGTGCGGGTGATTTTGGAAGGTCTCGATCGTCGTAATAATTTCATCGGTTCAATCTTGCCCGCGGACGTGAACGATACGTCGTTCGTGAACGTCGGCGAAGAGTTGTGTCGGCTAGGTCTCGCGCAAGTGCACGAGGCGAGTGCGGCGGCGTTGATCGGTGGCGCGGCGACGCTTCGCGCGGCGGAGAAGATGGCCAAGGATCAGCAGTTGCGACTTTGGCATGGATACGTCCCGCCAATATCTTCCTTGAACGCGATGACGACGAAAGTCTTCGATGCCAGAGTAGTAGAAGTCATCAGCGGTGATTGCATTTCCGTGGTGCCGACGTCAGGGCCGGATACGTCTGAGAGACGAATCAATCTGTCGTCGATTCGGGCGCCTAGAATTTCCAACTCACGAGATGACAAGTCCAATCACGAACCTTGGGCGATAGAGGCAAAAGAGTTTTTGATCTCGCGTCTGATCGGGCGCACCGTATCGATTAATATGGATTACGCACGCAAGATTGGAGAAGGTGCGAACGAACGAACGTTGCACTTCGCCACGGTGAAGCTGCCAAACAACAAGACGGGCGGTGACCCGCTCAACGTTTCAGAGATGCTTCTCATGCGCGGTTTCGCGTCGTGCATTCGTCACCGTTCTGAGGAAGAACGTGCGGCAGACTACGATGAGCTCATCGCGGCGGAAAAGAAGGGCGTGGAGAGCAAAAAGGGAATGCACAACAAGAATCGCGAGGCGCCTGTACACAGGACGAATGATTTTAGCATCAACGCGCATAAGGCGAAGACGTTTTTGCCGTTTTTGCAACGCGCGGGTAAGTGCGTCGCTATGGTAGACTACGTCGCCGCTGGACACAAAATTCGAGTTTCAATTCCCAAAGAAGGCGCGGTGATCGCCTTTTGCTTGGCGGGCGTTCGCTGTCCCCAGCGCGACGAGCCGTACGCCGCCGAGGCGTTGGCGTACACGCGTTCTCGAATTCTTCAGCGAGAGGTGGAAATCGTGGTAGACTCCGTGGATAGAACTGGAATTTTCCTTGGCACCTTATTTGCGGACAACGGGCGATTAAATCTCGGTGAAGAACTCCTTCGAGCCGGATTAGGAAGCTTGCACCCGGCGTTCCCGGTGGATCGCGTTCACTACGGTCGCGCGCTCGCGGACATTGAAGCCGCGGCACGGGAAGTCAAGGCTGGTTTATGGAAAGACTGGACCCCTCCGATCGTCGAAGTAGACGGGCCTGAGGATAGTTCGACCGGCGAACTCGTGCGAGTCGGCGTCACCGAGTGCGTCGCCGGGGGCCGATTCTTCGTGCAGAAGTTAGATGGGAGTAAGATTCAAGAGGTCACGGACAAACTCGCCGAGCTTTACGACGGCGTGGACACGAGCAAGCCGCACGATGGCGTGTTCGAACCAAAGCCTGGCGATGCCGTCGCCGCCAAGTTCACCGGAGATGACAAGTGGGCGAGAGCCATCGTCACCGCGAAGCGCGTCGGTGATAAGCCCGTCAGCGTCTTCTACTGCGACTTTGGCAACGTCGAGGACATCGGTTTCAATCGTCTTCGACCTTTGAAGGATCCAACGGTCACCACAGTTGCTATCCCACCCATGGCCAACTTCTGCGCGCTTTCCTTCCTCAAGATTCCTCGCATCGATTCCGATTACGGCTACGCCGCCGCTTCGCACGTCGGCAAACTCATCTCTGGCCAGGCTTTCCACGCCCGAATCGACGCCCGCGATCGTTTCCCCACCACAAAACCATGGGAAATCGACGCACAGCCCGCGTTCTCGCTCACATTATTCCCCGACGCCAACGCTCGCGCCGCTGAATCCGTCGCCCTCGACCTCCTTCGCGCCGGCTTTGCGCGCGTCCACCGCCGCGCCGCCGCCCGTCGTCTCGATCGCGACGTCTTCGACGCCATGGTCGACGCCCAGGAGTCCGCGCGTCGCGCGAGGGTCGGTCAGTGGGAGTACGGCGACGTCGATTCCGACGACGACGCGTCTTAGCCTTGTAATCGCGTTCGCGTCTCCCGTCGCGTTTGAACGCGCCGCGCAGGCCGCGCCAAAACCCTGTTCTGGATAAGAAAAGCGAACAACGACGCGCGCGCGCCGCACACCGCGTCGCGCGACGCCGCCCGTCGGCGCGCACACGACGACGATGCACTCGCACGCGATGCGCGCGCGCGCGCCGCGCCCGCGCGCGAGCTCGCGCGCGTCGACGCTCGAAAGCGCGCGCCGAGGCCGATGCGACGGGACGGGACGACGCGCGCTCGGACGCGTCGCGCGAAGCGCGAAGCGCGGCGACGGCGTCGCGACGCGCGCGCAGGGCGACGTCGACCTGCTGAATCACCTGGGAAAGAAGCGCGTGGTGATCACGGGGATGGGGGCGGTGACGGCGCACGGGGACGACGTGGATGAGATGTACGAAAAGCTGTGCCGAGGGGAGAGCGCGATCGCGACGATCGATAAATGGGACACCGGAGAGATCGGAACGAAGTTCGCGGGGGAGATAAAAGCGTTCGATTGTGGGGATTATATGAATAAAAAGATGGCGCGCAGGGTGGATCCGTACATTGCGTACATGATCGTCGCGGCGAAGCGAGCGCTGGAGTCGGCAAAGGTGAACTGGAACGACGAGTCGGGGGAACATTACGTCGATAAAGCGTTGAGTGGATGTCTGATTGGTAGTGCGATGGGGGGGATGCAAACATTCGCGACGGCCACGGAGAATCTCGTGACGCAGGGACACAGAAAGATGAACCCGTTTTGCATTCCGTTTGCGATTACGAATATGGGAAGCGCGCTGACGGCGATGGATATTGGATTCATGGGGCCGAATTATTCGATCGCGTCCGCGTGTGCGACGGGCAACTTTTGCATCTTGAATAGCATCATGCACATTCAAAACGGAGAGGCGAACTTGATGCTCGCCGGGGCGAGCGACGCGGCTGTCATTCCCATCGGTATGGCGGGTTTCTCCGCGGCGAAGGCGTTGAGCACGCGCAACGATGACCCCGCGGCGGCTTCGAGACCGTGGGACGCGAACCGAGACGGATTCGTTATGGGTGAAGGTGCGGGCGTTCTCGTACTCGAATCTTTGGAAAGCGCATTGGCGCGCGGTGCGCCCATCGTAGCTGAAGTTTTGGCCGGGTTTGCGACGTGTGACGCTCACCACATGACTGAGCCTCGACCGGATGGCGTGGGCGTCAACTTTGCCATCGACAAGGCGCTCGAGATGACTGGCGTGAAGGCGGAAGATGTCAACTACATCAACGCTCACGCCACGTCCACGCCGGCCGGCGATATGGCGGAACTCCGTGTGTTGCAAAAGAAGTTCAAGGCGTCGGGGGCGAAGATTAATAGCACCAAGAGCTTGATCGGGCACTTGCTCGGCGCAGCTTCCGCCGTCGAAGCCGTCGTATGCATCAAAGCCATCACTAGCGGCGAAGTTCACCCCAACAAGAACCTCGAAACCCCAGATGAAGGCGTTGACACCTCGATGTTGGTTGGCACAACGAGAGAAAAGCTCGACGTGAAGGTTGCTTTGTCCAATTCTTTTGGCTTTGGCGGGCATAACTCGGCGGTCCTGTTCGCTCCGTACAAGCCTAAACGCTCGTAAACGACGCTTGATAATGTTATAAGAACTAGTCACCTGAATCACCGAACGTTCCTTCGTGCGTGCGCTTATATTTGATTGCCTAACGTATTGCAAATTGCTAAAAAATCAAATCAAGACCAAATACGGCGCTGATGACAAATAATACACCGAAGGCGAGCGCGACGGCGCTCGATCCACGAGCGATATAGCTCACAAACTTGGGATTATTCTTCTCCAACGCTGCCGTACCCGCACCAATGCAGTACGTGTACGTCCCCATGGCGATAATGGTTCCGATGAAGAACGTCGCCAAAAAAGAAATCGCCTCGACGCGAGGGAGCGCCAGGGCAGGTAAAAGCAGAAACAATGAATCCGGTTGTAATCCATGGATGGTGCCAGTAATATACGTCCATGAGATGAAGCTGCTATCGCGCTTCGCGGGCACATCGCTCCCATGCGAGTGCGAATGCGAGTGTGAGTGTGAGTGTGAATGTGAGTGCGAGTGACCGCCCATGCTTTCCCAAAAGCCAATAGCGCCAATAATAATGAGCGTCAAACCGACGATTCCTTGTCCAAACTGACCGATAACTTCCAAGTTGAGCGGTAATTTATCCCTCAAAGCGATGAAAATACATCCAAATAAAATTTGACCCGTGTTATGCCCGAGCCCCCAAAGCGCGCCCATCAACGCGTTTTGCGCTCTGCTCGGTCCCACTGTCAGTGGCGTGAGTGCCGCTAAGTGGTCTGGCCCCGTGAGCGTGTGCAAGCAACCGGCTAATAGACCAGCCCATGCAGACTTAAACGCCGTGATTACGCTCATCCAGTGTGCGACGTGCAAATGTTTGACCCAAATGGCAATCGCTTCGCTGCACACCGAGTACGCTGCGCCCAAGCAACAAAACACGGTGAACGTCGTGAGGGCCACGGTAGTACTCTTGGACAACGGCTGTCGCCCGAACGTGACAAGCAAACGCACTGAGTTCATCGCCACCATGAGGGTCGCGCCTTCGTGCAGCAATACCGCCAACCATAGCGGAAACGCGCCGAAGAGAGCGGGAATAGCTGACCCCAAGATTGATACCACGGCGAGTGCGATGTTTTGTCGTAAAGTGCGTCGCGTGCGCTCGGCGATGGAAAACAGCTCTGGTAATTGAGAGATGCCTCCTTCGTCTTTAGTGAGCAACAGTACATCCGCCGCACTCGCGGCGGCATCGCTCGGCGTCGACGCGATGGCGACGCCGACATCCGCGGCGGCGAGCGCTGGGGCATCGTTGATACCATCGCCAACCATGGCCACGCGAGGATATTGCTTGGATTTCACGCGCTCTCGCATTGATTCAACCAGTGCAAGCTTTTGAGACGGAGTCAATCCGGCGTGTACGTCTTCCGGTTTCAACTTGATCTCCTCAGCCATGGCTATGGCGCTCGTCTTGTTGTCGCCCGTGAGCATGGCCAACTCCATACCCGTCGAGTCGCTCGCCACCTCCCACCATCTCCGTCGGCACTTGCCAGTACGCAGGGACTCGATGGCATCGGGCGCCTGCAAATTAAGCGTATCACTAAACCTAAACAGCGCCGGGCTTTCGCCCTCAATCGCGAGCACAGAGAGCACTTCGCCCTCTTGCGCGATGACCTCGGCGGAGCATTCCGCAGCGCCAGTGTTACACAGCTCGAGCGCAAACTCGGAGCTACCGAATCGCGCACGCTTGCCGTCGATCGTGCCTTCCACACCACTCCCCGCGATGACTTTGTAATCCGTCACGGGACCGACGTCTGGCAAAATGATCCCCCGCGCCGCTTGCGTCACCGCGGCGGCAATCGGGTGGGACGAACCGCGTTCGAGGCTCAGCGCGTACGCCAGAGCCTTGACTGACGCGCTCGGAGCAGTGTCGTGTTGCGCACCGTCTTCAAATTGTGTGATATTCGTGCAGCTCATTTGCCCCGTCGTGATGGTTCCCGTCTTATCGAGCGCCACCGCGCCGACTTCGGCCAAAGCGTCGAGAGTCAAGCCGCCTCGAATGAGCACACCTCGCCGAGCCATGGCCCCGATGGCCGCCACGTACACGAGCGGCGACATCAACAATGCACACGGCGCTGCGGAGGATAAAAACGCAAAGCTGCGATACATGGCACCGCCGCGACCCAAAAATGGAATCCCGAGCACCATCGGCGCCGCGGCCATGGTAATAAAGGTGATGGCCAATATCGCCTTACTGTAGCGGTCTCCTATGCTATCGATCAATCGTGAGACTTTCGGACGACGCCGCTGCGCAGCCTCGGTGAGTCGCGCGATTCGCGCCGGTGTGCTCTCCTCGCTCGATCTCAAGCTCTTCACCACGAGCACGCCGTCGGTGTTCATCGCGCCGGCGGGAATCTCATCGCCGTATCTCTTCATCACCGGCAAAGCCTCACCGGTGATGTGTTGAATGCTCACTAACGCGCTGCCGTGGACAACCATACCATCCAACGGCACTTGCTGTCCAGCCTTGACGAAAATCATCGTCCCAACGTCGACGTCCGCCGCGGGCATCTCTCGGAGCGTCGTCAAATCCGGCGTCCCATCGGCGAGCAACTGCACGACGTCCGCCGTCGTGGGCACCGTGCCCCACAACGCCTTCAAATCCCCCCGAGCGTGCAGCGTCAATCGATCCTCCACGAAGTGCGCCAGGGCGAAGAGCACCAAGAGCAGCGCGCCCTCCATCGCGCACCCCAAGAGCACGGTGCCGAACACGGCCAACGTCGTGAGCACGTGAATGTTCACGTTCCCCACCGCGAGCTCGTACGTCACGTCCACAAACTCGGGCGTCCCCGCCAACACGTAAACCAGAATCGTGCACACCCGACTGACGTTCGCCGCCATCGTCGTCTCCACCAATCCGCCGCCGCCGACGTGCGTCGCCACGTGCGCCGCCCCCGCGACGAGAAACAGCGCCCACGACACCACCGCCACCGCCGCGTTCCCGCGCAGGAAATCCGCCACCGCGTGCAAACCAGTGGCGTTAAACATCGCATCCAGCGCCCTCTCCGTGCGTCCGCGCGGTGCAAACTCCCCGGAGCTCGTCGCCGCCATCATCCCCGCCTGCGACACGAACTCGTCCTCGTCCGCGCTCATCGCGCCGTCCATCGCCCGCGCGCCCCGCGCCTTACCGCACGAGTGCCCACAACACGAGTGAAATTCCCCACCGTGCGCCCGCGCGCGCTCGAAACCGCGTCGACCGCCTTCCCCGCGCGTCCGCGTCCCGCGTCCCGCGTCCACCCTCGCGAACCTCCCCCCCCGCGCCCCCACGACGCGCGCGCGCTCGCGATTCGACGCCGCGCGCGCGCTCGACGCGTCCATCCGCGCGCTCGCGCGCGTCCGGTCGCATCTGTCTCGCGCGCGCGTCCCCGTCGCCGCCCCCGTCGCCGTCGCCGCGCGCGCGACAACGATGCGCGTCGCCGTCGTCGCGCGTCCGCGCGCGCGCGGCGCGCCCGCGAGCGCGCGCGGCGAGGGCGCGATCGCGTGCGCGCGCATCGTTCGACGCGCGCGTCCCGGACGCGGCGCGCGCGGGCGTGTGACGCGCGTCGCGACGCGATCGGACGCGCGCTAGGGAAGCCGCGCGTTCGCGGCCGACGATCGCGCCCGTAATCGCCATTTCGCGACGCCCGACATGGATTTATTTCGGGACGCGCGCGTGGAGATGATAGGTTTAAAACGTCCTCGAACGCGCGTCGGAGGCGCACTTTTCGCGCGCGCGGGCGATGGATGCGCGCGCGTCGACGACGCGGGGGGCGCGCGCGGCAGAGCGCGGCGGGTCGCGACGGCGACGGCGACGGCGCGGACGGTCGCGGCGAAGCCCGGACGAAGGCGCGTCGACGCGCGCGCGGCGCGCGGACGCGAGCGACGCGACGCGCGGTCGACGAGAGGCGTGAGTTCGAGTTGGGTGTTGACGGTGGATGTTGACGACGGCGATGGCGTCGTTTTCGAGCGAGGCGCTTCGCGCGTGGCGCGCGGGGGACGAGGAAGACGCGCGCGAACGCGCGGCGTTGATCGCGGCGAGCTCGGGGGGCGACGGCGGCGCGGATGGGGCGCGGGGGGGGGGCGACGACGGCGGCGCGAGGGCGAGCGCGCGAGGACGACGCGCGCTCGCGGCGGCGGCGTGCGTCGCGGCGCTGGTGGGCTTGGGGGCGTGCGCGCGCGCGCACGGTGCGGAGATGAGCGGGCGCGAGCGTGGGGTGCGCGCGGCGGCGCTCGGTGGGGAGGCGCGTTCGGGCGGGACGCGGCGGCGCGGCGCGCCGAGACGCGCCGCGCCGAGACGCGCCGCGGCCGCCGCGGCCGCCGTCGGGCAGAGCGAAGCCGAGAGCGGTCTAGTGGTGTTTAATGAAGCGCCGGAGTATACGTGCGCGAAACGGAATAAAGCTTTGAGAGAGGCTGCTTACGCCGCGAGGATGGGGTCGCCGTGGACGCCGGGGTGTCACTCAAAGCTAGGCGAGGAGGGGTGCACGAAGATTTCAGACGCCGGCGCGCGACTGGCGGCGTTGAGCGATCACGTGTACGTCATCTGCATGAAGTGCGATAAAATAGTGCTCCCATTGCAGTGGGCGGGGAAGGTGACGACGGTGCACGGCGCCGACATCGATCCGTGCTACGGGCGCGCGGCCGCGGATCACTGGCACAAGGCGTCGATGTCGCACGTGCACGCGCTCCTCGACGCCGTCAAGTACCAGTACAAGACGGTGACCATCGTCGAAGAAGATGCGATAACGGTTTCACCCGATCGCGTGGACGCCAACGCGGGGTTCGACATCGACGGCTTAGAGCACGCGATCAAGAATGACTCGAGTTGGAACACCGTTCGCGTGGGTTACAGACCATTCTTTTTCGAGCAACAGTCTGCAAACGTCCCAGTCGGTTCGACACCGCATTACGCCTGCCCGCTGGCGTGTAAGTGCCACGAAACGACGGCGAAAAACGCGTGCATCGTGCGCGAGAATGGATGTGACATGCGAAGCAGCGACTTTTACATGATTCGCATGTCGCAGTCGCGCGCCATCAGAAAAACCGTCGGCGCGGGGAGCACGATCGACATGGAAGCTTTACGCAACGTGCATCATCAAATGTACGTGTTGCCGCAGCTCAGCTACCAAGCGAACCTCGATCGCACGCGCGAGCAGCAAGTGAATATGGCTCGACGATTCAGAGACTTGTGCTTTGTGCCGAAAACTCCGTCCGACGAAGTCGTGCAAGACGCGGCGACGGCGGAGCGCGAGTACGAAGAGCGAGTGAGCACCATCGAGTCCGCGGACTCGACGCGATATATCACCAAACCACAACGATAACCACTCAGCTCGCGTCCATCGATTGTAGTCTCACGAGAGCCACTTAGCGAACGTCGCGCCGCCGCTCGACCTCGCCGCGCGCCGCGCGCCCGACCCTCCCCACTCCGCGGCGCGCGTCATGGTCTTCGCCACCGCCGCCGCCCTCGCCCGTCGCGCCCGTCGCGTCGGTTTCAACGCCCTCACGACGAAGCTCGCCAAGAAGGGTTTCTACAAGGGCAAGGGCGCCGTCTCTCCCGGCGTCCGCACGCGCACCGGCCGGTTCAAGGTCGTCCCGTGGAAGCGTCCCGAGTACGTCGTCCCCGCCAGCGCGCACGGCGTCAGCGCGTTCGCGCCCTACGTCGAGCGCGCGAGCGTCAAGTGATCGCGCGCGCGCGTCGATCGATCGCGCGCGCGCGCGCGTTCGCGCGCGCGCGGTTTGTAATTCATTCGTAGCGTCCTAGTCGTCGTCACACGCGCGCGCGACGCGACGCGACGCGACGCGACGCGACGCGACGCGACGCGACGCGACGCGACGCATGCGCGCGGTGCCGTGCACGTGCAAGCGCGGCGCGGCGTCCGCGCAGCGGCGCAAGCTGGAGAAGCGCCGGGACGCGCGCGAGGTCGAGCTCGAGCGCGCGCGAAGGCTCGAGGCTCGAGCGCGCGCCGAGGCGTTTCGACCGCCCGCGCCGGCGCCGGCGGCGACGAGCGAGCGAGAGGCGACGGCGCGCGTCGAGGAGGCGCGCGATGACGCGCGCGCGAGCGGAGAGGCGCTGCGACGGGCGAAGGAGGAGGCGAGGGCGAGCGAGGCGTGGGACCCGAACCGAGGGTATAAAAAGTTTCCAAACGTGACGGCGCTCTTCGCGGAGTACGACGCGAAACGCGCGCGATGGGTGGAGACGAAGCTCGAACGCGCGCTGACGATTTGGGGTGAGGTGACGGGGGGGGAGTTTAAGACGCTGGAGGCGTTTAATTGGTACTACGGGGAGGATTTGGACGCGCGCGACGGCGCGAACGCGAAATCCGTGACGTACATGCTGCCCGCGGTGATGAAAGCGTCGGCACCGCGCGCGGTGGCGGAGATATGCGAAGTCGCGTGTCGCATCGGTGCGCCGAGAAGCGGTGCGATCGATTTAGGGGACAAGCTGCGCGCGCAGGCGGTGGCGAAGCTTGAAGAGGCGGCGGAGTTTGATTTGCTCGAAGACGACGAGTTGGAGACGCTCGAGGCGTTGAGGAGTTGGGTCGTGGAGGAAAAGTAGGTGGGAAGAAAACTTCTGTGTTGATGTATTTATTGTAATGTAAGAACTCGGTTGCGTTGAAGAATTCATTACGCGGGCTTTTCGGTGCAAAAAAGTACGCTCGCGCGGGTGCGTTTTAAAGCGCCGTCGGGCGCCCACCGTCGACGCCGTCGCTCGACGCCTCGGCGGAGGCGCTCAAATACCCTTGCGCCCACGCCTCGTCGCGACTCCATCCGTCCTTTCCAGATGAAATCGAATTCACCGCCGTGGGCTTGGGTTCAGACGTGTACGACGGTCTAGCGCTCTCGACGCGCGAACCGACGGCGTCGAGAAGATCGTTCGCCCACGGCGCGCCCGGCATCACTCCCGACAGATTGGGATCGGCGAAGTGGGTCTCATCTTTCGGAGCCACCACGTACTCTCCCAATCGACGCTTGATCGCGTTCAGAGCCATCTCCGCTCGAAGCGTGCGCTTTTCAAGTCTTCTGTTCTCCGCGTTCAAGCTGAGCACTTCGCGCTCGAGCGAAAAGTCGTCCACGAGCATCTTCGCGCGCTCTAAGTGCATTTGCTCCACCTTCGCCCGCAACCGCTTGCGGTCGGCGCGCGCGGGCCAACCGAGAACCAAATTCCCAAAAAAAGCGCCGAAAAACCCACCCTTCATCACCCGTCGCGTCTCCGGCTTGAGATTCATCCACTCCTTTCTAATCGGCTCCGTCACCGGCTTCAACAAATTATTAATCTGCCTCGCCGTCGGCCCAAAGTGATCGACCGCCACGTTCATCGACGGCTGTATCAACTTCGCCTTCTCATTCATCTCCTTCGTCACCACGTTCTGCGTCGACTGCGCCCACGTCGCCGTCGTCGCCGTCGCTCGTCTCGTCAGCTCGCTCGCCTTGTCGAACCACTTCCCCCACCCCCCGCCCTTGCCGTCGCCACCGCTCGCGCTCGTCGAGGCCCCACCGCTCGCGCTCTGCGCGCCGCTCGCGCCGTTCGGTTCCTTGATCGACCGCACCGCGCGTCCGCGCGCGCCCGTCGTCGTCGTCGTCGTCGTCGTCGTCGTCGTCGTGCGTCGTCCCGTCCCTCGTCGTCGCGCGCCGTCGTCGCGCGTCGTCGCGCGTCCGCGAAACGCGCCGGGTGCGCCGCGATCGAGTCCGCGCGCGCCGAGTCCGCGCGGCGGCGGCAGCATGGCGCCGCCGTCGTCGCGCGTCGGCGTGCGCGGACGCGCGACGACGCGTCGCGTCAACGGCTCGGTCGGACGAGGACCGCTACACAGCGCAATTGGAGGTACTTTATGACCTCAGCGTTCATATTAGGACGGTGCGTGTACCTATTTACCGGACGAGGACTGCGTCGTATCGGTAAACAGTGCGAGCGACTGACGCTTCAGTCGCGGTCGCGCGACGGACCCGTCGTCGCGCCGCGGCGCGCGCGACGGACCGCGAGCGAGGCGTCGTCCGTCGCTCGACGTCCGCGCGGCGTTCGCGCGCGCGATCGAGGCGCGCGCGCGTCGCGACGGACGACGATGGTGTTCGAGCGGTTGTTGGCGGACCAACTGAACGCGAGGCTCGGGCGCGTGCTCGAGGGCGTCGATCGCGACGACGTGCGCGTGGGCGTGCTGAACGGAGACGTGCGGATACGGCGGGTGCGGGTGCGGGCGTCGGCGCTGACGAAGATATTGGACGAGCCGAGCGCGCGGGTGCGGTGCGGATTCGTGGACGAGCTGCGCGTGCGCGTGCCGTGGAGGAACTTGGGGAAGGAGGCGGTGCGAGTGACGTTTCACGGGGTGTACGTCGTGGGGGAGATCGATGTGAACGGAGACGACGAGGCGCGGGAGAGCGAGGAGGAGCGGAGGGAGAGACAGCGGGTGAAGGCGTTGAGGACGGCGCGCAGGGCGGCGGACGCGGCGGAGCGGGCGTGGTTGAAGTGGAATCCGGCGGTGAACGCGGAGGCTTTGGAGGCGGAGGACGGCAGGGAGAGCGCGCAGGATGGGGTGAGGAAGAGGAGCGCGATCGCTGGGCTCATCGACGTCGCCCTGGCGAACGTTCTGATTGAAATTTCAAACGTGCACGTCAGAATCGAGGGCGAGTACGGAGCGGGCGTTCCGTGGGGAATGGGACTCGTGCTCGAACGCGTGTCGCTGACGACCGTTGGAGAAGATTTCGAAAATGACTTCAAAGTCGGCGGTTTCGCCGACAGTTTACGAAAGATGATTGCGTTAGAGCGCGTCGGCGTGTACGCCGATTTCAATTCGCCGTCAGTCGCGTCAGAGACGCCGGACGGTTGGCGAGGCATCCGCGAAGACCAATTCGTGCGGCAAATGTCCGCGGTCTTCAATACCGAGGTTGGCGAGCGCATGAAAGAAGGCACCAGCGGCGATGTCGTGATACCGCAATCGTACGTATTCGGACCGTTACGAGGAACGGCGACGTACGCGAGAAGAGGTCACGCCGAGGACACCAACACGCCGCTGCATCAATTACGGATGGATATAAATTCTATTCAAATCAGCATCAAGTCAACGCAGCTTAAGGTGTTTTACAACATGTACTCCAATTTACGCACCAGTCGCGTGCGGTACACGTATGCGCATATACGCCCAAGGGTCGGCGTCAAAGGAAATGCGCGTTTATGGTGGCGTTTCGCGGGCGCCGGCGTTCAGATGCACGTCGACGAAATACGTAAACGGCGTGGATTGGACTTTAAATCTAGTGTTAGCGCTATGGTGCGCATAACTGAGGCTCGCCAGCGTTATATTCCTTTATACGTCAAGCATTTGCGCTCTGCACCGCCACCTCCAGAGTGTCTAATCGCCGAACGCGCCGAGCGACGCAATAAGCTTTGGCCACCTAAACTGAAGATTGGGATGTCGACAGAAATTGATGAAATCGAAGAAGGTATTCCCCTGCAGAGTATTATTACTTTCCGAACGCTGGCGCACGTAGAATACCGGGAGTCTGGCGGGGTGAAAGCGGCGGTAGCGAGAGAACGAGCGGCTCGCTTTGGCAAACGTCGGGTCGTCAGAGCAGTCGTCGGTCTCGCGGGCGGTGGTGCGAAGAACACGGCAAAGGTATTGAAAGGGCTGTCGGCGCCGATTCGTGGTCTTGCTCGAGCAGTTAACAAACGCGACTCGACAGCATTATTAGTCGAGAGGCAAAAGCGTTTGCGAAAGTCGCAACCGGAAGAAGATGATGATTCAAACTGGCGAGAAAGTCTAGAGAATACGGTGCAATTGAGCCAGCGAATGGTGGCTCTAGAAGAAGAAGCCGTGCACTCTTCGGTTGAGCTATCCGGAGTGGTGAATGTTGAAAAAGTATTAGTTTGCATGGTTGATGACGAGGTTGACAATCCAATCGGTGAGCAGGAGATTTTTAGAATAGGTGTCCATGAAGTCAGTTTGGGAACGCTGCGAGGTTCTGGACGACGAGAACAACGCGTTTCTATCCGCCGATTGGCGATCGTAAGCCCGGAAGGGACACTACTCGATTCCAGTAAGACCACTGATAATGAAGAGAGAGCGACCTCTCTCGATCGTTCACAAGTTGCGTTATGGGACAAGGCGTCCGAGTGTAACGCGGTGCAATTGCAAATAGTCAAAGGCGATGTCGAGACAGAAGAAGATATCTTCATAAAGTTTCAGATGAGGCAGTCGATCGTGCACTTATTGCGAGAGCCTTTAGATAGAGTGGCGCGAGTGGCTGTGCGACACAAAGTGACGACGGCATATCTCGAATCTTTCATTTACGACGATGAAGCGAAACAGCGCAATCACACACACTCCATCGAAAAGCAGGCAGATGAGTTCAAAATCAGACCAAGAGTGCGATTAGACGCGCGAGTTCACGGTCCCGTGATTATTTTGGATGGCGACGGCGTAAACTTACGCATAGACCTTGGTACAACGGTAATTGAGTCTATGACGCCAGTTTCAGCTGGCATCGAGAGCTCACTAGCAAAAGAACACAATGTTTTCTCATTTCAATGCACAGGATTCCAAGTCGGATTTATCGACGATGAATGGGATACGAATTCGAACCGACCTGTGGAAGATGAACAGATAATACTTCCGCTGTTGAGTGCACCGTCGTCAAACACCGTCGTGATTCAAAATTTGAATGCCGCATCCGATGCGCCGAATCTCAAGGTGCACTCAAAGTTCAGCGCCATTGATATTTCGGTTTCTCCTGTGCGAGTGTTTAAGATCCGTTCTTTGGTCAAGGCATTGAAGCCAACAACGTCCATAAGTGAGGAACACGTCGCCGCGGTTGTCACCGAAAACGAGGTCCGAGTGCTGCTGCTGCAATTGGATGAAAGCGGCGAAGTGTGTTGGATACCGGCGACGATATCGTTGCAAAACAATAGTTCTATGGATATTAGAACGATTAATGGGCTCAAAAGTCGAACAATTCACATCAACCTCATGGAAAGCAACGGGGCGAGCAAATTGCGAAGTGACATTTGCGCGAAACTCTCCTTGCACAAGGACGTACTCACTATCGGTGAAACTGTGCATTCTTTGGACGAGTTAATGATTTCAGCTATGTCGGATGATAGTCTCAGCGTGATGTTTGATATTGACGATGATGATGCGAGATCTCGCGACACGGTCCTGTTCGATGCATGGTACGCACGGATTAACGGCGTCGCTCGCGAAAATATCACTAGGCTGACAAATGCTGCAAAGAACGGCAAGCTGTCGAAGACTCAAGTGATTTTAAGTGTCGGCGCCGAAAAGCTGTCTGTTCATGTTTTTGCACCTCTCAAAGCACATCCATCCGAAGATGATTCCGCTGTGATAAATGACGAATCAGATTCTGAACGAGCGCTCGCAAGCCTTTGTTTCGACGAGCTCAACTACGACTCGTCGTTGGCTCGTACCGTGAAAGTCCATCATATAAAAGCAAACTCACTCGTTTTGTACGACAGATATGCAAGTGAAGGTCTTGGACGCGAGTGCATCGCCGGAATTGGAGGACAGGGCTCCGGTCAACCCCTACTTACAGTCACGGTCGCCGTTCGCCATCAGAGCGATCCCCAATATTGCGGATTGGACAAGCTGATCGAAGTCGACATTCACAAAGAGTTAGTGATGAATATTCGTCGGCCCACGCTCCTTGCATTGATCTCGTTGAGATTCAGACTGCGTCCACCCGGTTTCAAGATTATTAAGATCATGCCTGATGTATCGTCGCGCATCATGATTTCTGGCAAGCTCGTAAAACGGATCAAACGCGAGATACGCGTGAACGTTGCGGCAGTGACTGCGAATGGCTTTTATGATCACGACAAAGAGATGGATGTTCCTGTGCTAGTGTTGCGTGCCGAAGATTCGTATTGGAGCACCATTATCAGTCCTCCAACACGTGAAACAAGCGTAAGCGTTGGCACCATAAAACTTGCGACGGGACAGATGCAAGCTCGGGGCGCTTGGAATCTACAACCTTCACCCGAGTCGAGCTCAAACATCATACTTTTACGTAATGACGTGTACGACAGAGGAGAAGAATTAGACGGGGCCGATGTGTCGTGGGAGATCGAGCTCGGAAATTTGGACATAGTTATGACTCCTGAGATGAAGGAAATTGGATCGTGGTTCGCATTCTTTCGTCAAATAAGACCTGATCATATTGAAAAGTACGTCCACCCATGTGCACGACCTCGAGCTGGATTTCAAGTGCTCAAATCCCGTCTCTTGATCAAGATGGACGATCAAAGGATCACCTTGCCCGTCGCCCTCAGCGAGGGCGAGTCAAATCACGACGTCGTCATCAACTCAGGATGTGTAGAAATCACCAGATCATTTTCTTCGAAAGCAATCAATGAAGCGCATTCAATATTTTGGCAAACAACGGCATTGAGCGTGTCAGAGTTTGAAGTAAGTGTCATCTCATTTGCGGAGAAGCGGAGAGAAAGCGTTTCTAAAATTACGCAGAAGCCGTTTGGTGTGAAATTGTCTTTGCGGAAGAGAATTGACAGTGGCCCCGCAATCGTGAATGAACTCGATGATAAGAACAAAATCAGAGTGCAGCCTATTTTCCTCGACTTATCCGGTAGCGAATTTCGATGTGATCCACGATTCCATCAAGAACATTCAGTTGAGTAAAGTTCGGCCGAACGTCAAAGTGGAAAATCCTATCAGATGGGGTAGCGTCGGACCGCTCCCTGTTTCAGACGTGCTCGCGCCGGCATCGTTGAAGTCGATGGAATTGAGCGTTATTCTGAGCAGCGCAAAACTCCGCGTCTTCCGGCTACCGATGCAAAGTCGTCCCCTCTCAACGATAAAGGTAGTTGGCGTCGACGTGTTTGTCGTAAAAAACTTGAATCGCAAGTCTGGAATCAATCTCGACGCTACCGTGGATATGATTGGCGTCGACGATAATTCTCGACAATCCCAGAACCTTAAAGTCAAGCACGTTCTCTATGCGGGTTCTCCGAAATTACCATTGCTTCATTTGACGCTCGGTGTGAATGATGACAGCACGCGCCTGCGAATTTCGCTACAGCATGTAGAAGTATTGCTGCGTGTGGGAATCATTTTGGATACCATACGGACTTTCGCACCTCGAAAATTTGGAGGGGTCTTTTTAGCCAGTACGATTCTTCCTCAAGACATTAAGTGCGTGCACGGCAGTGACTTCCATCTCGATAAGGATGTCACTCTGACGAAAAGTACGAGACTGCTGGCCGACGATCCCAAAATTGTTGCTGGCAAATATGTGCTGCGCGGAGGTGGACATACCATAAAATTCGCCGATGGCAAAGGAGCGATCATTCGTCATTATTCCCATGGCTCTCGACGCAAGACGATGCCACGCATTATTATCGGTCATGGCGCAACGCTGAAGATTGAAAACGTCACCTTCAATTGTACACGCTCAACATTGTCAAGGTTTATCAAAATGATGCCCGGCGGTAGTTACTCCCTCGGTAAGAGTGTTTCCTTTGACGAGACCGAAGAAGAGTTGATACCGGTTCACGATGGTCTTGTTGAAAGCACACCAGTTATTGATGCCGCAACAAAGCGTGCAGAAGAAGGACCAGGGCGAAGAATGAAGGAAATTAAAAAGAAACCGCTGTTGGTCGAGGTGGATGTGTCATGCGTACATATAGTCATCGGTGAAGAATTGAGAGCTGATCAGATCAACTTGATGTTTGGAGTCGATGTGGCAATAATTCGGGACGAAGAATTGAACACGACGGGAACTTATCAGCTACTTCGTCTTCGTACGAAGGACACTATGAAACCACCGCTTCTGGAACCAGCAAGCGTGACAATGCACGTTGTATCGCGTGATGGCGGCACCACAACTTGCACGGGGTGTGTGACACCTATCAAGATGCAGTTGAGTCCCAACAGGATTTGTATCTTGAAGAATTTCACGGAACGTATTGAGCGATCATTTGCAATTGCGCCCATCTTGCAAACCGGCGTGTATTCGTGTGTCTGGGCAGGACATGCAACCACTTTAACAAAAAAAGTAACTGAGGCGGGTGTGCTCCGACAAAATCAAGCCGGTAGCAATACTTCCTACTCTATCTGGAGACCCGTTGCTCCACCTGGTTACGCCATACTATCTGATGTCGTGAAGTCTGAAGGAGGAGCTCCTGAAACGCAAGTTTTGATCGTTCGGGATGCGCCCGCTCTGTGCACGTTGCCAGAGAGATTTGAGAAAGTCAAAGGCACCGCAAATCCTTGCCTGTGGCGCCCGATCGCACCGACGGGTTTCGTGAGCTTAGGCGATATTGCGTCAGTATCGGATGCGGATGAACCGTCGCTGGACGTCGTCCGGTGTATTCGAGAAGAGCTCGTGACGAACATCGGTCAAGCGTCTACACTCGCAAACTTTCGCTTGTACGGAGATTTCAGTCAATCGAATACAACGTTGTGGCAAATGAATAACAGAGTCCGCGGATTCGTGGTGGTCTCGAAGTCGAATATTCGGCCTTACGCGTACGACATTCGCTCCCCTCCTGGATTTCAACGCAAAGTTTCGACGGGAACCAAGGAGAAGATAAAGCTGCAGGAAAAGGAGTGCGAGTGTGCCACCGCGGTGAATTTCAAAAAGATTGGCATGGCACAAAACGCGAAGTCAACTGTTGGGTTTTGGGAAGTCATTCCGCCTACGGGTTATGTATCCACCGGACACTGCATGAGTGTGGGCAAACTTCCGCCTTTAAGCAGTAGAGTGTTCGCGGACGATAAACGTACTTTTCGACAACCAGAGTCATATGAAAAAGTTGCTTCAGCGCGTACGTACGGCACCACACAGCGTTTGACAATTTGGAAACCAGTGCCATGCGCCGGGTTTGTGAGCGTCGGGTTTGTTGTCACCACTGAAGATAACGAGCCTTCTGTGAATGACTCGATCGTCTGCGTCCGAGCAGAATTGGTATCTTACATGCATCAAAGGAACTGGACTACAGACAACTCTGTTTGGACAGTTGACGAAAATGCTACAGACACCACGCACTTCTGGATCCACAAATGATCACACGAAAAATTTCGTTATGAGTGTTTTGACGACTGGCATGACGCCCGATTTCGGCTTTGATATCGGCTTCCTAGAAAGCTCTTCGTTAAGGGGGCAAGTACAAATGCCAAATTTCATTATGAAATTCGACGTGCCTCTTGTGAGCGTCGGACTCTCATTTGAAAGATTGTTTCGCAACCAGATGCTCTTCTTGCTTCGATTGGAAAAAACGAAGTTGAGTTGTACGAAAACGTCGAAATTGAATCTGTCGTTAGATTCTTCGCTGTCTCTCCTGCATAGAAATACGCGACTGGGATACAGTCTAGAACCCATTGTGGCGCCGTGGAAGTTTTCGGTTCTGTTGGATGACTCAAAAAATGATGTTTCGGGCGTGAATCCCGCGGGGTTGGACATGTTCATTGAAAGTAAAAAGAAGATTGAGATAATCGTCAATCAAGCCTCCATAGTTGACGCAGTGGATGCCGTGATGCAGTTTAAGAAACCACGCGACAAAAACTCAAAAATTGCACATTTGTTGGCTTACGAAGCCGTGCAAAACAACGTCATTGTGAATTCCACGGGACGCGACTTATGGGTTCGCGAACTGAATGGCAATATACAAGAAGTACCGCCTGGAAATAGCATTTCGCATTTGGTACATGCCGCTGAAACCGAAGCAAATTCTGGATTCGAGAGTGCATCAAATGAGCAGACGATGCGCGGTATGACTGACGTCGTTGATGACATGAATCATCACGGTGACGAACAGCTCATTATCGCATACCTGATGATGGATATCGTGGCAATTGACTCGTTGGATGACTGGCTTTACCCCCGCATAACTTTCAAGATTTGGGATGAGGCTTTGCAGGGTCATCGTACCGATCCATTACCCATCGGCGTTACGCGCGGCTCAGCAAAGTTACCGATCCCTCATCCTTTTTTCCATCGCGATAGTGATAGCGAGTTCATCAACAATGACGATATCACCATTATCGTCGAAATTTCTCATATTGGGCCAAATGGCGAAACATTGAGCTTCAGTGGTGACTTTGAAGCTCCAATCGAACAACAACGCGGTGGATGGATTGGCGGTAAAACTGGAAGCTGGATAGACTGTGCTGCAGGCAATGGTGACTCCGTGAGAATTAAGCTGCGCGCTCGAGTGGTGGAAGGTTTGAATGGCGACGCCAGTCACAGAAACGGTAGAGTTGTATCAACTCTTAAAGAGTCCGCAGAAAACGATTATCAAGAGTAAATTACAAGTTGAATCACCACCTCTCATCGTGTGTCGTACGAATGACATGGTGAAGCAATGGTGGACAAGAGATCATCAGCAAAGTAAAAGTGCCCTAAGTGCTTGGAAGCCGCACGTCCCATCGACGTATGAACTCGAGACGAGATATAAGTTTTGTTCGAGTAGAGCTGAAAACGAGTATAAACTCGTACCTTTTGGGACCATCCTCTTGCCCGGCCTCATCGCGCCTCGCAGTGCGCTCATGGCAGTTGTCTTAGAACATAATTCAGATCAGCGGGCACCGACTGCTTTTCCCTCGGGGTTCGAAAATATTTGGACGAGCGATAAAAATGATGTCTCATTTTGGAAGCCCATTGCACCAGACGGTTACGTTGCAGTTGGTAACGTGGTTGCGGCGAGCGCCGAAATGCCTTCCACCGATTGCGTCGTTTGTGTTCGCGAGGATTTGACAAAACTTGCAGAAGTGCCTCCGGATGTTGCATGGAAATCGAACAGACGATTTCGCAATAATGATGAAAGAGAATTGGCGCTTATTCAAAACGGCCAACTGAGTACTGGTGGATGGTCGTTCTTGAAGGAGAAAATCAAGCGCACGAGTCCAGGCGTGATTTCGAACGTCATTCCATCTATGCATAGACTTAATGACAGGATGTGCATTCATTCTTTGGATGACGAAGGTATTCGCGAGTTTTGGATCGATAACCGCACTCATATAGATCATATAAAGCAAGAATTACAAGCTGGAGAGTCAATTCTCGCCATTTCGTTTTCTCCTTCCGGGCCGTTTGAGCAAGTGCGTCTTAATCTAGGCGCTTCACACGTTGTTCGTCACAAGACTCACGATTTAGTCTTTGACAGTCAAAAGGGGCATCTTTTGAGCTATGTTTCGTGCGAAAACGAAACAGATTCTGATATATTCGTTGATGTTCATCCAGCTATGAAGAGAGAACTCACGACTTCTAATTTGGACATATCTCTGAGTGAGAAGTATGAGTCGCCGAGCGATGTCGCGGATATAGAAGTATTTGAATCGGAACGATATTACCCGTTGAGAGGATGGCGTGCTCCAAAAGACGCTATCGTAAAAGCTCGTTATAGCAGGCATAAAAGTGGACGAGGTTCGCAAAAACGGTTTCCAGACGTCAAAGCTCCAAAAGGTTTCAGATTTGAAGGACCGTGGGAGCTCGACAAACCACCAAATCTGGTGAATGACGACGGTTGGGCGTACGGTGCTATTTGGCTAAGGAAGTGGCCACCGCCTCGTGGATCAGACAAAAGTAAAGGTCGTGCAACCCGTCGCCGACGATGGTTTCGTCGTGTCGTTCGATTGAAATCAGCTGAAGAAATTGAATCGCGCGTTTCCCTTCATAACATGAAGCGAGATTTCATCGAAGATTGGCACGGCACGTTGGCGGTACACGGACGTCTTACGCTACCTTCTTGTTCACGAACCGAGTCCTACATGTTGGCGTTACGCACGGGGGCTGACGTCGCATCAATTACCGCTCCGTCGTTTACCGAGAGAGATGACGCGCTGGATATTCGTGACGTGTTATCAGAGCAAGGCAACTGTGCGCTTGCTTACAACAACCTGCACGATCACTTTCTTTTGGTCAAAGAAGAATTGTCGAATGATGTGCAAAGTAGCGCGATAGGTGCTATTCCAGGCGTCAAGATTCGTGTCGTTGCCCCTGTTCACGTTGTCTCATTGATGGATTGTCCGTCGCAAGTTGTTTTGTACGCCAATGGCGAAGAAAGAATTGCCATGCATCTTGCCGCGAACGAAACGAAACGTATCACGGCGATCGATGCAAACTGTGATACAATAGAGGTGCTCGTGTCTTTGTTCGAAGATTATCTCAGCCTTAGTAACGACAGGCCGCTGCGTCTAGATGTCACCCCGGCTGGAAGTCCACCGGCGCCACAGGTAAACTGGTTGAACATCAAAGGCTATCCGTATGTGGTTTCTATGCTGTTGATGGAGACGTGTAGAACTAGAATGGCGGGTGATAAATTCAACGATGATCCTTCGCAGCATCTCTTGAGTCTGACGTATCGCAATGTGCTGATGGTTACAAATGCATCACCGATCGACATTAAGTGTTTGGCGTGGGTCGCTGGCACAAGTACGACAAACGCGCACATAGATGCATACGTTGGGGTACCCAAAGGCGAGTCGCAACCTGCCATGTTTCTGAAATCGAGTGCGAAAACCCTCGCCAAAGTTTCGAGCAAAGAATTTGTGCTCGGTTTTTGTATCGATTCGTCTCCAGTACTAGTGAAAATTTCACCAAGTTCTGAGCCCGTGATGTTTACGCTTATGACAGCAAGTGGGGACGAACTTGCCTTTCAATGTTCCGTAGTATTATGGGAGGGTCAAAACACCAACGCCGCGACATGGCCAACGCTTGAAGTTGTTTTACAACCCGTGCTCGTGGCGATCAACTTGACTCGAATTCCTCTCGCGATTCGCTCAAACACTATGGAACACAAGATACTCGAGCCAGGTTCATATCCCACGCCGTTTTCTTTGGATATTAAGTCTTCGAAAAGCGTAGACGAAGTTGAAGCCGTGCTTAATCAAGCCGCGATTCAAATAGCGGATATGTCGTGTCATTCGGAAGGAAAAGATATACTTTGGAGTTCGCCGCTGCAGAATTTGGTGCGCTATTCTGGAGCGATGTGGAGCATCCCACAAGGTGCCTCCCCCTTGGCGGATGAAATTAATGCATTTAGAAGACTTGGAGGTATCGACGAGTCTGGCGAAAACGTAAATTTCAAGGCACCTATCATCGTTCAGTTTCTTGTCGAGCGCGGTGAGCACGGTTGCTTCAGGGTCTTTTTTAGGGGGGGCGACGGAGCATCTCTGCAGAAGGCGCCAATCATGATCAAAAACCATTTGCACGAACCTTTACTCATTCGACAAGTGAAAGCGAACGACTTTGAGGACGTAGAAAAGAAGTCGGTGCAAAAGTCCACCGTGCGACTACTGCAAGGTATTAAGAAAGCCTCACACGGCGTAGGACAGTCTTTTGCAATTCGCCCGTTCTCAGCGATATCTTGGGCGTGGAGCGTCCCAGGTATTCCTATGAGATTGGACAACTTGAAAAAACAGGAGCTCGAGGCAAACGCCGCGGAGCTCGCATTTCGAAAGCGGAAATTTTTGGAGATATCGAACAATACAGGGGATCACGTCATCATAGAGATAAACGCGTTCAGCTCGCGATTCAAGGGTTTCATGCACCTCGGCGACATGCAATTTGGAGAACTAGGCAAGCGCACGTTACACGCAACGATTATTGGTGAATGGCGTGACGCATCGTTCGTGATCTTCGTGGTTGATAAAACGATAACGTTTGACAACTTTTCTTTCACGACTGAAATGACGAATCAAGCGAAAGCATTGACGTTGTACGCGCGGCAGCAAGAAACGCACATCTCTGTCAATTTGGCTGGCTTCTCCGTAACAATCATCGATCGCCTCCGCGACTCATTCGTCGAGTTATTCCATCTCACGATCGACGACGTGATGATCAGGCACGGAATCAACTTGAATCAACAGCAGTTCTGTCTATAGTTATCTCAGAATTGGTGCACTGCAGATAGATTTTAGCACGCATGACGCAAGCTATCCAGTCTTCGTTTGGCACGACCCGGCGGACGGGCACTTGCTTGAAGCGTACGCTACTTTGAGTATGAATTCTCATATCGGTGGTGACTCGATCGATGTTTATCACGTCCAACTAACGACAACGAAGAAAGGCCTCGTGATTCGCGCCGGTGAAGATCTCGTCTGGACAATCTTGAACTTTTGCAGACTCCTCCAAACGCAACTTCCACAACGCAACGCTTCAGCAGGTTCCGCCATCGCGCCACGCGAAACGTTTGTTGGAAAGCAAACCTCACAAGATAGTTTGCTGAATATCGCCACTTTATACGTGGAACCGACATCTTTTGTTGTCACGTTTGCTCCAAATTCCGATATCCGACCTGCAGACGCCGACGCTCGGATGATCGCCGCGTTGACGTTTGCAAGTTTACAGCGCCTGCATTTGGTGCTCAACAAATTTGATAAATTCGATGAGAGCATACTTCGTTCGAATTTGATTCGCGAATTCCGAAACTATTTCAAGTCACAAATGATAGCGCAAACGCTCAGTGTCATGACATCGATGCACACGCTGACAAACGTTTCCACGGGTCTAGATGCAGTGAGCAAGGCGGTCGAAACCGGCTTCGGCGTACTCGCGCCTTCTCGTACGGCGCCTTTGGCTCGTTTGCCATCTTCTGTCGTCGGCCGAGGAAGCAGAAGCGACGGTCAGGGCAACTTTGCGAAAAGTGTATTCGTTGGTCTGAAACGACTGGGGGGTGGTATTTCTAAGGGAATTATCGGCCTTTTCGTCAGCCCTGTAAAAGGTTGCATGGAAGGCGGCGTCGTGGGCGGGTGTAAAGGATGCGCTCGAGGCGTCGCCGACTTGGTAGCTAAACCGACCGCTGGCGCGTTAGCTCTCGCCTCAAAGACGGTCGAAGGCGTAGCCAATGCCGCTAAAGGCGTACAGACTGCCGCGTGGGACATCATCACCACGAATAATGTCTCAAAAGCGTGCATTAAACGCCTCCCCATCGCCGTGCGATCGGATGGCATCATTCGAAGATGGGATGCGCACGACGCGTTGGGTGTTTATTGCATGCGCACATGCGTCGTGTCCAGTCGAACACTGGGCATTTCTTACTGTCCGGGCGTGAAAGACTCATTCTCCTCGATGCATGACATTTTCGGTGAATATTTGTTGCTTGTCACCGACAAGCGCGCGTTGTGCGTTCGGACGCCGGAGATGGACGGGGCCATGCCGGCGCGCGCGCCGACTTGCGCGTGGTACATCTCTTGGAGTGATGTGAGCTCGATATGGATCGAAAACTCTGTGATCATAAAGTTGCAGATGAACGTCACGAGTGAGGGCGACACTTCCAACCTGGGTGCGCAGAAGCGTGAAACCGAATCTTGTTTTTCGATTCGCGCTAGAGCCCAAGACGAGGCGGCGAACATCGAAGCCGCGATGCGTCAAAGCTGGAACGCCTACCTGGATACAACAGAAGAAGAATAGAATCACAATTAATGATAGTACTAGCAGTAATTCGCAGTGCGCGCGCCGCGTCAACGCCCTAACCCAATCTTTTTCAACAGCGATTTTGATTCGCTCGCGAGCGCCAACCTCTCCGTGAGCTCGTCAATCTCCTCCTCCGTGAGCTCCGTCTTCACCTGATCGCCGTCCGGCGATTTCCCTTGTATCTTACGCACGAGATAAATGATGGAATCCCGCTCGTCGTTCGCCTTACGCAGTCGCTCTTGAAGACTTTCCAACAGTTGCGTCTCCCGTTCGTCCGTCGGCGCTCGCGCCTCCCTCGACCCATCTCCCCGCTCATCCCGCGCCTTCGTCTCGCGCGTCGCCACCATCTCCATCGCATCGTTCGCGCCTCCGCGCCTCGCGCTCCCTCCGTCGTCCGCGCGCGCCGCCGCGCCTCGCGCGCCGCCGAACCATCCGAATCCGCGTCTCCCCCTCGCCTCCATCGCCGCCGCCCGCGCCGCCTCCCGCGCCGCCTCCCGCGCCCGTATCCTCGCCTCGATCCGATCCCCGATCGACTGCCCCCCCCGCTCGCCGAACACGTCGATGTACGACGCGTACCACGCCCGCGGCGCCGCGCACAGCGTCATCAACCCGAGCGTCATCCACGCGATGCACGCCCTCGCCCGTCGCGTCCCGCGCTCGTGCGTCGCCCGCGCGTGTTGCGGCGTCACCTGCGCGTGTCTCGTCGGCGCCCGCGCGTCGCGCTCGCGTCGCTCGACGCGCGCGCGCATGTTTTCTTCGATTCGGCGCGACGTCGAGTGGCGCGCGTCGCGTCACTTCGCGCCATGTCGCTTCGACTCCGCTTCGCCGGCCGCGGCGTCGGCGGCGCGGACGACGCGCGCGAGCGCGCGAGCGACGATCGCGTCTCCTTCGGCGTTTTGCGGCTGTGCGTCGGTCGAGGGACGTTCGCGCGGTGGAAGAGCGTGCTCTTGCACTTTAATCCGGAATCCGCGAGCGTCGTCGCGCGCGGACGCGCGAACGCGCAGAAGCGCGCGGTCGAGGTGCGACGAGCGAGCGCGCGACGCGCGACGAACGAACGCGCGACGCGACGAGCGAACGCGCGACGGCTCGCTGACGATGCGGGCGAAAACTTTAAATCGATGCACTTCATTCGCAGGAACGGTTATCGCCGTTTTTCGATGTCGATGACGTTTGAGACGCGAGAGGCGTGCGATGCGGATCGAATCGTCGAGGCGCTGGCGCGCGTGGTGGTGGACGACGGCGCGCTGGGCGCGGAGGGGGAGACGCCGAGCGATTTTGAGGCGCGCGTGACGACGATGAAGGCGGACGTGGCGGCGCAACTGGACGAGGCGAAGAAAATGTACGAAGAGAGGGCGAGGACGGGAGGCGCGCCGCGACGATTGACGCTGCGAGAGATGGATAGGAAGATGAGCTTCAGGGACGTCGCGAACGCGGTACGCGCGGACGCGGGAGCGTTCAATTGGTACCTGGTTCGCGGAGACGCGAACGGCGCTTCGGAGGTGTTTAACGCCGGCGGCGGGAGCTTGGACGAGATGAAGAAATCGTTGGCGTCCGACGAGGTGTTTTTCGGGCTTCTGCGCATGGGTTTCGGGCGCGGCGCGTTTCGGCGCGTGAAGCACATATTCATTCACTGGTCCGGCGCCGACGTCAATCCTTTGAAACGCGGCCAACACAACGCGAATGAGGAGGCGATTCGCAAACTCGTCGGACCGGTGAATCTGAGCCACTTCGCGACTGAGATGGATGAGATGAATCTAAACGATTTACTCGACAAGGTGAAAACTAAGGTGGTGCTGGACGGCGAGGCAATCGACGATGTGGAAGATCTGTTCAGTTTGGAATCGTACATGGTTTCGTGCGAAGACGACGCCGAGGCGATGAAGCGTGAATTTCCCGACGCGATACGTGAAGGCGACGGCGAGGAAGACGAGCAAGAACCAACGTTTGAAGAGGCTTTGGAGTCCGTGCGGGATAAGTCTCAGCCGTACAATTGGATGTTGTGCACGCTTTAAAGCCGGCGTTCTCTCCATAGCGACGCAAGGTACCGTAGTTTGTAAAACAATTGAATAAAAGTTAAAGTTAAAGTTGTTGTCACATTTCTAAACTTCGCGCTTCGACTTCTTGCCGCGTAAGATTCCCGCCGCCTTTGCTGATTTCACGACGCCACCAAGCTGCGCGCGAGCGGCAACTTTTTTGCTATTGCGTCGATTCAAAAGTTTTGGATCAAGCGGCCAATACGCGTACGGCTCGAGCTTGGTTTGCTTCGAGTAGACGTCACCAGTCGTCTTACCCTTCGCCTTGTACAAATCAGCGCTGTGGCGCTCGTGCGTCGTGCGCTGCCGTTTGACACCGTTGGAATTGTGCGTACCAACCGTACGCGAAGACTTGCCGGTAGCATTCGTCCGCGCGGTGGCGGCGCCTCGCGATTTACCAGTTTTGGACGTGTAACGTGAGCGACCGCCTTCAGACGCGTTGTCTTCCTCTTCTTCGCGTCGACGCTTCGCGCCTTTCGCTCTCTTCAACAATCATGAGCTTGCCATCAGCGCCCGTACGGTAGCCACTGTCATCGTCATCGTCTTCGAACTTCACACGACGACGTTCTCCTTGCGGTAGCATCGATCGGCGCATGGCGCTATCGTCCAACAAATCAAGCGGGGCGTCGCCGGAAGCAGGAAGTCGTGCACCGCCCGTCGCGCGCTTCGCAGCCGCGGCTGCGGCGGAACGAGGACCCTCGCCACCACCTCGTCTAGAGGCTGGGGCAAAAGATCCTCCATCACGACCTCCGCGTCCACTTCTGCGCGATCGGCCGTCGTCGCTGTCGTCGCCCTCGTCGTCGCTGAAAATGTCGCCGTCGCGCCATTCTGAACGTCTCGCCGTTCGCGTGGACTTGGCGCCGTGTTCACTACCTGCAACGGACGATTTCTTCTTCTTTTCTAATCGTGTCTCCTCGCGCTTGATGTGCGCGATAAGTGCCATGTGTTCTTTTGGCATGCTCGCTTCGACGACTTCGTAACCACAACGTTTGCACATGCGTTCCAACACGACACGCACCTTGAGCTTGAAGCGATTCTTCGAATCTTCCGACCAATGCAACAGCGCTGGGACAAGTCGCGGAAGTTCGGCGGCGAGATCTTGTTGAGGTAGACGCACGACGACAACCTTCACGAAGCCGAGGCACGACTTGACCACTTCGCGAGATTTTCCTTCGAGCAACGCGCACACTGCCGGTAAGAGTTCAGGAACGGTGGACACGAGCGCAGAGGAAAATTCGTAGAGCAAACGAGCGAGAGCCATGATGGTGGCCGATTGCATCTGAGGTGACGAGCCGACGATGCCAGCGAGCACGGTGAGGAAAAATCGTCGAACGCCCACACCCATTTGCTCAGTCTCCATCGCCTCGTCGTCCTCCTCCTCTGTAGCCGCGCCGAGCCAGGCGGCGACGCCTGCGTTACCAGAGCGCGCAACTCCGCGTGCCGCTTCTGCATTCTTGCGCTCGATTGATCGTGGAATGCTTATCAAGAGCTGATACGCCAGCGTGCGCGTGCGCGCGTTGGTTTCTTTTGTGGCGAGAATGAGTTCGGAGAGAAGCACAGTGAGCGATCCAGTTTCGGCGATGCTCCCGGCACCGTCGCCGCCTTCCTCAGCGTCCGCCGCAGCGTCGCGTTCTTGAAGCGCTGGTAAAATCTTACCGATAACTTTCAATCGATACCGTCGCGCCGATGGTAAGCAACAATCAACGCCAGAAACGAGGAGCTCTTCGATTTCCGCCGCGCGCGGTTCAAGCCACTTCCCGTCTTGTGCCTCGCACAGCTCGTTGAGCAACTTGTATGCGCGCTTTTGAATCCACACTTTCCTTCTCCAGACACGCGGGTTTGGCAATTTTGTAAACCATTTCCAAGCCCTGATCGTCCAAGCCGGAAACGAGCGCGAAGACGAGATCCATGAAGGTGCACCTTCGTGCGGTCTTGTCGTCTCCGCCCTCCACCAAAGCGTCCGGCGCGCCCGGATCGTCCGCGGTCACTTTGACGAGTTTGCGCAGTACAGTCCTGAAGAAGCCGCCCAACTGCGCTTGATCGGTCACTTTTGCAAATGCACCGATTGTATGCGACAGCTCACCACGTCGTGACGTCGGTGACGAAACGAAGAGATTAAAAAGAATGGGCAAAAAGTTCCGAGCGTACTTGCTCACCGCCGCGAGCTGCGCTTCGGCGATATCAACCGTGAAAGTCGCGGGCATTTGATCATCGTTGGGCTCACCCGCGGCGATTGTGGACGCACCGTCACCGGCTTCGTCGTCATCGTCGACTTCGTACACACCAGCGCCGATTCTTCCTTGACGAATCAAGCGCTTCAAGCCTACGCAAATGGGCCCTTGCAAATCGATTCTCGAACTCAACGCATTGCCTAAATCCTTGGCAATCAACGGAAACGCGTCCGAGGCGTCGCTCGGCCAATTAGCAAACGCTGGAAACAGGCTCCAAAGTGCGTGCTCGGCGGCACCGCAGCGCTGCGCTTCGTACGAACTTTGAGAGTTTCGCGCGTGCTCGGCGCGAGCGCCCAACGCGCGCGCTTGCGGCAAAATGGCGTCAGCAAAAAATCCCATATTCGCTCCAACCAAACCAGAGCGCAACAACGGCACGAGCCAAAGTCGTCCAGTCTCTTGACTCGCTGCATTCATGACGTCTTGCTCGTCCACTTCCATGCCGTCTCCGTCGCCTTGACGGTTAGCGAGCTCGGCGTCGATGGCTTCTTCGAGTTTTAACGGAAGCGACGCGAGCACCTGCTCAGGACCTATGGCTTGAATCGCCGCCGTGATGCAGTCTTGCAGCTGTTGTTTGCACATCAACTCGCTCGCGTGCTCGCCCATCTCGCCGAGCGCGTTCAAAGTACCAGCCAAGATTGGCCCGGACGCGGGACCAAGGCGCATGAACGCGCATGTGGCGACGGGAATGGAAACAGCCCACGCGCCGCGATAGCGGAACCCGATCGCGGACTCAATGCTCGACGCCACGGACATCAACGTCGTCGGTTTGGACGGCGCGGACTTCCCCGCCGCTCGCGCAGATGCAATAGCCTTGATCCCTTCTTGCACCATACCGGAATCGATGCATGAGCGCACGAGCGAAATCAACGCTTCGGCGACCTCGGTCGCAACGCCCTCATGAGGCGACGCGAAGAGCTTCACGAGGGAATGAAACGTCGTCGGCAACGCTTTTGCAGAGGCTTGCGCGTCGATGGCGTGGAGCTTACACTGCGCGCGAGAGAGCAAGCGCGCCAAAGAAATCACCATCGTCGGCGCCGTGTTCAAGTTCGCATTCGCCACGGCGGCGATGGGCGCCATCAGCCCTACGATCGTGTCCGCGCTCACGCCTTCGCTGCCGTCATCGGCATCCATCGTGGGCGAATTTGCGAGCGCCAGAAGCGCTTCCGTGGCGTGTTGCGTGAGCAAAGGCTCATCCAAATCCAATAATCCCGCGCACGCATCCGCGCACGCCCCGCACGCGGGTTCGGCGAGTTCGGGCAACAAAACCTTCATCGCGCCGAGCATGTACAGCGCCTCCGTCGCCGCCGCCGTCGCGCGCGCGCGAGCATCTTTCGCACCCGCCGCACCTCGCGCCTTTTGCATCTCCGCCGCCGCGCGTTCGGGCGCCTCGCCAATCTTTCTCGCGAACGCCGCCGTCATCTCCCCGTACGCCGCCGCGCGCGCCGCGTCCCCACGCACCCTTCGCACGACGTCTCCCAGCGCGTGCACCGCCGCCTTCCGCACCTTTGGCCTTCCATCGATCGACAGATTCAACGTCGCCTGAAACGCGCGCTTCCCGTGTTTCTCGCTCGTCTCTCCTCCCGACTCGCCCTTCGTCGTCGCCGCCGCCGCCGCGCACGACGCCAACAATCTCGCCACGTGTCGCATGCTCTTCGGCGACCTCTCGCTCACCACTCGTCCGCATCCCATCACCACCTCGATCGTCCGCTCCATCTTCGCCCGTATCACGCGTCCATCGACGTCCGCCGCCGCCTCGGCCGCGCACGCGCACACCGCCTCGAGCGCCTCCAGCGCGTCCTCGCTCCCGTCCGTCCCCGCCCGCGCGCTCGCCCGCTCCAGCGCCCCGAACGCCGCCGCGAACACCGACGTCGCGTTCACTCGCATGTCTCCCTCCGCGATCGCGCGCTCGACCGCGTCGCACGCGCGCACGACGCGCGCCGAGCTCGCGCTCGCGCTTCGTCCGTGCGCGCGCCGCAACCGCTCGAGCGCGCCCTCGGGCGTCGCGCGCGCGTCGCGCGCGTCCGCGGTCGGGCGCGCGTCGTCGTCATCGCTCGACGCCATCGCGTCGAGCGCGTCGAGCGCGTCGAGCGTCGGCGCGCGCGCGAATGGCGTCGCGCGCGCGTGGCGGCGGATGGCGGCGATCGACGTCGCGCGCTCGATCCGACGCCGTTCGCGCGGCGCGCGCGGAGGGGCGCGCGCGAGCGTTTTTATCGGCGAGTCCGTCCGCGCGACGACGCGCGATGACTCGCGTCGCGTCCACGCGCGACGATTCATTCATTCGTGCATTCATTCACGGTTCGCTGGCTACCGCTAACGCGCGCGCCGGCGCTGGCTATCGCCGATGCGCGCGACGACGCGCGCGCGATCACGCGCCCTCGAGCGTCGCCGCGCGCGCCTCGCGCACGGCGCCCGCGAAGGCGTAGAACTGCGCGACGCTCATCTCCATCTGCTCGAACCAACGCCCGTCTCGCGCGTCGTCGTCGCTTCGCGCGTCGTCGTCCTCGAGCGTCAGCCTGACGACGACGCGCGAGACGCCGCTGGCGTTCGTCTCGCTCGTGCTCGCGGTCACGGCGAGGCGCCAGGCGAGATCGACGCACCGCGGCGGCATGGAGTGCGGCGCGCGCGGGACACCGCGACGCGATGGCGAACCCGTTCGCGACGCTCGACGGCGACGCGCGCGGCGACGACGGGCGAGACGACGGCGAGAGTGGCGACGCGGCGCGCGGCGCGCGCGCGGCGACGGCGGCGACGCGCGCGAGACGGACGACGACGACGACGACGAGGGCGGCGAAGAAGCGCGAGACGGCGGCGCGGCGAGCCGAGGCGGAGGCGATGCGCGCGCGCGCGCACGCGGCGATGGCGATGGAAAAACGAGAGGACGATCGTTGGGGGAAGGTGGCGAAGGGATCGGGAATCGCGAGGAAGGCGGCGAAGGAGATGGCGAAGACGATGACGACGACGGCGGCGAGGGACGACGACGACGCGACTGGAGAGACGACGACGGAGACGACGGAGACGACGGAGACGACGACGACGACGAGTGATGCGATGGCGAAGGTGAGTGAGGTGTTCTGGCACACGTTCGAGGACACGGGGGCGTCGTGTTGGTGCGTGCGAGTGGAGGACGAGGACGGCGAGTCGACGACGATGTCGATTACGAAATCCGTGCCTCGCGCGAGAAAAATTCCGAGCGATGGGGGCGAACGACCGGTGTTGGTGAGCGGCGAGATTCGACTATTACTCGCTGAGTGGGACGATCGCACGCGCATCGATCGAGCGAGGCGCGCGAAGGCGAAATTGAAGGCGGCCAAGGCGGCGGCCAAGGCGGCCGCGGAGGCGGCCGAGGCGCCGGCCGAGGCGCCGGCCGAGGCGCCGGCGGTCGAGACATCGCCCGCGCCGGTGGCGGAGACGCTGTCCGCGGCACCGCCTGATTTCGGCGCGACGCGTAGAGCGCCGCCGCCCGGGTTCGAAAAACCTGCGTTTCGAGTCGTGCACGTGCCGGTTGTCGATCCTGCTGTCGAGGCGAGGCAACGCGAGCTCGAGGCGCAAGTCGCGGCGTTGCAAGCGCAACTCGCCGCACAGCAGATGATGCAACAGACGACGTACGCGCCACCGCCGCCAAGCTTTTCGGGAGGATCATCGATCTGGTAACTCGTTATTTGTTCGTTGTAATTGTCACATTGACAAATCTAGCAAACGCGAGCGCAAAATAATCTACAAATAATCTCAAGACGATTCTTCGTCGTCGCAACGCTGGAACTCGAGCTTCATCTTTCGAGGCGCGGGCCACGTAGAGATAGCCGCCATAACGACGTCGAACGACTCTCCACGAGTGGAAAATCTGATTTGCTCTTCGCCTTTTTTAACGCTCACTCCGCCGTAGTCCATTTCGCTGTTGAACACGATCGCCGACGTAGCGATTAATCTATCACCCACGCTAATCAGGCCGCTCTGCTCGGCCGCACCGCCGGGCACGAGTTCTTCGACAAAAATATTTCCATTTTTATCGTTCGCCAGAAACATGCCGAGCGGTTTCTTCAGTTCCACCGCGTATCTCGCGCATCCCGGGGGAACCGGTTCGTCGTCCGCCGCCGCCGCGCGGCGGCGGGTGAGCCGACGCCGAGACGGTCCCGCGCGCGGCGTCGCGACGGCGCAACGAATGGCAGCACTCGTTGTCATCTGCGTTCGAAAATAAGAAGCGAAAAAGTGAAAATGTCAGTCTTCGTCCGCTCGCTCGTTCATCGTCTCAGAGAGTATGGTCACAAAATATCCACATTGGGTATTCGGTAAAGTTTTTGGGTTAAAGGTTTTCATCTTCCTTGACGACGGCGCGATGAAGTCGAAGAAAAACGAACGTCGAGAACGACGACGACGACGACGGATGTAGCAGGGGTTCTAGAGGCCGTTAGTCATGGACAGACACGAAGCCCGCTTTACCCAAGCGTCACTCTACGGGCGTCTTCTGACGCGTCCGCGAATCTTTGAATCGCGGCGCGCACGTTCGAGATAAATCTCGCACCCAACATCGATCGAAAAGTAAAATGAATCCATTCAGCGGCGTGTCAGTGTTTCGTGAATCTTTTCACCGCGCCGAAACGCTCTAAAGGTGTCCTAAGATATATTGACGAAGTCATCACCCACACCGCCGAAACGGCGAGAAAAACCAAACAAACAAACCAACGATCGCGTCAGGAATCAAAAATGATTTCGTTTCAAAGGAAGCCACTGAACACGGAGTCCTCAATTGAACTATGCCTTGATTCGAGCATCACCCGCGTCGTCGTCCGTCGTCTTCGTCGTCTTCGTCGTCGCTCGACGAGAGAAAAATCCACCCGCCGCTCGCGCGCGTTTCCAAGCCTCAGCTTAACGAGATTCACAAGTTTGATCGTCACCGAAATCAGATGGTACGGACAAGTGTGTCTCATCATCGGCTTCGCGCGCGCGACGGGCGGTCGCGCGTTTTCGTTTATCCGGCTAGCGTTCCGGCGTCGCGGGACCGGCCCGCGCGCCTCGCTCACGGTTCGCCGCGTCTCGCGCGTCGGCTCGCGCTCTCGCGCCCGTCCCGAGAGACGCGCGCTCGATCGCGTGCGTCATCGCTCGACGGTGGTTTATCTCGGCGCGACCGAGCGCTGCGCGCGTCATGAGCGGGACGCGGCAGTGACTCTAGAGTGGATCGGCCTCTCGCGTTCTCGCGCGTCGCGTCGTCGTCGTCGTCGTCGTCGTCCTCGTCGCGTCGCGTCGCGTCGTCGCGCACCTCGTCGCGCGTCTCTCGCGCGCGCGTCTCGCGTTCGCGCGCGCTCGCGTCGCGCGGTGCGGTCGGGTCCGATTCGCCGCCGCCGCCGCACACCGCGACGCCGCGTCGACGCGCCGCGACGACGCGCATGGAGACGGACGCCGACACCGGACGGGTGCGCGTGAAACCTGCGCTCGAGGCCGTGCGCGCGCACGACGGCCCGCTCGAGATCGATCTCGGGACGCTGCGCGTCGTCGACGCCGCGCCGCTCGATGTCACCGCCGCCGACTCGGGCGAGGCGGAGGCGCACGCGCGCGAGCGCGCGCGAGACGTCCTCCAGCGCCTGGTCGCGGAGTTGTTCGCGCTGCCGAGCGAAACGGACGCGCACGGACGGTTCGCGCAGTTGCCCGAACCGACGACGACGTTCCCGAGGCTGCGCGCGTTGCCCCCGAGCGAGGCGCCGCTGACGAAGTGGGAAAAGTTCGCGAAGGAGAAGGGGATCAAGAAACGGAAGCGAAGCAAGGAGGTGTTCGATGAGAAGACGGATGAATGGAAACGGCGGTATGGGTATCAACGCGCGAGGGACGGGAACGATGTCATCATCGCGCCGGGGAAGATGACGGACGTGCCGGGGAAGACGGAGGACCCGTTTACGCGCGAGGAGCGAGAGAAACGGGAACGGACGTTGAAGAATCGAGAGAAACAAGATAAGAATTTGATGAACGCGGTGGCGGAGAAGGGTGCGAAGGCGTTACCGCCGACGCTGCGATTGGCGGTGACTGGTAAGAAGGACTCCGTGGGGAGCGGGAAGCTAGGGAAACGGGAGATGAAGGACGTGGCGGCGCGCGTCTCGCACTCCACGGCGTCGGTCGGCAAATTCAACGCCCCAGTGCCGGGAGACGATAAGGTCAAGGTTCGCGGCAAGCGACGTCAGTTTGCGAGCGTGACGGATATGGATTCTGAGCGTAAGAAGAGCTCGGAAATCATCGATAAGTTGCTCGCGAAGGAGAAGCGCGGCGGCGTCGTCGACGTCAACGCGGCGGCGCGGAAGATTCAGCAAGAGAAGGAAAAGGCGAACCGCGTGAGCAAGCGCAAGAAGGCTGACGGCGAGAGTAAGGAGCGGGCGTCCGGTAAGCGAGGGAAACCATCCGCAGCCGGAGGCGCTCGCGCGAAGAAGAAGTGATTAGATTGTGATATAACCAAACGACGACACGACGTTAAAGAACCGTAACAAACATCGCGAGTACATGTCGCGACCCGGGGCGACCACGACTTATGTTCCCTCGTATAGTTGCGTCTTCTCATAGTGATTTGAAGTCGTAAAGTATGAAAAAAGTTGGTGATCAACAGGTCCGGAGTTCGATTCTCCGAGGCCCCTACGACAGACCCATACCTAGGGCACTCGGGGTCTTAGCTCAGTGGTAGAGCGGTTGACTGCAGTTAAAAACCATTTCTTTTTTGGACGTTTCTCGTCTCGACGCGTTTAGGGCACTCGGGGTCTTAGCTCAGTGGTAGAGCGGTTGACTGCAGTTAAAAACCATTTCTTTTTTGGACGTTTCTCGTCTCGACGCGTAACGCGATAGACGTGCGCGCGCCGACGTGTCTTCGTGATGTCTTCGTCTAAATCAGCACTTCACTTTTTATCACAATAGTTGACGACGACGACGCGTCTATTTCTTCGCGACGACTTGCGCGAAGCTCACTTTGACCTTCTTCGCCGCCGCGGTCTCCGTCCCCGCGTGTAAATCATCGTTGAGCGAGTCCAATTGCGTGATTGAATCGTCTTCTTGCATTTCTTTGCGTTTGCGAGCCGCCTTCGTATCGTCTCCCAGGGGCAAAGGTTTCTCTTCGGAGATTTTCTTTTCCTCGTCCTCCGCGCTCGCCGCTTTCTTCTCCTTCTCCGGCGCGTAGATGTCCTTGACGTAGCCGTCGATTTCTTCTTTCACGAAGCTCGGTAAATCCTTGCGCTTCAAATATTTGACGTTCGCCTGCATCCCGGGTACCCAGTTCGATTCCCCAGTCGCGCGATCCATCCACGACGTCACAGTCATTTGGAACTGCTCCACCGCGGGATTCAAGTTGAGCGAAACCTTCTCCTCCTTCTTCTTCAGGCTCGAAGGAAATAACCCCAAGAACAGCGTGACGTGCGAGTTTTCGTCCTTCTCCGGATCTTTGTACCTCGACGTGCCGGGATGCGCAAGCATTTGCCCTCCCGTGGCGTTTTCGATGCCTTGGATTAAAAGCTTGATTCGCGAGCCGACCCAACCTTCCCACTTCTTAAAGTCATCTTCGTTCTTGGCCGAGATGGTAACCATCAAATAATGCTTGTATTTTTCTAAAAAGTTCAACGAACACCACAGCTGCTCCCACTTCGCGGTGTTTAAAAGAATCATCTTGGTCACTTCCTTGCCGCGCTTGAACTCGGCTTTGAGCACCTCGAGCGTGCTGACGCTCACGTTGAACGTAGAGTTTTGCGCCGGATACGCCGGAGTTAAGATTTTCATCAACTGATATCGCTCTGCCTTGTTCACACGCTCGTCCCACACTCGCATCCCGGGTAAGCCTTCGTCGACGATGGGTACGAGCATCACCGGCGTCGTCCATTGCCACGCCGACCATAGTTGGAAAAAGCTGTACACGAGCATGGAAGGTGCGGCGTTGGGGTACAACTGACACACGCGCGCTACTAAAATCGCCAGGTTTACGCCACCGAAAAACCCGACGACGTTGCTATACACCCCGCGCCGCTGCGCCCACAGACGCAACGTGCGAAGCGCCACTCGAAACGCGTCGTGGTTTGGCACGACGCGCAACAACTGATCCGCCACGCGACAACCATTCAGGGATTTCACCCCTGGGTCGTCCAAATTCATCATCACCGACGTCTGACACACGTCTAAGTCCTCTGGCACGTGCGTGTACGACGGTAAGCTCGTGTACGCCATATCTATTTCAAAACCTCTAAACACGAGTTTGATTTCTGGCACGATGGCGTCGCGCACGGGCACGATGCTCTCCGTTCCAGGGTGTTTCCGCATCACGTCATAAAACGACCCTTCGTAATCATTCTCATCCCATCCAAAGAAATCCTCCTCTCGGCTCAGATGTCTCGGCCCGAGGCACAGCGTATCGATATCCGCAGCCGGTCCGTGCACGCCCAATCTATAGCTCCCAAACGTGTACAAGTTACACGACGGCCGCATATCCTCTGTGATCCCCTTTCGCTCGCTCGCCGCCAGCACCCAGTCTTGCAACAACGCGTTTATCTCCCCCAGCACCTCCTCGCGTCGCACGCACTCGTCCGCGTCTTCGTACACGTCCTCTTCCCGCAGTTTGTCATCGAGCGCCTTGCTCAACTTTTCGTCGAACGCCGTCGGCATCTCGTTCGACATCACGCGATTCAGCGCCTCCGCGGACGCCGACTGGGTCATGACCGACGGTGCGGAGGGCGTCTGCGCGCCGATCATGATCGCGGGCGACGACGCGCGCGCGTCGATCGCGTCGGAGTGTGAAGTCGGGCGCGATTAATTTCGACGGCGCGACCGTATTTCGCGGCGCGCGCGCGCGCGTTCGTTCGCGCGCGATTCGGTTTCGATGCTCGGGACTCAATCTCGCGGTCACGCCGCGGGCGATCGCAAGAGCGCGCTCGTGCGCTACGGACTCGTGGCGATCGCGTTGATGAATGTCGGTGTCGAATTGATTAAGATGTACTTTGGAACGAGCGCGCGCGGCGTGGAGGGGCGATACGGACGCGTGCGCGCGGAGGTGGCGTCGGTAAATCATCGCACGTCGTCGCTCGAGCGGACGATGCCGCGCGCGGATGCGCTGGCGCCCGAGGTGGAGGAGACGCGGGCCGAAACGGCGGCGGCGACGGCGCTGGCGCCCGAGGTGGAGGAGACGACGACGCCGGCGAACGTTCGGCGGCGAGAGAGAGAGTGCGGTTCGCCCGCCGTCGATGGCTACGCGCACGTAAATTTGACGTGCTTGGCGATGAGTGCGACGGCGAGAGAATTCGCTCACGCGTCGGCGAGCGGGCGCGAGAAGTTGCGAGCGCACATCGAAGAACACGCGTCGTACGACGGCGTGGCGGTTCGTTGGGGAATCCATCACACGACGGAAACCGCGGAGGAGTGCGGTGAGCGGTGCAAAGAACACGTGGTAAAGCCGGACGGAATCGGTGCAGAAGTTTTGCCGTGCAACGTGTTCGTTTGGTGTCCCAAAGACGTCGGTGAGGGCGGTTGCTTTGAACCAGACGCGCACCAGCACTTCGCGGGCGACTGTTGGCTCAAGTTTAGCGAGACTCCGGAGAACGTCGAGGTGAACCAGCGAGGGGCCAACGACGCACCTGGGTTCGTGAATAAGGATGGAAAGACGTTCGCCGAGCGACACGCGAACGCGCCGAAATTAGTCCATTGGTCGAGCGGCGTGCTGCTTCCGGAATCGATGACAGCTTCGAGCACGCTCGGGCCGCGCGCAACGTGGTAGACATGTAGAAAATTTGTTGTTATACATATACTTGTACACTTTGATTACTGTACGCGGGCCATCCAGTTTGCAGGCGGTGACCAGGTTGTCACCGCCGCATGGTGATCTCTCTGGTCTTTAGGTGGGCAAGGCCCCATAGCCAAAAACTTCAAAGAACTACTATATTCCAGCGTGTCCAGTGCTTCCACATTGCGAAGCTTTTCGTCATCTCTTTTTTCCACCAACACGCAGAATTCATTTACTTCCACTGCCCAGGCCTGGCCGGTGTTTCTTTCTATTTTGTACATGCCGGCTCTGCATTGGAGGCCCATATTGAAAAGCTTAGCCTCGTTGACTTGCTAACAAACTTTCTCAAATGCCTCTACCATTTTCGGCGGTGTGCAACCCACCGGGAAGCGTATAGCAGACCAGCATCGGATCGTTTCACAAATGGGCCACCCCCCCATGTCCTTCAGTGCGCCGTTCAAGATATCTACAAGCTCGATCGCCACGGGTGAGTTTCTCGACCAATCTGGGTCACGGGCACGCATGTAGAGAGGCGACGGCGCATGGGTTTTCAGCAGGGGGGCGATGCGCCAGGACGTGAAGTCGTGTTTCCCCTGAACTTGAAGAACTGCGAGCAGGTCGGGGTGATAGAATGCTGGGGTGCTCAGGCAACAACCCATGATGCGCTGTGTTTCTTTTCTCGGCCACGCGCGCGTTTTCTTTTGTCCGCCTCTCTCTCGCGCGCGCGTCGTCGAGTGATGCTGGTGCCGCTCGTGACGGATTTAAGGGCGTGAACACCCGCGTGTAAAAGCAGACACTTTATATAGCACTTTGGGAGGTTAAAAGGTGTCCCAAAGTCTCATACATTGGCCTATACTTTGGCAACATCCCGCGCTTTGATTACTGTACAGTAATCAAAGCGCGGGATACCGTGGAATGGACTCGGAAAAACCTCTAGAAGTTCGGCGGCGCCATTCCGCGCGCGATCTCAGCGGGCGAGCGTGATCACCAACGTGGACCGATGAGGCACCGATCGTACCGTGTATGCAATGGACGCACGCTCGCACTCATCGCGCTCGTCGTGCTTGTCGCACGCACGCAGCGCGTCTTCGCTTCGCCGACCGACGAGCGAAGATTCTGGACGCCCACTGTCGTCGCCGTGGACGACGGCGTCGGTTCGAAGATCCGACGCATGGGAAACGATGTGGAGAAATCGAAGTCTTTCGTGTTTGAGAACACGGTAGCGGAATCGCTGACAAGAGATGGCGTCGTCGCGGTGCGAGTGCGAGGCTTGAACGAAGCAAAGACACAGAGCGCAAAACTCTTCATGGATTGCGCGCGGGTTACGGATAATGTTGCAGTAGAAGAGTACGACGATGGATCCAGGCGCGTGACGCTCGCCACGACGACGAAGCAGAGGGGGAGTGGTTTCGGGGAACCCACGTCCAAAGCATGTAAGAAGTTCGAGGTCACGACGAAAATGCTTCGCGCGAAAGTTTCTGTGGCCGAACAAGCAATCACGGACGTGTTTCAGAGCAAGTTTTCAGATCTGAGTGAATTTGCGAACGGGGTACTGATGCAGGGAGAGAACGGCGAGACCTATAAAACTTTCTCGGAAGTATTGAAAGACTGCGAGCACCTTGAACATTTTCACGGCTACACGATTTCACCACAACAAAAATTGAAGAATAGTAAAGTGCGGACGATCGAAGAGCACACGGATCAAGGTCTACTCATCGCATTCGTCCCGGCCATAATTGTCGATGCAGTGACGGGAAGGCGCGATAAGTTTTCCTCAACCGGCGATTTTTATATGACGCTTCCTGGGCATCGCAAGGTGCTTCTCCATTTTGACACGCTTCCAGACGATGTCGTTATTTTTATGCTGGGTCAAGCAATCGAGCAACAAATCACTCCCAAACTTGCAAACGGCCTTGAGCTTCACGCTGTACCACACGCAATGGATATGCCCAATCTTAAATCTAATCAGTTCAGATTTTGGTATGGGCGAATGTTCCTCCCACCTGAGAATGCCTTGGACGAAAGCCATGGTCTCTCTTTTGGGACAGTGCGCGCTAACATCATCGAAGATTTCGCACGTGGGCTGAAGACATCCGTGGGATGTGGTCGTGAGCTCCTCTCCGTGGCAGGGAGCGGTTCATGCGCTAGCAACCAGATATGGTGCTGGATGCGATGCATGAATCACTCAGCGCCGGCGAGCAATCCACTCACATGCAGGACGGGTCATAGTGTCCAATGTTTGAGCCAAAGACTGGAAGTCTGGACGGATGCCGACAGTCATGGTGATTATAATCCTGGATGCACCGACGAGACCAACGAGACAAAGCCCGTCACCGATCCACCGACCATCCCAGCTCGAGCAGCCTCTTGTACAGATGGAAACGCCTGGGAAACTTTTTTGAACCACTCCGAATATGAAAACAGCTTGGAGCTGTTACAAGATAAGTTATATTTACTCTGGACTGTTCAAAATGGTAAGTTAAAAGCCCGAGTTGCCTTCAATGGCAAGATTGGTTGGTTTGCTCTCGGCATCAAAAACCTAGGAGGGAAACACAACGGGATGAACGGGGCGAACATCGTCATGGGCGTCCACGACCCTCATCCAATGGGTCACGACAGCAATTTCGGTTCTCCTTATGTTGGAAAGAGCAGTGCGAAACAATACAAAATCCACGATCATTCTTCTGCTTTTCGACATTGGAATGACACTGCTGACGTTGCCTCACCCTTCGTGAGTTCGACGACGTTCAATTCATGTTTCAGTTGTATGCGTTTCGAGACGGCCTCGATACGGGGCGAGGCTCTGAATCTCACCTCTGGTATTAATGAACTCATCTGGGCTGCTCATGATGGCACTTACCTCAAAGGCTACCATGAAGTACAAGGATTCGATCGGAGAGATGCACGCGGGCATCTCACGCTTGACCTGACGCGAAATTACGGTCGTGTAACGTGCGGCTTCTCAAGAGGCTGGGCTGCGGCGAGTCAAACATGTGCTTTTTCGGCAGCAAGCACTCCTTCAGCGATAGTTTCTATATCCATTGCTGTCATTGCAATCCTCGTTATGTGACGCGGAAGTTTGCATTCTTCACGATCTTTCAATCGACACCCGAAACAGTCTGAGCACGCACCGACAGTCACGCCGTTGTAGGTCCCGGCGTGATAACAGAACTCTTCGCTTGATGCGAGTGCGTTCGTGCTCGCGTACGCACTCGAAACGGTGCAGTCGGCGTGAGAGAAACACACGTCGCCCGGGTCCGCGCGCGCGGTGTGCGCGACGGCGAGAGCGAAAACGAACGGCACGAGGAGGTTCTGAAACATTTTTGGTGTGGGTTTAGCTCGCGAAAAAGTTTCAGCGAGGCTTGACGTGCGCCGCAAAGTGAGGTTCGGAGATCCGGAGATCCGCCGGTTGACGCCCCGCGGGGCGTGTGTGCCAGCCCGTAGGGTTTAGGGGATCGGACATATGGAGCCTCACTATTAAGACACACTGTCATATATATTAATGGATTTATGACAGTGTGTCTTAATAGTGAGGCTCCATATGTCCGACCGCGGGCACACATCCCCGCGGGGCGCCAGCAGGGTCAGGTCGCAATTTTGCGTTTTCCCGCTCAGCCTTCACTAGAAACGTGTCTAAACCGGCCACTTTTTAAATCTTGTTTTTTGCTAGGTTTTTACTGTCTCCGGGTCTCGGAGGAATCGCGTGGAGTGACCGGTTATGGGTTTAGTGGTTGGAGGTCCTGTGAGGAACTTTCTCTCCGTCACTTTTTTTCCATTTTTGAAAAAAAAAACGTCACATGTAAACTTTATAAATAAACCTATAACCTATAACCTATAACCTTGAAGGTTGAAATTTCTTAAGACCCGGGGTCCGCTGTTAAGGGGGGTCGGAACGCACAGAGAAATCGGGCTCGTCGTCCTGTGTATCAGCAGTCCTGTAGTAGGAAGTCATTTTTTGCTGTTTTGGGCATCCCTTGCGTTCAGAGATTCCATTCTGAAGAAATCTTAAGCGAGGGCACCAAAAACTCAAGGTCTCAACGGTCGCACGCTTCAGACTAGTTACATCTTCTGTACCTCCAAGCAGCGAAGTGCTCCTGTGTGTCAGGTTTGTCTCACCAAACACCGAGATCTTCGAGAAGACGAACACGTTCCGCTGAGAGTTTGCACGTGCACCTGTCTTCCTTTGCCTGATTTGTGAGCCATCACCCCAGATTTGAATGTGGCGTATCTTATCGCGACACTCTCGCTTAAGATCTCTTCAGAATGGAATCTCTGAACGCAAGCCGTGGATGTATTAAACTGTGAACGAGGCTAGTCATGGTTCGATTTTTTGGATTACAAGTGTAGGTCTACTTTTACGTTTCGTGGACTCCGCTTGAGTCGGCCGATGTCACCACGTCAGGTGTTTCGAGTGCACTAGAGACGTGACCGCCGATACACAGGACGTCGAGCTCGGCGTGCCTGATTTCACGACTCGGTGACCATGGTTTGAAACCGAAATGACCATCGGCTTCAGGCCCAGGCGCGGCCGCAATGCTACTTTAAACTTAATATATTTTTTTTGAAAAAAGAGTAGTAAGAGTAATAAAAATAAACTTTTTTTTTGAGTTGGGGCACCCCAACATGATAAAACCGCACATCGCGGCGAGCCATGCGCGACCATCAATTTGATGTCATGTCTAGTCAGGCTCTCGTGGTAAAAACGTAAGATGTGCTTATTACAGCATATGCCAATTGCGCAGTAAATCTCGAAGGACGACATCAAACATATCACAGAGCGCGCGCTTCACACCGTACAACACCATCTAAGGTACTTTCGACCGACGTTTTAGGCAATTTTGACTCGCCGACTGGTCTTTTCCAGTTGTGACGTCAGATTCGATACGATACTGGGTTACGATGCGTTGAGTTGGACTGTAGAGGCCTGTACCCTTACATGCACATCTTCCATGGAGCGCTGGAGAAAAGGCATTGTTGCATAATTATTGTCAAAATATAGATATTTTAATTTGACGCCACCATTATTAACTTTAAAATCAAGCCAGATCGCGACGACACTGAACATTTGAATGTGTATTCACACTTGAGAGACACTGGTTTCGGCAACTCACGATCGAGTACCGAAGACAAAATTAGCGCACTTTTTTCTATCATCTGCAGAATGCGAGTTTGGCGCATTTTTTACTGCGTCGCAGTGTTTCTTAGCCGCTTTGCACTGTTTGGAGCAGACATGCGGACATGCTGCCACCCAGGTTGGGTTGGAACATAGATGGCGCCTGCCTTCCGGCTTGCCGCAGCCCCGCGGAATCGATTCACAGGGAGCCATGTTGGGTAGATCAGGCGTTTCCCAGACGGTACCAGAGATACCATCGAAACCTGGGCACGTGTAATCGTCACTCAGAGTACAGCCAGTCGCCGCCGAGCCTTGACAAGATCTTTTCCAACCACCCAAACGCCTATGGCCCTTTGTACGCTTTTGGCAAGTACCCGTCGACACGTTGTACGCTTGTTTAGCTTCCTTAGTATCAAACGAGTGACACACGCATGAATCAATCAGTGGCAAAGCGCGGACCTGTACGGCCGGCTCATGCTCGCACGCCCAACACGAGTGTCCTCCAATACTGATCCCGAACCGCTGGCGCATCTCTGACGCGCAGACTTTCGCGCGTTCCTCCTCGTTGAGCTCCATTCCCGCGCAGGCACAAGCGCACTGTGCACGCGACCACTCCACTCCATCTGTCGCACCAACATAACCTCTCATATCATTCTCCAGTTGGGCGTGTTGGTCGTGGCATATTCTCGCACACGCCGCGAATGTCTTCATAGATTCTGGTAGTCCGTAGTGCACCGCGGCCTGGGACACCGCGTCGTCATCCATGAGTTTCCACCCCGTGACCCCCGAGCTCACTGGCCGCCGCCGCCGCCCGAGCTCACTTGACGGTGCATCCAAATCACCGCCCGCATCGCCTGGGTCCGTCGCCACCGCCGTGAACGGCGCATCCGCGTCAACGCCCGCGGCGACGTTCAGCGCCGCGGCCCCCACGAACAGCGCCAACGTCAAAGGTGACACACATTGCCTTCGAAACCCCATCCCGCGCGCGCGATCTGCTTTTTCGTCCACGCGGCGTCCACTCGCGAACGCGCGGATACCGTTCGCTCTCTCAGCGCCCTCCACGTCCGATCGGTTCGGAAGTGACGCGCGCGCGCAGAATAGTTTCGCGTCACAACGCAATTATTCATTCCCGTGTTGATTTTATTCTATTCCAGGGGGTATGGGTATAGAGTTTACAGTGCCTTCGTACGAGATATTTCCCAACACCCTTTAGTACCAAAACCTAATTGCGTATCTTCCCTCACTTTCCGACGTCACGCGCGCACGCGATGACGTCGGCGACGCCGAAACGACGGCGCGCGCGCAGATTTTTGTATGCGTTCGGAGGACCGACACTCTTATTTAACCTCATGCGCGTGTTTGCCATGTCCGGGCTCGTGGCAACAATTACAATGTCAACAGCCGCGGGCGCCGCCCACGGTGGAGGTGCGAGCATGGACGAGGGACCGGCGCAAATGCATTATATGCCTGATCGATTTCGCAGCCTCGCGGGCGGCGGCTGGCTTACTATCTCATCGAGAGACGTGCACAAGAGCCTGATGCCCATGCCTGGGATGCGCGGTGGCGGGGAAGGCGCGAATGAGTCAGCAGTAAGTGGCAGCGCGATGAAGGACGAGGTGAAGATCGATCTGGCCCACGGTGACCCAGACGGTGAGCGATCGTGCGATCTCGTGCATTACAAGTCATCCTCGAATGAGTTGGTGTGTTCACCACGTGCGGTGGATTGCTGTTTGGACGGACTCACGGCGCAGGAGCTCGCCAGCGTAAGCGATGGGTGCCCGTCGGTGAGACCAGAGCTGAACGTCGAGGTCAACGGTCAGCGATTGACGTGGGGCAGCGCTGGTAGAAATGGAAGGGACACGCTCACGGACGAAAGTCTCAAAGTGAGCCATGGGCAGACGCCGACGATCGTGGCGGTCGAGCCGGCTGAGGTTCGTCCCGGTGAGTTGATCACGGTGTACGGACGAACGTGCTTTGGCGATGTTTGGAAGAAAGATGAAGATGATGGTTCGTCTCTACGTGATGATCCCGACGCACTGCGAGATCTATTCTCGGTTGAAGCGAGCGCAAGAGAGGATCCGCGCCAAGAAATTGGATTGGAAAAGTCTCTCTACAAGGTGCTCATCGGTGACCTACCGTGCGAGGTTCGAGATCCACTCACAAACAGGTACTACCGATCCGAGCGCGGCGATGGTCCATACACAGCCCACCGGCAAACAGAGTGTGGACCCGTTAACGGTTGGTTTCAGTGCCGTGTACCCCAAGACATCGATTCCGGTCTTCATCTACTTCATTACGAGACGTACACCAGAGGCAATGCTGTGATCCTGTCTGAGGCGCTCAGATGGAATGCATCGGACGCGTCCAAGGGCTACGTGCTGTCAGTGGTTGATGATAAGTCGGAAGATGAAGATCCACCGCGTGTTTATAACATAACGCAGCTCTCGAAGGATGAGTCCAAACAGCGACTCCTTGTTGAGGGTGCGTCTCTTGATGCGCCAAATATCGTCGTCGAGCTTGACGGGGAGCGCTGTGGTGGAAAAAAGGTTGTGTCCAGATCTGGCATCGAGGTTGAATGCTCAGGTTCAGCTGGAGCGAGCTCGCAGTATCACTACGGCCCCCCCGCGTGGCTGCGTGAAGACTGGGTGTTCAAGGACAAGAATAATAAGTTTGTCGGTGGCAAAGCGTGGTCTAACGCTCTCCACGTTTTGAAGCAGCGTGGAGAAAGGTACAACCCTCTCGCCGACGAAGTCATGGACGCTTTAAGCTCGGCATTGGCAACGAATGGCATTGTCCGCGGGTACAAGATCGAGAAAGTTCAACAGTATCTCACGAGCCCATCGGTTGGATCACCATATGTTGAGGCAACTAGCGGCATGAAAGCGGCGCACGCCGGACTCATCCGTCACCGAAGGATACGGAATGCTGTGTTTGAACGTGTAAGCGGAGTCATCACCGCCAAAGCAAACGGGCGAATGCGCGTGGCGATCGCCAATGCGGCGGGCAATAACATGGTGCTTCGTGTGCGACATGTTTCCGACAACTTAAATGTATTCAAACCTTGGTTGTTAGTTTCCAAATTTTGCGGCACCAGATACAGCAGACAAAACATTTATCGATACGGCTTTTCACAGTGGTTCAGTGTTCGTGGTAACGAAAAATACTATATGGAATTTCTGATGAACTTGGACCCCAGATACTTGCACAATTTCGGGGGATTCGATGTTAAGATGGAATTTTCCTACGACGCGGGTAATCCTGCGGGATCAATTGGGCAACTTACGCACACGACAACGCCTCACGTGCCCAAACGAGCGCATGGTGGCGATTACGTCGTGCGCTTTAGCGGCGCTTCGAAAACTGCGATCAGATTCGCTCATAATGCAACTTCTTCAAGAAGCAATTTTGAGTGGAAACTCTTCAGTGGCGGCAAGACCATCGAGTTCAATACGAAGAATTGGTTGCATGCACGCGAACACGTGCGGAAAGTTAGAGACGCTCTGCGATGGGCTAACTGTACCGCGCTGCCTGAAGACTCAAAGATGTGGGACGCGGACTCGACCCATTCTTCGCACCCATTCGACGTCGAGAATCGATGGCTCATGGTGCGTGATACGCAGACCTTCAAAGAGCCCACCACAGATTGGAACTTCATATGGCAACGTCGCATGGGCGGATTCAGAGGCGCGTCGATCGACTGGAGTACCTCGTACTGTTCGACACACAGTCAAAAATTTGATTTGTCGTCACTACCCCCAGGAAGAGTCATCACTCCTTCTTCTCATTTCGACGTACCTGCATCTTCTCGTGCGACGACGAATAAGTTTCTGAACTTTGCCTACAAAGTCACTCCGGGTACGCGAGCGACCTTGTTACTTCGTCTAAAGTACCGAAGCGGTAATCGGGACATATCGACCACGTGCGCGGTTCTCCTCACCCATGAACAAGCGACTGGGAACGTGAAGAACTTCGATCACCCAGCGTGTGTGGACCTTCGAAGCGTCTTCAAGGATGATGGAGAGTGGCACTTTATTTCATTCGATTGGCGAACTGCGTTGGCCGGTGGTGAGTATGCCCCGAGTTATTTGGGCGAGGCTATGTTCCCGCATAAAGTGCAAGTTCAACTCGATGGTATCGGTGTCGGCGCGCAGAGATTCCTCGGCAAGTGTCCGAATAAACAGCGCTTAGCGGAAATGTATGTCGGTGATGAAGGAAGTGAACTGCGCGGTTACCTCTGGTTGGATAGCGTTTCTGTGACACAGGAACGCTACTCTCCTCAACGAGTCGAGACGCCCTCTGCACAGCTCGGAGGTATGCAAGAAGGCGTTCACGCAATCACAGATATTGAATATTCGGTCATCAGCCGAAGCGATGGCTCTAAGTGCAAATCGCTGTCGGACTGTGATATCATCGTGAGCCTGCGTCAGGTGAAGAGATGCATTGATGCGCAGTCGCGAGGCGATTTCAATATTTCGCCGATGGTGATGTCACAGACGAGTCCAAACCCGCAACCCGCGACGGTCTCGTGTGGTCGTCACTATGCAGCGAACTGCTCGACTTGTCCGTGGAAGGTGTCCGCGGAAGGTGTCCGTGGAAGGTGGATGGGCTGGAAATATTGCAATGGTGCGTGCGAATGGAGATGGCACGGGCGTATCAATGCAGGTGGCACGTGCGTGTCAAAGCCAGCTCCAACTCCTCCGGCAATAACAGTCACGGATCGTACTTCTTCAACACGTGGAACCGTCACTGCACAGATCACAGGGGGGACGATGACGCAATTTTCCACCTCTGCCAATTCATCTGAAGTGCAGGACGCATTACGTCATGTCCTCGGAGCGCACGACGGAGGCTTCGTGGTGAGTCCAAGCATGGATTTGTTTGATGCGTGCGGTGTGAGCGCTCATCGCATGCGCGTTGCGCATGCGAGCGATCTCGAATCGATCCAAGCGCGGTACAAAGAAGTCGTCAATGGTGTGCCCCTGGGAATGCTACCGAAATCTTCCCGAGGCCGCACTGCGGAAAATGACGCAGGTCTCCTTAATATAACTGTGAATGTCTCAGGCGGCCTCGCTGAGATAGTCGCGACAGACGAGTCGAGCGATTTCATCGGTATGGTGCCCCTGGACACGAGAACAGATCTCGATGTGCGCGCCTTGATTCGCGGTGGCGACGCCGTGTTGGCGACGGCTGTTGTGACGGATGGCGACACAGTCGTACCATGTTCTGTCTCACCTGACCGTATGTCTGCGACTGGCTTCAAACAAGTTCCGAACGGGCAGGCATTCGTTGGCGATGCTTCTTGCCACATCATTGTGCCACACGAGGAAGTTGCATCTGACGCGACCGTGCACGCTCCGACGGAGTTGAATCAGGATGGTTTTCCCTCACTCGGTGAGTCCGTGAGTCAATCGAGTCCGACAGACCAGAAACGTCGACGGGACGTCGAAACTATCCGTCGGCGCAGCATGTCAAACTCGCTAAAATTTCCTGGCCATGATACCTGGGCAAAACGAGATCTATCGATGAGTAGATCCGATCTTGGACGATTAACAGTCACAGTGGTTGGTTTTGGTGCGCGTGTGCACAACGGCGCCGCGCACCGTAGAGCTGCGAATCACGCGCGGAAACTGTTGAAAACGGAACTCGTCGCGAAGGATGCAGGTCAGGGGAGTCTCAACAATACGAAAAGCAAGTATGAATTTCCGGCGGGCGCGGGTCGATTCAGTGATCCATCGACGTGGGGTCCTCGGGGAGTGCCGGACCAAAACTCGACGGATATGCTCTTTATTCCTGCCGGTTTCAATCTTACTCTGGATGTCGCCGATACGTACTTCCGCGTGTGGGTGATTGAGGGGCACCTAAATTTCCAACGGGGCATGAACATCACGATGCAAGCAGAAATGATCGTCATCAACGGCGACGACGCACACTTTAGCATTGGGAGTGAAACACGTCCCTTTGAAGATCAGGCGAATATCATCATGCACGGTCACTGGCGATCCCTCGGCTTGCCCAAATATGGGGTGAAGTGCATCTCACTGACGAGCGGACGATTAACATTCTATGGTCA